AGCATCGAGCATGCGAGAGCACTGAGCGGTGTATGCGCATGGACGCACGACGCCCACCCCAATCTGGCCTATCTTAGGACGACGTCTAGCGAATACTGGGTTCTATGTAGAATGGGAGACAAGCGGGCGGGGCGCTGCGGCGTGAGCAAAACCCATTCTGGGAACTATATTGAAACTATGGAACTATAACGAGGACGGGAACGGGAATGGGAATGGGAACTGGCGAGAAGACAGAAGTAGAGAAGAAGAGAAGCCTTGAGGGCGTTCGTTTTCGATGTTGGCAGTAACTATGTTGGTTTTTACCGTCGAGATCCTGTGCAATCTGTGTCAAGGGCTCTTCTGGCGCCACCATCATCACGAATACTTGCTTCCTTTCTTACTGCACGATTAATTATAAGATATTACGGTGGGCCGCCACCACATCATAGCACACATCATTGCATCATTAATAATCCTACATACCCTTGGGCTCGCCATCAAAAAGTCGCAAAAGGAGACGACCACAAGCGTGGCGGGACCCTCTTGAGACTCCCATGCCATTTCTGCTTGCAGACATTCCATCACTTGATCTCGATCGCGGCGAGCCTGGCAGCAGCACTGGCTGTGGCTGGGAGACTTCGAGAAGACTTGGACTTTGCAAATGTGAGCCATCAAATCCAAATCCACGTCCTGTATATAGTACATAGCAGCCATGGCAGCCCTCGCTGTGTACGAAGTAGTAACCGTGTTTGTTTGTCTTTCTATTTACTTTGTCGAGTCCGGGGGCGCCACAAGGCCGTAGGCCTCAGATGTCGATGATTGATGTCGATGAACGATCGAACGCGGTGGCACCCAGGTGGCAGCCACGACACACGGCTACACACGGATGTCTCGAGCGCAGAACGGCTTTAGCAATCATAAACTCTAAGATCCAGAAACGGGGACAGACTCCATCCCAGAATACAATGCATGCATAACTAAAGGAACAATGGGCGGCGTAGCATGTCTGGCATGATCACGGACTTTTCTGATCGTGCTCAAGACATGGCTTATAATTAGGGGAAGTGATCAATATATTGATCAAATATATTGGTATGAATGCAATCGTGTGTACTATGCCCGATAATTATAACGACCCTGTGGCTCACGGTGAGCCCCAGCTCGGATTTTACTTCCGCTCGATCGTGTTTGGCGTGATCACTGTACCGCCCTCCATCGCGCCGACCGTTGTCGAGTGTGAATTATTATCGAGGGTGATGATAGTCCGATTGGGGTTGGGGCTTGGTGGTTACGGAGCGTACACACAGTACTCCACGAGAACTTACCTCCGTGTCGTCCTCCGTTCCACAATCTCCGAGCGCCACAAGCTTACTGCTTCGAAACCAATCGCGACGGTGTTGCTTCCTCCCGGAAGTACCCCTAGGCGGAGTCACCCCGTCGGTGGTGAGCGCTATGGCGCTCAGTGGCAGCCGCCCAGCCAGCCGTCGCTTTCAAGATATCCAGGCAACCGAATTGGCTATACACTGGCAGCCTTGTATTTACTTCCCCAGTCAACCGCCGTGGGTCCGAGCCGCAATATGTATGTCCCATTAACCTGGGACGGCTACAAATGCGCTGCGCAGCTGTACTATCTCGCTTATTCGTGGGTACCACGCTACTGTGAGGTGCTAGTCCCCCATGAACCCTTGTTCAAATAACCTTGGGAGCCACCCCTTGACGAAGAGTGGACGTTTCAAAGCTTGAGAGCCAGAGTACAGCAGATCCGAGTCGTTCCGGCGGAGGCTGCGTTAGTATGATTTACTGGAAGAAGTAGTACGGCAACTTCATGAGGAGGGAGTGGGCTATCAAGACCGTAAATGGCAACTACGGATGCATATGGGAGATTGATATACTAGGCGTTTCATGTTCGGGCTCCTGGGGCATGCTTGTAAGTGATCATTAACCCTCTGGATCACAGCTAGGATCAAATCTTCCGCTGTGGTGCCAATGGGGAATCATTAATTGATAAGATGCAGCCGTATACCGTGCGGTAATCACTGCCTACAGCGAAAGGTTCTGATGTCTTTCTTGACTCTGAGCATCGATATCGACATATCATTGAAATTAACGCTATGTCCAGAGCTTCACGTTTCATGGTATATGACATCCGCAGGAGTGTGTTCTTATATTCCCCCATTTTCCACGGCTCCTGTGTGTGAACTGGACCGAAGCAACTGTCAATTGCCCCTAGTGAATGGATTACGCTCGCATGGTGCTGCCATGCATCGAATGTTGAATGCCGCGATCGGGGAGGATAAAGGAGAGCGAGCGCGTAATAACCTGGTGGAAAGTAAGAATCGAAGCCGAAAGCTTATTGAGTCGGGTGTCAACAGGCTGAAACGCTGTGCAAGTGTGGCACGGAATTAATTAACTGATTCTTCGATGAGTCGCCGCTTACTGTACTTGACTTGTACGATGGACGTATCTGCCCGTAGATGGACCGGCGGCAAACACAGGAGTCCTCCGCCTCTCCAAGTTAAGCTTGAGCTTGAGTAGTATCCAAGTGCAGAGCCCGCGCGTTTCAATGCACAGCCAGACACGGATGTTGTTAGGCTGCTTGACATTGGTAGAATCCACACCTTTGGTAATCCTTTGGAGGAATTCGGGTCTCCGAGAGGCGACGCGGCATGCGACAGCCCAACGGGATTGGAGGGAGAGCAGTAGAGGGATATAGTTAGACAATCAGGCACCTTTCATGGCTCGGTACATGTGGAGGGGGAGTAAAAAGAGCATGTGGAGAGCGGCGACGATTGCTTTTAGCGACGCGCGAGACACGTTTACCGACGTCGGGCATCCAGATCGCGGGCTATCGTACCCGGCACAGAGGCCTCGCCATACAGGGCCCATACAATCGCAGATACTCCATAAGAGACGCCTTGGAATGCTTCCGTCTCTGCCAATTGAATACGAACGTCAATGCCAGATTGCCAATGCCTCGACGTTGGGTACTACGGGAGCCAAGGCGTCTGGCAGTTTTCCCCGTGCTGTTACGAACAACGACCAAAGATAGACTGACCAACCACCATCGTGCGGAACTTGAGTATCTAGTGAATAGGGGGAAAGGGGGAGTTCAATCTGAAACGCCAAACGTACTTGGGTTGCCACCCACTGCTCCCTATTATTTCTCACCACAGCGGTGGGTACTACTACACGGACGTCAAGAACCGTCGGATAATTTAGAGTTGAACGCTCTGGGAATAGGTCTCGTTTGACGTGGGCAAGTAATGCGTGCTTATGGTCGAAAGTGGAAATTCGAGTAATTGCTATCGGAACCAGCGTGGAATTTTTTAGAGATACGGCAGTGTTGTAGCGGAGTACGTGTCATATGTGGCGGCTAGAGATTATCGATATTGGAAGCTCAACTCGGATGCATTTGGCACAAGTTTGCTGGAGGTAGATGTAGCGTGGCGTTGTCTGGTGTTGTGGACTGACACGGGAGCTGCGTGCTTCTGAGTAGGTTGATATCCATGTAACTGATGTTGAGTTAGTTCATACGTTGAGTTCATCATAGAAGGTGATCAATGCTGTGCTGGACTGACCTCTAAGAGGAAGCAACCTAGTATGTCGACGGTGTTGGCTAAACTATGCCTACTACTCGGGCAACCTTGATGATGCGATCGTGTAATTGAGACGAGGTGAAACGGATATTCTGCAGCTGATTCCTATCACGGCATCGTAGCACAAAATGCGAAGTGTCTTCTCCGCGGGAGGGATATTCTTGTGTAGCCTGACCCTGAGGGTGACATTGCCGTCATTGGCCGAGAACAAGCTGATGATCGATGACCATCGAAAGGCACTGCAGTGCGCCCAATAAATTATGACTGGATTCCTCCTCAGAGTGGGTGGGCGCTCAGAAGAAGCCTGAATAAGGTACTCCCAGGACTGCGGGCGTCCAAGTGGAACGGTTTCAGAGCAAAGCTTCTCACCGTCTATCTTCCTTGAAATCGGTTCTCCGTTCCCCAGAGTGAGGAGGCGCGGAGGGCCTCTAATAGCGCTGGAAACCTAACATTTCGCCGCCAGAAGATGATAGAGCGGTGTCTGTCAGACTCCTGGGACCCTCCTCGTGGAAAGCCTATGAGTTCGGTGAAGAAGCAGCACTGTCATCGGTGCTGCGATACCGCCCATCGTGTCGTTAATACATGGACACTGCACATATGCAGATACTTGTCTCTAGAAGCTTTCGTTGTCAAATACCGCCGCTAACGGAATGCAATTCGCCAAGATCCTGTCTCTTCCGTGATCAGCCTTTCAGGTGCTTGCGATTCCGAGGTCAAAGAAGTATACATGACCTCCCAAAGCGTGAAAGCTCCGATGTCCAAGTACCGTGAGGATGGTCAATTTTGCTTTCAATTTCTCCGGGCCCGCGTGTCGCTTATGTACGCAGACGGAACTTCTGCGAGAAGTGTGCGTGGAGGAGGTTCTTTCATCTAAGCCAGAGAAGGCTGGGGCGAGCAAGTGCTTGGGGCCCAAAGAAGATGGAAGTAGTCCTAAAGGCCCCTATCTCCGGGGTTGTCGCTGAAATGCAAGAGCTAAGAACGTGTGTGCACGACAATGCTCTTCGTAACGGTATTAACACCGGAATGCAATACGCCGCAGCTCGCTGTTGGCCCCTGGTAAAGGATTTAAACGCTAGTGAAGAAGCCCGGTCACAGAGGCGATGACAGTGCCGAAATGCGTCCTCGGCATGGAACAGCACAAGACAATGAATGGAATCCAATATGTACACAACTCGAACTCATTTACATAAGAGGTACGCTTTGTGGGGGCTAGACAACAGATAAGGCATTCATGCAGAGTGTGTACCACATAGAAGAACTTCTTCGCGTTACAGGATGACCGATACCATGACACAGGGGTACACATCAGCAACGAAAAAAGACAACCTAGACGCTGAAGGGAGCAAACGTTCCGCAAGGCTTTAGTATGTTATGAATTGCAGGAGAGGCAAGGGGCAAAGGCAGCGTAAACGTCTGAGCTCCTCCTCACGACGTCTTCTTCCTCCCCTTTCGACCAGGAGCACCTGCCCCCTTGCTCTTGCACTCCGGACAATACCATTTGTCCGGAAGGGGTTGCTTTACACCAACGCACGAGATATGGAACTTTCGTACCGTGCGAAGGATGGGAAAAAGTAAAACCAATCAGTACAAGGTTTTTTCGCATGAAGATAGTCGATGAGAAGGAAACGAGGAAAGCCGATGGACTGCAATGTCATCATCCGCTATATGGAAGTATTTGCGTTGGGGAGGGAGAATTATACCGCCACAATATAGCTGAAAGGATCTCGGCGTTATTGGTGCGGGGAATTTAGGCCTGAACCTCCGGTGCGAAGATAAGGAGGGCAAAACTAGGCCCATGACGAATATTGAACGAGGGACGAGGGTAACTGACAGTTGGAAATGTAGACCACGAATGAAACTTACCCATTGGTATGAACAGCTTGGATTGTCGCAGCCTATCATCATCTAGAGAATGGGTGGAGTTTTAGTGGAACAGGTAGCGTCAGCACCAAATTGCCGAGGGAAAATAGAGAAGAGAAGAAGAATGCAAGGTGGAGAAGCGAAAGAAGACGCGCGTGATCGCTAGAAAGCAAGGGCTGGGGATAAACGGGAAAACCTTCCACGCCACAAAGCAAGCGACTCATAGCTAGAAGGCCAACGCGCAAAGGGCTGAGAAAGGGTACAAATACGCCTTGTTGCTTTATCCCAACATTGCAACAGCAAGATAGCAAACGAGACAGGGAAGCGACGCAGGGCTAGAGACTCGGAACGCTGGAGGGCGACTTACCTCCCCGGCACCCGTCTTTTGACAGAAACAATAGATGGTAGTGTCTTCTGCATCGTCGGCCTCGAGGTCCTCGTCCCCCTCGGCGTCAGGGTCAATGTCCAGCTCGAGTACATCCTCATCCGGAGGACGCGGTATATGGGCTTGCCGAGACAGGCGTGACCTGGAGGACGCAGATGATGCGCCAACGCTAGATGCCTGTGGGATGGGACTAGGAAGCTTGATGGAGTTGGTCACGGTTATCCGACGCTCTGCAGTTGGTAATGAGTACCAGGTGGCACTTCGGTAGAGAAATATGCCCAAGTCCAGACCAGGCAAGATGAATTGAATTTAAAAAATTGTATCTGAGCGAAAGCTTACTTTTCGGGACGCTTCCCATCGCGGCAGCGGTCGCAGCTGGACTCAGAGGAAGCACATCTGGAGCAAGCAAAGAATTTCTGAGATTCTCGCCAAGGGAGGGAGGAGCACTGAGAGTTATAGAGTCGACAATAGGTAGAGGAGTACTTGCACCGCTGTACGGTTGGTATGACCTGGTGTTCGGGATCTCGCTCTCTCCTTGGAGAGCACGCACTTTGGCAAGATCGAAGTCAAGTCTAGCTCTCGACCGAGCTAGGACTTCAATAATTCGCTGCGAAAGCGCGATCTTCTCATCCGCGAGTTGGTTCAGTTCCTTGTACGCATCCTCTACCTTAGATGGGATAAGAAGCCTCGAACTCCCGTTGGTACCGGTAGGCGTTTGCCCGACAGGTGAATCTACCGTCGGCGACGTAGCAGACACGCTGCCAGGCGTGTTCGCCGATGGCGACGGATGCCTGAGGGAATGACGAATGAACCTAGCTTGATCCCGCGACAGCTCCTGCTGAATCTCTACGGACAATGTGAATCAATATTGAATTCGCGGCCATATTGGGTGGTACATGTGGTCTGCGACAGCGTACTGCAGGCCAGTCGCCATGCAACCAGGTAGACAGGTCATTTTAAAAAGCAAGGGCTAAACTAACCTTGGTAGCGCATATCTTTGTGGCGAATCTCTTGAAGGATGTGGTGGACTTCATTTGGTAGATTGTCGATGCCTGTGATAGAGATAATTTGACAAAGGTCGAAAAAGAGGTGGACGGCTCGAGATGAAACATATATAATAATGCAAGGGGAGGCACTTGGAAGGGCCCGACGCCACAATGAGCAGCAGGGTGCAGCAGGGTGCAGTCACGATAGCAAGTCATTCTCGATCGAAGGCTTGTCGCCGAGCGAAAACACAGAAAATTGCTCACTTGAAATGTATTCTGTCGCGATTGCTGCCGCCTCCTCCATGTTCTGCACCGAAACACTCATATTGCAGTGGGAGTGTCACACAAACGTGACGCTAGGTGACTCTAACCTGACGGATTTGCCGGCCGAGTGAGCGCATTTGAGATAAATACGCGTAAACAGTTGCTCAGATCCAGTACTCGATGCGGGGAAGCAGGACCCCGAAAGCACGTTACGGAAGTTTCCTGTACGCAACCCTGAATAACCAGATTTGGATCTTATCTAACCTCTGAATTATCTCAGTCGTTTGTTACCGCCTCTTGACCAACCAGGCATCCGTATCTGGGCAACCTCTGCAAATGTCTCCTCCGATCGTCCTCATATTCCGATAGACCACGCCCATACCCATTACAGAGTCGGACTACATGAGGCACACTATGACCAATTTTGTTTCAATACCGCCGCCGCCAAATGACTGAGCTTCTACTGCAAGCCACAGAAGCCTGTTAGTCTGATAGTAGGGGAAAGCCCATATTAACTGAAACGGGAAGGGATATGGAGACTTCTCCCTCGCGCAGCCCCTGGCGAGTGGATGCGGAATGTATGTAAAACCTTTACTGAGGCCTGGAGGGACTTGTGCAATTTTCACCACTCACATTGCGTTTCTGCGAACGTCACAGGACAGCATTAGCCACAGAACATATACTCGTGAAGGGAGGCATGGCCCGTGACTGCGGCCCGTGCCCCTTTTGCTAGCACCTGTATTGCCAGACATGGCAGTCTTGCCCATAATCACGTATTCTATGGCATTCTCCCAAGCAGAAGCTCATGACGAAGTTATTTCTGCGCTCGAGGACGCCAGGTCCAGATCCAACGATGACACAGTACCCTAGCGAAGCGGAAATACAGGATGTGTGTGACCAAGGGTCAAACCAGAGAAGGTTGCTAGTGACCTAACAGCGTTATCCACTTGACGAGAATGAACATAGGCGTAACGGGTATACGCCGGTGTAATCCCAGTTAGGGTGGCCCAACTCTGGGCGCGCTGAGCGCCTCTACTCGGCCCAAGGCACTCCGAGAGGTGGAACGAATCGAGTGATATTAGAGTAACTGGTGATGGCTAGTCGTCCTATTCCCGAGTACTGGCGGGAGAGTTGGTTGTACGAGATTCGAGTCAGGAACAAGAGGGGTGGCTTCTGAACTATTGCGTCAACCGGTGTCGTCGGAAAACGTGTATAGATATTGGGTATCGGCGGACTCTGTCGATATCGCTTCGTCCGTCCTCACAGGAGCTCGTGGACCTAAAGTTCAACCATGACGTGACAAAATTAGAGTGGGAGCTACGGGTGTATAGCCATTCAATTAGAAGCTAAGCACGGTGCCCTTACTTAGCGTCGAGGCTACGCCAATGGTGCTGCGCAGAAGGGAGTGGAACTAGACAAACAAGACTCGACTCGACTGGAGGAACGTACATTCATTAGGAAGGCATTTGCCATAAGACCAGCCGAACAAGACCGCGCGGACGAGGAGAAAGCCCAAGATAAGTACATGAGAAGGCCATTGAGAGGCAGCATGACATATGGAGGTAACCGTCGGGAAGTGAGTTCCTATCGATCGGTATGTACAAAGCATACTCCAAGGCCCGGACAATGACACTGGCGTATGGGGAGGCACCTGTTGAAAATACTAGGCTCTGGGAAGCGCAATGACATATTTTTAGGTTTCTTGGTTCGTGTTTCTTCCAGAAAGAGGGCGGGGCATGAGAGAATGGGCGCAGGTAGAGCGGGCAGAGCCATGTGGGTTAGAAGACTTGCCGAGGGCGGTGAGGGAATGAAGAGGCCTCCACCCACCACCCTTCGCGTCTTCATGCCGCGCGCTAAACCCAAAGTCAACGATAACGCTATCCGCCTTGAAGCTTGTAGAGGGGGTAATGCACCCATATGGTCTGCCGACACGGATTGTAGGCACATGGGGTGGCACGCGTCATGGGACAGCTGACTAGACTCTCCAAGGTCAGGGCGTGCACCTCGTCCAATCCTCGGAGGTAGGCTAATGGGTAAATAGATAGGTTTGCAAATTTCTGGGGAGAACTAGCAAGTCATTGGCTCACCCCTACTGAAATTGACTGTGTGGGTCGCTCTTGCCATTCCTTTAGTACGCTTTGAATTCGTACCAAAGGCAGTATGTCGGAGTATACTGAAATTGTATTGGCGACATGCTTGGGAAAGTCCCGAGTGCGCAAGATCTGGACGCGTAGCCAGAGTACCAGAGTCGGCTCAAGAGGGAACGACAAGCACGATGCTTTCCACATTTGCTAACGCCGGGGTAGGGCCCCAATGCTCAATTAGGTGAACGCGCACAGGGGACAGATCATCTGTATGGTAGCGCCCCTGCGTCGTATACGGGTACGACAGACAGAGTTCAGAGTCCCAGGATCGCCCGACTTCCGAATATTAGTGCCGTAAGTAGCATGGAGCTCAGTCAGACGATGTGCATACCAGTGCAGCGCCAGTGTCGCCTCCTGTGTGGCCCACTGATAAGGAGCTATACAGGACTCAGTGCGGTCGATAAAGAGGCTGGAAACGGACATACAGCCCATTTGGATGGCTGCTGCGACATCGACGGCGATGAGGAAGAAGACATAGCTTTCATTGAGTTAGCATCGAATCTTTCTGGCGGAAGCCATTACGTAATTTCCCACCAGGATTAGCTTTCCTGAGTTAGCTGGCCGACAGTTGTGGCCCTTCATTACTACACTCGGACTCATGTCATTTGAGCATGCTCCCGTTTCCAAAGGTGCGCAGAGGATCCGTATGAGCAGGATGGCTGTACTGACGGACATTGGGACTTAAAGGTCTAATAGTGGGCTGTGCCCTGTCGTCAATCACTGTTGGACTGTTCGATGTGAAGCACTACTTCCATCTCCAGGTCGGTAGAACTCCTGCATGCCCACCAATCGCTGCTCACAGAACTGAAAACTTCAGCTCGTGCCCCACCTTTCTCGTCACCATCAAGTACGTCGCTCGTATTTGCTATTTGGATCACTGCAAACCTGAATCAGACACGATGCTAGTATTGGCGATTGGGCTTACATCACTTCGCGTTTTCAAACTCCAGTGACCTCTTCCTGGCGGTCTTGATACTTTACTCAACGGGCGTGGTCATTGAACGGCGCTTTGGCTCCATCAAATTTGCAGTGAGTTACTCCTTGATGTTTTGTGCTGTAATTTTATGACATTGACACTACTCCATTCGTTCAGTCTTTTATCCTTGCGTCGCTGTTCGTATCGACGATCTTGGAATTCGTTGCATTGATTCTGTTCCATCGAGTTGGCCTTAATTATATCCCCTCCGGTCCCTCAGCGCTCGTATTCAACATACTCTATCAATATTCGCGCAGCGTGCCGTTTGTGTATCAATTTCGCATCTTCGGCATACCATTGAACAACAAGAGTTTCACCTATGTCCTCGCATTACAGGTACCCATCCGTACTTACCACCTTAATTGCAACTAACGGGGCTGAACAAAATTGCAGCTAGCGTTAAGCCACCTCCCAGGCTCTGGAGCTTCAGCCCTCATTGGCGTTTTAACGGGGATACTATATCGGTCGGACATTGCTAACCTAAAGGCGTACCGTGTATCACCGCAAGTGGTGTTGTTCGCCAGGAACTATCTGCGACCGCTAATTGGCACAACGCGTCCCCAGCGACGGTCAAACCTTGCCCTTCCTGATGGTGTAGCGACGACTCCAGTAGTCGGGGCTAGCAATTCTGCGGAGACGCTTTTGCGAGAAGAAGTCGTGACGACAGCAAGACGCTCGGAGCAAGGTGGTACTACGACGGGCGACAGTGCCTCACCTAGTAGCGAGGCTGCGGCGACGACTGGCCCATCCGTGATGCGAGAATGGGTCAATGAATTAACGGGGAGAACGGATCGTGCTAATGCAGGCATCCGTGTCCCTACGGATGCAGAGGTCGTTCAAGTCTCTACCATGTTTCCTGATCTTGACCGGGATGTGATTGTTGGGGCTCTCCAACGCAGGTACGTTAGCAGCCGATCGTTTGTTGCCAACTTTCCTCTGATTTCGGGTTTGTAGCTCCAACATAGAAGCAGCTGTTGAGACATTGCTGGGTTCTCAGACGCAGACTTCCTGATTCTCGGGGCTGCCAGTAACGTATCAGTGTTTCATGTATTTATTTCTACATGAAGTTCATCAGTGGGGCGTGGGCTCGTAGGTCTGGACACGATCAGTTGCTCTCTCCTTCGTCCTCAGAGGGTTCGCCGTCCTCTTCTTCTGCAGTAAATGTGCCAAGTGGGACAGCGTACAACCGGATAACAGGCTTGAGAAGAATTATGAATATGAAATATCATGACAGTATAGTGATTGAGTTCTCGCTTACCTTGTTAGGATCCTTCACCAGGACATATTTTCCTTCAGGCATCTTCATGCACAGGTCGGTAACCGTGCGAACGATACCCCAGCCGTTGGCGAGAGAGACACCCAATTGACCAGCGAAATCAGTAGGGCGCATAGAGGCTGTACTCAGAATGACATGTCGAGAGGGATCGCGAGGATTCGCACGCGATATGTATCTGTCAAGCACGTCTGTCAGTGAGGACCAACAGAAGACCACTAAATGAATAGAACTGCCAAACATACCCTATCTTCATGAGGTCCGCACCCGCAAGAACACTCTGGACAGCCCATTTCGCAAGCTTGCAACTATTATTCTTCATCTCCGTGGCAACGACGGCACCTCGCTGGGAATCCAGCTTTGACCGCCAGTCGGGGGCCCCACCGGCACCCTGTGCACGGGGATCAAATTCATTGAGGGCACGGATTGTTACGAGACCTTGACCATCACGCGGATTGCCTTGGCCTGGCGAGTAGGCGTCGACTTCGGTTCGAACACAGATCTTGATGTCTTCGTCTTCTGTGATACCCAAGTCGAATACGCGGTACCGATATCCACATGAAGCCAAGGGATCGGTCTCATCAGGCCCATAGAAAGGGTTCGGATGCGCAAAATCAACAGCGGGAGGCGGGGGGTTCTCGCATACAGCTTGGAAACTGAAGTTTTGATTAATGTACGTTGCTTCCAGAGACAGTGAGGTTGCTGAATTGATGGATGGCGTCTCTGGGACCGCTGTTTTCTCTGTGGGATTATTAGGATTGGGCGGTGTTGGGTCCTGGGGTGGATCAGAGGCATTTTCGTTCACAGTAACGGTGTCGAATGGGCCCCCGTCTCGCTTGTCGAAGAATAGATTGTTTCCCTCACGAACAATAACAATGTCCCAGGGATACACAGATCGAGGTGCGCACATCAGAACACTCAGAATGACGTCCGTGGCATACACCGTCGCAGTGCCCTTGCTCGCCAACTAAGAAGGATGTGTCTCATCAAATATGAGCAAGATCGAAGGCACCGAGTCTTACCTGCTGTATGACGGGGTCATCAGAAGTAGTGGTGTTGTATTTGATGCGATCTATTAACTGCAGGGGGCGTTCTGTCTTAGTGGTGATTCGATCGTATGACTTCTCATAGGGGAACAGACGGCCGTAAGAATCACTAGAAACGGTAAATGTCAGAAAGAAACAATGAAGAATAGGACGAGAAACATACATATCCTCTGGTGCATCGACTTCGAGACGCAATTTGGCCAATCGATGGAATTCGATCTCTTCCAGCATCGACCATTGAGGAGAAATGACCACGGACGACTCGCGAGTGCGACCAGTCTGAGGGTCGAGTATGAATGATCTGCACGACACAAGAACAAGAACAGAATTACCTTCTCCCAATCCCTCCAGCCTCCCCGTCTCCCTCCTCGCTGATTGAAGTTCCCTCGTCCACCAGCACCTCCACGTCCACCTCTGGGATTGCCGCGTCCGCTCCAAGTAGCGTTCCCTCGGTTCCCTCCCCTTCCTCTCGCGAAGCCACCACCTCTACGCGGTGCAGCAGTTTTATTGTCTACAAGTGAGAAGGAGGATTCATCCTCAACATGGAAGTATGCGAAGGCGCTTGCAGTGCCGCTTCCAAAGACTGTGGCGCCATCTCTCCGTCGGCCACCAGGTCCTCCACCACGAGTATTTTGAGTAGAGGGCAGTCCAACAGCTGCTGGACGATTGTCCGCTGAGGGGTCGTTCCAATCAGCAAATCGGCCTAGTTTGTCTGCTTTTGAGTATGGCGCATAGGGAATATCCTTAAATTTGAACTGCTCGGGCAGATTTGACGATGAAGGTCCCCAGCTTCCATCCGGGTTGTCGTTAATCGGTGGCAATGAGAAGGATGGCATCGTAGGATGAAGGAGTTGTATAGACCAAAAATTTTGAGACCTGTAGTATCGTGAGAAAGTTCATCTAGTCATTCTACGTGCAGACCAGTAAGTTGTGGAGAGCAGCCACAGCAGTCATGAAGTAGGTGAGACATCATTCACGCATTCCATTCAAGTTTCTGAATGTTGTATTCCTGAAGTGTAGTCAGAGAGATCAGCCGAATAAATGAACTTGAGCTGAAGCTCGGGAGCAGCGCATCATGGCACGACGAATACAAAGGTGAGAGTTCCAACTCTGCGCGAACACCGAAGCTCATTGAACTTTGTCTAGATTCTGCGTACATCTTCATTGGCGGTCTCAACTTTGAACTCACGGAAGGGGATGTTATAACAATATTCTCGCAGTAAGACGTCTTCATATCCTACCACTATCCACTATCGCTGATACCTTATATGTATAAGGTATGGGGAAGTCATGGATGTGAATATGCCGCGAGACAAAGAAACCGGTAAACCGAGAGGCTTTGCATTCCTCATGTACGAAGACCAGCGATCTACAGTCCTCGCGGTTGATAATCTAAATGGGGCCCAAGTGCTGGAGAAGACATTGCGTGTTGACCATGTGAAGAACTACAAACAACCGAAAGCCAAGGGAGACGATGGTGAATGGGTGGAGGCTGAGGAACAAAGTTTGAATGCGAAGCCACAGCTCATTCTCGGCAAGTCTTGCATATGCTCTAACTACAACTCATGGCTGATGTATGTTTGTCACCGTAGACGATGCCGCAGCGTCCGATTCGTCCGAATCCGGTCCTGATATAGATCCAGAAGACCCCATGCGTGACTTCCTCCTTGCGAAGTGGAGGGAAGAGAAGGCATTGAAGAAGCCGAAGAAGAAGAAATCCAAAGACAAACGCAAAGACGAGACACCGGAGGAACGGCGTGCTAGAAAGGCACGTAAAAAAGAGAAGAAAGCACGGAAGCAGACCTCGGATGGAATGAAGGGCGTGGAAGCGCTATTGAGTTCCCTTGGACGCCCTCGTGAAGGACGGGAAAGATCTCGGAGCCCGCCGTCGAGGAAAAGACCCAGGTCTCGAAGTAACTCCCCGCATGGTCGACATACCTCATTGCGCAGGACTCCACCCCGGTCTCCTTCCCCCGCCAGACGACGTGACAGATACGACGAGAGAGCCAGAGATAACCGCGACCGCGAGAGGAGTTGAAGTCATGCACTGCTTCAATTCATCACAAGGTATACTCTCGGCGGCGCAACACTCTTTGCGCCGTTATTGCCTACGTACACTGCATGTAGTAGGTCCCACGCGACCCGTTAAGAACCGATATGGCTTCGTTCTCACAATCTGGAAGAAGTTCGCGCATGAGAATTCTACTCGTTAACTGTCCCTCGGCTACCGAAGGTAGCACTGCTACACCTGCTCGTCGAGCCTGTGACGGACCGGCGAGAATAGTGGCGAATCAATAGATCTGAAGTCCATCGAATATGGACATGGTAGGCAAGAGGTGGGAGCTGTGGATACATTCAAACACTCGAAAACTGTTGTTCATGTTTCAAGGGGCCGCAAAAGAGAAGCCCAGCAAAGATATCATTGAAGAACGATGCGAGATTGAATCTTGTATACACACTATCTCGAGCGGTGTTTGCCAGGGGCTATCCTGAGCTCCCCGGGTTGATCGAATGGAAAGTGTTCCAGATTGTGCAATCTATGTGTGCAGAGCGGGAGAAGTGGCGTCTTACCAGACAGCGGCGGACGCTGAGAATGCGGGCTTTGGTAAGTTGTGGAAAACTACATGACAACACTTCAAAAGGATAAAGTAAGGATTGATATGAATGGATCTTGGCCGTTCCTACTGAATACTATTACTTGGATTCTAGTCCGTCCAAGCACGTAAGGGATTGTGGCCGTGATTTAAGAGCACATGTCCGTCTATGTCGTGAAGAACCGCATTTTAGGTGCGAAAGTTTCGCCGGTGTGTCATCATGAAGGCTGAACAGAATTCCATTGGCTAACTAAGCATGTGGAAACTTTGGAGAGGCAGAAGCATACGGCACACAGTGTGAGAGCCTGGTCACAATACCTATTGATGTAGTGATGTCAAGTGCTACAATCTCCCGCGTTGAGTAGCTATGTCAAAATTGCAAAGTTATGTCTCTAGAGTGACGGTACATCCAAGGATAATGCTGAGATAATTCGAGATCATTCCAACGGTTCAAACATCCAAAGTTGATATTTTGTGAGTGCACAGGCGTAGCCTTGTCAGCTAACTCCGGCTCCGGCAAGTCCGTGGAGATGTCAGTATTTGCAGTAGCCTTACTGTTCCTCCGCCAAATGGCTTCAAAACGACTCGCCATAGGGTGTCATTCAGACATTTGACAAATGTATTCACAGTATACTTGGTGACTGAGAATGTCTGTGAAATGATCTTGTTAGTATACGGCGACCCTGAGCAACACAGGGAGAGACCACTGACGACATACTTCAGACCAGGAGAAGTGATACTCAGGTATACTATGCCTGATTCATGGAGCGCCAACGGGGTTCCAGCTAATTGCTCCCTCAGCACCCCGATCCAACGAGTCGAGGTCCTTCATGTCATCTTCGTTTAAGGAAAAATCATACACTTGTGCGTTGGAATGGATGCGCCCAGGAGTCGCGCTCTTTGGAAGGGGAACAAATCTATGCGGTAGATGGTTTGTAAGTACCGATGGAGTGGTCCATGCATGCTTTGGTACCCACCCTCGTTGTAGAGACCAACGGATCAGAATTTGAGCCGGATCCCTAGCGTGCTAGATACAACATTAGCCATACGTATGTCTGAGAATAGCGATTCCGTTACCTTCTTTGCGATTTCCTGGATTACTTCATGGTCCATCTTACCGCGAAGGATCGGGCAATATGCTTGTACGACAATTGCATGCTTCCGGCAATATTCTACAATGGGTTTCTGTTGACAGAACGGATGTAGCTGCACAAAAAACACGTAAATCGGAGTCCCGCCATGAAATTGCGTTTAAAAGACGAACTTCTATTTGGTTGACTGACGGCATTTCGAGGCCATGGTCACGTATCTCTTCTAGATGTTTGTCGGAGCTGGAGCAACGGTGTGACATAGCAAGAGGATGCCTGACTTAGATACTAAATGACACGTACAAATTGGACACGCCTATGCTTCGTATCTTCCCAGCATCTCGGGCTTCAATTAGAGCCTTCCAAGTCGCCAAACGGAGGCCCTTCCCGGAAAAGGGGTCGTGAATGAGGAACAGGTCGATGTAGTCTGTGAATTTTGCCAGAGAGATCTGTGAACGGACAGAAGGCTGTGAACATCCAGCTTACCAAAGCCGAACTTCTTCAACGACTCATCGACTCCAGACAGGGTCTTTTCATAGCCATGATTCTTGCTTACAACCTTGGTTGCTAAGCTTCAAGCGTCAGTTTACTTATTCAGGGGCTTACTATGACTTACTGATAAATAATTCTTCTCTGGGTAGGGAGGATTCATGTACTGCGGCCCCAACGTGAGCTTCATTACGATATACTTGAGCGGAATCGATATGTCTGAGTTGCGATGACAATCAGATTGTACGCCCACGCAAGATGATGAGTACCTATATCCTGCTGCAAATGCTTCCAATACGGAAGCCTTTGTGTCGTAGTTCTGGTACACCCCGAAACCAAGAAGAGGCATCGTATAACCTAATATTAAAACACAGTTTTTGTGAGCCCTCAAAGCTGGTAGTACTGGGTGGTCCCGCTTGGGTCACGCACCTGAGGAAAGTTTCACGACTGATTCAAGAGCGAGGGCGGCCATGGCTGCCGTCAGAAAAGCGAAACGCCGAAAGCTGACTGATAGAGATGATAGCAGCGATCGAAGTTACCTCCTGGTTCATATCTCGGTGACCGAGCTATTTGTTGTTGTTGACGCGTTCAGTAACGGCGAACGCCGTTGCTGATAGCGAGCTTGCTCAGCGCGGCGCCATATTGCGACATGCCCTTTAGCGCGCACTCATCTACTATCGCGGTCTGTTGCAACTGCAACTGAACCATCCATATCATCTTTTCCCCCAACCTTGCCGCACCCGATGGCTCTCCAACCCACTCTTAGACCTCTGGTCATTGCCGGCAGCTACGAAGCGCCACATACTCTTGAGATTTTCCGTTGAGTACCATGACTTAGATTGATTATCTGCGTACTTATCGCGGCTACATAGTTGATTATGTCTGTCCATTCAGCGCAAAAATGTCAGGCGCGATTGAGACCGTGCTGAGGCCCCTTTTCCAACCAGGGGGAAAGTACGAGGGGAAAGTGAAAGCGATCTTTCGACCACAAGTTCAGCCATGGCACGGCTCGTCTACATTTACACATGAGGCTGGGCTGGCTGTAAATATAATTGACCTTACATTCCGTGGCGACGAGTTGCTGACTAGCTTGTGAAGGTTCTGCGGGTTTCTCCGGAACACTTTTGGGCGTTCAGTCTCGCTGTAAGCATGCGCCATATATAGCTCCCAGACATATGTCCGATAATTCTATAAGCTCTTCAAACGTCAAGGCGAATATTTCGATATTCCTACCTCGACACTCACTCCTCTACAAATCCGAGCAAGCCTTGCGAAGCTAGCGGCAGAAGTTATCCCCGCCAATAAAGTTGAAGAATTCGAGGAACTCCTGAAGCTCAAATCCTCTCCAAATGGCGGCGTGGCCGTTACCGACGACTTGAAATATACAAGTAGGTGGAATCGTCATTCCGAGCCATTCGATGGATACTGACAGCCATCTCGTAGTCAAATTCTCTAGGCAGAATGGCATCCATGTATCGCCTACCGTGCTTTGGGATGGCCTCGTCGCGAACGAGATTTCCAGCTCATGGGGTGAGAAAGAGTGGTCTGAATTTCTCTCGTCCAAGGTCCAAGCGTAGAAATAATAACGAACTGAAGCCCGAAAAGCATGCATGCAAAAAGGAAAGGCATCGTTGTGAAAACAAGATACGTACTGTATTTGTCGTGTACAGTTCAAATGGTCCGAAAAGAAATTAGAAGTTGTTACCATGTATTAAATATGACTGAACATATTGATGCCATCGCAGGATAGTACATATGTCGGCATACCGCCTTCAAGCTATTATCAGCCTCGAGACAAGTCGTCGACGTTACAGTCAAGGAAGAATCCTCTCCTAGCCCCTAGGTCTGTCCTCCTAATGTGTTCCATGGGCGCCAAAGTCCGTCGTTCAACTTCATTAGAAGTGAACTTTCATGGTGCTTTGCCTGCGCTCATGCAGTCACGGCCTATTCTCTACATCTCGACGGTGCTTTAGCTCGGTTCGTTCCCATCAAGAAGATAAACGATGGCCAGGATGGCAAATCATAATAGGCATTGAGGTTCACGCCCAAATCAAGTCACGTCGCAAGCTTTTCTCTGGTGTGTGCAATTCACGCCAAGCATCCCGGAGCTCCTCATTAACTATGCTCCTCAGAAACAACAGTTCCCCTCACCGGGAACCTTCCGAACACCTGCGTCTCTCCGTTCGACGCCGCGTTCCCTGGCACACTGCCAGTACGTAGCTCAACCATCGTTGTCCGGTACAAGCACTAATCCGAGTAATAGAGATTGAACGTGCAATGTGTTGCACTTGCTACTCGCGTTGCTTTGGCTCTGAACTCCAACATCCAATCGCGTTCAACCTTTGATAGAAAGCACTATTTCTACCCCGATTTACCAGCCGGTTACCAGATCACACAGCATTATTGTGAGCTTATCCGTCGTCACATTAGCATGGAATTGACGGCGATGAAGCCCCCTTTGCCATAGGAGGTCGCCTTGTTCTCCCTACCGAAGCAGCTGTTCCTGTGAGGATCAAACAAATCCAGCTAGAGCAAGTACTGTAACCTGCTTTGTCTCCATTATATCTGCATAGCTCATGATTACGATATTAGGATACTGCCAAGTCCATATTCGATCCTCGCAGACGTGAAACACTCATAGACCTCAACAGAGCCGGCATGGGGCTTATGGAGATCGTCTCTGAGCCAGATATGAGGTCCCCAGAGGAGGCTGCATTGTATGTTCGTTCTTTACAAAGTTTGTTGCGGGCAGTCGGGGCAAGCGATGGTAATATGGAGCAGGTAAGTGCAGCGAACTTGTTCTTTGGTAACACTCGACAACCCTCTTTCCAAGGGCTCTCTGAGGTGCGATGTGAATGTGTCCGTCAACCGCCCCGGTTTGCCTCCAGGTACTCGGTGTGAGATCAAGAACCTCAATAGTGTCAAATTCATGATGTCCGCGCTTTGTATGCCCTTTTCGTATATCCCGTTGCGTATCTAATGTATCCTTACCTTCACAAGCTAGCGAGATACGCCGCCATATAGACATTTTGGACTCGTCTTCGTCCGTCCCACAAGAAACGCGTGGATTTTCCGAACAGACGTTCGAGACGTTCAAATTACGAAGCAAAGAGGATGCGCCAGATTATCGTTACATGCCTGATATGAACCTGGGTACGCTTCATATCACTGAAGTAAGTGTTATACCCACACGTTCATTTGTCGGGTCTGATGGTTCGTCCGCTCAGACACAAATCCAAAATATACGTGAGACGATGCCGGAATTACCTGACATTACTCGTTCTCGTCTTCAGAAGCAGTATTCCCTACATCCACGGGACGTCGAGATTCTTCTCGCCCTCGATGCAGAGAAGGACATCCCATTTGATGGTGAGACTGGGGGGCCTTCCTCGGCTGGCGCAGTGAGATACTTCGAGAACATCTGTCAAGACCATGGCCAAGGAGCGAAGGAGAAACCTCGCGATCCAAAGGTGGTTTTGAATTGGTACGCTGATTTATCTTCCCTCGTGGGCGACAAGTGTCTGAAAAAATGCAAAGGATAATTCACGAGTTAGTCGGACAACTATCCGCTCGTCATGAAACGTTTACAGCGCAGCGTGTGCCTTCGTCGTGGCTCGCTGAATTGATAGATATGGTGCAAGGCAACATCATTACTCGTGCGTAGTCCTTATACATTTTACCCGCGCTCTATCTTACCCATCCCCTGGCTTATTTTAGGTACTTCCGGCAAGAGCCTGCTTCGACACATACTACACAACCCATCGGAGGAATCACCCAAACAACTTGCTCATAAGCTCGATCTCATCGCTCTTCGGACTGAAGATCAGGTTTCGAGCGCAGGTACAGCACCCCCTGCGGGAGACATGGACCTTACCGCTATCTGTCGGGCCTCCATCTCTCAGATGCCCGCTGAAGTTGTCGCTTATCAGGCGGGGAATGTCAATGTCCTCAACAAAATTGTGGGTCATGTCATGAAAACTACGAGAGGGAGAGCGAATGCTCTTGCTGTCAAAACTGTGCTACAAGCAATGCTTGATGGAAATTAGGCAGTCAACGGTTGGTTTGTCATTGTCTCTGGTATTTGTCGTTGTAATTATCTTATCCACACAATACTTCCGTCTTCGCTGATTTGGTTGATCATCTGGGACAAAAATAGAGTGACTCCGTTCTCCTGTTTCCGACTTGCCTCACAGGGTCCCCGGATATTGGCCTATCTGTTTCAACTACTTCCCTCGTTTGCTAATCTGGGATCCAATGGTGTCACATTCAGCAACCAACAGTTGTTCAATGCAGAGGGCCCTCTATTCCATTGTCTTGCTTTGCTAGTAGCCGACGAGACCCTTTGTCCGAGATAATCTCTCTGTAACAGCGTCAAAGCCAGGTACACATGTTTTCTGGAAGTGAACATTCCCATTCTAAGGATTTGGGACACGGTCCGCGATCCTTGTACATGCGGCGTGGCGCCTGTATTACCGTTTGGAGTGTGTCAGTGATCTCAGTCCCTTGGTACACGGCCTTGTGCTCGTTTCGAGCGCTCTCCCATGTTTGTGTATACGTTTAGCTCTCTGTTTTTCTAGCTCTCTCTTCTTTCTTTCATGCGGCCTTACGAACCTGAACTAATGACCTTAGTTGAAGACATGAATCCCTACGTTGAGGACGACGCTTGTCCCGATTATGATGTAGCAGTGAGTCGCAGGTACGTTGATGCACCGTGTCACGTATATTGGCGTGGGCAATTGATTTTCTGGTCGGGATAATGTCACTAGCACTAGCAACAGCAGATCTGCAAGCCTTCGATGGCAGTCCCCCTTCGACGATCCACCTCAGCCACTCAGGTAGGCATTCATCATAAAATGACAAAGCCCGAGTGATAGCTAACTGCGGCCGCCCGGACTGCACATCAGCGTCAGAAGGCTACCAACACGTCTTGAACAATATGTATACACTTACAACCTAGTGGCCGGTTCGACGCCCATACAGTTTATAATCTCGTAAGTTCTATGTCAATTAAGAATGAGTTCTGTGATTCTGAAGCGCCATTGTGTGAAAGTGTCGAGCCAGTCAATGGAAGACCTGAAGCGGGCGACTACAACTTCCATCTCTCCCTCAAAATCAATCAGATCGAGCGCCAGATTTGCGAACCAACGAAGCTTAGGCTGTCTATCGACCCAAGAACTCTGGATTTCGTCGTCTTGTGAGTTGCGGCTTTACACGTTGCATTGGGTTACTGCACGTTCTAACCTCGAGGCTCCCTCTTATGATAGTGTGTTCCCTGGTAAATCAAGCTTACCTGTAGGCTCCCTGTGGTCGTTGCGCGTATGGCTTCGGACGCAAAGCATCAGTCACCGAATATTCGCAGACGATGAACTGTTCGTAGGCAAGGATCTCGACTTTAACTCTATTGCCGATGCTTCGTTTGCGCGCCTCAAGACAGCAAATGCGAACAGTCAAATCTATCAATCGTATGTCGGCAAGGCACCCGTCACATTTACCGTTTCGTGCGTATTAAAGGCTCTTCATTCCGTGGTCTATGATCGAGTTTGATTGACGCTGGTTCGATAGTTGGAAGCAGAAATCTGACAAGACGTATTCGTACAACATAGAATATGATGCGGGAGGCGTAGGTGCTACGGTCGTGCAGGATCTTCTGCTGAAACTAGATTGCGATCCCAGAAGGATAACGTTTACCATATAGTGCGTCTCCTCGCTTCTCTTCTCTTATAGTCCTTATTCACAGCATTCCTCGGTCAGTTCCGTACCCATGACGTCCACACCAGCCGGTGCTTCGCATAGAATCCGTATCTGGGTTCGTTCACTAGCGCCTTTCCCCACCGAACCTGGCCCCGTCGGCCACTATACGCTCCCCTTCACTGATTCCTACATCTACCACCGGGTATGGAAATCCGATGGCTTCCGCCTAGGTGCACACCTCGATTTCCTGTCGTTGTCGAACAAGATGGTTCTCGGCTTCGCCGCTTCCAACACCCCGCAGACTGTTGTCACTGTGCGCTCAGTGCCCCCTCCGCCACGAGATACGTACTCGCCGGCTAGTATGAGAAAGTAGTCTCTATGTTTTACTTGGTCCAGCTTCTTTTGGTCCGTACGGTGTGCTGGACATACTCTTCACGTATTTTATCTCGAAGACATTAATATGCCCGGCGATTGGGCGTCAGAGGAAACTAACGACATATGATACAGTGTAACAATATGTATTTCTTTGATACTTGCTCGGGACAATGTTGTTTTGTACACCACCGATACAACTAGTTTTGTTGTTATAATTTTGTTTTCTTTCTTTGTATGCACACTGACCTTGGACTTCAGTACTTCAGTTTACGTGGACGATTACTTTACTCCTTTAACGACAGGAACTCCAATCATTCACTTTCACCCATGAGCTTTGAAATAAGCATTCTAAAGATGAATGTGGACGATGTGAGTCATGGGTCGAAATATCACTTTTGCAGCTCCTGTACTGAATCCCCTGGTTAGAAAAGGGGGACTAGTACAGTTCGGCCACTTTCGTGTTAGGTATTTCATAGCTTGCGATGACCAGATCCCGGAGAAGGGAGTCAATAATGGAAATTACTGGTTCAAGCTACGGTGATAGCACACGCCGACGCTCAACCGACGCCGAGTGTACGCTGTTCCCAACTTTGTCAACAAGCTTGGGGTTCATTCAACTGGCACAAAAGCTCTCTGTGTCATTTCAGTTCTGGTTGCATGAAGCTTGAGCCAACCAGTGAACGAGCATCGAGCTGGTGCGCGGCCAATCATGTCTTCGCCGTTCGGCCACAACGCTTGGCTTTTGGGCGCTTAAGCGGATACTGTTGGCCATGCGGTGCGGCAAAATCAATCCTCCTTTCGGCCCACACTCCAAGTGTATCGACGACAGCGACGTCCGGCTTGGCTTTGTCGCTGTCAGAGATGAAGACAACGTCACATTCTCTCTTCATGAACTTCCTTACTTTCCTCCTTTTCTCGGCGGTCGTCGTCCAAGCAGATCCCGCCAGTCTGCCTTTTACTGATTGCTTTTCGGGCGATGGAGCACGCAAATTGACGGTGTCCACGGTTTACGGCCAAGTCGTTCGAGGCATCGACGGGCAGTCGAAAACAGGCTTAAATCTCACAATATTTGGCGAAAACCCCCAAGAAATAGTGGGATCATCTAGTTCAAGTTTATGTGAGTTACATCATGTTTCTCAACCAGGGCTGTCCTCGTGCTCCCGCCCGGACAACTTATCTGTCGTTATAAACAGCGACACTCTTCACGGCGACAACCGTTCTGACATTGGGTGTGTTCTCGAACGCAACCTGGTTCTGTAATCCTCTCCGCCCACCAAATGCACAACCTCTTCCTGCGGAGAATGCGTCGTATTGCCCTCTTGCCGCAGGACCCTTTGCGTTTGGATCACCTGTGATATGGGGAGACAACCGCGACCTTACCACTCTAACGACTCGGCTACGCGCGGTAGACGAATCCAGTAACGAACTCATCTGTTTGGACGTGTCGGCTACACCTTTGGAGCCCACAGAATCATCACCGTATGGAGAAGCCGTGGCGATATTCTGGATGACAGTAGGGCTTGCGCTGGCGTATTGGCTTGTCGTAGGGATTGCTAGGATTGCGTCTGCGTGGAACAGAGGAGTGAAACGGCCAGACAAGGGCATTTGGTCAAGAGCTCAGAGTGCGGGCTTCATTCTAGCTAGTGCCATCAGCGGGGAGCGGTTAGCGACATCACCTGCACTTCTTCGCTTCTGTGAGTCTCGACGGTGCATCATTTGACGATTCCTAATACTTTGTGCGGAAGGTACGCCCTCCCTCCGTGACATATTCTTTCATACCCAGTGGTGTGCCGTGTTGGCCATGGTTGCCGTCGAATGGCCTCAATTTGTTTGTTAGTACATCTAATCAATCGCTTGAATTAATGTGCTAACTCTGTTGTAGACCCTCTGTTGACCCAGACGGCATGGTCGACCTTGACATATAGTGCGTGTATCTGTAAGTAAATAATTTGGTACACCAGTAATCAATCCTTCCTAGATATAACTGTAACAAGCTCTGGCGCGCACTGGGATCCTCTTTCAACCCAGCCATTTAATCCCTCCGCTTCATTTGCTGCCCAAACCTCCGACCCTTCTTCACCTCTATACATCGACCCCACAATCCCTAATGTTCTATTCACCCTTCCCACCAACGCTTCCCACGGGATGGAATCTTTCGCGTACTCCGTTGGTGTCAGGCCTCAAGACCTCTTCTCAATCTGCCTCGTGCTCTTCCTCGGTATCATTGGCGGGACTATTGTGATAAGTTTCTTCGTATGGCTAGTTGACTACATCGCATTGTTCTTCGTTCGCATGGTAGCCAAGCATGGTCCTGGACATCCGAGATTAGCTGGCGCTCGCAGCCCCGGGTACACCAGCAAAGATCTACTGGATGCCTCGTCCCCAGTCCCCATGACGGGCCAGAACCTTGAAGACAACAAGTCGCTCACTGGCCACGGTGGAAATGGCCTTTTCAGCCCTCCCTCGCGATTCGGTCTGTCCACAACCAGTGGGAAGGGCTTTTGGAGGTCCCACTTCCATATTCGCAAGGATATCAATTCCTTCCACGGTAGCGTCCTACAAGGAAATCTGGTCAGAGTTCTGGTCATATTTCACCTCCCTATCACTATATTTTCTTGTTATCAAATGACCCTTCGGCACACTCGACCCGACATACCAACCCCAATGTCCTCGGTCATTCTCGCGGCGCTTTCGTTCGCCTTCTTGTCGCTTCTCATCCCCGCCTTCCTCGTTGTGCGTGTCACGATGACCACTACCAACAAACTGTACGACGAAACGCGCACCCTACTCTCCCTCGGGCCGTTATACAACCACTACCGGCACGGCTCACAAATGTTTGCCAGTCTGTTGTTCGCGTCCAATATCGCATTCGGTGTAGCTATCGGATGCGGACAAAACAGCGGCACGGCTCAGGCTATCGTCATTCTCGTTATCGAAGTCGTCTCCGCGCTAGTGACTAGTATTTGGTTACCTTGGGGTACTGGGGCTAGCATGGGTTTAATCAGTTTCCTCTTCTGCGTCGCAAGAATAGTTGTTGCTGTCCTTCTTGTCATTCTCACGCCAACGGTCCGTAATACATTCTCTGATACTCCAGGAGTATCTATACTTACGGGTATCCCCTACACAGATTTCAATAGGCAGGGGCCCAGGTGCTTGGGTTTCCTATGGTATTTTGGTAATCCTCGCTCTGGTGTATCTCGCGCTGGTCGCCATGTTGCTGGTGAAGCTTTTGGAGGCCACCATACGGATATTTGGTCGTATACCATTTGACCGCAGTACTCACGTCGTGGACAGCGGGCTGCTTGGTGCATGTGGCTTACTCGGCTGCTGTGGACCTCGCAGACGCCGCCGCCGCCGCCCTAGAAGAAACCGCTACAAAGCCGCTGAATCTGCCCGATCCGAGGGTGCACCTTCAGAAAGGTCGTCATACATGCCGCCAAACGTTCTCGGCGCCCATGATGACGGCACTGGATCGAGGAAGGGTTCCATGCATTCGGGACAACCCCCATCTGTGCTAAAACCAGAGCAGGCACTGCGACCATACAAAGAGGATAGCGACGACGAAAATGGTTACATCATGGGGGCATGGCAGCCGTTCCCTCGGCCGGGCTATAGTACGCTTCGGGATACACCCTCGCCCGTGGTGAACAAACCGTCTGGGTTCTCAAGAGTAGGTGGCGGACGAGCCCATATCGATAGCCCATATGCTATCACGGCGTCTGGGTCCACTCATACATTTCCATCATCGAGCTCTCCGCAGAACGCTGCTGGTGGGAGCGCACTCCCTGTGTTTGATGACGATGATTCGCCACCTCCTTCTTTGTCCAATGTCGCCCGATATCAAGATCATGCTCTCCCTCCAGGTGCCATGCAACCAATTTCGCATATCCGCACGAAGTCTCAAACAGCTATAATTGAGGACGCTTCCGCCTTGGTCCTTACCGTTCCTTCATCGTCCAAAAACCGAATCGACGACGATGACGACGAAGACTCAGATACGGCGCAACCCAAGAAGAAGCCGTGGTATCATCTTCGTCGCCATCGGCCGCACAGTAGCGATGGCACCCCCTCGCGGGATCATCCACCTCCAGACGAGGAATCCGCCCCGGATCCTTTGTCGTCGCAGGCGACACCAGGGCGGTCGTTCGTGGTCATCAGAAAGCCTCAGTCATCTCCGCATCGGCTGAACGCTCTTGCATCGGGTTCTGCACCATCGTCAGGTCCTAATACCCCTAACGTGGGTTCATTTGGACAGAATTCAGCCAACGCTCGCGCACATAACGCGACTGCATAGTTTATAATCTCTCCACTTCATAGATACGGTGTTTCGTTCCAGGACTTGTAAACATTTTGGCTTAGCTATCTTGCTTTCAATTTATGCGCAGTAATTATTCCTTCTTAGTCTGTATCGAAATGAACGACATGTCATGCCTCATCAGCTTATCCACAGTTCATCCATGTATGAGCTTTGTACAATACTGCAGTATTCGATGCGCCATCAAAGCAATGAATGCAAGGAGATGATATATGATAAACAAAAAAGTCGTTGTGCATATATGTATACGAGATCAAAGAGGTTCCTTTGGTAGAATATCCAAAAAGTGTCAAATGTCCTGTTCCTCATCGTCCAAATCTTGTACAAGCGAACCACCAACCCAGAATACACGATAGTCCGAAACACCTCTTCTGCACCATCCGTAGATGCCTTGTTCTTGTTTCAACCGCAATGCAATGTCCTCCGTTTGCAGACTATTGAAGGACATGTCGCTTGCTGTAGAGAGCGACCGAGTGATCCCACCAGCGAGATGTGCTTGGAATCGAGGGCCAAATCCTGGAGCTATCCCCCCAAATCCTTCCATGCCATATTCACTATACTCACTATATGCATCCCAGTGACCGCCATGACACAAGAACCCTGTGCTCCCACCAACGTCCTCTTCCGTCCAGATACTCTCCACAGGCGGGGTGGTAACTTTACCTTTACCTTTACCCAAGCTTAAGAACGAAAGAGGGATTTCCTGCACCTCGATTCCATCCTCGCACATCGATACTAGCTGGAGATATGGAGGGATATCATCCATGTCCAGGCCCATCACCGCTGGATTGCAGACTCTGGGGGCAACATGATTCGGCGCGTTTTTCCAAGCGACCGTTGTCAGTGGCGGACACGAAGCGACGTTCGAAGGCAATGGAGACGGCATGATGTGAGTGTGTTTTCCGCGGGTAACGAGATAAACCTCTTGAGTAGGGATATGCCGTGGTTGGGCGGTAGGTAATGGCAATTCACACTTGACTGGTAGAATCCACTTGGGAGAATGTGATCCAAACTCCATTGACATGCGCGACCGTCGAATGGGAGAAAACGATTCACGCGATGGGAGTGAGTGGTTATGGGATGGCGGAGAAGAAGATCCTGCTTCTTCAGGAAGCGTTATTTCACCGACTGCAGAATCGGCTAAGCGAATCCATCCAGCCTTCTTGTCGAAGATTACGAAAAGGCTCAACTGCGTGTCGTACGAAAGGGAGCGATTCAACGGGGATACAAGGGAAGATGAGGAAATGCGTCGTTCCCGCACACCGCGCAGTCCACCAGGTTCTACTCGGGAGAACTGGGCATCAGATGCACTCCGGTAAAGATCTTGCACATTTTGTTTGAAGAATGTAACCGCCCGCGGTTGTAGGGGTGTATAGAATTCCTAGCATTTAAAATATCGCGTCAGTCTATAAACCAGACAAAACCACAGAACATTTGCTGACCTTTACGAAATGGAAAGCCCGTTGTCCTTTCGGAGTTTCGTACAAGAAGATATTTGACTTGGTTGACACTGCAAGCATGCGGCCGCCGTTTCCTGCCCCAACTCTCTTATCCAGCTTATCATCGGTCCACAGAGCGTAGGAAAGCACAGACATTCCTATTAGCCTCGAGCCAGGAGATGCAAGAGGGACATAATCTGTTGCCCATCGCAGAGGAAGGTCCTCTACAATATCCCAACCTGAATCAACGGAGTCCACCCGTCTGGGCCCGCCGTTGACCTTGCTATTGAGACTCGAAGTTGACCCGTTCATTGGAGAGGTCCGACCAGATGTCGATTCTCGGGGTACATTGAGCATGTTCGGCACCGGGGACAGAAGTCGTTGATACGACGAAGATGAAGTCTCCGGTTGTGCGGGAGGAGCGTTTTGCGGTTCAATAAGCGATCGCAAACCTTTCGCAAGACTATGCGAGGTTCGGTGCCGCTTCTGCGGGGACTGTTGAGCTTGCCAATTAGATGGTCTATGTAGTTCAAGTGGTTTCGTTCCCTAAGTAGGATAAATTCCGTAAGCATTCACGAAAGGTAGAATTGCGATCTACCTTCTGAGAAACTGCCCATTTTGCTAGACTAATAAGGCTGGAAAGGTTATACATTCGTAGTGTTCTCGTGGCTTCCTGGTCTCTGCTACAGGTATTGGTGTCGGGCCCTACCAGTGCTAGTACAACACCTTGAGGCGTGCCTTCGCCGATGTCCTCAACCTCTAACATGGACATTTGATAAACACTGCCTAGAGCTGAATTATTTGGTTGGCGTCACATTGGGGTAGCTAGCTTACCCTTCGCCTCTCCAGATCTCCCTCGATTGAGCTTCATCGGGGCCCTTGACCGTAATGCCTCCTAGCTCATTCCATTCTTGCGGAAACATGTCGAGCACCGAAAGACCCTCATCGTGTCCAATAAGGACCAAACGCTCCGATGGTAAAGGCAACAGGCATCTTATAGGTGCGGTCGCGTGAGGAAGGAACCGAGAACCAAAATTGTTCAATTTTAGATGTGTCGGAGGGAGCTTTTGGCTAACGAAGGGGAGCGATATAGATTCTGGTGCAGCGGGAGGCGATGGGAGTGGTTGGAAAGCTAAATTACTAGTTTGTACATGGAGGTTTAGGTTTGGGATCGGTGGTGGCGGGGGAATATTGCTATACGGATCAGATGTCGGGAGGCCAGTTTGTTGATAGAACTGAGGTAGTGTGTGCAACGGAGGTGGTTGTTCCCGAGGGTACGGAGCTGGACCAGATGGAAGCGAAGGCAGCTGTCTGTCGCGGATATTCAGGCTGGACTGAACGGACGCGGCGAGCTGCTCGTCAGCCTCAGACCCCTGTGTGATTTACAAAACTTCAGAATTGCCAGTGAGAATGTGAATTATCTGATAGCATACCGAGTCGTTCAATCCCCATCCCCTTGCCTTTCGCCGAGCGCGCTCGTCAGGCCCGACATCATTATATCGTTCGGCAGCACTACACGGGTAAACGCATGAGCGGGCGTTATATAGCTCCAGTTGTGAGAAGAATTCACCGTTTCTCAATCCATCCTCTCCACCTCCCGAATCTAATTCAAGATCCATCATGGGCCATATAAGCTAACAGTAATGTACAGATGCATGAATTATCTAACCTCGAATTCGGGCCGTTCTGAGCAGCTAGGTCATCATACGTGGGGAGGTCGTCTCCGCCTGGCGGTGGCGCGTTGTCCTGTTCGATGTATGGGTGCTGCGCAGACATGGAGGTTGAGATGGAGAGATTGTGTGTTCTGAGTTTCGAGGGTCTCTCGGGATCGCCCACGTGACTTGACATTGCTGTGCGCGACGGGGACACTGCCCGCTCACAACTGTTCTTTGCGATGCATTTTGTGATGCACAAAAGGAAAGGGAAAATTAAATTGTTTGTTCGGCCCTAGGGTAATGATTGTGATGGTTGAACGAGTCACAAAAAGATCTATCTATCATTTTAAGGAATGTGTGCACTATGGTTTCACCAAACCGTCAGTGCCACATAGTAGCAAGATACGGCCGGTTACAGAATATAGTGCCGCCCATACCCCCAGCCCTCCATCACCCGAGCCCGAGCGAATCAACACCATCACAGTGGACTCAAACCCCAAACTTCGAGCGACGTATCACCAAAGGCAATGTGAGAACCAGAAGAAAATGAGCTTGGTCTCGTGAACGCCCCCCAGAAGAGAACGCCTCGCTCCATCAACCAGAAATAAATAACGCCATAGAAAATGCCGGGAAGGCTGAACGCTTCGGAGAGGTTGAGTGGACACTGAGGAAACAATTATGAAAATTTCCCGTTTATATACTCGATGAGCGGAGATTCAAATCTTCGTGTTGATCATGTGGTACTTATTTACGCGTGCCAGGAGTTGCCAGGAGTCGCGGACTTGCTCACCATCTACTCCCATGCAATCACGACTGTCTCGAGTCCCCTTCAAAGCTAGGGAGTCCATATTCACAGGGAATCCAGACATCTACCGCGGAGATATCCAATCAGCATGTCCCGCCGCGCTGGCCGAGTGTGTAATGGCATTGGAGGATTGTTGCGAGGAGGTCGATGCCCCATGTTTGGTCTATGATGTATACTAACGCATCGTTAACAGACATACGAGTCTGAAAAACTTGTGCGGGATGGGACGCGCGACCTACCACGCATGTCGCGTGTTCTCGACAACGAAAGAGTACCAGCAACTCCGTTCCTTATGAATGAATACTTAACCATTCCAGTATCTAGGTTTTCTTGTTGGTGGATGAAGGGACGATCAGAAGATACAAAGCCGATTTGATAGATGAAGTTGAGCCCGCAATAAACGAACTGATCGAACGGGCAGAGCAGGGGTTGGAGAGGATGCAGAAGAAGGAGAGCGTGCTCGAAGCCAAGGTACGTATCCATCACTTCAGCCTGATGAACGATGGTGACCGGATAGATTGCGCGTGTAGCTGGAGGCTGTGCAGACGCGTCCCGCGAAACCAGCAATTGGCACGAATGTAACGCATAAACTCGAGATTCGCCGTCTTCAAATGCTTAAGAAACAAAGGGAGAAACTTGAGGAGGAAGCCAGAGCTTTAGAGGTTGAAATCCAGGCGATGGTATGAAGTTTCTCTGTTATGTTCACGCCGCATCTAACTTTACTTGCAGGAGGCATCACCGAGGAAGAGGATACGCTGACAGTTTCAAGGCTTCCGTTGCAATCACACATTTCAGAAGTGATACATTATTCTTGTATTTACAATATCAACTTGTATATATTACAATCGTCCAGGGCTATGGTTCTACGTCGCTACATCATCAATGGTATAACAGAGAAGCTGGTATTGTCAAGACATTGGTGTTAAACGAAAGCAAGACCCGTAAACGTTGCCACTGCACCAACCATTGCACCCCCAGCAGCTGCCTTCAACGAGGACTTCCCTCCACCTGACTTCTTTAGTTCATCATAATACACGCTCTGCATTAATCGTCGAACAGCGCGGTCGTCCTTACCCAAGACGAGATACCCTTCTTCAAGCTCACCGCCCTGGCTATCATTCACGATATCGACTGTCAGTGCGAAGTAACCCGAGACCGTTGCAGATTTCTTGATAGCGGGGATATCGGCCTTGGGGAGGCGGTAGACTTGTGCAGCCTCGGGGGTGTTGGTGATGAAGTCCACAAAGTTGGACCGTTCCTCCATGCTCATAGTACGAACAAGACCGGCCAGAGGTACGGCTGTGCTCTGACTGTCGATAGACGAGAGGGAAGTGACTACGTCCTGGGTCAGCCGGTCCGAGGGTTTGGTATCCTGGGTCTCATTGATATTCATGCTCGAGTATGGCGAAGGCGTCATCAGCGTGCCGGGCATGGATGCTCGTCCTTTGCCCTTTCCTTTGGCGGCGGCGGGAGTCGTAGCGAGAGTATCCTGCCATCTGACAACCTTCTCCTTGAGCTCCTTCGCCGCTGGCTCATCTCCATCTTTGGACTCGTCTTCGCTATCATCCGGTAGGAATGTCAATTTGTCGAGGATCTCTCCGGTAGTGGTTGACACCGATTGAAGACTCTGCGAAGGTCCGAGATCTGGCAATGCCGACTTGCGACGCGATCGTATTGCCGCCTGCGTATCCTGTTCATCGGCTCTACTAGGCATCGGTGAGGCTTGCTGCCCTAGCGAGCGTCGCCCGCGAATGACTGTACGGGCAGTGGCTTCCTTTGGATTGGACAATGACGCCCGCGTCGGCGTCGCCTGTTCGATGTGGAGCTCTTCAAACGCAGCAGATATCACTGCCGTAAGAGCTGGCTTGGACGATGCTTGCTTTGGCGTTGTTGCTTGTGGCGAGTCCGAGAAGGGACAACCTTGACGAGGGTGTCCTGCCCTCGGTCGTCCACATTTAGTGCAATGTGGGACCTTCCTCGGAGTCGTATTTTGTGTAGTCATCGAGCTGACTGTCTCGTCCCCCGTTGTGTCCGACGACCGGGATTTCTGGGGTGATGAACGGAGTGTCGGTGGCATGGCTGAATGGAAGTGGGAGATACGATACTTGCGGGTCTGCCTTCGCTGTCACTTATAAAAAGAGGACTCACTGAATGTCGTAACAAAGGACGACAGGATGTCAACGCTGTGGCCTTCAGTGCCGCAACCTTTATCCTGAATTGAGTCAAGACTCAAGAGTGGCACACTGCAACTACGCACTGCGCGGCACGGGCGGGCCTGCCTTAGACGCCCGGATGCTCCTCTTCATGTTCCGTTCATCTTGATCTGCTCACAAATCACGCCCTTGCATTGCATGATGAATTCTCCACTTTGTAAGGCGCAAATTTCACGGGTTGGTACGGCACCGCGGGGCTTGTATCACTATCGATTTCAATTCATATATAAAGCTTCACATTTGCGCAAACGTGCTCGGCATACTGCTTCTTTGTTCGAGGCATCCCCTTGACCTCACAGTCCCCTTTGTCAACAATGCTCGCTGAGGGCTCCCCAAAGGATGTTGAGGAAAGCATCCACGACGCCGAGAAGCAGTTAAAATCCCTTTCTGATTCAGGCCGTGACGATCTCAATAATGACCCGTATGAAGTGGTTCTGGAGCCTTCAGAAGATCCCCTCAATCTATCTACATTACGGAAATGGTTGACGGTCCTAATTATTAGCGCAGGCTCGTTGTGCGTAACCTCGATGTCTTCAATAGTACGTCCCTTCCCCGTACGGGCTTTCGAAATATTCTTACCTCTGAGTTGTGCTTAGGCAGCCTTCACTGAAGTAGCAGTGGAGGATGAATTCGACGTTTCTCATACTGTCAGTATCCTGGCAATATCATTGTTTGTGGAGGGCCTTGGAATTGGCCCTCTCTTTGTTGGCCCTTTATCCGAAGTCTATGGAAGAAATCCCATATACCGTGCTTCATTTGGCCTGGTTTTTGCATTCTCTTGGGGCGTTGCATTTGCTCCCAATATTGGTACGCTCCACCTCAACTTGCCCTGAATCATTTCTCACCGTAAGTTACAGCCGCCTACTTGATATTCCGCTTCCTGACGGGACTATCTGGTGCAGCCTTCCTCAGTGTAGCAGGCGGCACAGTGAGCGACTTGTTTCCACACAACAAAGTAGCCAAGTACGTGTAACTCACCGCCAAAGTGTTATTAGTACATTAATAGTCCTATAGCCCGATGGCTGTCTATACTCTGTCACCCTTCATAGGACCAGTGCTCGGCCCTCTGATTGGCGGGTAAGCATGCCATTACAGCGTTTGGTAGGATACCAAGTTTGCTGACGTCGCCGGTAGCTTTGTCAATCAGAACCTATACTGGCGCTGGACATACAGGATCATTCTCGTCTGGGTGTTCTTCCAGTGCTTAGCGATCTTTCTCGTAAGTCTCCAAGTTCGAGCTTACGGAGGGCGTCAGCTACTAACGAAACTATCAACGTGCAGTTCGTTCCAGAAACATACACACCGGTTATCATCAAGCAGAAGGCTGAAAGGTATATACGGTGCCAGTCATACTTTGAGGCAACTGACCTATATTTTAGGCTTCGTGAGGTGACAGGAGATCTCAAATATTTCGCACCCTTAGAAAGACAAGGCCAAAGTATTTTCCAGGCTATTGCCCAAAGCTGCTATAGGCCGTTTGGTACGTCTTCTTCCAACCTCCCTTGGCAAATAGTTGAACGGGGTTCTCAGAACTACTTATTTTTGAACGCATGGCGCTTTTGTTGAATATTTGGTAAGTTCCACCAGCCCTCAATACGATCCATAGATTGACCTACTCTCTCCCTAGGACGGCTCTTCTGCTCGGTATACTGTATCTCACCTTCCAGGCCTTCCCCATCATATTCGGCGAGCTCCATGGTTTCAATATGCAAATGACTGGCCTGACTTTCCTGGGAATGGGGCTCGGCATGATCATTGGCGTATCTTGCCAGCCTCTGTGGAATAGGTTTGTTTACTCCTGAGAGAATGCGTAAATGGTTAAACTGACAACATCACAGACACTATGCACTCGTCCGTAGCAGATACGATGGTATTCCTCCTCCGGAAAGTAGGCTAGCCATGGCCAAAGTCGGTGCATTCCTAGTACCTATAGGTAAGCTCCGAGTCCTCTCCTTGCACTTTATGGACCGTTAGCTTATTTTCGCTACCCAGGCCTCTACTGGCTAGCATTCACCACCTACCGCCAAGTCCACTGGATAGTCCCCATAATTGCCTCCATTCCATTCGGGACCGGCATGTTCTTCGTGTACACCTCCGTCTTTACCTACCTCGTTACGGCCTACCGACCGATCGCCGCCTCGGCTATGGCGAGTAACAGCGCACTGAGGTGCACGTTCGCTGCCGCGTTCCCGCTGTTCGCACCAGCTATGTATCGGAGGCTGGGTACCGTTGGCGCTACTGCATTGCTGGCTGGGTTGACTACAATCATGGCACCGCTCCCGTGAGTCCTTCGACCCTATGATCGTAGCCTTCCGCTCATTCGTCTATGAAAGGTTCATTTTCTCTCGCATTGGGGCGCAATTGCGAGCGAAGTCAAGGTTCGCTGCAAGATAAACTATTCGACTTTCAAGCCGGGCGATCTCTGGCTTCAATCACATAAACCCACTGCTGTAAAAGTATCCAACAACTCTTGAATTAATCTTCCAGTACCCTAGACCTTCTTGTAGATCGTAGAACCCCTCTACACATCTCGACGCCGTCACGAACTTACGTTTCACAACAATGTACCCTATACTCTACTACTGCACCCAGTTATCCTAGTTATGAATCACAACTGCTTCGGTCAGAAGTCCGTAATATGCGCCCTTGCTTGTACTTTCAGATGTGGTCGCTGGTTAGTACCGTGCTTTGAGGCGACTCGTAGTAGTTGGGTGTCAAGTCGGCCCTTGTTTTATCCTGACAAGTGACCAGCAAAAGAATAGGAGAAATACTGTCTGAGTATGCTGCCTAGAACTGTAAATGTATATATTGGCTCCAATGATGATTTTTGCTTTGTTCAGCAGGTCCGTCTACTAACGATGTCAGATGCTCCTAATCATGAGTGGCAACGCGATACTACCCAGGCTCCTGGTCACTTAGATGCAGCGCATCCCTCACGCGTCGCACCTGTTCCTCGCTAACGAATATCTCCTCCACCCTTTCCCTTGTTATCTCGCAACGGCGCTTCCTTCCCAGCATAACCAATGCTCCTTCGGCGTGAGGTAGCACGGCTCGGACAGGCTGAGACCAGCGAAAAGGGATATCGGAAAAATTATCCCGGCAGTACAAGTTAAGATAGTGGCGCCCCTGCCTTTCTATGTCTTCGAGAAGAGCGGTCGATCGACAGTGGGACGTAGTGGCACCCGACGAGAAAGGGGGTCTCTCCCGTAATTCAGAGGCCGTGCGCGATCGAGGGAACAGGGAGGGGTTTGAGAGGGTTGGGAATGCTGGCTGGCCCTGGGCGGGTGTTGGCAACAAGTCTATATATGCATGACTTGAGGTGTGTTCACACTGTCGAGTTAGTGCTCGTGGTTTATGTTCAAGTTGGATGCCATGATTATCTACCACTTGATCGTTACGTGCAGTAAAGGCCCAGCGTTCAAGGGCGGTCGGTAGTTGACGTTGAACGAGGACGGCTGGCTCCCATTCGATATCTGCCTTCATTTCATGGACAGGCTCGCCAGCTTCACTTGTGCGCGAGCATTTTGTCTTAGAACATTCACCAGGTCCTTCGCTGTAGCCAAGTTTGCGTTTCGTGTCTGTACGACCGTTGACATAGCGCTAAATGCAGCTGTCATGCGTAGACGTGGATCGTCCCAGCACATATCGTGTGCGTTGCCAGGACTGGAACGGTCGTGGTTTTGGGAAGCAAGCTTGGAGAGCGAGGAATGAAGGGCTGTTCCTTGACTGTGAGCCGTCCCTGAACAACGCCAACATGAATTCGCTGAGAGGGAATCGCAAAGAATTACGACGTTTACCTATTTCGCCCAGGAGATCGTTGTATGCAGCCATGGGCGCGAGATAGTCGAGGTGTCCAATCCCAGAAGCTGACATAGCGAGCTGCGTTGCTTTAGCCGCCAGCTCCTCGCATTTCAGGCCATGAGTCGCGAAGGAATCCAGGATCGAAGGAAGAACTTCAAGCATCTACAGGGGAGCTTTAATCAACAAGACTATGACTGGAAATTGCATCATAGACGCGAATGTACCTCTGGCTTTCCCAGTTCCTCATACAGCGCCAACACACGCTCCAGCTCGAACCGATTTCGTCGATCAGAGATTTCTGCTTCTTGTTCAGCGAGCTCTCTTTCTTTGGCCTCGAATGCAGCCTAATCAACGGGGAATACTGCTCTGCCCGTGGCTTGCATGAAAGGGATATCATTCACGTACTTGTGCAGACGCTTCCGCATCTTTCATACTTGCTTCCAGAGTAGATGTCATATACATCCACGGGTACAGCTGCGCTGCAATTTGCAAGGGATCTGAAGCCTGCGAGGCGGGCTTGTCGTCGCCGTGCGACTGCTTTGACTAAATAAACAACAACTTCAGTACGAATCGCGAAACCGGCTGAATAATGTGAGCCCACCGCTGACGAAACCAACCTCTCAGTTGGCGCAGTCCGCGTTGGTACAGCCTTCGCAGTGTTTGCTGAGACTGGGGACGGAGCTTTCGTCGTTGGGTTTGCCGTCGTGGTGACCGTCGTTCCCCGTGCATTGCTTAAGAGCTTAGATCTTGACTGTACAACACTCCTGGATTGGGAAGCACTTGTAGCGGCAGTGCTTGCATGTCCCAATGCCCTCGTATTACTGCTACTGCCGCTACTGCTGATAGTAGTAGGCTTCCCGCCTTGGTTGACGCGTGAAGTTGTGGAGACTGTTCCTCGCGAAACATCAGGGCGAGAAGTGGTAGCAGAACGCGTCGGCTTCTTGGGTTGTGAGACGGCTGGAATTGGTTGCGCCCTGGATTCTGGGGCCCCCTCTGGTATTACTGGGGATCGTATAGTTTTTGTGGCGGTGGGTACGCGGCCGCCACTGGGCCCGGAAGAACCTGCGCGTCCGTTTTGAGCCTGGACTGAACCTCGTACATCCACAGAGAACGCACCTTTCGTATCGCGAACAGTGCGCTTTGATGAGGTCTTGGAAGCCATGCTCGTTTGCCTACTGCTACGCTACTGCGACGTGATCACGAAACCCGTGTATCCACTGCGACCGAATTGAGACTTTGGCTAGTGTAACCGGGTCTCCGGGGAAAAGTTGTGTCTCAGTAGCAGATTCGCGGTAACATCAGGAGAGCTCACCTCATCCAGCCTTTCGGTCGGAAATTTCTCTTTTGATCTGGGAAATTACCCCGCAACGACTCCCTCAGTCGGATAGGCGCATCACCACTCCTCTTTAACTCATATTATTATCTGGAGTTCCCATCATCTCATCGATATCGTCCAGAGCCTTGAGGCTCCCTCATTATTTGCGATACCCTACACCCAGGCTCTTGTTTATCATTTTATAGCCTGCCACTGCAGTAGAAGGCCTGATTGTAAGTCGTCTCGGTTCCTTGCAACGTTGACGCTCACGGTGGATTGTGCAAATCACGTTGTTTCAGGACTCCTTATAACGTTCCCCAACCCCAATTTTCTCTCTTCTACGGCTTTTGGTTAACGAAAGCGACACTGGGATTACGCGAAGCTGCGACGAACTGCGCCGCCGAGAGAAAACGCAACCCCGAACGCCGACCCGCCAGGCATTCAGCAGCCTGGTTGCTCCTCCTCACGACTTATTTTTCCTTTTGCGTAACGTGAACGGAACACGTCTTCAACCACTATGGCTTTCTTAGGGTCAATCATCAAGCCATTGGCCTACATGTCTCTCCCTGTCGTCATCATTCGTTCCCTATGCACACGGTCACCAGCGGTTCGGTACTACACGCGCCTGGGTGTCTATCTCGGGGCAATGGCTGCAGTGGCGACCTGCAGCATCTTCATTGCTGCCGGCATGTCAATCCTCGGACGCAAATACGACGCAAACTGGGTTGTAGCTCGGGTATTCGACGCAACTGCGGGCCGCTTAATGGGCATTGAGTGGGAGGTAGAGGGCGAGGAGCATCTGCAGACAAGGCCAGCCGTGATGATGGGGAATCATCAGAGTATGCTCGATATTCTTGGGTTGGGCAGGTGAGTGGATGTTAGCTTTCCGAAAGGTGTTTGAGTTAATGCTGGTTGGGGTTAGGATGTTCCCTCAGCGCGCCGCTATGGTCGCAAAGAAAGAGCTTCGACTTACTCCCTTGGGCCCGTGGATGACACTGAGTGGTGCCATTTGGCTGAACCGTGGCAACAGTGCTAGCGCTGTCCGTTCACTCGAGGCGGCCGGCGAAGAAATTAAACGCGAAAAGCTCTCACTCTGGATATTCCCTGAAGGGACACGACATTCATCGGAAGCACCTGACATGCTTCCTCTCAAGAAGGGGGGCTTTCATCTCGCTGTACAAGCAGGGGTACCCATTATTCCGGTCGTGTTCGAGAACTACTGGCGGTTGTACCATCGGGGTGTATTCGAGGGAGGAAAACTGAAGATCCGAAGTGAGTACCTAATTGCTGTTTCGCGGTTAGCTTGTTCCGTCTCCCCATTTTCGCACTGGGTGTACAGTGTCCTCTTAAACGAGGCACTGAGCTCCGTGAAAAGAAGGGCCAGGTTACGCTACAAACCCCGTTGTTCACTCTAAAGCCGAGGGTGCTGATCGGACATTTCTAGTTCTGCCACCTATACCAACGGCGGGTCTCACCACGAGTGATGTACACAGTCTAGCGACGCGCGTGCGGGATCAGATGCTGGAGGCATTACGTGAAATCTCGGTCAAGGTCCCTGCCGCTCAAGCGCCTGCGAGTGCGACGTCGAAGGCGGCAGGAAGTTCCGTACAGCCGGGGTCAGGTGCTTCACCGCAGGCCCCCGTCTCGGAGAAGCAGGAAAGTACGTTGGGACTGGGAGATGCTCCAGACGTTTCTGTGAGCGGGAGCCAAGGATCTGGCGAATCACTAAGCACGGATCCAGCCTCAGATGCCCGGTCTGCCTCCCCCACACGGTCGCGGACGTCGGAGGCCAGCGAGAACGGCACGGAGACGGAGGAAGACGAAGGGATGGTGCTTGTTGGCCGGCCTGCTTAAAGGACACGTAGATTGACATCTAATCGATAATACTAATACGAGATCAGTAAGAATTAGGGTTTTTGGATTGTACGGGGGATAAGATGGCGCCCATGTGCGCCTGCTCATTCGACAGGTGATATAAATGGCATCTTGGACGTGACTGCGTTCGTCGCAGGCGCGTTCGAGCAACCACGTTTGTTCTGAACATATCTTCGTCGCGCTCCGCATCGTCTGAGCACTCTGCCGCTAATGCCTCCACGATTCGCGATCCCCTTTCCCCGGGCTAATCAGCATGCACGCCTTGCGAACGTTTCACCCTGACCGTGTTTACTCAATAATACGTGGCTCGGCACAGAATTTGACCCCTTAAATTTATACAAGTAGTAATTCTTTCGCCACTCATCTCCACCATCCTTTTTCCTGTACGGTCTTGATTTGGGTAGCAAAAGGAGTAATAACCTTTATGTCAACTCGTTTGACTGGGAAAGGCATCTGGCGTATAAAAGCTTCGCGTGCTACCACACTTCACCGTTCTTTCGTTCGCCCACTCTTGAACCGCCGTCTCGTCCATCACTCTCGTTCTCTCACAACCCCGGCTCCAATGGATTCCCCTACTCGCGTACTACCCGGTATGCTCCATTTCGTGCAAAGTTAATAACAAGATGTTCATTGGTGCTTTGTAGACTGCTGGGGCCATCGAGGGGTGAGTAGGTCCCAAGACCCGTATTTTCAACGGTCAAGTTGACGAGCAACCCCAGGCCTCTTCCCGTTTCCCGGAAAATACGCTCGCAAGCTTCGAGGCCGCCATGCGTGATGGTGCAGAGGGCATCGAGAGCGGTAATTCATTCTATATAGACAACGTATTGTCTGGTTGTTTCGGATCGTAACCACCGTCAGCAGACGTCCATGTTTCCAAGGACGACGTTGTCATCATGTTCCACGATCCAGGTGAGTATTCGAGTTCACCGTCGTCGGTGTTGCAGTGGACTCATGTGAATTCTCGCTCGCAGATTTGTCCCGAACGACTGACTCCAAGGGTGCCTATCTCTCTTGACGTGACACATGTTTTCATGATTGCTGAGTGGGATGATTAGGGTTCATCAAGGACCGTGAATGGTACGGGCAGGATGGCATGGAGCATGTTCGGACCGTCAAGGAACCCAAGCAGTCTATTCCGACGTTTGCAGAGACCGTGGCCCTGTTGATGCAGGTACGTCTCCGTCTCTAAAGGTCCCGTACGCTGAGAAGTCATTCTACTTCCATTCCCCTCTGCACGCCCCCCTTCTCGCCCTCTCCACTGCCGTATAAATCTCACACGCACGGCGACCGCACCACTCTAGCCCGAGAATCAGCACGTCAAATTTAATGTCGATGTCAAGCCTCAGAACGACCCCGATAGACTTTTCTCCTTAATGCACACTATTATTTCGGCACACGACGGTTGGGAAACGAAGCTAGCACCACGTATCCTCCTTGGCCTCTGGCATCCCCGATTTTTGCCTGCAGCGAAGAGCCACTTACCTTATTGCCGTCGTTCTTATATTGGATGTGACACAACCTTGGCTAGGAAGTACTTCTGGGCCGATTGCGACGCGTTCTCGATGCACTTTGACTCCCTCACCAGTGGTGACGGCGAAAAGTAAGTCCACCCCGGCGGAGCGGCCCGGAAAAAGAATGTTAAACATCTATACTTTTAAGATTCAGGAAGGAATGCAAAGCTGCCGGGAAGCAATTGATGGTATGGACTGTCAACGAACCCCATTACATGATGGAGGTACGTGCTTGCTGTCAGTACCGTTATAAATTTTCTGATTATGCCCCCCAGGCTGTGAGATGGGAGGTGGATGCCATCCTTACGGACACGACCAAGACATGGCTAGATATGCGACAAGCTCTCAACGGTTTGTTTTCTTACCCTGATGGATACTTCCAAGGTTCTAATTTTGTTATCGCAGTTGATTATGACAAGATTGGCGCGCAGTATAGCCGGTTCTTTTTGTGGACGACGTGGAAATTCTACGCGCCCATCTTATACCTGAGAAATCATCTCATCCAGCTTCGCTTGGAGCGCATTGCTGGGCCTTTTGACGTTGTTACCCAGGGCCCCATTACCGTCAACTGATTTTTCTTCTTATTGGACCCACGTCTTCATGATTTTTTACGACATTTTCCCTAGATATCCCAGATAATCTGATATAGACGACTGCTTTACTTATGTGCATATACTATTGAGTTTGTTATCGATGCAAAACACTCATGCATGAGGTTTCTGATGAGTTTGAGTCAGTGGAAATGAAAGTGGGACATGTGGAATGAGACCTGTCATTGGGCCACACTAAGTTGCTTACTCACTCTCTTTCCTTTTCCACCACCACTTGACTCGAATCCTCCGAGAACGGCAGCGGCTACCATCACCGCACGATTTCTATATGATATAAACCCTAATAATGGATACTCCAGGCATACCGCGTAGGCACCGCAAGAGGTTTTCTGCAATTCGTCTCTCCTCTGACACGACGACGACGCTGCCAGAATACACTGCCCGGGCTCAACAGCAACTGGAGGCAATTTTACCATCAGACCGACCTCCCGACTACCCGGACAGTGCGGAGGAAGGAGACGCTGATACGAGCTCGGAGGCTTCAGTCAGCGGGAGTCATACAGCCAGCAATACTTTAGTCTACGTGCCACAGCATTACTCCTCTCAGTCAGCACATTCCTCGCCTCGCAGACCACATTACCGTCGCCCGGGCTCAAGCCACAAACGAAAGTACCCCAGTCCTAAAGCACCGCGTACAAGGAGTCGAGGGGGTAGCGTCAGCCATACATCGCCGACGCCAAGGAACGAAGAAGAGGATCCTTACCTAGACGCATTACTGGAGCGGAGCGTACACGCGCTAGAGATGTCGAACGTCCTGCTGCAGTCTAGCATCAGCACGCAGACCAGCCTGTCCACGATCTTGGCCTCGCCAGATACACGCCACGGCGACCGTGAACTCGAGGCCCGCGCGCTGGGCTTATCGTCGCGCATACGGGGGAATAAGGTGGTGCATAGAGGTTGGGCTGAGGACTTGGATGAGATCGGACGAGACGTGGAGGGCTTGTTCGAGGGCGGGAGTGGCTCGGAAAGCGATGAGTTGCAGGGGAGAAGTGTTGTGAGGCGAGCGCATCGAGAGAGGCATAATCGTGGGTCGCTGGATAGCATCAGTTCGAGTCTGCCAACCACATCAGAGATTATGGGAAATAGGCATTATCGACGGAGACCTTCGCTGGACATTCGGGCACCGTCAACGTCGTCGACTTTTCGCTCGGACGATGCGCCACAGTTGCGTCTCAGCCACAATGGCAGGAATCAGCTTGTCGCGTCGATCCCAAGGCCTTTGACCCAGTACATCGAGTCCACGGAAGATCCCTCGGTATTCCACATTCCATCGACGCTAGGCCTGCGTAATGGTTCGTCAGTGAGGTCGGCTCCGGCCTCAGAAACGTCTCATTTTACAGGCTCTTACTGCGACTCGCCGTCTCCCTACCGATCATCTTCCTACTGCCAAACACCTTCCATGACCGTCACTTCTCCTTCTCCGTCAGAGCCTAATTCCATATACCCCGGGACATCGTCATCGCACAACACCAAATCCGCAAGCACGTCTTATCTCCCCATTGTCACTGATACCACGCCGGCCCCATCAACGCCGGCCTATAATATGCTTTCATCGTTTGTTTATAGACCTCGCGCCGGACAATCTAGCTCTTCAACGCCCTCGTCATTCATTGGTAGTTCTTTTCTTTCTGCAGCGTTATCTCGACGATCGTCTTCGAATAACCCGAAGTCGGCCCGCCGATCAAGCTCACCTTCCAAATCTAACAAACCCAACAAACCACTGGATCTTACACGCAGTGAGATTGCAGAGGCCACTAACAACTCGACAATGTCTCGTTCGAGGTCTACTACGCCTAAACCCCTGCATCTTCCCAACCCAGCCTCGGTTCAGAGAAGTATGACGCCCCCGACCGAGGAATCATCTTCAGACGACGGAGCGGCACTGAAGACAATCGACTCTCTTCGGAAGATCTTGGACGTTCATCCCTCCACGTCACCTCCAGCTGGACGCTCACATTCCAGCCCTAGCCGTAGCTCTACCAGCCGCCGTCTCAAACGCCCTCAGTTTATCATATCGCCGCCTCCAAAGGTCGAAGCTGGTGCATCTACGGCAACAGCATCTATATCCCGCCTATACACGAAGGCCAAGCACACATCGTCCACCCGCCCTCCCTCGCCACCCCGATACTCTTCTCTAAAAGGGGGGAGCTCAGGCCGGAATACTCCTCTAACACCAGGCTCGCCTGGTGGCAGCTCGGGGCGAACCACGCCTAAGAGGATTAGTTTCGCTGAGTTGCCAGAGGGATTTCCTGGCATCGGTGGATCGAAGATTGGCAGCAAGGGTAAAGGCAGAGAGATGCGTCGCAAAGAGGCAGACGGAAGTACCAGAGGGCCTGCTTGGTGGGCGACGTGGTTGCTCGGTGGATCGTTGAGCGACGACGGGGGAAGTCCTACGAGAGCCTCATCAAGTAAAGCTTCATTGGGCGAAGGTGGACCTTCCGGCATGGGTGTTGGAACACTCACTAAGAGTTGGGGGCCCAGAATGGGCATAGGAGGGGGGTTCGAAGAGTGGGGCGTCTGAACATCTTCACGTATAATGCATTATGGTTATTTGCTTCTTGTCAACTCATGTAACGACCTTGTCACGACCACCGGATTCTTTTGTTAATACCAATATGTATTAGGTATTTAAATGCTTGTTCCATGCCTCAGATTTGCCAGTGGTCTTCGAGAAGAGAGCTCAGAGATTCTGGGTATCAATAATTGATTTCAACGAGGGTCATACAACAACAGAGCCAGGGAAGAAAGTTCGTAGAAAGTACGACGCAACCAAAAAAGATCAAACCAAGGAGGAAATTCGTGAGGACATTACAATATCAAAAAGGCGGGGGAAAGGATAACTGCAGCAATCGCTGCCACGTAACCGAAGGGTATGTCGAAAGTCGAAGGGGAAGCGTTCGCAAGGATACCACTGATTGTACTCTGGGCAGCACCTGTCCTAGTTGTGGTGGAGCTACCACCTGCGACCACCCTGATTAAACCGCGGTAAGCAAAACGGAAGAAAGTGCGTCTAAGGAATTATTAGCACGTACACAATCTTTTCCAGCGCAAAGGACCAAGGATCGTCCATCGTCGTTGTTCCCAGTGAGGCACCGTTGATAAAGACCACCATGGTGTTGAGACGATTCGGTAAATTCCTCTGCTCAAAGCTGAGAGTGCAGTTACTTGGGACAATACTGATCGCATTCTCAGAACCTCCAAATGACGATGTCTGTCCGCCGACAGTGACTGTATACCATGCGTTGTTAGCCGCAAGACTCAGATACACCGCGCTGCCTGAATGAGATATTCCAGATTAAATGACAATCAATCAACGATGTTCCTGTTCACCTTCGAAATCCAAAGAGAACGACGAGTAGGGTGCCGTCGTCAATCTGGACTGTGACGAAGAATTGCATGCAGAGTCCACAGACTGCCAGCTACCTTGGTAAGATATACGTGGATCGGTAGCCGATATATCGACGAGCGATGAACCTAAAGGCACCGTTGGAGATGGAACGACGGAGGTCGCAGTACCTGATGGAACTCCAGTAGTAGTAGGTCGCACCGTCGTTGGTGCAGGGGGAGGAGGTGCCGCGGGAGCTGTGGTGGTAGCTGGGGGAGGGGGAGGGGGAGGAGCTTGTGTGGGAGGAGTTGTAGTAGGGGGAGGAGCCTCAGTGGTTCGTGTTGTTGTCGTCGGCGGTGGAGGGGTCGTGGCTATAAAATGTACTATCTGCCAGAAGTTCGTAAATACCTCAAATCACGCTTACTGGTTGTGGTTGCCCCGCCTCCGCCAGACGAAGGAGATCTACACCTGGGCCTATTCTCAGTATCACGGTAACAGATATCTCCGGTAGCTAAAATATGGCAAGTGAGCATCTCGACACCTTGAACATACTATATGCTGAACACCCACGGCAGCAGAAATCCTCGCCCGAGCACTGTGAATAGCCGGAGGAAGTACACCCTGAGGAACCCCCGCCAGAGCATATTTTTCCGTTCTCGCAGCACCCACGACGTCCGTTGGCTACGGCACAATAGGTCCTAGAGAAAGAGATATACATGTTAGATGAGAACCTTCTGTTGGATTCACGCGTTATTTACCCTGATCGACAACATCCCCCTCCTGCGCAAAACGAGTCAATGTCGCGAGAAGCAGCAGGTCCCTCGGCGCGACCTTACCTGAACAGCAACTAGAACCACCGCTACAGCACGAGTTGTTCTCACATCCCCTCTCGCCGCTTCTACAACAGCCACCTCCATAGCACCAACCTCCCGATGGGCAACAAGTTCCTGATCACCTTAAGGAGGGCGTAGCTCCAAAAGAGGAAGTGAACATACCGGCACCGCAACATCTACCACCCAAAGGACAACAATCACCACCACTGCATAGGCCATAACCCGAAGGACACGATTGGCGAGCGAGCAGCCCCGAAATAATATGATCGCGGCGAGCCACATCACCGAACCCAATCCTTGTTTCAGGTGCGTTGAAAGTGAGGGGGGTGAGCTCTGCCAGGTCAGAGCCGGTTCTGGATATGGCTAGGATTTCGACGGGGACGTGGACATCATCGTCGACAGCTTGGGCGAGGGCACGAGCAGAGCAGATACAAAGCAACCAGAAACGCATGGTGACCAGCGTTGGTCGCCTGGCGGGAGGTAAATTTATGGTCGAGGACCTCACTGCCTCCAGCACGACCCTCATTTTCCTTTCATCTGAGAAAGGGTCATTGCAAGGCCATCGTTCTCGTGATCAGGGACGGGTGTTCACTTTTGTAGAATTGAATGTAACTGTTAGGCCTTTAGGTAACTGCTGGTAACCGCTGTCCCATCGATTGTATGATCAAATGCAAACAAGAGCTAGAGAGATGGCAACATTTGGGCCAAGTTTGGGGACCTCTGGCTTCTGAGGATCTGGAAGAATTTGTGAATACGGATGTTTGAATCAAGATCAATCACCAGAGGCTTTGAAGCCAGCCGCATGGGCTGTGCAAGCCCTTGGGCGACCCTGCACAACCACAACGCGTGCTGAGTGCTACAAATGGGATGAAGTAACTGAACACGACATCCATACGACCCGTATTACAAGGAGACCTTAGACTCACTCACAGACAACGTTCATGAGTTCCGTGCGCTGAGACCTCAACCGTAAAACTTCATTCGCTCAACGTCGTCGCGACCCTCTTACTCGTTGCATCATGTCGTGACAATAGAAAGACAGTTCAGCGTCAATGGGAGAAGAGCTGATCCGGCCAAGTCGGTGTCAATGACTGGCATGTACCAAATCGTACAGTAGGGCGAAGGGTCGTGATTCAAATTAGGCCTAAATATCCATAAGCAATACTGTAATGAAATCACAGAAAAGGAAGGAATGAAGGAAGCGGACTAAAACAGGAAGAATACTGAAACGACGGCGACCCCGGTGGCTAGGCGGATGGACGCCCATTTGAGTGCTGGAGCAGAATTGTCGCTAAGACCAGTCACAGTACTTTGAGCGGCGCGGGCGGAGCTCGTGACAGCAGGGTCTGTCGACGCAACACTGGAGGTACAATAGTGATCAGCGAGAAGAAAGGCGTTGAAGTCGAAGATATGTTACACTTACACAATTTTGTCCAAGGCAAAGGACCATTGATCATCAGCTAAGGAAGAGTCTAATGAGGACCCGCTAACAGTAACTTGAATGGTGTTTGACTGGGTCGGTAATCCAGCCTGTTCAAAGCTTAAGGAGCAATTGCTGGGGATGACCAGGCTTTCGAACCCCCCGAAGGTCGTCGTCCGTCCGCCGACTGTGACAGTATATCGAGCATTGTTCGACGAGAGGCTCAGATAGACGGCGTTGCCTGAATGAATAGGTTGAGCAACACTCAAGTAGCTGTCTGTTATTCTTACCTTGGAAATCCAAGGAGAAAGACGAGAAAGGTTCTGTCGCCATTCTTGATTGCGAAGAAGAATTGCACGATGATGCTACAGACTGCCAACTGCCCCGGTATGTTATCCGTGGATCAGTGGCAGTTATATCGACAATCGATGATCCTGGTACTGGACAGTAGATGTGACGATGGGTCGTGTTGTAGCCGCAGTGGTTCGCGTCGTACGGGCAGTGGTCCGTGTAGTTGGGTCGGGGACGGGTGCTCCTGAGAAGTACCTTTGAGCAAGTTACCTCTCATAGCTAACAACCAAAACTGACGAGTAGTAGTGACATCTCCGCCGCCGCCACCACCACCACCACCACCACCACCACCGGCTGAGCCTCCAGAGGTGCAGATCTTGCCATTTTGGCAACACCCGCGACGACCGTTGGCGACGGCACAGTACGTCCTAGAGTATCCAATGGCTAGTGAGTATATTGATCGCTCTCCCACATCATGCATTACTAACCCTGGTCGGCAACATCCTCCTCCTGCGGCGCAAGAGTTGTTAACCGACGGAAATTTTCAATATAGGAAAGCGAAGCCCACCTGAACAACAACTGTAGTTCGCAGGGCAGCATGAATTCCCTTCACATCCCGTTTCACTATTCCTACAGCAGCCACTGGCGTAGCAAAAGTTTCCCACATCGCAGCAACGGCCTGGTTTTGGTCAAATCAACGGTCGAGGAAAGGAAACGCAAGGTCTTACCACCACCGCAACATCGACCACCCAAAGGGCAGCATCGTCCATCATTACAGAGGCCCCAGCCCGAGGGGCAAGATTGTCGGACAAGAAGCCCTGCGAGGGGATTATCTCTGCGATCCACATCGCCTCTAGCACTGTTCGATCTGAGTGGGTTAGAAACGAGAGGTATGAGATCTGCAAAGTCGCCCGAAGCAGAAAGTGAAAGGTGTTCGATGGGTGCACGGGCATCATGAACAGCCTGTGCGATAACGCATGACGCGTAAAGGAAGAGTACTGAGAAGCGCATGGTTTCTTAGCGGTGCCTGATTTTCACCCTTCCTTGCAGGAGGGTTTATATACATCCCTTGCATACGCAAGCGCTGTGCATAATTGAGTGGTGGGGTAGAAGCGGCGATTTGTGCTTGATATAGATTGCTTCCACCATCAATTCATCGTCAAACGGGCTGTTTGTTGGAAGAAACTCAGGAAGGACGCACCTGTAAATATCGTCCACGAACACCATGACAACTTATAGCATGCGCGGAGAATTTGCTTCGTCGATCTGCGGTTGCCTTCAGCTCAATGTCCAGAGGTCAGCGAAGGGACGTACGCGTAAATTTCAGTGAAAGTCCTGACAGTGGAGCCGGTGTAACAGTCAACTATGGGTATATACGGTTTGATCTATCAACAGAATCACTTACATCTAAGATGAAGACACCGCCCGTCTCGCCTGCCGGAACTGGCCCTGGAGGCTGGGGCTACCCCAAACCTAAGAGGACACCCAGCGAAAATGAGAGGACTAGCAAGAACTGAACCAGGAACAGTGGCCGATGGCAACCTTCACATGCCATACGTCAGGACAGGACACCGAAGAAACAATTCAATGGGCGTTGTAACATAGGATAGACCAACAAGGTCCAGCTGATTTCGGGCTACTCAATCAGTTGTCTATGCTGTGTACCAAGCAGATGGTCATCACTTACATGCTCAACCGCCGCAACGGCAGAAGCGTATCGAAAGCGCAAGATTGCACCCGGAGTGTTGTCTAAGACACGCCAGCAGCTCATTGCATCAACGGACGATCACCGCCCGAATGTCATTGGAAAATGGACGCTCAAGTGTCCATGTGAAGCGGGAGAAGATGATGAACCAGGAATAATGGGGACTACATTGGGGTAAGCCATAAATGGGGGGCTAGGGAAGGCGGTGTCGGTGGGCATCCGTGGTTTTCGCAATACCCCACACAAGATTCTCCATATGTAAGAAACATCCAATCGCCTTGGGTAGGGTGCAACTATGTGGATTGCGCTCAAATGTAGACTAGGAAGTACCTCATCAAACCGCTCACATTATTGAATCATTGTACGACTATTTCCCAAACTGCTTCCCTGTATATCAAAGTTTAATGAGCTCATTTGACGTGGTGTATCCACCCACTATGTTATATTATATGTTGTAGTGAACGTGGGTGATGGAGGGGCAGATTGTAGCTTGTAATGGCACACCCTTTGCTGTCCATCTGACCTTTGAATACGCCGCAGTATGTTCGCACAAAACCAGAACAGAGGCTGGTCAGAGATTGGCATGCCATTGACGGCCGCCACCTCCTGGATGGAATCAAGCCAGGCGGGCCCGCGATCTATACGCCTGAGGCGATGTCCTGATAGCGTTCGGGACGATCGCCACTGCGGGGACGAAGAGATGATAAGACTTTCTGTGCACATATGAGGGACAAATGAAAGGCACTCACCTGTAAGTTGGTGCTACACAAGCGCCAGCCTCATAACTTTAAGTGGCTGCCCAATACAATGTTTATTACTTGATGACCGGGAGGGATGCGGTGAATAGTTAGACATTATAATATAACTTAGCAGAGTAACGCTATATGTGATCAGGCCTTCTTGGTTCGCGTAGAGACTAGGAAAGTGGTTAAACACAGCTGGCAGAGGAGTCCGCGTCACAGAGTGACGGTTACCGGTCACAGTGCAGTCACGTGAGAAAGAAGTCGAGTTTACATTCTAAATCGTTGTGTGGGATAAGCAACAAGCCCGAATGTTTTCGAGGGTTTGGGGTTAAGAGTCTGTTTGGTAGAACTAGCTCAAACGACATAAGTGGTTGTACTGGGTAATTGCGTACAGGTACTTCGGAAACAAACGTGGTATCAAGAGAAGGGATCGTTAGAGGAAATCGAAGCAAATAAAACTACATATACAGAAAAAGAGAGGGGTTGGTAGGCAAAGGCTATATTACGGGCATGGGAGAAGTAGGACATATAAAACTACGAACAAAGCTCTGAGCAGAACGCGTGTCAAGTCATGAAGTAAGTAGGGGGGCGAACGAGGGGCGAACGAAGAACGTCATCGAGAAGAAAGAGGATCCGGTGGATATAATCATACATCTGCGACGCTGCTCAAAAGACCAGCGCGCCCTACGGCTCCAAGACCTTCGCCCGATTCGTGGGCTACTATAGAAGACGAGCCAGCTTCGGGATGATTGGCTAGTTGACCAACAACGTCGCTCTGAAGTTGCATAGGCACAAAGATAACTTTGCTGCTGGAGGATTTAGCCATTTGTTGTACTGAAAGAGAGTTAGGTTGATATTCAGGCTACCGTGAAAGTGAGGCCACATACGAGCTTCGAGTTGACGAATTTGCATGGCAGCAGGTGAAGCAAGGATATCAGCGGCTTGTCTCATCAACCTAGCTGCGTCAACCTCTGCGCGGGCAGCGATGACTTTACTTTCTCCGATCCTCTTTTGCTGAGCCGCAGATGAAAGGGAGGCGGAGACCTCAGCAGAGAATATTATGTCCTTGATGAGAATACCCTCGATAGCAACACCCCATTTGTCGGCAACATCTCCAACGATTTCGGCAATCTCAAAAGCAATAGCCTCGCGTTCAGTGACTACACTCTGCACCGCCCGCGCGCCGACGACATGACGCAGGGTTGTTTGCGCACGTTCGATAAGTGCTTGGCGCAAGTCAGTAATCCCGAATGCGGCGCGGTAGGGGTTGCATATTTGGAAGTAGATGACAGAGTCGCTAATGGAATGTCAATTTGTGAATGATCGTGAACACCTGCTGGACACGTACATTTCGACATTGACGTTATCACGAGTTCTGACAAGAGCAAGTGAGTTACGAATAATGTGACAGCAGGTGGAGTACTGACATCACTGTCTGTCTGCCAATGGGGCTGATCTGAATCTTGACATCCACGATACGGAGCGACTCTGTGCAAACGTTGACTTGGACGAGACCCGGGTCCACGGACTTGTAGAACTGTCCGAAGCGAGACACCAGTCCCACCGACCCTGTAGATGGAGTTAGAACGAGTCAAAGGAATTTTTGGCCGTCATAGAGCGCACCTTGCTGAACGTTGCGGAAGGGATTCGGGCATGGGCAGCACGGGAATGCACCGCAGAAACCTACCAGGGAGCCCAAACCCTGGAGGAGAGAACCATAAATGCCGTGGGTAACCTATCGCACGGAACAAAGAGACATGTTCAAGGGCGATTCTAGCGCGGATTCCAGGCGGATTCAGAACCACAGACGCACCTCTCCTGTTCCTAAGTCTTGGGCGTACGAAGGCTGAGCCCGGACGTGTCTGTTAGTGAGCAAAGGACAAAGAAACAAGGCAGGTAATTGACCTGCATCTCCGAGCGCTTGAGAGGCTGGACATTGATCAAATGAGTCTTAGCGTCGCCAGGCCGTCTCGGTCCTGCTGGTTGATCATCGGTCACTTCCATGAAGAATCACACTCAGAGTGTTTGCATGGAATATGGGGGAGAGATGGAATGAACTCACCGTTCGGAGCTTGGTGGTCGACAACGTTCCCACGAGAGTGAGATGATGAGGCTTCGCTCGGGGAGGGAATACGGTCCTTGCGGTCTACGCCGTTGTGCGCCCCTGACATTGTGTGATTTGATACGGCTTCGGAGGGAGGGTGCTCGGGACGGGATTTGGGCGGCACCTTGAGCAGAACGCGACCTTATATAACCGGATTCTGAGGCAGTGAGATGGTGGTGGTGCTCCGCAGCAAAGGGATTCTGAGAATCTTGTGGAGGAGCACCAACTTTGATCAGGGGACGCCCATGCCGCCTCGAACCTACCGCGGCATCACACGCTCGTGACCGGCCAAGACCCATTCGCATCTATGTTTCAGCCGTTCTGTATTCAATATTGCTTGCTGTTGAGGCTCTTTTCGTATTCGAATATTTTGGTGCGTACGCCTCAACAGCTTTGTCCCAGAGTTGAAACATTGAAAGCTGTATTTAGGTCACCTGACGGCGCGCTGTGGGCCAATCGTTACGTCGGTCAGCGACCAAACCCCTTCCATACTCTCCATCACCTCCACAGCATTCCACGAGCGTCAGAATGTCTAAGTTTTGGCTTTTGAAAGCCGAACCTGATTCCCGGATAGTCAAAGGCAAGGATGTAAAGGTCAGCGGGTGATAGCCTGACCGACCCCTCCGACGGCTGACCTATGGTAGTTCAGTGTAGATGACTTTGAGAAAATTCAGACCACCGCATGGGAGGGCGTACGCAATTACGAGGCACGAAATCTCATGAAGGAAATGAAAGTCGGGGACATGGTATGAATCTGTGTGTCTTTGACTCAGAGTCGATGACACCGAATACTCATTTAATTGGGTAATGTGCAGGCTGTATTTTACCATTCGAATTGCAAGGTTCCTGGTGTGTTGCTCACGGGACTACTTCATGGAGCAACTCATCAATCAACATCCATCAGGTATTGCTGCGCTTGCTAAGGTTGCTCCCGACTTGATCTCGGCCACACCTCGTACTGAATGTTCCTAGGTTTCCAAAGAAGCATACCCTGATTGTGAGTGAGGACAAAGCGGTTCAATACTCGGCATCGAGTTGATATCCCGCCGCTTTCTAGATACCGCTTGGGATCTGTACGTACCTCTCAATGTCGTCCAATCGGCCCTTGTCAACTATCATCGCTCAGAAAACACCCTTATTATGACGCCGTCAGTACACTGCGACTTCTTCAAAGCCAGTGGCAGCTTTTGACGGCAGAACTCAGAAAACAGACAAAGAAAACCCCAAATGGTATATGGTCGACTTGACGTTTGTAGAGCGAGCGAAGAATTTTATCCCACTCGCTCTGTTACGGTACATCGGTGATATTCCCTCAACCACTCCGCCACCCGAACTAGAGTACGTCGGAGAAGACGGTATCAGTGCCATCAAGGGTGCGTGAAGCACGAACCATCCTCTTTACCCTCATTATTAACTGCGCGGTGGCTAGGCATGGATCTAGTCACTCGCGGGAGATTGAGCGTGCAACGAGTCTCTGAGGAGGCCTGGAATACCATACAGCTTCTCGCCAAACGAGGCGGATGGGAAGGTCTGAACCTCAAATCCCCCCAGAAGAAAGCAACGAAGGCGATGGTCGAAAATAAACGGAAAGGCAAAACAACCCAACGTAAAGACGTCGATGAACAGCATGTAGCCGAGGAAGTAGCTTCTGATGCAGCGGAGACATCGCCTCCCCGCGCCCCTGGCCGCAAGCGCAAGCGAGAGGCCGCGAACATAGACCCAGAAGCTGTTGAAGGAGACTCAGAGGCCAGGCCGCTTCGACGGTCCGGACGTTTTAGGAAGTAAATGATAGGACCCGTGAAGCATGTGGTGTATCTACCTTTCGAGAATATCGTTATACATTGGTCTATGGCTGCGGGATGGCGTAGCTGAGCACTGGCTCTGACAATTTAAAAGAGGAACATAGTTCCGGGGCGCGATGCCAGCGGAGATCTCTAATTAGCTTTTATATGACCTGGTACCAAGAAAGAGGGCTGATCAGGAGTATTAATGAAGACCTAGCCCATACGGAATGCGCAGTCTTGTGTGCGAGGTTATTCTTCATGGAGCAGATATATATATATCTGTCTTCGTCGTGCGCAATACCATTCGTCATTAATCACAAATAGCTTTTCACCACCCATTAAGACTCGAGCTACCTGACCGTCGCAAAACTCACGTACCCCACAGCCTGTGTCGAAGCCAGGCCCTCAGAATATGATACCACCTGCTAGAGAGATACCTCTTTTTATATCTTCTGTCTAAGGCACTGGATAAACGTGACCTACCTGCATAATTGGATGTTCTTGTTGAACCGGAGCCCCTGCTTCACGTGATCTACTTCTAGATTCACTTGATAGGAGTCAATAGGAGGTCGGGGTTCCACGATGCTCCTCAACGAGGTGAATACTCAGCATCATTGACATACGCAGTTGAGCTAGTTTGCTTGCAGATACCAGCACTCTGGGTCTGCTGTTGAGGCAGGGTATGGGAAGTCCGTGCTCCAATTCTGAGAAACCCACAGGGCGAGGATAATCATTCAATCCTCGTGTACTTCGAAGTCCAGATAGATAGAATGGTAGCAATTATCGAGCTCTAGACCACTCCATTTTGGAGCGTATGTGAATCGACCGTGGTACAGCGTAGTATAACGGCCCATAGTCTCCGCGTCGATGCAAACATAATGAACAGCTGCTGTACGGCTGGCAACAATTTGATAATGTATCGCTAACCTCAACAGGCCCCTTCATTCGGTTCATGAGTATCTTTAAATTATTAACGCTACATCCCTTGCTAGGCTAATTGGGGGGTACAAATATATTGTCCGTAAGAGTCGATCGCGCCACTAGAATCCCATGAAGAAGACAAGACGGCACACTAATGCCACTTTTACACCCACAATCTCAAAAATACAGTGCAGAACAAGACTACCTGCGTCGTCACATGGAAACATCGATTAGACAATAAGTTACGAACGAACACGGCTAGGCACCGAGAAAATGACGGCCGAGAAAATCTATTTTCCATAGCTCATGGGTAAGCGCTTGATCATAACAACAAGGGGTGGGGCGGAGAAGAGTTCGAGAAACTCACCAATACATACACGAACCCTACCAACCAGATCGAGTTCATCACTCGACCATGGGCAGCTTTTATTCTAGCGTCCTGAACGACCCTCTCTGGGCCAAATATGGGTGGGCGTGCCAGAGTCCCATCATGGGACTCTGGATAGACTTCGCGGATTTCACGCGAGGGTGTTTTCTGATCGCCGGTTTTGTCATCTTCGTGATCAAGCGATAGGAACGGCGCAACGACAGAAACTGTCTGCGAGTCGAGGGTAGATGTTGCCTCGCGTGGTGGGAGTGGGTATGGTGTTAGCGGCTCGTCGAATTCGTGGGGCTGGGACGCCCATGGGTCGCTATGCGTTACGCTAGAGCTGACGTTGTTGGTGGTAGCGTTAATGGTGGAATCAGTATAACAGGAGGAACGGGATCGTGGCTGTGTATGGACATGAGGGACGTTGGGGCGTGAATGGGGGGTAATCACAAGGGTGGCATGGGGTGCATGTCGCTCAGAAGAGCTGTCGTGAGTCGCGTTTGATATGATCTTCTCAACGAAAAGTTTAGATTCTTCGTCGACCTCTGAGAGCTCCCAGGCATGGAGTTGAACACCATTTCGGCTCCATACCTGGTTACAGAAGCTAAACGCCACATTAAGGGGAGAATCAGTAAAGAGAGCAGGGAAGCGAAGGTAGATCAGGTTGCTCACCCCATAGAGGCAGCGTATATCTGCATTGACCCAAACCATGCCCAAGGAAGGGCAAAAAGCCTCCAAGCCCGATTTGAGGAGTTGGAGTCAGGAACCATGGTGATGATTGCCACTGCAGAAGCGACGCTAGTCAAGAGGAAAAGAACGCCGCAAAGATACCTAATCGGACATTACATTAGTATTGGTGTAAAGCATTGAGAGAACTGTAGGACACACCAAAATAACTGCTTCGGGCGATTAATGTTCGTAGTTGAAAATGCCAAAAATCGAGGTAGACTGGTGTGCTCTGTCATTTGATATATTTCTTCATAAGCAGTGAGGAACTGATTTGTCGGTCAATCAGTTTCATTGCGAGAAACGGTTCTTGCGGGGTTTCTTACCACGTCTGGATGCGTACTGGATGTTAGATCTCGCACTACAGTATCACGGATGATCTCATCGAGCGGAAGTTCTTTCACGGCGCCGGGCTGAAGGAATGTCGCAACAATACGCATGCATTCCACGCGAAAAGGTTGCTTGTCGTGTATACATTGTGATGTGTGATTCTCGTGGAGCTTGACGTGGGATCCGGTTTGCGATGATGGAAGTGTGTTATGGTCCAGTCCATGTGGGACGTTGCCATTATTTGGATCGGGTGTCGTGAAAGCGACGCCCGGTGAGGTAAGATGGAATGCAGAGGGAGGAGACGCGGACAATAGGGGAATAAGGGAAACTCGTCGAGTTGTGTACGGTGTGGCTGGCGAAGAAGGAAGCGACGGAGCGGGTGAGCACGGGGCTAGGGTGGTTGTTAAGGGGGCTAAACGATTTAAGCGAACATTCTCGGAACGCGCGTTTGGTGAGATGGAAGGTGACAGGGACTCCAGTTGGCAAGAAACATGGCATCGGCCATGACTACATTGCAGCTTTGTGAAACTGTCAAGGGCTCGGCGTTCAACGTCTGCGTGACTGAGGCTCGAGGGTGTCTGGAATTCTGAAGCGGATGGACCTGGGCTGTACGCTTTCTCGATTTCGGAGAGGGCAAAGAAGCGTCTGCGATAATCCTGGATTAATGAGGTATGTGAGTATCGTCGGTGGAACTTAATCAGGAACGGAGAAGGTTCCGAAGAATTTCGCGAAGAAAGGCAGGGTCAAAGAGATAATCGTGTGGGAACGCGGAGGGGTGTGAGGGTAGTAGGCAGCAAGATGACGAGTGCAAGGCAAGGAGGGGAGGGTGGAGGGCAACTTCAGTTCGACGACTAGCACAAACGCACATACCTGGAACCATATGATGAACTGCAGGTTTTCCAGGGAGTGCTCCTATAGATGGTGTCGGCGCCTCACCCCCTCTCACAGTGTTAAGAAAGCTCCGCACCTTGTATCTGAGGTAGGCCTCGAAGTCGGACAGACTGTTCTGCAGGTGTCACCGGCATCGCGGGATGAACAAACTTCGCGTTGCGCACCTTATTGGAGGACATGTGTCACCAGATAAAATGTGGGCTGGATAGGATCGTTCTCAGATGAAAGCATTGAAAGGGGATGCAGTCCAAGAGCGTACCAAGTGTGACTTTACTGAGATGCGACCTGATGTTGAACCTAGCAGCCCAAGGATTCAATTCTGCTGTGTAATTCTTCGACCAGCTGCCTCTCGCCATACAGCAAACCCAACGTCGAGGTGAGAGGGGGATGCAGAGATAAGGTTGGATACCAGCACGAGGAGTCGTTAAGCTTGAGGCCGGCTGCTATGGGATACGGTCTGGCAAACGCGAAATCACAGGAGGTGCATAGTAGAGAATTATAAAGAGTCAAGTGCCGATTCAACGCCCTCAGGGAAAGGGCCGGTTCCTCAAAATCTGGAAGAACTGAGGTCAACAAGCACATGGGAATTCCGTGACACCATGAATGTAGACTCGAGTTCCTGATGGCGTCTCCTGTTCTTCGTGGAAGCCTTATAATTAAAAACAGGCTTTTAACTGACTTGTATGATAGGCGACTCAAAGGCCACGCTGTTGCCAAGTGGGAGCGTGTCGAGGTGATCGTACAAGATGACGAGAGCGCTCGCCTCTGGCAAGGCGCCGCGGTGTCCCTACCGTACTGCTGGAATCAGACAACCCATTCAGAGAACAAGGACTTTCAGGGCCCGGGCGGAATCATGGTATGTGCGCGATCAGAGGCTGAACTTTGTCCACTGATCAACTCAGATGGCCGTTTCCAGGAAAATCTATATCCCTAGATGGTGAGTTCCGGAGTGCTACATCAGCGGGAACACTGTACTTCAAAGGCATCACAACTTCAACGCTTCACGAGAGGGGACGAGCTCACCACCGCGCTCATCGACCTCAAGCCTGACAATCCTCATATGTGGAATCGCAGAAAATCCACGTTCTCCCATTCATCTCCTTGCCAACTTGCCTCGGCGTGCCGTTCTTGAAGTTGTGGAGTGCGACATTGCCATGAGTTGACCACGTTCAGTCGAGCTTCCGCTCACCTCTACTCTGCTGCTCCGATGACCGTGGGTTTAGCCCGAAGGCCAACATCGGACGTGTCTTGGCTGGTAACGTTCATCAACATCATTGAGCCGAGGGACATACTCGAGGCCGCCTCAGACCAGATTCAAGGTATAAGTAGGCGTGTTCTGGAGCCAGGTTTCGAGTCGAGAAAGACCCACAACTGCACAGCGACGAGCCAGTCGGACTTGCTTGGTTTTGGACTCGCTGTTGGGATATACCTACGCTGGGGGCCTTTACGGTGCCCGGCGCGTTACAACGGTTGGTTTGACTGGGTTGCCCGATGACCATGGTAGGTTTTGCAAAGCACCCGCCATCGACGTCGGCCCCATTCGTTAACGCCATTGAGCCGAAATCCAGGGCGAATTTGCGAAGAACTTACTCGAGACTACCAACAGACGTGGATCAGATTTGAAACCACCAGCTCCTGTAGCCAGAATCGAGAAAGACATGCTCTTCATAGAACTTTAGGTCTTGCTTGCCATCCGTCTCGCCGCTGGAAGTTGCGGTCGTACTGAGAGTTCACTCTCGCCGCGACACATAACTATAGTGGAGTTTATAATGATAGGTTGCACTATACCCGGTCTACAGTTTCAGCTATACTGCTTCATCATGTGCAGTGGAACATGTTGGAACCCTGCCCCGGACCCCATTTTGATTACTGACCACATGGTTGTTGTCCACCTTCGTCCTTGGTGCTGAATCTCAAGCTTCATGGCCCGAAATAGCCCTCCCGGACGCAGCACCATGCACCGCTCTGTGCGTTTCACCCTCGTTTCACCAAGTTCACCCTACCCCAACCAGCTGCGTTCCTTCGAAACGTGATTAGTCGCCCATCAGCCGCCAAGGGATAGGCTATGACGACAACAGTATATATACCCTCCCTCTCGCTCTCCCAACTCTCTAAGCTCGGTCTTCACCTCGATAAACAAGCTAGTCTTGTTCATCTCCTCGTCGCGCAGCACAACAAGCTAGTCTTGTTCTCGCTCCCCTCGTTCACACAAAACTTGACGTTTTGCCCATTTGAATCCCTCAAATTTGTGTTCATCCTCCTCCTCCTTCCACAACCACCCACCTCACCCTCACTCACCCACTCACCTCCACCTTATCAACATGCGTGTATCATTCACCGCCGCTACCCTCATCGCCATTGCCGTTGCCGGATCCCTCGTCAACTCGGCCATCATCCCCCGCCGCGAGATGAACCGCTCTCGCGTTGACTCGCGCTACTTCAACGATCATGTTGAAGCCGCGGAGGCACGCGATGTACCTGAAATTCGGTCAGGCCATTACGATCGCGGATACGCTGAGTCGACCTACCACGCTCGTGCTCACCCACGAGACTTCGTACGCCGGGTACCAGTGGCAGCCCACAGCAATGACGACTACGAGCAGATGGAAGCCCGTGACGATCGTCCCGTGGTGGTAGCCTACTACGTACGAGGTCACGCAAGGGATTTCTCAAGACGTGGGCAGTAACTGAGTGGTATGTGTTCTCGCTCGCTGAAATCAACACACCATTCTGATCGGGATATCTTCATTTTACAGGTGCAATGTTTCAGATGTGTTGGGGTGATATTACGATCGGAAGGATATGCAATATTGGATTAGAACGACGATGACGATTGAGGACCGCCCCATTCGGTCCTACGACATGTTTTGTATATCTCCATGGGCGCGCCGATGATACACTAGATACCCTGTTGCTTCAACATTGTGTATCATCAGCTATGCTACACTGCTACGACTCGTGTAGTCATGGAATCAATATATGTTACAACTATCGAAACACTTGCGCACTCTCGCTGAGTGAGACTGCTTCATGGATTACAGGATATACCTGAAACCCTTGGTCGTAACTCCTCTGCGCTGCTCGTCTAGCTCAGCCCGCCGATTCAGCCTCGCTAAATGCCACCTGAAGATCCAACACATGATGATCGTGCACCCCGCCGTTGCGATACATATTCCGTACGAGTTGCGGTAGGTGGGACCCCAAGCTTGCGGCCATACATACGAGCCAGCGATGTTTCCTAGCTGAGAGAATGCGTTCATCAAAGCCAGAGCTACTGCACGCTTTGACGGAGGCCGAGGGAATGAATTGCGGGGATGGTAGTGGGTGTCGTACGGCGACACCTGGTTGCGTGTAGGGGAGGGCACACGATCCGTGGGGAGTTTCTAGGCTGGGACTGACCCAGGGAAGTTGGCTGCGTTCCCATCAACCTCAGCCTCTAAAGTGCCGACAAGCCTCGTGCCTCTGTCATTGTCACTGAGATTTACCAAAGCTGTCTTCGCGTAGTTTCGTTAGTTTTTGTAGCTATGAACAATCAGTTATTGATATATTGAATCTTGTACCAATCCTGGGCCTATTTGAATCGTACACAACCCTCGGATATGTGATCCCCTAATACCTATAGTGAGCTACTGAGTTCTCGCGCTGAGGTTTTATCATTGACGAGGACTCTTCGCTCCAGTAATTTGTTCAAATTTTGTCTTGCGACTGAGCACCGCCGCCGGTCACATAATCTTGATTCCAATGCGCCGCTTTATTCTGAACGGCCATCACACGTTTCACCACAAACCAAAATGTCAAAGTCTTTCTTCTTCCTTTGCCGGGAAAAGCCTTCGATGAGAGCAATCCATCTCAGAGCGGATCCTGAGCTGTCTGTATCTGAACTTGCATTGCAATTCTTCCGCCAGTTCAACGACTATTTCGCCATGTCGTCTGCACCAGGTGAATGGGAGATCTACAAGTTCAAGAAGGAGGTAAGTGATCGCCATTGATGCCTCTGAGCGTTTTCTGATAATACTAGGTACGTATATCCCGGGAGACCCGTCCTCCGTACACGTTTCCCGCAGACCTACACGAAATCGCCGATTATCTCCATGATGCCACTGAATTGTCCTCACTTCTACCTCGATTACAAGAACAGGATAAATACTATCATGGAATCATCTCCGTCAACTCTACGATCCAGCCTACAACCCACAATACCGAGGAGAAAGATGTACTTACAGAGTTACGCAATGGTATGTGGTGGTTCGCTGTATCTGCTCCGTGTCATCTGTTGACTGTCGAATTGGTTGTCAAGTTTATAACACTACCATTGCACAGTCTCGTAGAAGCCAAACGCCTAGCGAGATCTCCAAGTCCGCCAATTATCGTCGGAACCAGGCTACGAAGGAGACCTTGTTGTTGGATGGTAGATACGATTTCCGTGACCCTGCCAACACTACGGCACCCCCTGTAGAGCTCTACAATCCCGCATTCTCTCAGTTTCTGGCTGACATTGCCGACCCCACCCTGGAGGTCCCAAAGAAACTCATCCCCAAAGTGGCAAAGCTGATGGATCTCGCCTCCGCGATTTACAATGCGGAAGAAACCCGTAGGACGAAGCTACAGGGACCTCTCAACGATGTGATGGATTGCGCCTTAGCAAGAGTAACAAACTCTGACGGCACGGCTCCAGACGCTACAGGCCTTCACGTCCTCCTCAAGACAACGAGCCAGGCCGCGGCCATTTGCATTGAAGAGTATCAAAACGAGTACGGTGAGGGATCAACTGATGTTACCACACAAGCTTCCTTCTCGATGCAGCGTATGTGGAGTCTTCCTGAAGTGAGTTCCAAAAAGTAGTATGGAAGTCCTACATAACAAACTGACAATTATGCAGAATAATTTCATTCGGGAGCGTTGTTGTTGCCCCACATTCCTTATTGCAATCGGGGGACCATGGTTCGGGGTTCTTGGTGCAGTCCTTACGCACAAATGCATCGTACAGCGCCTCACCGATCTCGCCTGGCTTGGCCTCAGCACGCCTTTGGAAGAGCAACACTGCATTCAGCTCTCCAAGCTGTTCTACTCTCTCGCTCGCGCCCTCCATCGCCTTCGTGAGTGGTACGACACTGAGTTACCTACTTTTTCCTTGGCGGAAGCACCATCCCACCCACGCTTCTTCCCGTCTATCACCTCTTACCCTTCTCCTTCTGGGAATGTGGTCTTTCGCTATCTGCGGCCGCTGGAACGCGACAATGCTTGCGTCGCCTTTCTCGCGGAAATCGTTGAAGGTCCGGAATGCTTACTCGAGCCTTCAAAAACTGATGAACAAGGACAACTGATCGTCGTCAAGTTCGCAGCGCGGTACTGCGTTGAGGCCCATCAGCTTCTTGCTGATATGGGCATGGCTCCGAAGCTGTTTCACTGCGGCCAAGCGCAACCAAGACGCCCAGGTCTGCTCCTAATTGCAATGGAGTACCTCAGCGGCACCACAGTCAATGGTCTCACTGCCGACCAATGGCAAGCCTGCAAAGTCCAATCCAATGTGGGCAACATTGTCAAAGTTTTGCATGATAACGGTCTTGTGTTCGGAGACCTTCGCACCCCAAACATCATGTACGTGAACAGTTCGTTCAAGTTGATCGATTTCGATTGGGCAGGGAAAGAAGGCGAAGCTCGGTATCCCCCTTTCCTATCAACTGGTATTCCTTGGCCTCTTGGCACGCAGCCGTATGCTTTGATTACTCGAGAACATGATATGGAATGGCTCCGGCGACTTGGATGATACGTAGGTACTCTTTGTATGTGTCGTGAAGCCACAAATATGAAATCATTCCACATTCTATGAAATACCAAAGTCTGTCAATTCGGGTAAAAGAATACCTCAAACTGCAAGACCGCCCGCTATGGACATACTTTGCGGACAGAATATTAGCCCAAAATGCATGGAAAAGCGACGAGAATGTCCCAGTGAACATGTTCCTACAAAACTGGCGAGCGAAACTGAGCGGGGCATCAGAATCATGTCCGAAAGAGCTACAATCTATGGTCTCAACAGCGCTGAAATACGGCACAAGAATTGAGGCGTCTCTTAGAAAGTACATTCAACGCCAATTACGATACAAGCTCTTTGCGACAGTCTAGTTGATCAGCGAGATCATATGTTCACACGCTCAGTAAACTTGAGCTTGCAGCCTTTCGTTGGCGCTCCGTCTTCCCGCTGTCTTCTTGGTCACCGGCCGTGTTCATTCAGTATGCCCATACCCAGATCGTTTGCACCACGCTGGCTGTGATATGCAACATAATTGATAAGTACTAAGTGTTCTTATTGCCGTTGCCGAATCCTAGGAAGAATCTTGTGAGCAGCGCACCAATGAAGCTAAGACGATGTTCAACAAGGCCCTAGCTAGATACCCAGAATAACTATTCACCTTTTCGTCATGCCTGTATATCACCACGGCGAGTCGCGTGCGTATACGCATCAGAAACAAAAGAGAACGGACCTGTCAACGTGGAGATCATACCCCACATGATCATACAGGCGGGTAAGTATATAGACGGTTTGCCGATCCAGTTGAGGAACATGTTCCTGCAATCATTGGTCCATTAAAGACACATGTACATGGAGATAGGAAATGATGGTAACGAACGACGGAATTTGCATGATGATGTATCCCACATATAAGATAGACAGGAGAGTAGGGAATTGCTGGCCTTGCAGATGCAAGTCGGCCTCGAATCCGCGTAGCCACGCGGTGCTGGAGAACAACCACCTCAGAACGGCAGGCTGAACGGAAGGGCATGAACGTACCCTGCATTATTTCGGTCGATCTGAGAGGAGTGTCAGCCTGAAGCAATTGAGATATGACCGAGATATGTGTACATAATTCAGGATGTAAATGACGATCAAGATGCTCATACGAAGATCGATCTTCCACAATAATTTCTTCTCCAGAGCAACTCTGGCAGCGTGGCCCCCGAACTCGGCGTCGGGATCAGAGTCCTCAATCGAATCTTCCGACCGATGATCGTGCATCGGGATGGCCTTATCGTCATGTCATGAATAACATCGGAAGGCATAGCTGTTGAAAACCGGGGGATTCAAGGCGTCAGTAAGTTGGGGTGGGTTGCATGCGATTGCAAGACTCACATTCTCCCAGACTTTGAGTTGGGAGAGGCCTTCACGAACCCTATTCATGGCCCATGGGGAATCTACGGGAAATTTTGGCTTCAGTTGTGCAGCATGGAGAACTAACCATGGTGCACTTACCGTTAAGTAAGGGCTATGCTAGAGTCTAAGCAATTAATATTAATGGGCACAGTAAGATTCAGCACTTCTCGCAGATCGTTCACTGGATGGAATTGCTAAAAGCAACATTGTGACCCTGTGACTCTACATTTTCTGACCACTTTCAGGGCTCGCTGATCTGAAAGTTAACGTTCGGTACTCAGTTGGGCGACTTCCACTCAATATAAGTTACATACCACCATGTTCAACCCTTTTCTCCGCGTTTCCCGAACCGTGATTCATCAATTGCCTTGTCACTGCACGGTAATTTAGAAGGCTCACTGGGGCTTAGCGGCCGCTCTTACACGACAGTTCTCTTTGTTTGGGCTTCTTATGTATATTTTACTAAAACGGCTCACCAGGTTCGTATTGGTGTTGGATGTTTGAGACCAATCGATGCATTGAACTACTCGTTTCCCCAGCAAGCTAGATAGATGCTGTAAGGGCAACCTCAAGATAGCCGCACAGTGCAAGCCTAGCAGAGGGAGAATCCAAAGAGATGAATAAGACTAACTGCAATACATGAGAGAGCTGCTCACCTAGCAGAGGGAGAATCCAAAGAGAACAGGATAAGGATTCTCCATGCTAGGAAGCGAAGTATATACTGTAGTAGCGTGGGAGGAATGAAGGGTAACTGTACAGTACACCAGCCACAGGTACGAACGAATATCACAAGGTATGAGGGGGCATGTGATAATGAAGTGGAAGGGGAATGTACAGGAGTCGTGCCAGCGACCTGGGGAAGTGGGGACAAGGAGTAATGAAGTGGGAAAGGAGGATAGAGGTAGCCCGGACAAGCCCCAAAGTGTATCTACGAGTCCGAGCAAGTCCGAAGTGTCCGAGCGAGTCCGAGGCGAGTCCGAAGCGCGGGAAGACTTCGGAGTCACCGGACGGGGCTCGGATGCGAAGGGAGTGAACGGAAGGGAAGCGGAAAGGTAAGGGGGCGAGAGGGAAGGAAAGGGAATGAAGGGAATGTAGATAATAGTCCATGGGATGAAGGAAGGGAGAAAGGAAACGAAGGAGGAAGGGAGAGGGACAGGGGAATAGGAGAAAATAGGAGTGTCCCCTTACAGATGCCGGGCCACTCTGAAGATTATATGTGAAGGGACCAATGGTCCGACTCGTACGCCTTGTCCTGACGTTTGACATGTGAGGATGGGTATTATTCTTGATCCAGTCCTTCTTCTTGATTATCTCAGATCTGTTTAGACCCCAGGTGCGGGTCCGCGATGGGAGAACGGTGGTGTCCTCACCTTAAATGTAAGTAAGTGTTATATCCCCGGAGTTCACTGTCGCGGTGGATATTCTGCTCCACTGTGAAAACTTGAATCGAGCCCTGCTAGTAGGTATGACCCTTTTCATGCTGAACTGAAGGGAGCTGCAGATTGATCAAGCAAATCACCCGTGTACATGCTGTGGGTCGTTATGGTATTTATTGAAGATATCTGTAGGTGAAGATCCTCGAACAAACACATCGTTTGATGATGATTGATAGTAGAAAGCAATCTATATCAAGCACACATCGCTGCTTCTATCCCGCCACTCAATGCGTGCAAATGGTGTATATAACAGCCCTCCTACCTCGGCAGACAAAAATCAGACATTGTCGACTTGAAGAAACTATGTACCGCGCGATACTCTTCATCTATGCCGTGTGCATTCTTGCACAGGCCGTCGAACAACCATCTATGGACGCCAACCTTGCAGAGCTCACCCCTCTCTTCTTAAACCCACTCATATCGAACAGTGGTAGAGGCGGCGTAGATCGCCGAGATAACCCTCTTGCAGGCCTACTTGTGCGGCAATCTTGTCCCTTGGGTTGGGGTCTTTGTAACGATGGAGTATGCTGCCCTTTGGGTGGTTGATGCTGTGGCGGCGGTAAGGCCTTTCGCTTCTTTTCAATAACGTCCACTGACTCTCCGCTCCCTGACTTAACCAATATCAGGAGAATGTTGCGATCCTGGTCAATTTTGCTATGCCGGTGGCTGCTGCAGAAACAGCGAAACGGGATGCGAAGGAAATACGTGCTGCCCCGCGAATTACAGTTGTTGCTTAGGTAGGTATTGAACTACCATCCTCAGATTTGTTCAATAGGTTAACAACCACGACTAGCACTACATCTGACATTGCGCCCAATACCACGCCGACCATCACGCGAACCACTGCGTCGACTGCGACTACCAGTACGAGCCCTGTACGATCCATCACTGCCACCGCTGTCGTTCCCTCTCCCATACCATCATTAGGCTCGTCGATGGTCGAAATACCAGCCACCGATCCACAGATAACTTACCGAGGTAGCTGGATATCTGTAACTTCGTTGTGCAATGCTTCGTCGCGATCAAGAATGGCCACAGGACCTTCCTCGTCTTTTTCCTTCAATTTCCAAGGTAAGAAGAAACTAAATTTACTTGAATGCCATTCAACTTAGCCGTTCAGGTGATGCTGTCTATCTGAGCCTTTCGTCGTACAATGCTTTGTATAACGTCATGGTTCGTGGACAAACGACAACTTTTGGGGCGTCCGACAGTCGTGTTATCCCAAGTAACTGTTCGCTCAGTTTTGGGCAAGCTGCGTTACAGGGGCAGTCGAACGCCATTGAAGTCATCGTCAGTGGTTCCTCCCTAGACTCAGCTGGTCAATGGTCCTTTGCCATGGAGAAGATTGTGTAAGTGTAGTACATCTTTTGGATTTGGTGCCTGATTTCCGCTGATGTGGCTAAACAGTGTTGCTTCGACATCTCCTCCCCCTGCTCCCAGCAATAAGTCTCCTTCAGCAATAATTAAATGGGTGACCGCGACTATAGGAGCAGCCGTTGTCTTAATATTGTTGATGGTTTAATTTTGCTTGTGCACCTACTTATATTGAATCTCGCCCCTTTGCGCTGTCCGCATATTACTTGGCACACAAGTCAGTTGCACTCAACGTGGTCGGGTTCTGCTTCCTCTATTATCTCGGCATGATAAAATGAGTATGGATAATAAAGGGAGCAGATGAGGGTCCAAACCAGCGTTACGAAAGGATTCTTAAGCCAGCTGCTCCCATCTGCAATCTAAGATATCTTTCAAGCACATACAGCACATACAGATGACCCGACGTATAGTACACAGCAATAACGCAGCCGCCGTATAGCCATAGATTTAATCCACGGCAACCCCCAAACCCCAGAGCACGACGAGACCTCCAATAATGGAGGGGATTACTATACGGAGGAACCCAGCCAGCCATCTCCAAGCGGGCGGCGTTGTGTTAACGTTAACCTCAGCCGCCTGTGCCCATTCCTCTGCTTCCACGATGGATGGCATATTGCCCGGCATGGCGCCCGGCATATTCGAATTTCGAGGGTTGATCACGTGGCGTAGATTCTCCTGGTCCCTGGACGCAACCAGCCAAAAGTGACCTTCCTCCTCCCCATGAGTGGATGCCTCGCTCCACCGTGGATTTGCGATAATGGTAGAATGAAGGCCGCTTATGTCCGCGACCCCCTGAGCCATCCGAATGTTCTGCCCATGAACACTGAAGGTGAGGGCGGCAAGGTTGGCATACCCCCCAATCCTTTCAAGCATCTCTGGCAATGTCATCGGGGGGGATGGTTCATCGTCTCCTCCATTGTCCAGGCTTCTCTCAATACCTCCAGCGTGGATAGCTCTACCATCGCCATCGCAAAGGTCTGTTGATTGCCATGAGTCCAGGGAGTCCTCGCGAGGCAGAGGCCTGTAGGGACTGGGGAACGTCGCGTTGGGATTTCGCCGATACATAGTTCCATCCGGGAGCATGCATAATTCCTGTGGTTCTGCTTTGACGGGGTCGGCAGGTACGCTTTCCTTGCAGTGGAAAAATGGACTCGGCGTCTGCTTTGGAAGAGGGGAAGGAGATTGAGGCGGTGTGGGTGTCTGCACGATATCGCTTTCAACCTCTTTGGTCTCAACGTCCTCAGCCTCGCAGGCTAGTTTCCTGCCCTCCCTCGGGTGGCCCGCCATGGGCAAGTGGCACTTTCTACATCTCGGCCGTTTGCGGCAAGAATGAGGGGTGATCATGTCGCCCCGTGCCCGTGTACTTGAGATTGTTGTCGCTTCGAGACTCGTAATTTGGACGATTTCAGCGCTGAAAGTTCTACAGATGAGTGTGGAGTTCTTAAGGAGGGGCAGGGGGTTGTGATACAAAGTTGGCACAAAGAAAGATGGCCCATGCAGCTGTGCATCACATAAACAACGGACGCGCCCCAAAAGTACAACAGTCCCATGCCTGTCAAACGAGCACAAAACGTTGGTGATTGTGACGTTGGATCGTAAATTTAGCGGAAGTTTGTTCCTGAATAGGTGATAGTAGTCGTACAGAAGTGTGAGCTCACAATAGGTGTAACTAGGGAGAAAGTCGAAGTCGTAAAATGCGTCAAAATATAGGTCTGCAGACTAAACTGCAGCCTGCACGACTAATAGATCTGCGGAGACTCCAGTACCCACAAAGGCGGCCCCTACGTCTCCTAATGCTCGAGGGAGAGCAGTGCCAATCGACTGATTTCGCTCAGTCAAGAGTTGTACCAGTTCCGCTTGATGAGATTCGACAGCCATACGCCGCGAACGCCCCAAGACCGCGATAACATTTCGAGAATGCGATCGTGAAGCGTCGATTATTTCATTAGTGCGGTCGATGATAGTGTGCAGTGGCTTTCCCGTGCCTCTAACATCAAATGTGATGCGAGACAGTGCGGAGGCGATATGCCTAGAATGCTGAGAGGATGAACCAGTGAAGCGTTCCCATATGATATTATCCGCTGTGTCTGACTGCAGACGGGTCTGTGTGTTTTGAACTCCGTAGACAGTGTCAGCGGCGACGGTCTGCACAAAATTTCAGCATGGATGCCACAGCACGAAACAGAGATGATAACGTACATTGTGAGCGAGAGCCAACTTGGGATCTTGGTTCGTGGTTGTTGGCGTAAGACCATCATCGGCTATGGTTTGGATCCGTATTACGGTGGCTTTAACGGAGGGATTTGCGCAAAGCTGTACGATGAGGCTAAGCGCCAGGCGATCATCTGGTCCTCCGAAGAATGGCAAGAATAGATGCTGCTCCGCAGTATTGATATACGAGGAAGGATGAATGCCGCGATCCACAAAGACGGCAACATCGGTCGGCGAAGTTAAGAACACCTTGCGAACGAATTCGGAGTACACGACAGAATTGGTTTGATCAAAATTGGTCCATCGGAGGCTGGTCGTAGAAGAATTCGCAGCTTCGGCATGTATTCCGACATTGGTGTTGCACCATGGGAGTATGACCATCTGTGAGTTCGTTTCGATGGCGTGATCTGAAATGGCTGATGGAAATTGCTCGTTGTTAACAACGGAGAGGGCCGCAGTTACGGACAAACGGTTTAGACGTCCAAAGGTCCTGAAGACACCAATGATGGGATCGTTCCACAAAAGCGTCTCAGCTTCTTGCGATTTGAGGACGGCAGAAGTACGATTGGTCAACTCGATGAGTCGCAGAGTGTCGATCGACACTGCGGATTGAGAATGAGAGTCTTCTGCTGACTCCACGCCTGCCTCCAAAGCTTTGCTACTCAGCTGCACAGTAGATGCCGCTGATGTGGTAGGACCTTGCAACAACTGGGAGAGGGTCATCGCAATGGGGAGCTGTTCGAACCTCTCCAAAACTAAAGTGAATCTAGTCTTGTGTTCTTGCTGGTCAATCGACCCACGACGGCCTGTACCCGATTCGCCGCTGTCGGGGACTCCAGCCTTGATACCGCTGTGTTCATGTACACGCACCCTCTCTGGGTAGAACACAAGGACGAGCGGTGTGGTGATGAATGTCAATACTAGGGCGTGGACGACGAACATCGAGAAAGTGCGGGGATCGAGGATATTGGCTTGCAAACCGATGTTCAATACAATCAGCTCGACCAAGCTGACAATAACATAAATCAGTTATCGTTAACTCGGGACTTTATCACGACATACCCTTTGCAGGACATCAGCGAGCCAATGGCAGCCGATTCACGCCAATTGAAGCCAAACGCCTTAGCAGCGGCGCCGCAAGCGAAGAATTTCGCGGAGAATGCAACTACACAAATGAGGATGACATAGCCCCAAGTCCTGCCATCGTCGAGCAGGCCGAGATTGGTTCGTAGGCCTGACAAAGTGAAGTACTAAGAACAAAGGGATTAGATAATTCCTATCTCGCCAATGTGGTACAACTCACAAGCGGCAAGAAAAGGATGGAAACGAGGTCTTCTAGCTTCTCAACCAAGGAGATAGCGTAGCCATTCTCATGGGGGATGATGAGGCCTGCGAGGAAACCACCGAAGATAGCATGAACACCGATGATGTCGGTGAAGAACGCTGATCCGAAGACAACGAAGATAGTGATTGTCATCATGAAAGGAGTCGGCGCGCCTTGCTCCAAGCTCCCCGTCCGGCGCGCAAGCCAGACATAACCCCACTTGCCAGGATAGAGGAGCAGAACAACGAATCCTGCACAGCATAGAAGCACCCAGAGGGCCGTAAGACCGCTAGATGCGTTGACGAGGGCGACAGTCAAGGCCAACAGAATCCAGCCAATGACGTCGTTGCCTACGCCGGCGGACAGGACGACGACACCGACGGAGGTATCGAGAAGCTTCAGTTCCGTCAGAATACGGCACAGAACCGGGAAGGCGGTTATGCCAACAGCAACGGCTATAAAGAGCAGGAAATATCCAAAGTTGACGGTGTCGCTTATAAACTCCCTGTAAACACCAACACCCAGGGCAGCGCCGAGACCGAGGGGAATGACAAGGCCAGCAATGGATACCGCCGAAGATGCGCGAATGTTTCGTTTCATAATCTTGGTATCAATTTCCAGTCCGACGAGGAAAAGAAACAGAATCAGGCCAATCGTGCTGGTCAATGAGAGCATGGCCATGCCCTCTTCCGGGAAGATTCTTTGACGAAAATGGGGAATGCGCCCCATGACTGTTGGACCAAGGATCACGCCGCCAATGACCTCTGCAATAACTCGAGGTTGTCGGATACGCCCTAGGAATAGCGCAAGAAACTGGGACATTGAGATAATAATAACTGAAGGGCGGGCCGTGCCATGAGCTCACAAAATGTCCAAAAAGTGCCAGTAATTACTCACCAACTTGAATGATCCATAACCTTATAGGATTTTGCGCATTGTAGTGTGTGGGGTTATCGCCAGAAAGAACACCGCCCTGCGAAATCCATTGAGTCTCACTGCGCCATGAGAGGGGCTGACCAAACGTACCTGCTCTGAGGCGGCTCTTCCAAATATCGCATGTGCAAATTCAACGGACCTTTGGGTGAGCTCGCCCATGATGGAGAAGAGGAAGAGAGCAATCAGTCCCTAACTGCATCTTTATATGTTGTATCCCTGGAACACTCGATCAATGGTGGGCCCTGGCGGCAACTCCATTGATCATTCCACATGCCAGCTGCGTATCCTCTGAACATACTCTTTCGATTTCCTCCTTCATGGAAAGCTTGTCGCAATCGAAAACGAGGAAAGCTTTTCTGACGCACTTCCTATCGAAATTCACTGTGCTAGGAGTCTTCGAAAGCCAGGCATTGCTATCAACTATTGGCCTTGGCGATAAAGGGTCCGGTAGCATGTAACATGTAACGTTGGAGAGCGAGATTCGAGACGACCATCAGCATACCTTGGCACACCAGTCTTGGCTCTAACTCAGTGAAGTGAGGTCACCAGAAGCCCCCCTCACGAGACCGTTCATTACACGCTGATCTCATTTGCAGGCAGAAGCAGGATGTGTGAACTTGACTGTGTATTCAAGGTCTGTTCTAATTAAGCTAGACCGGAACGGAACCCTGGAAATCGATGGGGCTCCACTCAAGAATCAGAACTACATCCACGACAACCTAAAAGTAGAAAAGTGAGCTCCTGTGCTGCCAAGGCGGCTTTAAACGTACCACAGTGAACACATTCAACAATGGTGCCGGAGCGGACCTGAGCTTTAGGAACTCTGCATATACAGGTGGAACCTTGGTAATTCATGTCCTGACCACGGGCGTAAGCGTCGGGGAGGAGGGAATACTGCCATGAAACGCACTCTGGTCTGTATGCAACGTAGGCAGCAAAGCTTCTCATAACCTGACTTTTTCCACTTTGCAATAAGGCTAAGAGCCCTTAGCCAGCCACCAGGAAGCGCAAGCTGTGCTACACGTACTTTGCGTCGGCGTAGCCTTCCTTCAACAGCCAGTCGTAAAGCTCTTTCGAAACGGCCTCCCTCTTGTAATAGAGCTCATAGATGTACCGCGAGCGCGCATGCGAAAGTCGCATGATGGGCCACAATGACTCCGATTTACGCTTGCCTTCGTGCGACTCATTTTCAGCATCCCTCATCTTCTTAGCATAATCATCGAGGACCTGGGAGGAATGGTATGTGGGCACTGCAAAATCATAGATGGAAGGAACGGTCGTACATACAGACTCGATGTCTTCGAATCCCTCAGGCGGCCTTTTGGTTCGAGTCGTCTTGATCTTGGGCATGGTGGGGTTGTGGTGGCGAACGACAACGACGTTTGCAGCGCGCGTCTGGCGCACTGAAAGTTGCTTATGTAATCACGGCCTCATTGAAGTCTCCCAACATTCAGTCAGGGTCGTGTCGTTTCAGTGAACATTGACAACATCCTGCGCGACGGCAAGGCTCTCTGCTGGCCACTGCGCATGTTGAACACCGCATTTAACCCTCAACCACTTTGACTTGCAACGGCCCCAAAGGCGCTCGACCATCCAACTAGTCTATCCACCTTCTCGTCGATCAACAATGCCTCTCGTGGTCCCGCTCCTGCGCATCGTCATGGTGTTCTTGAACGTGTACGATTCGTTCAAGACACTCAAGGCGCCCCCGATTTCGTCTCGCACTGGGGGACGCTCGAGCATTAGAGGGAAGACGCAGAGAAAACGCGACATGAAAGGCTGTCTGGCCGTGTGGGTCGTTTGGGTGAGGATACATGCCGGCTTTGAAACGCAATCACTCTGACAAGTCTCTGCTTTCCTCATCTCATCGTTTGCAGTGCTGTTTTGTGTCATACGAACGTTTCCTTGAGCGTGTCGTTAGCCTATTCATTCCATTCTACGACGAGATGAAATCGCTGGTAATGCTATTCTTAATATTGACCCGCGCCAGAGTGAGTGCAGATCCTATGCACTGCAATACTCGTGAAGCACCGTGTCTAATTCTATTTTATGCGTGTAGGGCGCGGAACCTATCTACTTGCATGTCATACGACCGCTGCTCAAACCCTACACGTCGACGCTCGACATATGTCTTGACCTCGTATGCATGATCGGGGACATGATATTCACAGCCTTCATGATGCCGATTCACCTGTGTCTTCCCTACTGGAATTATTTCTTCGGCAATGGCTCCGAGGCGACTGGCGTCCATGGTGCTGCTTCCACGGCCTCACTGCTGAACCCGGCTACCCACTGCCTTTCCGTTGAATCCAACGGGCACGCTAGCAAGCAAGCCAATAAGCTTCGCCCGCCCGCTTCTAAGAAATCCAGTCGAAGCCTGATAGTTGCCGACTCAAAACAACCGACGGACCTTCGTCGCTATCCCGCATCAGAGATAACGCGTGCTGGAAATTCTGTGAGATCTCAGACTGCCGGCGCAGGTACATCGAAGAAACCAACTGCCCTACGTCCAAAGAACTCTCGCGTTGCCTCTCAGCCTCAGCCCCAGCCCCGTCCACGATCCCAGCGGAAAACGAGCGGGTCCGTCTCGGAGCCTCAGCCTGCGGTGTGGCAGCCGTCTGCTGCTTATCAAGATTCTGACGAGGAAGTCCGAACATCAGCGCCGTCTGATCCCACCGCAACGCCGCAGACGCCTGCTCATGCGACTACAGTTTCGGGACTACCGGTGACCGCCGAAGAGCAAACTGAGGAATGGAGGAAATATCCTCCATTGCCCTCTGCCTACCCACCGACCCCTCTTGTGGTCGCTGCCCCCCTCACAGCGGCCACTTCGGACAAGCCGGCTTCCGATGGTGTTCTCCCGATCATAGAAGAGCCCAGCGAAGCATCTGACAATGAGGGTCACGTAAATGATCAAGAGCCCGCTCTTGAACCGGAGGAAGACATCAGCAGCGATGAGGACGACAGTGACCAGGATTTTGATGCCACCATGCGAACGCCAAGAAAGAATCGGCTAGCAGGCGCTGGCGTGTACAATGATGACGCGGGAATGGCATCCTCTGCCTCGTCATCATCGTCAAGCATTCATTCGCGGTCGACGACATTAGATACCATCGACAACGCGTCGTCCTTACGGACAGGCACGACATCCGAGTCCGAAGCCCTGTCGTTCTCGGATTCTTCCTCAGGCACGAGAAATCGTTTGCATTCAAGAACCACGGCTTTCAAAGCAGGAAATGGGAACAAGGTCCTCGAGAAGGCCTCATCGAAGACTTTGAACGGGCGATCGACGATTCGTGCCAAATCTCAAAGCCAAGCTTACATGGTTAAAATGTCTCAACAGCAGATAGTTCGCTCGATGAGCGTCTCCACCGTTAGCGACGATGACTCAGATGCCCCTCCCCTCGGCGATGAGAATACGGAAACGAGTTCTCTTGTTGATACAGCCGTGAAGGCGAAAAGGCGAAAAGTCCTCCCTCTACGGAACCCTCCATCAGCGAACGGCGCTCGTACGACTCGTGCAGCTGCTAAAGGCCGCGATGGTAAGATTGCTGTTGCGAAGGAGAAGGCTCCGACAGAAAGGATCAAGTCTTCAGGTCCCAAGCCACGAGCAGGCAGGCAGGCAGCTGTTGTTCCCCAGACACGCCCCGTTCAATCAGCGGGAACGTCTGGAGAGACGGATGAGCCACAGCCACCATCGCAACGGACAATTAGGAGGTGATGTTCCGTCATCAATTCCTCGTGCTTCTTCCCCTTTGAAAGTTTGTCTCAGTTTAACATTCTCTCTGCTATCGCTTAGCCGTTTGTCGGTTTTCCATCTTACACATAGCACGCAATATTAGCATATGGGTTTACTAGATGCGCCCTAACATATTGGAATCAATGAAAATTTCGAAGATATATTTATTTACCACCGTGGCTGCGTTGCTCGCGTACCGAAATGTTAATATCTAAGTTTAACTTCAGCCCCCAAGATGCCGGGTCGTATTTATTTCGGGACCGGGTAGCTTGGTAAGGAGGCTCAAACGGCGTTGGCACTGGTTTTGCAGCCTTGGTCAACCTTCCGGCGTATTTACTGCTATTCGGAACTCGAGCTAATTGCTTGGATATAGTGCGAATATGTCCGTCAAGTATTAATCGACATCCCAGCACCGCCCCGGATAACTCTTACCTTGACGTATGTCTGATGTAGGCCGCCGCTTTGGCTATGTACCCGCATTACAAGCACATTGTGTTGGTTATGAATTACTTCCCGGATGCTACATACAGTTACAGAGCAACGTGCTAGCCGTTCGATCATATGTTATCGTGATCGGATCGTGAATGACCTGCTCCGATGCTTACTGTGTATACGCCCTTGATCAATGGAACCACGCAGCATACGCGAGTGCTAGTTGTGTCAGTGATCAGTGATGGAAGATTTGCTGTAATGATATGATATGAAGGCACGAGTCCTTCACAAGGCAATAACAACGTGGATTTCGAATTTCGAAATCAAGAGACAGTCAATCAGTGCATGGGATAGGCACGGAGTCAACAGCAGTAGACTACAAGCTGATGGATTCCTTTGGTACCATAGAGATCTTGAGAATTGTGCACCGTGGGTCTATGGCGCCAGCCGTGGTTGTCTCGTTGGTACTGCGCAGACTACGCAATGTTTTTCATTGACGCTGTGTCGTCCTATGAAATTGTCGCAGGAGCGTGCAGAAAGCTGCATTGATTTCCCCTGCGTTTCAAGGAGATTGTAGTACAGAGTTGTTGTGCATTGCCCAGGGCGTCAAGATCTAGGCGCCCAACACTGCCTTTTGCGTCACTGGCTTTGATCAGCACGCCCTTGCCAAACAAACATGAATTTCCACCAATCGGGAAATGGGCCACTTTCACACAGCCGAGTTCAAGTCACTGACTGCACCACTTACTCACCTCCGGCGATGCGCACACACTGTCGACACCAAGGCTCGACGTTTACCGTTTGTCCCCCATGCGGCCTGATGCAAAGGGAGGCCTGCGGCTAGGGCTTTTGATGAGTTTGGACTTTCCAATTCGATAACTCGGCTTTCCAGGACGGTGCTATGGTTCGGTTCTGTACACATCGGAATCAAGCATTTGCGATTGAGGCTATGTGCCTCGAGTCCCCCACGCGTCCAGCCCTTTCGTTCCTATATACCTCACCATGAAATCTTCTGTGATATCACAACCCATACGAGGTCATGTCATCCACTGCTTGTCGCTCAACGTCCAAGGTCACCAAGACCCGGGCACCTAAGAAGGCTGCACAGAACAAGAAGATCCCCCGCAAGATGAAAGACATGATGGATGTTCGTATACCTTTCTACTCGTCGCCACACTCGATCACTAACCTACCCTTTTCTAGTCCAACGCGGTATGGGGCCAAAGATGGTTCCGCAATGTGGACCATGCCAACGGCGGTGAACAAGGGGAGCTTGATCTTGGATCTACATCTACCTCCTCGGCTCCCACTATCTCCAAGTCGCCTTCACCAGACGCCATAGCAGTGACCGATCATACGACCTCTATGGTTGCACGTTCTACAACCACCGTGTCGGCACCGGTCGACGCCGCCCCCCTTCACCACAATCTATTTTCACCCACCGATCGTCACGTAACTAATAACCAAGGGAATACAAACATGTATCCTACAAATTTACCATGGGACGCAACGAACCCTTCCGACGACTACTCTACATCGTACAATCTATTTGCCGCTCCCTATCAGACGGAGCAGCCATACCCTGACCACACGACAGAACATCAACATAACAACCAACCATATTCATTCTCAACTTATGATCTCTACTCATACCCAGTTTATCCTACTGCTCCGTCTCCGATTGCACCCTCCTCCCCTGCCTCGAGCGAAGGCTGGTCCTTGTCCCCCATTCGCCCCCTTCACGAAGTCGAGCCCATTACCTATGGCAACGTCGTGTCTGGGCTTTCGGCTTACCCTCCATCAAGTACGCCATCAAGTCTCCTTACTATACCCCAACCGCAATACCACGGAGCATCATACCCATCTGCTATTCACGGTCAGACTTCGGCTGCGGTCCCTCAGCACATCCACCCCGGATCTGCGCGCGCAGATATGTCAGACTACTACCACATGCAGCAACCCTCACATTCAGATCAAATGACAGGCTATCAGCACTTCGATTCGTCGGTACATCGGCGGCACGTATCTCCTGCCGCTCACAGCCGCCCTGTGGGACTAACTCCCACTTCTAATCATCACACCGTGGTTCATTCGACCCATCCGCGACTCCACGGCGCTTCGCCTAATCCGTATTCGTACCCTCCACCACAATACTCTCCTTCCACGGGGCCTGGAGACCGTTTTGACAGCAGCTATGTTCAGTTCTAAACTACAGCTCCAGATGATAGATGGTTCACACGGTATACCCAATCTTTGAGAGATTATAATAGACTCCATCTAACAAAAAATTTATGCCTGCTCGTTTCTCTTCTTTTTCTCGGTCTCTTTGATATGATCGTCTCCTTGATATTCATCTGTACTACCATATGTTGTTTTATTATTGCATAATCGCGCACATATTACGAGCATTGGCATAGTAGAATCATCACCACCCTTGTACTTACTGTCTTCCAATCCATCTCCTTGCAGCATTAATTGCAACTCTTCAACTTGCGAGTAAGCCATCACATCACATCCGAGAACTCGGAGTTAAGCCACCAAGGGCTTCGGCTTCGGAACCATACACAGCCAAACATTCCGAACTGTTTCGCCGTAACCCGCACCGCCCAGCACAACTGATTCTTGAACGCGTTAGGATAGCATTCGATTCACCGACCATGCCTGTCCCTTGGGAAGCTTTGTTACCTTTTGGTGCGTGCCTTAGTAAAGGCTATCATACCTAGCTTAATCACGATACCGCAGGTCTGGTCACCGTCATGTTCGGTGCGGCGGGGACTCTCTTCAACGTATCCACCCGGGCTCAGAATCTCGGAAAGGTACGCTGCGCCCCAAGCTTCCATGTGATGGAATTAAGCGGAGATGGTCTATTACCAATAGCCTGGACGATACGGCGTTGACAAATGGGAGGACATGATGATGAGGAGGGACGAACGACTTACCGGGCACAGGCGCGGTCAGACGGTATGTGTGCCTTCTACTAAGCAGTCATATCGTTGACATTCGGCCTCGTGTGTATCGCAAATGCCTGCCCTCGCAAATTTGCATTGCAGTCGGACCCGACACCGCCTCCAGGCTACGAGATTTCTAGCGTATGGGAGACGGAGCGAGTCGCATAAACCGCCGACGCTTTTTTTACTACCATACTGTGGCACCAAGTCCTCCCAACCTCATAAATTTCATTCCGGAAGTAGAGTGTACTAAACATCACGCCGGATGGCACAAATAGATTGTGGGAAGGCTCGTCGCACTGCCTCGACATTGAACGTTATTGAAGCCGCTACTGTTTGGTCAGAGTGATCGGCGTACTGAACTGGCCTCGATTCGGGCGACGATCCGATGGCAAGGAATCTGCTTGAGGCGCCAAAACCTTGTAAACATAGTCGGTGTGGCGTTTCTCTTATTGTATCCATCATTAATACTCTCGAAGCCACGTCAAGTACGACCCGCGCCCACAGATCCTTGCTGTTGGAGGTACACAATTACGCACATAACAACGTTTTGGGGTGCTGATATTACTCCGCGGATAGCAATCGAGGAGTTCCATCAGCTATCCATAACTGCTATGAGCCAGCGTGCGATGTCTGCAGTGGGCCCTTCTTCGTTATTCCATGCAGAATCAGTATCGCCGTACCGGCGGCCCTCCATGCCCTGAACAAACTCAGTCAGGCGTTCGACTGTTGTGCTTGGAAGCGTCGTGTCTGAAACATGGAGCGACGAGGATCGAATTATTCCATGACTGGAGCGAAGATCGACTTTCTGGGCATGTGTGGCGCATCAGCTCGTAGTTTGAGATAGTCAGGATAGCCCCGCACCACTGTTCCCCAACTAAACGACTCCTGCACCGTGTAGGTGAATTCCGGTGTTTGTCCATACAACCATTCCCAGCTCTACGCCCGTTCAGACTCGCGTGAGGGGAGCGGTAAGCCACATACCGGTAGTTCGGCCATGCCTTTCGCGATGTAGTCTATTTGTTGTATGGCTTCCGTGTCGTCTACGTAGCAAACCTGACATGATCTTGTGAGGCATGCTGCGTAAGCGAAAGTTGAGGCGAACGTACCTCGTCGTGTATGCTGTATTCGTCCCGGAATTCGTCCACTACGGCTTCGGCGAAGGCTTCATGATGGGCCTTTGTATTGAACTGCTGCAGATTGCAGACCGGAGACCGTACAGACGCCACGCCACGAGTGATCATAGAAGTCTGCAACCAGTTCACAACTGTTCATCGATTGTTGGGGGAGAGCTACCTTGTTAACTCTGAGTAAGTCACCGAGCATGTCGAGTCGCGTTGATATTAGCATGGTACCATGATGGTACGCTCGGTTGTTGACGATCTTATACGCTGAGCCAGACACGTATAAGAAGAGGAGTAAGGCAAGGAAGTCAACATGAATATTAGGGACAATCACTCATCTTTTCTTTGCCAACACATATGTCGTTTCGTTCATTAAGACGTGCGTCTATACCAAGCGAGCGTACGGCCCTCAAGGGTATTTGAGACGTCTCGTGCCGGTCAAACGACTTTCGCGGTAGATGAATAGAGAAATTGGTATTCCCTAGGTCCTGTCATCGACACGATAAGTTGCAATCAACCCAGAAGACCTTCGGCACGTACATGGTACACCGTCCCTCCCCCACTTCGCCGCCGAACAATCGGAATATTTCTTTTCCTTGCTGCGACGGCGTTGACCTCCTTCCATGGATTTTGATTTCTGCCAATCACGACACACGGGTCGTCTCGATAAACCAGCAACAGCGGTTCCGCTGGATCCTTATGCCGGAAGAGCCTACAGAAACCAGCAATCATCGAGCCATATACATTGCCTCGACGCGACGACCACTCACCAGTCCTCCAAAGTTAGGTTGAAATATGGATTTGTCGCATTAGAAATGTATATGGAGTGGTCTGGGCTGATAGCTAGCTTGCGGGATGCACTGGTTCGGAAGCCACGAGTGCAAAGATGGCGCCAAGCTGTCGTTGAGGAAAGAAACATGCTTTCCGATACTCGAAAACGCCGCCTCACGTACGCTGTGAGCTGTTAGGCATCTGAACTCGTCATAAGGGATGGTGGGCAACGGTAAACAAATTTTTGTAACGTCTCAATGGAAAAGCCTGCTCAGCACTCGCTGTCAATTATGTGCACTGTGATAGGCTACTCGATGTTTCTTGCAATTGTGTACTGAACTAGTCTCACTTTGAGGGTATGATGGTTTAAGCTCTTGGACATCTGCCAGGCTATCCAGAGGTCATTAGGAAGGGCGAATGCACTAGCTACACATTCTACGTTGAAATCTATCCGCTCAGAAGAGGGCCTAGCGGCAGCTATTTCTGAATATTCTTGTATATAGGTTTCTCGAGTTCGTGGACTGGCTTCTGACCTGGGGGCGATCCCGGAATTGTTTTCGTAAGGCCCTGCGGTGTGTCGGTTTTGTGAGCATTACCATAAGTCAAGGAATGAAGCAACGTACGAGCTTCTCGAACATGCACGAATTGAGAGTACGCTCTGGTTTGCGGCACCGGTAGTATTCCTGCAGATACAAGGGACGTCTAGTGCATGATTGGGCAGAAGATATAGGTTCGTGCATACTTGGTTGTTTATCTCCAGACAATTCCAGTGAGCTTCGAACGACTCCAGGCAGTTCTCTCTCATTTTATTGATCCTATTGGTGATAAAGTTTAAGTTCTTCGAGGAGTAAGACCCTCTGGTAAATCACCGGCTCACAAGTCTGTTGCACATCGAGTTACGCGCCGTCCCTCCTTCAAGCAGTGACCCGGGTCGGTACGGCTCTCTGCCTTGCAGAGCATGAAGTCCTCTGGAGCAATGTGGGGCCCATATGAAGATAGAACCAGTTAATGTATATTTGAACATAAAGTGTATTGTTGGGCACCATTGTAATCCTTGCAGTATGCACCAATAAAGAATGCGGCACTCTTCAATGGTGCGCTGGTAACGCCGAGTTCCTGTACTTTCGGCACCTCCTCAGGGAGCGGCGTGGGTTCCTTGTAGGGTGTGATGGGGACTGCGCCCTTCTGAAACGAGCTCATTGCAAGGGAGTTCGAGAGCAGTGAGCAGAGGCCTGGGTCAATTCAATGACTTGAGGACGGAGGTGATGGTGGGAGGTTCGGGCGCGGAGTTTGAAACACGCCTTCCCCTAATTCATGAATTATCGACTTGAATGACCACTGGCAAGCCACTCAGTTCAACGACTGCCTCTAGATCATGATCGTAAGGATTCCGATGTTCCAGTACTCGCCACACAGAGCCTCAGTGTCTTCCTTAGCATTCAAGGCCGCCACCGAAAGTCTATCATCTCTTGATCAAGACCCACAAGACGACCATTTTCGTAACCACCGCCCCTACAGCATCCGTCGCGTCCGTGAAAGCTGAAGTGCTATCCGCACTGACTTCGGACGTGAACAAGGATACTGAGACGCCCGAAGTATCCTCCGAAGACGACTTCGACTTGTGCAAGCCTTTCAAAGAGAAGGGGAAGCCAACTGGCGCGTACGAGGTGGTGGACACATCGTTACAAATCAAGCAGGCAGGAATAAATAATTGGGAGCACTTGTTCATCAAGTTTCACGATGCAGAATCCGGTATGTGCTGCATCCATCCCATAGTTGTCCGCGGTAGACATTGTTTCACCAATCATATAACCTCTTCTACCTTGCCATTGTGCATTCAGGCGAACCACTTCCTATCACCTACACTAAGCCGAGTTTTGACGGCGACGAGCACGAGGAAGTCGTAGAATGGCACGAAGAAGAGGACGAATCCATGATGGTCGATATTCCGAGCTCGTCTCCAGTGAGGAAAGGCAAGCGGAAGGCACCATCAGAGTAAGGGAGTGAATGTATGTAGAGGGCGGAATTCGCTCAAAATGTAGTATTTCGCATACTTCTTGCAGACTTGTTTGTGTCCGGCCTCATCATTGATTCGGCTTGGTTGGATTCTGAGTCTTTTGCCAAGGCTGAGGGCGCAGGGGCAGCAACGCAGCTGCGACGCGTCGTCCTTCCTCGCTCAGCAGGTTATACGTTGAACACGCGTTTCTCTGCGAAGGCATCAGTAAGGCGTGATATATCCACTTGAAAATAGCTCACCGTGTCCATTGTTTCGAGCTGTATGCCCAGCTGGCTGAGATGCGAGCGCAGGAACGGCGGGGGCAGCGCTAGACTCTTACCAGTCCCGAGAATCAGCATTTCTACCGCGCTATTAGTGACCAGTCCTGAACACCCCGTATGTGTGGGTATAACGCGTACCTGGCCTCGGTCTGACCACCTCAAAGATCTTGAATTGACTTTGCGTCCATCCACTCCACAGAGTCGACGGGACATCCCACAAGAAGACCTTCCCGTCCAGAAATATGCACGCCGAGGGAATCATCAGCCCGTCGTGAAGCCGTATTGCCTCCTCGGTTATTGAATCAACTAGTACGGGTGGTGGGGCAGCATCGGCTAGAATGTTGGTAAAAGTGCTGCTTCGCAAGGGGGGATCGGAATGGAAGTTGACGCGTAGGCTTGGCTGAGCCCGACGCGGGAGGTGGGTGGTTGAACGCCGCCGCGCTGCCTGACAAAAGCCTTGCATGCTATAGGTTCAAGGTCTATGCTAGAGAACCGTAGCGGTTGGAAGAATGGGAAGTTGGCTGAGTCCGTGGACCCATAAGGAGTCCGCGTGATCCGTGAGAAACCTATATAGACCGAAGCATTATTGCCGGTTTTGAATACTACTAGCTTTTCTTTCAGTGAAAGATCGTAAGTTGCCTTATCTCCCCCACCACTAATCATGCTATCACAGCCGAAATCACTGCGCTCTTTTGCGCTCAAGATATATCTCAAATACCAGCGCAAACGATGGATATCGAAGAACAATCCCCGCCGACCACCGACTGCTTCTTCGACAGTGAACAAAGCCTTCTTTCACAGACTGCTGGAGTTTCCCAGCGAAATACTATCCCAAATACTGGAAGATCTACAGGATGACCTTCTCTTCTGTATATCTGGCTTGTGTCGTCGCTTCAACGAAGTGGCACTTCGCATCTACTTCGACCGCAGGAGCGTACCTGCGGGGGACATCGCGTCTGGGGAACTCGTCTTGGGGTCCTCAGAAAGCCTCTCCGGATTCCGACGTGCATTCTTTGTGAACTCCATTCGCTCGTTGACGTGTGGCTTCCGTGACTGGTATGTCATGGAAGACCTGTGGGAGCTTGAGTGGCTTCTGAAGCGCACCCGAGTTACACGCGACCTCTCGCTCAACTTCCGCCAGAGCATCTTCCAGGTCGCTGACAACGATCCCATCGCTTCCTTCACAACCCACGATCTACTGAACAGTCTGCGTAAAGTGATACGCGCTCTAACGAAACGACGCGCCGCGATCGTTGTCCTGACGGGGAACAAACTGGGCGGGGTGTTCACATGTTCGCCCGAGGACGTCCTGCGGTGGGATCTTGAGCGGCGGAACTTCACTCGCAAACGGACGCGTTTCGAGCAGTTCTCCAACCGCGTGAAAGCAGGCCTACGCCTCGAACCTCGTACACCGTACGAGACGCTTCTTCGAATGTACTTCGAACCCCCAGAAACAAACTCATCTATCAAATACCTCGAAGAGGTGCAGATCCGGCATCTCGATTCACCACGGTTGTGGAGTCTGATCACTTTCAATACGAGCTCGATCGACCACTTGGCTCTGACGGTCAACCTATCCCCCGAAATCTGGGGCGCAATCCTTCCGTCTGTGCATCTTCCGGCGTTGAGGTACTTCGAAGTGAATTCGAGTAGCGGGTTCTTCGCTAGTGACGTGGAAGCCTTCGCTAGCAGGCATAAAACTGTTTCTTTTGTGGTGCTGAAAGCCATTGTCATAGCACCCAATACGCCCCCGATCACCCCGGAAATATTCCCATCGATTTCCTGGCTCGCATCAACTCCAGCGTATCTGGCGCGTGTCCTCGGCTCCACTGACGCCTTCCCGCACTTGACCGATATCTGGATCGTGCCGTCGATGGTCTACGAAGGGCCACATATCGACACGTCCTCCGCCGTTGATCCTTTCAACGAAATATTCCGTTCTCTGGCCAGACGACACAATGAGCTGCACGTGGGATTCGACCCATTTTCCGTCCCTTCAATAGACGAACTCGTCCAATGTCTTACCACCCGCCCTGCTGCAGGCGTAGACGAGGAAGCACAGGGGCTCCAGTCCGTTATCTCTATTGCGATTAGTGAATATCGGAAAGAGGCTGTCGATTATCTCCCGCGCTGGCTCTCGTTCTTCCCGGCACTGCTCGATATCAACTTCTCGGATAAATTTATGGCATCGTTCGGTCGCGACCGAGAGTTGGTGCAATACATCAATCTAGTACATCAAGCGTGTCCTTACGCGAAGATCAATCCAGATGGAGTGCGTTGATAGGCATTGCACTGTACGTTCGCTCTCGGTTCCTTTACTCGCCCCATTTCATTAACCTCATTGTCAGTCTTATCAGATTCTCCCCTTTTCGTCTGTTTGTTTCCCTTCTCAATTAATGCCTACCCTAGAGCCCTACACGAGCATTTACTTGTACAGCATAGACCATTTCTTACTAGCCTATATATGGCTTCATACCTACTAAATCCAGCGAACTCTGCATCTCATCTAACACACATTCGCATTGCTTATCTACGCATCTAAACAGCTGTCACTTTGCTTACTCTAGTTTCGTTCGCTTCCCCGTCATACAGTATCAGAATGCATACGTTTGTCTGCGGACCTGCACACGCACATCAAGGATCGGATCCCAGGAAATAGAGATATACAATTCCTGCCGCAGTATTTACAGGGTATGGTCTCTAGCTTCATGCGGCGGAATTAGTTTCTACGGGATAGCTACATAATTATGCATCTGCGGCAGTCGTAGTAAGCACCCCCTGTTCAAGTGTCAATTTACAAGCTGAATATCGCCATCTTCGCTACATTATGCTTCAGCCGCCTCCTGAAAGCTCCTGAAGGATATCCTTCTGATGCGCATCGACTCTGGTGTACCTTGTTTTCCACCCCGCCTCGGCGGGTATTGATCAATGTGTACCCTTTGAAAGCTCTGGGAATGCCGGAATTAATATATACTTGCGAGAACGACGGAGGCAATATTACCGGAAGGTTTTACAATCAGACATATGATTTCAGTTCTCAGAGGATGGGAGTCGTGGAAGACGAGATCTAATCTGCACCTGCAGTGTCTATAGCCGTAGACTCGAGTCTGGAGACACAAACCTTCCACACAATCGCCGTAATGTCGCCTGACTTGGGTGGATGCATCCTATAACATGGCGCCCACCGAACGAAGGGATGCCAATTGCCATCAAATTCCCGTCCCCCAAAACAAAATTACGCCCCGAAGAAGAAGTGCACCCCGTCAAAGGGACGAAGGTAGAGTGGACAAATTTCACTGGTGTCGTTCTGATAGTCGACGAGGAATCATTGGCACACGTGTAAGGGTGTTCCGACACCATGCTTGGGATCCAGAATCACGAATGTTCTCGATGAATTTTTAATGATAAAAGCCCCCTTGGCCTTCAGCTAGATAGTGCTCACAGCATGCTCATTGCTTAAACAGGGAAAGGCGTGAGGCCACCAGTGGCGTCGCGTAATAAATGTGTGCTGAAAGACAACGGTCGAGACGCCAGAACGTCGCGAGCAGACCCGGTAATGCATCCGTCGAAGATGAGGGGATAAATCAGCAAGATACCAATTTGACATCTGCGTAGATCTGGGGCTCTATTTCGTGTGTCGCTGGCATCTCCAACCCAAGGGCCTTTGAACCTGCACAGACTCGAGCCGGGAGCCCCTGAGCCACTCTACTAAAACGGGATGCCTGTTGCCCGTCTGGGAAAGAGTGGCTCCAGCCAATCAGCGGGCAGCAGACCAAAAATTCAATACTCCATGTTCGCGAACACTTCGATCAGCGAGCCGTTCGTCCTCGCCAGCTACGGAAACTCCTCAGCAACCGGCTCATCGAAGGACAGTGGTCGGAATAAGTCGGCCGTTTATGCCACCTCTCATGCCGGAAGCTCTGGAAGCAGCGATGGGTTGGGTACGGTAACGGCACAAGGAGATGGAGTACATATTATCGATGTATGTTGTACCAGCTCTCGCCAGAATATACCCGTAGCTCATGGGGCGTTCCCTAGTTATCAAATCTCAATCCTGTCACGTCTCAAACCTTGGGACCATCCACCCTCTTTTCGTGCCCAGCGGTGACCCAGGTGGTTTCGGAGGAGTCGAAAAAAAGCTGCACAATCTACGCTGCAATACAGGCCTCGTCGGACTTGCCACAGGAGTCTAGTGGAAGATGTATCTGGATATGGGAAGAAGATCTCATGAACTCGTCTGGTGGCTCGCGAAAGAAGCAAGAGATCACTGTATGTTGTGACCGTTTCAGCTCGTCATGAAAATCACTGAGAAAGGGATCAGCTACCGCACGCGGTAGCTCAGTTATATGTCTCGGATGAGCTATGTGAGCGGGCGATAGCAACTTCACCTGAAGGAGACGTGTCGATCATACAGAGAGACGGTTCTTCAATAAAAACCAGAGAGTCGACCCTAGATGGCGCGAAGGTCTTCAAGTCTTTCTGCTATTCGCGTCGGGCCTGCTCATTTCTGGGGTCTCAAATTTCATCAAGTACCGGGGTCGTGGTTATACTTGTATATGTTCAAAACTCCAAGCTTCAAGTGTCAGTCATCCATTGCGACGACCAACAAATACCAAACGATGTTGGCACGATAGATATAGCAATTGAATCCGATGTAGGGAAGAATTCTTCACTTTCGTAACTGGACTAATGAGATCTGTAGAAATTACTTGATGTCTCCCTCAGTGACTCGGGCTTCATGACCATCTTGTGTGAGCACGTTTTCCTCGCGTATTTTGGCCAGGTTCCCTAATGCCATGGCATCACAGTCCAAAATGGGTCTTGGTATTCATATAGACTTGACGCCGCGGATGCTGCTTCTATATCGGCGGCACCAGGCGCAGAGAAACTGCACCTCACTTCGCTTAGTTTCGCCACCAGTCCTAATGCCTCTAGCGAAACCTCGTTGCTCTCCCTTGGCTCATCGCACGTACTCTTAGCAGGAATAACAGCTGGCTCAACCCGAGAGATCGTACTTCTGCTATGGGATGTTCAATACTCCGTCTTACTCGCCTCACATTCCCTCCCCATTCCTTCGACCATCTCCCAATCAAAGGATGTCGCGATTAGACTACAGCTCAGCTTAGCGAAATCACATGCTCTACTCGTTCTTTCTCCGTATCTTGCTTCTACCACTCGCAAATCGTTGCCCGGGCCATCTGCTCTGCGCTCCAGTGTACTTGCTGTACCTTTTACAGTGCCAGCCGTATCAACAATCGCGAATGCCATGGGGCGTGGAGCCTCAGGTGATCGGTGGCTCAAGAAGCAATCATCAGACGATGGAATTCAACTCGGGGAGGCCAGGTCCCAAGTTCTTGAGTCTATGCGCTACGCCGTGGAGAAGGGTCAGCTCAAGGCTGTAAACGACGTGTTCTTCGAATGGGTAAATAAACAAAAGGCGTCCGGTGAATCGATTGATAATGAGGTATACCAATCTCTCTCTCCTTTCCGTGTTTGTCATCTCACATACAGCATTTTTGTCGCATTAGGCTTTGTCGTATCAATTCGTCCAAAAGGTTCTCTCCGTTGTTTTACAACCATCGAAACTGCATTCTTCAGAGGTGGTGCAATACCTCTTGCAATCTGGGTCGATTAGTTCAAACATGGTTGAGGGTGGGCTCTTCGCTGCACTCCGCAGCAAAGCCGACTGGGTACGCCCTTGTACAGCTTCACCCCTTTACCAATGTCTGACCTTTAGTAGCCAGCCATTGAACTGGCTCTACAAGAGGTTGTCGACTTGTCCGAAGCTGAAACAATTGCGTGCCTCAAAGACGTAGTTATGCACCATCGTCGACAACTTCAATCCTCCCAGGATTCCGAAGGCATGCAAGTTGACTCAATCCAGGTCATCCCATCTCTCCCCGCCTTCCTTTCCCTCTGCGTCCAGTATCCTATGACGCCGAGCACGCTCAGGATAGCTATCCGCGAGCAATTCACCGACGAAGACACTATCTGTTGCGTGCTCGAGACCATACAGTTGTGGCTAGCGCAGCTTAGTCAAAACCATGATCCATTTAAAAACTTTTCTCCGCAACCCGAGCTCTTGGGACCACCACCATTAGACAAGGTATGTGTTGAGTATTCACGACTGCTCCGCTTGCTGAAGCAGGTCGCTACGCCACCTAGCTTCTGTTATTTCTTCAATGTATGATCGATGCTACATTCGTCAACCTTTTGCAGCATCGGCCAGCACACTGGATTTTACAGGACATCATGTCCGACATCGAGGCAGAAGTGGCTTTCGTGGATCAGCTGGGAACACTGAGAGGGCCCCTGGAGGTTTTTGCGAAGGCTGAAGCTAAAGCTGCTAAAGAGGCTAAGGATGGCAAGGGGAAGACAACGTCCCAGACCGACTGGATGCAAAAGAGGAAACGAGCCCACGAACAGGTCGGAATGGCGGTCGGTCTTTACCGTCTTGAAGAACTCGTTATTTAGGGCACAAAGTAATTTATTAGTTGCCGTTATCTGTATGGTTGATACTATCTAGATTGTGTAAACCACTGTTTCATAATCGAACGAGAGGGCAAAACCTCTTAAAGTACGTTCGGTCCGTGATGTACGTGGAACCCCAGTGGTGTGCCACTTCCTGTAAAGCAAACATTAATAGCCGGAGATCTTCTTCCTACCCCGCCTAGGTACGTGATGTCGAGCGTTCGTGCCTGCCCTTGGAAGTCGGATGCTAGTCTACAGCAACTTAAGTCGGGAAGAGGTCTCCGAATAACTGGCGAAGCATAAGCGAACCCGATACGTCTAAAGTTTTGAACTCCAAATCAACCGGAATGGTGTAAGTCTCTCATCTTGATATATTTGATCCCCATCTCAAAACATTGTCGTCTGGCGACTCCACATCAATCCGATGTTACGTCTCCATATACATAGCTATACCCCATACATGATGACCAAACCTAGTGGTGAACTCAGGACAACCGCACTAACAGCGCCAGCTAGGCCATATTCGCTGCAAGTGCGGGACTCCGGGCAAACGTACAAAGTTTAAATGCTAATACAGAATCTATTTTGAAGATCTAGGAAACTCTATCACAGATGATGACGATGATGGTGTAGGTCCGTTAAGCGATAGCATGTATGTATATCTACAGATTTTGAAAGGGGAGCCATGCAATGAGTTGAATGTCCTGGTATATCAGATGTATGAAACTTTGAGGGGAAGATGGGGAGTATCGTGTAGTCGTCGACTAGTCGTTGGGGTTGCCATGCTGTTATTTCGCCATACAATCTCATCACGAGGAAGCTCGAATCTGTACTTCTCGAGGAGCATAGTAAGGACGATTTCTATGCGTCCTCGTTTAAATGCTAAGACCTCCATCCAATAGGCGGATGAACTCACTGATTTCGACGATGGAGAATTTTGCACCGCTGTAGTAAGGAGATTAGCAGCAAATCCTGGGAAATGAATATGCACTAACATGCAAGCTCTTCCGCCGCCCATGAATGTCATACTGAAGAAGGGATTAGCGAGGGTACGTTAAGCAACCTCTTATCACCTACATGCCCGAGTAAATGCCTGGAAGTCGTTCCTTGGCAACTTCCTCAGGAGGTTGATCTAGCCATCGATCCGGCAACCACTCATCAGCATCCTCTCCCCATATCTGTGGATCACGGTTGGCAGCGCCAAGGCCTAGAATGATGTTTGTGTTAGGCTTGACATGTACCGAAGTTACATGGGTACGCCCATTGGGCGAGGGGTCTTGGACGGGGATTGGCGTGGAGAACGGCAATATCATCTCCTTTCGAGCTCTATTGTATGCTTGTCCGTTAATACCACCTTCCCCAACGGATATCAGGTCACGTACGTGCGAGATATGAAGGTAAATGGCGCATGCCTAGCACGCAATTTAGCCTTCCGTTAGGGGGTAGGAACGGTGTGCTTACAGTCTTAGTGATTCTCGGACGACGGCGTCTAGATACGGCAATGCCATAAGTTCATCATAGCTAAAGTCGGCGCCATTGACATTTGCCCTAGCGGCAATGACTTCGGCACGAACGCGCTCTTGCTCCTTAGGGTGCAGCGCTAGAATATGCAACATTCGGGCTAAGGAACTGGACGTGGTATCGTGAGCGGCGAAGATCAACGTGCTGTAGCAATGTCCATCAGTGACAATACCTCCCAAGCGTAGATACGGACATACTTCATTTGCGCAAGTAACTCGTTGTCGGGCAATCTATCACGTTCATCTGCGACGGAATTGGCCTTGACTGACGTGTCCAAGTCATGGTCAGTCAAGGGATCAGACCTGGTGAGATAATAGGTACTGACGCAGTAAACTCATGAGATCTTTTCCTTTCCCGACTTCCAAGGAAGACACTTCCTCTCCCGCTTCAAGTGCCGCCTTCTTGCGCTTAAAGATATTTACCGAAGTATTGTGCATGGTGTCGACGATTTCCTTGACTCGCTGAAGAGCATCACTCGGGATCAGTTCGAGAAGATGTCTTCTGAGGCTTGGTGTCCCTATTTTGACGAGGTAAGGGAGATATTGGCGGACCACAGCAAATTGGAAGACAGCCGGGCTGTGGTTGGACGGTGGAGTTAAGCGTGAGATCCATGTCAGAAAATGCATACTCACAAAAGGTCCTTGACGGCTTGACTGTACGGATTAATGCTCTTTTGATTGAAGCTATCGAAAGAGTAGCCCAGCCCGCCTTGGCCGATATATTCTAGTGCAGTGCGGGACATCCAGTTGAGCATATCAATCTCTTGGGGGCCATCTTGCAATAATCCATCTAAGACATCTCGGAGCTGAGATTTTTTGTCAGCTGGGAGGTAGATGTATAGTCAATTCGCGGACCTGGTACGTTATTGGGTAGAAAATCGGGACGAGTTGTCGTAGGTGTGCCGCGGAGAAGGCCGGGTTCAAGAGTTTGCGCTGGCGTTTATGGTCATCACCTTGCGAGGATGTTAAGAGCTGCGATGGACAGTGTGTATGAAGGCCTACCTCCAGTCGATAGTAAGCCGTCACCAAAGATGAGTCGGTTACCCCTATGTCAAACTTATTGGTAAGTATAATAAAGGAGGCAATGCTAACGTGCGTACTCGGTGAACATTGACGTTTCCTCGTAGACGGATTGATCCTGGTGGACAGGGTTAACATCAGCATTACGACAGACAGATGTGAAGTCAGGCGCACCTTGACTACGATGTGATGGAGTGCCCTAGGATCAGAGACGTACAGTTGCTCAGCCTGGACAGGGATTAGGTTATGCCTCATCGACATCAACGATGACAGGCGTCTTACTCCGAACAACCCATGGACTCTGAATACACGCCCATATTTCTTGGACATGTTGAAATGCCATGGTATGCCTTCTGGGCTGTAGACATGGGATAGATTGCCTGGTGGGAGAATCTATGTGAGATCTTGAAGACAGGCTTGGGGGGGAGCCTCGAACCAGTTATAAGAGAGTCCCGAGGGGGTCCAGGCAATTCATGGAACGGCGACCTAATGAAGAGAGACCGAACGACGCGCCAGAGAGCCCAAGATGTTGCATAGATTGCAAGGGTCTGGACGAGAAGGAACACCGGAGAAGCGTATGTCATGGTAGAGGTGGTCGCGCGCTCGGAAGGTCGCAGAGAGGAGAGTCTGGCTTTGAGAAATCCATGAGGGCGTGCTCTTTTATGCCAAGGGGATGGCCGACTGAGCTCGGATTATTCGAGGAAGATTGACTGCCATGATCGACCCTTCTGAAGCATCGCCGAAGTGAGGTCCCAAGTTAACTCTCGGCACATGCCAGTGTAATACCCGCATGAGAAGTAGTAGGGGACGAGTTTGATAACACCTTCCCACCGAAATCCAAGCCTGGAAGACATACGTAGAAATGGTGCTCCAGAAAGAAGCCACCCTATTGCGAACAGGACCAACGAGATGTGAGGTGATAGGCGACTTTTGATTCGAAAGGGCTGCACTAAAAGGGCCGGGGCAAAGCTAGAATACAAAAACAAGCTGAGCTGAGTAGCTAATCTATAGATATGTTTGACAGATATGCCTTGCGATCTTGTATATTAATAGCATCTTCCACAATCTTCATCCCTTGAATCTTCCCGGAATCATTTCTTTCCGCCTTTACGTTGTTTCACGCCTGAGCGTTTGCTGTTTGGCAAAGCCTGCGAGGTCGAGTTGGACGTGGGAGCGACTTTTGGACCTTCTTCCGTTGGCTGCCTTGGGGAAGTCACAGAAGGTGCCGGATTCCGATGAAGGAACTTGAGGAGCACTGATGCCACTCCTCCAGAAAGTAGGAGTAGCATCCAGTTAGGGATAAGAACAGTAACGTTGTAGATCCTAGTGAGGACAACGGCCAAGTACTCCATCAGGTACTCTCTGTCTCGTGGAGCTTAGAACTGACAACCCGATCGAGGAGAGTCAAAGGTACGCACCTACTGCCACCGGGTGCATATGCTGAGGACCATGGTGGCGTTGCTTGCCAGCCGTCATGCTTGAGAAACTCCAGCATGGCTTCAGCTTTAAGATTGAGCTGGTGTGGCCTGTAAAAACGAAGTTCCTGGCCTCGATCCCTCAATACCACGAGGAGTGGCGCGCTGCACAAGTCGAAACGGTAAGAAATCCAGACTAAATAAAGCACGTAAGCTCACTGCCAGACTGCCCAACGAGTTGTGATGGCCGTGACATTGAGATAGTCGATGCGTCCCCAGCGGACATGTGGGATATCCCCAGCAATCTGACTTTGGTTGAATGCTGAATCGAAAATATCGTCCAGTATCTTGGAAACACCATCCTGCTTCGAAGACGTGACAGTTCTTCCAATTCACAATATATAAGTTAAGGTTGCATGAAAGGATTATTCCGACTCACACGACGAGAAACCACGTTCGTTTTGCCTCCTCTTCTGGCGTCAAAGTTTCATTGACGATAAGGTCTCCGTAGTTCTCATCCGTGATAAGAGGAATTCTGTCGTCCCAGTAGCTGGTCCGGCTCAGTGCCTCGTCTAACCGTTCCGAAATGTTGATTCCAGCGCGCTGGAAGATCGACGATAAGGGTCCTGAGCTGAGAATCTGTTCAATTAGCCCACCCTTAGGCTTTTCGCCTGCAACGGGTTCGGCGGGGGTATAAGTTGGGGCTGGGGTATCGGCTGTTGAAACGGTCTGGCGACTCTGGCCAGGACTCCAGCCGTCTGAGAAGTACTGGGCGGCGGTCGACGATACACAGACGCCTGCTCCCAGTAAGAGTGTTGAGAGCTTCATGGTGGCCGTTGGGAAACAAGTGACTGGACACCTGAATTTCTGAGTTTTTTATTGTTCGGTGTTGTGTACCTGTAGCATGTGAGCCCGCTCAGCGATAGCGCGGGTGTAACTTCGTGTCACGTTTCAGCTTTACTCCCGTCAGGTCACTCGTCGCTGGGCTCAGTCCCAAGCTCACTTTCATCTGTGCTCTTCCTTTTACAAGACGGCCACGCCGCCACTTCGAATCTCGAGTGGCTTCACGATTCAAAATGCGCAGCACCTTGTGCACCAAAATTATATTGTTCGGATGGGCTGTCGCCGCTAGCATACGTGGAACGCTTGCAGCCTCAGCTGGTTCTGATGGTACTTCGATTTTCTATCTGCAACGAGGTTGTACTGACAGTGTTGGCGTATAGTTCCTTCGGCCGCGTCGTTCTACGTCCCATCACTTCCAGACTTACACCAGGATTCATTACATCCGCTTCGTATATACTCAGGACATCTCTCATCCGACACGAGCAAGGACGCATCATCAAGCACAGATGTGACGCCGCACCTGTTCTTTGTGCTAGTAAAGAACCGCAGGACAGCAGATAAGGAACGGGTGATGTTTTGGTTTAACGTGAGGCCCCCGGTATGTACCACGGAATAACCTCTGACAAGTATTTGCAGGGGGGCCCTGGGTGCTCGTCATTTGACGGTCTGATGATGGAGGTGGGCCCATGGCGCATGGACGGCAAAGGTGGCTTTAAAGTAGTAGAAGGCGGATGGGAGGAGTATACTACTATGGTCTACAGTACGTTCTCCGCGTTTCGTTTTGAGCGTCGTGTCAATGCTGCCCCCAGTTGACCAGCCTGCTGGCACGGGCTTCTCCTACACTAGTACCAACAAACTTGTTGAAGGGATGTCAGAGGTATGGATGTTTTCCGACCTCTTCGCGATTTCCGACTAAGCAATTCCCCAGGCGTCAGCACAACTGTTAGTATTTTTGGAGAACTTCTACAAAGTATTCCCCGAATATCGAACTATGGATGTGAGCGCCGGTCACTTTCTCATAATTCAACCCGTGACACTGCTTCTAGACCTATCTTGGTGGCGAAAGCTTTGCCGGACAGTATATCCCATTCTTTGGTATGCACTTCAGCACATATTACTCGTTTGAACTTACCCATCCCGCCCCACTTCTAGCTGATGCTATTTTAAAGTCTTCACTCGGCACTCGCCTCATGGGGGTTGCTATCGGGAATGGCTGGATCGATGGCCGAAGACAATACCCCGCTTACATAGACTATGCAGTCAAGATGGGAATTTTGGTAGAAAACTCGGAGGTACGTACGAACTCATGTGTTGGGTTGCCTCTGAAACTGATGTTGATGGGCAGGATTGGAAATACGCGAAAGCGGAAACCGATGCATGTGTTGCAGAATTTGACAAGTTCACCGAGTTCGAGCCTGGTAACGTACCTCGGTGTGAGCGTTTGGTGCTTGACGTCGCTCGTGGCCGAAACAAAGAGTGCGTAATTATATCATATCTACTGTGTATCCAACTGATGGCCATCTGCCCTTAGAAAAGATGGTTCACCCATGTGCATCAATATTTATGACGTTCGGTACGATGACACCAAACCTGCCTGTGGGATGAACTGGCCTCCCGATATAAAACCCATTACGACATATCTCGATGTACGTCTGACTTCCCGTACGTGTCTCGCATCAACCTATTGACATATACGCACACAGCGCCCTGAGGTTGTGAAAGCCCTGCATGCCGAAGCCCATTCAGAGGCTTGGGTAGAATGTCGCGGAGCCATTCATTCAGCTTTCAACAGAAGGGAAAACAACTCTTCGATAACCATTCTTCCAAGCGTGATTGAGCGCATACCGGTTTTGATATTTGCGGGAGACCAAGACCTCATCTGCAACCATGTTGGCTTGGAAGCAATGATACAAGCAATGACTTGGAACGGCGCCAAAGGCCTCGGAGTTAGTGTTCTTACTTCATTCCTTTCACATATGCATCAACTAGAATCTCACACCATAGGTCGTGCAAACGCAATCTTGGAGTGTCGCAGGTACTCCAGCAGGAACATGGGTGTCTTCGAGGAACCTCACTTACGCTAAGGTGCGTCGATCTATTAAATGGACTCTTCCCCGACAACCAAGCGATATTAACGATGTCTTTCGTCTTGACTAGATTTTTAATGCATCACACATGGCGCCATTTGATGTGCCGCATGTTACACACGACATGATCCTCCGCTTTATGGGCGTGAACTTCTCGGCGATTATGGACGGGTCTGCAAGGATACCAAGCAGCGTTGGGACAATTATGAAACCTATCTTCATTGAAGATAGTGAAGCGTCCAAGACCCCCGCTCCTGTGCCAGGAAAGACTCCTGAACAGGACAAGGCCATGTGGGAAGGTGTGTATTGCGCCTCCCTTGTTCTATAGAACCTCGGGCTTTCTGTTCTGACTTCTGTTCTCCCACAGCGTATTACAATGCGGGTTCCGCAGCCCTTGTTTTGGTTCTCATCTTTTTGGCTCTCGGCACTTTCCTATGGTGCCGTATACGGCGACGCCGTGTCCAACTGCCCGTTTCTCATCAAGATGAAGAAAGTATACCCTTGAATTCTTCGATCGCGATGAATGGACGGCAAGACGGAGATGAAGATGATTCCGCTTCCTTCAAATCCAGGAAGGGCAAGGAGCGCGCAGTAGAGCCACCCGAGCCACCGATATTCGAGTTGGGTGAAAGTGATGATGAAGATATGAAATCTCCGTCACGGAAGCAATCCTAGAACGTGATTGTATTATTATTACACACTTATAATTTTGGGGATCATGAACCAGTTCGCTGCTGAGTGCGTTCAGAACGCTTGTCCTGTGTAGGTGCTTGTACTAGCTATTTGCTTTGTTATATGTGACACTACTACTATTCTCTAACAAAACACGCTAATTCCGAACCCAACGACGAGGCCCCCAAAGTAGGGGGATGGTCACCATGATGGTTCTGGTTACAGAATACAATTACAGTTTACACACGGAATACGGATACATTCTCTCATAAAGGTATGCTGGTTTTATATGCTTACGACTTGGAGCTATAATAACTCTCCGATTATGATAGCGTCTACCAAACTCCCTTTATCTAATACCGTTTGGCTACCGTCTTTGCGTTGGGGTAGGATGACAAGTCCGTTTGCCCCGCTGAGACTGGCCACCCTGCTGGAGCGTTGACCGCCCGTACTCGTTGCCAATAACCCATCATTGCTTGACCTTACAACAACACGATGAAATTCGGTCCGAGTGTCCAGCTTCATGCTATCCTGTAACTGTGCACCTTATGGCATCGATCACCAGATTGTCGTAAGTTTCGACGCACCTTAACCTTGACACGCGGTAGCTGGCACAAGTCGCTCGGCCACCCACCCAGCTTTCTCAGAGCAGGTACCACGAAGACATTGAAAGTAACAAGGGCCGACGCGGGATTGCCTGGTAAGGCAAATATTGGCTTCTTTCTGCCATCCGCTGTGGGAATCGTTGCAAATGTTGTCGGCTTTCCGGGCTTAATGGTGATCCGCCCGAAATGAACAGTTCCTTCGAAATGGCGCTCGATGACAGGCTTCAGCAGATCTGATGCTCCCATAGATGTACCTCCAGTAGTGAGAAGGATATCCGCACTATCGAGACCCTTTCGTATTGCCGAGACGTGATCGTTAAGGCTGCATTAAGGTGAGTTTCGAATGAAGGGTGTTAAGTGACGCGCCTGACTCATCGGTCACTATTCCAAGGTCGATCACCGAATAACCCAAGCCTTCGAGAGCTGCTTGTAGCGAAGGCCTGTTCGTATCCCATACGCCCTTCCAAGAATCGGATGAAGAGGTAGATTCCGACGATAGGATGTCAGTTATCTCGTCACCTGTGCTCAGTAGAGCGATCACAGGTTTCTGATAGACGTCGACCTTTGAGCAAATGAAACTATGATCATGTACACAAACTATATCATACGGGGCCCGCTTACCTCCTTGCGACCAACGAAAGCTAGCGTGCCAATTTCTCCACCTGAAGCAAGAAGTCGTTGACCCTTTTCAAGTACAAGGTCTCCTTTTCTGGCGTCCGAACCGGGTGACCTCAGATTCTCTCCTGGAGCAACTTGAGCCAAAGTTTCTACCTCTGCTTCCTCTCCGAAAACATCTGTAGAGACCAGGCTCGTGTCTTCGACCATGATAACCGCATCTGTGCCGTTGGGCAAGGGCGCCCCAGTGTTGATGCGGTAGATAACACCAGATGGTACGGTGTCACTTAACCGATGTGAAGCTGGGGTGCATACCTTGTAGACACCAGGGGGGTCGCTGGCTATTGAGGGTCAGTCTTCTGTGTAGGCCTAGAGCATGCGACATACATCGTAAGGCATAGCCATCAACGTTGGTCGTCTCACGGATAGGTACATCTTGTGGAGCGTAAACATTCTCCGCTAGAATATGGCCTTTGAGGCCCGGTGAAACCTACTGAATTTTAGTATCCGTATTTGTCTAGCTGGTTGCTGCTCCTTACTCGACACCTTTGTGCGGGCAGGGGCCGAACCTCTTGGGAAATCAAATTGAGAGCTTGCTCGAGGGAGATAAGAGGATAAGGTGAAACTCGATGACGAGTGGATACTAGTATGGTCAGAACGGAATTAGGCTTTTGATGCCACAGCAGGCTCACCAGCAGCCTGAGGATCATGAGAAAGGACTGTCCGTGGTTGGGGTGCTTCGTGATGATGATCGTGATGATGGTGCAACTGAGCAGATGATACAGGTGTAGTGTATACTGCGACCGAAGACATATTCTTATGGACATTTTGGCCTGTCCCACCCTGAATGAGTTCTAACGCATGTTTGACCACGCCGTTGACGACCAGAGTATCCATGTTTTCTTTGACTGCTCTCACGCTACCAGGTAATGTCACAATCAACGTATTCTTCGCCGTGCCAGCCACCGGTCGGGAGAGAGCGGCCATGGGCGTGTGCTGCAGTGACGTCGCCATCAATAAGTGCACAAGGCCTGAAGCGTGACGTTCTAGTAAGGGGGAGATAGCCTTGAACGATCAGAAAAGAAACGTTAAATTGCTGCGGAAACTGGTGAAAACGAATGTACTTCTGGAGTCAAATCTCTGACGCCGAAACCGGTCCCCCCTGTAGTAATAATCCAGTCAATGTCCCCTTGATCGCACCAACGTTTCACCTGGTTCTGAATACGAGGAATACTGTCAGGGACAATAGTTGTCTCTGTACAGATGAACCCCGCTTTGGAAACGATCTCTTTGATAGTTGGTCCAGACTTATCAGCATTGGCATCAAGTGATGCCGTGTCGCTGACTACAAAGGCAGCAATCAGCAAGAATCCAAGCACAAAGAACACTCTCTACGAGCCTGTGAGGATAGCCACTCGGATAGAGTTACTCATTTTGCGTTACGGTGGCAAGAGCACGATCAGTGGGATCGTTGTCAGTAGTAAGCATCGAGCAGCAGATCTCGGCAGCGTCCCAATCGCGGAGATTGAAGCTACTATGTACTCTCACAGTCAGTAGATAAGTCTCACGGTCACTATTGCACCCTTGCAGTGTTGTCTGTATCATCCCTGTCAAGGTGCTACGTAGTTAAGTTATAGCGTCTCGTATGCCGGTCGAGAAGTGCGTTTTACATTCCACGAGCAAAATCCGATGATACGGGCCCCTTCGTTCCGCTTGTCGGCCAACCAACATGGCTGCTTCTTGTATTTTCCCCCAACTTGTTGTCCCTGGCGAACACTCCAGTATCATGGACTTTACGTCTCCTGTTTGAGACGACCGAAGTAGTCGCCTTTCAGATTTCTATCAGAGGGCGAAGGCTCACATGTCGCAACACCAACACTACAGATCAATGCAACGATCCGAAGATGAGCGTAAATAAATGATGTGCCAATCAAGCAAAATAAACCAATACCACACGTTCTCTTCGGAAATTCTGACCCAAGCACTGAAATCCATGAACAACGGAGAAGAATATCATCAACGCCGTAAACAAATGGGTATCCGCAGAATTCTACGCAATTCTATCTGGCACGAAACTCACACCAGGGCAGAGCCATTGGGGCAGAGGTTTATCCGTGTTCCTATCCGATCGACTACTCCTGGTAGGGGTACGAGAACTTCGGCTGGTCTCTACGACGCCAGAGTTTCTTCCTATGAGAAGCAGAAGACATGAGTGCATGCACGAAGTCGATCACGAAGACGAGGAAAACGTGCTAACTTCTTTTTGGTAGGTAGATGTTCTGCGAAGACTTCTACGCATTGCTTGGCCTTGAATTCGCGAATGAATCGTGGATCCCTGGGCATTGAGTTTGATATATTATTGAGGAATCTCGGGCGGAGGGAAAAACACCGACCAAAGTTCACTTGCAACGCCGAGGTCTTTGCAGCACCGCATGAGCGCGTTGCTTTTACATGCCTCGGTAGCGGTAGCGATGCCTGAAGGGTCGAAGTACTCTTGTTCACCTCGCGCAATTGCAACAAGTCTACAAGGGTAAGACAAGGGACTTACGAAGAAGGGTTTACTTACCGGCCATGGCAGACCAGCGCGTATTCTCTGCTCACAATTTTCGGCCCTACGTTGGTCTCACTTCGGGGTGCAAGACCCCATCCACCGGGGCCAAATGCCTTGTTCAAAACGCGTCGATACTTAATTTCGGGAAGATATATTAATCCGTCTACGAAGGGAGCACTCAGCCAGTCGGAAAAGCGGGGAGACAAAAGGGTGGCATACCAGGCTTAACTTCTATATCAAGGGGCTCAATGGGCGCAAGCAGAACGTCTGCAATCTCCGGGGCAAAGGCCTGTGTCGATAGACCGTAGTAGCTCTTTGACCAATCGGTATGCTGCTGAACAGGCTCTGGAGCCGTCGCTGCCCCTTCAACACCAGAGGAGTTCATCTCGGCCGCCGTGTTGGGTAGCGAATTGACGGTCGCTGGGTTTCCCGTGCTCGTAGCTCCAGCTGGTGGGGGTGTCGAGGCCGTGCTCGCATTGGCGGAGAAAACTAGTGAAGACTGAGGCGCGACCAAGGAACGTTTGGAGAAGGACGGCCTCAGTGACCGTAGGGCAGGCCTATGGCACAGTCGCGTTGCAGGGGAAAGTGCAGTCGTGCACTGGCGAAGCAAGTTCGCCATTTAACTATCAGCCTTGCCTTCCGAGTGATAAAGTCGCAGGTTGAGGAAAGTCGCGTCGAGAGAAGCACGATTGTGACCGTGCGAATTGTATAAAGTATCATAGTGACTGACTCCTAGTCGAGCCGGAACTGAGGGTTTGAGGCAACGAACGAGTTGAAACTATACAAATGTACAACATGATAATTGAGCTGCAAATGTAATTTACTTCAATTATGTATATACAATGCGGCATTGTCGCCAATTCAGTCGATGCAGACTAGGATACGACTCTAGCTGCTACTCCCTTACGGTCTACCCTCCTATTGATACCACCAATGAGTATCTTGGTGATCAAGTCAGCCGTGACCTCTCCTTTCGTCGCTTGAAATGGTGTCGTATCAACGATATCCTAGCATGACGGAATTAATGCAGGAAATCTGAAAGTGATACCAGGGGACTTACACGGATGTTGTGTGTTTTGTGCAGATCGTCATCAAGCTGCTTCAGATATTCAGCAGCGGCGACATCTTTGCCTATCTGAAGGAGCTGAATCCCCACCTAATGAGAGTGTATAAGCGTTGGTGAAAGGAATCGGCGAAAGGGGTGAACGAACTTGGGTAAGAGGAAAGTTTCCTCGATCTAATCTCTGGGCTGCGCTGAGAATCACTGATTCCGGATCATCCGCTGGAGATAAAGTTAGTGGATGTGCTGGCCAATGAACTCAAGGTGGAAACGTACTAGGCTCTCCATCGGTAATGATGACATAGTTCACTGGTTTGATTGTGTTCAAGACGCCTTGTCGCTGCGCACCCTCGATGCGAGCCAAGTATGTCAGAAGGAGAGACTCAAGCCGTTCTCCGATTGGCGTATGCCCAAATGGCCTGACGTCGAGGAACAGCCTTTGAACTTCCTTTCCACTCTGCAGAGATTTTAGATGAGGAATCGATAACAGCATTAAGTGGAATACTTGCTCTTATACCTTCCCCGACCTTAGTAGAGTTCAAGAATGCAACATCGATACCATCAGTATCGTATTTTCCAGCCATGTCAGCCAGCGCAGCTAATGATTTCTCGGCCTTAAGGTGTTGATTGTAAAGCAGGTTCACAGTAGATTAATGGTACCCACCTGGCGCCATTTGGATCCTAGCATAGAACCAGAATCATCGATTATCAACACTGTATCGTACTTGCGGAGGATCTGAAGTGCATTTTCTGCAGTATCAGCACGCATAGGGGCACGAAGATCTAGTGGAACATCAGCTCAAGTACAACTGGCAATATGAGTACGCAGAGTGAACATACATTCATCGTTGCGATGATCGGAAGAGCTTGAGGAAGAGCCTAAGGTAGAAGACACTACCGATAACAATGAGCGCCCTGATCATTTCGCTGTTTATTGTTTCTCGTCTCACCCGCCTCAGTGTAGTACGGAGGTGGTGGATCCAAAGGCACACGAGTATTATCGGGACCTGCTTTGGTGTCAGATTTCCCAGCATTCACAGTGTCTTCTGGCCCTTTGGCATCGAGCGTAGGGTCAAACTGATAACGCGATGAGGAGGAGGGACGAGATGAGGGAGTATTACCCATGGAATGTTATCAAGAGAGCTGTGGGGCCGAATTTCTGGACTAAGTTATATGATGGGAGTCCTAACGACAACGCCTCAAGTCAGCCTACAAGAACGGGACAAGACAAGACAAGCCCGCCGCCAACAATACAGGAAGTTGACGGGCGCGAAGCGCCCAATCACCCTAGTGAGGAATAACAAAGGCAAGGATCTATAGATCATGGAGGCCGCACTTTGAGGCACGCGCGAATTAAATACGAGAATTTGACCAGAGCGAGCCCTCCGCAAATCGTAAGTCAAGCAAGTGAAGAGAAACACGACAGGCTGTGAACTCGGAATTTGAATCCAAGATAGGGGCACAGCCAGAAAAGGCAACCTACAGTATTGGCTCGATGCCTCTCATGATCCCCTCCAGCAGCTCCGGAAACAGCCATGGAAGGCCTTCGTCCAGTGCATCTCTCAGGCCCCCATCCAGTGCATCGAGGCGACCTGGATCAAGCGCCTCCCAGCGACCATCATCTGCTCTGAATGTTCGACCCCCATCTAGCGCGTCAATGCGACCGTCGTCGCGACTCTCTCAACGCGCGAAGTCTCGCTCGCGTTTGACTCCAATCTGCCAGACCTTGGTCACCCAGATAACCGGTATGGATAATAGCACTCAACATTCAGAGAACTTCAACACCGCAGTTGAGTTTGCGGTGCAGAATTTAGAGGCTACGTCGCTTGTGAATCTGAAAGGGAGTGTAGGCGTCGATATGAGCACAATGGACAAACAAATTCGTGGGTGTGTGGTGTATGAACATGGGTACCCTCTTCTGCCACCAATGCACATTCAGGCATGTAGAAAAGGCCAAAATCCAGCTTCGGGAATCATTGGGCCAGGCTTTGGAGACTGCTTACCGTCAGCTCAAAACTAGTATGGCCCATACCCACGACTTGGATGAAGATATCAAAGTGAGATAGTTACATGCACTCAATTCGCTGTATTTAGCTAAACGATTCCTCCTAGATGGCCCATATGCCGGATCATTTACAGCTACTTGTCAGTTACCGCCCGATTCTGGAGACAGAGCACTGAACTGTCCCATAGATCAAGCTCGCAATGCCACCTGATGAATCTTCGCTGACATATGCAGACAAATATCTCGATCGAGTGTCGAATCCGCCTCCTCCAACCGCCGAATTGACTTGGAAGGACATCCTAACGGACGAACCATTCGAGGGGGAGCATTGGAATTACGACCAGTCTGACAGCGGGAGCTCTCCGTCCTTGTCCCCCCTTGATTCTGATGATCTACAATTCCCCGATGATTCCTCCTCGTCAGCTGATGATCTACAAGACGTGCCATCTCCCATCAAGCCCGAGACACAAACTGCCCCAGATGCATCTAGCCGTCGTCAACGATTTGAGCATCGGCAGATACTCGAGGAACTACAGAAGCAACAATATTGGCATAAAGGGCGACTTGATATCCCCGTAGATCTCAGTCGCCCTTTCGACGTTGGTGATCCGTCAACATTTGGTAAGTGTACTCTTCGATGTCGGCTTCTGTTACTTCACGGTTGAGGTCAGGTCCGTCAATCCATCGGGCCCTTGCTCGAACGTATGATAAGGAAGCGGCCTTATACCTCGATGCTTCCGAACGCGAGGTCAATCTTTGTTTCTTAATTTGTCTTAGCACAGTGCTTATTCCCGATATATCGTCACGTGCGACAGTGGTACATTGAGGAGGTCCATGCTGTACGGGAGGTCCTTTTTGCCCTTCAAGGTCGAAGAAATATCCTTCTGGACTGGAAAACCCACAAGTACCTTGTAAGCTCCGTTATCTCTTTACTTTGACCCTTATTTTTCTGAGGTTACACGGAATTACGTTAGCCCTCAGAGCGGTCTCCGAAACTCGTGCACCTGTCCCTTTCCTCACAGCACTCCATCTTATCTTCCTTGGGGCTCGCTGCGACCGTAGTTCGACAACTCCGGGAATTTGCGGCATTCATACTATCTCAATCTCGCTCTACCTCACAGATCGCCCAGACCCTGCAGCCGCACGTTCACAAACCGAGAGTCACCCGCACATTAGAAGCCTTCGCGGATGCGCTGAGCCGGGAGATCAGGGTGTTTGATGCCTGGTGTGCAGCTAGGGAAGATGACATATGTCGTGCTCAAGGAGGTGTAAGCGAGGAAGAAGTTGTCGTAAGTCTCTTGGCTACAGAAACAGCCGTTATGGATCAGTTCAACCGGCCCTTCGTAGCCCTGCGAGAGGTGGTGGGCAAAGTCACAAACGTGGACCAGAACCAGGGGACGGAAGCTTGGAGCCTCCTTTCTGTACCAGCTGCCGTAATCACGGTCCGTCTTTTAGATTCATTGCTAGACTCTGTCCAGCGTCATACGGAGCAAGAAGATACGCCCACTGCGGAAGTATTGAAGAAAGTGTTTACAATGACCGTGGAACCTGTCTGGGGGATGACACATAAGTGGCTGAAGGATGGGATGGGTCTGGGTTTGACGCAGGGACAGGGCGATGAGTTGGAGGAAGAATTTTTCATCGAGGGCACAGGCTTGACCATTGGGATGATGGGAATGGGGATGGGTTTGTTAGATCCCGAGTTCTGGTCTGAAGGATACGTGTTGAGGGAAGGAGCCGACGACGAGCTTCCAGAAGCCAAAACGGTTCCCGCATTCTTCAAGCACGCCGCCGGTCCGGTCCTTGGCGCAGGCAAGGCAAATGGGCTCTTGCGCGCGCTTGGGCTGGCCACAAGCCTGACAGACCAAGTTGCATTGGGCACCTGGCGCTCGTTCACAGAACTGCTGACTACACCGATCCCTCACGGGCATCAGACGGAGGGACAGACGGCCCATGAGAACATTCAATTGGCCCTTTCTGTTGACACACTTTCACGCCTAGTCTACGACGAGTTATTTCCGCACTGCAAGGCTACGGGCAGTATACTCGCAAGGGTTCTCGTGGAGGAATGCGGGCTTAGGACACACTTGTCAATCATCGAGGGGTTCTATTTGATAAGACGGGGGGACGTCATGAGCCACTTCCAAGACTTAATCTTTGCAAAGGTCGGTGACCCTTTACGCGAACCGAGATCTGGATTAACATTGGTTTAGATGGACAATCAGCAAGGGTGGGCGGACTTCCATGCCCTCAATACAGTGTTTAGCGATGTCGTCGAAATGAATTCTCTGGGGGCTACAAAGTGGATGGAACCATCCTTGATGCGATTGTCATATAGGGGAGGTAAAGACAAGGAGAGGTCTATTGCCAGGTCTATTAAAGCGATCGACGGTCTCAACGCGGAATATGCGATCCCCTTTCCTTTGACATACATATTTCCCCCGAAAGTTCTGCAGATATACAGCGAAATTTTCGTCTTCCTGCTGCAAATTCGAAGGGCGAAAACGGTCCTGGAGAAAATCCTTGTAAGGGGAGACGGAGCAAAGCACTTCCAGAGTGAGGTCAAGGTTTTCTATTCCATGAGGAGTAGGTTGTCGTGGTTTATCAAGTAAGGTTCTGGCTATATCCTCCCGTGGAATATTTGGACTGACCTCGACCCCTTGGCAGTGCGCTTCTCAACTTTCTAACTACTTATGTTTGTACACGCGCCACCAATTTCTTCTTGATGACTGATCTTGTCTGAAGGTCATCAATACTCAAGTAGCCAACTTCCATTCTGCGCTTACAACGGCTGCTTCTTTAGACGAGATGATCGACCTTCATTCTTCTCAGTAAGCTCCTTGATTTATCATCCTGGTACTTTAGTTAATGTGAAGCAGCCTTGAGAAACTCCAGGGTCGGTGCTTGCTGCAGCCTAGTGTATGTCTGTCTGCTTACAGAAGATATATGGCGTTATCGATTAACCGTGCATTCTCAGACATCCGCTCTACACCGTGCTATCTTGTCCGTGCTTGACATAGCAATCAATTTCAGTACCCGTTTCGCTGCTTTCGCAGGGGACACCTCGATGCACGACATATCTCGACTGAGCATATCCGTGGGGCACCGGAGCAAACGGTTGAAAAGGCAGCGAGGCAACGTAATAGGATTTTCCCAGTCATTTCGCTCTCTCCTCAGCTTCGACAGCGACTCGGATGAAGCCGAGGACGACGTGGACTCTCCTTCCTTTTCACTAGGGGCTACGTCAATGACCTCTGGAGAGGACGACAATTTTCTTAGCAGAGTCGAGGCGATGTCCAACGAGCTTAACGGCTTGGTGCGCTTCGTTAGGCGGGGCGTGGAAAGCTTGGCCGGCGGCGTTGGGGAGGCAGCACCGACATTTGGCGTCCTGGCGTTTACGTTAGAGGATTGGGACTCCTGACTGGGTTGATATCCATTCCTGGATGTATCGTGTATCATAACAAGCGCTGAGTATAACAAAATGACAGCAGAGGTACAAATTACTGATTACATGTACAAGTAAGATACGGTCATTCCTAAACATACATAGTGAAGCACATTGGGCTACATCACCGCGCCAGCACCTTTGGTATCAACACGGCGATTGATGCCACCAAGTAGGATCTTCGTTAATACTTCCGAAGTCAGGTCACCACCAATGAATGGAGTGGTATCTACAATATCCTATTGAAACGAACACACTTTGCTCAGCATTACGATAGGAGGAATGAATGAACGAAGACATACACGGATCCCATGCGTGGCTGCTAGTCCGTTATCAAGTTCTTCAAGGAACTCAGTCGCTTTCGGGGATTGGCCAATCTGCACAAACTGTATCCCGAGCTTCATTGGTCGAGGAGAGGTTAATGATGCTGTAGAGAGTGAAACGATGAACAAACCTGAGAAAGAGGAAAGCTCCGTGCGTCCAGTCGTTTTGCTGCGTTTACGATAACACTTTCAGGATCATCAGCTACAATTCAGAGTGCGTCAGACATGCGTTGTACTGTGCACGGCATGAGGACTCACTAGGTACGCCATCAGTGATTACGATAAAGTTGGTTGGTTTGATAGCTTTCAAAGCGATTGAATCTCCAGAATCTTTGGCGGCCTCAATCATATCGAGATATTGGAGCAATAACTCCTCGAGCTTTTCACCTATTAGGGAGATTCCGCCTGGCCGGATACTGTTGAATAGTCGTTTTACGTCACTGGCGTTCTGTTTATAGAGCAATTCATTAGATACATTGTATTGAGGTGGGGGTGAGGGGAATTTGCCTTTAGTCCACGACCAACTCGTTCATCATTCAAGAAATGCACGTCGATGCCATCAGTATCGTAATCGCCGGCAGTTTGCGCCAGAGCAGCAAGGGCATTACTCGCCTATCTCAGGAATCAATATAACGGGAGTTGAGGGGTAAATAGTGAGTTTAGTACCTCCTTCCATAGCGGACCGCTCATCGACTTGGAATCATCCACGATGATGATGGTGTCAAATTTACGCAAAATTTCGAGGGCATTCTCAGCAGTCTCCCGTCTCATTGGAGCCCTTAAATCTACGAAAGCAGCATGTTACGATCTGACAATAATAGCTTGGTAATCTGGGGTACATACAACTATTGGAGCGAGGGGTATGCCGGGAACTGGTTCGTTGTGCATTGCTTGACGAGCCTGATGCAGCGGGGATGGGTGGAAGTGTTTCAAAGATACGGGGATCCAGTACTCGAGTGTGAGTAGAACCTAAACCGTTATTAGGGCTGGTCGTTGTTGGAGATGCTACGGTTTGCTGGCCACGCGGAGGAGCCCTCGAGTATGGTGGAGGAGGATCCGCGATAGCTCCTGCACCTGCTGAACGAGTCCTGCGGTGTCGAGGGCTGGAAGGTACTCCCAATGTATTATTTGAGGTAGCAGATGTGTCATCCTGCGCGCTTCTCCTCCGAGTCGCAGCCACCCTCTGTGTATTCACTGAGGCCGACAATGCGCTCGTGGTCGACGGACGTCTGGTTGGTTTCCCAATGGCTACGTTATCATCAGCAGCGCTGGCGGAAGGCGAGTTTCCCATAAAGGTTCAAGACAAGTTGTATAGCGGGCGTTTATCTCCCCGGCGTGCGATGAGTTCGGGCAGGGAACGCGCGAAGCCATCCCCTCAGCTATTTATCCTTTTGGAGAGGAGCCTTCGACGTTGTCTCGTGATTCGTGTTCGGTTAGACCTCGAATTGTACTGCTACGATGGCAGTGGATCGAATGAGACTTATGTTGATGCTGTACAACGAGGACTGCTTTGACGCCAATCTCCTGGAATCATCGTACGAGGCGGTGCGGTCGGCTGAAGTGCTGTAGAAACTGCCGACATCACGATGGGAATTGTACGTGCTTATGTGAGGCGAAGCAGATTTAAGCATAGTCGAACTCGCCATCCGCCGACGCACGCTGCACCTTGCTCGTAACTGTTGGGAGGGGTTTTGGCAAGATGCTGTGCCAGTACTACTAAAGATGCTAAGGGTGGTGTTGCGGCCGTAACTCAACGGTTGTAACGATACAATTTCACCATTGTAGAGATCTTAAATTTGACACTAGTGTAGCCGAGTATTATCAGTTGGGGCGTCGTGCAGTGATTAGTGATTTCAGTGATCAAGTGTCGTGTTTGCTCGGGCAAGGATAAGTTATTGGTCCTTTGCCATCTTGAATGTCTTGGGCTTCAGATTATTTGCGCTGGGTACGATTCAAACTTGGCCATGTCACTGGGACGAATAAAGCATGAACTTTTTTGGTAATACATGAGGCGAAGAACGAAGAGAGCTGACCTGTAATGCTGTTAAGGAACCGAGTGAGCCCTACTTACAGAGGTGAAGATCGCGGTGTTAGCCGCAAGATGTATTTTCGCATGTATCATAGAACATTATTTAACCGAAAGGCGATGGCCTGTCTGCTACTCGAGGGAATGCATTAGCGTTGGCCAATACCACCATCTGCTTTTCGTGGCTGATGTATCCCCTCATAAGCCCTTTGTAAATCATGTTCGAGACGTAGCACTCGGCTTCGACCTGAGGAACGTCAACGCCAGATATTCGCAAAGATGCATGGAACATAGAAATCGGGATGCGTGATCCCTTGTCGGCGGCCACCCAACTTGAGATGCGGTTTAGCGCTGCAACCCACGCTACAGCACAGTGATGATGGACGTACACTCGCCTGAACAACCCTCGAATACACAGCTCTCGAGCCCGTTCGATAGTGAGCCACAGGTTGAGTTCCAGAAGTCGATGTTCCCATTTTTCCAGTGCTGAATCGAATGATGTTATATCGCCTGCGCGTATCGCCAAGATAAAGGGCGTGAAGAGTTCCCTCAATACGGGGAAGCGTTGCAGTAACTCGTCAGTCGGTAGGTGCCCTTTCAGAATGCGGAGGGGCAATAAATAAGTCAGGATCCGCCTAAAACACCCATCAGCTAGAGACAAGAGATGAGACTAGAATTAAGTTCACTCTTGATTGGTCTGGGCACTAATATCACAATGATAGAATGCAAGTGTCAATTCTTCTTCTGCCTGTGAGGATCAACACCTCAGCACAGTTAATCGTACTGCCTGCAAGAAGCTCTCAAACCTTTTCATACCCTTCATTGAGGAAGCTGATCATACCCAGATAATAGCGGTATGTCACCTAGAGGGCATTGAGTATAACACACCCACCATCTTACTTTCAACACACCTGGTGTGATTTTGGATAAGCAGATAACGGGGGCAGATCGGAGTTAGCCTCTAGGGCCCTCAGTATGTTTTTGCTGAGTGATATTCGCTTCACCTGTACGGGGGTTGTTAGGACTGGCACTCGAAACGACGGAATGGTTGACGCTCTCTAAAGTAAGATTTGAATATGAGGCCGACCACGTAGTAGACGCCCCATTTCCGAGATTCCTGGGGAGGGGACGTTCTAACGACCCGTTAGAATCGTCACTTCAGCACCGACCCCGCCCTACCTATCGTTGATACAATTTGAGAATGCCGGGATGATGATTCTGGCAGTCTCCTCTAGGCATTGAATAGTCTGGTTGTTGTACTTGGCGTGCGTATCTGCCTGTCAGATGCGAAGTTCAGCTCCTTTGATGTCTCTGAAGCAACTGTGAAGTCACCTCGAGTGCCAGATCCCGTAGGTCTCTCAAAATCGAGAAAAGTGCTGGAAGTGACCACCCAGTACTCGTAGCAAAATATTTCTGGAATAATCTATAGTGCAAGGCAGTCGGTAAACCTGTGTCCCTGGTCAGGACAGACTCAACGTACTGAAACAGGCTCGACTGGTTCTTGAACGCTTCCACCGGTCGTTTCTTCGCAACATCTGTGCACACAAGTACGTACTGTATTGCAATTTCGTCCCATGGGCTCGCAATGCTGCCTTTGTAGTCACGTAGCGTATTAACCTACTGAGGACTCGAATCAGACTATCAAACTACGTCGAAGATCAACGGTGTACCGTTGGGTTTCGAAATTCCTTGACAAGATCCTTTGCGTGCGGGCTCGTTGGACGTAGTAAGAACGCCAGTTCGGTACCTCTCTCTGCCATGATCGCATCGCTCAGTTGCATTATGAAAACTGATAGATTTACGGTCATTGCAGGAAGGTGGATAGATCTGAGTACCCTGGCTAAGCGCCCATTAATTGGGTCATACACGTGATGATCGCGTTTGCGTGTTGTAGCGTGTTGTTGACACTAATTTATAGTAGCTGTACTAAAATTAGCCCCTCTTCATCTTGCCACCAACCCTCAACCGTTTCTCCATGGCCGAACTCTTTGTAGGCCCTACTTCATCCCCACACGAACGGGCGGCAGCCTTTATAGCCGCTCTTCCTCGCCTTCACATCTATGACTTGCGCAGAAACCTCGACGATAGTTGCCCCGTTTGCCTCGTGCCCTTGACCATGGTATTGGCTGAAGGTGGGGGATGTACTATGCCGTTGCTAGTAATGGGCTTACCGTGTGCAATGTTGAACTTCGTAGATGACTCCGATATTGGAGATGCAGGAGTAACGAAGCTTGAAGGTTGCGGGCATATGTTCTGTCGCCGAGAGTGAGTCTTCATACCTTTGATGTGTACGAGATGCTGAGCATGGATTGTCTGGAAGTCTGTCAGTATGGATAAGAGGACTGGTGAGTGTGCGCCCTTGCTATGAACGTATCCGGCCGCTGACTGCGAAGGTGCCATCGGCAGCATGGAAACTGCCCAACATGTCGGCATGTCTTTCTAGATGTAAACCCGGCGGACTACTCAGACGATGAGTCCTCGGACGACGAGTTCATTCCCGACGACGACAACTACCACGACGACACCGATGGCCTTTCGGACTTTGGCATGGATGCCGAAATGGACATGGAGATGGACGAGTTATGGGCGGACGGCGACGATGAGTACTATGAGGACGAGGATGAATCGGGAGGAGAATACGAGGATCCTGTTGAACGTATGGAGACCGATTGGGGTTTGAGCGAAGGTGATACCTCGTCAGAAGGGGATTCGGGTTACCCCTTGGATGAACTAGTAGACGACGACAGTGAGTCTCCGTACTTTTTTTAGTGTCCTTCATGCAAAACTGACTCTCATCTACGAATCTAGTTGCTGTAAGTGTGGCTGGCGAAGACGCTGGTACGAGGTCGGACAACGCTGCTCTAGTCGCCGAAGAACCCAAGTAAACTATAGTACAGGCTAGCTTTCCTTAATTTTCCACCGCAAAGATTCGTTATACCATATACAAAAACATCCCAAGGTCTCATCTTCCTAGCATCTTCTCCATCATTTCTCTCATCTTACTGTTGTACACCTCTCCAGGCCGTTTGTATTATTTCCGCACAATGGATAGTTTTCAACGAACCAACTTTCATAATTATTTCATGCATCATACATCAGGTCCAAATTATACTCTCTTTAACCAGCGAAGCACCAGCTACATAGACCAGCGCGTCAGCCTAAGGCAGTCTATTAACATCGTACTGCAGCGAAGCTTTGTCTTCAGGCATCTATACCACCTAAGATCCCCTGAACCGTGGCTTCCTGGACGTCTTTCTTCCACGCTCCCATGAACTTACCACTCCATCTATTACCTTTGCCCCCGCCTTTCACGCCGACCTTCTCTTTGACAAGATCTGCGGCTTGTTTCACGAGCTTCTCGTCGGACCCTATGATGAGAACAACCGCTGAGCTTGATGAACTCGGCGAAGAGCTCAAAACGCAAAGGTAGGATGCAGATGGCGGCAGCGAGTTGGAAAATGCCAACGAAATGGCATTTAGAAACGCAAGAGGATTAGATGAATCGTCGGTGCGATGGATGCCTTTCTTGAATAACTGGTCCGCTCCATTCGCGTTGAGTTCCGCTACTAGCCCCGAGGCAATCCCTCCAGCGAGCTCCGTTTCTAAGGCATCAACGCGTTTCTCCGCCCGCTTACGGTCGTCGATCACCTGCGAGACGCGTTCGGGGACAAGCGGGGCCCCGCAGCTCATGATGGACGCGGTGGATGTCAAGAGTGAGTGAGTGCTTGTCAGATACGTGATGAGTCGGGGGCCACACAAGAAATACAGGCGAGCTGTCGTGGTAGATGAACGAGACAAGGCTTCGGTGTGTGGTAGGATGAATAGTTGAAGATTGTGCAAAGTAGGCATATGTGTACCGCAGCACCTACGCACGACTAAGAGTTAGTACGAAGGAATGCGATGTTACCATGGCTAGTCATCTCACGGATTTCGGTCGACCCCGTCAATGACCACGACACGTTTGACACCGCCCGTGTAATCCTGCGGGAGAGCTTTACCGGCCGCCCGACCGTCTTCCAAAGTCGGTACGCTGGATGCCTCTGCGCTATCGAGTTCCGTGACTTCGATGTGGACCTTGCGCCCCTCAAAGACAAGTCTATTTGCTCTCTCCTGAATTTTGGTGATCTCCTCAGGGGTCATGCCCCGGAGGATCTCGACGTAGCATGGCGAAGGGTACGTCGTTAAAGACCACGAGAGCGTCGGTAAATTCAGATCGGTTTCAAGTAATGCTGACAAAAGATGCTGCGAGGTGTGCATCGACATCTGTTCAGACAGATAAGATACTGGTATGTAGGTAGTAATATGTCTACGTACATGATCGTATCGCCTGTCGAAGGCCGCCTGGTCAAGAGTAGCGATTACTTTTGTTCCGGGAGTGAACTTGGCTACGGCGGCGTCCACGTCGATGGAATCACTGACATTTACATAGTGAACGGCGTGGCCCCCGTCGCGTTTGCATTGGAGTACCTCCCAGGGTTCGCCATCAGAGTCAATGATTACCCCAGTGTCCGTCGGCTGGCCCCCGCCTTCTGGAAAGATGACCGTGTCATGGAGAATCAGGTGCAGAATAGGCCCCTGGGGTAATGTCGGCGCAATGACTGATTTCTTTGATTTTTTACCCGCGGGTGGTGCAGCCGGCTGCGAAACCACACAATTTACAACCGTGGTTGCCAACTCGCGTAACAGAGGGTCCCCTGGTAAAGATCATGAGTTCTGCAGGAATGTAACACGAAGTCCGGGGTAAATTTTGACGATCGTACGTTGACAAGCTAAGAGCCCGACTGGCACAGATATCTGAGGGTCTGTTGGGATTGTCAGAGTCGGCGAGACGACCCTGTGGTATGAGGACGGCGTGTGTGAAGGATACAAGACTGCAGTGGCGCCCGACATAGTGGTGGTAACAAGTTAAGTTGATCGGCCCGGCTACCCCGCTTTACTTCCTCCTTCCGTACCTGAAGTGACAGCGACCCACCTCCATTCTCATCTGCCTGTATTAGCGGACGTTGGAAAAAGCTCACAACCGCATGGTCAGCAATGGAGTTGCCCGATCTTATGACCGGCAGATGGAAGAGGAAGAGCCGCTGCTAACCTCCAATAAGAATGGTTCAGAAGACTGCTTCTCTTCCCTTCCGAGTTGGTCTACCCACGTATCGTTCTGCGCGCTATCTGATTGATGTCGTCGTTGAAAGCGCAGGAGGAAGTTACCTCGAGGAACGCCAGTCTTAGCAGCGACGGGGATGCAGAGTTCGGAGGACCAGAAGCAAGAAAGGCATTGGAGAAGCGGCTTTTACTGAAGTTGGACTTGCGCATGTCGATCCTAGTGAGTCTTCGTTGGTGCTTCTGGTTACTAAGATGCTGAAACTAGTTGTCTATCAAGATCATCATTTACATTCTTAACTATGTGAGTCTTTGGGATACGATCGAGAAGTTCCACCTGCGGTGTTAACGTATTTGTTAGATTGACCGCAATAATGCATCGTACGTCTCCCATACCATAGGGTCAAGCCGCAACACTCATTGCGATTATATGCAGAGCCGCACGATTACGAGGCTTCGAAAGGGACCTCGGGCTGCATGGCACAGAGTTCGCTACTATCTTGTCTATTCTCTATGTCGGCTATATCATCATGCAGGTGCCGTCGTAAGTGACAACATTTCGTCAATTGATATAATACATACACCTTTTTTGTAGGAACATGTTCTTAAACTATATCGGAAAACCTTCTATCTACTTGCCTATTTGTATGACGATATGGGGTGTAATTTCTATCCTGACCGGTAAGCACTATGGTTATGTAGTCCATTGGAGGTTCACCCATGGTCTCAACTAGGTATCACACATAAGTATGCCTATACTCTTCCTATGTGATTATTATTGCTCAAGCTACTACACTCAAGTTTCGTCGGGGCGCTATTGACAAGATTCTTTCTGGGGTTTGTAGAGGTGTGCATTTACGTTCTCGAAATCAATACAATGATCCCTGACCTCAATCGCAGGCTGCATTCTTTCCTGTGAGTGCTGATAGACGTTGCTGGCCGTCTGCGAGATGAAACATGGTCTATAGGGTGCATTGTTCCTGCTAAGCAAATGGTATAAGCGGAGTGAACTATCGCTGAGAACCGCCATTCTTTCTTGTGGAAGTTTGCTTTCAAATGCCTTCGGCGCTCTCATTGCCTCCGGTATTCTTGACACTATGGAAGGGAAACTCGGCAATGCTGCATGGAGGCTAGTCAATTGGTGCTTATGACAGAACATCAAAACTAACTTACAAATTAGATGGCTATTCTTCATTGAAGGCGCTATGACTGTCTTCGTTGCCTTATGTGCCCTCTTTATTCTGCCCGATTTCCCCGAGACGTCTTCAAACTGGCTCTCACCCCAGGAGATCGCTCTTGCCAAAAAGCGAATGACCGAGGATACTGGAATGGAAGATCAAGAGGATCTCCATCTTCTAGATAGTAAAGACGGCGATAAGGACTTCCTCGGCTTCTTGTCCAAAGAGTCGGGGTTGTATCTAGCCTTCACCGATTGGAAAGTATGGTGGATGGCACTCGCGTTGACCAGCATGGTGGTCTCGTTGTCCTTCAACGCGTTCTTCCCTACGCTTAGTGCAACAATGGGCTTCGACCGCACACGCACTCTTCTGTTATGCGCTCCCCCCTGGATATTTGCCACAATAGTCGCGTTGTTCAACTCAAGGTACGTGTCTTCACCCCGCTGTACTATTGAAGCAATGATTTGACTGAATATGCCCTCCCCTCACAGGCACTCCGATCTCACTGGCGAGCGTTGCTGGCATATCGTCGTTCCTCTCATCGTCGGGTTAATAGGCTTTGTTATTGCTATGTCGACAATGAATATTGCCGCACGATACGTTTCCTTGTGAGTTCTATCGTCGCCTACCATCAACACGTTCATTGACCACAATTCCAAGGTTTTTAATGGCCCAATCTTACGCTGGCTTCATCTGCTTCCTTGCTTGGATCAGTAACACCTTCGCTCGCCCACCATCCAAACGAGCTGTTGCTCTAGCGCTTATCAATGCCTTTTCGCAACTAGGTAACGTTGCTGGGTCGTAAGTTGTTTATTCTTGTATATCAGCACGAATCTGAGAACATCCCCCCTCAGATATGTGTGGCCTTCCGGATGGGGCCCGACTTACCGCTTTTCATACGCTATCTGCATTTCCACAAATGGCTTGGCCATCGTAATGTGCTTCATCTTCAGGCAACACCTTACATTCTTGAATAAACGGACAGCAGAGAAGGAAGAGGAGACAGGAAGGCGCCAGTTCAAGTACATACTCTGAGTAAATGTGCGAATATCATAGACGGATACCACATCGGGCTGGGTATGGAAAAAGCAGCTCTCCGCAGACTGCAGACGAAGTTACCAAGAAATTGCTCTTTCTAGGCGTGGAGAAGCGGGAATAAGAGAAGCGCTCGATACATCCGACGGCGAAATCTCGGGAGGCTTTCATGGATGAACAGTTTCCATAAACCAACCGTGGACCACTTTCGCACTGCGATGTAACGATAATATCTTAAATACTGGGGGCCTTCTAATCTGGGTTATTCACTATCCCCCACGATCTATCGTTCTCATCCATTGATTTCTCAGACTGATGGTGACGAAGGAAATTTCTTCTGGCTGGTCTTTCACTCAGATCGGCGGCGGAGAGGGAACAAAAGACGGAGAATGGGTTCCTGTGTCTTCATTTCCGACGACTGTGCATGTAGAGCTTCTAAAGCTAGGACGGATCCCTGACCCGGTGAGTCCCAAACGCAGAAGATCGCGAGAATGAGTTCAACTGAGGTGATTACAGTTTGTTGGGTTGCATGAGTGGGATGTTCAATGTACGTACTTCTTCAAGTCAGTCTCGCGGGCACTATGAACTCTTTCAACCAGGGGTCGGCGAGAGTCAATGGGCTTTCAAAACTACCTTTGATGTCTCAGAGTCAGATTTGAGTCCAAGTTATGTGGACCTCGTGTTTGACGGATTGGACACGTTCGCGACTGTTCACCTCGTGAGTAGCTTAATTCCTGGCCATGACCCCGGAAGTCTGATCCTAGCATCATCATAGAATGGCGAGAAATTACTGGAGTGAGATTCTTGCTCTAACCTATGAGCGGCTTCATCATATGTGGTATGCTAGGACAAGCAACCAATTTGTTGCTTACAGAAGCACAGCTAAGAAGTTGCTCAAAGTCGGGACAAACGAACTGCTACTCGAATTCGCGAATGCACTCAAGAAGGTAATATAATCACATCTACTTGAGAAGATTGAACGTTAGATTCATGTGCTATCTAGGGGAGGGAAATCGAGAAGGAACGTGGAAAACTAAATCTCTGGAACGGAGATTCGAGCCGTCTTTACGTTCGCAAGGCTCAGTACAAGTATGTTACTGCTTTCGCCCCCATATTGTAGAAGGGACTGACGCCCAGTTTAAGTTATGGTTGGGATTGGGGTATGTTTGTACTCATGACATGATCGTCCCACATATTCACGCTGCTGTTCAGGCCCAATTTTGATGACTGTTGGGCCATGGAAAGCCATCCGCCTTCATACCTACGACGTGTCGGTTCAAGACGTTGACATCAGATCAGTTGTCTCGCCCGAGCTTGATGTCAACCTCACGGTGACGGTCAATGTGCTGTCAGACCCCTCCTTACAGTTATCAAGTTATAGCATGAAGGCTACACTCAAGAATCCAGACGGCACCGTCCGACTTGAACGAGCGAATGTTCGCTTTTCTGACTCTGCCTCCGCCCAAAGTGAATTCCATCTCAGCTCATCGGAATCGCTTGAGCTCTGGTATCCGGTCGGGTACGGAAAGCAACCAATTTATTCAGTCGAAGTCGAAGTATCTGACCTGGTACGTACCCCTGTCTCCCGATCCTGCGACAGTATGCCTGACAACGCCATTCAAGCAAGGCAATGTGATCTACTCGGAGAGCAAGAAGACTTCGTTCCGCAGGGCTAGCGTAGTTCAGCATAAGTTGATTGACCAAGACGGACTTAGCTTCCACTTTGAAATCAACAATATCCCCATCTTTTGTGGTGGTAAGTTTAATCAAAGTACTGGTCTCCTTCACTAAATGCCTAACGTCATTGCTCAAAGGTTCGAACTGGATCCCCGCTGATTCCTTCCTCACCACGTTCGCACTCCTTCGAGATCCTTCATACCAAAATACCTGATCTAGACACATCTTAGTATGACCGAACAACGGTACCGCGCATGGCTTCAATTGATGGTGGACGGTAATCAGAATATGGTCCGTGTCTGGGGCGGAGGTATTTATGAGGCAGACGATTTTTACAATATTTGTGACGGTGGGTTGCTGGCACGCGTCTTTCGGAGATCACTGACGCCGACTCTGTTCTAGAACTTGGGAGTAAGTGAAATGAAAGGGTGTTCGCGGTTAACAACGCTAAAGCTACCTTTAGTCATGGTTTGGCAAGATTTCATGTTTGGCTGCGGCCAAGTGAGTGAACCGCACTCAACAGTAATTTGACGATGTTTAATCCTGCTCAGTATCCTGCCCACGATTCCTTCGTTGAGTCCGTCCGCGAAGAGGCTGAACAAAATGTCAAACGCCTGCGCCACCACCCTTCAGTAGTCATTTTCGGTAAGAAAAACCCTCCAAATTGCGATTCTCAAAATTGCGACTCCTGATGGAAACTGATCCAATCTACTAGCCGGAAACAACGAAGGTTACTCATTTCACGAGCAAGCACAACTGCTCTTTAAACTAAACGCCGTACATTTCCACAGATTACCAGATTGCTGAGGCCCTGAAGCTCGAGCTTGACTACTCAGACGAAACCTCGGATTATAGGAAAACAAATTTCCCCGCGCGATACATCTACGAGCGAGTAAGCTTGTGTTTTGTTTCGATTTTATTCGGCCGTAGGGACTTCCGCTCACGGACGTTTTAAGGTTCTCCCAGAGGTGGTTGGGAAGTACAGCAACATTTACTATCACCGCGCCTCGCCTTACAGTGGTCAGGGCAAGCCAACCACCGATAGGACTTTGGGAGACATCCACCAGTGTGAGCAATCACGCAATGGTTTTGCCAATACGCTGAGCCAGGGTACTAGGGAACGTGTGGCATGGATCCCAAGAACCGTGGCATAATTGGGATATTCTTTCTGGCCGCTTTGTGTCCGAATTTGGGATGTAAGTGCTCTTATCCTGTGCGAGATGAGTTGTCTATGAATGATTGGATCAGGCAAGGATATCCGAACATTCGAACGGTCGATCATTGGATAGGAGAGGACAAGTCGGAGCGTTTCCCTCAGTCAAGGTACGCGTCCTACTTCTACTTCTTTGCACATCGGCGGTATTCATACGAGACCAGAACGAACTGCAATCATAACAAAGCAGATGGATTCGAACGCCGACTAGAGGTGAACATACTGAACACCTTCTATTGGTTCTCGACTCAACTTCTTGATAGCTATATCTGATGGAGAACTTCAAACATGCCTTCGATATGGAGAGGTTTGCGGATCTGCTCATATCAAATATCATATGGTTCTCACCCACTCCTATAGCTATGTGTACTACACCCAGATCATGCAGGCGGAGACCCTTGCCTCTGCTTACCGGCTTTGGAGGCGAAACTGGCAAGGCCCTGGACGGGAGTATACCTCCGGTGCCCTTGTATGGCAGGCAAGTAAGGCACACCTTACACTGATAATTAACTGAACGTGTCTAGATCAACGATTGCTGGCCAGTAACCTCCTGGGCCATCGTTGACTACTTCCTAAGGCCTAAGCCCGCCTATTTCGCTATTGCTCGCGAACTCCGCCCTTACACCGTGGGTCTCACCCGCAAGGACCATACAACATACCCACACGATACGTCGGCCGCTATATTCACCATCTCGACCATCATCGAGATCTGGGGCACGAATAGTACGCTCGAAGAGAAAAAAGCCACCCTCGAAGTGACTTCCTTCGATCTTCGTTCCGATTGGAGAGACAAGTGGTCGGAGGAGGTCACTCTGGGTGCCAACGCAAGCACTGAACTGCACAAAGGCGAACTGCCTGGGCAGCCGAGGCGAACGAAGTTGAGCGAAGTCCCGAAGACGATCGTCGTATCGGCTAGGTTGCTCGACGTCGATGGCTCTATTCTTGCTAGATACTCTAACTGGTGGGTGCAGGTTCGCGTTTCCGGGACCGGCGTGTGTGAATGATGTTCTGCGGAAACAGGCCCGAACCGTTCAAATATATCAACTTCCCCTCCGTCGAAGAAGTAGGGCTCAAGGTCGTTGCTTCTGCGGATGGTGAATTTGTGGAGTTGTCGGTGTCGCGGCCTGTGAAAGGAATCATCCTTGACGTAGAGGGTGAAGATGTGCAGTGGGCTGATCAGGCAATTGATCTCGTGCCCGACGACCCGCAGATAATCGGCGCCAAGGGGCTATGCGGCAGGAATATCAAGGTTCGGTACCTAGGGGACGGGACAGCGTGACGGAAAGTTGCGTTTTGAGTTATGGAGGGACGTAAAGAGGTTAAACTTGTATAGTATTTTCATTGTCTATGAACCAACCAGATGTCCCATAGGACGCCATGTATGAGAAGAAATGTACAAACAAAGACGACATTACACCATGAGGGGTTATGCTATATGAATAAATTACGCAGCAACATGAGGACAGACATATGGTATTACAACCTTCATGTAATGTCGGAGAAAGGCTGGCAGGCCAGCGAAGTTGCGTCATCAGAAGGGGAAGAGGAAGGAAATGGGAAACTCTATAGGTTGAACGTTCATTGAACGTAGATGCAAATTTGTGAGATGCTAGCTTGTTGTGTTGTGGAAAGCAGCGAATAAATGACAGCGATGTGGGTCAGGGATGCGATGGCACGAGGACTGGGTGAAGGGACCAAAGGGGCGGTGGCGACGGGTGCGCCTACATGATGACACAACTACCGCCCTTAGGCTCAGTTTGTGTGGTGGTGGTAGTGGGCGAGCGTTTCTCAATTTCGGCTAAGCATAGCTCAAAGACCTTGCCTATAAAGAAAGGGGAATTGGATGAAAGCGGATGATAAGTAGCTGGCTACGCACCAACGTTGACATTGGTCTTGGAGCTAGTTTCTATCCAAGCAGCACCGCGCTTCTTAGCGAGTTCTTCGCCTTCTTCGGATTGCACTTGTCTGTTGCCAACACTATGAGGTGGAATGAATGAAGAGAGAAAGGGAAGGAGAAGCGGGCGGCCGTGGGTGACGCCCTAACAACGCCGCCGCCGCTACCTAGGAAAGGGTTTATAAACACTCACCTCGTCTTCAGATCTGACTTGGACCCGACAACAACACAAGGTATGTCTTCCACGCCGCAGAAGTCGGTGATCTTGTCGTATATGATGTCTATCATGTTGAAGGAGTTTCTCGACGCTACCGAGTAGACAAGAACAAAGCCATGGATTCCAATAGCGTGTTTGGAATTCAGAATGGAGTATTCATCCTAAACGTGCATGAGCATGGGGTGGTCCGGTGACCGGGATTATGCTTGCCTGGCCCGCAGTATCAAGGATGTCGCAATCATACTCTACACCGTTGAGCTTGACCGTCTTGGAGAAGCTGGTCTCGATGGTGGGGTAGTATGCCTCCACAAAGTGGTTCTCAATGAACTGCACGACCAGCGAGGATTTGCCTGGCAGGAATGTATATGAGTACCATAGGAGGCATGACGTGCAAATAGGAGGGCGCACCGACAGAACGCGAGCCCAGGACGGCTATTCTCTTTTTCTTGAGGAGGTCGCCAGCGGCGGGCATGATGGTGGTCGGGAGGAAGGGAGGAGGAGGGGGGCGACGGCGGGGCAGGGGATGGGAGGAAAACGAAAGTGGATTCCAGTATCTTTAAGTAAATCCCCGGAATAATATAAACGGCAGTGGCTGGTAGTCGCTAAGACCCCGAACCAGTCCTACGCCTGGGATTATCCTCGGGCGCTTATCTGAGTGTGGCAAAGCTGCCGAGCGAGAGAGAAGGAGAACGGGGTCCTGGCAACCCCGTATGTCCACACACTACTGGGTCGTCACCCTCCTCGTACCACAGACGCTACAAATCACAGGCGTCCACGAATCACACGATTCGTAACAAATGACAGTGGGTGTGAACACAAAGTAGGTTTGTACGTCCCATTGAGACCCCCCTTGACCTTCGTACGTTTTTGCCATCGTTTACTACTCGCGTAGGTCTTGTGATCCCACAAAATAAGCAGTCCGAGGCCAAAGAGTCCCCTTCTAACCTCCGGATCTTGACTGCTTTTCATTTCGCATACCATCGTATTCTCCAATTAAATAGAAAAGAATCATCCAAAATTACCACGCGTCGAACGCAGAGGAATATGTTTCGAATTTCAAGGAATGTCGAAGCCCTCGCAAGCTGATCACCAGGACAGTCCACCCGGCGGCGCCATAGACTTTTCAGCTGCGATCGTGATCACCTGGCATTCATCTCCAGAACATGTGTGATCGGTGAAGAAAAGGACCCATGTACGTCCACAACCTCGTTTCTCAGGTCGAGGTTCCGATCTTAATCGATAGCCATCCACTTGAAAGTCAGTCGATGAGTACACATGGCGCCCAGGCAAAGAAATTCGCCGGCAACTCGAATTGAGGTACAATAGCGTTCCTTCGTCGCAGACTGCGACCCGCCATGGAAATGGTTTGCACCGTGAATAAATTCAGGCAAGGTCCTACCATATTCACAGCCAAACGAATTAACGTTTGGAGCTATTACATGTTCATAGGAGTGTACATTGCCAGAGGGTCATCGCTGTTCCTCAAGGGTCCATCACAAGTCCATCCAGAAATTTACTAGAGCGTGGACAGCCAGCGGGACAAAGCCATTCTTCAATGGGAGAAGAGGACCCAGACGGACCCATTCCCCAATTACCATTCCCCAATTACCCCTCCTCAACAGAACCTGGAGAAATTTCGTAACGGACGGTTATGGGGAAAATATATCATGAAACGTCACGGAGCTCCATCTATCCAAAGCCAGCGAATCCGCCATTCATTTGAACAGCGAGACAAAGCCAAGTGTGAAAACTCCCTGAAGTCATGCAAGGAGCGCAAGGCCGCTGGACGTGTAAATTTACCCTTCATACCACCGGTCCGAAGCTAGATACAAGTGCCAGGTGCTTGGATTCATTTCCGAAGTAGCATGTATGGCTGAGGATGGCAACTACTTCTAGAAACGCTAAAGTGGGTATGTCGGTCCTGACTAGATAATCGATGGGGCGGTCGCTATTGGTGGTCGTAGCGGGTGGTAATTCGCTAGGACAGCATGGCCACTCGCAACTAAACGAACGAACCAATCCTGCAATAGGTAGAATTTTGTAAGCGTTCTTACCCCAAAACCGCAACCGGCATCTCAACTTCTTCGCATTGTCTCCGAGCTGTATACTGCACCAGAAGCAGGGAAACTCTACCAGCAGGGAAACTTTACTAGTAGGTGAACGTCGTGCCTCAGGGCTTGCACTCGGACAGCATGTATGTTGAGACATTTGGGAGTTGTGCACAATAATAGGTCTCGGATGTTGTGTCAGCGGAATTAGGTCGCGGTTGAAATAAATCGTGGTGACAAGGCCGTGAGAGGGGGTCTGAGATCTACAATGGAACGAGGCAGAGGAAGACGAAGAGCGCCGCTTATGGTTGCTTGGGGTGTGGTACTGAGAGTTCGTATGTTTCGTCAACTGACATAGAAACGGGGTGAATGGCTTACCTCCGCGTTAATATCATTCCTTCGCCGCAGTTAGGATTCGAATCCATGACATATCACTGAGCCAAGGTCATGGGCCCAGTCTGGAGCGGGAGAAGGAACTATCACACCTGTGATAGCTGCGTGTATGTCGCCGTCAAATGTCGCTGTTTCTTGCGCTAAACTTGCTTCATAGGACCGTCTAAGCTTCACGACCTCCATGCAAATATAGCATCAGCACGGCGAAGAAGCCCGCAGGTCGTTGTACTCTGTGAGAGATTGTATAAGCTCAAGCGCAATATGAAGTTCCAACAGGCAGACTGTGCAAGTAGAATCAGAACTCACCTCAGCGGACCAAGATGACCCCCGGGCACCACACAATATGCAGGACTTTCAATGGAGGAAATTCGAGGTTTCACTCGTCATCCGAAATTCAATGGAGAAGCCCGCTCGGAGACCCATGAGATGTGCTGTGGACATCAATGGTGCGGTGGAGCTCTACTTCATGACCGTGCTAAGACCTGCGCCACCGCGAAAGCTTCCAAGTCTCACTGAAGCCTGTTGAGGAGTTGCGATATGGTGGTATTCAGATGCTCCGCAGCACTATTAGAACAGCACGCCGTCTGCAATGTCGATTGATAGGAACAGCATTGCAGTGAAATGGACGGTTAATGCGAGACAATTGCAAGCAATACTAGCAGTCCGGGCGCGAAAGAAATCATCATTTCAATATAGCATGGTACCTAAGCCCAAAGCTCAGACAGAAAGACCGGTCGTTTGCCTGAGTAATTACGATGGGGTTAATATTGAAATGGACATTGTATGAGTCGACCGTACCTCTCAAGCACTTGTTGGCTCCAGGAACAGCACAAAGTTGGCACAAGGAGCCCGGATTCTGCATGCAGTTGCCCGTGGGTGGGCGGTGGAAGGTAGGGGAGAAATCCCAGGCTGCCCGTTGCATACCGGGGCGCGATAGCGTGTTTACCGGACATTCTGAACATGGTTGAACGATACAAAATCAACGACCCACTGTCATAGCCGGACGGACGGAACACATAATTGCTACGTAGCCCCTGTCCGCGGTCGGAGAACATAAGCGTTTAAGCGCGCGTCGGCCCGACCACTAGCCTTTACGTTGAAATGGAATTCCTCCTATGTTTTCTTCTGATTTTCGGACAGCACACACCAATGCAGAATCAAATGACATTGGTAACGATTTACAATCAAGTCCTGACCTGCAACCTCGGTACTTAGTACTCCCGGTGTACACCAACATGTCATCCCAGCTTCAGCAACGTTTCCGGAATTCGACGCTGTCCATATGACTCGCCGCAGGAGCTTTTATACCGTATGTGGTGGTCCTTTGTGACCCTTTGTCCGTCAATCTGATCGTTGTCCTGTGTAGGCACCAACACGGAGTGTTGTTGTATCGATGAACTTGCGAAAATGAACAATATTGTAGACGTGGACGCCTGCAACTTCGCGTAGGCGCTAGGCACACAGCGTCGCGCTCTTGGCCGAAGAAAAAATAAAGGCCGAAGTGGGGCGCCGTTTTGTCGCTGAATCCCGAAGCCTCGGTGCCAGGACTTGCCAGAACCGCCCCAAAACGGTTATTGCAGCTGTGTATGTGCGCGATGGCGCTTAAAGACGCAGGTGCATGCAGAGCCCATGTGCACAATGTTCTCAAGCTCAAGAATATTATTGATCCGAGTTTAACGCAGCCCGTGGAGCTCCTTCCCTCCGAAGGCGGGAGCGTAGTCTTTGAAAACTGCTCACAGCCGGAGGCATAGACTAACAGCCGCCGGGTGTGAAGCCACTCCGGTTCCTCCGTTCCTTCTCCGGAATGGCATACCGAAAGTCGTTGTAAAGCAAGCGTAGGGCTCCGCGTACAGTAATCACTACGGTTTGTCCTGATGGCTTCCAAGGCTGGTGATTTCTCCTCACCCGCAACTTTCGGATAGGAAGTAGCTCGCGAGAGCTATTTGTCCCTATCGAGAAGTATGGCGGAACGTAGGTAAGGTTTCATGGCATGCTAGGGTACCTTTACCTCATTTACGTCGCGCTGATTGCTTCCAGAAAGCCAGAAGGAGCTCATTTGGTGCGAGCGGCTCCTCAATTAGACAGGCGCCTGATGTAGGTCTCCAGAATTTCGCCCTCCAGGACAGGTCGTTGTTCCTTTTTGTGGAAGGGAGGGGAGCAACATGCGGTGGAGAATCCGCCGACGGCGATTCAGACGACCTGGCGTACATGTGTGCATGAAGGGAAAGTGACCACTTTCTACACCACGCTGTGTAGAATTCGCATAGGAAGATTTTTAGACTTCTGGGTTGCCCCTTATAAAGGTTCTCGGGCGAGGAACTGGCACTCAGGTCCAGTTTGCTCGTCCTCACATCCTTCTACGGCATCTCTACCCATGTCTTCCCCCCTCTCCATCGACAATACGTGAGTCCTTAAACACTCTTGGAATATTTTGGGATGCTGAGACACTTTTTTCATTGTTTAGTATGGGAGCCGCCCTCATCGGGTCCGTTTGCGCAGCTGTGTGAGTCGATTTCAAATAAACACGCGGTCTGTTAAGGACGAATTGAATTGCAGGCTGTACGGCGGTATGTCATCGTAGAGCCCCCGTTCCGGTCCTGTCTCACATGGAGCGCCATTACAGTTTCTTGCATACAGACGTGGTACTACTACGATCGGTACCCAACGGTAAGACGATCCCAAAAGCCATTTAGCCGAATATTCACCTTGAATGATAGGATGCGTGGTACATCAAGTACTTGGTGAGAGCTGTCTGTGAATCCTTTTGTCTTTGGGGCTCTGAATTCGTTGTTCGCCGTCTAGGTCGCCTCCGTTTGGGTTTTTGATACTATACACCAAGTTCTCATTAGCCACACGGGTGCGTACGATTTCTTAGATACGATGAGTTTCCGTCGATTATTTACTGTTCTCAGTCTACCATTATCTTGTTTCAAACTACACAAATCCGGCGATGCTGGCCAACATTATATGGTTAGTACTATGTCTGATTTCAAGCCGCGCCGTGCCGCATTCTCAAACTCCCGTCATCTCCCAGGAGCGTTCTTGTAGGGTGCCATCAACTCTTACTGCTTCCAATGCTGAAATGATTATGCTCGTTCTAGCTTGAAGTTTTATTTAACGTACGTTTCAACACCGGCCTGCTCGCTTCGCCCCGTCTGATCATTGTTTGATCCACGCAGAGCCTCATATGCCTTCTCGTGCAAGGTTTCTTGACCATGAGAGTGTGGCGTAGTGAGTGATCCAACCATACCCTCGCAATCCTTCTCGACTCTAAATAACTTCGCATTGTAAAAGTGAGCAACAAGAATAAGATCCTCACGTTCATCGTCGTAAGTCGCTTATCGTCAATGTGTTTCTCCGCTGCACTAGGCTCTGACACTGTGTTGCTCCCAGCTTTGTCTAGTTATTGCGGAGTTCGGTATGTCAACCAGACTTTGACTTTTCACGATTGACATGGAACTCATCGGTATTCGTCTTAGTATGCTCTGTTGGTAAGTCCCTGTCTACGTAGCTCATTGCTCTCAAGCTTACCTCCGGTTCAGTTTTCGTAGTACAATCGTAGGCCTTCTACTCCCTTCCCTAGTGTTTAGTGTTTGGCTAAACCCAGACGAAGGATGCAACTTCAAACATGGCTTGAACTCAGCCAGCTGAAGGTAAAGCCCTCCTCAGCTGATCCACAATTTGACTTATCGGCTGCCCTTAGGGTCTTTCCATGGCAGTCAATGTCCTTGCCGCTGCAGGGGATGCGCTGATTGCGGCGTCCCTCGTGTTTCTGCTCCGACGCTCACGAACAGGATTCAAGAAGTCCGTATCCCTTCCCTTTCTTTACCCGATAAACAAAAATAACACTCGTGATCAACTGTCGTTCTTAGATCAGACACGATGATCAGTCGGCTGGTATGCCTGCTTTCCACCTTATCTCGCCTCATATCATCCCGAAGCTGATTGGGGAATAGATTGTTTTTACGGTCAACACTGGTCTTTTCACTTCCATTTGCGCTGTCATGTCCCTCGTCTCGGTGGGTGTCCCGTGCCATGCGTCCGCTGCTCATGTGGGTCCGCTGACTGATGTGATTCTTTTCATTTCGCACAGATTATTGTATGGGGAAACACCTTGATCTATGTCGCATTCTATTTCAGCTTGGGTCGACGTGCGTTCCAGGATCTTCTACACGAGGCGGAGCGCTGATTACTAGCGCTTGTCATTCTATTCAATTCGATGCGGCCTTGTGACGTATGGGAACAGTATACTCAAATTCTTTATTGGCGACCTTGAATGCTCGCCAGGAAATACGGAATCTCGCAGACGAGATGGACACACTGTCGCTGTCCTTTCGTAGCGGTCCAAGTTCTTTCGGCTCGGGATCAAAGGTGAGTTGCAGTAAGGACGGGTGTTGGAGCATCCCTCCCGACGCTTCTTGGCTGGGCATAGCTGACTAATTCATAGAAACCTACCAACATCTCCATCGTGATTGACACTACACAGGATTTTGTTCGGGACCGCGCGATGACCATGACGGACTCAGAAACAGAGGTACTGCTTCATTTTCATTACGGCACAACTATAGATCTGACTGCAAATTAAGTCCCCAATAACCGATCTCAAGGACGAGGTTTGAACTGCACCACACCGAATGCTAATACTTGGAAAAACGGAATATGGACTGGGAGCAGATACATACTACCGACCTCTTCAGGCAAGAAGTTCTTGAAGGTACATGATATCTTGGACTGTTTCTACTGGATCTTCCGCACAGTATACACGTGTATGAGTACCTCTATGTTTGACAAAAAATCCCATGTAACTAGTAGACGCGCTTTTCACAGTTGCCATTTATGGGTATGATGGTTCGGGCGACCTCAAGGCGTCGACATTCTTCTTCAGTACTTCATCGGCAATACCGACGAGCTCCTCGATGCGCCGAGCCAGGCAGCCGTTTTCCTTTAATGAATTCAGTGGTTCCTCCTTGATCCTCTGGCCATCAGAAGCTCTGGGCTGAAGTGATCTGCCCCCGATTGCTCTCGAAAAAGACACAACACGTTGTTCGCGCTGGTGCCACAGACAATGATTATCAGCAAACGTGGCGAGCGGCGAGGATTCTGCGATTGATCCTCTGTGAAGTCGCGACTCGGGTGCATATGCCACTATTTCGCGTTTCTGGCAGGAGAGTGGCCGATTGGCGTTAATGCGCCATGATCCCGACTGCCTCTAGAATTTTTAATTCATCGTGGGTGTAACCAGGAGACCGGGTACGTACATCTGTGTTGCTAAAGCGGGCCTGGGGACGTTGGCCTGCTGGTTCCTGGTCCGTTCATGTCATTAACGTGGCTCTTCTGGTTAGCTCAAGGATCAGAGCTTGTCTCGGATTCCCATACTGATCTTTTTCGACTGCTCCCCGTCACCCTTCTCCAATCTGGGATTAGGTGCCATACGATTGCCGCGGGCTTCTCAGTTGTCACCTCTCAGACAATTTCCAAGCTTGTGGTGATCTCGTCACTACAGAAAATCCTTGGTGCGCAATTTAAAACGCTGTCTTTTCCATGAACCGCTCACTGAAATTTCCCCCCTCTTTGGACCTCCTTGTTTCGAAAATGGATTCACTCATTGCCAGATTGTTGGCTGCCTCTCTTTTCTTTGCCATCTTCATCGCTCTTCGTATCAAATTTCGCCCCCGTAGACTCCCCCTTCCTCCTGGTCCCAAAGGACTCCCCCTCGTCGGCAATGTACTGGATATGCCCAAAGAACAAGAATGGTTGACCTTTGCCAAGTGGGGCGAGAAATGGGGTAAGGTGTCTCGCATGATCAAGCCATGTTCAATAGCTGATTGTCAACGCAGGCGATATCTGCTCCATAACCATCCTTGGACAGACGGTCATTATTCTCAATTCCCCTGAAGCCGCTACCGACATGCTCGATAAGAAGAGTTCCATATACTCTGACCGTCCGATATTACAGATGGGTGGCGAGCTGGTCGGCTGGAAGAATACGATGGCCCTCCTTCCCTATGGCGAACGCTTCAGAAATTACCGGCGCTCCTTCCACCGAACAATTGGCACCCGTTCTAGCGTAGCCCAATTCCACTCACCGCAGGAACTCGAGACGCGTAGATTCCTTAGCCGGGTCCTTGTGAATCCCGGAGAATTGTCTTCGCACATCCGACAGTGAGTCGCCCCCCTGTCTGCATGATGGTTCTTGATTCTCATATGTTAAATTGCCTCTAGAGCTGTGGGCTCGGTGACTCTGCGAATCACGCACGGCTACGAGACAAGAGAAGCCAACGACCCCTTCATCGAATTAGCCGACAAAGCCACCAATCAGTTCTCATTAGCCACAGCACCCGGTGGCTGGATGGTTGACTTCATTCCCTGGTGTAAGCTTTTTAACTTGAACACCATGTCTTACGTCTAACGATCCATTTCACCCAGTGCGCCATGTGCCAGACTGGGTTCCCGGCACAGAGTTTAAACAGAAGGCCAAGGCCTGGTCCTGCACACTGAACGCAATGGTTGACCAGCCCTTCGAATTCGTACAGAAGCAAATGGTATGCACTTATCTTCCCCGCCCCCTGTGTGGCTTGACGTCGAATCATCGAATAGGCTGCGGGAGTCGCACCCCCTTCCTTCACTTCCTTATTGCTGGAAAGCAAGCAACCGCACCCGGAGGCTGAGAATGATATCAAATGGATTTCTGCTTCGCTCTATTCCGGTATGTCACCTCCTTCTAACCTACACTCGCAATCTAATACCTTCCTACTTTCACTGTCTAGGTGCTGCTGACACAGTAAGTCTGAATTATTACATACAAACATGGCAATTAAACCTACCCCGTCAGACTGTCTCGGCCATTTATGCTTTCTTCTTGGCTATGGTACTACACCCGGATGTAGCCAGCAAAGCTCAGCAAGAAATCGAGGCGGTCGTTGGCACCGAGCGGCTACCAAACTTCGCCGATCGAGAGCATCTGCCATATGTCAGTGCTCTCACCAAGGAAGTGCTGAGATGGAATTCCGTCGTTCCATTAGGTTGGTTGTATTATCTAGCCTTTACCTCTGCGCCGTTCTAAATGTTGTCTAACAGCAGTCCCTCACGTCGCGACACAAGACGATGTCCACGAAGGTTACTTCATCCCGAAAGGATCGCTAGTCATGCCAAACTTATGGTTCGTACGCTGCCACACCTCCAATCGTAGACCACAACTGATTTTGATTCCAGGGGAATGACCCATGACCCTCGTCGATACAGGAATCCCACTGTTTTCAACCCCGAACGCTTCATCCCATCGGAAGGACGCCACGTCGAACCAGACCCATACGACGTAGTCTTTGGTTTCGGTAGACGGTACGACCACTCGCTTCTCTCTCACAAACAAAGTATCATGACTGACGTGATTCACCAATTACACCTTATCTGTAAATTAGCATTTGTCCAGGTATGCACGTCTCCACTTTCTAGAAACTAGGCGGCGTCTGACGATTACAATTATAGGTTCCCATTTGGCCGACGCGACGATATTCATCACATGCGCGATGTCCCTCGCTGTCTTCGATATCTCGAAGGCAGTAGAGAATGGGGTTACCATTGAACCCGTCCACGACAACACAACAGGCACCATCAGGTATGCCGATATCATACTTTAAACGTAGCGATAGGGGCTAACGACGCGTTCTTCTTCTCCCCAGCCGACCAAAACCTTTCAAGTGTTCCATCTCTCCGCGGTCAGGAAAAGCCCTTTCACTGATACAGTCCGGGGAGCAAGAATAAGTACGAAGGTTCCCTTCCAATCTCGTGCTCTCCCTTGTTCTCGCTTCTCTCAATTCGGGTCCTGTGTACTCTATGGTCTATATTTGCTATTTATGCCTACGTCTAAATCTTGGTATTTTTGTTTAACTGTGGTCATGGGATATGTAAAATGTACCTGAATACTACTGCTGGGCAATAACACATATCTGGTTGTGTAAAATTCTAGTACATCAGAACGTGGAAACGTACTTGAAGTGTACCTTTTTTCGCTCCCTCAATTCGGAAGATAGACGTATATGGTTGCCGACTTTTCGAAGACATCTTCATGGCCATCGAGGGCCGTTGCTTCTCATCTTGATCATATCTGTGCAAGGTGTGTCTCAAGTTGGAAGTAAGTTCTGTGGGAAATACAGTGTCCCACCTTCAGCAACAATACAATAGGAGTATTACAGTAAAGATACAAACAGGGCTAGTGTGGTTTACCAGGACCAACGGTCGAAGCCCGGATATCTTTAACTGAGCTATTTAAACTATCAACGGCAACACGGTTGTTACAACCTCAGCATTTGCCGTGACCGCGGCAGGGGTTTGATCTCCTCCAGGCTCGTTGCTTATTGCAAAAGCGACGGGAGATTCGCTATGGGTAGCGGCGGGAGATGCGACAGCATTCAAGGGTGCCTTGTCCTTGGTTTCGTCCTGGAAGGCGGATGGAGAGGACAGTGGGTCTGGGCTTGGTGGAACGATGGTAATAGGCATAGGTTCAGAGGATCCCGACGTCGGGACGGAGATGGCAGCTGCCTCGGGCTCGGCTTCCGGAGGGCCATTTGTAGTTGATGAGTTTACGTCCGTAGATGCGACCTTGGGCGTATCCGTCCCACCTGAACCTTCTTGTGGTACATTCCAGTAATTAGCACATCGTTTGGTAAGTGTACGTATAATCTACCTTTCAGCGGTTCTTGTTGCTGTGCCACTTCGGAGTCGTCAACCTTCTCGCCTCTGTCTTCCCGAAGAATCTTCTGCAATGACCTCCTAACCGCAGAAGAAAATGATTCGTCGGTAACGGATTGCATGTCCGCTGCAGCGCGTTCGACAATGGGGTATCTATGAATTGCATCTTGTTTCACAACTGTTGCGGATTAGAATCGAGTGACTGGCCCACCTGTCGACTTCTTGCATCAGGGACTTGTGAATATGCTCCTGAGACATATATTGCCTCTGTTCGGAGTCCAGCCATTGCCGAGCGATTCCTTCCACTTTCTCTTTCAGCCTGGTCGCCGCATCCTATCGAAAGACTTTGAAAAGATGGTTTCCCATGGCAGCCGTGGTCAAATTGGCGCGTACTCACGCTTCGCTGGAACTCTTTCAATAGTTCGCGCCTGAGGCGGTCAAATTCCCCAGACTTTTTGAATCTAGGGTTCAAGTTACGTTACAGCCTGAATCTCGCAGTAAAAGTAACGCAGGATCTTACTCGTCAACAAGCTCCCTGGGCGTCGTGATTGGCATTGCAAGCTGGAGTGCTGCGAACGCGATCGCATGGTGGCGAGAGACTGGCGACTGAGAAGAGCCCACGGCCTCCGGCTACTAAACTGTCGTTTGAATAGCCGGGGTGCTATTCGAGTCGGGATCATCTCGTTCTCAAGCCACGAGTCTATATATTCCAGATCTCAGGCAAGTGGAAATCAGCGCCACGTATGTTCGCCTCACTCATAAACCGTCTCTCTGCGTTCCTCACAGGCCGCCCAGCATCGGTCGAGGACAGGGTCTCGCAAAGGAATCTTGGAATTCGACTCGATCAAGAAGATCAAATGCAAGGGACAGACTTCCCCCCGCTAAAGAATGACCTCATCCTGCGGGCTGCCAGAGGCTAGTTCTGCACTGAGCATCCTCTCGTTGATGGATTTTAAACGGTTTGCATTGCAGGCCTGGAGACGGAGCACGCCCCAGTGTGGGTGATGCGGCAAGCGGGCAGATATCTCCCAGGTACGTAGAGATTTATCATCGGACGCATGTGTTGTACTGACCGGTGGATGATAGAATTCCGGGAGGTTAGAGCGTCACACGAGTTCTTCGAGGTCTGCAGGACGCCGGACTTGGCAATGGAGGTGACTTTGCAACCCATCCGACGATACACGGGTTTATTGGATGCCTCAATCATCTTCAGTGACATCCTTGTCGTGCCACAGGCCATGGGAATGGAGGTGGAAATGAACCCTGGTCCCCACTTCCCCGATCCATTAAATACTCCGGACGATATCAGTAAACTCTCACCTTCAGTCGATGTGAACAAAGAATTGAAGTATGTATTCGATGCGATCACACAGACGCGGAAAGGACTCAACGGGGAGGTGCCGCTCATCGGGTTCTGCGGTGCGCCGTGGACACTGTTCTCATACATGGTGGAAGGAGGTGGGACCAAGACGTTCCAAAAATCAAAGACATGGCTCTTCAAGTACCCAGAAGAGTCAAAGAAATTGCTCCTCCGAATTTCAGACGTTTGTGTAGACTTCCTAGTCGGGCAAGCCAAGGCTGGGGCTCAGGTAGGTCGAGGTACACCTCTTGCTCAAACATAAGATTAATACTTAGTTAGTTACTCCAAGTCTTCGATTCCTGGGCCGGCGAACTCTCCCCATATGACTTCAGCGAGTTCGCCTTACCTTCCCTCCAGGCCATATCCTCAGGCGTTCGCAGCAAGCTCGCGGCGGAGGGCATTCCCGTACCTCCACTCATCCTCTTCGCAAAGGGTGCCAACCATGCTCTTCCTCTACTCGCCGAACAGGGTGGTTACGATGTGCTGGGCATCGATTGGTGTATTGATCCCGTCGAGGCTCGACGATTAGTAGGAGACAAGGTTGCACTACAAGGCAACATGGACCCAAATGTCCTTTACGGCGGCAAGGATGCCATAGAGCGTACTGTCAAAAGAATGTGTGAAGGATTCCGCAAAGATCGAGGTACCAAGGGGTGGATATGCAACCTAGGGCATGGCATAACCCCCGGCGTCGACACGGAAGATCTTCGTTGGTTTTTAGAATGTGTACACAAATATTCAAGAAATTGATCTTGTAGGCTTCGTGTGTATCCTTTACCATATCTCAGAACGGTAGATATACTAAATGATGAAATAGTTGCGATAACAGAGCTACACAGGACACCAGGAGAATGCTAAGCTATGATTGATTGAGACCAATGCTTGCAGAGCGACATTGAGGCCGTAAAATATAATATATATTGCGTGGGATGGGAGTGGGGGAAATGCGGGAATGCGTGCAGACAACTAGGAAGTAGATAAAGATCTCATTATGAATGGGGTTCCAATAGACCACCAGAAATGGCTCGGCTCGACCGGTAGCGCGAGGAATATCAGGGTTTTATGCGATAACATCAGCAGCACTAAAACTGCTGCGCCGACGTCGAACGTTTCGGAGATTGGGTCCTTTCGTTTTAGTGCCAGGTACAACGACGGCAGAGGTATTATTCGTGACCCATGCATCGGAATTCACGGTATCAGTCCGTCGCAGGGATGAAGCCACAGATGCCACATCGCTCAGCGTTGAAGCATGGTGAGGGCGTTTAGAAGGAACGAGTGTTGGCAGACGTGAAGGTACAGGGGGCGCGGGATTCTTTCTTGCACGGGTATTCGCAGGGACCGCAGCAGCAGCAGCAGCAGCCTTCGCAGCAGCAGCAGCCTTCGCAGCAGCCGTTGAACGGGTCGTCGCAAGTCGGGGTATTTTATTTGGCCCAGGACCACCTTTCGTCGGAGAAGCGATCGGCGCGGCGTTCGCGGGTTTCCTTGCTGCTCCCGAGGCCGCGGTGGAACGTGTCACACGGGTTGGCTTTTGCTCAGAAAAGCTGTTGCCCCTGGTTGCTCCTGTCCGATTAGACTTACGTCGAGGGGGCACGACATCTAGCGCTGGGAGCACATCGTCCATCTCATCGTCTTCTTCGTCGCCTCTCTCTTCATCTGAATCGCAAATTCGTCTGTTGGCGGCAACGGGAGACTTTCGAGGTTGTCCTGGGGGAAGTATGGCCCTGGCTTTAGCAGTAGCTTCAGCAACATGGCGGCCGGGCGTTACTGGTTGTAACACATGCGGCACGAGCTTGATGGTAGACATTTCGTCGTCCGTTTCCGCAGGTGGTGTTGCTGGAGTGACAAGTGTAGCCGATTCGAGAGCAGCAGCAACTTGCTGGCGCCTTATCTCATCTATTGCAGCCCATTTCGTCCACTCTAGTTGCTTCAGATACATATACTGTTGTTGAGGCCCGACGACGCTGCCAGGGCGTACGATTCGCATGAAAGCGATTGCCTCGTTGGCGGTGAACCCATATTTCCAGATAAGGTAAGCGCCGATGAGAGTTCCAGTCCTCCCTAGGCCAGCTTTGCACTGAAACAACAATCAGAGTCGTCAAGGAACAAGCAGATTCAACGTACGTGGACAGCGACGACTCCCCCATCTTCGATGACTTTGTCCACTGTGTCAATGAATTTACGACATATCTCGTCGGTAGGATTGGTACCGTCGTCGAAATACAGCTCCAGATGGTCGATTCCCCTCTCCATGAAAGTAGCACGATCGTATAGTTCGGTATTCAAACGTATAACCAGCTTGATATTCCGCTTTTCGAAGTAATCCAAGCAGTTGAGGAAGGGGACGGGGAGTTTCCGTTGTAACGCAAGCCTGCTGTTGGTACTACTCGACAAAGAGGATGATAGTGATGTCGACCCCGTAGACCCATCGCTAGCGACCGAAGTGGGGGCCTTCATTTCTTTCTCTCGTTGTAACCAATTCGGATCCACCGGAGAAGCGAAAGCAATAAAGTTGGGCGTTATCCAGTTCCAATCTCCGTTTTCCACCTTTTCGTAATATTCGTAATCGTCGACGTTGAATTCGTTCATATCGCATAGACCATTCTGCATGGCTTTCCAGAGGCCCCATAAGCAATCTTGGATATTGAGATTGAAGTCCGAGGGGCCACGACCAGCGTCTCTAAACGGCATGAATTCAAGTTCAGCAATGGGTTGGAATGCTTCCCAGGGGGCGCGTCGCTGTACAATCATCTGTGGAAGTTCTCGTAAGAAGCCACAAGGGAGATATGAAGACGAGAACGTACGACGAATAGTGCCATCAGAAGGGCTGAATTAGCCTTCCGTCTTGGATCATTCGACGAATATAGCACAAGCCGGTGTGACTTGAGTTCGGAATCCTGGGTGGCAGAAAACATACACGTGAGCAGCACGAGGCAGGCTAGATGGGGAGCGTACCTCGAGGAGTTCGTGTAGCAATATGCAAGCCTTGTACACCATGGCCAAGTTCAATGGGCCCCAATCCTGAAAGAAGGATAGATACAGTAGTTGGTTGTCGATTGAGAAGTAATAGTACAAGGCATCGTTGTCCGGCGTGCTCGATGGGCCAGCTTTGGGACGGGCTCGAACGCGTGGCTGATTGCCTGGTTCGGCTGATAATCGATTAAGGACTTGGGCATTGGGGGCAGGATGAGGGAATGTGGTGAAATACAGCCTAAGAGCGCGATATAGTTAGTTTCTGTTCCAAGGAAATGCTACAGCTGAGATAGCCTACGCGCCTGTCGCTGAATTGACAAAGTGGCTCGCATTTTATCGCCATCGTGGTTGTGGTCAAGAATGGAGTTGGGTGGCAGGTCGCTTCACCACCCCGGATGTGGTTGCTGGTCAAGGCGCGGCACCTTCAAACTCAGGCTGCGTGGAAATGAAAGACGTGTCACGTGACCAAGATGAGGCCAAGCAAGGACAAACATTAGATACTTCCTTGTTGAACGTCTTCTAAACATATCGGTATTGCGACAGAGAACGATGGTGGATTCCATCACTGGTAAACTTCAAAAGTTATCGAGGTAGTATATATACTCGACTGAGAAAAGAACAGGTTGACCATCAATTTCCACGATTTGCCACGTCAATCACTCATGGCAGTCTAGATGATTATGCATGGATGGCTTTAGTACAACTTGGAATACTCAGGCTGGCGGCTTCCCATCCTCGAGTCAGTATATTGAAAGGTTATACTATTCTGGCGCCAAATGAGCAATTTACCAAAGATACGCCAAGACATTGTTACACCATCTTCCAACTAATTGATACGGACAAGAATGGTGGCGATATAAATATGGCAGCTGTGGATCCAAGTCAGTCGAAGCGGGGTTTCCCAGTGTGCTATGTAAGGTGCGCATACTGCATTATTATAGGCTGCTACCTACATACGAGGCATCCTGGCTTAGAGATGATCTCAGAATATTCTTGATGTGTGTCTTGCTGGATTTATCCTCGGATACAACGGGAATAGACTACTGTGCCGTACCGCAAGTAGACCTAATCATGTTGATCAATGGTCAATCAAGTTACAGCCTGTCGAATGAGTGAGAATACCCTAGGTGAGCGTCAATATGAGAGAATCGTATAAAGAGGACACAGTGGAAGACCAATAAACACAATAAATGGCACCCAAGCAAGCATGAACACCCAAAGAGACCGTCGGGAAGGTACCGCTAGCTGTTCGAAAAGACCGCAAGCTCCCAGAGCCTCATCGATGTTTTCAGGGGCTCATTCATTGCAGATCAATTGCAGTGTGGTATAACTGGGAAAACGTAAAGGGAGAGTACGAAGGGAAGATTTCTGTAGCCTTGGGGAAACAATATGTCATCAAATTTAATGCCCTGGAGGTCTATCCCTACACCGAAGAGACTCAGGGCTTTTCAAATAGCCCCTCAGGAAACATTTTCGCTGGGAAAGTTTACGCCTGCATTTCGCGCTTTCATCTCGCTGGTAGCCCATGCGCACAGTGCTTGGTCGATGCGGTCGAAAGGTTCGTCGAAGAGTACGGCGAAGACGGCAAACTCCATTTCAATGAAGCCGTAAGCAACGGAGAGTTTATGCTCAACGTAAACGAGAGCATCAATGCGTCTGTCATTGGATGCGAAGTCAAGGATGGAACCTACCGAGTTCTCTTCAGATACGATTGCCTTGGCTACAATCAGAGCACCATTTATGAGACGATGTTGACCTCAATCGACTCCACTCCACGGGAAGGTTCCCCGGTCGAAATTAAAGCCTCCATTACCACCTATTGGGACGGAGGAGCAGAGGACGTCCATCAGGCGATAGGCAAAATATTGACGATGCCCGATGTCGTGATCGATCCCAACTTCGAAGAGAACTACGCAGCGATGGGGCCCTATTTCCGTGAATTGGAAGGAGAAGTTCGCCAACGTCACTCTTGAATACTTTAATGGTGACAAGAATTCAAAGACGACGACTTGCTCAAAGAGAAGTGCTTACATCGAAAACGTTTAAACTGTGGATGGTCGAAACCATGAAGACTCCCGGCATTCACGAGACCTTCTTCGAAGATGGCGTTTGCTACATCCAGGTGAGCGGCCGAACGTAATTCTCTTCCGCTGATGCTGGATTTCCCACCGCAGACCACTGTAGAGAACTGGGAATATAACCTGCCATCCGTCGGCGAGGGCCTGGTGGATTCATTGTGAAGGTGATAATAGATCGTCACATCCGTGTTATAGATGCATGTGAGGCAAATGCAGCGAGGAAACCTTCGACGTTCGTGTAGAAACTGTTATAATAATATTGCAACAAAGCAGTCTAGAGAACATACCTTACTGCAGGGTCCTGGGCCCCAAAAATGAAGAGCAACAACTTGGATGTAAACTCAGACTCGGAGTCCGACTCGACAGGCGAACCGGACAGCCATGCCGAGGTATCCTGGCAGTGTTTGGCTCTGTTGTGGCACGCGTCTTGTGGTCATCGTCGGAAGTGCCTCTCACCTTGAGTCCACCGTCAAAAGGGTTCCCCCGCAAGCTGAAGAGTGTTGCAGACCAACAACGCATCTTCGGGACCCGCTTTAGGCTTGCGACAAGATGCCCGACGCTCAGATTTTCAAGGTGTGAACTTTGTCATTCTTCCGTCCCTTCAGACTGCATTACGCGAATATCTTCTAGGCAACCTACAGCGGAATCCCCGTGTACGAGATGTACGTGGTATATGACACGGACTGACACGCAAACTAAAACCATTTTCGCGCTCAGGATGTGCAAGGGCGTAGCGGTGATGCGCAGGCGCTCAGACTCTTGGCTTAACGCGACACAAATTCTCAAAGTCGCTGGTTTCGATAAACCTCAGCGTACGCGTGTATTGGAGCGCGAGGTTCAGAAGGGCGAACACGAGAAAGTTCAAGGAGGCTATGGTAAATACCAAGGTAAGTGTCTGTCTCACTAGCCTCATCCCCGCCATTGAGCCGCAATCCCAGGAACATGGATACCCCTTGAGCGGGGCCTTTCACTGGCCAAGCAGTATAATTGCGATCATATCCTGAAGCCCATCATTGAATTCCAACCAGCTGCCAAGAGCCCACCATTGGCACCTAAGCATTTGGCCGCCGGCGCTGCTCCTAAACCTGCACGTCGAGCACCGCCTCCCGAATCGGCGTCTGCTGTCAACACAAGGTCGTCTCGTAAGCAGGTCGCCGATGTGGTAGCCCCAGTGGTGGAACAGGAGCCACTGTCACCTCAAGCCTCTGAAGATGGAACAATGACGCCTTCGCCATCCGAATCATCATCAAGCTCCAGAACCCCGTCGCCGATCCATAGCCCACAACCATCTCATGTCTCGCTTGCTACGGACACCTTGTCTACGGCCAGCGGCCGCAGAAAGACTCGTCCAGCTGCCAGCACACCTGTTGACGTTGCCATGTCCGGTGACGAGCTTCCTTCCAAAGCAAACGGTATCGAGGACAGACGGCCCTACGGTGATCAGATGCTGGAGTACTTTATTTCCGACTCTAACGATGTTCCGCCACTTCTGCTCAGACCTCCGCCTGATTATGACCCTAACATGGCTATTGACGACGACGGACATACGCCTCTGCATTGGGCGTGCGCAATGGGACGCATTCGCATCGTCAAGACTTTACTATCACTTGGCGCCGACATCTTTAAAGTCAACAAATCTGGTCAAACTGCCCTAATGCGCAGTGTTATGTTCGCGAACAATTACGACGTCCGCAAATTCCCCGAGCTCTATGAGCTCCTCCACCGCTCGACTCTCAACATTGATAACTATAACCGAACGCTCTTCCACCACATTGTGGACGTCGCCATGTCGAAAGGCAAAGTGCATGCTTCCAGATACTATATGGAGACGGTCCTGGGCCGATTATCCGAATACCCCAGAGAACTAGCCGATATCATCAACTTCCAGGACGAAGACGGCGAAACTGCGTTGACTATGGCGGCGCGCTGTCGTAGTAAGCGTCTGGTCAAGATTCTCATTGACCACGGAGCGGACCCGAAAATAGTCAATAATGATGGTAAAAGCACAGAAGATTATATTTTGGAGGACGAGCGATTCCGCTCCTCCCCCGCCCCTCCTTCACGCACCCAGTCTATGTCCTTCCGCAATACGCACCCGGCTTACCATACCCCCCATCCTCCGTTAAATTCTCTCGCCGGAACTAATGGTAGTCTGCCACTCCACTACTCCGTCGCGGCCCAAAGAGCCAGCACACGTTGTACCAATGACATGGCAATTATGCTGGATAGTCTAGCCGCATCCTTTGACCAAGAGCTTCACGACAAAGAACGGGACATGGCGCAAGCACACGCCCTCCTCACGAATATCCAGCAAGAAATATTGGACAGCCAGCGAACGGTGACGAATTTAAAGGTCCAGGCAGACAAGCTCCCTACTGCCAAGCAGAAGTTGCACGACATGAAAGACGAGCTACATGCCAGGATGGGGATGCGCTATCGCCTAGGTTGGGAGAAGTGGCTAAAGGAAGAGGAAACGCGTGAAAAAGACATTCGAGACGCGGCTGGTGGGGAGCTTGTCCTCACGGAAGCCACTGCTTCGTATCAGCCGGACGATAGCGCTGACGGGGTGGAAAGCGATAAAAGCAGAGGAAAGCGAAAAGCCCCCTCTCAGGCTGAGGATATCTCTGATTTACTTCTACTGCACGAGGATATACCAACCGACGAGGGCGCTTTGCATCAGGCCTGCGAGTCACTGCGGCGAGAGCTTTCTCAATACAAGAAGAGACGTATAGAGCTCTTCGACGAACTTGTCAACTTCCAGGCAGAGGCCGACACCAGTGAGCGAATGACCGACTACAGGCGACTGATTGGCATTGGGTGCAACAAGCCTCCGGGCGAAGTGGACTCTGTGCTCGGCTTGTTGCTCGAGGCAAGTGCTCTCCTCTGACGACATTCTGGTTTCACGCTAACCTTATCTTCAGACCCTAGAAGCAGAAGAACCAACAGCATCGAGTATTGCTTGGAATACTGGCAGGCAAATAGTGATTGGTTGAACGACGGACCCGTTGACCGCAGGCTGTTTATTTAATTATTTAGTTGTTATGCTGTGTACGCTGTTACTCTTTTGAATCTGTTGTAACTGTAAATCTGCCCCACAAATCAATTTCGACATTTATCCCCTCCATCTTCTCTTTAGCTGATCGTGACAAGAATTCCGCCTGACTGTCACGGAACGGAACGCGTTACTATGTCACGCTACCCTTCGGAATCGGCGCCTGCCATTTTCATTCCGCACGAACTTTTGGATTGATTCATATGTCGGCCGTCTTCAGCAGGAGGGAGTTGCTGGGTGCTGCAACCACCTCCCCATGGACGAAAGACTTCCGTCACCTCAAAAGCTTCCCCCGACACTGGCTAAAACGCTCTAACATTCGCGGCGACCCCGTCTTGAAGTCTGTTCGACCCGCCGACCGGATAAAATACTGGAATATTGTCCCGGGGGACCAGATTCGCGTCCTTGGTGATAAGACACGCACTCTGCGCGAGGTTTTGAGTATAAACCGGATAAGCAACAGGGTATTCGTGCGCGGCACGCCGAACGTGAGTTCCCCGTCCGTTACTTTCTGTGCTGTTTCCGGAACGTTGGGCATACTTTGATAGGCTGGTGAAGAGGTTAAGCCAGGGAAGGTACCACAGAGCAAGAACTTCCACTACTCGCGGTGTCAACTATTTGTTGGCAACTATGAATTTCCAGCAGATGTTGGGTCCACCGAACCTCGCATCCTACCGTATGAGCCCGTATTAATATTCCTCTTATGCACTAACTTATACTCTGTTGCTTTAGTGTCTATGCCCAGCGAGTAGGGACAATGAAACCATACTGGAATCGACGGTGTCATCGTTATGAATGGACACGATTCGCAACGCGAACAGTGCCTAAAATACCGTACCTCGCAGACGAGAAAATCACCATACCGTGGCCTCGACCTGACAAACCAACCCCAGCGGAACGTAAGTAACCAAAGGCACCGTTCACTCGTCACTATACTGATCAACCACTAGCGGGTGCGTATGATACCCAAGCGGATGTTGTGTCAGAAGTCACGTATAAGCCCCCTCAATTCCCCGTATCTCTTCGAGGGCCGCTACCTAGGCCTCCCCCCGAGCAAAAGTTCCTGAGGGCGTTGACGTTACCCGAGGGTGATTTCGCAGAATTTGAGGATGCGCCAGTGGAAGTCTTTCTCTCAAAGGAACTCGCCAACCCCCATTCTCGCGCCAAGAAGCAGGCTAGATGGCAGGCTTATACATTGTTTACGAAGACCCTCCTTCAAGATTACAATGCTGCAGAACTCCGTAGTCTCAATGGACGAACCCCGAGAGAAGCCAAGGCTGAGGCTGCTTGGAAATGGAGGGCTAAGCTGGAAGAGTTGAAGAAGGAGCAGAGGAAACAAAGGTGGAAGCACAAGGCTAGCGTCGCAAAGGTAGAGAGGAAGAATACCAGGAAGGCGAGAAAGGAGCTGAAGAAGAGAGAGAGGCTTACGGCAATGGTGCTGGAGGATGCTCCCAATCAAGTGGCACCAAAGAACATACAGCTTTAGGCACATATCCCTTACATAGCACCGGGCCTCCATACATAGACGATAGTCGCCTACTACTCTGCTTCTATAACCGTGACATATATAGGCGCTTATTGTCACTTCCCCTTCATGCAGTCCCAGTGACAACAAGCTACCTTCACCTCCATCATGTCGTCCTTTTCAACTGAAGCTCTGTACCACTCGATACCGCAAGCCCCAGTGGCGGCGAATCCCCTTGCGCCGCCAGCCGACGCAGAGATTGATGATGTACTTGAGCTTCAGGAGTCAGATATCCTGCAACCGCCGCAAGATCCTCATGCCGAGGCGCGAATAGGCTGGATTCACTTCATTCTGGGAGCTGTCATTCTCCTTCCATGGAATGGTACGTGACGGCTCATGGAACGAAGTCTGAATGAAGTCTAACGTGCTCTATGGTGCAGTCATGATCACCGCGACTCCATACTTTCTTGCTCGGCTATCCGGGTCGCACTACAGGGGCACCTTCAGCTCGTATCTCTCGACATCCTGTACCGCGTCGAACTTTGTGTTTCTGGCTCATGCGACAATTACATCCAAGAAGGTCATTCAGCCTGCTTTATCAACCTTTCACATGGTAACCTGTTCATAGGTCCCTTCAACGCGGATTCGCCAGTCGACCATATGGCTAGTGGTTATGACTTTGTTGCTAACTCTGAGCACATTCGTCACGATATCCCCCGGAATCTTCTTTGCCTTCGTCATCATTAATGGTATCGTTCAGGCCGCAGCAGGATCGTACCTGCAGACTGCCACGATCCAAGTTGCGTCGCTATTCGGCCCCCATACGGTTCAGGCGATGTTCACGGGTCAAGGTGCCGTTGCTGTCGTAGTCAGTGGCGTGCAAGTTGTGAGTGCAACTGTATCCACCTGGGGAGCTAGCCAGGAGACCATCTCGACCTACGTCCTCGGTGATGGCTCGGCAGAGGAACGCTCTGCATTCATATTCTTCGGCCTATCCACTCTCTTCCTGCTTTTCAGCTTAGCCGCTCATGCATGGCTAGTCTCCATGCCCATCTACAAGACCGTTGCTGCGCCTTTGGAACACAAGGCTATCACGGGTAGCACCACCGATGAAATCCAAGGTCTCGTATCCGGCCACAGGCATGAATTCCACGATGAGAAGAAGCGGATAATCCGCGTTGCACGCTTGAATGTCACATACGAAGTCGCCGTGGCCTACGTGTTCATTGTCACCCTGGTAAGCACGCGTTCCTCTGTCAATCGTTTCAATGTGTTCATTGCAGTGCGCAGGCTGTCTTCCCTCCAATCACCGCTTCAGTGCAAACCACCAACCCAACCACGCACCCCCTGCTCTTTAGTGCTATCCATTTCCTCATGTTCAACATCGGCGATTTCTCTGGCCGATATATTTGCTCGTTCCCTCGACTTCTCATTTGGGACTCAAAGCGCCTTTTAATGCTTTCCCTGGCTAGAACAGCCTTTATACCCTTGTTCTTGATGTGTAATGTCCAATCATCGCCAACCAGCTCACCCACGACACCTATCATCAACTCAGACGTCTTATTCATGACCATCCTTCTGGCATTCGGGGCTACCAACGGATATTTATCAAGTCTTTGCATGATGTCTGCACCCTCTTTGGAGCACAACCCGAAATTGCAAGGCCGTCGGGAAGATGTCGATATCGCGGCAACAGTGGCTACTTTCTGCCTCGTCGGTGGCCTGGCAATGGGCAGTATCGCTAGCTTTGCGGTCAGAGCTGCTGTCTGTAATTGTAATCCTTTCGTTTCATGATAAAGTACGGTAAACATTTTGCACTACTTTGTAGAAGCCATTTAAATATGCCAAGGACATAGCATGCGGTCATCATATCATAACACATCTACTAATGCTAGATTGTTCATACCGTAGTACTCCGTTCGCCCGTCCAGCGTTTTGCAATAACCATAGATATCAGTACAGTACAAGTAAATTCATCCGCCCCCGTCAAGGCTAGCTCGCGTGGCTTTGAGACGTCCTCGCACGAAAACATAAAGCTGCCTTATGAAACCATCCTAGTGTCGTACAAGCAAATCCATCTAGTGCGTTGAAAGCATGGGTTGCCACGTTCCGTAAGCAATCTCTTCTAGGTGGTGGAGTTGTACGCGGTCCCAGGATACCGGTATAATGTTTGCCTATAAGGGCGCTCAGTACATCACGCAGAAAACGTGAACAAAGCGTGCAACAAACCTGGAGGTAGTGAACACATGCCCGTGATACTCGACGTGCCAGCGTCGACAGGCTTACGCGTCCGTCATACTTGTCCAATGGGATCTCGTATGTCATGGAACTATAACCAGCCCACTACATCACTCTGTTAGCGCATGAACCCCAAACCCACACCCGCGGAACTTACCTTGATCTTCAGTAAAATTCTCCCGCGGTGGTCGGGATGGAAGTCGTAGTATGAATATGCGTCGTTGTTGGAGAGCCGTTGGTGGGATTGTGCCTCAGACAAATTGATCCCAGCCGTGAATGCTCCCTTTCGCTTGAACTTAACGTGTAGGGAGCTAGGTGGGCGGTAGTTCTCGATCTGTGGCCTCGCGGCGAAGGAAACGGATGAATAACGCCGACTTCGACGACTCATGCTCGGGTGCATCATCGGTGCCATAGAGCCGGGTGGTACCGTCGACATCGCCCTGTCGTCTGCATAGTAGCCATCGCGGTAGCCCACATCGTCGTAGGCTTCGTTTGCAGGTGAGCCAACGAAGCGTCAATATCCAACACAGTGACTTACCCTGCATAGGCATACCAGGAGTCGGTTGTCCATACATAGGATACGACGGCTGCCCATACTTGGAAAAGTATCAGTATGTAAAGGAAAGGGCCCTTCGTGCAAAAGACGAGCATACCTCAGCCATCATCATATTGTCACCAGCACCATAAACACCTGGGTCGCTGTAGGGGTAAGGGGTTGGTGCGTAAGACATGGACCCCCGACGAGAAATCTGTCTGCCCATGTCGTATGCAGAATATGCCATTTTGCAAAGAAATTAAGGCGAAGACGAGTTGTATGTGTGAATTGCTGGATGGCGTGGTGGTCCGAGTGTCTTTTATAGCCGGGTCGCTTTGAGTGGCGACAACGAGGCTGGGAGGTCTCGTTTCTCCAAGCCGCCTCGAGGATGCTTCGAGGACGGCTGATGTGACCTTTGAGATCGTGCATCGTTCCCATGTCTTAAAGAGCGGAACCCTTGCATGTAAGGCTATGCAGTGGGTCCTTTCACGGAGCCACTGAAATCTGGGGTTCAAGGGTACATCAACTCCTTCTAAACGCCTCAGCAGCGGTGTATGATGTTACTAGAACCAGGACTTTTTAAAGACCACCGTGACAATGCGATAGAACAATTCAACCTGACATACCTAGAATTGGCGTCGCCGACCCGCGTACACAATGTCGGGATAGCTCTGTGCCAGGTTCATCAAGCTTGTTCCTTGTGTGTAAAGTGTAAAGTCTATTGAACAGGTCCAATAAGCGCCCACAACCTTGGAGCTTCATTCAATGGTGCAATGTACGGAGTGGGTCGCAAACTCCGTCGTCGTACCGAGGCTCTCCACTGGAACGCGTCGAATCGCGAGCTTCTGGCTATCGTCGGATTCTTCAACGCGTCGGAGTCGTGTGGGAGGCGTAAAAGTCTCGGACGACGAACTTTGCTCGAGAAATCATGACAATGGGGACTGACCACTACCACCCGACCTTTATATGTCTTTGCCATCTGGTCTCATGGAAAAATCCCGTCTCGCGTTTGTCAAGGCCTTTAGGCCTTTCATTTGCACAAACGCTCCCGTCACCAAAGGGCCTAAAGCACCAGCGTTGCAACTACGCCGGTGGACGCAATTCCTCAAACTGCTGCAAATGGCCTTGCGCTTGCCTCCTGGAGAACTATATCGCTGCTGTGCTATATTCCGAATAGCTTTGTTGTTCCAAGGTGTTGGCTATCGCTGCGGAAGGCAATGTGTGTTCCGTCTTTGGCGTGGATTTATTGCTAACCTCACGTTTGCTCGCAGTTGACTCGATGTTGTCTCCCCTCAGAAGCTTTGTCTTGGTACCTGGCTTCCGTCTTGACCCGAGCGCAGTGCTCCTTGAGGTCACTGTCTTTGCGTCAGCTCCCGGAACTTTGGCGGCCAGCCATTGCTCCTCCAAACTCTCTGGATCTGGATACATTTGAAGTTTCGGCTCAACGATAGCTAAAAATTTGACCAGGGGCGTTCTTCCCATGCTCGCCTCCTATCAGACCCAATACCGTGAAGCGAAACATGAAACAGAGTGATTCAGCCACAGGAGGGGCGTTCTTCTAGTTCGTGCAGCTATCACTCGTTTTCACAACACTCCGAACCTGTAGGCGTCGCAGTTCTGAACGGTGCAAGCGTCATGTTCCCTTTATTGTGGCAATAGTACTCAACTTTCATTTCGCCGCATTACATTCGCCATTTGTTCCTCCCCTTCTGTGAATTCCGTCCCTCGAATTTGACGTTCGAGGCGTGTGTCGCTGCGCCTGTCACTAAATAGCTTCTAGCAACTTCCATCTTTCAAGAATAATCCTTGGGTCCTACGAAACCCTTGTCCAGATGGGAATCCTCGCTGCGCCCTATTCCCATCTCGTCCTGCTCCCGGCGACTGTTGTCCAGCCGTGCTACCGTTGACTCATGGAGTATGTTCATGCGAAGAGGCGGCATGTTGCGACGGCAGGTGTGTAGCTACATCACGCAACAGAACGGCAGCGCTGACGAATCTAAGCTTCCTTGTGCCGAACTGGTTGGGTGTTGATGCGTCGATAACGCAACGTTTTCACTACCAACAAAGTCGCTGTTGTCGCACGCTACTTTGATTGAGTAGGGTTTACGATGGCATCATTCAATGTTGGAATCTACGGTATGTTCCCTGCTGTGTAGCTCTGTCAGATGATGATTACCTTGAATCAGAGAGGGCAGACTGCAACTGTCTCCTCACTTTGAGGTATTGCCAGTAGAATAATCATGACTTAGTTGCTGAATCGCACTTCGCACTGCAAGCCTATGCTTACCCCACCCGGACCCCCCACACTATGAGTTACGCAGGGTCCAGTCAGAGTATGCATGACGCGAAATGTATTCCAGACAATCGGGTTGGCGCTCAGAATATCTATGTAAGCTGATCATGCATCGGTACCTCCATCCTCACATCGAACATCCACGATCATGGCCACTCCAGATTTCGCATCGTTCCAGAAAACCTTCGCTGGCGACATCGTTACCCCCGAGCACCCGGACTACGCAAAGGCAATTGCTCGTTGGGCGATTAATGCAGAACGGAAAGCAAAGATTGTAGCATACGTTAAGAATGCCAACGACGTAGCGTTAGCCATTAAATACGCTCAAGCTGAAGGGCTCCCAATCGCCATCCGTGGTGGCGGCCACAGTACCATGGGAGGTAGGCTTCTACTTCCTTGCCCCATACTTCCTTCATCGACCACCCATTGACAGGTTCATCCTCCGAGAACGGTCTTGTTATTGACCTGTCCAGACATTTGAATACAGCGAGGATCGACCCAGAACAGCAGCTGGCCTATATCGGCGGTGGTGCTGTGTGGGCTACTGTCGATAAAGCCGCTATCCAGCATGGGCTTGCGACGGTCGGGGGAACTGTCAATCACGTAAGTTAATCATCATCATCGTGCCGAAGACCCATGCCAATTATTCCGCGTCTTCAATCAGACTGGCGTTGGCGGGTAAGTACCACTATTGGGAGATGAGATATGATCGATCATTGATACTCAACGATTTGCTTGTAGACTGCTCCTTGGTGGTGGATTTGGATGGCTTACTCCCGCCCATGGACTGACCATCGACAATCTCGTACAGGTGAAGTCACGCTTATCTCATATCTAACTCGGGTACTTACAGGACTCAAATCAGGCGACTATCGTTGCCGCAGACGGGGTCGCTTACACTGCCAGTGAAACTGAAAACCCTGACCTGTTCTGGGGTATTAGAGGAGGTGGTAGTAATTTCGGTGTCCTCGTAGAAGCCGTTTTGAAGCTGCACCCTCAACGACGGACCGTTTTCGCCGGTCCGGTGATTTTCAAGGGAGATGTCTTTGAGGAATTCATGGCAGTCACGAAGAAATGGTGGGAAAGTGGGGTTTCTGACAAGGAAGCCATCCACGAAGTGTTCACGGTAGCTCCAGATGGATCAGGCGTATGTACTTTCTATAACTCGCCTATTATCACTGCTAATCATGCCGTCATACTTGCCCTTTAGCCTTGCGTTGTCGCAAATTTCTTCTACAACGGATCGGAAGCTGAAGGTCGAGCGAATTTCAAGGAATTCTATAACCTAAGTAAGTCAACCAATGCTACATGTTATTTCATTGAATGACGACCACCTTCGATAGAACCAGTGGTAGACCTCGCTCGTGAGTTGCCCTACGAGGAATTAAACGGGATGCAGGTAAGTGTATCTTTTTGATGAGTAAAGTGCTCCCCCCAAGCCGTCCATCTTAGAATGCCCTAGTTGAGCATGGCAGCGGACGTTATTTGAAAGGATCATTCTTCACGAAGATTGATGTAGAATCGACGCGAAAAGCGTGGGATCTAGCGGTGAAGCACTGCAACAGCGAACACCAGGGAACGTTGATCCTAGAATTTGTCAAGCAAGACAAGGTGAATTCGGTCTCCCCGGATGCGATGGCGTACACCCTTCGGGGTGGCATGAATGCGGTTACTACGTGGGTGTGGCAAAAGAACACGCCCGAAAACTTGGCATTCGCACACAAGGCAGGGAAAGAAGTCCTTGAAGCCATTAGCCGTGGGCAGCAGGCCAATGCGACAGGCAACACGGCTAGTTATGGGAATTACGGTACGGGACTTCCCGTGGATGTGGGCCGCATCCAATGCTCACGACCTTATTTCCTAGACCATGATACCCATGTTATCGGTGATGAGAATGCTGGTCAAAGTAGAGCTCGAGCCTTGTTCGGCAAGAATTATGAAAGGCTTCAAGTTCTCAAGAAGAAGTATGATCCCAACATGATCTTCGACAAGTGGTTTGTCATTACACCATCGTCCTAGAACCATCACCAGAAATGTAGTTGTCTACCCAACTGTAATACTAAACATCCATTCCATACCATCATCCCAGTCTTGGTAAAAGGGTTTTCCTTGACAACAAGGATATATATTCCTTCTTAGCTGCACTTTGTTCCTTGAGGTAAATATGTTGTTTATCTCCGCGGTTGCCAGTATGGTATCAGCCTTTCACCTTCGAAATCCTGAGGTATGGGTGTGCTGTAAGGGGACACTCCTATTTTCCCCTTTTCCCCCTGTCCCGTCCCCTTCCTCCTCGTCCCTTTCCTCTTTCTTTCATTCCCTTTCCTTTCCTTTCGTCCCCTTTCCTTTCCGCTCCCCTTCCGTTCACTCCCTTCGCATCCGAGCCTCGTCCGGTGACTCCGAAGTCTTCCCGCGCTTCGGACGCCTCAGACTCGCTCGGACTCGCTCGGACTCGTAGATACACTTCGGGGCTCGTCCGGGCTACCTCCATCTTCCTTTCCCACTTCGTTATTCCTTGTCCCCACTCCCCCAGGTCGCTGGCACGGCTCCTGTACATTCCCCTTCCACTTCATTATCACATGCCCCCTCGTACCTTGTGATATTCGTTCGTACCTGTGGCTGGTGTACTGTACAGTTACCCTTCATTCCTCCCACGCTACTACAGTATATACTTCGCTTCCTAGCATGGAGAATCCCCATCCTGTTCTCTTTGGATTCTCCCTCTGCTAGGTGAGCAGCTCTCTCATGTATTGTAGTTAGTCTTATTCATTTCTTTGGATTCTCCCTCTGCTAGGCTTGCACTGTGCGGCCATCTTGAGGTTGCCCTTACATGTGCGGTCATAAAATGTACAGGTGTCACCATAGGTGATAGCCGTGATTATCTTGAAATAGACACATTTAGTGTATCAATTGTGAAGTGCCAATAGATACACTGACTCCCACAGAAGCAGATTGGCCTGCGAGGACTAAAGTTGTTGATCAACCACCAATCCTTCCCGGTTCAATTTCTATGGGGGATTGAGTATATTTGTCATGATTTTGCTACTTGATGGCACTGAGCTCCTGAGTGGTGTCCCTACTTCCAATTAGGAGCTTATTGTCCTTTCTAGTATTCTTCTGAGTGGTTTACTGAGAGATTACAATCAACTGACTAAATTGCAGGACAATTATCCTGAGCACTCAAATTGCAATTCATGCAGTTCAGATTTATCATTCTGTGGAATCTCACCAGGTAGTGCAAGCTAGGTTGTGTTGACTGGTGATATGGGAAAACTGTAAGGGCATGTAGAAATAACTGTTTCTGCATGGTTACTCGGGTGTGTGGAATAGCAGTGGACCCTGTAAGGGCAACCTCAAGATGGCCGACAGCGCAGGCCTAGCAGAGGGAGAATCCAAAGAGAACAGGATAAGGATTCTCCATGCTAGGAAGTGAAGTATATACTGTAGTAGCATGGGAGGAATGAAGGGTAACTGTACAGTACACCAGCCACAAGTCCGAACAAATATCACAAGGTACGAGGAAACATGTGATAATGAAGTGGAAGGGGAATGTACAGGAGTCGTGCCAGCGACCTGGGGAAGTAAGGGCGAAGAGTAATGTAGTGGGAAAAGAGGACAGAGGTAACCCAGACTGTAAGGGGACACTCCTATTTTCTCCTATTCCCCTGTCCCTGTCCCTTCCTCCTTGTTCCTTTCTCTTTTCCTTCGTCCCACAGACTCCTGTACATTCCCCTTCCACTTCATTATCACATGTTTCCTCGTACCTTGTGATATTTGTTCGGACTTGTGGCTGGTGTACTGTACAGTTACCCTTCATTCCTCCCATGCTACTACAGTATATACTTCACTTCCTAGCATGGAGAATCCTTATCCTGTTCTCTTTGGATTCTCCCTCTGCTAGGTGAGCAGCTCTCTCATGTATTGTAGTTAGTCCTATTCATATCTTTGGATTCTCCCTCTGCTAGGCCTGCACTGTCAGCCATCTTGAGGTTGCCCTTACACATGTAGTATGTTGCTCTGGTGGTTGTTAAAAATATAACAACCAATCAGTGATGTTCTATGCCTAATCTATGCCATGCACTCTCTCACACATGTGCCAAGTGTGACATGTGGAAAGTACCAAATAAATACAAATAAACATTGTCCTCTTGGTCTCAGAACCCTTTATTTAGCTTCTTGACTCTGAACCACATTCTTTATGAAAGTAAGTGACTCATCTATAGCTGCTTTCATAGCTTTCCCTAGTTTTAACCTTTTACTGTAGCCTTTTGAAACTCTGCTCCAGCAACTATAGGCTCAGTCTTGGCAACAGGCTCATCTGGTAGGTTTCTGGCAGTATTATTGCCTACAAAAACAACTATGCTTACATTAGGACTGTAGCTAGCAACACAACTCAGATGCTGTCAGGTCAGCAATACTTTTATCATGGCTTACTCTCAGCACTGTGACACCTCATGTGATAGATGTAGACTCACTGTTTGGTGATCCTGCCTTTGAGGTGGATTCATTCCCTATATCATCAGTGCAGGTAAGCATGGGCTCTGTTCATTTTCATTGGCCTAAGCATATGCTCCATGAAGAATTCAGAGACTTCCTCACCGGGAACCACCCCACCTTTGTATGTTACATCCAAACAGGATGTAGAGGTTGTTGTACCTCCTCCACCTGCATGGGTGAATCAACATCTGGCGGAAAAGCAGTCAGTTACAAAAGTAAGCAACACCTTACTATTTTTCTTCCTTTTCTGACACTCCCTACACCATGGGAAGACCACAGGTCTTGCTACCGCCAGTAAATCTCTGGCAGAGACACTAGCAGCAGCATTCTCAAATAATGCTATTCAGCCATCACCTTCACTTTCACCCTCCAGAAGGACTTCACTGACCACACCCAAGGCTATCAGGCAAAGTCTACAACAGTAAGTTTCTTTTTGTTTTTTCTTTCTCTTTTATCATTAATAATCTCATCTTGTTTGAAAACAGGACTCCTTCTACTCTCTCCTCTTCCCCTTCTTCACCTTCCCTGTCTTCTCCCCCTTCATCACACAACTCACCCACACTTTCATTACAGCAAGAATCAGCATCCACCTCACCACATCTGCAACAAGAGGTAAGAGGCCAAGTGTCTAACATCCCAATGTACAGGTGGATGATATTTTTACCTTGCAGACACACCATGATTGGGCACTTCAGCGCCAGAAGACTCAATTCATCACAAATACCATAGCGGGTAGGAGCATCTACCCGGCGCCCCCGGAGGCGCGGGGCCGTCGAGGCAGTGACAGTAACCCGAGACAAAGTGGGAACTCTCGCACAGCTCACGCAGTCGTGGTGGCAACGGCGGCAGTGAAGACCGATGCTGGACTGGCCGGTCCTAACGGTGGTCATGCCAGTGAGCTGGTAGGGTCGGACATACTGGGGATCGTGGCCAACCTCAGGCATTTGGCGAAAGCGCACGGCGAATACAAGCCCGCGACAACGCAACCGGAGACCAGGGCGACGAGAGAGATAACGATATCGCGAACAAACACGCCGGCGGTGGAAAGTCATCGGTTGGACAAGGCATGTTCTGTCACGGGTGAGAAACCAAGTCGACTTCCCTCGCGTCCGTCGCAATCCACGACGGCCGCCTTCGTCGATCGATTGGAGGATATGTTTGGACCGGGTAGTATTATGCGGGGGAGCGGGCCTCGACCATCGAACAAGGTGCGTTGAAATAGCTCGTGTTGCGACGTCGCATCGAATGCTATGGAAGGCTAATAGAGTCCTTGACGTCACTTACAACATGATAGGAACCTAAAGATAGGTCGGTGGGAATAAGCAGGCCAGGTAAGGTCTTCGGGAGGTGTTCTAGCGGCTCGGACTAAGTAGTCGTCCATATTCAGGTCGATCGAACACGGATACGGATACAGATAGTACCATATCGGACACACCAATACAGCGACGGCAGGACAAAGTTCGAGCGAGAGACCAGGTTGCAGAGTCAAGTACGCCGAGAGGGCCTAAGCCTAAGCGACGGCGAGTCGAGGAAGTATCTATTAAAGCGCAGGCCGAAGGGGTAAGCCCCGCAAACGCGATCAGTCTCGAGAGTGTGGCCGAATGGACGCGCATGTTGCAGAAGCTGATTAAGGGAAAATCTCGCTTGCGCCAAGAGGTGAGTCTCATGCGATCTCGGATTTCGAGGTGGCCTGTGGGATCCCCCCGCGACGTGCAATATCTGATGGCGCTCTCGCAGGAGCTGACGGCCATCCGCCAGCTCATGGACACGATTAAGGAGTCCTGGATGACGAAGAAATTAAGATTGAGCTTGGTCAAGGTGGGTTCTCGCGATCCATCATTTGTTCGAACCATAATTGAAACGGGATCAGGATTCGGGACTTCTGTCGAGCATTCGCCATCTGGCTACACTGACTGCGAGCGAGATAGGATACGGGGACGAGCATGGACTGGTCGAAAAGGCACAGGCGCTTGTGGCCATGTTTAGTGACTGACCGTGGGAAACGCAGGGTCTGATTTATACCTTTAGTAATAACTCGTCTGTTGTTCTCCATCTGCCAACTCCATCAATAATGCTCGCTCTTGTCCACCCTTTTGACCCGTCCCCTGAACCCCACGCGTCCAGGCAGATTCCAAGAAGACTGCCGTCCTTCACAAAGCAGCCTCAGAAGCAGATCTCATTTGCAAAGAATCACTCGAATTCATTCCAGCAGCCAGCACAGGCTTCTTCATCGTCGGCGTCGACGTCCTCCTTGCACCACAACCACCACCATCAGCCGGAGCGATCTCCAGCACCAGCGACCTCCACGGCGGCGGCGACGGCTGCACCGCAGCAGCAGCAAACCCCCTTCGACATCAACACTTACCCGTCGACCGACCTTCTCAAGGTCCTCGCATCGCTTTTAACGCAGATTGCGGCGACGAACGACAAGCTAGAGTCGGCCTCCAATGCATCGGAAAGCCAGGCTTTGCAGTCCATACAGCACGCAACGCCTATCTGGCATACACTGACGACGGCGTCGAAAAATGCCATTTTGACTCCCTCGTCAACCCTCACTTTTCACGCCAGGAACGTACCAACGATCAGTCTCGAAGCATATCTCCTCCGCATTCTCAAATATTGCCCTACATCGAACCAAGTTTTCCTTTCCCTGCTCGTCTACTTCGACAGAATGTCGAAACTCAGCACAGAGGCTATTGGGAGGACGTTTGTGATTGATTCCTACAACATCCATCGCCTTGTGATTGCGGGAGTGACGGTGGCGAGCAAGTTCTTCAGCGACGTCTTTTATACAAATTCTCGCTATGCAAAAGTGCGTACCTCTCCTGGCCTCTTTTTTCTCCGACTAGACGGCTTATTTTGGTATTAGGTCGGCGGACTGCCGCAAGCCGAGCTAAATCAGCTTGAACTCCAATTTTTGCTGCTAAACGACTTCAGACTGGTGATCTCACCAGCCGAGATGCAGCGATACGCTGAACAACTTATCGTTTTCGCCCATTCCGATAACCCCACCGCAGTACCTATCTCCCACTCCTCCTTGCCACCTCAGCCTACTCCATCCACACATACTCCAACCACCCCTTCATCCACGCATACAAGCCGTGTACCACATGGCGCAGTAGCTATGGGGGCTGTGGACGCTTACGGAGGACGTATACCAGACGATCGCCAATCTTATCATCATCCGCAACCCGAGATTAAGCCACACCAACCCGTTTACGATACCCACTCGGCACCTCATTCATCCCAATTCCATCGAGTGTCCTCATCGAGCAGCCGCTCTGTTGAGGTCAACGGTGACCACACCAAAACGCCATTCAGCAAGCCTAGATATGCACCTGAGGATGAAGAGACGGAGACGGAGACGGAAACTGAGAATGATGTAGCGGATGGTGATGATACCACGGACGATGAGCCCACGATCCGGCCCGCGCGCTCAGCAGGCGGCTCATGCGCATCATCCTCGGATACCCAGAGTTTGTGCAGTGTTAGTACCGATGAGGGAGATACGGGCGATGAGGCAGGGGACGAGTATGGGACCGTTGATGGCGACGATGATGAGTGGATAGGACGGCCTAGACCGCCAGGAGCTGCAGGAGCTGAGGGCGAGGTTAGTGAAGGGTCTGGTGATGCCACTCCTGAGCGGAGAGTTTTCATCGTCCAGCGCTCTCCGAAAGATAGAGATATAGTAGACCATCGAATGGGTAGCCCTTGAGGCTTTTTCGACTCGATTCCTGCTCCCCTTCATCGCCACAACGTTTCCCGCCACTCCCGTTATACCGCTACATTACTTATTCCCGCCCCCAACCCTCACACCACGTTCTAGCTACTCGCCAGGAGTATGCTGCTAGTCGGATATCCCATTCATGAATGATGCATCGCAAGCAAGTATTTATCAAGCTGGAATTTCATCTCTCTCTCCACCCCACCCTCTGTTTCTTTATAGTACTACTGGACGTCAGTCATTCGCAGTTGTTGTCTCGGTTGTAGTTTCTTTTAGCACAATTTGCAATGCGCAATACTAGAGCTGGACGACATACTTTCCTGACCATTACCAATGATATTGTTTATACAACTTGAAGCATGTACTTTTAGTTAATGTGATGTTGCAGATGTAAGTACGTACATGCCATGAATGTTATGACTGTAAAGCCAATGTGCGCTGCGCCGTTCGGAGGTATAAAATGAGTCTTACAACGGACTCAGTCAGTGTATCGTCAATTGAAGTCGTATTCAAGAAGCGTAAGGTAGTCTATTCAACATCGACCCCATCGGAGAGGGCGTGAACCAACTATGCAACCCTTGGGCGCGGCGGTTTGAAGTCACGGAGCACGGAGTCGGGTAAGTGGGACAGCTTCGCAAAGGCATCCTCTTCCTGTCGGTACTCGCTAGTAATGACCGGGGAAGGCGATATTAGCTACCCTGAGTAACAGCCATACGAGTAACAAGCATAGACAACATACCGGGAGGGTACATCATAGCTGAAGCAACTCTCCTGCAGTTCGGACACCTGCGATTGCAGATGATACACGCGTTCCTGCAAGAGTGCGACCTGACTGCGCAGAAAGAGGAATTCCTCCCAGTCGAAGCCTACAGGCCGGCGCGAGTACGGGTACGGAGCGGACCTGGTATCCCTGGCATACGCATACCGTCCGAAGTCCCTCGTAGGCATGGGGGCGGAAGGTCGTTGAAGAGGAACATAATCCTCAGTACGATACGGAGCCATTGCCAAGTCGTAGCGCCACTGTTCAGCTGGACGCGACGCGTCGACGGTACGAAGAGGGCCGTAGGCATCGTATGGCCTCATAGCTCGAGGATGAGAGTCTGGATGGCGTAAAGGCGGCTGGAAAACGCGCTCCCCACCATTCGATGAGTGGTCCCGGAATGCCTGGAATGCCTGGACGCGTGGGTTTGCAGCGTCAGGCTCGTTGTCGTACGCGGGGAGGCCACGGGGCGCGTTACGGACCGTCGAGGCGTCAGAAATTTCGCTTTTAAGCGACATTTGGCTATCCAGTGGTGGTTGGCCGCAAACGTTGACGGTGGCAGCTTCCGATTTGAATGCGTAGCTAAGCGAGCGCCCCTCAGTGCGGTGAATATCACTATCACAACTCACCTAACAGTAGTACATATCCGTTCGATCAGTAGCATCATGGCCGGGACTCGCAGGATGTCCACAATCAGAGCGCCGCTTTTGACGGTCGAAAATATCTACTTTAACCCTCGCCGCCTCCAGTATATAGCGACTCTTTCTCTGAAATCAATAATGTGTATTCTATGCTTAGTATTAGGAACAACGAACCCCAGCCATCAATCACTACCCCTTGGTCATCTCCAGGCTCAAATCAAGGTTCTAGGACCTTTACTACCTCCTTGCGATCGTCCTTCTCAACAATGACCACCTTCTTTTTGGCCAAAGAAGCCCGGACGGGATGAGGATCCTATACGATACTTGGTCATCCGAAAGGAAAGGTCTCGTGAATGTAGAACATACGCTGAATATTTCATCTAGTTCCTCCCTGATCATAGGATGTGAGTCAAGTGAATAGACGATCTTTCGGAAATGACGCACAAGGTTCTACCCTTGGTCTCAACCGCGAAAAAGTAGACCATGATGGCTTCCAACACGTCCCATACGACTAGTTTTTATTTCAGAATGGATTCGAGCCGTTTGCCGGTTCGCATAGGAGGCTTACCGTAGACAATATAATACTACGGTAATCCAATAAGCATTTGCTAGCTTTCGACATGATTGAGGTTACTTACTCGCCATTGTATCCTTCCGAGAGCAATCGGCGCAGGGTATGTGTTCACAAAAGACGCGCAACTAACGGCCAATGCATACCTACAGGGATTGGTTAGCAGTGTAGAGTAGCTCATGGAATATACTAACATAGCCATTCCTTTCGCTCTGAGGAGATTGGGGAGGCCAGTCAACAGGCAGTAATTTTCAGAGGAAGAATCTACATACCGAGTATTATAACTCAACACCTCTGCTGGATAAATCGCTTGAAGCGGGGTATATGTCAAGCTGTACACGAATCCGAAAAGGACTATCGATCTGAAGTCAGCACGAGACGAAACCACATTCAAGCCAAAACTCGCGTACAAATGAAGGCAATCGCAGCGTTTGCTCCATTAACATTACTTCCTGAAGACCCAAATCGGGCGGTGCATCCTGCCAAGCAGAGGTAAGTGATTTCCTTTAGACACACCCTTGTGAAAATAGGCGGTGTACCTGTCGTTACTGCAAGTGTTCCTGCGGACGCAAGTGTCCCCCAAAACCACATCCTTCGACGCCCCACTTTATCTGCAAGCGAAGTGCCTATTAGCGCGCCAATGGCGGACACAACAGTATTGATGAAATTCAATGTGAGTCGCTGATTCTGCGAGTTTGCGCCGGCATTTTGAAAGAGGATTGGAAGGAAGTACCTAGGAAGGATTTTAATCCGGTGAGAATGAGAGATGAGTAAGAGAAGCTGACCCGAGTCCGTTTCCCGACCATTGACCGAAGAAGCCCATTAGGAGCATCATGAATGTTCTATATCGAGCATTGGGGGTGTTCACGAGTTCCTTGTAATCCCACCTGAAAGGCTGGGTAAGCTTCCTCGTGCCTGTACAAACGAAGATGGGAAAGGAAAGGACCAACCATCGTTTATCAGACGCGTCCAATTTGATTGCTTCTTCAAACTCTCGCCACTCCAATTGAACCAACGGGGCATTGGGATCGCCGTTGCCATGATATTTGGCCAATATTCTGCGAGCTTCGTCGTTGCGCCCTTGGGATATCAACCAACGAGGGGACTACGAATGGACTCCGTCAGCGCGGTGGACTTAAGGAAGCAAGCACTCTTCCACCTCAGGAAGTGCAAATGACATGGTAGCCAAGATGACAGCGGGTGCAATCTGAATCCCAAGCGGTACTCGCCACGACGCAGTTCCATTGGTGCGGCCCGTGGCGATCGTAATCCCAGCTACAGACCGCTACATTCAGCATTCGTTGCAGCTTGGATCAGTAACTTACTGCATAGAATAGAGCCAGTATAATAGAAGGCTATACTGGGTCAAAACCTGCGAGACTGAATAACAGCGTATCAATGACTCACTGTTGTATCTGTTTAGTCGGAGATAACTTGTCTATACGCAATCGTTAGGAGAGTGAGAGCCCACTCACAATCCTGTCAGCCGGCCACGCCACTTGTATCGTGAAATCAGGTAAGTTAAGTACATAGCATTGCGCATGTGCGATTGGCGCACCTGCGGAGGTGACATCTCCACTACATACGCAGGGGCTGCAGTGGTGGTGATCGCAACCCCAAACCCAAGGGTGAATCGTCCGCCTAACAGATAACTCGCATCTCTGGCCGCGGTGATGACAATGGCACCGATGATGATGATCGTGCTACCCAAACACTGGTGGCGGAACAGAACACACTGAGAAATCCGTGCAAGAACAAAGAGAGAAACTTACCATGCCTCCCCGACGACCGAAGCGGTCAGTCACAGGCCCCGCCAACATGACAGCGGCGATACTCCCGATCGAATACTTAAACCAGCTATGGATCAGGAGCATCCATTAGGTTGATGGATTCGACTAACAATACCAAAGATAATGGCGGTTGTGGTCCCAACGCCTCCTCCAGCGTCTTGACCATCGATGCCGAAGAAGTCAAGGTACTGACTGTTCGCCATACGTCAATTTCGGTAATATAGATGGTAGGCCGGACGCACTGCATCCCGTTCACTGCGCTCATCACTATTGATGGGACCGTTTAATGTTTGATCGCCTTGGAAATTAGGAAACATGCCTGAACCGTCAAAGCCATTCGACAGGCTACCCATATACGCTACCAACAAAATTCCAAAGAGTTCAATAGATGCCCAACTCGTAGGGCTCAATTGCGGTCCTGTCGACAACGCGAGTGCGTAATCCGCGTTGACGACTTCGAGAACGTTGGTCTCCTGCCCATGAGTCAAGTTAGGAACATCCGGTGGGGCCGCTTTCTCAGAAGAATGGTCGGCGGATGGCGCATCCTTCTCTTGCGCTGCAGGTTGAGACATTTGGTTGTGGAATGAATTCTACATGCCGACCTATACATATACGATTTTTTGTTCTCATGGGAGATTGATACGGCAGATAGTCGGTGCATAACGAAGCCTGGTGGTGAGAAGAAGCACCCACGCTCAACCAGACGAGGCTGGGGCTGAGGTCGAAGAACGGGGTTTAAAGGAGGAAGCAGGTTAAAAATAAGCGGAGGGAGGAACTGCCCGGGTGTGAGAAAGAGGAATATTCTTTCATGATACGACCATGTGTGGTCCGGCACTAGATTGCTAACCGCATTCAATGCCAATAGAGCATACTTAAACATACCGTATATGTATGATGAGTATGCAGTGTTGATCAATACGGCTTAAACCGACGCGATGCCTTGAGCTTTTCCACTTTCACTTTGTCTTCCTCCCATCTTTGCTTCAAATCCATTAGTTCTAGAATAAAATATAATGGGTGAGTCAGTGAACAATCGTAGAGATGGTGAAACGGCGCACCCTTCCTCTGCTTCTCCGCCTTTTGGAACGCGTAGAAACCTTCCTTCTCCTTCGACTCTTTCTTCTGCTTCCTCATTCTCCCACCACCGCCCCTTCCAGCGGTCGCAGTAAATTCCTTGCTCGCGACGCCTACGCCCCCGCCTAGAGTCTTTCCATACGCGCCGCCACGCGTAACCAACGTAAAGCCGTCGTCGTCCACGATGGCTTCCCCTTTCTTATACTTCGAATTCTGTCTGCTTTTCGCTAGCTCGTATTCGTAAAGATCGATCGAAGAATCCGCGTGAGCTCTGACAACGTCCAACGGTGGTCGCAAAGCAGAGTATAGTTGCATATAGTGAGCCAGACCAGACGGCGCAGAGTCGGCATCCTGTAGTTTAGGCCATGGCCGCGGCTTGGAACCAGACGATAGGGCTTTTGGGAGTGAAACTTCGTCGAGGAAGATTAGATGCGCTGAACGCCCCGTTTTGCGTAATCTTCGAAGAGAGTTCGAAGGTAGTGGTGTTACGGTAGGTGCTTTTGTTGTGTCCTTCCCAACTTTCCGCTTTTTTCGTGGGTGGTCCTGCTCTACATCCATCGGTGCCTCCTCCTGTTCCTCGTCTTCCTCGTCACTTTCGATATCGTTACCAGGCTCATTAGTTTCATCCATGTCAAATATGACCCTCTCCACAGTCCCACACGATCTGAAGAATATTATCAACTCTCGTTCGCTAGCATCAGGAGGCACATTGACGAGGAAAAGTGTGCGGTTGGGTGGCAATGTCTGACTTGAACCGGCTTTTTTGGATGGTACATGGGCACGAACGTAGAGATAGTGGGTCGATTGCTTCGTGTATTGGATCGGCAGAACGTTGAAACCTGATACGACGGATGGCATACCTGCCTTGGAATGAGCACAGAAGTATGCCTTCAAATTTGCATCTCGGTTGTTTGGCTACTGGGAGGATCCTCAACATACTTTAAGCGCCCATCCTTAACTACGGGACTCAGGGTACCCCTTAAAACTCAGGAGCTCCGACGTCTTAACGCATTTCCTTCAAGTTTGTGGCAAGAATACATGTGAATTCATCACCACCTAATAAAGCACCTCCATACCAATCATCAATGCCACCTATGACCAGACGCCGCTGTCTTTCAGATGTTCTGACATTTACTTTGCATTCCTCATATACATAAATTCTTCATCATTTCAAATGGCTACAGGTGATATCAAGCTGTCGCTTGAGGAAAATAATGCCAGTGTCTATTGCCACTTGCGAAGATATTTTATAAACCACAACATAACATGAGCTATAGCTGGAATGGGATGCGGACGTGCAACGAAAAAGCGCGAACGAGAAAACTAGGACACTAGGAAGGAGACAATCAAATCGAGATGCTGAAATGGCTCCGAAAGATTTATGAACCAATGCAGCGAGAACAGGACTAGGATCGGAAATAGTGTGTGAATACGAGAGGAGAGGAGCGACATCCGGACATGGTGACAAAACATAACGAGGTTATTCAAGGAAACAGATAGATGTGATATGGAGTAGCGTTGTCCGTAATATAGCTGGACGATGACCATAGGCAGCGTACAAGCTTGCATATATAATTGAAATTGTGGGTGGGCACCGGATTGTATATGCGATGGGTTTCGCTGATGGCGTTTGGGAGCGTTGGGGACACGGATTGTGCGTGGAAAGCGAAATGATTAAAAAAACGACGGGGGGTTCGTGAAGAAATGGGATCGGAGATAATTGGCGGTCGTGGTGGGTAAACATGATCATAAATCGTTCAAAATCAAGGAGAGCGAGCGCCGCCTGCCGCCGACTGGTATTGTGAAGCGCCAGGATTGGACTTCATGATGGAAGTCTTCCAGGCATGGTCAAGATCAAGGCTCGCTAAAGTCCCATTCAAATCTTGGATGTCGTGAGCTTCTTGAGATTCGTGCTCGCCACGACCCCCAGCCGATGACGGCTGTCCGGAAGTTGGTCGCGAAATGGGTCCTTCCGCTCGACCAGGAACACGATTCATCTGGAAGGCTGCTGGCGTACTGTCAAGAAAAGACGGGAAGCGAGAAGCACTGGAGGGTCGAGTGGTAGATGGCGACACGTTGCCATTGCTAGTTCCGCCACCTTGTTGCTCAGAGGGATAAGCAGCCCCGTAGGCTTTGACATGTTGCGCGAGAGGTACTGGTTGTTGTGCACTATTGCCCTCCGATGGTAGGTACAAATTCAGATCCGGGGAAAACGGCGAGAAGTTCGTTCCTTGGAATTGGTTCCCCTGAGATGGGCGACGGCCAAGCGCCGAAAGTTGACTCGAGTAAGGAATGATGCCATCTGGTGACGATGCGAACGGCCCGCGAGGTCTGCTCTCGCTGTATGTAGCAGGGAACATGGACGGTTGACTGTACGAGTTGGAGGAATCCGGGTATCCCTGGCCGGAGAACTTCTGAAGAAGCTGCAATGCTTGCTCTTGAGTCATCGCATTACTCAGAGCTTGAGCCTGTAGCTGCGACTGGAGGGCCGCCGCGTGAGCTGCCTGAGCTGCTGCTTGCGCAGCTGCCTGAGCCGCCTTATCTGAAAGGATATAAATATGTGGGTGATAAGGGACTGAGTCAATCGAGCTTACATTGGCTGCGCCCCCAACTCAACCGGATTCGGCTGCCCCCTATGGGGAAGCCTTGCATCTTCTCTATTGCTCGCTCAGCGTCAGCCTTGCGCACGAACTGCACAAACCCGCAGTGTTTCCCTACAGGGACTTTTACCTATGGGATATTTTTAGTACAAAAACACTAGCAAGGCATTCGACTTACATAGTGAATGTCGCCGAAAGGTGCAAAGAAGGTGCGCAGTGTCTCCTCCGAAATCAAAGGAGAGAGTCCACCAACGAAAACGGTGGTATTGTACGGATCCGTGGAGGTTAATTGCTCGCCGTTGGGACCAATGAGGTTGCCCAAGATTGCCCGTGCTTGCGCGTGATGCTTCCAAGACTCTTCTGACAGGACATAGCGAGGAGCGACCGTCGCATCCTGATTCGTAACCGGATTCCCCTCAGTACCATAAGACGACCCACCACTTCCTATAGCCTTGACAGGGCTTGCGGTTCCATTTGCATACTGCTGGGCGATCTGAACCAAAACGTGATTTGGTAGATGCATCATCTCATCTGGCGTAAGTCCCGCAGAGGCACCGCTTGTTGAACTAGCTCCCGTGCTCACAGATGTGTTTGAGGTAGACGTCGCTATGGAGGACGTGCCGGACCCCGACGTAGATAAGCTAGTCGAGCTGATACCGCTTGAAGGGGGAACGGTGGCGATCGGAGCCGAAACACTTTGGGTTGGGCCAGAATTCGGCATAGACATGGAGATCGTGGCAGGCTCCAAGGTGTTCGAATGGGAGGCAAGTTGGACGGGAGGAAATTCCATGTTTGGTGCAGCAGGGAGAGCTTTGAACTTAGCCGTCGCGGGGGATATACGCACTTTAGTAAGAAATCAGTAGGTATATGCGCCATAATGTGGAGGGGAGATGACGAACTGGGTCTTGACAGACAATATAACCCGTGCATTTCAATCAAAGCTCTTTGTTGGTCGGCCTCATCCGTGAAGCTAGAAGCATGTCAGCCAACTCTTCTACTCCTAGATCAGTAATGATAGGCTCACCGAACGAAACCATATCCTCTTGAGACACCAGTCACCGGGTCCAGCATGATCTTCGCGCTCTTGCAGCTTAGAAATGGGCGAATAAACTTCGGCTCACGGTCGTTCCTAAGGCCCAGGACAGGATTGCGGAAAACAGCGACTAGATCTGAATTGGACGCCTCAGGAGCTAGATCGCCCACGAATATGCTATACTCCTTTTCGTAGTGTGGGGCCGATGGGATATATGCACCAGCTGTAGGAAAAGTGGATGACACCGGTGTAGATGCGACCGACGATGCCCAATTCATGACGAACGGCTTAGATGAATTGGGCATTATCAATGGCATTCCCTGCCCAGATGACTTGACTTGAGAAAGCACGGATGCTGCATGGGCGGGTGTCGGAAACGTCAAGAAGCAGTAGCCTGGGTTATTAGCCTGTTGTCCAGTCACTGGATCAGGGGCAGGATGTGGAACCTTGATGCTCGCCGAGTCCCAGCGCATCATGCCACAGACCTGTTTGGCGTATTCTTCATCCATCCAAGGCTCGAGTTCTCCCCACCAAAGCGTGGTTCGTGACAAAGATATAGTGGTAGGTGACGCAGACGGCAAAGTTGACGACGATGGCGGGGAGCCTTGATTGAAGCTATGGAACTGAGTGTCCTGGTCGGCGTATTGGGGTGAGTGGTACTGCGCTGGTTGATGGACAGGAGGAGAAATGCGATGAGGATGGGGATGATGGTGGTTGAAGGAAGAGAAGGAGGGACTTTGTACCGATCCTTGATTCGAGGTCACGGCGGGTATGCCTCTGTTTGGCCCAGAATATCCCAAACCGTTGTGCTCTTTTTCCACTTGCCGTCCCACAAGATCGTTGTGCATCCCCAGGCCGTACACCTGCTGTTGAGACGCTCGCATATCCAGTGCATGCGAACCGCCCACTGCGCCGTACGTGCCTGCGTATTCCTGGTCGTTGCTGGTCATGCCGTGGCGCAATCCGCGTGTCACTAAGCTGCCCATGTCGTGTAGTTCTGGTCGAGACATTCGTGGAGATCCTTCCCAGCTGCTAGAGGGTGGTGGGGGTAGGGGTCGAGATAATGGTCCGCCGTGAGTCGTCGGATTGCTAATTCCCTGGCTGATGGCTGATAAAGGGGGTCTTGAGGTGGTCTGATAGAAAGGAGGGCAAACGAAAAGCAATAAAAAAGCGATACACTATAGTGCAAATCGACTAGCAAGCAAACAGGGCATATAAAATCACAGGCACAAAGCGATAAATCTGTGCAACCAAAGGCAATAGGACGCGGCCAGGCAGTATTCGGTGGAGAGACAGGGGAGAGTGCGAGCAAGAACTGCAAAATCGTAAATGTCCAGTTATAGGAACGACCTCGGTTTCAAATTCATTCGGAGTCGGGCCCTAAACAAGGTGCGGAGTTGAAGGCTCTCCTGAGCAGGTCCGCCTCCTGTTTTTCAGCAGCCTGCAGCAGTCTCTGCGGATACGTGTCAAACGACCTCCATTGTCCTCCAGCCAAGTCATCTTGCATATGTGATTCCCATTCGAGTCGCGGTTCGTGTCAGGCAGATCTCCGAGTAGGCTCCTGGATCTCCCATTGTTCTCGCTGACGACGAGGGGGCTGTCGGTGTTCTCCACAGGTCGGACAATGGGCAATCGAGTATTCGAACGTAGTAGATCTACGCGGCTGAATGTGGCAATGAACGCTTTGACTGCCGTCACTGTTCGGCCCTGTAGGTCCATATTTGTGGGTCCATGTTTCCAGTGGCGGTGCTGCTTCCCACAGCGCCATTTTCGATCGCGGTCTGCAAGCTTCCCATCGAGACCACTAATGACTCGTAGAATTCCGCATTCCTGTGATTTTTGTCGTTGAAGTGAATGGGTAGGCTCAAAAAGGCAGTCTATTGTTCGTTTATCATGCACACTGATTGCGGTGACTATAAGAAGTGAGGTTTGTCCGGGAGTGTCTTGTCGCCCTTTCAGTTGTATGTACCTATATCCCGTGTGGGGAATTCGCTCAGAAGGAAGTCGGATGGTGAGGTCAGGACCCAGGTCTGTTTTGCCGTGTGGGCAGGTCCTTTAGGAAGTCGGGGTCCTTACTGTAAGTATGTGATGTGTGACACTGTTGTTTTGTTTCTCTCTTGTTTGATCTTGGAGCATTGCGGATTCAGGCATGCTAGTGAGGCTCTACAGTACCGGGGGGAGAGAGATTAGGCCCTAAATGCAGTAGAAGGCATAGGCAAGACATAGTTCATTCAAAGGAATAGCAGTCGTGATGCATTTGCGCAATCGCTGCCAGAACTTTGCACTTGTGTTATCGACTCACGCTGTCACACGTGACAAGACCGCGATCGGAAATCCAAAAACAGGCCAGCGCTAGATAGCGGTTATGTAAGATCTTTCAAGGCTTCTCCTCCAAGTTGCATCGTGCATTGAAACTTGAAGGTTTGAAGCTTGCAAGACGCTAACTTTGTACTTGTCCTGGACGTTGCTCGAATATGCCAGTTCGCCGGCCCTCCGCGTCTGCGGGGACGCTCGTGAACAGCGCGGGCAGCTCAACACGCGTGCACCGGAGCACAGACTCGCATCACGCATTCATGGCCTCATCCACCCAGCCAGTCATGCTTTCCACCCTCGGCACATCTGCGACGCCGCAGCAAAAGGTCGTGCAGGTTCTCGTCGCGCGTCTGAAGAACAAGGTGAGCGTGCTTTGTGTTTGATCAGACAGCACCTTTGATGCATTCGATCTGCAGCTGCCGTGCTACTCAGGAGTGTCGCTGGACCAGCTCGAAGCTGATAATGCAACACAGCAAGCCATCGACGCACTGGTGGACCTTGCACACGATTCCCTCGACTTGATAGCCTTGGGGCTGAGTGAGCTTTTGGAGAGGCTAGCTCAGGTGCGTGTCGACGAGTTTCAGTCGACCGCCTAGCCCTGACAGAATGCAGTCGCACACAAATGGGATTTTCTCCATCGGAGTGCTGCAGTCGCAATTATTTATTCTGAAGGTTCTGTCGCTTGCCATGGCTGCGAGATGGAATCAGAACATGCGCTCAAGCTCGCGCGCCAGCAACTTTCCCGAGTCGCCCCTCCCTTCAGATACAGCTAGAAAGGGCCGACCACCGCCATCGGAGCGCTCGTACACTCCACCACCGTGGTCAGAACCCCCGCCACTGGACGATCGCAGCGCAAAGTACCTTTTGAGCGTGCTCGTGCTGTTCCTGCGGCAGACAGCAGAGACAGACCCTCTGATGCTGGCGAGCGGCATCGCAGATACGTCGTTTCGGGACTTTGAATCCACCGATTTCCTGACGGCGACTCCGTTGCTCGAAGCGCAGAATGGGGGGCCAGCCATTCCCTCGGATATACCAGAGCTACCTGGCCCGGTGCTTCGCAATCGTCCCTCAGCGAATTCCGTGCAGTCCAGCAAAGCAAGCATCCACTCCGTGATCCCCATACCCGCGAACACCCTCACATATGAGAAGACGCACATGACTCTAGCTAAATCGTCGTTGGCAGTGAACCGGCTTATAGCCAAGTATGCTGGACGGATAATATATCATCTGTCTGCATCGAACTGGAAGATTGTGCTCTCGCGGCTGCGAAGCAAGATACATTTTCTAGCAAGTAATGCGGAAGAGAACATGGACGTCGTTGATCTTCAACTACTGGTCCACTGCGCGTTGGATAAGCACAGGCTTGTCCAGGTATTGAGCGGTAAGTGCAACAGGTTGGTTATCGTTATTGGAGTCATCTTATTCTTTTGCAGAGCTTTGCTCGCTCCTCGTCAATATGAAGCCCTCATCCCACATGGCTATTTCAGTCCCCCTTCGTCGAGCCCTCTGGAACTGGATCGAAGTCTTCCCGAACGAATATAACGACGTGATCAAGTCTCGCACGCGACTCGACGGCGCCCCGGAGCGCGTCTTCGATCTCCTGTACACACTAGTAACCACTAACACCGAGCACATATTCTGGCCTACGCTGGCCGTGCTGAATTGCCTCTCGGTCGAGCGCATGAACTCCGAAGCGCACCTGCAGCTGTTCACCAGGTTCCAGCCTACGACGACGCGGACTTCCACGAGAAAGGTGAGCATCGCAGTTACGTGTTGGGGATTTTGATGAGATGGACGCCTGTTGGGCAGGATATCAAATTTTGCGAAGATATTCTCAAGCATGCGAACACGGGGTCGCGGCTGGACGAGATCGCGGTGGTTTGTGCGTTGGACATGTGCCGCGCTGCGTCGCGCATCCACAACGACGGGGAGTACACCCTGCGTGTAATCGCCAATGATATCGCCCATGAGATCAAGGTCCGTGGTCACTCCGTCCTCGATGAAGCATGCCTTGCTGATAATGCCCCAAGGGTTCGTTGTGGCATACGTTCCAGCGGAAACCCTTCTGGGAGACTTTTGAGGAAGTGGATATAGCTATATTTTCGGAGGCGTTGGTGGCGGTCTTCAGGTTTTGCAGCGAAGAGGACGCGCTCCAGATCTTTTCTGCTTGTCTTGAGCCTGAGAGGTCAGATGCGGTCAAGACGATCGCCGTTCGCGCTTGTTTGATATTGGCGCTTGAGGTATGTGTGCTCTTATTTGAATTCTGGCTGCCTGGAATTCTCGCCGTAAATTTAGGGAAAGCGCATATCAAGCCAGCGGTCTCTGCAAGGGTTGGAGCGATACTGTGCGCCTCGATTCCGGAGAATGTTCAAGGTATGTAGCATCAATTATTGCTTTTTTAATCTAATGCCATGCAGGCATCTGCTACTCGAAGGCCAGAGATGGACCAGCACAAGAACCCGAAGCGGGCGTCAGCACGACCGAAGGCGAAGCGTTCACAGACGCACCCACTTCCAGATAGGGAGAATCTCCTCCTTGGAATATTGTCCTTGTGGCGAGCGGATCCCGCGTTCCATTTTGAGGGCCTGGAAGTCTCGGAGAACGAGGATGTTGGGTCAAGTAGCGTGAAGATCTGGAGCTCAGACACCGATATTACTGTCAAGATATCCGCGGCGGTGACAGTCAAGTACATCGCTGAACTGACTTACAAGGCGCAGCCGTCTGAGCCTCACACAGGCGTTATGCTCTCGCTGCTGAATCGCGCTTTGTATGTCCTTTCGTATGAGCTTTCGGTTACGCAGCGCAACTCAACTTGCACATAGGTCGTCAACATTCCTGAGCATCGTCACAAACCTATTCCAGTCTCGCCTGGATTCCGAAGACCAACGCCTGTGGATGGCCCTCTCGCACCAACTTCTCGATCTATACTTACGAGATGCTGATGTAGGAGCACCTCATTCTCATCCTTCCATGCCCGTGTCTCACTCCTCATAGATCGCCAGGGAGGTCCAGCTCAATCGCAATCGGCTCCCCGCCCTCGCGCTCGCGGAGATTGTGTTCCTCGTCTCTCTGACCTCTGCTGATATGATGATATCTCAGATGGCGGGACGCGGCCTGCGGTGTCTGGCGATTGCGGAACGGCAGCCAGGGGCGCCGCTGGCCCCTGGGTTGACCCCTGAAGCGCGCGCCCACCGCCAGAAGGTGTATGATAAGCTAGGAGACCCAAATATTGTTGTGGTTGGTCGTGTTGGGCAGCAGAAGAGGATAAGGAGACTCCTGAGATCTATGACGCATGCGTCGGCTATGCACATTGCTGTATGGGAAGAATGCTGGGCACGGTGGGCGGCGCTCAACGAAGTCATCAAGCAGTCGAACGAGGAGCAGAGTGATATAAATGGCTCTATTCAGGTTTGGGAACTTCCCAAAATACGCTATCATCGGTGATTGACGTACGACTGAACAGGATACTTTCTTCCAGTGGCAGAATCTGACACTGTTCTTGGCCTCTCTTGGGGGAGCGTGCCTTCGAGCCGACAATGGTTTGGTGCCGCTAACTTCAATTATTCCTGAGAGTGTGCTTCCGGACAAGATACGCGCGCAGCAGACACCGCTCAATGCCGTTCACGCCTTCGTCACTGAGCTGACGGCGATGTTGATGTACACTCATGTGCAAGTACGCGAAGTAGCGAGAGATGCCTTGGGCTTGGAGCTCAGCCCGCGGCTGTTTCCACAGCTCATCAAGCATCTGGATCCGTAGGTGACCGTGTGTTCCGATGGCGCTTGGTACTCACTCTGTGGATATGCAGCTTACTCGTTGCCATTCGAGATAGCCCCCCGCAGAACCAGAACGAACAACTATCATTATTCTTAGATCAGGTTATTCTTCCATGTCCATGGCACTGCGAATGTACTAATTGCTGTACCTGCAGGCTTTGGCTGTCCTCAAGCTCATTGTGGAGAACACGTCACTTCCCCAGGAGGACGTTGCTAATATTGACATAAGCACGACGATGCAGACGATCGCGGCGTGCCTCGCTCGGTTCGATGGTCCCTTGACCTTACGCATCCGGACGAAGTTCTGTACCCTATGCGACGCTATCTGTGAACGCGGGGAAGTCCTGACGTTGCGCAAGGACAGCAGCGTTCGCCATAACATTCTGGACATTGTCATGGACTGGATAACGCCTTTGAATGTCGGTCCCATTCCCTTGCTGTTTCTAAACGACGTGGGAGCTCATTTTTTTCAGGCATACGAGGATGAACTAGTTATGCTCCAGCAGGAGTTGAACATTGCTAGCCTACGGACCGCGGTGAAACTCCTCGACAAACTTCAGCTCAGACCATTGGATCACGCAGCAGTGGATGACCACGTACACGTCGTTTCTAGGTTGTTCAATCGCTACGCGACTACACTCCTACGTGGACTGGACCTGTGCAAGCTACCGCTTTCGGTGAGCTTTCTCGACCGCGCGACGAGGTGGCAATGGCTGACTTTTCCCAGACGTCGGATGGTGCTTCTGATGTGAGCTCATTACAACAGGTAAGTGCAATAGAATCGCTTATAATAATTAGCGCTGACTGTCTGATTAGATGAATCGGGCAAACCAACGGGATGCCGAACTTCGTCACCTGGTCATCGGCGGGCTTACCCATCTCGTCAGTGCCAACACTGAAAGCGGGTTCAAGCAATGTCTCCCGCTTGCATATGACGCCGACCTCCGTAAGCGTGCTATATTTGCACATGTGTTCGCGCGCGTTTTGGCGCAAGGTGTGAAGTTCGAACCTGAAGACCGTTCTGCGAAGCTGGCGCGACAGAGTCGACTGTGTGAAGTACGTATCTGTGTTGACCTTCTCTCTCTCTACGACTCACTCGTCTACCTCCTCCAGTTGCTCAAGGGTTCAGACGTACGTCCGTGCCCCCTCCTTCCCCACATAAACGCTGACATCCGAATAGATGATGTTAGCGATGGCAATTTGTGAAACATGCCCAGCGTCCGAAATGGACAACATTATATCTGTTCTCCTCAACTTGTTCGACACTCGCGCCTCGCTCATGACACTGATCAAGCTCATGATAGATCGGGAGGTTATGCATGCTGGTCAGTGCACTGCATCATCGTCATGTGCGCTGTGTTGACATCGAAATCTTAGAGAGCGAACCGGCTTTGTTTCGTGGTAACACGACGTACACACGGTTTATCTCTCAGTTTGCAAGGATTCATGGCTATAACTATCTGCGAAGCCTCATTATCCCGCTCATTAAGAGCATGACCAGCATGCCCGCTGGGCATTCCTACGAACTCGACCCAAGTCGAGCCGCTGACCAAGACCTGGAACAGAATCGTAAGAACGTCGAGTTCATTGCATCTTCATTCCTTGAAATTGTGACATCGTCTATTCCAACTTTGCCATCGTAAGCCGATATAGCTTGTTTGGGATGTATCGCTTGCTGACTCTTACGCCTACACCGGCGCCAGAATGTTCCGAGAAATTTGTAGCCATATTGCAAAGAAAGTGTAAGTGTCTAGAACCCTTATCCAAGTTGTCGTGTCCTGACCATCATGTAGGAGCGAAGTGTGGCCGGAAGCGAAGTTCGCTGCACTCGGTGCTTTCATGTTCCTTCGGTGCGTGTGCTCTCTGGTGTCAATATCCGCAATGTTCTGAACAACGATAGGTTTATCTCTCCTGCCGTCGTCTCCCCCGAGACGGTGGATGTGGAACTCCCTAGAGAAAACTCCCTAGTTATCCGCCGTGGTCTGATGGTAGTCACCAAAGTCATACAGAATCTCGCCAACAATATCTTCTTTGGAAAAGAGGCGTACATGGTGGTACTGAACAAGTTCCTCAAGGACAACATTGACAATGTCACCCGATATCTCAGCGAGCTCAATGTTCGTGGATGTTTACAACCCCCTTTAGACGATACTGACCCCCCTTGTCAGAGGTTCTCCATAGCTACTGCCGAAGAAGAAGCGGATGAATGGTTAGGTACAACTTCTGACGACACAGATATTATCGTCCTTCATCGCTTCCTGAGCAAGTACACCGATCAAATTGGGGCGGAGCTCCTTAGTCAGGCGAATCCAAGTGAACTCGATACTTCGCCGTCGACAAAGGATGCCTGGAATTCCCTGTGTGCCTTGCTCGTGGACCTGGGCAAACCACTGGAGGCACCTGTCTTGTCTAATGCAGTCGCTGCGGACCATCCGGAGTACCTCAGCTTGATGTCACGGTACGCTCACAAGAACACGACTGCTCTGCAGGACATCTTCGTCGAGACCAACGGTCATCCTGTGAGTACTTTGAAAAGCATCATAGAAGGAATACCGAGCCAAAAGCCATCTTAGAATGAGCCAGCAGTCTTTGTATTCTTCCTTTCGAGGGTCGACGTGCAATCTCTGGATATCGAACTACTGATGTACCATATCTTCAAAGTGAGCATTTCCATCGCCCGACTAATGCAGTTCTAACAAACGTGCTTCCAGATATTGGCACAACCTGTCTACGAAGATCGTCGCGTGGAAATCATCATAGATTGCACGTCCTTCACCTCGGTTTCCGAAATCCCGCTTCAATGGATCAAAATGTCTGCCGAGCTCATACCACAAGACATCCGCGTTCGACTAGTTGCAACGCACATCCTCAACCCGAACGCCAATACCGTCAGATATCTACGGCGGCTTTGCAACGTTTGTTCAGGTAACCCATAGAATTCATTTCTCTCAGCGTTACGATTATATCTTACTGATAATTCTAGGGACACCACTTGGAGGCGAAATTCGAGCCTACTCGTCAGTCCAGGAACTGTCGAATAGTGTAACCCCTCATGCTCTCGAAGCCCTGTTGGTGCCATGTAACTCTCATTCCCTGTCAGCACCCCAAGGTTATTGCTCATCACGTCCTTTAGATGCCCTTGAACGAGAACCGGAGCAGACGTACAAATCCATCTCAATGCGCCAGATCCATCAAATGCGGTTCCCTGTCGAACTTGCCGTTCGCAGTACCCATCTGCGGATTACATCTGTAAATTTGTCCCGTGACGAGAATTGATACAAACTAATCTCCCTCATTTAGGTCAAGGCTCAATCTGTATCATACAACATCTCGTGCAGGTCTACTGAAATACTACATCTGAGTGATATCAGCGACGTGTATAGTGTATCTACGGGTCATGAACCTCACGAGTTCATCATCAGGCAGACTCGTCAGGGTGTCACGCTCTACTTTTCTTCGCCTCAGCGAGATGCTATTGTAAAGGTATTTCAACGATTTGTACTAATTAGCCTCGTTGCTGATGTATTGGCATTGAAGGCTATTCGCGTCGCAAAGGGGCAACTAAGGGATGCACCCCCCGCAAACACGGACAGGATATCTAGGTTCTCTAATGTACCAGCGACTCTCCTTCACGTTGGTTTGTTATGTCTCGACCAGAACGACGACGATCTGCGAGGGGCGGCGTATGAACTTTTGAGTTCTGTCTGTTCGCATCTGAACTACGACAAGAATCCTATTGCTGCTCCCAAAGGTATGTCATCCGTTTGTGTCCTCGGCATGCCACTAAAATCTTCGAAGCCGGCTTTGTGCCTGGAGATCCATCTGCTTTCGCTGTGCAATTGAGCGAACGTCTTGCCGAGTTTGCCCCGGAGCTCACGTTAGACTTCCTCTCCGAAGCCTCTTCCACGATGGCAACAACGGACAAGTCTTCGCTCGCCCAACGCATCACTTGCCTTCAATACATGAGTCCTTGGGTCAAGAACATCATTCACTTCCCGAATCCCACAAGCCCTTTATACGAACGTTCTGGTGCCCGCGTACGAGATTGTATCAGAGTGCTGGCCGATTTAACCGTCACTGATCACGAGGTTGGTGCTGCTCGACTCCTAACAATGACCAGGCATTGAACAATTGTATTGTCTAGATTTCCCCTTCCATGTACAAGCTAATCTGGGCTGAGATTGGTAAACTGGATAGTACAATCATTAACGTCGTTCTCGAAGAATTGGTTCGCTCAGCAACGGATGGTGGGATTGGTTCCCGGAGATGTGATACCATCGCACGCATCATATCTGCCTTCTCATCAATTGGTGTCCGCGGCCGGCTATATGCCAAACTACGTAGAGTAAGTTGGCGATTGAATAGAGGCAGTAGACGTTCTGACATTCGCGTCTAGGCTCTTAGCAAAACGACGCCCAGGTCTTCTAGTGTCTTGCAAGACAATCCAAATTGGAACGAGATTTCGACCTTGATTTCCCTAGTTCTTGTTGTTGGAAGCACCGTCAAGCAAACAAGCCACAGTCAACTCTACGTGCCAGAGGTCGTTCATCTTGTGACTTTGGTAGCCGCAGTTGGCCCCCTCATAGTTCGCAAGTCCGTTTACGGTATCGTCATCAACCTCCTGCAAACTTTGCACTCAGCCAAGCAGGACGACCCTAACGGCGCTGAATTCTCCCGACTAATTGACTCCTTCTCACAACCCGACGCATTGCACCTCTTCGGGCTCCACCGTGCTACACCAACAAGCGACTACTCGATATTCGATCCGCCTAGCGACAAGCTTCAGATTGAGAACCAGGAAGGTCTTACCAATTTGTTGATCAAGGCAATCGAGGTAGCCTCCGCATCAAATGGTCTGTCATTTGGGTCCTCAGTCATGGGCCTTATTGCTGACTGCTCTTAGGTATGCTGAACATCTGGCGCGCGCGATGGTTGGGCCTCGTAACAGCAACAGCATTCCAGCATTCTCCTGCCGTACAAATGCGTGCCTTCATCGCGTTGGGCTGCCTTGCAACATCGGATGTGGACGATGATTTCCTGTACCAGATGCTTGTGGCCCTCAGGTCAGCTCTATCTCAAGCTAACGAATCGGACACGATATCGGTTGTGAGTATGCTGAGATGCATCCGGAAGATTGTCCCAGCTCTCCCAGAACAATCTCGATATATCCTTCCTTTGTTTTGGGTAGCCGTCGCCTTATTGCAAGGCAGTTACATCTCTTTCTATATCGAAGCGACAGACCTTCTACGCGTCACACTAGAGACTATGGATGCTCGTGGCATGTTCCGGGGTGGATCCATTGCTAATACCCTATTGGACGGTCGAACGGCTTTAGAAGAGGTGGCCTGCCAACTCGACCAACTTCTAGGCATTTCGTTCGACTCGAATTTCTCGTTCTCCCTGGCTTCGATCATTTTCAAGGGCGAACGACATACATCGTTGCGGGAGTCAGCCGAAGCAGTCCTCCGGAGCTTACTGAATGTCACGGTGCGGTCGTGCGAAAGAGGGAGTGACGAAGATAATATGCAAGAGACGATCTGTCCCGATGCCCTTGGCTACTTCTTAGCCCTCTTACCTCTCTCCACTTCCCATGAATCGTATAGCCGACTGCTCCGCGATTGCAACATCGACAACTCATGGGCAATCAACGGTGATACCAGAAGCCACCATGACGGAAACGAGGTCCCATATGTTTCTTTGTCCCTCCTGGGGGTTAGCGATAACAATACCGCCCTTCTCGTGACTTCTTTCATTGGGGCAATACTCGTTAGTGCACAAGGTGATGATGCAGAAACCGAAATTCTGTATAACCTTCTCTCGGACATCGCGACTGTCTTCCCTGACTTGATGAGCTTAACGTGAGTGCCATCTACATATGTCGACTGCACAGTGTATTTTATGCCTTCTCTCTAGCTACGAAGCTCTCCAAGATAGAATCAAGGACACATTCGCAAACTCCTCCAATCCTTCGATTATTCGCGCGGTATCGAACATCTTTCGCATGTCTCTAACTGACGGACGTTATCCAACTCTCCGTCCCTCAGCCTCGACACTGAGCGCTGTTGATGAGGGCCTCCCCCAGGGCCCTGGTCGTCACCACCTAAACGCCCTAGAAGAATTGAGTATGCAAGGCCTCGTTAGCGCATTCACGTTTCTCCCTCCAAACCGAGGGCACGCTACGAAAATGATTCAATGGATTTCTGACTTGATCAATATGACGATTCAATAGCATGCCGCATCTACATCTGCTTCACCTCACCTTTCGACAACATCTTCGTTATTTTCTCTTTGCGTGCATTATCCGCATCTTTTTCTCTATAGCCGCATAATTTCTCCCCTTTAGTAGTATAGTATCAATCCTTTCTGTCTCGCCGGTCGGCTTCAGGTTTATACCTACATGTAGAAGAGTTGTACTAAGTTTGCTGTCGCGGTTATGGCACGGCCCCGCAATGTCTGTATTTCCTAGCTCATTAATCGGTTCATGTCATATCACACCATTGTCACCCTCAGGCCGCCTGTAAGACATCGCCGTGCTGCTGCATACTTGCACGCTCAGTCACACCGTTGTTGACTGCCTTGAGCCTCGCGCCGGAGTGGCTTCCATCCCTTTATTCCTCCCATGTTTGACCGCCAGCCTACTCAGTCAGCGTCGTCGTCGACGTTGTCCCATGCCACAAGTACCATCGACGAGCTAACCGTTGCTCTCACAAACTACTCCCGACTACCGTCCCCAGAGCTCGAATACTTCGCCACTTGCTGTTGTGGAAGGAAAGAATGCGCGAATACCAAGTCTTGGGCTGCATTCAAGTCCGCCCTGGAGAACAGACTTATCCTCAGTGCCGGTGAGCGCATCTGATGCTTCTTGACCTCCTCATCGCTTACCATTTGCTAAAGAAGTGGGACAGGCGTTACTTCAGAAGCACGACTCCTATGTTCAGCAACACGAGGTGAGTCGACTGCTTTCTTACGAACGGAATTATGCTGATGCAATGCCAAAGGAGTGTCATAAACTCGGCACGGCGACTGCCCTCCATGATTCAATACCGTCTGAAATAGCGGAACTGCGGCGAGAGAAAGCAGCGTTAGAGAAGCGACTGAACCAAGCTTTGGTCAATGCGGAAGTTGCAGAAGTGTCTACCAAGACCGCGCATCAAGAGTTGGAAGAAGCTCGAGCTACGATAGTTCGTCTTACGGTCCAAAACGCGAAGTCTTTGGGATGGGACAACCGCCTCTCCGCTGTGGTGAAAGAAAAGGATGATCTGCAGCAGGAACGGGATAGCGAGGCAGCGCGGGCGAAGGCGGCAGAGTCACGATTGACTGCCTTGCGGCAACGGATGGGTGAGTCACCGTGTCGTATACTCGAGGACGAGGATTCTCAGACCGATGGAATGTCAGCCAAAGTCCAGCGGGAAGTGCGGCAATTACAGCAGGATTTGGAGCAGCGCAGGTCGTACAGACTAGAATCTTCCAAGACACTACTTCACGAAGCTCGAGCTCGTATCGAGTCTTTGCAAGAGTCGGTTAGTTGCTGTTTCTTTTTGTTGCTTCAGGTCTTGACCCTTTTCTATCAGCTTGGACAATCCGCCATGGTTGAGCAGGCTGAACTCTTGAAGGTTGTGGGATCGTTGATTGACGACAACGACTCTCTGAAGCGGGACAATGCTGAGCTGCAGTCTTTACTTGCGGAGGCCCGTGAGGATATTCAACACATGCAGGAAGAGTTGGAAGAGCAACGCGCGAATCCTACGTCCTTAGGAGGAGGTGCGTCGACCTCTGTCTGCATGTCTGCTAGTGGCTTAACCCGGTCGTGTAGCAGCAGCTTTCCCTGGGCTGCAGGTTCATTCCGGTAGCGTCCCGGCGTCATCCACAATGGAACAGTTAGTAGGTGCATTACTCTCTTTGTTTGAATTTACTCTTGACACTCTTGTGTAGGGTAGACGGAGGCGTCCTTCCAGTCTCTCAAGACACCCATTTGTGAGCATGCTTTTCTTTCTCTATATATGTCCTGACCTACTCCTCTAGCAACTACCGACACCGGATTTACCTCCACGACCATTATCCCCAGCAGACTCCTTCGCTACGTCTGAGACACCTTCCTTCGGCCAGCCCAACTCTCGTTATCCTCGATCGCAACTTAGCTTCGATCTCGACGACGACACGCTCGTGCTCAAGGAAACTTTCCAATCTCGCTCTGTCCAGACAGACCTTCAACTGGGCTTGTTATCCCCGTCTCCCTTCCTCTCTTCGTCGCCGTCGCCCAGTGCCCTTCGCTCCGAGTCATCATCTGTATCTGAATCGCAAGTGGGCCACATTTCCACCTTGGTCGAGCGTATGGCTGCTCTTCTCAGCCGCATGACACAGGCGGATCCTTTAACTCTGACAAACCGCCTTAAGCGACAACATCTAAGAGGGGCAGATGTTGGACATCTATCGCGGAGTACCATAGGAAACATCATTAACGACATCACCCATATCAGATATCAATTCCGTACGCTACTTGAGGACGAGAAAGCGAACACGTTGTGCACACGCAAAGACTTGCGGGGTTTATTCAAGTTGTTCAAGGATGTGTTCACAGAAATGGGCACAATGCGAGCCACGCTCAACGATATCATTTTAGACCCTTCGATTGCCATCAATTTCAGCGAACAAGCGTTAAACCCAGAGAAGTCCGAAGCTTCGAAAGGCAAGATAGCTGTCACAAATCAGAATCCTACGCTGGGTGGCTGGATAGCGCCCCTCTCCAAGCTTTTTGGAGCCCCAAGTCCTGTAGGCCCTGAGGCAAACCAACCCAACAGAGTTACTTCTCCGCTTTCTCGTGGAAATACTATCGGTGCGCCGGGTCGACCTATACCGAAAATCATCCCAAAGCAACGACCAGCTCTGTCTGCATCCAACACGACAGTCAATGTCGAATTTTCTGGGTCTGGTCTGGGTCGTTCCGTTACCAATACTTTCTCTGCCCATGCGACGATTAAGGCCGACCCTCAGATTGGTCTTGGTCAGCCGCCTCACAGCTCTGGCAGCAGTGCAATGGATCTATTCGCTGGCGCCCCGAGGGTCCCGACTGACCCTTGGGTACTTATTCCAAACGCCCCTAAGCGATCAGCGACGTTGAACCCGGACGCCACGATAGGACGACGGTGGGGTCGAACAGGGCTGAGTCGCTTCTCAAGGGATGTCGACGCAGTCATCGATATCCCTGCCACGCCGCAACCCATGAATGCAGCTGATGTAGATACTAATGAGGAGCAGGACGAAGTTCCTCCCCTCCTTCAGAGGACGCTCCGTCGTCGGGGTCTTTCTGATTCTTCCATTCATTCAACATTTTCCACGCATCAAGAAGACGCGGGTTCGTCTCCAACACAAGAAACGCCGTCACCGGAAGAGACTTCGCCAGGAATGTCCGTGTTGCAAGCTTTCAGTCGCACCGTTCAGAATTTTAGGATTCCATCTATGGCAAGCATGACGCATACACCCGAGCTTGTTACTAGTCCCGTGTCATCAACATTTTCGCGTCCCTCTCGACCCCAAACTGCCGGCAGCATACGAATACCACGAAACAGAGCGCTACCTACAGCATGGCAGACTCCGGATCCCTTTGAAGCAGGGAGCATACGCGAGGAAGACCTTTTACACCGACAACACATGCTAGGATGATCCCTTCGTCTCCTGATCATTTAAATAAGCGATACAAGGATTTATGCCCTCAGTTAGCATAGATGTTTTGACTAGGCAACTATACCAACTATACTACTTTAACGTAGGATGCTGGGAACAGTCCACGTTTGCCATTAATTTCGCCGGTCCACCTGTGCAATATGCTCAGTCCAACAAGGTAATCTACTCCCAGGGTGACATACCAATCCTCTGAGGTATGCTCTACTATCTTTATGCGCTGATTGGCTTCGAGACTGAGGTCATCGGCGTCCTGGTGACGCATCCGTCAGGCAATTAAACCGAGTGCTGTTCGAGAAATCACTGACATTGCCCGTGTAGTCGTAAATTACTTCGGCCCACTCTCCCGAATCTTGTTGGCGAACTGGAGGTGGCCGCGGGGCAGGCGGGGGTGGGGGTGGGGCCGAATTCCTCACCTCCGCTGCGTTGTCGGATACCCTCCGTACTGGCGGTGGCGCAAAGGTATTCTTCTTCGCTCCGAACGCGCTGGGCGCTGGCGGCGGCGGAGGCTGGTACGACTTGTTAGCCGTCGAGTTACGGAGCGATGTAAACATGTTCTTCGCTGATGATGTATCCACATCTCCGAATCGCTAGCGCGTGTGCAGTGAATTGGTTAAGGGCTAACTTGGCTACAGAACAACGCGACGACGACTCACACGTGCAGTGGGCAAAGGAGGTTTGTGCTCGGATGCAGCAGCACTGGGATCGGGGCTCCTCCGTGGAGGTGCTGGCGGAGGAGCCGAGTGAGCGTCCTGGGTGTCCGATCTGTTGAACGCCAACGATGCCGCCGCCACTTTGCCTATAGCAGAGCTAACGTGTGGATTGGATGCCTATATCATTGCAGACACAGGGGTCGCGTTATTACAGACGATAGTGCAAGTATCAGTAGCGTACAGCGGCGTGATATGGGCTGGATTTGGGGACATGGCGCAGCCCTGCAGTCACCATCTTGGAGGTAGCTTCGGATGTCGCTGCATCGCTACCGTTATTTGAATTGGAGAGTTTGGCGAAGATCTCAGGGCGCGACGCAAAGTATCTGATAGGCGTGTCAATGAGCCCTCCTGGTATGAACTCGTTCAGCACTCACTCGTCCAGAAGCGAGAAGAACGCATCCTTCTCGTGCACGCCGAGGTTGGTGAATACCATGGTTGGGTGAGACGTTACATTGTAAGCGCCTTGGATTATATACGTCTACTTGATCATGACAAGGCAAAATGACTCTGATTGGTGGCTAGCTTTCATCAAGATCTGTTCTAAGCCATGGGATCGTGGGCTATTCTCAGTGCAGCGAAGTGATTTTCACGTAAATCATAACATGCATATACGGAAGGACATGTACAGCATACATGGAAGTTTTGTGGGATAACAAAGAAGAAAACGCGATGATCATGATGTGAGATATGCGAGAGGATGCGTTTAAACTTCCTTGACTTTGACAGTACCACGTAGGAGACCAGTCTGGAAAGGGCATATGAGGAAATGCAAAGCGAAGAGAGGGAAATGTGTATACGTACCCGGCGGGCGGCAATGAGACCGACTTTCTGTCCAGGAACGGCGGAGCGGGCGATGGTGGACGCCTTTCCGATATGCTGATGGTTACCACCACCATGAGGATGGTCGACGGGATTCATAGCAACACCACGAGTACGGGGCCAGCTGGGGTCAAATGTTAGGTCTCATCCTTTATCCTGCGCACAAACAACTCCAGAATACGTACTTGTAACGCTTGGCCTTGTATTTGTGGAATGCACGACCAGCCTTCAACAACGGCTTGTCGATACGTCCTCCACCAGCGACGATGCCAATAGTGGCACGGGCAGCGCTGGAGATGGTCTTCTTGGAACCACTGGGCAGTCTGACTCTTGTCTTGCCCTCATCCGGGGAGTGCCCGATGATGGTAGCGTAGTTCCCTGATGTGCGGGCCAAAGCACCCCGATCTCCGGTCTTTTCCTCGACGTTGCAGACAATGGTACCTTCGGGGCACTGGCCGACGGGGAGTGTGTTGCCGACAGCGAGTTGTGCCTTCTTGCCGCAGTAGACAAAGGCACCGGTGTGGAGGCCCTCGGTGGCGATGAAAGTCTCCTTGCGAAGCTTGTAGCGGTATGGGTCACGGAACACTACGCGGGCGAGGGGAGCACCACTAATGATAATTGCAAAATCAGCCAGTAATCTCTGTGACTTGAAGTAGATGCGCACCGGCCGGGGTCGTGAATGATTTCCTTGACGATACCGCGAACGTAGCCATTGCGCTCAGCGAAGTCGAGAGCACGGAAGCGGGCGGGGGACTTGTTGTGGTGGGTGTGCGCCTTGAACTATTATCGATTGCGAGTGTAAGTGCACATTGCAAAACGGAGTTGGCGAATATACGAACGATAGTGTGCGATCGCCTCTGTGCCCTAATAACGCGACCCATCGTTTAATCTACAGGTGGAAGGCGATTCAGCACAAGTCCGGGCGACCGACGTTGGTAGAAAGGTGAAGGAAATTTGATGAATCTAAGCCGACTGGCACATCTCAATGTGCTGTAGACCATCCACCCCAGTTTCGCTCCGTTCCACCCAGATTTTTGACACAGTGCTTTCCAGTGGTATTCCATTGTCCAGGCGAGAATGAATCCAGCAGCAATTCGAACGGGGGACTCACCTATCGGGGTGTTTTGAGGATGTGCGACGGATTTGGGCTGATTGTGTGGATGAGTACTTGGCTTGGTTGTGTTTGCCACTCCATCCCAATATAGCAGGTTATTCTCAGGGGTATTATAGTTCACCACTGATGTTTGCGTCGACGATGCATGTTACTCGGAGGAGATATCACAATAATTCTACTGATCATGACTCGTTAGCCAAGATACAGGTCAGAACCATAGATCTAGGAAAATTTGTTTATTCCAACTTCCAAGACAGCAGTCCGTCTTTGCACCGAAGATTAGGCCAGAAGACCATGTACAGACGCCAAATGTAGAGTAAAGTGCGATTCTCTGTCAGAGAGGGGCTTACAGGACTAAGATGGGCCAATGGCCGACTAGCGATATGGAGATATGAGATAGCTCGCAATTTATGGCCATGCAGTACCGGAACGGGCCAGGTGATGAATTCACATCCAGGTCAGGATGCAAGATAAAAGGGCGCGAGGAACAGATTGATCCTACGTTGCATTCCTTCCCCCCTTCCTGCGTGTCTAAATTCGTCGTGGACTGAGAATCCTCGTCCCTGGCCATGTTTCCGGTGCGGTACGCGGAACTTGAAGTTTGAATAGATTGATAACGAGATGTTTACCGTGACAGAATTTGGGCCAGGTGCGAAGCCAGAGTGGCTGCGGTATGGTATTACATGTACAGATCAACGCATGGATCAGAAGGGCCTAGTCGTGTGTGAGAGAGGGAGATCAGCATGCTCGAAATAGAGGTTAAATGGGTGCGCGGGGGTATGGGAGCCAGACTTTCTGACCACGCCTCCGGATCGGCGATGTCGCGAGATACAGCATGATGGAAATGACCAGGTTCAAGTCTAGGTACCAGGAGGAGCAGGATATTGCACTGGCTCCGCTGTTGTTGACGCTGAGCGCGGCGGGAATCTTGCTTCACGTGCAGAGTCCCACGTTCTGCTTGACGCGCTTAGCTGCATGCAGATTGCCAACGACGACGAGCACAGCGACGAGCACAACGCCCAGTGAGTTCCCCAGCGACGCGGTAAACTGGCGAGCTGACCGAATATACAGGATGATTCACCTGGAACGTAAATCATACCGCTTCCCCTTGAATTCCCTTGGCTACGGCGCTGACTTGATATTTCCTAGATCACAAAATTCTGCCTGCTTGGGACGGCCTTCCCCCTCATGATGACAGCAGCTTCAATCCAGACTCATTCTTATCAGATTCCCCTAACTCAAAGCCCGCCAGCAATTTCTCCGCACAGCAGCAACAGCCAGAGACAAATCCACAATCAATAACTCAATCATCTGACCCAGCCGAATCTGACCCAGCCGAATCACATACATCTCCTCCACAACCACCGTCAACAACAAATCCTCAGGACGGCAGTACGGGCGTGCCATCGCCACCCGGGGACGACCGCAGTTCATCACTATCACCGCTGCCTGAAGCAGGGTCACCGCAGACTACGCACAACGAGGCCACAGGCTCACCGGCTCCTGCCCCGACGTCTAAGGAAGACGACGAGGCTGCCAGCGAAAAACCTTCTTTGGTAGCGATAAAGACTGGTCTGGAACAATCATCACGCCAATCGACTCCCCTCAGCGAGCCTCCAGACCAGGAGGACGATGCTGACCCTTCCGCCGACAATTTGAAGGAAGGCATGCAGGAAGAGTCGGCAGGCGCGCAGACGGGTGAGGCCAATGGTGTGGATTCGAAGGAGACAAAACCGCCGGAAGGAGCTCAGAGTGGGAAGGGGTCTGGGAGAGGTGGAGGTTCGACGCCTGGGGATGTAAATGCGGCTTCAGCATGGAATAAGGACTCGGCGACAACGAACGACTCTCATTCAGTACTACCCTCTCCTGTTGCTCCTAGTCCAACGTCCACCGTACCACAGGCAAGCGACCCGAAGGTTGTCGCTGTGTTGGGGTTGAATGTTGAGCTACTTAAGTGCGTGTGGTCTCAGCTCATTCCATCATCAGTACTAAACCTTGTGCAGAGTTTTCATGGAATTTCAAACCCGTGGGATGCCCATGGCGGATCCAATTCCTTCACAGTCAGTCCCCCATTCCATCAGACGTTCTTTCGCTGACACTCCTCGCCTACAGGTACTGCGCTCGCCTTCAATCAAATCTTGCTTGGCTCGCTGCGGCCGCCGATCAAAGTAGACAAGGCGTATGCACATATAGCCCCCTTCTCCGTGCGGATGCTGATAGACATTTCACAGAATCATAGCCAGATTTCTCTACCCATGATGGACCCGCCTTCACCCGTGGACTTCGCCCCCAATGAGCGCATACGCCAGCTGTATTCTGACCTTCCTTCTGTGTTTGCAAAAGAGATGGCCCGCCGGCAACAAGCGGTTCTCTCCTCCGTCAATGCATCATCTGCTCTCTCTACGCCCGTCCCTCCCTCTACTCCCGCGCTAACGAATCCCATGCCCGGTACACCCGGCACACCCAATCCCTCAGTCAATCACCTCAAACGCGACCGTCCGCATGATGCGCACACACCCAGCGAACCGACGAGTATCAAGCGCAGAGATACCGGAGAAAGCAAGCCTAACTTCGGCGCTGTTTCTCCGTCGCCCGTCCCAAGCACTCCCTCCCACAATAACATGGGCCCGACAAGCGCCGGAAACATAGGCAACAATATGTATATGAACCAGGCCAACGGTACTCCCACCACACCCAACCAAGCGCAACTAGGTCTGGGTATGCCCAACGGTGTAAGTGGGGGTGGGGGTCAAGGAGGCTCGCCTGCCCCTTTCCCCATGGGCCCTTTAGGGACCAATCTTGTGAATACGGCTGAGGCCCAATTAGCCGCTACCAACAGGGATCGAGCCAGGCAGGCCCAGATACGAGCCGCTCAGCAGTTACAACTTCAGCAGCAGCAGCAGTCGCGACAGATGTCCCCATCGTCATCCTCCGGAATGCCAAACAACCAGATGGGTGGTCAGATGCCGAATGCTGCTATGAACAACGTTCCTGGTGTATCCAGCCCCGGCGCGAACCCCAACGGGTCCGGCAACACGATGAGCATGAACATGGGAGGCGGAAATGCACCACAGCAGGCACACTCGCAAAGCGGCGGCGGTATGAGCCAACAAAACTTCCAGGCGATGTACCAAATGCTACAGACGCCAAATCATCCATTCGTGAATTATATGATCAGGAACGTGCAAGGCTTCGCTCAACTACCTCTTCAAGCCCAACTGCAGAAAATGATGGTCGCCCAGGTACGCTCCTTTCCATTAGATCACATGTGCATTTTTTTATTGATGTCATCTTGCTATAGAACGTTATTCAACAGCAAAGAGAGAGAGCGAATATGGCCAACGCTAGTGGTGGGATGTCGCCTACTGCCAGCATGAGCGGACAGCAATTTCAAGGCCAAGCTAATATGAGCCCCGTTTCACCTGTTGCCAATTCACCGTCAATACCACAGGGCGCCCAGGGAGCTGGGTTCCCGACTGGCAGCGGAAACATGGGACAAGGTGGCATGGACCCGCGAATACAATTATCTCAAGGCATGAATATGAGCAATGTTTCTGCCCAACAGCGGCAGCTTTATTTGCTCCAACAACAGGCTAGGGCAGGCGGCGGCGGCGGGGCTGGAGGGAATAACCATACTATGATGTTGGCGTTACAGCAGCAGGAGCGGATGCGTCAGCAGATGGGCCAGCAAGGACAAGCGACATCACCAACGATAGGATCGCCTATGTCCGGAAATATGCCGGATATCTCTTCCCTCCGGTCGAATAATGGTATTCCCGGTATAGCGAGGAGTGCGAGGTCGCCGTCGGACAATGCGCCATCTCCAATGACGCCTCGAGTACCGACACGGGGCCCAAGCATGGGGCAGGAGGATTATCAAAGGATGTTGATGGCGCAACAGGCACAACAGGCGAATCGGATAGCTGCCCAGAGTCCCATCGGATTCGGGCAGCAGTCGCAAGCTGCATGGCAACAAAACCAGATGCAGCAACAGCAGGGGATGGGCAACCAGGGTGGTTATGGTGGTGCTGGCTCGCCGTCAATACAGCAACAAAACTGGTCTCAACAGCAAGGAGGATACCCATTCGCGTCATCGCCTGGAGGGGAGCATCCCCAGGCAATTCGACATATGTCTGGCACTCCCGGTCCTCAAAATTCGAATCCCCAGCCTGAGTCTGGGATGGTTGTTCCCTCGGACTTTAACAATCTTCTGGACTGGCCGCAATAGTATGAGTAAGACGTCCTCCCGTCAAGCCTCTACTCCGCTATCTGTTTTCTTCGCATTTCGCTATCGCCTTGACTGACTTCTACGGTACCACTAGGTTTATGACCATTTTCTTTCCATCCCGTACATGTTACTAAAGTATGAAAAGCTAGCCACATCCACTTCCGTTTTGTTAGCCATGTTATATTTCTCTACCAACGCTTTAAGATTGTTGGAATAATCTGCTTATTGGCCTTGGGAGGTTAAGCTGTATGTATAATTTATGTTTACATAACAATGATTTCTTTTTTTTACATGCTCAAAGGATGGAGGAAGTGTTCCGAATGCACGCAAATCAATGTAAGTACTTGGTTTCGCCTTAACTGCGAGGGACTATTGGACGTCGGCGATAGCTTTCCGCCATCTTTTCTGGATATCAATAGATTCGAGGAAGATATCGTATTTAACTTGCAGAAGCCTCTTCACCCTTGGTGCTGCAGAGGGCAGCATCCTTGTTCCCGGAGGGGTCATCTCGACCTGTCATCACGTTCAATAAAACAAACTGCTATATCGAGGAGAAGCTTACCATGATCTTCCACAACAACTCCTGCTGTTCTTTCTCTCCCATTTCGGAGGCGCCGACCTTAGAGGCCTCCTCTGCCACTCTACCCAGCATCGCCGCTCCTAAAACAACGGCTCCTGCATGGTCGAACGGAAGAACGACGGGCATATCGCATACATCCGCAAATAGCTGCATGAGGGTCAGGTTTCTTGCCTGACCGCCGCTCATGTAGATAGAGGTGATGGAGTGGCCGTGTTTGTTTAGAGTGGAGATGATATGTCGTGTTTGAAGCGCGATCGCGGTAAGCACTGCGTAATATTTCAGAGCGAGGTCTTGGATGGAAGTGCCCTATGTCATGCCACGTTAGTATATGTACTTGAAATATCCCAAGTCGCTGAACGCCACATACCAGGTCAAGGCCTACAATGGACCCTCGCATTCGAGGGTCGGCTATTGGTGATCTGTTGCCTGTCGAGCTATGGGTTATTAATCTTACCAAGAACGACATACAACCACACTTGCCATGAAAGTCGGGGTAGTAATGTAAATCTCTGGTGAGATCTTGATAGCTGTCGACGTTCTGCTGAACGCGCAACTCCTCTAACAAATCTTTCAATACTGCAACGAAGGGAAGTTAGCAGAAGTATTAGGGGTATCATTGAAGGAGGTTCGATACATGTATGAATGTCCGTCTGTTTGGCTTTCGCGGTCTCCACGAGCTTGGAATAGGCAGGGTGCGTTGTTAGGATGAAGTCAATGAGCTAGGGAATGAGATCTGATGAATATACTTATACTTCGAGGAATAATTGAGGAAGGGGAGGAGTTACTTGACCGGTGGAAGATTGACCACCTTCGTTCATCCACCAGCCACGGAAAACGGCATCCTTATACGGACCCCATACGCCGGGCACGAAAATTCCATTCGGACTCTGGAGATCGTTCGTTAATTGGACATTGTCATCATTTTTGGGCGATATAATACCTGGACAAGATGACATGTGCTTGTGCCAGCGACAGCAGCGAGCCGATGATAAGATTCTTCAATGGAAGGCATATCTTTTGACAATGCACCATCCACTTTGTATTTAGCACCAACGGTCCCCAGCCAGCCTGCATATCTGAGTCGGCGATTGTGAATCTGTAGTCGAACGGTTGCTGCTACGAGGACTCACGCATCTATTAAACCGCTGCCCACTGGCGTACCCTCCACAAGCCAAAGATCATCAGCGGCTTCCTTCGTCAATCCGTTTCCAACTGGCACACCTGCGTTGAGAACGGTTGATCGGAGCGCCTCCCCAATCTGCCTATATCCCTTTCCCTCTAGTTCGCCTAATCCCACCTTCTCGAAGAAATCGGTCTGCCACCCTTTCTCCGGAACATACGAACACTTGCACGTCAGCGAGCAGCATGACCGTGCCGGGTGGGCAGTTGCCCGATACGTGAGATAATCTGGGAGGTCGAAGAATTGGCAACGAGAGAACAGGTCGGCGGGCATATTGCGCTTGAGCCATAAAACCTTGGGCACTTCCATTTCTAACTTTGAGGATGATCAGTATCAAGAGAACTGATGGGCAAGTAAGGGGAGACGTACACTCATTGTGCCTCCGACATAATCGAGGACGAGAGAACCAGTCTGGTTGATCAATTCTGCCTCTGCCTCTGCTCGGTGGTCTGCCCATAGAATGATATTCCGTTCTCCAGTTCGGCCTAGTTCCGATCCGTTGGTGATTACGACAGGCTGCCCTCCCTCGTCCGTGACAGCCAGAGAGCAAGTAGCATCAAAGCCAATACCCTTGATATCAGGTGGTGCGACGCCAGACGTTTGTACAACATTTCTGACTACTTTGGATATGCAAGACCATATGTCGGTGGTTGACTGTTCGAAGATTCGGTGATCGGTGTGATCGCGAAAGGTCTGAATATCCTGTGTCGACGATGCGATCGTCTTACCCTGCTTGTTAACTAGACAAGCTCTGACCGATCCTGTGCCGACGTCGACGCCAATATAGTAGCCAGTGGTGCTCATGATTGGGATTGTGGTTGATGGAATTCCTGAGAAATTTATAGCCAGCTCATGAAGTCGTTTAGCGAATTTGTAAGTCAGCGTGGGGTTAGCTCAGAGGATGCGGATGCGGGATACCTCGGACCAGATTGGTATCAAACTCTTACTGAAATACTGAAGAGGAATTCTGGAGATGGATGTAGGGCATAAATTGGAGTGCGCTGGATTACATGAACATGTGCATAATTGACGAATGATGAAAACGACGATCTTTCAATCCGTACCAGCCGTTGTTCGTGCTGAAGACTTTGTTAAGACCAGGACAACTTATGAGGGGGTCGCGGAATGACTCACAGTATACGAGCTGGGCGGAGTGGTGCACAATGCGCTTTATTTGGCCATCCTTCTCCAGATGTCTGATAGCAATGCGTGCCAGACTGCCATTGATTTTCAATCGCTCGATGAGGATACTTTGGCTGATGAATTTGAAGGTCGGGACCTCCTTAATGATACGGTCGAACAATGCCTTGTCGAGGGTGATAGCGTGCTGGGCCTTGTCCTTGACCTTTCCCTTAGACCACTTCTTCTTCTTTGCGGCTTTTCCACCGCCCGATGATGTAGGGGCTTTTGCTTTGGCCTACGAAAGAAAGACGATCAGTAAGCCGTATGAGGGACATCTAATCTCGAGCTGCTGCATCCACCGACGGGCAGATTCCAATCGAGCTAGAAGTATGCCAGCATCGCAGAAATGTACCCTCCGAGTCGACAGCAGCAGCACCGAGGGCGATACTGGACATACCATGTTGTGGGACCTGTCGTCGATGGGCTGAGGTGCTCGATTGCGCCGCTTCCGCCTAGTCAATCTTAGCGTTCCCACAGTGCAACATCGTCTGAACCAAACAAGAGCAAAGTCACGCCGATCATTCACTGTCGGACCGCCCTCAGTTGAACACGTCAATATCTTCCTCAATGATACCCTTGCTGCTGCTCCTGCCGCTAACAGTGCCAGCCCTCGCGAGCAGCGACAAAACGACTGGAGTCGCGCCGGGGCTACTGTCGAAATATGCCCCTCCTTCCGGAGACAAATGGTCGTGTCTAGACGGCTCGAAACAAATATCATGGAAGGCGGTCAATGATGACTATTGCGACTGCAAGGACGGCAGCGATGAACCTGGTGCGCTGGAGCCATCAATATCTGTGGGTTGCTGCTGAATCTTGCCAATATCATAGGCACTAGTGCTTGCGCGAATAGCACCTTCTATTGCCGAAATGACGGTCACATTGGTTCAACTATTCCTTCATGGCAAGTGAACGATGGTCTCTGCGGTAGGTACTTCTGTGTATCACTTTGTCTCCTGACTTATCTGTTAGGCAGAGGCTGCGTGCTGTGACGGCTCTGACGAGCTCCCTGGCGTATGTCCGAACAGATGCAAGGAGATCGGAGAAGCGTACAGAACGAAACGCGACGCTGAACGTAAATTGCGGAAAACCGTAAGATATATTCCAAGCTGTTCCTTGCGGCCTCGGGATTTCATGCGCTATACAGGGCGCCAAAATACGATCTACTTATATCGCCTACGCCCATAAAGAGAAGAAACGTCTAGAGTTATTGTTGCAATCTAACGTCCAGGAAATTGCCCTTCAGGAGAAGGAAGTAGAACGCCTGAGAGGTGAGAAATACTAATCACCAACAAACGACGTTCTAACATGCTGTAGATATCGCTGAGCGGACTGAATCTATATCTGCCGCGGCTCTCGAGCACAAGAAAGAGTCTCGTAAGCAGCTCAGTCTTGTCAACGGCATGCTTTGTCTGAAGCAATGCAGCTCTTTACCTGTCGATTGTCAAACACTCCAACGCCCTCAAATCTCTGCAGCGCGAACATAAGAAACACTTGGAACGTGAGAAGGCACTGGGTGACATTCTGGATGCACTTCGCAAAGGATACAACCCGAACTATCAGGATATGGCCGTCCTGGAAGCCGTTCGTGGCTGGGAATACCTTGCCGGTCTCCCTCATATCAATGATGTCGGTAAAGAGGACAGTGAAGCCGAAGGCGATGGGGAGGTGAAAGAGGTGACGGACGAAAATGTCGCAGAGGTGCTCGAAGATGGGATGTGGTCGGAGGAGGACTTGGAGAAAAACCTTGACCCACTGCTGAACACTGACTACGTCTCCCTTTTGTTAGAGCATGACGAACATGTTCAAACCCCTGCTTCGGAATCAGTTTGTAAGTGGTATTTCGCGTAACTCCTCTGCTGATTTCAGCTTACATTAATCTAACCAAGTGTTTGATCTAGCATCCTACATTCCTGACTCCATTTATCCACAATACGAAGAATGGAAGGACGCAGTCATCTCGTTGCTAGAGAAATTGGGTATCGTGAAACCTTCACCAGATGCTGCTGCTGGTTTGTTCCTTCGATTTGCATCGCATTCGTGCGCTCACAACCACTACAGATTCTTCGAAAGCTCGCCAGGCTTTGACGGATGCAGAGAACAAGCTCAACGACCTCAAGCGCGACCAGGAGCGTGCAAAGGAGGACATGGAAGACATCTTCAATCCCGAAGGCTTCGGTGCTGAAGGCGAGTGGAAGAAGCTTGACGGAACATGTTTGGAGAAGGACACCGGAGAGTGAGTTGTGCGCGTACTCGGTCGACCTTTTCAATTATACTAAACCTTCCACTTTCAGGTATACATACGAGGTCTGTCTCTTTGGCGAAGCGAAGCAGAAGCCCAACCACGGTGGTAGCACATTCAGCCTAGGGTAAATCACTCGCCCCCCCGCCTGCTATTCCATTCTGAACCGCCTATTTGCTAGAAAATTCCAATCCTGGAATCCTAACAGCGACGTCCCACTCGGCTCTCCAGGTTTCTACTCGAAGCAAACATACAAGCATGGCACCCGCTGCTGGAACGGTCCGGAACGAAACGTCATTGTAAGTCGTTTCTCACTGTCCGACTCTTTGCGGGTGGATGAACGGCTTCTGTTCTCCGTAGCTTGAGCTTTCGTGTGGGCTTGAAAATGCTATTCAGAGCATCATCGAGCTAGAGAAGTGTGAATATCAATTCACTGTGACGACCCCCGCTCTCTGCCTGCCGTTGGAACCCGAGAATGGTAAAAGCGCAGGGAGGGAAGAACTCTGAGTTCTCCATGGTTATTGACATTTGGTAGAAAGTTTGTTTACGACCACAATGTCTGAATATTTATACTTTCTGCTCTGATGATGTTAGTCCTTGGCAAACAAATATATGATCCTTGACACGATCGGTCCATGAATTACCAAACTGGTCGAAAGATTTTTGCAAGTGGTTCGACTTCGAAATGTTCTTATAAGTATAAACAGACATTTTGCTTCTTCACCATCACGACGCGACGCTTCCCATATTTCATCCACGACTGCCATGTCTTCAACCAAAAAGTCTGGGGCCAAAAAAAGCACAGAGGAGCGCCGCGACCCAATTATGAAATGGGCGACTCGAGTCGTCATACTGGCTCTGTTCCTCGCGTTCTGTGGTTGGCTGGACACCATCAAGGTCAGTTCGCGTCGTTTTTACGCGTCTTGCGTGCACACAGACTTGCTGAAACAGTCCTACGGTTTTCTTTTTCGTTTTGGCTAACTTTAGGATCGGTGGTATGTCTTCGAGCCTAGCAAACTGCATGCGCTCGCACAGGATGCCATAGCTGCCCATCCGGACGATACAGGCGCAATGGTGCACCACATAGTCTCTAACCTCACGGCCGAATACCCCAGCTCCCAAATTCGCATCAACCCCAACGAGCGCGAGTGGGTCTTCAACAATGCTGGAGGTGCCATGGGCGGGATGTATATCATTCACGCAAGCATCACTGAGTACCTCATCGTTTTCGGCACGCCTCTGGGCACGGAGGGGCATTCTGGGATACATACTGCGGATGATTACTTCCATATCCTCTCTGGCGAGCAGTGGGCCTACACCCTGGGTAGCTTTGAGAAGGAGGTGTACACAGCGGGGAGTGTCCATTTGATGCCGAGAGGTGTGAGGAAGCAGTATAAGATGCACAAGGGATGCTTTGCTCTTGAATATGCTCGAGGTCAGTGGATATTGCTCTGTTACTCAAGTCGTGCATGCCACTTACTCCTTTATTCGATCAGGATGGATCCCGCTCATGTTGCCCTTCGGCTTTGCTGACGCAATCTCATCAACGATGGACTACATAAGTGTATACGACACGGTCCGCGCGACAGGGAGGGAGATGATCAAGAACTTACTTATTGGCAAGATATAATGATTTATTGCATTTTTATTCGCCATGCTCTATCTAACACTCAAGTTATGCGTACATGTAGCTTAGTTATGCCGGCGGCATAATCATAGATATAAGTTGGTCTAGTTGACTGGGGGCAAACCAGAAGAATGTCAATCAGTCTTCATTGGACCGTCGTAGTATAAATATCGACACTGGTAAGCCCTCCGAAATCTAGTTGGATGTGTCGCGCATCGGTTCCAGTTGATTTATCCATCCAATCGTTTGGCTCACAACTTGGGGCAGGGAGGACCTCGACGAAACAATCAGTATATACCGACCGACCTGAACACAGGGGGTCTTAGACTTTTGATATAGGTCTAGAGGAGACCTTAGACGACCAAGAGAAAGCAGTCCTCGAGGCCGGTTCTGGTTGTTCCTTACAAAGGTTGAAACATTCGTAGACGTAGCCAAGGTATGCCTTCTAGTCAGCCGTTGTGCTCGATGGAGCCTCAGTCAGTCGTACTTATTCCACGCTCTAGGAAAGTATGTCACTTTGATTTCGTAACACACTCGTCTGCGCTCAACTCGCAGCGGCGGGAATCCGGATTCATTCGTCCGTTTCGCCCCCATCGGCTACGGCTACGGTCGTTTTCTGTTCCGACTGACAATGTGCTTGCCTCTGAAACGCACCGATTTTTAAAAAACAGCTTTCCGCAAGTTCTCCGCTCAACACGTGCCAATAGGTCGTCTCCTCCGAGGTATGTACTCATCGATGGGCTGTGGGGGTCTGTAGACGAGCTATACTTACACGTGTGTTGGGATTTGGCGAGGTACTGCAAGATGAGCGGCCTCGAGCTGGAAAATACTGTCTAGCCCATGCATGGCTTACAGCCTCAACCATTGGCTGAACGTTGTTGAAGCGGCCTGGCCAATTGGGTTCCGAAATGATCTTGGCGTGGCGTTAACTGCCCGTTCATACTGGCGCAAATTCGGATCTTTGACTAGATATTGCACGGTCGTATGAACCTGCCATCATCCTTCACGACAGTGAATCGGCGGTAAGGTCGGTGGGTCGAGACCCGATGGGCTGATGCGCCGGCGCGTGGAAGTTTCTGAAGTTTGACGGTCAGTATCGCCCGCCAGAGTGGTCCCGACGGTAGAGGCTCGATGGAGGATTGATGGAGGGGGTCATCTGAGACCACTGCGAGGCCATGCGACGGCGAACCTGATTCCAGCCCTGCTGGAGACCTATCGAGTATATATACGCGTCAAAAATACCTGTGATGCTCCGTCCATTGGATTACTTCCAAACTCGCAACAAACTTCGTTCATCATGTTGTCGACGCCCAATTCTCTGGTCGCCACCCTCTCGATCGCCTTAGGGCTGATCACCACCCCAGTTATCGCAGCTGGAGGCTTCCCTCCCATCAACTCTTCCCCAGGCGCGTGTGGGATCCTCCCCGCCGACGCAAGCTGTGAAGCCCTATTCACGGCTTGTGTAGAGTCCCGCGTACGTTGTTCGCTGTTTCGAAATATCTCTCGAGACTAACAGTCTGGCAGCCTTCCCCCACGGACCCTTTTAGTAGCGACATCTGTGTAGCAGCAGCTTCTTGCTACCCCATCAATGTAGACAGTTTCCTAGGCAATGTCTTCTGTCGTTTGTCAGGACCGTCTTCCAACAATCCTCGATCTGCTACTTCTCCCCGTCTCAGCGATGCGGTATGTATTGCACGACATCTGATCCGAACTGCTGCTCACGTAGTTTTTCTAGGTCTACAACAGAATCGCTGGTACTAATGGCCAAGTCACCCTGCCTTCGTATCGTGCTTGGTATACTGCCCAAGTTCATGCCGCCAATCCCAACACAGACAAACTGTGCGTTTCCTCACATTCCCGCCTCTGATCAAATACTGACGAACTGCTACAGCGTTGATCTTGCTTTGATCCGCGAGGCCTTTGACATCATGGCAGCCTGGACTGATACCTGCGACAACGCAAGCATCCCCAAAGGCAACTTCCTTGATTGGTTCCAGTGGTCAAGCACTGTTCGCGGGCCCCAGACAACCTGCGGCCTGATGGTCAACTGCCCCTCGACATTTGTCTCGTACTGCATTGATCTCGCCGTCAGCTGTGCCCACAACGATGTCAGTTATATCCTCCTTTAGCTATCCTTAGCGCCTGCTAACCTTAGTCTCAGAATGCCGTATCGAATCCGTTCTCCATTCCTGAATGCGTTGCAGGCGCCTTGTGCTGGGAAGACGGTGTCAACTCTTTCCTCCAGGCTGTGACATGCCGCAACAACTTCGAGTTCAACAGAGGCGTCCAGGCTCCTGTCTCGACAGCCGTCCCTGCCTTGACCTCCTCCATTCTCCCCAGCTCGATCTCGTTTTCCGCCTTTTCCGATTTCATCGTCGAGCAAATGAGCAGGTTCGGCACCCGAGCTCCGTACGTGCACCGTGGTTCAGTGTTTGAATGATAACTTACTCTATTTCAGTGGCTCCGCGACGCCTTTGTCTGGTCGTTGGTCTCTCATCGTCGCGTGGACCAACTTCTGCACCACAAACATCGTGCCTAGAGCCAATCTTTCCGACCTTCTGCGCTACTCCTTCACCAAGCTTACTTCCACCACCTGTACTGGCGGTTCTCAATGCACCCCTGATCCCAATGCAAGCTGCGAGCAACTCTTCCAAGCTTGTGTTGCCTCCCCTGTATGTTCCTCCATCCCTTCCTCGCGAACTTCCCTTTTCACCTGATCATCTCGTAGAACGTCCTCACGAACCCGTACACGAACATCAACTGTGTATTGGCTGCAACCTGCAAGGAGGGCGGTATCAATGCCTTCGGTGAGGCTGTTGGATGTGCCAAGAATACACAAAGCAATCCCCGTGCTTACCCTCGGTTGAGCTCGTCTGTAAGTGTCTTGTCCTAGTGCCACCCGATCATGACCTCACCTGTTGCGATCTAGGTATTTAACGCACTCGCGTTCGGAGACGGCTTCGTCAATCAGCAGAATTATATCGATTCGTACTATGGCGCTTTGTCGACTCTTCCCAACCCCTCATGGCCTGAGTACGTTCTGTCATCTCCTCATAGGTTATTGGTCTAATATTGACTGATGCCGCAGTGTCGCATATGTCATTGGCAAGTGGACCACTATCCAGACATGGACAGCGTTCCCAAGTGGAGAAGTGCCCTACGGCAACTTCGCTGATTTCCTCCAATACGCGTAAACGTTTGGACTGCGAACACTTTCGTTTTGATCTTGACAAGAACGCTTGGACTTCTCATGAACATTTGACACAAACCAAATAATGTACCGGGAGCCTTGACGAACTTTTACCCCAAGGCTTCGTATCATACCTAGCAGCCCTTCGTTGTATACCTTAGTACCTTTGCACGCTAATACACAATATCGTTATGTGAGTTAGGTGATTATCGACGGACTACATTGTCGAGATGATACAGATTACAAGTCCACGTTCAAGCATCGTAGCCGGGTGGGTTGTCGACTGGTACATCTCCGACATAGGATACCGTACTTGACTCTGCTGGGTACGTATATGTTGCTACAAGCACAATTAGTAAATTATCGCTGCGATAAGGGTATTCCGAAGGCACTCACGTAGACCTTCCTCCTCCTCCGCGCCGTGTCTCTTCATGTAGATGGCCTTCTCCCTCGTCTTCTCCAACAGACTAACGAACTCGAACATCGCTTTATCCTTGAACCGTACCTCCGCCTGTGTACCGTTCGTCAGACCGCCGTCGGGCGCGGGCTTGATCTCAAATCCCAGATAATTCGCTCCGAAGGTCGGTTGCTCAAATCGAGTCGAGAGGATCGCAGGCAAGGGGATAGAAAGCGAGTCGAACGATCGACTTGGAGGTGCGATGAAGATCAACTACACCCATCGCGCAGCCCATCCAGCAACGAGATCGACACACAAGGACGAGGACAGGGGTTAGCGCAACGAATCAAGGGGGAGATAAATACATCGGACGTACACGTTTATCGGTGAGGTACAGTGCCCCAGTTTCCTTGAGTTTCTTGGCACCCCCAGACCCTCCTGAGGAAGAGCTCCTCGTGGGTGGCGCATCAGGAATATTCAAGGACACCTCGACGTTGGAGGTAACGGCGGTGATCGTCAGCTCATCTGGTAGTGGTACCGGCGAGCGGTCGGGCGTTAACATTGCCCAGTTCAACGACATATTTGGCGATTAGTAGAGTAGCTGGTGGTATACGATTAGTGAACTTGGCTTCAAGCGAGGCGTTTTGAATACGCGCCTCGTCCGGGAGCTGTGCTGTGACTTGCTACGTGGATTCCCAGGATTCTGGCAACATCTAGAAAATAGCCTTCAACAAGGCTACCTAGCGCAATGGTAGCGCGTTTGGCTTCGATTGCTGACGGCACCAAAAGGTTGCAGGTTCGAGTCCTGCGGTGGTCATTTTTGCAGAATTTTCCATTTCGCGGAAGTATATCCCTCGCGATCACGTGCACGTGCGTTGATCACTGTCACTTCGATTGCGCCTGCAGGCAAGGGACCTAGCCTTTGCAAGGTTCCCTCTCTTCCACCACCTCCAATGGCCGGCGTTTTGCTGTCCACCCACTCCTCAAATCCGCTCGAGGTCGGCTCTTCAGATCCCCGGAACTCCCACTATCACCGCGCATACAGGAAGTCTCAAGAAGCTCGCTGCGACGATCCCCTGTCATCCGATGACCTCTTAAATGGGAGTTATCGCCCCCCGGAGCTCGACGACTACCATGAGCACATCTCCCAACTCTTCCCCGGAATGATTCAGCGACGGTCAAGCGTAAGTACTGTCCGCGCAGGGAAACAACCGATGTTCGCGCCACCGGCCTACGTAGACTTGGACGTGGATATGAGCGACGACGAGCTGCTGATAAGACCGAACGAGGGTAACGCGCAACCCGCTGCGGTTGACTACAACGATGAAGAGGACGCGCAGGGAAGCGACGTTGATGACGACGATGTGAAGCTGAGCGGAGAGCAGGACTCAGAGGACGAAGAAGACACGATTCACCTGAAACCCCCAGAAGAACGCGCCGAAATCGAAGCTGAAATCGAGGAACTGGAATCTTCCGTCCCCCAACTTTCTTCCGACTACAAGCTCGTTGACCGTCTTGGAACGGGTACATTTTCGTCTGTTTATAAGGCCATTGATCTCGCCCCAGAGCAATGGGATAATACACCCTGGCAAGGACCTAAAACTCGCGCGTCGATACCTCAACTCTCCTCCGCGTACATCAATGCAGATGTTGGCGGGCGGGTCTTCGTCGCAATTAAACGAATCTATGTGACTAGCAGTCCAGAACGCATACGGAATGAGATAGCAATTATGGAGACATGTAGAGGGTCCAGGTATACGTCCCAGCTCATTACTGCTTTCAGGCATAAAGATCAGGTTGTGGCGATTATGCCGTATCACAAGAACGAGGACTTCAGGGTATGTGCACTTCACTATAACCATGGTGCACTATTGATGCCTTGTCTACGTGCACGCCGTTGATGCAGGAGTATTTCCGAGAGATCTCTATGCCCGCCATCAAAGCGTATCTTCGGTGTATGCTTCGTGCTCTACGCGATATCCATGCCAGAGAGATTATTCACCGTGATGTCAAGCCGGCGAATTTCCTTTTTGACCCTCGTTCGGGCGTTGGCACGCTATGTGACTTTGGATTAGCCTGTGTGAGTGGAGCGTATCTCGTCTTTTGCCGCTGGTCGCTGACCTTGCTTTTGTGACTCTAATAGCGCATGGAACCAGCAAGGGGGCACGGAAATAATACGTGCCTGCACACCCCTCCTACCCGTAGCGACCCACACGGTCGTGTGCGACTGCGTAACGAATATAACATAGAACAAATCAAACGTGTGCAGAAGGATGCGAGAAACAAGAGCACTTGGAGCTCAGACAAAGTAGGGTACGCAGAAAAAGATCCTCGGTTAGTCGTTCTCCCTATAGTCGATATCTCGAATCTAAGCCCATATCTCCACCGTTTTGCAGGCCTACCTGTAAAGCCAACCGTGCGGGCACAAGAGGGTTCCGAGCACCCGAAGTCCTCATGAAATGCGGTGACCAGTCCGGTGGTAAGCAGATACTGTGACGTTGAGTTGAGCGAGTATAACATTTGCAGAATAGCCGTGGACGTTTGGTCAACAGGCATGATCCTGCTGTTTTTCCTGATAGGAAAATTCCCTCTGTTCCAGTCCAATGATGACATCGAAGCACTTATGGAGATCGCTGTTATCATCGGCCGCAAAAGCATGGAGAAAGTCGCAACTCTTCATAGTATGTACCAATGAACAGATGATTCCAAGGGTGCTCAGCTAAGTCTCAACCTTGTCTTCCCCCTTTTGCAGGGCGAACTTTTGCGAGCAATGTCCCCTCTATCACGCCAGATGGGATCAGCTGGCGAGAATTCGTCGAAAAGCAAAATCCCAACGTATTTACCCCTCCGCCACCTAATACCCGATACTACCCATATACCATGATGCCACCGAGTGCCATCCCATCTATATCCATGCCCCCTCCCCCCTTGCCCCCATCGAAATCCAAAACCGTCGATTCGTCACTACGACCGAAGGCACCGACGGAGCACGCACAGGACGTCGAATTTGCATTTAGTCTTCTGGAAGGTCTTCTGCATCCAGAGAGTACACGACGTATCACACCGAGGGACGCGCTGAATCACCCGTTTTTGCGAGACCCGACTGAGCCCGACGACGACGAGATGTTCCCCCATCCATACGGCGAGGGTGTATGTGGGCATCTGCATTTCATAGACGAGGTTACGGAGGAACCTTGTGTGCGGGTGAAGGCGAGGGGCGGTAATAGTAATGGAAGCAGAAGGAAGAACAGTGTAACTGAAGACGACGAGGAGGAACGCGACGAGGAAGACATGGTCAACGGGGACTGGGAGGATGGCACGGAGGTTCTTGTGATTCGCTCTGGAGAAGGAATCGCGGTGGGCAATCAACCTTGTGAGTTTCATAGAGATGAATTTTACAGTACATCCTAATATAAGTAGCTGTACATCATAATTTATCATGAAAGATAATTGTTCAACGGACATGAAGCACCAAAAAGTCTGCAAAAATGACCACCGCAGGACTCGAACCTGCAACCTTTTGGTGCCGTCAGCAATCGAAGCCAAACGCGCTACCATTGCGCTAGGTAGCCGATGAGAAAGTTATCACTGAGCGCGTCGAGTATGAGCTTACGTAACGGGAAGGTTAGTCCCGTCATGGCCCTCCTTCGCGGCTTTCCTCATGCCTTCGACGTTGGCGAGCCGCTTTACCTCTTGAAGACATACCACATGTCCAGCTCATTCACGGAGACTCTCCAGGAAATATTAGCCTCAAATCTCTTCCACCAGCTCGCACCACTCGTCGTCCTTCTCGTCTTCCCCCTCATCGTCCTCAACCTTGTCGCACCGGCTCGACGACTGCTCGGGCTGCTGACATCTACGTTTGTAATGGTCCTCGAGACGCTTGGGCTTAGCCTTCCGTGGCATTGGAGCTGGAGTGGCAACGGGGGCGCCGACGCGGACAAGAGAAAGCACAAGAAGAGGCACCCGAGAACGAGAACGGAGCAGATCGCCATGAATGGCATACAAAGTGGTGCGTGTGCAGCGATGCGACGAAAGCATCAGCTCACGGCGTATACAGACCCAGAGGAGGCAGATTACTATCCTGGCCTCGTCAACATATCGGGCACGTACTGCTTCATGAACTCGACTCTACAGGCAATGTCTTCACTGTCGTACCTGCAACCGCATATAGATAGGATACACTCTAAGGCAGTAGAGCTAGACGTGCCATCTCCGGTCATAGACGCTCTACGGGACCTCTTTGACCAGCTCAACACCCCGCTCACCCGACCATCATCTCTACGTCCCCTACAAGTCATACAAGCACTTACGAACGGCGGCAAAGCGAACACCCTATTACATTCACGCGAACATCAAGATGCACAGGAACTTTTCCAACTCATCACGGAGTCACTCAAAAATGAAATCAGTGCTATGGACAAGGAGAAAAGCCGGGACCGCGGCCTGGCTTTGTCAATACGTGGAGACATGACTTCGCTGCCAGAAGCAGAGACAAGCGGGGGCGAATGGACTAGACAAAGTGTATTCGACGGCCTAACCGCTAACCGACGAAGTTGTATGCAGTGTGGATATACGGAAGCCGTCATGCATTTTGCTTTCGATAGTTGGCAATTGAGCGTTCCCCACTTTGTAAGTTCCTCTGATTTACCAAGTTGCTTCTTTGGCTTGATAATCCACAGCCCAGATGCTCACTCGAGGAATTATTAGAAGACTACACCCGCTTAGAGATTCTACACGACTGCATCTGTCGTAAATGCTCCCTGGTAGCCACTCACAGACGACTTATTTCTGAACTGAAGACCCTGGATGAAGCGCTCAAAGGCGGGTCATCATCCCATAGTCATGCCGTTAAACCGGGCTCGAGTACCGGCTCGCACTTTAACAAATTAACGGAAGCCAATGGGAATTCGCCCAAGAAACCTTCGGGATCAAAGAAAAGGCGGGCGAAGGAAGTGGCGAAGATGGAGTTACGGGTGAGGACGGCTCTCGAGGAAGGGAGGGTAGAAGATGACCTGAAAGACGTACGAATGGAGAAAGTCGTCAGTCGGGCGTCATCTAAACAAGCTATGATTGCTAGGGTGAGTACCTCTCCAGCTTATCCATCTGGCCGTGGAGACTAAGCTCCTCATTCTGGCCTTATCTCGGAATCAAACGATACATAGCCACCCCCAGTTCTTGCACTTCACCTCAATCGATCTTCATTCGGACACTACGCGTCAAAGAACAATGCTTTCATCGAATTCCCTGAAATCCTTGACATCACTCCTTACACCACGTCAGGCTGTCTTTCTACTACACCGTCAAGCCCGATATCGACACCTCCGCCCTCCCTTCCGATCCAGCTCGCCCTTCCCCCACGCTCACGCACACCCACGCCTGCGGCCTACGAAAAAGTCCATGAAAGAGTACTCTATCGCCTGAGCGCGGTGGTATGCCATTATGGGAGTCACTCGTTCGGACATTATGTCTGCTTTAGGCGAAAGCCAAGACCGAAGGGTGCCAAGCGACGGTGGGCTCCTCCAACAATACTCGACCCCTTAGCTACGAGGGCAGATGACGAGGACGTTGCAGGAGGCAGAGAGCGGGGCATGAATGGGTCGGCTGATAGTACGGACAGCGAGGAAGTCTTTGGCAAGCGAAACGAGATTGTGTGGGCAGACGAAGACCCAGCAAATCATCGCCCTGGCCGGGGTTGGCTTCGCATCTCGGACGACTCTGTGCGTGAATGTGGCATTGAGAGCGTCCTGCGCGAAGGCTCTGGCGCGTTCATGCTATACTACGAGCGTATTCGATTTGCCCATACAAGTCCTTATCCCTCCATGGCAATGCGTCGCAGTCACTCGTCATCCAGTGCTTCGGGGCTAGCGATAAACGACATGCACATGTTGGTGCCGGAGGGGGAAGATGGCTATTCCCCGCGTAGTTCAGAAGAGACGTTGAGGCCAGAGTTGAGGACGCTGCAGCTGAATATGGTTAATGGGATGTTTGCAGAGGGGAACGGATCGACGCAGAGTTTGGTCAGTGAAGTCGGGGTGGGGATAGCCAACGGGAAAGGGAAAGAAATTCCGAAGCGTGTGGGGACGGAGAATGGAAACGGCCACGGGAATGGGGTGCCGATCGGGACGTCCGGCTCGTTGGGAGTAGCGTCGATGTGGACGCCTGGGTCATCGCCGCCTGGAATGGGGCCAAGGGTAATAAGAAGCGTTGCTGCTGGACGAGGCAAGAGTTTCAGTGCCGCTTCTTCCGATGCAGGAGGCTCGAGGGAGTCTAGCACGACACCCGGACCGACGACGAATTCGATTACGAGTCCGACCAAAGGAAAGGCGAAAGCTTCCGAGCCAACCTCCACTTCTCATAGTACCCGCGCTGATACATCGTCGTCGCATAAACTCCCAACCAAAAGGCCATTGCAGCCACCTTCCCTGGCATCCTCCGTGCTGTCGGTCTCACCGTCCTCCTCGATACTAGGGGATGACCTATCATCGATGCCTTTACATTCTCCGCAACCCCATCATCCACCTTCGCCAATTGTAGGCCTGAAGGCATAATAGAGGGCATGGTCTTGTTAACGCAACCTCCTCTCATATACATAATGTATCGATAGTCTTAATTTTATTTATTCCGATCTCAAAGACGTACTTAACACCTGAGTCACTTAGGCTTTGGCTTTCCGTTACTTAGACCACAAGACGTCAACATTTCAAGGTTTAATGATGGATAGTTACATTATGCGGTGAATGATCCAGAAACTGTCAGAAAGGTACCTGCCGGGAACAATAAACAAAAATCCTCTTGTGAAGGCTTCGTGAGCAAAACCAAATACACGATAGATAATAATGGGCGCGGGACGTAAAGGAATGAGAAAGTTATATCTAGTCTAGCACTGTCAGCGTAGGTAGAGTTCGTTTCCCGTGGGTGTCGTATGCAGTTGTCGTTCGTGAGTGTCGTTCTGGACGGTGCGTGGAGGGTGTACAAGCGAACGGCGAGGACTGCATCTCGTTGGGAATGTCAAATCACCAGTAGATGCGGCGCTCGACAGTGCGGCGGCTCGCTTGTGGGCGGGTGTAGGAGATGGTGCGCTTGACGCGTGTTACGGAGGGGTACCTAATTCAATGTCATTGAGTACGTGGTCAAGGCCTTCGGGCCCAAAGACAAGGACGCACCAAGCATTATAGATTTCTCCCGGTTGGAGCTGGACCTCGATGATTTGTCGGCCCTAGAAAAGGTCAGCACGTTGCGGGCATGGAGGGGACATGGAACTCACGGCGTAGTCAACGTGGGATCCAATAACGAGGCCTTCGGTGCGGCCATATGTGCCGTGGTTGACGGCGACGATGTCCCCGAGCTTCATGGGCGATGTCCATTAGCGCTGGTGCACCGTAGTGCATAACGACGAGGGCACTCACGACGATATCATCAGAAGAGCCGAATGCCATTGCTGCTGTCGATGTTGTGGCGGTGGTGGTCGCGGTCAGAGATAATCTTGAGGCCTTGAGGCTCGAAGAGGGAGATTTCGAAAATACGAGATGTCGATGGTCGTGGTGAAGATCAAGTGAAGGCGAAGCGGAAGCTTTTATAGATTAGATGCGCATGTTTGCTGCCATCCAGAAAACGCAAGGCTCGCCTCAAGGCTCGGGATCCGAAATTCAAAATATTAGAACCCTGATTTTTCTCCTTGCTACACGACAGCTACCATTGTTGTACAAAACAGGACCTATGGCGCGCACAACGTCGCCCAGGCCTTCCATTACATTTCATGACTGAGTACAAGGCTTTCCTACAAAAAACTGTATGTACAAGGACTCTCTCGACCGTAATTCATGGCTTTGGGGCAACCGAATGGGTAACGCCGCATGCCATTTTACGTCAATAATACCTATTGTGGGTCTTGTATTGTTCGCGATGGCATGGTAGCCTTGAGGACGACGTGAGGCCGGTCAGTGATTTGGTGCAGACACTGGGTGCAGGATCAGATATTATCTGCGGTATTATTTTGATTGCTATCTGAAGAATATCTCAGTTAAGCATGTCATACCCAGTTATCTCGAGTGTGACCAATATGTAATGAGTATGAGATAGCAACGGCAGTATTATCCTCAACTGACTTAAACCTTTCATTGTGAGTAAATATTTATCACATATTACACGACTCTATATTGAAGGATTATTGCACATTTACTCCACATATTGGATATGTAATGTTAGCAACAATATGTTATCCTGCACGCTGTGAGAGGCAGTACTGTTTTCGTTTCATTTTTTTATAACGGGCCTGATAGGGCTGGCAATTGGAAAACATGTCTTTGCTGCGAGGCATGATCCCCGGATTAGGCAAAAGGCGGGAGCCCCAGAATCATAGTCGCGTGCAGGTTTCGGATATGATAGGCTATCATTGTACTGTACAGGTTTGCAGCATCATACATCAGCAATCGAAGGAGATGTTGTGTTTCGCTTCGAAGAAGTTACAGCCCCTTCCAGGTGAAGGACTTCTCCAACTCCACCTCGCCCGTCAACTTGATATCGGTAGACGAAGCACCAACAAAAACATCAAACTTGCCCGCTTCTGCAACCCATGCAGCGCGGCGGTCATCGTAGAAGCTAAGTGCCTCTCTATCCAACTCTACGCTCACCACCTTCGATTCGCCCGCTTCAAGCGCGACTTTATTGAACCCCTTGAGTTCCTTGAGAGGTCTGGGGAGCGAGGACTGTGGGTCGGCGATGTATACTTGTGCTACTTCTCGTCCAGACACGGAGCCAGTATTCTTGATGGTGAACGTCACAGCGAATTTGGGATCGTTCCCGGCGGGGATGGCGGAAGTCTGCAAGCCGGAGTACTCAAAGGTTGTGTAGGAGAGCCCGTGACCGAAAGCGAATAGAGGCTCAAGCTTTCTGATCTCGAATCCTCTGTAACCGACGAAGATACCCTAGATGTGCCCGTTCAACACGGGTGATAGAGGAAGGAGAGAATAATCGAGTCGGACGCACTTCATTGTATAAGATTTTGCCAAGTTCTTGTCCCCTGTCTCCGTAGGATGGGAAGGAGGGGGAGTCCTCCAAACGTTTTCTATTACAATGGGTTAATGGAAGGCATCTACTGAGGTTTGTTGTCGGCTTACGGGAATGTCAGAGATAACTTGCCGGAGGGGTTAACCTTGCCAAAGAGCACATCTGCAAGGCCATTGCCAAGCTCGTTACCGCCATAGAAAGCCTAAGACTCCGTTAGCACAAAGCGGGGCTTTGCTACAGAGACGCCTGACCTGGAGGATTGTGCTCGCGCTATCCGCCCAAGGCATAGCAACTGGAGCACCAGTCTGGTTGACGATGACTGTGTTTGGGTTTGCTTTCAAGACAGCAGCAACGAGGTTATTCGTCAGACGAGGCAAGCTACGAGATACCGTATCAGTCCCGAAGCGCCAAGATGAATAATGCTCACTCGATATTCTGGCGGTCAAAGCCCTCGCTCTCCCAGCTAAGGAGCAAAAACACTCAGTGATATACTGTGAGATTTGGTCGTGCGTACTCACTCGTGGTTGAGACCAATTACTAAGATAGCAACTGATCACAGCAGTTAGTGCCCTCACTTCCGTTAGCTCATTGATTACTACGTACCATCTGACTCGGCAGCCAACTTGGAGGCTTCCTCGATATCTCGCGCGCCACCTGATTTCCTGCAGCCCCCCAGCCTTATCCCTCCACGGCAACTAAAGGGACTACCTCGAGAGACGAACGACGCGTTGCTGATACGTATCTCGAAATCATATGTCTTCCCGGCTTCGAGGTCAATAACTTCCCTCTTCTCGATGGTGCCCAAGCCGAAGAAGGATTCGCCTTGCTCGGGGTCGGTGCTAAGGTCGATCAGCAGTTTGCTATCCACGAAGAGGTTTCCAGCGCCGGCTACGCTGAGACCTAACTCCCAGCTTCCAGTTTCGTCGGGAGTGAATTTGGTGGTGTACTGGGCATCAGTCAACCGTTAATCAGACGGAATTACTCGAGAGTATAGGGCTACATACGCGTATGTAGCAGACCTCGTTGACCTTCGTATCGTCCTAATACCATGAAATACAAACGGTCAGCACATAAACGGAGCAAAGAGACATTTGAGTAACTCACGACTCCATCTGCAAGAAAGCAATTCGTAGAGTGAGTAGGAACGTCCCAGACATGTTCAGATATCTTTGCATGGAGATGCGGGGAAGTAGACAAAAAGTCCTCCGAAGGTGACTCGTTCCAGAACTGCATATATGCACCCGGCTCACCGTTGCCCTGCCTGATACTTCCATCAAGCAAAGGCAGCGTATTATGCGAGGGCGTCCCGATGTGATAGGTGACTTCGGCACCAATTTCATTTGCAGCAGCTGTGATCCCCTCGAAAGGAGTGACAGCATAAGTCGACCGCAATTGAGCTGATCCACCGCCGGAGGTCATTGCTCGTTTGGCATTGGGTCCGATGACAGCAATCTTTTTGATGCCAGTCTTTAGTGGGAGTATTTGTTTGTCGTTCTTCAAGAGGACAGTAGCATCCGCTGCTGCTGTGCGGAGTAGCTGCCGTAACTCCGGAGTATCAATGCTCCCCTCTGGTGCATCGAATGGAACACCTGAGTCCAGCGCATGTTTGTAGAGGACGAGGATCTATGAAACTACATGTTCAGTGCTGGCTGACTGACACAAGGTAGGCCTACGTACCTTCCTAACTCGCTCATCGATGTCTGAAGTGAACAACTTTTCAGCGATCATGAGACGTTCTACTGCCTTCCCTCGCATGACAGTGGGCCCCCTGCGTGATTTGAACGTTGAAACGTTGAAGATCCATGTCATATTTGGGACAAGGAGCGAGTCGGTACTTACGGCATCTCGATGTCCAAGCCAGCCTTAATACTTTCTGCGGTACTGTATACACCAATCCAGTCACTGATAATAGTGCCTGCATGTTCGCATTATGACAGTCAACAATGATTTCAGTTCGGGGAATCCTGATCTACCTTGGTATCCCCATTCCTACGCAAGTTAACGATGAGCACAAGTAACAGTGTGACAATAGAAAGCTACACTAACCCCTCGTAGAATGTCAACCAGTAGTCGAGGGTTCTCTGATACGTGCAAACCATTGACACGATTGTACCTGCAATGATGATTCGTTCGCTCGACATCAGTACCAGCTATCAACATAAGTAGACTTACGCCGTCATTAGAGCCCATGGATTAGAATTCTTGATGGCGATTTGAAAAGGTTTCAAATAGATCTCCCGCAAGGCTCGTTCACTAACTTCGCCTACTCTACCTTCAGTACTACCACGCACACTGGAAGACTTTGCCGCTTACTGCTGATGGAGAACCTTGAGATCGGTTGTATTAGTGATTATACCACACAAGCAAGAGCGAAACTCTGTACCTTTGAAATTCTTGGTCGTTGGCGACGAAGTGTTTGATGGTGGCCGCGACACCTTTTGATTGCAAGCCATTTATATAAGCAGCAGCAATGGTTCCGTTCAGATGGGGATCCTCAGCGAAAGATTCAAAGCTACGGCCACCAAGGGGCGACCTTTGAGTGTTCACCGTGGGTGCCAGGAGGACATGACATCCTGCCAATCGATCAAAGTTAGGTTGATACTTTATCCCAACGTGTATATACGCCCCGACCTTTGGCATGAGATTCCACCCCAAGTGCTTCGCCCACTCTCAAAGCAAGGTCTACGTCGAACGACGACCCAAGCCCCGTAGACGAAGGGAAGCAACTAGAGGGAACACCGTTGAAGACTGAATGTTCATAGTTGAGGGGTGACCACAGGAAAGCCAATTATATAAAGCCTCACACTGAGAGCCACGGACACCGTTTGGCCCTAGAGTCCCCAGTCACTTCTCGACGTCAGAAGCAGAGAACATTAGCAACTTACCATCACTCATGCGCAGTGACTGCAATCCCGCCGCAGGAACAGCATGGGTGTTCCACCACCCCTAAGTTCCGCCCGACGATCATCAGTCGGTATAGCCGTATTTGGTGTTCACACATACTACACCACTAAGAAGCTTGATCTTGTCGGGAAGGGGGATCTTCGCCAGCGTCGCCTCGACGTCAAATTCAGCAGCCATAACGATTGTGGTTGGTGGTCAAGTGGTGAGAATGTCTACCTGTATTTTTGCTCCAATATATACCTGAGAAGGCGTCCGGTGCGGATTAACCTCGGGAACAGTTTACTTGGCCATTAGTGCTGAGATCATGATAACGATGAGCTGTAAGTTGTGCAACGATCTTCTGGTTGATCATGTGGGGGAAAGTACATGTATATCATCCGTGCCGTCTATCTGACCCTTGAGCCGCAATGATGGTGTAGTTGGTGTACAAATTGGTTAACTAGATCGAACACTACTGTATAGAAAGTCAGTGCTGGTGAGTGACAGTAGGAGGGTAACACGAACTAAGATGTACTACGACGTAACCAACGCAAGCCTCGAAGAGACTTCTGCTTGTGATCGCACGAGATTTGCCAAGTAAGAGAACATCAATGTATCCTGAAATAAAGGAGTCAGTGAAGCACACCTATCGAAGAACGGTGGTACGGACCTGGAGGCTGGCATTGAAACCGCCCTTTTCTAGGTCCTCTGTGCTAGCTCCAAGCATATCCATGAGATATTTACCAACAGCAGCATCCCCTTTGACCTCGCCAGCAATGACGGCTCGCACGTATGTCAATACGCGATCCAGCATGGCTGAGACAGACCCAATAGATTTTTCCAAAATCTCGAAATCCGTCGTAGGTTGCACGGAAGTTGATGAGGGGGAAGCGGCAGTCTCGGTAAGGAGGTCCACTTCAATGTTATCATACATTTAGTAGCCGAATGGGATTCTGAGGATTCACGTACATCCACTTCGCTCAGCGTCGTGAAACTTCAACTCCGTTGGTACCGGGGTGAATACGCAATTTTCGGGTTTGGGGAAGACGCCCACAGGTGAGCTAGAGTGTCAACGCGAGTCAAGAGAGAGAAAGTGAAGAATGACAGGCGAACGGACCTGACATAGGCTGTCACGCCTGCCTTTTCGTTGGTATCAACACCCGTATTCAAGGTGACATGGATAGCAGGGTAGGGCGCGATCTCTTGAGAGTAGAAATTTTGTATAAGGGCGGAAAATGTGTTCAGATTCGAGCCTGTGGAATACCTAGACCATGAAGATCAGCATCACGCACCTCTGTTTGAGTCAATCAATTTAGCACGCACCATCCGACGATAACCTCTCTTGGATTTACTTTATGGTGTAGTTCATACATGGCTTTGTGATAGTCCATGTCTACAGCAACCTGTTCACTTGTCTCGCTGTGCAAGACAGCGAACGAGGATCTGACTTCAATAACATCGGATTCAGAGCGTGTCCCCAGAAGTGTCCCAATAACGCGATCTTGAGAATCCGTTCGGCGCAGATAATGATCAAGGATAGAGAAGAGCACGACAGGGTGTATTGTGACAAGCGAGGGGGTTCGGCTGAGGTAAAATTCGAATCCAAGTCGCACAACAGAGGACTCGGACTCACGGAGTTGTAGGAAGAGCAGCAGGCCCAGCAGGCTGAATGTGAATCGCCGACGACGGTATTCCAAGAGTCATTTGGTTTTGGAAGTCTGAGTCTAACGTTCAGCGTGATCGCGCGCACCAGAATTTTTTGCGGAGTTCAAAATTGCACCCAAACCTATACCACCACTTCTCCCCACATCCTTTCTTCGTTTCATAAAAAATCATGCCTTCTGAGGAAACAAAGGTATGCGTAGCTGTTCCTCACAACGCAGGGATACTTTACTGATGTTTCTTCAGGAAAGAATCACAAAAGCCGTTGAAATTGGACGCGTGCGTACTTCACACCCATTCCGCCGCCTTTTACCGAGCCATCGTTTTGCAGACCATTCTGCACTATGGCTGGATTCCTTTGATCATCTATGTTGGGTTCACGCGGAGCAACCCGCAACCATCTCTGATCAAGTACGTGTACTGTGCACGTTCAATTTGTTCCTTTGCTCATTTGCTTTCGTCAGGCTTGTTAGCCCGCTTGCATAAACTTCATTTGTCGACTTGCTGTCATATTGTAAGATCAATTATTCGTAGACTTAATGCCAATGCATAGTTGGTTTCCATTGATGACACGTCCCCGGGGATTCGGAGCAAAGCGTAGAAGTGTGAGTCGCTCACACTGCTCTTCGTCTGTTGTGATTATTCCAATTTGTGGTTGTACATTGCGTACCCAACTCCACCCGGTATACACTACCTGGAAGTGCTCTTATGAGACAAGTGGATGTGAGGATGAAATTAGGCCAGATATGAACTTCCGTCTCCAAACATACCTCTTACCGGAAACTGATCGCCAAATTTGTAGTGTATATACTCCCTGCCTGGGACGAGCGCTGAAGCTCGAAGTACCTACCGAATCATTTTTGCAACTTTTCCGGCATCCCTGCCCATTTCAGCTTACGGTATGAAGGCTGGCTTTTCTTGCGCAACAAAGGACTGTACACGCCTGTACGTCAACGCATGCGCACCGTGGATTGTCTGGTAGAATGAACGCCACAGGCTCAGTGAGTGCACGTTGGCAGAAAAGTCTCTGCTGATATATTACATCCTCTGATGGCATTATGTCTGTCTGTATACATTGCGAGTCACTAGCAAAAAAATCAAACCAAATTCATCGGTCCTGCAACTCCATGAGCTTGTGCGCGCGCTTGATGCCTTTCACCGCGGCCTTGGTTTCTTTTTCCTGTGGAACGAGCGACCAGTCAGCAACCACCAAGGACGTTGTTCATCCGGAAACCTCACGGAAGTCTGGCGCTTGAATTCCGAATAGACGAATAACAAGACGAAGAATACCGTCTCCCGCTGCACGTGGGGTTCTACCTGGATAGACGCAGGCTCGTCGTCGTGAAATATACGAGGGTGGTAGGAGGTGAATTTGGCTGCAGGTTGCTCGCTGAGCTCTTCTTTCAGCTAACAGGTAGTTCCAGTCAACGCCAACGAGGAGGGGGGTATAAGCGAATGACAAACCTCCCATTCTCCGTCGTCATGTTCCAACAAATACGCATCTCCGTCCCACCGCCAAATCCTGTCACTGGCCAATTCATCAGTGTCGTTGACATACGTGGGGCGGAGGATGGACGAACGTGCTAGAGACAAGGATTCCCGAAGGATGCGCCTTTACCGTCGTAAAACTCAACTTTCGCCCATAAATCTCAAAAACTCGGTCGTCCCAATGAATCACAGCTACCCTCGAGGCTTTGTCGCCGTGCCATATCTCTGTCCGCGTTTTGTCGTCGACCTCGTCTGTGGCCACCGTAAACCGCACGCCGTCGTCTTGTGAGGACTTGATGGTGGAGTTACACACGTCTTTGCCCCCGAAATAGTATTGCATCGCGTAGGGTGGTGACTAAAGAGGTGCTTGGATGTGGAGAGGTGGAGGGTGATTGCAGGTGGCCTTTTAAAGGCGATTGCGCTGCCAGTCACAGGTGCATCATGACCACCATGCAGCGAACCAACCAACTATACCAAGAGATCATCACCCCCACAATGGCAGTGCGCGCCCGAGTCGGACGACAACAAAACCTGCAGACGCCCTTGTTATCTTAAACGTCCCTCACAATAGACTGGTTCCATGTGCCACCGCATCCGACGAAACACCTTGAGGGCTGATCGGAGCTGTGAATATACATGCAAGACAACGAGATGTGGGTGTTGCACATTGGGCCCATCATCCCCCACTGGCGCATATGAATAAGATGTCCGAAACATCAGCGTTCCGGGCCAGGTTCAGAACAGGGACTCAAGGTCTCGGGACTACTAACACACAGGCCGCAGATCTGCCTATCGTTACGAACGCGAGAGCTTTAAGGGTCAGAGGAGGTTTGCAAGCTCACGAAGAGGAGGATAATACCCTCCTCGCTGAGGATCGGATAGAGAAAATGAGTAGATCAATGTGCAAGGTGTACACACAAGGGTCGAACATTGTACACAAAGCGCCAACGCCCATTAATGAAGTTATAAGTATATCCTGCGGAGATCAGTAGCAATAGTGATCCGCTTGCAGATTGGGCAGAGCTTTGTTAATCCTAGACAACGTAACCAGCATTCTCGGCAGCACGTATGCCAACATCCCGTTGAAACAGTCGGCTCCGTGTATGGGTCCAGGCATATGCGACATTGCAGTGACGCCGAAGATGTTGACTGTGACGATTCCTAAATTACCACCGAAGTGAAATCAGATGAGGATTCATAACGGATTGAATAGAAGTTGGAATGGTTTGTACCAATTGTTGTATCTTCCGCTCCAGCGCGGTAACTAATGATTGAATGTGACCTCCACGTCTGGCAGCGGTGATTAAATGGTCGACTTCATTGGGCTCGGTTACGTCGACTAATATACCGTCCTCCGGTGTATTCGTCGCTTGTTCTTGTGCCTGCATCGACGAAGTAGATCTCTGCCGCTCCCCAGGACCACCTATATCCACATCTTCGTCCCCCGATTCCTCTTCCTCCATTCGGACCGCGTCGATTCGCATGATATCGCATTCTGTGAACTGGGCAGTCCCAAACACTGCTTCGTCGTCGCCATCTATGTCCACCTCATCATCGACGTCTTCTTGCGTGCGGTTTCTAATGTTGAAGCCAGCACCTGGGAGGCGGGCATAAATTATGGGCAAACCGGGAAACAAATTGACAATACCTCTGAGACCTGATACATTCCCAATACGAGAATGGTTACCGCCCCAATCGGTCGGATGACTAGGACCAGCTTCATCTTGCTGCTCCACATCTATACGGCGTGCCTCGCTTGCCAGACACGCGTCCACATGAGCCTCCACCACGTCCTGATCTCCGGGAACCGCCTGGGCGCACACGGGACATACGATGCCACTACTCTGAACTACTTTCGTCCGCCCCTCTTCGTCTTCCCTGGTCATATCTCGTAGCTTAGCGTGCCGTCGCTTGCGATGCCGTTTAATGATCTGTATGGCCTTACTCGTCTCTTCTAATATGTCGGCAGTTGCACTACTCCTGGTGTTCATAGCGCTCATACTCTTACGAGCACGGGCGGCCGAACGACGCGTCCTAACAGCTGAAGTGAATTCTGAACAATTGTTACAAACACGAGACGCCCTCACCCATCTTGCGAAGCGTGGTACTCTCCTTTACTACTCCCGATGCCCTTTATTATTTCCTCCACTCTTTCGCTTTCAAGCTCGGAATGCTTCGCGAGCAAGCGTACGGGTATTTGCTCTTCACATACGGGGCACTTTCTTGTCTCAGCCCGCTTGGCTGTTTGAGAAAGTAAGCCTTCATGGCGAGATGATATCGCGGGGAACGCGGACGCACGTACGCTTCTTGACCACAGGTCTCTGGGTAGGCTCGGGCGATAATGATGACAAGGACGGCGAGGTGCTGCTCTCCTCTTCCTCTTCCTTTATAGCGCGTTTCTTACCCCTGGAAATATATACACGTGAGGGACTATTATTGCAAGGCTATATAGAAGAAAGTACTTTGCTAATCTTGAATAGGCCATTATGGACGGAATATATGGTGTGCAAAATGTGAGTTGTTATCGAGGTATCGTTGGTGATGCGCGCAGCCCCTGGGACCCTTTTGAAGAATGGATGAAGAGTTGGTCCAACGGATGAAGCGTCGCTCACTAGGAGTACTGCGTCCAAAACAGGGTATAATAGGCGCTCGGACTTGTCGTTTCAAAACTTACTTTCACACCCCCGATCCCACAGGAAATCAGCGCAGGTTCAGCTCCTTGATTCTGTACATGGAAGGGGACGACGAGACGTATATCTTGCTTCTTCTTTCGGACAGCAATCTACCGACTGGATCGTTTGTCGCCTCCGCAGGATTTGAATCTTACCTCAAGCACGGATTTCCTGCAGGCTCAAATTCGAGATCCAGTGAAACCAGAACAATTGCATTTATTCAAGATAGTCTGGAAACTTATGCACGCTCAGCCCTCCCATTCGTTTCCGATGCTCATCGCGCTGTTCACGAATTCAAGAGATCCATCGATGCGACCAGCGAAGATACGGACGCGTCTTTGAGCATGGAAGAGCTTCTGCACTCTCTCAGTACTCTTGACCAACTATATCATGACATGACATTGAACCATCCCGCCAGGCGTGCATCCACGGCTCAGGGGGTAGCGCTATTGACATTATTCACGAAAGGGTTCTCTGCTCCCCCTTCCTTGAAGGCAAGCCTACAGCCAAACAAACGGGCTATATCCATCAACACCGTCGTAGACAAGTTTAAGACGATGATACGCAGAGAAGAGACTCAAGGCCATCTACCCATTTGCTGGGGCTTGCTAACAGGGACTCTGAACTTATCCCTCGGTACGTGACGATTTAGCATTGTCCTGACGCGGCTGAATATGGGTTTCTAGAGCGTTCGCAGTACCTGCACCTGTTTCTTCATGCCCGAAGCCTCCTTTCAGCCTCGGTCAGGCTGAATGAAGTTGGTCCATATGGAGCCCAGCAACTTTTGTTGCACGCTGTCCGGCCACTTGTTGAAGCCGAGACCTCCCGATGTCGGAATAAGAAGACTGGAATTCTGGATGAAGAATTTGATGAGCTGAATGCTGGCCCCGCAACAACTTGGCCTCTGGGCGAGATATTGGCCGGTCGCCATGATTTGCAGCATTCGAGGATCTTCAATAGTTAAATGTAATTGACCCCTGTTTATGGGCGCCTACTTATTATTGCCGGGTCCCGGGCCTCGGCCATCCAAATTGATGAATGTCTGTCCCGCTTGTACCACCACCATCAACTTGTTTGCCCCAGTGCGGCCTTTGGGAAAGCTGACTCTGTTCTCTACATCTTGGATAGATTTATCAACCGCCCCAGAACTTATATACCTCAATCTCATTCTTGTCTAATGAACCCGGCTACTCGGAGACTAATCTCATCGTCGTCAATACCCCGGCATGTCACAGCGCGGTCGAGGAATTCCACATTCATTCGCCGAGCCTCTCTATCTACATTGGCCAAGAATCGTGTACCAAGGAACGTCAGTACCCACTCTAAAGCGTGCAATTCGACTCTCGCGGAAGCCTCGACTAGTTCTACACCGTTGCCAGCATCACTATTGAAGCAATCGTCAGATAATGCAACCGAACATCACACAAAGATATTCAAAGGTGACGACAGTAAACTGACTTGTCTTGACGCTCGCTGACTTGTTAGCCAGAGGACTCAAGTACGCCAATCGCTCGTTACCATCAACTTGTAGAGTCAGGGATCCTGCGGGGAGATGAACATCAACATCGTATAATTGGAAGACTACAAAGGCTTCATAATCAACTGCTCAGCTACGACCCACCGACTATTCCTAGCCCCTCAGAGTCTAATTCATTGGTATGTCCTTGTAATGTCTATTGATATCCTAATTCATTCCTCTTCAGCTCTCTCGGATATTTCCTTTCACTCGCAGCGATCCCGATGCGCAGGCTCCCCCTCCTAACATTCCTAAAGGTCTATATCTCTATGGAGATGTCGGGACGGGCAAGACCATGTTAATGGATCTATTCTACCAGACACTGCCTTCAAATATGACTCGGAAGCGCCGGGTTCACTTTCATGCGTTCATGATCGACGTACACAAGAGGGTCCATGAAGCCAAGAAAGCAATGGGATATCGTGGTGGCGACCCGATATTGCCTGTAGCCAGAGACCTGGCGAATGAAGCTTGCGTACTTTGCTTTGACGAGTTCCAAGTTCGTTCATTTCCCCATTAACCTTCGGAGAGTGCTAAATTACACGTAGGTTACTGATATCGCCGATGCCATGATTCTTCGACGTCTACTAGAGAACCTAATGAAGTTTGGTGTTGTCATGGTGATGACCTCAAAGTACGTGCTGGATCCTTTAGGCTACTCTTGTGCGCTGAGCGGGTTTCTGCATAGCCGACATCCTGACGACCTTTACAAGAATGGGATCCAAAGATCAAGCTTTGTTCCAGCCATTGAGTTAATTAAATCCCAAATTGAAGTCACCGATTTGAATTCTGGAACTGGTATGTATAACTACTGGCAATCTTGAACTGACTGACTTCAATGCACCGTTCAGATTACCGTCGTGTTCCTCGTGCGCTATCCAAAGTCTATTATGATCCCCTTTCCGAACAAACGGACATTGCTATTCGTCAAATCTTTGATCAATTTACGTCTGAGCGTTCCGATCCTCCCATCGAGAATAGGCCGTTGAAGATTTGGGGAAGGACACTGCTGGTACCTAAGAGCACTTCTACAGTAGCTTGGTTCGAGTTCGACAAGCTTTGCGGTCAGCCGCTCAGTGCTGCTGATTATATTGAAGTGGCCAGGGTTTTCGAGACGGTGTTCGTTGTGGGTATACCGAAAATGGGGTTGAGTCAGAAGGACATGGTACGACTTCTATCGGCCTCCCGTAAGATTTCTGGCTGACGTGTGTCGCAGGCAAGGAGGTTTATCACTTTCATTGATGGTACGTTCTTACTCCGCCCCCTGTTTAAGTTATTGTTTCTCATTTCGCATTGAAAATGAAGCATGCTATGAAAGCAAGGTGAGAGACCTCGTTGTCGCTTTTCAACTCTTTTTAGAAACTCCACTCCCCACAGACAAGATTGTTTGTCACTTCAGAAGTCCCTGTGACACAGGTTTTCTCGGATGATGCTTCGAATGATGCTGCCAAACCGATATCCGATCATATGAGAAGTGTTATGGACGACTTGGTACGTCGATGCCGCCCCACTCCACACTCAAGGAACTTCAATACTAATATTACTATACAGGGTTTAACCAGCCACGCTGTTGGTAGTAGTTCTATTTTCACTGGCGAAGAAGAGGTGTTCGCCTTCGCGAGAGCTTGCTCCCGATTGGTTCAGATGGGTAGCAAAGAATGGGTGGAGATGGCAGGTCAGAGTTGAACGAGGTCGGTGGTCATACAATGATCTCTAGAAATAATTTACACACAAGGTTGATTGAATACATTCCCTGTACCGCGGACTCTTCGATGGAATTTTCAGGGACACGTCTTGATGTGAGTACTCTTCGGGCGTTGTTGACAATGCAATGTCCTGAACATTAAGGCCTGACGCTCCAATCGCCAATATTGCTCTCCGATTAGGTTGACCCTCACCCTCACCATGAGAGAGGAGCACCATGCCGTGAACTGAGGTGTAGTCTCCACTCGTGCAACGTGGACAAGTCGTGCATCCAACCAAACAGCTTTCTTTCTTGGAATCCTTTCATACTTGATGTTTTCGGCCCGTTTTCTGAGATGGGCGACAAACCCCGACCGCGTAGGCAAGATCCCGATCAACCAGCCTTCTCTCTGTTACAACTTGGATGGTGTACGGGCGTACTCCCACCGTATTTCCGGGACGACGAATGTAGCGGAAGACGCTAATTGGCCAGGCTCGACGTTCCTACTCACGAGCTGCCGCTACTCCTGCACAGCCGCGCGTGCTGCACGAATCAGATCCTCGCTCATCTGTCATCCTTGACGTCGTTGTTGCCGGCAGGATAACTCTATACCCGTGATGGTTCCGTCATACCTTTACGGCAGAAATACACGGCCATCGCTGAATGCCATCCAGTTCACTGTGCCTGTTTAAACTGCCTATATATACAAATTTACTAATTTGCTTGCTTCGCAAGATAATGATGCTCCGCTAATTGTGCCGGGAATTCTTCATTTGTTCACTCGCTCATGTTCAGTCCACAATGACCAAAGCCATCTTCTGCGGGAGAACATAGCGTCAGTCGGCATGGTTCTACAAATATGGAATGGTCACAGACCCACTGGCCCGTGGCCAACGCGGCGAAACTGATAGCAGCAATATGAGACGTTGATCGGAACGACACAACAGCAAGTTTCGCAGAATACGCACCACATTCAGCGTTAGTAATGAAGTAAAGTTGCCATCTCCGTCTGTAGATGACGGGAAACCTGAATTTCGGATCGACCCCTTTGGAAGCGACGATTGGGCGATGTACGCCGCAGAAGGGCGGTGTGGGGGATGGCGGCCACAAGGTAAGAGTCAACGAGGGCGGTTGGATATAAATTGCGTATCTCCATCTCTGAGGGTGTCTGCTAGTTCCTTGGTGGGGAGTGGGAAGTTTCCGATGCTCCATGTTCAGCTTTTATCGACACCAAGGCAGCAGGCCAGTTATTCATAGGCAGGCATCGTTAGGTTCGATGAAACAGGATCGATGGCCTGTGGTATTTCGGCAATGTCCCGCAGTGTTATACTTCCCGGAAATGGTTAAATACGGTTCAAGGTCATATACAAGTACAGTATTTGGGACTCCGTCTCTCCTGTACCTCTTAGAAAATATGGTTCATGGCGTCCGGGAGTACGCACTCCGCTTGGTACTTCGATTTAATTTACTGAACCGACCGCATGGTACAGGAAGGGGACTCATGGGAAGGTCGAGAGGGCCTAGGGAATGAAATTGTCAATGTTCAGTGCTCAGCATCCGCGAAACAGCGGAAAATGAGTTCTGGACAAACCCAGAAGCGTCCAGGGTAATCTGAGAAAGAGATATGAAGGTTCCTTTGTACGTAAAGACGTTTTATTGTGGAGTGGATGCGTGCAGGAAGTGTGATTTTGAGGAGGGCCACGCCACGTATGGGGATGTCGAGGGGTCTTCTAGGGACACCTTGGTATCATCCTATGAAGGGCCTTGGTCCAGCGGACGGATTCCTAGTAGTAAGACGGTAGATTGGACACGCAGATGAGAACGTTCCTGCCGGAGTACGATCAGAGCACGAGTGTCAGCCTAGGCTTGAACAACAATAACCTTATTTGGGCAACGTCGGACTATGTTGGGCAGCAAGCGGACCTTTAAATATACCGAGCCTACCGACCACCACCATGACAATCCTTGAAGGTTCATTCAATCATGGGGCCATAGTCGAATACTCCGAAGCTGTGGTGGAGCTGGCAGTATGTTATTAACGACCATGCATCATGAATCACAAAACACTAGTGAGCCGCCCTAAAGTCTACTTATAAGTTGTGATATCGATCATTTGACATGTGCGCGGCATGCAACTGTATTACAGACAGTGGGAAATCAATTCCGTAAATCTGTGGTGCGATCTACAGGGATTACGGAATGCAGGATATACACGCAAGCCACGTTGCTTGAGTAATTCACGGATAACCAGTGCCCCTCACTCAGAGGGTCACTGAACGCGTGTGTTGAATCAGTCGTTGTGTCGTACAATCAACGCATTTTCTCTCTCGGTAGGACAATTTGTTGATACAACTGCTTTCTGATAGCTGTGTTTCCTATAGACGGCGCTTTCGGGATTCCCAAGGGAGCCCCGCCGCCCAAACTCTTGCGTATTTTGTTTGCGGACACAATCGTCCGCGGAACTTCTATGTTGCTCCATCGCCTCACCAATCGCTCCAACAACTTTACCACCTGTTCTTGAGGAGTGACCCAGCAATGATAGGCCAGAAAAGTAGGTCAGTAGCAGACCGCAGCTACCCCGCGAAATGTATAAAAGGCTTGCAAGATTCAGCAATAGTTCTCCAGTCGAAAACAAACCCCTTTGATCGGCTACCTACAGAGTTACTTCATCGCCTATCTTCACCATGTTGTTCAACACTTTTGTCGTCACTGCTCTTGCTAGCCTTGCGGCCGCCACCCCCACTCGCAGAAACGAGCCCGCTGCCGGATCCTGCAGCACTGGAGAACTTCAGTGCTGCAAGTCCGTGCAGTCCGCCGATTCGAAATCCCTGACTTCCCTATTCGGACTGTTGGGACTCGTCGTTGGCGACATCACAGGGCTCGTCGGTGTCACCTGCAGCCCCGTTACTGTTGTTGGTGCGGGAGGTGCCCAATGGTAATTCTACTCGTTCAACACAGCCAACCTCGTTAACGCGATGCATCTAGTAACGCTCAGGCTGTCTGCTGCAACGACAATAGCTTCAGTGAGTGTCGATACACTAACTTGTTGTTTCGCACTGCAAATAGAAAGCTAAACAATTTCGTAGATGGCTTGATTGCACTTGGTTGCACTCCCATCAACCTCAACCTCTAATTTTGTAGCAAACGAGACCAAATTGGCGCCTCCTGCTGCATGAGTAGGGGTGTAGAATTGCCTGGTGGGCTTGATCGTAGTACACCTCGCCGTCCTGTGCCATTGACGTCTGTATATTTGCACCATGTAAATCCAGTATACGCTTGTCGGAGAATCGAGTCTGTCATATGCGTCTACGCGCGATTCGAAGCCAGGCTTCTACCCCCTGGAAATTTGACTACGCTACCACAGTCCGCGCGCCGATAGGCTGTACGATACAGCGTAGAGCACTTGTATTGACATGCTGAGTAGGTCTGGCACTGTTTTCGGTAGTCTTAGATGCAAATCCTGGCCGGTACCGAACAAGCACATGTTCGAAGCGCACTGACTCAGACTGGACGCGGAACGGTCCCGAATTGCACAGTAGTCGTACGTACGTTGTAGGTGCCAAAGCGGTAAGATATACAATTGGATTGTTTGATTCAAAATCGATATGCTTTAATTTAACCGTAGTTGTCCAAAACAGTCGACCTGCGATCCCTTCAGATGCCTGTGTTGCCCTTTCCTCGAGTACTAACGCCAATACTCCCACGAGCAACATTTGTCGTGCCGAAATTCGAGTTGGCGATACCTTCACTAGCCTGAGGCTTGCCCTTCTGTAATATCGCTAGCACAACGTCGTCGTCTTTGTGCGTGCCAAAGACTGTATCCAATTGTTGCTTCGATGGCTTCCCTAGAAGCCCTTGGTTCCCTTGGTTGGAGTAGAAGACTTGGAAGGCTGGCAAAGAGTCATGTCAGGACGCATAGCTCAGATGGAGAAATCGAGCTTGCAATCTACGACGGCCGATAGGGCGATCGTTCTGGGGAAATTTGAGTTAGTGAATAGATCACTAGGCGCAAAATCTGCCGTTTACGTGTCTATAGATCCGTGATATGAGCACTCAGATCGATTCAATGCAAGTTCGTAACATACCTCCTTCTTTCCACTTCTTATACTACAGACAGAAGACCAACATTAGCGACGCTAAAGTGATATGATCGTGGCACCAACCTGGTCATGATCGACAATGACAAGATATTCCTCGGTTGACTGAGGATCTGGCTTGTAGATGACTTTAGTGATGACTTCAGGCATTATCGGTGTTGCGGGTTGTGGTGGATATTTGGTGGATGATGGTAGATTGAAGCAATGCTCGTGCACGCGATTCCCTTTATACCGTCGAGACTCCAGATGACGTCTAGATTTCCCATGGGCTGGGGTAATCGATGTCGGTCATCGGTAGTTGCCGTTCGACATCACGCGACTCTCATCACGCGCACGCGGAAATCAAATATTGAAATGACACGGAACCAAACTACGCGTCAATAAAGGCAGTCAGTCGCGTCGCGAAGTAAGTCAGGCGGATCCAGAGCAAGAATAATCGAATTGACCGAATAGTTTACTTCTAGGACAAACAGTGCCCCTCTGGGTATGTTCTGGCCCCTAGGGTGTCATATAGACCAACCAAAGGCGAGCCGCGACCGTGACGAGGTACTTAGGTTAAATCGGCATCCTTGCCATTGTCCTCAGAAAGGAAACAAGGCTGTGTCACCGACAAGGCTGAGAAAAACATACTTGGTCAATATCGGATGGGCATGAGAGTGGTTTGTTTCCCTACCTTCCTTTTATATATCCTAAGAGCTGCTTTTGTATTCCTCAGTCGGACTAGCGGTTTGTCCAATACTCAGGAGGTAACTTCCATCTAAGAATAAAACAATGAGATATTCAGTTTGGTTCGTGATAAGTCTGTCCGGTAAAGCAAAGGAAACCGGGTTGGATTGTAAATCACCTCTTCGAACTTCTTCCATTGCCAATCTGGTCTGTTCCGAGCTTCGCAGCTTTCTATTTGTTTCCGAACGCTGGTCAGAGGAACAATGGAGGGCCTGAACACAGCAAATGCGCATAAGCGATCAGATGTTTGCAATCCCGATGACGCGGAAAGCAGGGAGGTCTCCACTTACCTCCCATGTGCACACTGAAATGGAAACACCGTCTGAGAGAGTTGGCGTAGTAAACGTTCACACTGTGCCACCGTCAGCGTATCGTTAAACATGATTGCACCTGGCTCGGCAACGTGCGCGAGCAAATTCGGAATCAATGGTGACACCAGTAGAAATCAAATGGCCAAACTTGCCTCGGCAGGCTTTGGAGTTAATCAACTCGACCAGTTCCCTGGGGCACCACCGCAGGGCCTTTAACCAAGCATGGTCTCCTTGGCTAGAGTCTTGCACATCATTTGGAGTGCCTCTCGATGACTCGCCATTCAACTGCGCGAGAAATGCCTTAATCAGGTCTCGTAGCTCGTGTCCCTGGAGTAGCTGACGAAACAGGATCACTAAGTTGAACCAGGCGCCGCCTGCTCAAATGATGACCTACCTTATCTGCTACCATGTCGGGAATGCTCTGCACTTCTACCTGGGTATATCCACTTTCCGTAGCAGCGTCCGCTCCGGCTTCGGGGTCGTGTCCCGACAATAGGCCCACCAATCTGGAGAATTCAAACCCCCATCTTCGAAATTCCTCCTGAACCGACTCGTTTGAGGCCAGTCGTTTTGCTTCGTGATGCGTCAAGAGTACGAGAACGGTCGGCGATAACACTCGAAGCTTCACGCCACCTGCATCCGCCCCTAAGTAGTGCAGACAGAGTTCTTTGAGGAACTTCTCCACACGGATACGTTCGTCGGCTGCGTGTTGGTCCACCAAAATAAGTGCTTGTTCCGGAGATTCGTCCGGAGTGCTATTTCCAACCGAGGTCATCTCAGGCCTCGCCCTCGTAGCTGGCATGATACAGGCAATGAACTTTCGGTCAACCTGGCTTATGACCCGGGCCTGGGGTAAGTCTTCCTTTCGGAATTGAAGAGATGTTAACTCTGCATCTACCGTCGAAAGATAGGGTCCCCTGGAGTAATCTAGACTTTGAGGGCCCCAATGACCAAGCATTTGACGTCCAGTAGCTGGCTTTACTACATGAGCACAAGTCGGGATCCTCTTGTCAGGTAGTGAGTATACGTCGTTCGCCTAGATGGAGGTTTACGTTCATTCTATTCGGCCTAAGTCATCGTAAAAACCAACGGACCATTAATGCTTTCTGTATCCATTGTGGAACATTTGCTGTATCCAGCGTCGGCGACAGCGATGCCGTCAGCGTACGCCTTCCACTCGGCTCCTCTGGTTGTCTGGCTTTGGACACTGCTGCTTGGCTTACGGAATTACCTGTCCGGCTGTCGATAACGAAAACTTTGCCAGTGTTCGGGTCGGTCCATGTTATGGTATCACCTGCAGAGTCCTCTCCCTGGTAGAAAATAAGCACCGATGACATCGCAAAATCTAAATAAACTTTACCGGTAATATGTACACCGGGTGGCTTTTGGGAGCCACCGTCATATTATACGCAGGCTCAATCATGAGCGGAGGCGTTTCGTCCTCATCGGTTGCAACTCTCCGTCGTTTACGAGGCGTCCCACCGAGGTTCACAGAGTTTGAGGTAGTAAGATGATGCGTCGCGAACCCATTCCTTACCAGAAAGGACTGTATTTCTGATGATAAGAAGGAAATTACGGCGTTTTTATTCTTTCGCAGCGTCAGGTACCTTTGATAGAGCTTAGGAATGGACGCACCTCCAATCCGACCGATGATTTCGCTGGTTCCATGCAGTTATCAATGAGTCGGGTGGGTATGATCAAGTTGAGGACATAGACCGGCTTCTTTTCGCCTTTCCGTGGAGAACGTCGAGCATCTATGAGCCGTAAGCGAAGTTACTTCTATCTACCGTTTCCATAATTCAACATACGAGGTCTAGAATCGGTTTCTCCTTCTTCATCGAACGCCTGTAAGCAAGTTATCTTGCTGGATCAGTGCCTGAGTGAGGACCACATACATGTTTACCAAATGTACTAGAAGCGAAGCGAGAATCAACGGTTCTATGTATGTCGCAGAATGATATGGGGTGATGGTTGATATCTTAGGAGATATTAGCTACTGAATGCATGCTTTAACCAGTAACTTACATATAAATTGATATGACTGACATATCGGTTATTCAGTTGGGAGCCAATACCTTCAACCAAGGGCATACCTTGCATAGCGCGCCATTAAGGCTAATAAATCCTTCAAGGCGTAGTTCGCCCGACTGGCTGTTCATTTCATCAACGTGCTGAACGGGCGAGTAAATTAGCCGTGAACATATACATGCATATCAGCGAACCTCGACTAATGCACGTCCAAAGATATGTTTGAACGCAGTCAAACTAGAGGAAGTCTGATGCCAATCAGCTTGGCCGCCGTGTAATTCCAAGTTAGAATACCTTGGGGATCGCGGTAACTTTTTCAACGTTGCCGTCTCGCCCAACGGCAGCACGCTGCAGAGAGAATGAGACCTGCGGAAATACAAGGGCATAGCATTCAATATCGTTCCGTATCGTTTCGACGGTCTTTGAAGGTGAAGGGTGGGACAACCGTCGTATTGGGAGCTACGGCATTGAGTCAGAGCTTTCGTCAAGATCCTGCACCAGTGGGGACCTACGCTATAAAAGATATCCTGGAGATATACAGTGGTCCCTGGTGACTCCCGTCGCCATCTGACCGATGGCCCACTGTATAGGGTATCACCTCCCTCAATGATAGTGCAATGAGGCCAAGCTTCCGTGGAATGCAAACGGAATTAGTACAATACCTTTAGAATAATGGACCAACTCTGCTTTGACTTGGCCGTTCGTGAGGAGATCTCCAAGCAGGCCAAGTCGGCCGCCGATGCTAGGGCTGTTGGGATTGTTATCTAATGTATGCTGAGGGATTACCTGGATACATACCTTCACCGCGAAATCCGAACGTAGAGAGATCACCGAGAGAGTCCATGCTATATGCCTTCGACGTATCTTATATTTTCGCGTGTAAGCGAAGTGAAACACCAAAATATTGGACATGGCATCTAACACTCACTGTATCGTCCATGTTCTGAGCCCTTGCCTAGCGCAGCTAGTCCGTCCTTCCCAATCCCCAAGCCATCATCCGTCACCCAGCATGACCATTCGTCGCAGTTAACACCTATGGAAATCTGCCGAGCTCCAGCATCTAGCGAGTTCTGCAGCAATTCAGATACGACTTGCGGTAAAGATGTCAATATCTGGGTGGAGCGTAGTCTGGCTCGTGTTTCCGCCGAGAGTTGCTCTATTGAGGTTCTTCCTTCGACCATTAGGTGCGCGTGGTATTCAGATGCTGATAACGGCTGTCCAATGTCATTTAGTAGTCGTTCAGGAGAATATGCGATGAAGGTGCGTTCCAAGAAACGTGACCGCGGTGGAGGTAAGTGATGTTGGGCGCTTCTTTCCTTGTAGTGATCAAGTTCCGGCCTGCACCTGAATTGAACTATTTATTGACTCTCTGTCCTCCCAGCCGCGTTTTGAGCCCATCCACCGTAGAATCAGCGCAAATCCGTCACAATGCGCTCTGTGCTCTCCAGAAACCTGCTGAAGAGCATAAGGCATTCATCCCGAAGAAACTACCATGCTTCGGTGCTCCCGTCGCTAATATCGACCTCGTCGCCTGAGTTTACAGCGAAATCCGAGGCGATGGAGGCCCTTATATCTGACCTAGATGCAAAGATGGCCCAAGCACGCCTTGGTGGTGGTCCGAGGGCGACGGAACGTATGCGGAGCAAGGGCAAGAAACTCCCTCGAGAACGGTACGTTACCTGGAAGTACACGGTGAACATATAGTTGATGCACATGAAACGACAGTCTGAGCCTTCTACTTGATCCTCATTCCCCCTTCCTTGAATTGTCGGCATTGGCAGCTCATGAGGTGTACCCGGAATCAATACCCGGAGCGGGTATTATCACTGGAATAGGTAGGATAGCGGGGAGGGAATGCGTGATTGTGGTCAATGACGCGACTGTGAAGGGAGGGTCGTATTACCCGTTGACCGTGAGTGGACTGAGACTCCCATGACTCAATTAATAATGCCTGTTGCAGGTCAAGAAGCATCTACGCGCGCAGGAAGTTGCACGAGAGCATGGTTTGCCATGTGTCTACATTGGTATGTTGTAATTCTGCTTCTACTTATCCTTCGATTCTCATGTACATCGCGTAGTTGAGTCCGGCGGAGCTGCCTTGCCGCACCAGGCGAATGTGTTCCCAGACAAAGAACACTTCGGTCGCATCTTCTATAACATGGTCCGCTGGTTCCCGTATTCTCTTCCATCCGGTAATCTAACATGGCTGTGTAGGCGCAAATGTCTGCCCTCGGAATCCCTCAGATAGCCGTTGTGCATGGTATCTCGGTAGCAGGTAGATCGCTGATCCGTTTCCAAGAATATCGACAAGGCTGATCTGGCGTTGTAAATAGGTGGCGCGTATGTGCCAGCTATGGGTGATGAGAATATTATCGTTCAGAACCAAGGCCGTATATTCTTAGCTGGTCCGCCGTTAGTCAAAGCGGCTACAGGCGAGGTGGTCGATGAAGAGACGCTCGGTGGTGGACTGATGCACTCGAGTGAAAGTGGTGTTACGGATCACCTAGCGAGGGATGACGAACATGCTCTTGCCATTGCTAGAGGCATTGTTGGCGACCTTGGTCACGCTGGGAGTGTGGAAGTCGGCGTAGGTGGTTTGATATCTTGTTGTGCGCGAAGCACGTTTTGACATTCTTTGCAGCCCGATGCAACTCCAGAAGAGCCACTTTATGATGCCTCAGAACTTCATGGCATCGTTGGCACCGACGTACGACAAGCCTTCGATATGCGTGATGTCATTGCGCGTATTGTCGATGGCAGTCGCTTCCGTGAGTTTAAGAAAGAGTATGGGACAACCATGATCACCGTATGTACCTTTATTTATCGGCGACACAGATTCTCACATTGTCCATAGGGTTTTGCCCACATACACGGCTACCAAGTTGGAATTGTCGCGAACAACGGCATCCTGTTCTCTCCATCCGCGTTGAAGGCCACACATTTCATCCAGCTATGTTCGCAACGGCAAATACCCTTGTTATTCCTCGTAAATGCCACCGGTGGGTTCCAACCTTTTCCCAACTTCATTCATCTATCTAACAGCTCGGGTTTGTTCAGGCTACATGGTAGGGTCAAAAGCTGAGAAAGGAGGCATAGCCAAAGATGGTACGGGTTTTATCTGCTTTTGGTAGATGAATTTGTGTATAATGGTTATCGTGCAGGTGCTAAAATGGTCCGCGCCGTCGCATGCGCAGATGTCCCCAAGTTGACTGTTGTTGTTGGCGGGAGCTTCGGTGCTGGAAACTATGGTATGTCTCATTCAATAGGGTGTTATGATCCCAGCTAACGCCCTAGAATAGGCATGTCAGGACGAGCTGTACGATTCCATTTCCCTTCATAACTGTGCTCCAGCTACTAAACTACCCACAGTATTCGCCGAGATTCTTGTGGATGTGGCCGGTATGTGCCTCGCACCTTTCCCTTTTTCGACAATATCTTATCCTTTTCATAGAATGCGAAAGTATCAGTCATGGGTTCCGGACAATTATCGCAAGTCATGGCATCCGTATCAGAGTAAGCAGCTAACACCACGTATGAGATAATCACACATTTACATATATATCCCTGCCAGTAATCCTGCCCAGCATGCTTCGCTAGAGGCCGAGATCGAAAGACAATCAACGGCCCTCTACTCTACTGCCCGACTATGGGATGATGGTATCATCAAGCCAACGGATACGCGAGACGTTGTTGGACTCGGGCTAGCTCTGGCTGCCCGAAAGAGGCAGAGTGGAACTGGAAAAGGCTCATCGGGATCAACAACGTGGGACGGTGCTGGAAACGGATTTGGTGTATATAGAATGTAGAATAAGTTTCAAGCCCAGCCCACTTAGGGCGGACATCAAAGCTACTATAATCATGAACTGATGAGCTGGTCGACTCCTCTGATTCAGTAGTTCTCTATCAGAATGACTGATCGTTCGTCGTTGGGGTGCCGGAGCTTGGAGGTTTGAGCTTGAGGAGGTTGGAAACAGGAGGAGTTAGGGGATACTGGTGCTGATCACGCGACTTGCTGTTAGCAGGACTTGGTCAACCTGTCAGTCACGGTTAGGCGTTGGCTGTACCAGTGACCACTCCATCAGTATTCTGCTCCCCTCCAATACTGAGCCTATTTCTCCAATTCATATCCCTTTCGCACTCTCTCCACCATGGCATCGGCTTACTACGAGTTCTACCGAGGATCCTCGTAAGGCTGTCCGGATCCCAAGTGGCTTTCCAGCACTAACTTCGAGTGGTTAGAATCGGCATGGCGCTCACGGACTCTCTAGACGAGCTTATCACCAGCGGATCCATCACGCCTCAACTAGCCATGAAGGTCCTGCAGCAGGTGCATCTCAGGAGCGGCCTCTGACTCGTTTAGCGGTGCTTACCAAGCTCTTGCAGTTCGACAAGTCGCTGGCCGACACAATGGTGAAGATGGTGAAGACAAAGACTACTTTGCGGGTGCGTCTTTGTATGTTAGGTGTGCATAGTAAGTATCGTATTGAGGAACGAATTCACACGTAGGGCCACCTTCACACATACCGGCTGTGTGACGACGTCTGGACGTTCATCGTGAAGCATCCGTCATTTAAGATGGAATCAAACGAAGTGGTCAGCGCGCAAAGGATCAAAATCATTGCTTGCAAGAACGGTGATGCAATTGAACCCGGGAAGAAGTAAAATTCCGTCTCTTGGAAGTGGCACCGCAGACTGAGAGTAAGTATCCATCAGCGCATGAGAAATTCACTTACCCTTCCATCCAAGATGTTGACTTCTTACTCCTCAGCCAATATGTTATTTATTCGCTTGTATAGATATCTCCCGTTCAATGTAGTCATAGTTTTCCTGAAGCTCACTCTATGAATGAAGAATTGGATGAAATGGGTATGTAATTAGTGATGCCAGTCTTCTACCTGGTATTACTGGGAAATACTCATATCATTACAACCTAAAAATCCTTCCAGTCATCCTCCCAGTTGTCCTTTTTCACCTCCTTCGCTTTGGTAGTAGAGGCGGGGGTGGTATTAGAGTTGATTTGTTGACCGTTGTTGAAACTGGTGTATTGGGTGGACGGACTACTGTTATATTCGTTGAAGAGGTCGTCATCGTCGTGGTAGAGCGCAGATGTCTCGCCATCGTGGTCGGTCGCAAGTTGTCCGTAGCCGTTTCGTTGTGGCCCTCCACCAACACGATCACGTACGGTCCCCACCGCATTGCCCACACTATCTGCCACATCAATACCAAATTGAGATTTTGACCATTGATTAGCCGAGCTCCCTAGAGCAGCAGCACGCTTCTGAGCCTCTGTCATATAACCTCCCAGATTGGCCCGAAGACTCGGGTCGGCAACTTTCTCCATGCCTGGTTGGATGACGTTCTCGCTGACCACTCGTGAAGCTCCACTGACAGCAGCTGAGAACAGTGACCAGCCCTTGCTCAGCGCGGCCATCGGGTTCTCCTGGAACTCGTTCAGTGTGGGGGCCGCGGCTGACGATAGCCCGTAAGACGGGTGTTGTGTACCGGCTGGACTGGGAGTGCTCCCAAAGCCTTGGTAGCGACCACCTTGTGAAGGTGGGAGATCAGCAGGGCGAACGGCGTTTGCCTGGCCTAGGGAAGCAAAGTAGCTTTCATTCGCGGTCTTCTGATCCACTGGAGTTCCCGTCCTATCAGGAGAATTGCTATTGAAACCGGCGGGTGAGGATGGAGAATCACCACGAAGCGTGCTACCGGTGGCAGAGCGTGCAGAAGCCCGAGACTTTCGAAGGCCTTGGGCTGAGGACGGGCGTCCCGGAGAGGCGGAGCCGTTGGGAGATTTTGTGGATTCTGAGGGGGGCGAAGGCGACCACGGTTTTCCCGCTAACGTAGCATCCAGCTTAGCGGGGGAGTCAGATAACGAAAGCGTGGTATCAAATGACCTCGCACCTTTTCCCGATATTGGGTAGCAGCCCAACAATGGTATGTATCATATGGGGTCATGCCTTCTCTGTAACCTCCTTGGTCGGCGGGAGCGTAGGATTTCATGAAGTCTCGAAATGGCCCATTACCACCGAGCTATAGAGAAGTAAGAACGAGTGAAATGACTTCAAGGAAGGTGACTGACTTGCATCCGTTTGATCTTGTCCTCCTGCCAGGTGTCCATAGATATTGACCGTACAAAGCTGGCCAATCGTCAGCCCCCTCTGGCGCATTTTCAGGTATTTTGAGCGCACCTTATGTGCACACCAAATCCTCTGTGCGTACCGGCGCATTGGAGACAGAGAAACACGGCGAAACTATGGCAAAGTGTCGAAGGCACCATCCATCTGAGCTTGGATAAGAGGCTAACCTGAGCGATGCCCACTGAGGATTTGGATTTGAGCAGTCATTACATATTTTGTTCTTGAGGTCGTCTCGCCTGACGAGGTCTTGTAGAGTTTGTTTGGCCGTTGTCTGGTCCATTATCGTGCTGGCAAGTGTCAGAGATGTAACGCCTACCGAATCCTTGGGAGCCACTTGGCACGTGACCGGTGCGAACGCCCTGCCCCTTTAACTCACGTAAATGAAGCAACTCTAAAATGCTTGACAGATGGGTGAGCACGCGGTGGATGTGCGCGGCGGCGTAGAGGCTTGAGACCAGCGTCGAGCGGTGAGGTTGTGTACCGAATGGCCGGAAGTCCTTGGGCAGACATGGTGTACCTTGGGCGTACCAGATCTTCGGGCGGGAGGGCGTGGGAGATAGTTGCCTTGTTCGGTTCTTACCTTTACTCTGGTTTAGTGGAGGGCGCGCTCGACACTGCGAGCTCACCGTCGGTCACCGTCGATCTCTCGAATTCGCGTCGGTGAACGACCATGAAACCCTTGGAATGACCTTCTGAGCCCTTGGCCGTATTTTGTCTCGACCTGTGCACTTTCGAAAACTGAACCCAGACTCTCGGGTCGTTGGCACACAATTCACATCGTACCAAGGCCTGTTCTCCTTTCCAGATCAACGTTTCGTTCCCGACCGTCTCCTTTTCCACTCTTTCTTTTCGTGAGAACGACAATTCACCTCTAATAGCTGCTGCTGCCACCGAGGATCCTTTGCTTTCGACCAGCATCCACAACCCCTCGCACAGCTCCAGATTTAACCTCTGTTACTGCGCCGGGCGCCCCGTCGTTCTAGCAATGATCCTTCAGGCAAACCGTAGGACCAGTACCACAGCTCCCTTGCGCCAAGCTTCTACAGATGGCCCCGAAGAATGGGGTCACTGGGCAGGCCGAAAGTCAGTACTGGAACGCATTACGATCCTCTATCCCGGATACTATTGATCGCTTCGTTTAGGCACTACTCGCTAGAAGTCGTCCAGCATCCCCTGCGTGCGCGAATGTGTGGATTTGGCGATAAAGTGCGTCACGGCGAAGCCCTTCTTACTCTGCTTCACCTTGTAACGCAGTCAAGCAACGCTACAGGATAGACGTCCGTTAGCGCCAGCCGCAGTTGCGAAGATGATAGTCAGGCGGGAAGATGAGACCATCGTAGACGTTGAGTAAGTGCCGATGTGCACGGCTTCCTCCCACACTGGGTGCTCAGCCTCTATCTTAGTGATGTCGACTGTTCTTTCTTCCTTGTAACGGTAGATCTTTGGTCAGGCGATGGAAAACAAGAGACCAACCTAGTTCTTCATCCATCCTCTACCGATCGATACGTTCCAACTCAACCTAAGCCACGGCGTCGTGGAACCAGTACTTCCACGCCTCATAAAACCGGTCATCAGACGCCATCCCGTTCGACCCCTGCGCCATCACAGTTCTCTGGTCGCGGCAGAGACTCTCAGGTAATCACATCTCTTGTCTCCAAGTTAGATGACATTGACGGTCATAGGCTGGTGGGGGACTAACGCCAATAATACCTCCTCAAACCCCTGCCTTTTCTAGCCCCGGTTCTTATTTCCCCTCTTCAGATTCAATGGAGTATCAGCAGACGAATAGCTACGGTGTAAATACCTCCGAGCCCCCGGTATGGGGGTATTCTCAGACATCGCAGGTTGATCGTAATACGACTTTCCCGCCGCCGGTACTACCGTCGATCCACTCGTTTGGCAGGCCGTCGGGCCCGAACACGAATACAGGAGGACAATGGCACGCTGATTCAGCGGTTCGGGATGAGGCCGAAGCGAATTCCTACCGCTCGTGGAACACTGAGTCCTCGTTCCACGTCGATAACCAACCAGCCGCGTCCGGTGTCTTCGAGAGCCCTAGCACTCCGAATGTAGACGGCTCCGGCTGGAACCAGGCTTCCATGTCCAACTCCTCCGAGACCAGCAGTCAACAGTATCCACCAACGAGCCAAAGTGGCACATCAGAGCAACACTCGATCTACGCCTCCGCTTCATATGCTCAACACGCACCACAAGGGGAATTTTATGCTTCTACCTACCCTTCGGGTGCGCCGCCGCCGTCGGCAATTGCGCCTCTGCCCCGCCATACTTACACTCGGACACTTGTTGGACCTCTGTCTGCGAATGCCTGCCGATTATTGGACGAACATCGTAAACCGGGTATATTCTTTTTGTTCCAAGACCTATCGGTGCGGACTGAAGGTTCGTCCAGCCGGCCCATACCAGATCAAGCTTCTCTGATGTTATCTCGCTATTAGGAACATTCCGTTTGAGAATGCGATTGATGAACGTTGGGGCGTAAGCACATGTCCTATGACTATGCTATCTTTAGAAAAAGTCTAACAGTAGTATGTCCACCCAGACCGCCTGCTCCCGACCAAGGCGCTATTCGAGTCCACACGGATGTATCCCCGGTCCTTGCTCAAACGTTCACGGAACCATTCATTGTTTACTCCGCGAAACGTTTCCCCGGTGTACCAGGTTTGTATTAGATAGCATCCATCTATATATTATACTTCTTACTAACATGTGCCTTACTCTCCACCCAGATACAACTGCGCTCTCAATCGCCTTTGGCAATCAAGGGCAGAAACTCCCTTTGGTGAGTGAATCCCCTCCATTCTTCCGCACCCGCCGGACCAACCAAATCTATCCCCTGAAAGCGCAATCGCCATGGTTCAAGCAAACGCAGACGGCGCGGAGGATCTGATACGGAAGATGACGACTCCGATGGCGCTTGAGGTTGAGGGCCTAGGTATCGTCTGAGGACTAGTCTGCAACCTGCCATACAGATCCTATAATTTATCCTCAACGGTCGTAGTGCTGTCCTTATTCTGTTGTTTTGCTAGCCTTTTCCTGTGTTTAACATATAAGCTACCGCCAATTGTATGTCTGATCGTAATCAGAGCCCAAACGGCGCCTCTCCTTCGACTTGTGCTCGAGAACGACTTGAACAGCTTTCGGATAATTGGCATAGATCCGCCCAAGTATCTCTCGAGCTATCGCACTCTTCGCCTGATCTTGGGCGTCCGCCCCAGTCAACGGGATGCCTTCGGGTTGCACGGGATCCATGAGTGTACCTTCTTGAAGCCGAGTTAAAACCATGAGCAGCACGCTAAGGGTGGCATTGTGTGGAGCCCAGATGTTCCAAGACGGAGAGATCTGATGGAGAACTCGCAAAGGATGCGCGAAGTCGCCTGAGTCGCCCTCGAAGAGATCGGTTTCCTCCTCAGATGCCTGCCTAATCTGCTTGAAGACAGTGTTTGCGGCCTTGGCACGACGTTCTGCACTATGCATCGGAGGGTCTTCGGAAGGTTCAGACAGTAGATCTTCTCGTGCGGGCAACCTGTCGAAAGACAACGGTGTATCGGGCGACTCGTTTCGCAATCTAAGCAAATGGTCCGTCTGGCGTTGGAAGGGTAATATAACCCTTTCCAGCACTTCGAAGGCGCGCTCCGGCTCTCCGGCTCTTATAAGAGCGACAGTAAGATGATTCCAGTTGTGGGAGTCGAAGGCGAATCCATGAGCTTGAAACTTGCCCCACACTTCAGCGATTTCGGTGTGCAACCCAGCGGCGGAGAGGACGTCGATGTATATGGACAGGGGGATACATAGGATATTTGCCTGCAACCGACTCAAATGAACATCGCCCTTCGTATTCTCGAAAAGCGTGGGCATCCTGGTATAGCGGAGACCTAGCTGAAAGATCTGCGGCCATACTTGTTTGGCGGCTTCGACGTTGAATACACAGCGGTAGCAGTTCAACAGGGTTGACAAGATGCCAATTGTAGGCGCGCCGCCAGCGTCGAGATAACCTTGAAACACCCGCTCCACGTCCTTCGGCCGTTGCTTCCTTGCGAATGACGCTATGAGGGGTCCGTAGATCTGACTCAACGCAGATTTGCCACCATGAGCGGGCGCGTCCCACGTCCTGGGCGACTCCGACGACATCAGACTGTTCACGAACTCTTCAGCGATCTGCAGACTCTCGTCTGAGTTCTCGCGACCATATGCCCTCAATATGGCACCGAAGGTTAAGGACGTAGGTTGGATTCCCCGGGTCTGCATCTCCTCGTAGATCTCCTTCGCTCGAATCTTGTTGCCCAAGCGTAGGAAGCCCGCCATAACGATTGTCAAGACGTAGACGTCCACCTTGATATCTGAGTTGGGCTGAGTTGAAAGCCTGTCCATCTCTTCGACGATCTCAGATGCCACGTCCATGAGTCCGGAGTCGCATGCAGATTGCACAAGGAGCGTGAATGTGATATTGTCCGGCCTGACGCCAGTCGACTCCAGCCGAGAGAACAACTTCGACACAACGCGAAACGGAGCGCCGATCAGGATGTACGCCTTCAGCAGTGTGTTGTAGGTTTCGATAGCGAGACGAGCGTGTCGCATGGGGGATGAGTTGAGATAGTCGAATGCCCTGATAACACCATTCCACGAGCCAGCTTCGACGTGTGCATTCATGACCGTATTGATCATCTTGCGATCCGGGATTATACCCTCTTGAATTGCGCGCTTGTAGACAGATTCTACAGCTATAGGGTCCTTCCTACGCGCAAGAAGGGTAATCGCAGTCGTGTAGGTTACGACCGTGGGTAGAATGTTAGCTGCTCGCATTTGATCCAGGACGGCAATGATGGAATCTACATCGCCACGAAGAGCAAACCCCCTCAGAATGATGCTGTAGACATAGATATCCGGTGGAAACCCCGCCGAGGCCATTATCTCCAGCCACTCGTTCATCGCGGAGAAATCGCCCTTCTGGGCGAAAGCGTAGATTATAATCGAGTAATGGATTGCTTTGGGGGAGCCGAACTCTCCTTCTTCCCGGTTGGGAAACAGTTGTTCGAATACTGCTATGGCGTCCTCCGTTCTTCCGTTCGTGGCATAGGAGTATATTAGCATCGCGGTCTCCGGCTCCCCGACCCAACGATCCTCCTTTGACAGTCGTTCGAAATACCGTTCAGCTTGTACAACGTCGCCTTGATGCGCATATAGATACAGCCCCGTCGCTATACGATACGGGTACACTCCAGTCGAATCCAAGGAATGGTATAGGGCATTAGCATACCCAAACTTGCCTTCTCGAGCCAGGGAACGAACGAGAGAGAGTCGTAGGCGATGCTCCACATCAAGGCCTTGTCGAGACATCTCTTGAAAAACAGAATGAGCGTCCACGGCGAGAGTCCGTGAGCACAAGGCTTCGATTAGAAGCTGCCCCAACCTCAACCGACGCTCCTCGTCCCAATCTTGCCTATCCGCTAACAGAGTCTGTGGGTGGTTGATGTTCGCCAAGCTGATATACGCTGTCTCCCGAAGAGTAATTCCCTCTTTCCTGGGCGCCGAATGATGCCACTGGCTTGGTCGAACCGAAAGAAATGACCCGATGTTCATCCATTCCGCGAGCACGAAGTCCAACACACGGATGTCATCGTAATGCCGTCGAGTCGATCGCAAGATGTTATTGTATACACGAAGGATAATGCCTCGTTCCTCGTAAATAAGTGGCATCTTCTCGATCTTGTGTAATGCAGCCGTAGCGGACTGCAAGTCACCAACTAGAGCATGACACCGCGCCTCCAGACACGCATAGCGTATATTCCTTTTCGAGAGGGGGTTGATGTCGCTGGCGAATATACGGATATGATGTTGGATGCGATGACCTTGCTCATGAAGGGTGGAAATGTCTACGTTGGTATACCCTTCTTCTGCTTCTGTCAATAAGCGATCCAATAACGACAGGGCCTTGGTTTGTCTGAGGTCATGCACGTATGGAGTATTCTCGATTTTGTCAAGTGCCGCAAGAGTCTCTTCAACATCAATATTTGCCGCAGGTGAAGCAGTGAGAAATTCCAATCGGTCGAAGCTACCCTTTGCCTCCGGGGGAGGAGTCCAAGGACTTGCGTTAACTTGGCTACTATTCGAGGCGTATCGAGAATGAGGGAGAGGGAGACTGTTGAGGGACCTACTCCTCGAGATGCGCAGACGGGTCGACGACGAAGGAACTTGTCGTTTCGGAGGCGCCTTCGGAGTGGGCATGAACTCCTTCATCATCAATATGCGGCTGCGTCCTGGCCCATTTGTCAGCGCACGAGCCCCAGGAAAAAAAAGAAAGAAACGCACTCGACAACCAGAACGACTCGTTCAAGATACAAAGCCAGTCTGAGCATTGACTAGCACACGAGTGTTTTGCAGCAGCCTCCCGTATTCTCTCGTTTCCTCTTGGCCTTCGCGGTTGAGGCTGGTGACAGCGAGGCGTAAAGAAGTCTGCATATGTCGCAGCGCGTGTAGGACGAGCCATAATGTTCAAAATGAGAACATCTGGACGGCAATGGCTGAGCGTCGACCGTCCGGAACGCAGCGAATGGTTCACCACTGCCGTGAAGGACTCCAGCATCAGAAACGCGCCAGGCCGACGAGTTCCTCTGGGTCCGTAAGAGGTAAAGGCTACAGTCGCGTCAGCTTGGTGTTTCGCGGTCGAAACCCGCAGCTCACCTCGAGGAGGACGGTCTTCGTTAAGTTATGAAAAAACCCGGCTCTATTAGCGCCCACGCATCTAGATGCCATCAGGGGCCGCATGTGACCGCACAGGGGAAGGACTTCGACTCCAGTGTTCGACTCAGTGGCACCTGCAATTCACTTTACTTCCCTCGTCGAAGTCTTAGAAGTCTTCGTGGTGGTATGTGCTAGAACTGATCTGTACAGCAACTTTTGCTGATAATTTGATGCCACGCATGCTCACACTTGCCACCATATGCACCGCTGAAAGCAACCTCCGGCGCCACCACTACTAGGGTCTACTTCTTGATCCACTAGCAGACTGGCTCACCGCAATTATATCTTCCTGGGAAACGAATAGGAGGCGTATTTCCATCACTTCCCCGAACGAGAGGTTCACTCCAATTCGAATTGCGCGAGATGGCCGAACAAATCATCCCAGAGCACGAAATCGTCACAATACCCAGTGATGATCAGAATCTTCGACAGCAGTGCTACGCCATTCGCATAGACGTCTTCCACCACGAACAGAAGTTCCCACTCGAAACTGAAATTGATGAGTATGTGATCTATCATCGCTTCATGAACCCAGCTGACCTTGTCGTTGGCTCATTTATTGGTGCCTATTGATTATGCTTCTCATTCTAGCATGGAAGATCGTTCGGCTCACATACTGCTGAGGTTAACTCCCTCGCACACTCCAGTGGGAACGATAAGAGCCTACAAGCCACCTGGAGCGGATTACTATAAACTCAGTCGCTTAGCCGTTCTCAAGCCTTATCGTCAATATCGATTCGGGCGAGAACTGGTTGAAGCCCTTCACGACTGGGTGAAACTTGATGCTATCAAGTCTGGATACAAAGACTACGTTACAATTGTAACCCATTCTCAGATACCCGTCAAGGGGTTCTACGCAAAGTGAGTTCTTGATCAGTAATACCCATTTCCCCCAGCTACAGTACTTAATGATCACATCACAGATTTGGATACGTCGCAGAGGTAGTACCGATTTAGTCCGTCAAGATGATTTATTAATCCTATTGTTTGAACAGGGTGATGAGTTCGATGAAGACGGCGATCCTCACCAGAAGATGGTCGTCCGTCTGCCGCTAAGTACCTAAGCTACGCGGTGTCGTATGTACATTATGTACTGAGAGTGGAGGAGAGGGAGGGGAGGAATTACATAGGGCTGGCTGGCACGTTATACGCCATACTGCAAGAGATGGAAACTAACAATACAACTAGATGTGCATAGTCTCGAAAGTCCGATGGGATATGCCAATGGGAATAAGGATATATATACGTCGTAAGGGTAGCAGCTGGAGAAACGGTCATAATGTTCACCAGCGTTTCGCATGAAAGGCAGAAAAGGAATAAGGAAAAGAAAGAAAGGTCGTAAATGATTTCAGTATCGACTAATATCGGCACCGTCATCGGTCGTAAATCCTTCGCTCTCGCTCTCAGACTCCAACTTGACAGTTCCAAACACAGGACTAGCTGCGGGGAGGATACTGAAGTTGATGTTGGAGCCGTATGGTGAAGCCGTGCCTTCTTCATACAACCTACGCGCTGCTTCGTACTCCATCTTCTCTTGCTCTGCTTGCGCGAGGAACGGCTAACGGTAGCAGAATGGAACCCGTTAGCAATATGTATGATGTCGGGGTGGAGCGAGAAGACAGTACCTTTCTCTCCTCATCGGACATCGAACGCCATTTCGCCGCAGCGAGCACGCTCTGTTTGGTCGTCTCAGTCTCATCACCAAAGATGTCGTGAACCAAGGACGGGTTGGCTCGGATGCGCTGCAGGAACATGAAATACGCGCTCAAGGGTTTCTTGGGCGCGTTAGGGTCCTTGATGTTGCTCTTTCGGGATTTCCCTAGCTTGCGCTGTGCAGTCCGGAAAGCGTTCTCGCGTTTGATGTCATCGGGGGACAGGGTTCGCATGTACGCAGCCAGATCCCGTTCACGCGCATCCTTCATGGCTTGAGACTTCCGTTTATAGGGCTAAACAGAAAAACGAATGGTCAATCAAATCACTTCGTGACGTCAAGTGGAACGTCATAAAACATACCTCTTTCTCCTCTGGAGTGAGAGATGCGTATTCCTGGCCTGCTTCTTTGGCTGCCTGGGCAACATTCAACTTCCTGGTGTTCGAAGCCTGCTGGCGCTGGATCCAGTCTGTGAAATAGAGCTGCCAAGCCGAAGGCGCTAACTTGGGGGGCCGCAGCACAGACTTCAAAGGAACTGTATTACATTGGTGCGATGATCAGTAATCCGAAACAAGTTACGGGCGGGAAAGCGGTTCTCACGTGTGTCATTAGAAGACTTGTCAGCGGGCTGAGTCTCGTCTGGAATAGAAACGCGCTTTTTCCGCCGGATTGTGGCATCTCTGTCATCAGATACACTTGTTGACTCTGCTCGCCGGCTGTAAGACCGAGTCATGCTGGGAGCCCGCAGGTGCGTGGGAGAGGGTGCGGATGCGGATTGGAAGATCTGTCCAGTAGAGATGGCTTCTCTTTGGATTGGAATGCGTTGCCGTTGAGCCAAGTCTGACAGCGGCGAATGACGAACGGAGGGCCGAGTGGGCGAAGAGTGGGTACGAAGAGTACCTGAGTTATCCCACAGCTGTGACGCCCATCTCGGAGGTTGTAACGACATGTCCATCGGAGAAACGGCCTCGATGGACTGTCTGTGGTATGGAACAGCCTCCTCGAACGATGGTGACGAGTCGACAGATGCGGGCAAGGGAAGGTTGGCGGCGTATGACGTCGGCGAAATTGGGGAGAAGGCTCGTTGATCAAGGTATGATGCAAATGAGGGATGGGTACTCATGGGACCGGAAGGGATCGTTATGGGGGACGAAGGAGAAGAGGAGGAAATCATGTCGGGGTCGTTAATCCAGTTAGAAAGATAAGTATTAGCATCGAGAGCAGCGTTCTTCTTCATCGCGCCAGGGCTGTAGAGTCCAGAATGGGACTCGAAGAAACTACCCCCAGGCGATAGCGGCGATGTGGGAGACGCTGGAGAGAATCCATAATCGTATGAGGGGAATGTCGTTTGGGGGGAAGAGAAACCAAAGGAAGGTTTAATGTCATGCTCCATGTCGGTGTATGGGTCCCATGAAGGGAACGGTTGTGGGGGGGCGGGATCGTATTCAAGCTCGAGGGGACCGAATATCATCTGTTCGCTGTCTCCGGGGAACTGTTGAGCGTCTTCAAAGTTGAGAAGCGGAGTCGCGTCCTTCATGGACGCGTCGAAGGTGTTGAAGCTTGAGGACATGGTGTCTGGAGACAATGAACGCCTAGAGACACTAAATGGCATGAGATTATAGGATGAGGGCAAGCGAAGAGGGAGGAAACCTGAATGCGTGCGGCTTAAAAAGCCGAAACGGTGATAGAGGAGGATTATGTCGAAAGAGGGTGCCAGCAAATGAATGGTCCCATAAGGAGCGGGACCCAAGCTTAAGAGGATACCGGGATAGCGATATGAGCGGAATTCGAAATATTTCCATACCTGTATAAGTTTAACAGATAATGAGTCAGTGGCTCGCCTTTGAATCCGGACAAACAAACCGACCAGCGTATAACCTTATGGAGGAAAGGAATCACTTCCGATGCGCCCCTATAAAGCAGTGAAGAGAAGACCCAATTATAAGTGTGGACAATCAAGAAGTTGTTGAAGATTCCGGAGTCGATGACAAGGAGAAGCCAACCGGCGTGAGCCCGTATCTCGTACCGCGTTCAGCTCTTCCCCACGATCGAACAGCTCGATTCGGGGATGGTATACGGAATCCTGTGCAAGGTGAAGAATTGTGTCAGCTGCAAAGTACTTGATAGATTGAGAAACAAACCAACGACAACCGAGGTCAACAACGTGAGGATGGGAACAACACCGGCCCTAAACGAGCTGGATCAAAATAGGTAACTAGGACCCTTGACTCCGGTGCCTATTGTCTGACGCCACGATATCAAGTCACACCAGTAGTTCGAACGCCCAATCATAGTTACCATAAACAATGTCGAGATCTTGCCGAGTGCATGTGTTGCAAACTCAACACCATCTGGTTAAAATGAATTCAAGAATGGGAGAGCATGCGGGATGTGATTGACCACAATGTCAATGGTTACATCGGGGTACGAGATACCATCACAGGATGACAATCTCCGGCGAGTGATATTTGGGATTGTTGTACACACTTGACCCAGGCTGGATATCAAGTAGCGGGTAGAATGCCGAGCGGAAGCAAGAGATCGATCGAAGGATATCAATCTGACACCGCTGCGTAGAAGGTAACAAAGGGTACATACCACCCAACCTTTGACATCCTTCATGATCTCCTTTTCTCTCGCGAGCGCAGCCTGCTGGCGGCGATAAGCGTCGCGGTCGCCTTCCGCCATGAGCAATGGGACGAGGTGTATTCTGGACCAGACTTTCTCTCTGTGTAGTTCTCTGCAAATGAGATTGACAACCGAATCAGTTCGCATTCCTTTTCCGGACCGAAGGGAGGAGGCCAAGTGACTGATAAGAGCAGTCGCAACATGCGGCCGGATCCAATGGAGGCCCACGTTTAGCGTTGAGCGGGGGTACCACCAGACACGTTTCACAGCCAGCTGACACTACGGAATCAATAGAGGGGACTTGCCTTTTTTCCAGATTACCCTTCCCAAGCCGATAGAAGCCATAGGCACAAATGGCCGTCACACCACCGAGGATAGCTAGAGAGCCTGGTCCACGAAAGGGGAGATTACGCTTGTACTTGACTGATTCAAAGCCCCCCGGAGGGGGCATATCTCTGGGAGGCGTTCAGGAAGGTGGCGCATATAGACTGAGCAATAAACGCGCACTGTCTGTATGGAATTGACACTGAAGAAGGAAAAGTGAGCTAACGAGCCCATGTGGCGGTATCACAAAGATACTCACTTTATTACGCCGCTGGTGAGCCGAATACAAAGAATGGAAGACACCAGAGACGGAGTGGACGCGAGGTGGTGAGTGAGCGAGCGAACGAGGACGCTTGCAGCGGCGTTGGGCACAGAAACCGACGGTGGTGACCGTGGGAAGAATGTGCGTTACTCCCACGATGGAGGGATTCGAAAACAAACAGAGGCTTGGCACAGAAACGACGCAGGGATTGCGCTGAACGCAGAGAAAAATAATGGCAGAACGATATCGTACCGACGGTGCCCACACACGTACTACCCATGTAATTTGCTTGCGGGAGAAAGCAGCGGCTCTGGAGGTCCAAAATGCGACACGTCGCTTATGGTTGCGGCTGAGAGTTGGTATTTCCCGAAATGGGGCGAGGCTGAGAGTAACGCCTTGCCGGTGACAGTGTCAGTCTTTTCCAACACTGCCAACAGCTCGACTCGTGATTAGGGTCCTAGTCGAACCTTCTTTCTCTCCTCCCATCATGTCCAGGCATCCTTCCCCAGGCCCCTCCCTGGCTCATTCCCAGAATTTCCACCAGCCAACTCCTCATTCGTCTCGACAAAAGCCACGCCCCCCAATTGGAATCGCAGCTGGAGCCGAAGATGTAAAGTACCAGGCAAAATACAAGGAACTCAAACGCAAAGTAAAGGATATCGAGGCGGTGAGTCGATTCGCAGTGTCTCATGACGCGTGGGCTCACGCGGGGCAATCCCAGGACAATGACAACCTCCACTGGAAGGTTCTCCAGGCCAAGCGCAACATTCAGCGAATGAAGCTGGAACGGTCGTGAGTAAAATGGCCGCAAATTCGCCAATTCGTCAACTGACTTGGCCGCAAATCAGTATCTTGTATGAAAGATTGGCCGCTTTGCCAGTTTCTCCGGCTGATGATCGAAATGTGCCTTCGTTGCATGCTGCTCATGGTCTGTCTCTCCCGCCACCCCCACGCAGTTCGCACCCGGGTCGCCCCCTTCGTGACGTTCGAGAATATCCTCATGGAGGTGACGAGCATCCGCTAGGCGATTATTCTCGCCCAGGGGCCGGACAAAGGGTAACATCAGGATCAGACTACCATCTGCCGATGATAGACACATCCATTGCACCTGGAGTCGCGCCACCCTCTCGCTCAATCTCGTCTTCTCACCATGCATCTAGGCGAGGGTCAGCAGGTTCTATCCAACCCCTTCCTCCTCTACCCCCTCCGACCCACCTACCCCCTGTGCAGCACCTGGATGTACCACGCGCTCACAGTCACTCGTCCCACTCTTCTCATTCGCTATCAAGTCCACATCTGCACCACCCAAGTGGATCACACGAACGAGCGTCGCATCCTCACTCGTCGCACTCGCGAGACCAGCTTCAAACCCTTACTCGATCGTTCAGCCAAGGGCACAGTCTTCACCATTATCCGGAAGGCCTTCCATCCGTTCAACATGTACTTCATAGTCCTCCCTTACCGGAGACGGAGCGAGTACGGCGCCACGACGTTCACGAACTGACCGGCTCACCTCGTGATCCCCATGGCCATACGAGGCACCAGGCTCCCTTGATCCCAGCCTCACCTCATCACTCAACTGATTCGAGGTCGGGCAGACCAATGCATGCTCATCAACGAATGGGACCCGGGACATATATCAATAGATCTGACGACTACCCTGACCGTGACTTGGACCGGGATCGCGATTGGGAACGCGAGCGCGAGCGCGGCAGGGAACACCACCAAAGAGCCAATGAATTGAGCTCCGCTCATATGCATTCACCACCACAACAAAGAGCACGTCATCACACTGATTATCCTGACCACCATCCGACTTCCCGCATCCGCGATGATACAGGATATTATCAAGATATGTCAGGGCCTGGGGTATACCCTCCCGTTTCGCGCTCTGGGACTCCGGTCTCTGTGGGCGATGACAGGCCCTCCAGGCCCGATTCACGAGCGGGGCAGCACTACTATGAACAGGAGCGGTCCCGATCGTACAAGCTCCGCCCTGTCAATCCACCTAATGCAAATGAAGAACTTGACTTCGTTCACGAAGATGGCAGAGGACAACGTGATCGAGGAGGAATCAGTGGCGGTGGCGCTTTCGCACCAGCTCCGGAATCGAGAAAAAGAAGTAGGAACGATGCCGATGGGGAGAATGACATCGTCGAAGGTTCTGCAGGCTCAGGTGGTTTGCAGTATTCCGGAGGGCGGTTGCCGGAGGATAGGGGGTCGAAGAGGTACCACCGAGATAGCCACCTTGGTCGGGCCTCTGATAGACAGGACGAGGAGTCGTAAAATAAGCAATAGTTCCCAGAACCTAGAATCTGGATTCAGGTTGCCATTTCAGTCTATGATTATTATCTGTCCGCTGCTAATTTCCTATTGCCGTTCTGTTGTAAAATCCGCTACATACCACATTACTTATATGTTCCTATCGATGATTTTAAGCTCGACTCTTTATCGCGCGAAGTTTACGACAGTTGGACACTCCACTTATCACCAGACAATCCAAGCATGATCTGCTGATATTTGGATTATGCCTTTGGAGTTCTCCAAGTGTACGATTCGTCAGATAGTATGGGTAAGGTCCAGGACCGAATGCGCTATCTATCGCACTTGACAGTAGTCAAAGAAGTCATCAATATTTACGCCGGATATGAAGTAAGATCGGTGACTTCTGTGGCGTTCGTAGTAGTATCTGCACAGGGGTAGGTACGTCCGAGCGATGTGAATTCAAATACGTCTACAGACGAGATATTGACAACTAATTATTGACGTGGCGGTGGTGTACGTATATCGGGCTACCGGGTCACTATGTACCCACCGTAGGCTGATAATTAACCAGAAGGCGACCTCGGACAGTAGCAAGACACTTACGTTTGGCTCCACAAGGTCAGTGTTGGCTCATGATGGTACACAGGTGCACGAGTAGCACACAAGCATTTTGTAAACTAAATCCGAGTGTTTGTCAGTTTGAATTTACAAGCGACGATGAGCACGGGCTGTAAGCTGAAACGGCGGCACATGTAAACCAGGCAGACGCAATTCCGAAGCTATACTGTTAGCGATTTGTGAGACGCCGACGTGCTCCGGGCGCTCAGATCATTGAATGACTGGACTCGCTGTGTGGGTGAGGCCGAAGCCCAACTCCATGTTTGTAACTCAATCACTGAGCGCTGCCGCTAAACGGTATTGCGCAGTATACCACTATAGTGTTTTGAAATTCCTGCTGCCCCACAAAGCCCATAACCCTTGTCACTATATACATACCCATGAACCAGTCCGTCTCGTCTCATTTCGCGGCGGCGTGCTATCGTGACGAGTATATTCGGCAGATAAGGCCGACTTGGCGAGCTCGGAGCATTACGGATGTCGTCTTCTCGAATACCTGAGGCCCTGGATTCCGTGGCAGGAGAGGTCCGAGAGGATGCAGAACTGCCAGAACAAGTCAAAGGATAGGGGTCTGTTGGCCGATATTCTGGCGCCCCACATACGTTTCGAGCGGGCTGCTGTGTTCGAGGAAGGGGATCATACGTAGTCGTTAACCATCTGTCCAGTGGCTGTGGATTTTGGAGCAGCGACGCGAGCCGTCTTGAGAAGAGTTAACAGTATAGGATGCCATACTGTGTGAACAAGTGATCCCCCCGTTGGATATTGTTCTACTTCTGTTCCGTGTTCGACTTCTGTGTCCTCGCCACAACTCAATGATTACCCGATGGAGAAACAATCGAGTTGAACCAAAATGTCCGTAGGAACCCATGACTTGGGTATTTCCCGCTTGGTGTGATAGAGGTGTAAATCGCTTGAGATTCAATGAAGCACGGAATGATAGGAGTAGACGTTGGCTCGCCCACTTGTTATCGACCGTTACATTGAAAAACACGATCACAGAGAATACATCTTCGCTCGGCCCTTGGCACTAGAACGAATCCGCTCCACAATGGGTCCCATCGAGAGGTGGATACAGCAATCGCAGTGCAACCATTGGACATGGATGCCATGGCAGTCGCCAGAGTTGATAGGAGATCGCACAGCTGGGAGTCTGGGACCGACTCGCCGCACGCCGCACGCCGTTGTTGTCGACGGCGTCACATTCCACAGCGTGAATACAATGATGGCACTGGGATCACCGCCGGTATGAGAGCAAGTTGTTGATTTGTTCCCAGAGCTGCACAGGCCTTGTGAGAATGCCCTATGTGCCCGACGCAGATCAAACCAAGCGGACGAATGCATCCTGGGAGCCATACCGGGTCGAAGCGTCGAAGAACCAAGCACCCCCTGTTCCGCGCGCAGCGAGCCCCGACCACGTATCATGCATGTGGGTATTCCGTAGGCCAGCCTAGTCAGATCACCAGGTATAGACTCGGAAGTCAGATATGGCCAGCCGAAAGTGCAGTTCTCAAGCGATTGGTGTCATTGGGTGAACATGAGAGTTGTCAGGAGAGACAGCAGATGATAAGGGCCTTGACCGTGACCCAACAGGTGCTCATGTCAGTCATGCTGATACTGCATGTTGCTATCCATAGCACAATGATCAAGAACAAGTTGCGATCAGCGGGCGCCTCGCCGAGATAATAGATGGCTAGATAGACGCCCATCAGTGCATCTTATTCAAATGGATAACATTCGATTCGCTGATAGCATTCTTTCCGGTTTGCGATTGAGCTACCTGGTGACAACGGAGTCAGAACCTATAGAATGTATCAGGATCGTACTGCCGAGCGTCACTCGAGTCATGCAAGGTCAAGTCCAATCTTAACGTTCATGAGAACCATTACAACAAAAATGGTAATCCAGGAAGTAGCAAAAAAACAGCCAAGCAGCGCAGTTAACGTCCTTGGGGCCCCGAGGAGGTAGAAGACGGCGGCCGACGGGCACAGTCTAAGATATCCGAGATAGACCGCAGCGACGACGGGGACTACTCGATTCAAAACGGAGGTCATTTTTGCATCAACCAGAGCTTCAGAGTCACCAAGAGTCAACAAGAACCAGATCAAAGTGAGTAGATACCGCATTTCAGTGGTCGAAGGGTCGTCAATGGCGGTACAAGAGTTTTGACTCACGGGCGGGCAAACTGGTTCACGTCGCGCGGGGAGAGTCTGCCCGGTAGCGGGCTTGCTGACGGCTCACCGACGGAGTCAAGTTGTAGCAATCTACATCTATTTGAGTATGACTTGTAAACGTCAGCAGCGGTAAGCTATGAGGTCGCTGTATTAAACTCAAACATGTATACAGCAAAGTCTCCGAACCCCGTCTTCCTCTGGACCATTCTAAGACCAAAGAGCTCCTAGCTTTATCGGTAGACATGATCCGCTAAACCACCGGGTCAGCGTCACCATACATCGAAGTACGCAAATCGAGGTACATACCATACAAATTGGCAGCGATCTCGGCCTCTGCACGATCCCCATTGGCGAGAAGCTTCTCTTTATTGTAGAGAAGTTCCTCTCGGGTTTCGGTAGCGAATTCCTGGTTTTGAGCTAGAAACGGGGTTCAACCTCATATCAGTCAAAAGATGGAAGATTGTAGCTTACTTTCGACGATCGCGTCCACGGGGCATGCCTCCTGACAGAACCCACAGTAAATACATTTCGTCATGTCAATATCTGTTAAAAGCTTGTTAGTCACCCGAGTCTCGAGGGGGGCGGTGGAATGGTGTAGGCACCGTATTTGGTAGTTCTTCGAGAGCCGTCCATGCGAGCCTCACTCTCAATGGTAATAGCTTGAGCAGGGCATATGGCCTCGCACAGCTTGCAAGCTGCAATTAAGCTACAATAAGCTGGTGTTTGGGTACAGATAAGAGGACGAACCAATGCATCGCTCTTCGCCGCTGGGGTATCGCCTGAGCGCATGCTCACCACGGAATCGGGGAGAAAGCGGGCCTTTCTCGAACGGGTACATGATGGTGTACGGTTCACGGAAGAATTGTTCCAGGACGACCCACATGCCTACAACGCAGCCGAATGTAGGTCAACCTCCTAACATATTTCCCAAAAAGCAACCGACCTCGAATGATTTCGGTGAAGAAGAACAGATGGACGGCCTTGTCAATAGCGCTGGGGCCGCCCTTGTAAGGGTCAATCTCATTGCCCTTTGCATCGAAGAGGTGGGGGTGCTCGTGCTTCTTGCGGTGAACCTTGGCCTCGAGGTCACTCATGAGGGGATCGTGGTGGTGAATGGGCTCAGCGCGGGCTGGAGCGGTCGAAGAAAGTAGACGGCGAGCGACTAAGGCAGCCCGAGGCGATGAAGCGACCAAATTTAGCGGTATACGAGGGGCCACGCCCGTTGGCAACCATGTTCTAGGGACACGCATATTGGCCTTCGTCGCGGCCAGCAATGAGCAAGGAATAAAGTTGAAGTGTGACGCGGGAAAGTGAGGGTCACATATAGTCACACCAGTGGATCCTGGCCCCATGAGCCAATCAGAGCGCAACGAACTCAAAGCAACCTACCACCATGTCCAATCCGCCGAAAGCCAAGAAGCTGCCTCAACTATCCACCGAAGGTACGTTACAGCATGTTCTTGCGATGGTTTCCGTGAAATAATCAGCCAGAATTGCAGCAGAGGTACAATGCGATGCAAAATGACCTGCAGAACCTTGCAGGCAAGATCGGTGAATTGGAATCAGAGGCTGATGAGCACAGGTGTATATTCCAGTGCCTCCGTGGTGTTTCAGATGCTGAAGTCTTGCACGCAGCTTGGTTTTGACGACACTCGAAGAAGTACTAGCTGAAGAACCCGATCGCAAATGTTTTCGTTTGATCGGCGGCGTGCTTGTAGAAAGGACAGTAAAAGATGTTGTTCCTGCTTTGCAGACCAATCGCGACGGGGTATGGTCCCATTTTCTTTTCCATTTGACGTCTGACTCTCAAGTCTCTTAGATACAAAAAGTGATCGCGAATCTGTCAGAGCAATACAAAACGAAAGAGAAGGACTTTGACACTTTCAGGACGGATTACAAGATTCGTGCGGTCAGAGGATGACTGAGCGGCTGCTGGTCACCGTCGCTTGGCACGGCGTCCGCAGGCCTCCTTGGGATGCGTATTCGAGTTGTATTTCTTCTCAATGAACTACTTAGATAAGATTACAAAAAATATCAGATAACCACGTTGCGGTTATTGCATGTGGGACCCAAAAACCGATCCCAGGCCAAGAATAGCACAAGCATGATGGTTCCGCGAAATTTCCAGGCCGCAGTATTCTCTCCTTACGGTCATCCTTCAGCCTCGACTATCGCTAGGCTTGCTGTTTGAGCTCGCCCCCATCCACTCTTTTGTCAAAGACATGGCTTTCAACGCCCTTTCGCTCGTTCTCTGCTTCATCAGCCTCTTCGTGGTGGCAGGCGCCTCCTTCCCACACGGACTCGGTGACTTTAAGCCTCACCGTCGTGCAGCCCCTCAGGCTTCGATATGGCTCGCTACGCATAACGCAGTACGCGAAGAACACGGCGCACAACCACTTTCGTGGTCCCCCTTCCTTGCAGCGAAGGCCCAGGAATGGGCCAGTCAATGCGAGTTCAGAAACACCCAAGGTGTTCTAAGTTCTACTCCTTATGGAGAGAACATTGTGGCAGGAACTGGCGCGTTCCCAATCTACGCTGCCGTCGGCCAATTCACCAAGGATGCTTGCAAGTCTCTCACTGTCCGTCTTCTGAAGTCTCCACTAACACATGATGCAGCTTCATATAATCCCCAGTTCCCCAACTACAGCCACTTCACACAGGTGGTGTGGAAGTCAACCACAGAGCTAGGATGTGCGACAGCCCAGTGCGACGGTATCTTCGACGCGCGGCTGGGAAAAGCAACCTTGCATGTTTGCCTCTACAATCCAGTTGGAAACGTCGTTGGCGAAGCACCGTAAGACGCGCTTTTGCATCTTGGCCTTGACAACAAACCTGACTATCCCCGTCCCAGTGAAAACGTGCAACTCTAATGATATTATCTTCCCTGTGTATATATTTGTTCATCTACCCGATGGGAACCATGTTGGTTTCTATCCACTGTCCCTTGTTGATAGATTTTGGTTTGCTAGAAGCTGCCGTCCTTCCGGGTTTTTGCCTCTGGGAGTCTGGACTTCCGGCTCTGACTGGTCACTGTATTCTTAAAACCCACATCCTACTTGTTGTCGTTCATCAACCCCTTTATTCCGTGTAGTGTTACCGTTGGGTTCATTTTTCGCGGCTTCGTATGCTTTTCTTAACATGCTTTGATTCATGTCAACCCTCAGGCAACATCAGACCACGAAGCATCATGTTCTCCTGTGCGTGCTGCACGGACGAAGCTAAGGTACATTTCTCAGACTCCTGACTATGAGTCCGGTGACCATCTTCTGAAGCAAAAACAAACGTCTTCCTCTTCTCTTCGTGTTGAACGTTCATGCTGATTTTGTACCTGCGCAATGCACATGGCTTCTTGGTTACCAGTTGCGTGAGGTGCAATTACCCGTCTCCCCGCCGAAATACCACCGCACACCAGCTGGAAGCATCCCCTCGTCATCATACTATCGTACAGCTTAGAATGTACAATGGCTATTGTAACAATGCAACTACAGCATGACCCAAGAAAATGACCTAGAAGTACACCGTCGAAATGGAATGCAGCCCTAAAAATGAACCCAACTGGGAGGATGCTCGTAAGGCTATCTACATCAACCCAGAGCTAGAGCACAAAGCGCGTACTGGTATCCGTCACCAGATTCCAAGGCCATCCATTCTGACTGCTCCTTGAGGCGGAGCTTTTGTTCCAGAATGATCGATGCCACAACGATCTCATCCACAATCCCAGCCGCCCTGATGTTGACGACAAGTATAGGTGTTGATCTGGATTCTGGATGCGAGATATAAGCTATTGGCTCGTTGCGGTCGCTGGCTTCCTCCACGAGCTAGACCAGGAGGTAAATTTACAGACTGCATTACGAAATAGCACCCTGCTCGGAACTCACTGCTAAGCGATATGACTGATCTGATATCCACATACAACTCCCCAGTGTCGTCTGCATGCTCGCAATAGCCCTGTAGCACAGATGTCCTATTAGCTTCCAATTCTGCGACGATCCTCTCCCCGCCTCACTTACCGCTTGCCCCTATCAGTGAATGTCGCCCGTGTTTTGCCGCCAACGTCGTTCAGCCAGCTCCGTATCTTCACTGGCTTCGACCCACATCTCGACGGAAACCACACAAGATCTGGTAGCATGACTCGGATGTCGATGCTCGCTATTTTTGCCTGTGTATCCACCCTACATATGTCCGTCTTTCCTGTTTTCGCGGACGTCGAGACCATGTAGCCGTACTGGCTGTCGCGACACGTTAGCGCCGTGTTGGTGGCTGAATCTCGGCTGAAGTGGTACGAGAGAGCTTGGGGTATGTATGCCAGAGTGGCCTCGGAATCGTCGTTGCCGCTGTGGTACATGGTCATGGCGAAAGAAACCCTTATCGTCTGCCAAGAGGGGCGAGATACGCGTAATTGCCCAGACCCGAGTAAGGACCACAGTCCTTTATAGGAGCACGCACGGCGACAATAATGAATTAAGTAACGATGAAGTCAATGTGAAGGGCGTCGTCGATGGGCGGGATTAGAGTGTAGGTTCGAGCGGCGGCGCTGCGCAGCGCAGTAGGAATGCAGACCACGACCTCCTTGATGAACTGTTCGTCGTTATCTACCCTGGTGTAGGCTCACCGCACCGCACTCCCCACTGTTGAATTGTTATTGAAACACCGGGCCACGCCCACAGCCATTTCTGGCACGAAGCAGTACCAATTATCGCCGCGACCTCCCATCCTCTGACGTAGTATCCTTCTCAGAATCAGGGACAGGTTGAAACAAATACATCAAGTTCAAATAAAAAAGTACATGGGAAGTTTCGAATGGTAGAAGTATTTATGTATTGTACACGAGGAAAAAGCAGGAGGAACCTGTCCTCCTCCGAGGAGAATAAATGAATGTCATAAATTTCTTGTGGGTGATTTATGCTTCCGCAGTTCCTTCTTCAGTGGTCTCACCGAATTGAACACCTCGGAAAGTGCGCATCTGAGCTTGCAATCTCTCGATTTGGCCAGGGGTGAACTCGTTGAGGCAGGAATCGAAGGAGTAATCCATGAAGTTGTCTGATGAGCAGGGTCAGCCCTATGCGAGGGGATGATGGCGTGTTGACACTCACGAATGGGGTCAACACCTTCAGCTTCCTTGCAGGTGTTGCGTCCAACAGGGCAGCCAGAGGCAGGGCTAGCTTCGGGGACAGTATCAGCTACCCTGTCGCCGGGCTCGGCGCAACCACCTTGGAAGGTGTGGTAGAGGCCAACCCAGTGACCGGCTTCATGAGTGAGAGTCTAGAGGTAAGGCATGGATAAACAGGTGCCGGAGGAGCGCCAGTATGTACTTACATGTCCGAGGTTGAAGTTTTCGGTGGCACCACCTGGGACGCTGGAGAACAAAAAGACGACACCGTCGTCACTAAGTTCCGCTTCGACATCGGAAGGGAAAGTAGCATATCCCAAGAGACCTTCAGCTTGACCGGTCTTGAAACTATGAACAACTATTAATGGGTGCTCTTGGTAGTAAAAAAGAGGCTGTATTACCCGACAGTGTAGACGTTGAAGTCGGCGGGGCCACCAACCCGGAGAGCAGACTTCATATCGGCTTGCAGAGGCCTAAACAGATTCAAATATTGCTAGCCAAGCGGACACCGATAGACCTACGAGTAGGGGCTAGCCTCGTTGAACCATTCTTCATTAATAGTACGCGAAACGTTGACCAAATTCCAGGAAATGCCAGTATTGTCGTAGGCCTTGTTCAGGATCTCCAATTGTTCCGTGATTTGGGACTCCCTTCAATTCACGGATTAGCAAATCATTGAAAGGAGTAAAAAAGGGCAACTTACGGGACATTACCGCCTTCAAGCGTGTCGTCCTTGCTGACGACGTGCCAGTAGACATTGAGCTTGGGAGATGTCGGTTCTCCACCCATGGGGCTGGCGCCAGGAGCGACCATCTGAGCGTCGAATTTCCTCTCAGCAGCGACGAGCTTGGTGTTGCTGGGGTGGCTTCCGCAAATCCTGACAGAGAATGAATACCCAAGTTTTTCACCGTGCGTAATTAGCAAACCTAGGATATGTGAGATCCAAGGGGCCAGCAAGAACTGCGGCAGCACCGAAGACAAAGGCGATGAGGGTGGAGGAGAACATTGTATAGGAAGTAATGTGAGGCCGAAGGACTGGAAGTCGAAGGGGGACCTGGGGAGTGGGGGACCTGGCTGGTGAGGAGTGTCCTTACCATACGTATGTCTTTTATACCGTTGTTCACCTCCTAGCAAACCCGATCCAAGAGTCGACGGCCGGCCATGCCTAATCTGGGGCCAAGTTCAGCATGCGGGATACTTGGTCGCTTAGCGATATCTAAGTTGTCCACAAGCTACACACCTGTACATCCGATGCGCGGCAGCGATGTACGATTCGCCATTCGAACGTCATCCAGTAGATGAAACCCACAAGGGCCTGATCTTAAACAAGCCCAGACAATACAAGGTCGCCGTGCAGCACACCAGGTGATGCGCAGGCAGATTGACTGAAGTGTGAAGACTGCGTATCGTCGCCCAGATTGGCAATTTCAGAATCAGTGGACCACATGAAGACGGCGCCTCGACGAACAGGACCATAGCTGCAGAGTTGTCACCTGGCCGTACAAATGGACAGCCATCCTACGATATTGGCCCATGTGGAAATTATAGGATCGTGTGGCCAGACAGCACCGCGATTTTGGACCAAGAAAACGCACTAGACGCCCCGCGAACGAAGCTCGAAGATAGCTAGGTGCTAAACACAGACTCCAGGCCGGCACAGTAGGATTTTGCGAAAAGAGTCGCACCCGAAGGCCTGAAGGCAGCCTGGGTAGAATTCACAGATCCGGGTCGACAAGGATGACCGGTCCCCACGCGGCAGAAAAATTGACGATTGCGCGAGATTGCACGCGTTGAGAGTGACCGAAGCAGGTCACATCGTCGACATGAAGGCCTCCAGAGAGATATGACGTCCGCATGTGTTTGCGACCCCATTGATCACGATATGGAATCGATGAAAGGGTAGGATATACAGGCGCCGCGAACCTTTCTGCCTCGCTAGCGAGATACGACCCCACGAGACTCGCTTAGCTGAAGGTGATCTACTTCCCCGAAAGTCGAAGGCTGTGAGTGCCATCGTCGTAGATTCGGCGTTCGCGTGTATTTTCGCGTCTTCTATGAAATTTGCCGTATAGCTGATGATCCAGTTGCATCTGAATTATTGTGATAGTAGGTCACAACGCCGCTCGTACGGCAGTCGCGTAGGCCCTAGGCAGGGGTGATCTCGTCTGCTTGAAGAGAGATCGTTCCGACCATGAAGCCAGCCAGTCTGCAAAAGCGGCAGTAAAACCGTCGAGGGGGTGGAGTCCAAAAGCCTGTATCCATCGTGGATGTGGAGTTTATCAAGTCCTTGGGTATCTGACATTGCCGATACGGTCCTGCGATTTGTTTAGTGGCCAACAACGGAATGAGAAGGCCACAAGGATCATGTTGCCGTTTCAGTCCAGAGCCCCTACTTTCCCCAGGGGTTCCATACGAGCTTTGCTTCACCAAATACAGCGCCTTGTAGCTCATTGACTGCTTATCAAAACGTGGGTTCAAGCAATCTATCCTGAAGCACACCGGGGCTGCACACGATCACTGTGACGACGAAGTGAAATGCAATGATTATATTGCTTTAATCGGTCATAGACCATGCGTACACCAGGTTGTTCCACCTGGAACACGCCTACCAGGGACCGCGTCTTGACAGGATCCATGCATCTACACAGACCTCCAAGAACCATATCAACATCCTCAGGAACTCGGCCTTCGTTGTTGAGGATTCAAGGCTAATCATTATTTTCGCGAGGAATTACACGTCGAAGGGGCAACATTGCACAAATTCAAGATTTAAACGGCTTATTAAATGGTACACAGTGGTGGCCGATGGCTGAGATATATTGCGAGAAAGGCTGGGGTCATAGGTCATCGTCATCCTCCATTAGACAAAGCGAAGCGACGGCGTCCCCGAGAGTCACAAGTTGCGAGCCAGGTGATAACAAGCTAGCGTCCTGTTGCGAGTGCGCAGCTTCGTACCGGAAGGCGGGTAGTTGTCCGGCGAGAGACAAGGTCGACGAAGAAGAATTGAGGGAGGTGCGTCCGAGGCGCTGGGTGGGCAGAAAAGCATTAACACCGTTTAGTTTAGCTTGCTGAGACTGAGGTAGCGGCATCGGAGTATGCTTAGGATCATTCAAGATACCGAGAAGAGACATAGGCTGAGTAGGTGGAATGGCAGACAGAGACGAGCCAGCTGTACTATGTCGCAGGTGCTGTTGTGGTTCGGCGATCTTATTAATCCCGGGATTATTGTGCGCGTGAGCTGAGTTCCTCGTGTCTAGATAAGGCTGGGATGCACCAATATACAGGCCGCTGCGAGCGATATTCCAGTCCATGGATCGGTTATTAGCAGGCGGGGGTGTGCCTCCGGCAGGGACGGGAGCAATCGACGACTTTGCCCAAGGCTGAACCTGAACCTGAACGCCACCATGGGGGATGTTGATCATCTTCGATGCGGCAGGTGCACCATGGCCAGCGCCCAACGAGTACGCGTGGAAGAGTACAGGTTTGGGTTCCTGTTCTCTGGATGGTAGCACAAGATTTTTTGCGTTGCTGCTCATAGGCCTCTGCGTTCGGCCGAAAGGTATGCTCTCTTGTAAGTAGCCTTGTATCTGGTTGAGCGTACCACGGTCAAGGCGAACGCGGCTGCCCGTATCGGAACTTTGATAGTACGGACTGGATTTCGCCCTCGAAATTCGACGATCCTTCGAAAGATGCTGGTCTAACTTAGTCTGGACCTCAGATCGCCCACCGCATCGGCCAGACCGGTTCTTCCGAGTGCGCAAGCGACCGCGTTGTTTCTCGGATTGGGTTCCTGAGGATGGACTTTGCTCGTCAGACTCGCCTAGCTCAATTTCCGGGTCGCTCGCCAGGGCCCAGTTAGGTCGTTCCATGGTGTGCTTCGGACCCATGTCATCCTGTTGGTCTCCAGAAGGTTCCAGCGAAAGCGGTTGCCCAAGAATTGCAGAGGCCATAGAAGGGAATTCAGCGGCAAGCTGTCACAATTCGTTTAGTACCCCGTAATGTACGAGAAGAAGAGACTAGCGAGTACATTTGTAGCATCTGCATACGTCTTCACTGACGGTAATCTTGGAGTTTCGGCATCAATCGACATTGGCGAGGCATAGGAATCGATCGTTTCGCCGGGGGGTGTTGGCGGTCCCGAAGACGACGAAGAATAGTCCGAATGAGAGAACTGAAGGGCGGGAGCCGGTGGTACAAGTCCCCCGGATATTTGGCAAACATATTCATCTGAAAACGGTCCCGCCATCGGAAAGGAAGATGCGCCGCGACCGTTGGTATTCTGGTGACTTACACTCGGGTTCGGTATCTGGATGAGCGAGATATGGTCAGTAAGGGAAGCTGCGAGCAATAATGTGCACCCGCCTCTTGATACATTGCTACCAATTGTAGCGGTTCGGGCTAGCGAAGGTTGAAGTCAAGGTGCAGAACCGTAGGCCCAGTGGCGGGGCAACGCCCAGTCGCGTCTAGTCACGTGTAGGCCCAGTTAGGGGTCGATAGTATACACGACATATCACTACCATCAAGTTTCAAAATCACATCAAAGACTGCGCCGCATCGAAGACTGGATATTTCAGAAAGGCTGCGCCTTCCATCCTTCTCTTCAACTTCTACCTTTCCTTTAACCATGTCCGACGAACCCAGCTACTCCGACCCTTCTCCAATCTTTGATAGCTTGGACATTGACTTGGTCGTGAAAGTTCTGGCTCATACGGCTTTCAGTGCGTTTCTTTCCAGATAGCGAAATGCAGAACTGACACCTCACCCATAGGTCCATTCTTTACTTTCTTCATACCGATATTCTATCTCTTTCTGGGCGCAAAGGTTACGGATTCTGTGGTGGTCATATCTGGTGTATACTATGTGGCCATTTCATTCTTCTGTGGGCCCCCTTTACTGTCTACAAAGAAAGAATGACGAACGATGAGCGCAGGGTTCTTTAAATGGTACTCCAGACTTTACCGGAATCAAGGCAACCTACTGTTTGGACCTGGTCGCTTCGACTGGGGTGAACAGATTGTTGTTATAACTGGTGGTACGATTTTTGCACTTACCCTGTCGCTTGAGGCTTAACCTCGGTGCAGGTTCGTCTGGAATTGGAGAACTGCTTGCGAATACGCTTGCCGTTCGGAACGTAAACGTCGTTGTTCTGGATGTCAACCCGATTCAGACCGAAAATTGTGAGTAGCCGTGTGTCTGATATCTGACCAGGACTGACTTGTACTTATAGATAACATATCTTATTATAAGTGCGATGTATCTAAGTGGGAGGAGGTGGAAGCTGTATCTAAGCAGATTATTGAAGAGGTAGGTCCTCCCCTTCTCATACGTGTAAGTTGAGCCAACGGATGTGTAGATCGGACAACCGACTGTCCTTGTAAACAACGCTGGGGTAGTGCAAGGAAAACTGATTCTAGACTTGTCACCAGAGGACGTTAAACAGTACGCACCCCTCCCTCCCCTTCAGTCACATACCCTAAACGTGGCTTGCAGGACATTCAATGTGAACACGCTCGCTCACTTCTGGACCCTCAAAGCCTTCTTACCCGGCATGATCGAGGCTAAATCCGGGCACATCGTGCGTTTTCCATGCCGTTTTCATTAATGAACGTTTGTCGAATACTTCCCTAGTTCACGATGTCTTCTGTCATGGGGCTCGTTGGTTCAGCGCAAATGAGTACGTATCCCACTCTCGTGTTGAAGATGCCGTATTAATATTTTTGTAGCCGATTACTGTGCGTCGAAAGCAGCCCTGGTGCTGCTGAACGAGTCTTTGCGATATGAGCTTGACAAAAGGTCAGACAGTTTCTGCTACATAACGCCACTCATCGCTAATATATCTATAGATACAAGTGTCCCCAGATTCGTACAACGCTTATCACCCCCGGACACGTCCTCACTCCCCTCTTCTCCACCACCAAACTCCCCACTTGGCCCTTGTTCAAATTCCTCGCGCCGTCCCTCCACCCGGTAACAGTAGTCAAATCCATCATCGCCGCCATGGACGAGCAGCACTCCCAAACTCTCATGATGCCATTCTACACCCAATTCGCACCATTCATGCCTATCCTCCCAAGCTTCCTGAGGGATTTGTTTCAATGGATGTCCGGTGCCGATTACGCTATGCAGAGTTTCGTTAAAGTGAGTGGCAGAAGACCTGAAGAAGGCCCCGTTGATACTCAATCTCCGCGAGAGTCACTCGCAAAGAAGGAGTTCTAGTGGCGCCCTGTATGATGTATTTGATCTTATCTGATAATATCCATACACTTTGCCCGGAATCAGATTGTTTCGTCATAGTGGAAGCACGAGGAAAGTGATGGATTGTGTGTGCCTAAAACGCGTAGCGGCACTCCGACGGCACTGTAGACAAACGCGATCCGCCCAGATTCCTCCGGGTCGTCAGGCCTTCAGGTTCAACGGACGGCAAGGAGCCACATCAATAGTGTCGAACATCAGCCAATGTCGTTGTTACGGGTACGCCTCTACATACCCGGTGTCTATCTACCTCATACGCGCCCGCCTATCAGTTACACACTTCATTTCACCTAAGCGTACAAGGTCCAAAAACTACCTTGATAGTACATCCTTCGGTACGGAAATCGAAAGTTCGAAGGGTGTATCCGTATCTACGTTATGTATTACACATCTCGCCGGCGGTGAGCAAGACTCGGAAACGAAAGGAGGTTCATACACGATATGAATACAACATCAAATGTGTGTAAATTGATTGACCAGAACTTAAGTGCATGGGGTAGGAGGCGAGATAAATACCGATGCTATGTCGTGATGCTATGTACATATGTGGATGCATGGAAGGGGAGAGGGGATGTATAAGTAAACGGTGCTAAGCGGTTGGTTGATGGATGGCCGATGTCTGGATGGCGGATTTCGGACTGGGGTCGGTTGAAGAGAGCGAGGGATGTGCGAGGTGGCCGAATATAGCGACTGGGAGGGTTGGGAGGGCTGTGAACAATGGAATCGCGGAAGCGATGGCTAGGGAGGGTTCGCTAGGAGGGGGTATATCGTCCTTGTCCGTGTTGGAAGGACTAAATGAATGAATTCAACATTTATGCGAAGAAGATCGGATGGCGATGACGCTAAGGGTCGGTTCCATTGTGCAAACGGGGTGTATGGGAGGGCGGGAAATCAAGAATGGGGTGGATTCGTTGGCGAGTCGTGCTTCTGCGGGAATGTTATGTGGTATGGGTCGAGGGTATCGAGAGTTCCGTAAGAAAAATAATATAATTTGATGAGCGGGTATTTTCCCACTGAGGAGGTCCTCAACAGGCACGAAGGAGGCTCTGAGCGCGGAGAGCATGGCGTTTATCAACCTATGGGAGAACACAAGAATGACATCACATTAGCGAGGTCTGGACTCGGTAACGAGCAGAGGAAGGAGTTACCAGTAGGTTTGCCGTCTTGAACGTCGAGCTATACATGTGGTTGATATGATTCTCCTCAAGAACTCTGGAGAAGCGGTTCACGAGACCGTGTTTATCTAGAGAGCCGACGCAGTGGAAGGAGAGATAAGAGGGAAGAAATGATGATCAGAAGTGATGGACGAGAAAGGAGATGGGTAGACATACCTAATCCGAAACGTCGCAGGTCAATCTGGAGACACTTGTGCGTGGTACTTGGGGCATCCCAGTCCTGGTCATCGAGCTCGGACTCGCTAAGTGCATCAAACTCTCCGCTACATATGACCATGAACCGTTCTTGAGGCGGGAAGAGCGTGGCAAGGAGTGACACGTCTAACGTTAATGACGAACCTTCTGATGTCCTTGTGAAGCTAAAGAAGGACACGGAAGAATCTTTTTTGAATGAGATGAGGGAGTTCGATAGTTTGTGGGCATCAAGGGGGGCGGAGGGAACGACGTGTTTTGAGGCCGACTTCAGGGGAGATGTATTCGGCATTAGATTAGATAGGTCCGTGTAAGAGCGCGAGGCGGACGTTAGAGAGCCATTGGAGTAGTTCCCATCTTTGGGGGACTGGGAAAAGTACCCTTCTTCGTCACTTGACGTCGAATATGACGATAAGGGGGAGTCTAAGGAAGTCGGCGACAGCGAGCTGTATGGAGCGCCGAATAGGGCCGAATACTGTCCGGCTTTTGATATGGGAGCGGGTGTTGACGATTTACGACATGAGTGGATGAGGTCGGGGAACGCAACGAGTTTTACGATCTTCAGACTCCAGATATCAATGTTCTCCTCGGAGAGACCTACGCAAGCGAGGTCGGGGTCTAGGACATCTATATCAACGTTTGTAGGCGAGTGTGACTTTTGACGTTGTAGCGACGGTCTAGTTCGCTCAGGCGACTGGCTTTTGGGAGATGTGCACGTCGACGAAGTTATGTCCATGCTACTGCGAGACTTGGTCAATATCGTAGTTGTGGACATGTCGACCATTGCATTGATGTCGTGAGATGTCGGTGACAATGTCCATGGATCCTGAGTAGCAGAGTACAGGTCAAATCCCGCCTGGGCGAGCAGACTCATCACCTCATGCAATCGGGATTCCTTAACCTAGCGAGGGGGGAGCAATTCAACATGAAGACGGTGCGAGTGTGCCTCGTAACGTACAAATATAAAATCGCTCATATACGAAGATTGGTACAGGATAGATATACCTGCAGCAGCTAGCGGTGCCGACAGCTCGTTCACCCTGGAACCGGCGTTCTCTTCGGACAGGGTAAATTGGGTGATTTGATAGAAGAACGGCGTGGGGCGTACCTAGCGCATCGCTATGCGAGTCAATCTGGAGAACATTCCACCTCTCGTACGACATCTCCACCGGTTCCACGAGGCTGCTGGAGCTGCTCTTCCTGCTCGCAGTGGAGCCTGAGCGTGCCCGCTGCCGCTGGCGGTCGCGACGAGCGAGCAACTCAAAGTCCTCGAGCATCTGGTGCTCTGCAAAGAGGCTGAGCTCTATTTCATTGCAGGTGATGTTCAGGAACGCAGGCTTCGGCTGGAGGATGAGGCGGAGGACTGGATGGGAGAGCTGGGTGAGGCGGGAGCGGGGGATGTGGACGAGCGAAAGAGAGACGGGGAGGAGGGAGATGGTGAACTGGGCTTGGGACTCGTAGAGGGGGTCCATTGGGTGAACAGTAGGAATTCCGTAGAATTATGGGCCCGAATATATATACCATTTATTAACTTAGCAGGTGTTAGTATAGCAGTATGCCCTGCCGATGATCTCTGATCTTGAATTCTTCAAAATTATCAATCTCCGCCTCAGTTGCCGGCCCGGACCGATCACCGGCACCCCGCCAGTTCCTCTTTGAATTTCCAACCGCCTCCATTTTATGCAGAAGAAAATCAAGCAGGCGTTCATTTTCCGCCAATACGCCGCATCGGCAGCCACCACCTTTCTACGACACGCCGAATTCAACGTCGCGCATGTCGCGCTGCAGCAGACCATATGCAACTTTTTAATGCTTTATCTAAATCCACGGACGACGGACTGCCTCCGGGCCAGTGCTCTGGGTAGAGTCATGATGACCGGGTTTGTATGACTTGCTTCTACACTCTTTGATCGATCGTTCGTCTATAATATTCCCAGTGCGCCATTGCAATTTCATTATGGCGAAAATATCACAGCTGATTAGCCATCGAGCACGTTCGCAGATCAGTGATAATATCGATGTTATGGTCTTCGGCCGCGAAACCAGGACTCCTGAGGAAGGGGTGTGAGGGAGCATGGCCTCCGTGAGGCAGGCAAATTTCTCTCCTGTTGCTGTGGGAAGACGTGTGGCCGATTCATGCTCCTTCGAACGTGCCCACAGATATGGTTCTCAGTTATTCCGTAGCATTCCAAGTTGTTCTGCAGGATCTCACACACCCTGGCTGGCCCGACACTAAAAAGAAAGGGGCGAAGGTGCTGTACATGTACACTTTATTTTAATGGCTAGGCACCAGCTGACGAACAGACTGCCTTCTTCCTCAGGAAGGCGTTGATTTCGTTTTCAAGAAGTTTCTCCGCGTGTTGTCTCTAATTGAAATGAACGAACCGCGTACTGCCCGCCTCCATGTAATACGTTGGATCTGGACATGCCGTCAACTTCCTAGCTTTCTAGCGATGGCGGGCGATGGGATTCAAGGTGGATAGCCTGGCCATGCTGCCCCAGTCTGTGATAACTCATACCCCGCATTCCCATGGCCTTCGAATTCCATGTCATTTTACTACCAGCAAATTCCAGCTCAGCACCTTTCTCTCACAACGTTATCGGCCCAACCCAATCCAAGGCAAGACGAATGCCGTCTAGGATCATTCAGCCTCTGCTGGACCCCTAATTATTCCATGCTGTTCGAGCTTCCATGCCCTGGAGGTAATTCCCTCTCCCGCTACCACAACTCCTTGGTCCTAGGCCGTAGTTGTCTCATACACCGGGGACGAACAATGTATTTCCGGAGAAGTGGAAGTACCATCCTATGACATATTCTCTCACACACGGGCGGTCTCAGAATCTCAGATAAGTACACCAGACCACGTCGACGATCTATCCCAGCTATACTCGAATTCCACGCACACAATGCACCAGGCGTCTTGCTCGTTTGCGTGCTCAAAGTCGGTATATACATAGCTCAAGCTATCCTTGGCTCGGCCAACCTCCCAACGCCCAACGGCATAATCCCGACATCGTGCCTCCGCTACCTTTGCCTGGAGAATTAGTTCGACAGCCAGGTCTAGGTGAGCCCTGCAAGAACTCCAGACGCTGTGATCGTTCCGCCGGAATGACGCACAACAACTTCCGCCGCCGAAACGGAATAAAATACACGTACGGCGTGCTTCTTCCCCTTCCCCATGACGGTATCTGGATTCTGGATCATATCAGAGAATCCGAGTCATTCATAGAGCCATCATAGTCGGACTCTGGCGAGGTGAGTGTTCTCCCATCTTCGCCATCCCAATAATAGACCATTTACCCGCGTGAGTATAGCCCGCCAGCACTAACGCCTACGGCAGCTTCGCAAGTGTGCTAGGTATTGATAAGATGCCTTCTTCGCCTGCGGAATCAGCGCATCTAGTACCTATTGCGACCATCGAGGCTTCCATGCGTACTTCCACAAGTTGCAAATCCCCACCGTACCGCCGCCTTCCGAGACGTTCCGTTGCTCAGCATTCACTAATTCATTACTCAGTGATCGGTGACTCTCCAGGCTCGAGATAGTTAGCTGGCGAAGGCACCCAACCCCCTAAGTTCTGGCCTGCCTGATCAGAACGATCTTTGTTCGCGCTGCCCCTCGCTCCTGCACGCCTGGATTCCTGCACTAAAATTTCTCTTGGAACCCACATGCATTTCTATGGCGTGGATTTCGCCGCTGTCCAGCCAGTTGGCATCGACGCGCCAGATAAAGGAACAGCTCTCGGATGGATCATCGCCCTCCTGTCGCGCTGCGGCCAAGCGGACGGTTTCGAAGGGTTTCGAACGCGGCCGAGATATCCTGACCATAAGTGACTGGCGACCTGGAGTACCTCGTTTATCTATCTAGAAAATCATCAGGAAACTCAGCAGGAATTTTGGTTCCGCGGAAGTACCGAGGATAGTGCTATGTGACGGCAGCTTCGCGAGGAAGCCAGGGATCGATACAACGCGTCGTGGGCTAGAACTCGTTCAACGGATCGACTCGGCCTCACAAAGCAGATGTTACGAAGGGTACACGGATCGTTTATTTCAGATGAAGAGTTACTATGTAGTTGCTTTGTATACATCGGCTGCGAATGCCGCACGGGTCGCGTTATGCTATGAATTACTTGCCATCAGCGGTATCAGCAGGTGCACAGGTGAGGTCATGCTGCCTCAATAGCCCCCGCATCGTCGTCCCTGGCGTTCAAATCATTCACTTCTTCTGGGCTTTGGATCTGGATCATTGTTGAACGTGAACGTTGAGCGAGTTGAATTCTTATTCCCTTGAATCCGAATGGCCGAATGGCTCGTTTCGCATTCGTTCATTCGTTGCTGCGAACGTACTTCGATCGTGATGTCATGCTTCATGTCGGTGGCTTTACGCACACGCTCTGGATATAACCTGAGACTCAGCCTGATCGTTATGCCAGCATAGTCTATGTTTGTGGGCCAACGTGCCTCGGAAATGGGCACATGTGTATGTCAAAGGAAGCCACTTGTATATGGTGTACATCAAGGTTTACACCTGCTTTGGATGGAAATGAGACTGAGAGTGAGAGAGTACAAATGCGTAGTACGTATACACTTGCTACGAGGCGGAGAATGTGAATGTGATCGAACGGCGACGAGCTACAATTACACGAGCGATTGAGTAACTTTCGTGTCGTCTTTAACTTTAAGGTTACTACTGCAAAACAGTTATGTGCGCACGGCCGTGAGTAAAGAACAAGAACAACATGGAAGTGAGGGGATGAGGCCAGAATAAAGATACAAGCCAATGAAAGGTTGGGGAACGAATGCAAATGCAAATGCTTGATCCAGCGGGGGCGATTGAATATGCTTATGTACTTAGAGAAGAGCGGTGGAAGTTGAAGGAAGGAAGGAATGGGTGCAAGAAGAATGAGCGAAGGGGTAAAGATAGACGCGTTGCCCACGAATGGTATATGCCACCTATGCCATCTGAGGAGGCTAGACACCGTGAAGGTGATAATTTATGATCATCTGACGGGTGTTGCTTTTGTTGACCTGCGCACGGCGACTGGTCGAGGGGAATTATGCCCATTGCGTGGTTTGGCTTTAGCATGCGCTGATTGCACCGTGGCAATTGGGGGATGCGGTGGATGAGTTGCGTGTGGTGGTGTGACTGTGGGCTGCGGGGGGAGCCGTCGTACACGTGAACTCGGGCGGGTTGAGGCGGTTGATATTGGGGAGGGGGGTGCTGGGCGTTTGCGGAGGTAGTAGCGCGGCGAGGCAATGTCTGGCAAGGGCTCCGAGGGTGGGGTTTGATGTGTTGCATCTTGAGGCGTGGTTTGCGGTGGTGCGTCAGGTGCAGCAGGCGAAGATGGAGCAGCGGGAGTAGTACTGGAAGGGGGGATCAAAGGAAGGGATCCCGGGGGTGATGACAGCGGGGAAGAGAAGTTCGAGCCAACTTCTGTAGGCACGAGAGATGCTTTGCGTTGTAACTGTTCTGGTGTTTCGTCGGGGTCGCGAAAACCCAGGTCAGCGTACGACAGTAGCTCTGGCTCAGTGTTGGGTTCCAGCTGCGAAGCAGGCACCGCGCTCGTGTCCTCAACGTCCCATTGCAGAGACCCATTCGGCGTGACTGTCGGCGTGCGGATGTACGGCTCGGACGCCTGTGACTCGTAGTACGATAGCGGGGGCTGCGAGCTGGACGGCGCGGAGTAGTCACTCTGCTGCGACGAGCTCACCAAGCCAAGCGACGCCTCCACATTCAGCGCCCTCAGATCAGCGTATGCCGGCTGGCGGACGTGTCGGGGGTAAGGGGGGATGATCCGCTGCACAGAGCGCTGTTCTGATGGCCCACCAAGGACATCTGGGTCGGTGGGCAGGCGACTCGGCTGTATTTGGCGGGGGACATATGCGCGGATAGGGGGCAGGGTGCTCTCATACGCAAAGTCTCTGACTTTGATGCCCAGTTTGGCGAGTTGCTCAGGCGTCGGCTGATCGAACTTTTGGGCTTGCCTGCGCGACCTAGCTGGTGTCGCCGTCGCCGTTGACGGCGATGCTGGCAGCAGTATTTGGGCAGTTTCAGGGCTTTTCATCTTCTGGGAATCTTGAGGACGTGTTGCGTTCATATGCACTTTCTGACTCACTATTGACGGTGGCGTTGGCTCTGGTGGGTTCATGGCCAAGCTTGAAGGGGATTTACAGGGTATTCGGATACGGGATATGGTACACGGAGGAGCACTGCTTGTAAAAGTTACAGTTCAAAATTGATGATGGCTGTCGAATTCTGCATTGGTCCGAGATTTGGACGAGTCCAACCGTGTCTGACTCCGACCACTCATTGTCTCAACAAAGCCACGTGGTTATCTCCGCCTCCGCGCCGACGGGATCTCGGAGGTGTGGGAAAGTCTCCTACTGTCGAGGACATCGTCACAAGCTCAAGAGTAGGCGCGTTCGCGGCGGGTCAAGAATCTTGGAAGACGACGCACACGACGTCGGGACAGCTTGAGCGCGACACACCACTACACTAGGAAAAATCAGTGTCAAGTATCCGTATAATTGAGCGGATTTTGTTTCCTCTACCCAGGTGAGCCCAGCCGTAATCTCTTTCTTTCGTACCACTACCATGTATGATACAGACACACGTCGTTGGCTATGCTACGGAATGCTTGGAAGCCCATAGCTGCTACAGGCGTAGTGGGCGCATCGGGATACGCCTTTTACAGATACTATTACACCAGGAACCAGACTTTCGAGTTGCCCGTCAAATCTAAAGGCGAAGACGGCAAAGTCGTGATGACAAACAAGACTCTGCGCTTGCTGCCCATGTCGGAGGTCGACGCACGCGTGCGAGAACATGCATCCGAGGAAGCGAGGCCAAGACCCGGCGGGATTGTCTGGAAGCACACGACGGCGACACTGGCATCGAATGACCCCATAGAAGACGCTAATGCGTCGCAAGTTATTGCTAGAGATCAAGAGGATCCATCTGGACCCGGAGACTGGCTTTTCTATACTGTTATGGATGGCCATGGAGGATATGAAACCTCAAAACTGCTTTCGCGCGTTTTGATTAACGCTGTCGCGCTGGAGCTTTCGTCGCTCATTCCAAAACAAAAGAATTCTGCTCAATCTAGTTATCTAAGAAGTATGTGGTCAACATCATCTCCAACGACCCCGGCCGTTTCGTCGGACTCGAACCCAAGCGTGGTTTCAGAGGCAATTCAGAATGCCTTCAAGAAACTGGACAATGAACTTATCAATGCACCGTTAAGAGTGCTGGCCAACAATATGGACGGTCAATCATTCAAGGACAAGAAGATACCAGATCTCAGTCAGCACCCCATGGCTTTGCAGACGATGCTTCCCGCTATCTCTGGTTCGTCGTAATCCATGCGAGTGTTTATCGTGTTCACGAACATTGTCTAGGCAGCTGTGCCTTAATGGCTCTCTTCGATACGGCTCACCGCAATCTTTACGTCGCGTGCACAGGTGATAGCAGAGCAGTCGCTGGTGTATGGGAGCCAACAGACGATGGCAAGGGAACGTGGCGAATCGAAGTACTGAGCGAAGACCAGACCGGAAGAAACCCCTCCGAGATCCAAAGGTATCTACTTCGTTTGCAGGCGCATATATGCCACTAACTCATACTTCTATAGAGTTCAAGCGGAGCACCCCGGAGAACAAGTTGTGCGTGAGGGTCGGATCCTCGGTGGACTTGAGCCCTCCCGAGCGTTTGGCGACGCTCGCTACAAATGGCCTCGAGAAGTTCAAGAAGTGTACGTTAGTTCTCTTCCCTTGTCACCGTAGCTAATAGACCGTCGGTCAGCCTAAGCGAGGCTTTTCTTGCTGGTAACGGCCGCTCAATGCGGCCGCCCCCCTCCTCTTTCAAAACCCCACCTTATGTTACCGCACAACCTGTTGTGAAGCATCACAAACTCTCGTTGCCGCCCCTGGATCAGTCTTCCTCACCTTCTACTTCCCCCGCTTTGCGTTTCCTGGTTCTCGCCACGGACGGGCTGTGGGACCAATTATCCAATGACGACGTCGTCAAGCTCGTTGGCGGGCATCTAGCTGGCGTCAAAGGCAGAGTCTCGAAATCGGAGCTATCATCTAGAGTACCGACTTCCACCGGCTCCCTGGGCGTCGAGGGAAAGAACAAGAAGAACAAAGATGGCGAAGGTTCATGGGCGTTCGTTGACGATAACCTCAGCACGCATCTGATTCGTAACGCATTTGGAGGGGGTGATGAAGGCAAATTACGTTGGCTTCTAAGTATACCTGCCCCTTACTCAAGACGCTACCGTGACGATATAACTGTAACTGTCGTTTGGTGGGAAGACGGCCGCGAGCAGAACGCACAAACTGCTTCTTTCACTGCCGACAAGCCTAAGGCCAAACTATAGGAGTTTGATATTAATACCATATATTATTCCCTGGTACAACTGTCATCGCCGTTGAAATGCTTCTTTTGGGGCATCCCAACACTCGGCATGGTTCTGAAGTAGACATGTTCGGTCGCCTTCGACGGTACAACTAAACTTGCTGTGTTACCTTTGGTGAAACGACGCATTATTGCCGTGTTGGTCAGCCAACACAACTTATCTACATACTCTGTATCGAGCTTTCTAATGTTATCATTGATTCGACTACTACAGGTTTTACAGTTCGAGTGGTTAGAAGATTGGGCGCGAAGCAAGTTAATGTTGTTGCAAAATAAGTATATCACCGAATCATCAAGTCCATATGTCCGTTCAGAGGATCAACCTCCTCATGGAGCTCTATGTCTACTTTTGTACTTGTTCTTGACCATACCACTGTAGGGGTCCAAGCCTCTGGGCATCTTCCAAGGTGTGCGGTTGGAAGGAGATTCGAGAGGTATTTTAGTAGTCGCATACTTCTTGACGTCGGAGGGGGTGGAGTCGCTCGCTGTGTCAGGGGATTTCCGCTTTTTGCTGTTAGTTGAACTCCCATAAAAACTGATCGCTGAGATGGTTTTGGAGGACACGGGTGTTGGGGCTTGGACGGGGGAGGAGGGTCGTTCAGATAGCGGTGACGAGGGAGGAACGGGGCGTGATTCGTTTCCAGTCGTGGGGTGGACACCAGAATCGCTGTCGTCGGAGCCGTAGGCGGCGAGGCTGTTAAGGCTGTTGGATTTCGATGCGAGTCGAATGCGTTGCTTCACTTTGGAAGCCTGTGGGTCGGGACTGGAAGGTGGCATTGTTTTCGAAGGCGTCTTTACAGGTGATGAAGACACATCTTTCATCGGTGAAAGAAGTAGGGGGCCAATGAACGGTTTGTCGACCTTAACGCCAGTGTCCTCGTCCGCCATAGTCACGTCCTCATTTTCATCCACCCGTCTCTTCTTCATCGACGCTGCAAGACCCGACTTCGTCACCAGATGTCCATTGGATGTAGAATTGACAGCAGCCTCGAGTCCCTCGCCCTTGTTCTGAAGGTAGAATAGCATATATGCATTCTTTATGTTCAGGGGCGTCCCTCTCGCCATGGACACCGACTCGTCGTTCATTTCAAACCAGCGTCCCTCCTTGCTTTTGACGAAGGCGTAGTAGTGGCCGGAGTTGGGACCACCACCCGCATGACAAATGACGCCGTAAAGCGAATACGATGGGCCGTATTTGCCCTCGCTCATGACCTGTTGAAGAGAGACCCGTTCATCATATGCGACATGATTGACAATCTTTCGACCCAGCGGTGAAAAACGCTTCAAGTGCACCGTTAGAACGCGAGGAGCTTCATCGATGGTGAATTGTTTCTGGGCGTTGACAGGCTTTTTGCATCTGTTGGAGACAGTCAACAAAGTGCTTGAAAGAAAAGCAAAATCATTACTTTTCGCATTTATACTTATCCGCACCCTTCAGATGGTCAATGGCACCGAATTTGCGTAGGGCATCTTTCAGTGAGCTCGTGTTGTGGATGTCCAAGCTCAAATCCAGGATGCTGTCGAAGGTGTCGCTATTGTGTTGGCAAGACCCGCATGTTACTCTTGAACGTAACCTGCCGCCGAAGATCTTATGCACCCATGTTGTCTCCGCTGTTTCGTGGTCTGGTTTGCTGGAAGCCTACATGAGCTGGGCGCAGGCTATGGTGCGGAGCCGAACTCACGTAGGAAACCCAGCTAAGCAAGTCTTCTGGAACGCATCAATGGCATAACGCAAGAACTCGTGCGAATCCTCTTGCCTCCCCTTTTTCATGTGCTTGGCTATGTCTGCGGTAGCGCGTCGGTATGCGGAAGTTGAGCAAGATGTGGATACTAACGTTTCAAGTTGATCCCGATCTCCGAGGGCATGAAAGCGTTCTTGCCTCCGTGTGACTTCACGACCACAGATCGGAAAGCGCAAGTCATACAGAAGTCCTCTTTGACGCGGCCTGTAAAGACGTAAGTTACAGCGCAGCATGCCCTTGCCGTTGTACTTACATTCGTTCTTCAAGTGGTTGAGAGTCACTTGGAGCAATGGCGCAGTGTGAAGCAATATCTGCAGAGCACTATTCAGGAAACAAGAGTTCCCTGAGTTGTGCAGCCCTTTGCCTAGAGAACAGTTCCCTGGCCACGACATATCTATTGGATGGAGCCACAGTGAGACCGAGGCGCGCTTCTTGCGAGAAGACGATGGTGTAGAAGTAACTGGCGCAGATGTAGAGGCCTTAGGAACATCCTGGCGCTACATATGCTGTCCATCAGGAGCCATACAGCTTCGCTAGAGCGCCACGAACCTCAGGTTTAGTAGGTTTGACCCCATTCACGGCCGGGGGCGCATTGATGGGCTCATATTTGCCTTCTGGCACGGCTAGGGCGCCAGACGAAGATCCCTCTACGAATTCAATCGCAGGGGGTAGCAGTTTGTTGAAGGCCTCCAGGTCCTTCGTTGGTCGGTATTGCACGTCCTCAGAATCCAGCTTCGGAGAAAACTGTGGGGGCGCTTGGTAGAGGGGCGTTGCTAGCATTCCAGAACGCGAGAGGCGACGAGCAGGAGGGCAATACCTGGGTACGAGGAGGAGGCAGGATATCTGGAGTGGGCGTCTAACAAGCAGTGTGATGTGATGAGGAGGGGGAGATTATATGGTGGCAATAGTAAATCACTAAGTCAGAAGCGCCGGAAAAATTCAGCCGTTGATTTATTTGCACTTGCTTTGGCTTCGCCCTGTCGCGTCAAAGCACCAACAAGATCATCAGGAAGGGGTATATAGGAGTTCGGCGAGTTATTATTGATACATGGCAGGTATGAATACAACATAAACGAATGAGGATGTGCGAAAGTCCAGGTCACAAGGGCAGAGCTGTACAATATAATAAATAAGCGACGCGGTCAGACAGTGCTGAATAGACTTCGGTAGAGTTCTTCATCGACGGCGTCGTAGTTCTGAGGGGGAAGGAGGTTTTGTTGGTACTCGGGAAACAGTACCTTCCCGCCTATGCCACCACCGAACAAGCCCAGCGTAGGCAGAGAGTGGTCTGGCGTGAATTGTGGTGTCGACAGAAGGGATGCGGCCGAAGGTGGCGTTGATGCAGGGGTTGATGAAGTCGAAGCAGAGAGCTCGGGTGTCTCTGGATATGCCGGCATGTGATAGCCTTGTGGTGGTGGCGGCGGAGTGCTAGGCCTGTAGTCGTTCGTCGCTGATGAAGATGATGCAACGGCGGGGAGAGAGGCTAGTTGCATAGCAGGCGTTACTTGAGAAGACCCAGGCATGAGCTCCATTTCAAGGAGGCCGTCCATGCTGAGGTCAGGGAAGGCAGGCGCCTCCGCGAGTGTTTGCCTGTACTGCCCCAAAACATCGTCTACAAGATGGAACTGGTAAGCCATCTGGTTCGGTTCCATTCGTTGCGGCCTTTGCATAAAGTATGGATAGTGCATCTGATATGGGAAGTCGTTTAGCATGCTCTGAAGTGGCTGTGGGGCTGTGCAATCTGCATCAGTGAAGGCGTCGCCAGGAATCAGAACAAGGTCGTGCTCACCAAAAGGAGGTGCCAAGGCTGGAGGAGAAATCGGTTGTTGAGACTGTGTATTGGCGGGTGGCTGGATGAACTCCCTGACGCCAATGTGTCCGCCGAACAGAGCCGTAGTTTTGCGTCCTGGCGTGTCTGCTTGGAAACAGCTGTCTATGAGCTCCTTCGGAGCTTCGATATCATGGCTTTTGATGTGCTTTGCAAACGCGGATCGCCGCTTTATTCTAATATTGACACCATTAGGATCAGTGCGGACAACTATCGAGGGACACTCACGAAGAAGTGCAGCCGTCGATCGGGCATACAAATACACCCCTGACGCGATGAACTTCATTGCAGTGGCGCGTACGCGACGATGGATCTCCAAATCGCGACGAGCAGCCGACAATCCTGCACGCATAGGGCCTCTCTCCCGTGCTGAAAGAGCTTATGGTCAATAACACGAATATAGCAATGCGAGCGAGGGTACTTACTGTGTGTTTAAATGGGTCTTGAGCCCCGAAGCTTGCGAGAAAGCCTTCTGACAATGCTCGCACTTATGTGGCCTATTTATTGTACATGGTGTCAGAGAGAATTCAGCCGTAACGCAGAAACATACAAACTGACCTGTGGTTGGTGTGAAGCTGGATGTGACGGTTGAGGTCTCCTTTACGCTTGAAGGGTCGCTTGCAACGCGGGCAGTCGAACTGGACGGCCAAGGTCAATGGAACGCCCAAACGCGAAAGCAAGTTAACTCACAAAGTCGGTTGAGGCCATTATAACGGTGAATGCGAAGACGTGTAATTAAGAATAATGTAAAATCTGTTGACGTTGAGGAGTGTGGAGATTGCGCTGCAATCGTGTTAGAGGCGGAAGGATCGTATGTGTCGTTGGACCGTCGTATCGAACGCGAATCGTAAAGAATGTCGAGGTGTTTAGTCAATAAAGCAGCCGTGGCCCGAACCCAAATCACCACCGAAACCGGAACGAGAGGGGGGACGAAAAGAGAGAGAGAAACGGGAAGGAACAGACGAAAAGAGCAACTGAACAAGTGGTCTCTGACCCCTTATATACCCAGTCCCTGAATCCGAGCGTTTGTGTCGAGGGACTCATTGCACAACTATTAAGACAAAGGCGCTTTATGAGTTCCGTTCTCCGAGATTCACTGTACAGATAAAGAGACGAGGTTAGCGCTGGACTTATCCCACTAGAGACTGCAATTGAACAATTGCTTTGTTATGCCGTCGATCTATATGACAGGATGTGCCAAAAGACTCCTATGTTGGGCTCGAGGCAGAATGGTAGACGTGTACTAAAACCATTTGTTTCCATTACAGGGAATGGGCTTTCATCTGAATATCGAGGAGGTTCCTATCGTCGAGAATGCCTGGATATCAAGGGTTCTATCAGTAGGAGTTATGCTCAAACGGTAGTCATTAGTGATGCATTCCAACTGATGTGATGACATACCGGATGTGAAGGGTCTCAGTTGACAAAGGCCCGCACTAGAGCTTGAATTTGCACGTGGCCGACGACAATATCACCTCCGCGAAGGTTTGTGGATGAGTGCAGGATAGAGACTTTCAGCTCAAAGGCAACTTGGAGCGCTTAGAGAATCCGCTATGCTGCTTTGTAGCTGCGCAGCGTGCTCGCGGCTTGCAAAAGGGAAGTAAAGTGAACTGTCACAATCTCGATTTACAGGCTTCAACACACGAAAAGACTAGGGAAATTATACCGTTTCAATGACCAAGCCCTGCGCCAGATATTTTATTCGTAATCCTCTCTTCCATCCATGGTGCAACGACGGCTAAGTCTGACCAGGTGAACGACCCATAATTCGATCGACCGGGCCCTACGGCGAGATCGAGGTCTTGTAGTGGGGGCCAGTCGCTAGAAACATCGTGGGTATGAGGACCCAGAAGCTGCGCTACAATCCTAGCACATAGTAAGAAGGATCAGACGGTGCGTAGACTATGCAAGGAGATGTGCCGTACATCATTCCACCAACCCACTGCAACCCTTCTTCCTCCACTTCTCCCGAGCCTAGCCAACGTTTATCACCGCCACCAGGTGTATAAAACGGGTAGTTCGCATGCGATGGATTGGGACGCGGGTGAGCTAATCGAGTATAGGGTCCAGAAGGCGAAACGGGATTCATCGAAGCTTGCAACAACCAGTTAATTCAGTCTACTTTCAATCCACTCGGCTGTGCTCACCATTCAGTTCTTGCATAGGGTATACGCCGTGATCGTCGACTGCAGGCGCGGATTGAGGGTCATTCCCTGTACATCCTTGCATATCTATTCCAGGTGGGTGTAGGAAACAGTGCGCGTTTTTATTTACATTTCGCTGCGCACGCGGGCGGGTCAGTGTGCCGAATGCAAGAATGCGCACGTCCGCAATCTCGAGGACCAGCTGCGGCAGATATCAGAGAGAAGAATAGTGCAGATAGTGTATATTTTACCCTAATACGAGTCTCAAGATGAGCCAAGTTATTCTGCAGCCTAAAGACAAGCTTTAGCCGCCGTCAGATTACAAGGGTCAGACAAGCGTACTTCAATTCATTGAACATGGCCAACGGATTGAAATTTCTTGAGGAATTCTCTAGCTCGTTCGCCGAGCCATTTCGGTTGAGTACTATGTACCTAAACCATGCATGAGTCATACTGTTCTTTGCAGTCAATCATGTTTATGACTTTGTCCAAGCCTCATCACTCGTGCACGACACAGAGCTTCGATGCTGAACTCGATGAAGCATCCTAGAGCAATCAAATGGTCAGCCAACAACATACGCGGCGCACAACACCAGCGTACTTGAGGAATGCCTCCCTCCAATTCCCATCGTTCTTCCACCTCCTCCAGCCGGGTAGAAACCTCCGCTTGAAGCATTCCTCCCATTCTCGGTCACTCATATTAGGTATGACTGCGTGGTATAGCAAATATCCCGGGTTCGCAATGCTTAATATCTCTACCCAATTCTGTCTGGGCACGACGGACCTGACTCCCAGCGTCCTCAAAGGGGTCTCATACAACATGGTGGATATCGTCGACGTATACGACCTCGGGCGCGATGTGCTTGGGGATATGGCATCCGTCGAAGAAGAATGCGGTAGGCAACGTAGAGTTCGCAAAATTGGCCTACGCCAGGGGTTTATTGATGCGTCTGAAGCGATGGTGTGCAAGCGCCTCGAAAGATATGCCAGTTTCACAAGGGATTCGAGATCAAGCTCGCCGAGAATGTCAGCGATGAGCTCGACGGGCAGAGATTCAAAGGTCTTGCTCATGGTGTGGTGTCTAGCAAAGACGTGTGAAGCCAACCTAACGTGGATACGGCACGCAATAGGGGTCAACAGGAGTAAACAGGGGTATCCATCTTGTGTGAGAGTCGCCCAAAAATACAGGTCATCGGAAATTCTATTTATCTATGTCAAAATAGTCCAAGATAACCGGTCTTGGGTAATGCAAGTTCATATATGCTACGATGGTATGTATTGTTATAACGTCAATCGTGTTAAGTCATCATAAACGGTGAGTAAATGCTGTTGCTATAAGGTAAGGGAGCGTGCACACGGGTATGCCCGTGCATGTCCGTAAAGGCATTTAACATCAGTCCAGCAGCCAAGCGGCGCAGAAAGCGGCGCGTTAGTCATGGCTGGGGAAGGGGTGGTCAAGAGAGTTAAAAAGCTCATCAGCATTGTCCTGCGAATGAGTTCTTTGGCCAAGGCTGCTGGTAGTCTCCGGTCCACGTCGTCAAATTTGGATTCGTATACGCTTCGATGTATCTAGAGGGGAATTAACGACTCGCTTTAACGCTTGTTTGAAAGATAGCACTCACCGGTTGATATAGGCTTCTGTTGGGAAATCGCGGGGAGAGCATCCAATATTGATCGCATCCTTCGGTTGATATACTCTGATGTAGTCGACGCGCATGTGAACCGGAAATGTTAGATGAGCAACGTCGACTACTCCAAAGTTCTCCGACATCCCGAGATTGACCAGTATGTACTAATTTGTGGAGACGAAAGTTAGACGAGCAACTAGACAATTATATGCGCACCATAGGCTCTTGAGGTACAGGCCGTGCAGATATTTCCACCGCCGGATCAGGTCCTAGGCCTTGCACATTCAGAGTCCAGGACATTTTATTGTTCGAGACCCAAAGAATGTACTAATCAGAGAATTAGTCAGTCGCTAGAATCAAGTGGCATGTTTGATACATACTGCATCATCAAAGCCTGATGGATGTAGTAGACGGAAATCAGCGCGATGCGTCGCTGAATAAATCAACACAAATAGCTACCAGGTTTGTACTACACCGAAAGTCGACGTAAGGAACCAGGTAGGTAAAGCTCCAAAACGGGGCGCTCACCTCAAACGCATAAATTGAGAAACACCCCTGCTCTAGTTCGTAACAATTTGGGTCCGTCTTTGTGACAACGGAGGTAGCCTGTTGTGTGATGCTTCCAGTGAAAGAGTTTTGCCTTGTTATGGAATGATCGCCAAATATCATGTTTTTTGAGTCGTTCTTCCAGACATATCCGGCATTGAATGGCTGCATACGGATATACGCTATGAGTGTCAATGATAGCATCGAGGACAATACACTCACGGCCCATTGAGCAGACTGAGATACCTCGCCGCTTAGAGGTTGCCCACTCATCTAGGAATCCAGCGAGATTCAGCACAGCCGTGGAACTAGTGGATAACCAACCAACCTGGGCTTCAAATACGTCGATTTCTGGAGCTGACCGGCCAACATACGTTCCATCTTCGTGCTTTGGCCCAGGGTGGCTTTCTCCCTCGCAAGTACAGCGAGACAGCCGCTGACCGGGTAGGAAAGATAGAATATCGTTGTGGCCATGATCACCGTTGATAAGTGCCGCTTGAGGGAGACCGTCGCGAGTTTGGTTTGGCATGGTGCCAACATCACAAGCGTCATAGGTATACGGCCACTGCGGGCCAAGATTTAGCCACTGAGCGATAAGAACCTAAATCGCGACGCCTCTCACCAGTCCATCCAAGGTTGCTCCATATCCAGCTCTGCCGAGATTACCTAGTGTCAAAATAGCTTCAATATTAGAAGCTCCAAAGAACAATGTGCCCTTACCCATAGTCCAAACCTAGATGTCGTTTATTACATGTAAAGCCTTGAGTTAATTACCTAAATTATAGGGCAAGAAGATAAGGGGGTCTTCTCACCGCCGGCCAGAGACCCATTACGTTGCTGACCCCTGGGAGAGAAACCGAGGTCTCAATTAAACCCCCAGTGAAGCAAAATTTATTCCTGTGCAGTGTGAGCACGCGGATAAGCACGAACGGCAAGCGACACAAACCAAGTCGATATTAGACCTGTATGGCACAAATGAGGGAATTCAGCATGATGGATGGCGACTACTTACCACCCTGGTATTGTAAGTCGTGGTTGAGCAGTTCCGAGAACTTGATCATAAGGTAGCCATCTTTTGTGTAGACTGCTTCGGGATCATACCACTCCAGATTGTTAGTTGCCTGCAAGAGTTCCCATTTGGATGTTATCTCTTAGAAGTACGTGATAGCCCACGTACCCAATAATGAAGGTCAACAGCCTCCCAATATGGATCGTCGCCGGGGTAGAATGACCGTCCTTCGGTGTTAAATTCGTCACTGAAGACCAGACTCCATTCATCGCCTGGATTCCTCCATGAAGTATGTTTAAGTGCATCCCTCGGCGTGTCCTGGTCGATGAGCCCAAAGTTTCCCATAGCAGGAACCTGCCCTGTCGAGTTTATGCCTCCAATGTTGTAACCGTAGAATTTCGGACGGTGTTGCGCTACATATGCACCAACTGGGTATCCAATGCTTTACACGTTTGAATTAGCTCTGAGCAGAGTTGAGACCGTCCAGGAAGACTGTAGCACTCACAATAGGGCAACGAAGAACAAGCCGAGAAGTACTAAGCATCCCAGATTGAGAACCCCCCTCGAGCACGGGTCTTTGAATCTGTCCTCTGGCCTGTCCATCTTGGCGTCCGGATTATGTAGCGCGTCGTCCGGCTCCTCTAAGTGAGGTGATAAATCAAACCCCCATTCTCGTGGATCGGGCGACAGAGAGTATTGTTCGGAGAGCACGAGCGAGTTAAGCTTGGAGCTCGCACCAATGGAGCCTGCGCCTGCGGTGTACGGGGAGTCGGTCTGGCACGATGCCCAGCTGTGCCGCCTCGACGGTGTGAAGACCTCCTTGAAGCCGGGGAGGACGAGCTCTGACTTGAGGGGGGGATGCTCAGAGCTTGCAGGCGAGTCCATGATGGTGAAAAGAGAAGAGGGAATTCACATATAGACCTCATTTCGCCAGAGCTTTTTGCTTCCTCGCGTGTCTATATTTGGCAGCACATGTCCCAAACCTGTCCTTCCGAGGAAATCTACTTTGTCCCACGCTGCCAGCCTTACGTCGACCAGGATACGAGCTGATACGAGGGATCGGATTTCGTCATGATTTGTGCTGCAAACTAATTTTCCCAGATTCTTGAGAATGGAGCATTCAATCAGGACGACTCGGTCAATGGAAGAGGAGGCGACGGGCGCTTACGGACCCTGACTCAAACATCCACCATCCCTCCTGGTTCGCCATGTCGTCGAGGATGTCGAGGAAGTACTTTTGCGACTGCGCGCGCTTCTGCAAAAGAGGGAGAGATGTCAGCAGGGCCACGTTCTATGCGCACGCGCCGTTTAGGTTCAATCCTCTCGAAGACGAAGACCCATGCACCGAAGCAACGGATACTGGGACAGCGATTCTGGCCGAGGTTCTGAACGGTATACTGGACATTCCTAACAAAGCTGGCGAGATATATGCGGACGCACCGAGACTTATCACTGGAGGTCCTTGGGCCATCGATGGCGACGGCGAGCAGACTCAGTCCCCAAACCCCCTGCAGATTTACGGCACCAATGGGCCTGGGCACATTCTCCATCACAACCAGGGCGACGGACGATCCTCTTCTCCAGCTGGACAGATTCAGAGGCCCGGACGTGTGAATACTTCTCCACAAGTTCACCTGGTCGGAGGCGAGGATCATTCCGATGGCACTGTCGGAGACAAAGAAGACAACGCCAATCTAGCTCTAGATGATCATCGAAATAGAGGACACTTTCAAATAGGACAAAAGGCCACAAACAGCGGGACAAGCGACGCACCGGACTCCGCATGCAAGGTTAAGGACGCTTTAAAACACAGACACTATGAGGTGAGCAGATCCCTGTCCTGACGCAGCAACCCGTAACAAGGTGGGGCGGGAACCTAGTGCATACATCAAGCCCCAGATCCAGGAAAGGAAGGAAAAGGAAAAGAAAATACCTTCCCATCGCATATGCACTCGGTCTTCGACTCGTGTCCGCCGACGGACAATATATCAACCACGAATCCCCGCATACCGTGGATCGCCAATGCGTCCCATCGCTTACTGCTGCGTGCTAAGAACCGACCATATACAGACCTCTACAACGACTACCACCGACTTCACGGAGATTGGACTCATTTACAGGAAGAGAATACCCGACAACGAATTACGCTGAGCCACTACGAAACGGAGAGCGCAACGATCAAGTACGAAAACTTGAGGATGCAACTGGAGTTAGGTTGGCTGCGGAGCGAAGTGGCGAGATTGCAAGCGTCGCAAGCAGGTAGCTAGCTGAGCGGAGAGCATCATTGAATACAAAACATACATTCGAACATGCCTACAAGTGTTTTACACTCTCGATATTCCTCACGGAATGAGTTTGATTGTATCGGTGAGTTGGTCAATCAAGTCAACCAATCGGGTGGCCTCTTCTGCCGCCAATGTCACGTTCTGGTCGAGGGTCAATGCCTCCGTCAGTGCAGGCAACGTGGTAGCGCCGTATCCTGCGAAACAAGTAAGCGAAAGCACCATAAAAACGCGGCAGTTGACACATACCAAGCCATTTCCCTGGAGCGACAACAAGATGCTTGTACCACTCTCTGTCCTTGATACCCCCTTTAGATATGAACCCACGTTCGTACGCAATGAGCTTTTGGTTCACTTTGCCTACACGACGAGCGGCCTTAAGGAACTTCCAGATAGGGAAGTTAGGAGGGAATCGGGGAAGCATCTCGTGGGGCTGATCGGTCTCAAGCGCGAATTCTAACGCCTGGAGTTCCTCGTCGCTGGCTAAGAGGTGGTAGAATTCTTCTGGACGGGAAATTGAGGGGCCTTCTTGATGGCGTTCAGGGAGCTGCACCCCATAAATAAACTTGATCCAGGTCGCGATTCGGTTGAGGATGCTATTTCGGCGTTTGCAGCGGCTGTGAGTTTGCATTTGTTCGGGTAGGTTCTCGAGGATCTCGCGCAATTCCCTTTCGGCTTCGACTTTCTCTTCGTCCAGTTCCAAGCTAGCCCATTCAAGGTCGTTGATAGCATCTCTAAGCACGGCCAAATCGGGTGTCTTCACTCCTACGGAAAGCGCAACGTCCTCAACTCTGGATTCGTGTCAGTGAGAAAGAAGCTGAAAAGATGAGGATTGGCGTACCTGTCAACATAGTCGTACAGCTCCAAAGTGTACTGTGTGGTGTTCAGAGGCAGGATGATCGAGTTGGCGAAGCGCAGGGCCATGAGGCCCAAGTGTTGCGCTACTGCGGTCTAAAGGCGTCGTGTCAGAGACTCGCCGATAGCAACCCATTGCAGGCACTCACGTGTCGGGCAAAGTCTGGGTCTCCGTATGTCTCTTGCCAGTGCTGAGAGTCATAGATAGAGTGATAATGGTACACAGCATCAGATGAGGTGGGGCCAAAGCCTTGGTCAACACTGGAAACCTATTGAAGGAGATTCAATGATCCACTACAGATTTCGTCGTTCGAAGACGACTTACCCCAAGTCGTTGCAGAAAGACAGTGTAATCACTTCCACTTCCCAACGGACCCACCAGCGATGAAGTCTTTCTGCGTGGCTTCTTCCCAACCTCGTCCTCGGCATTCGACGAAGTGAAGTTTCCTGTAAATGGACCTACGTCTGATTGGGCATCCCACAAAGTCTTCCCAGGTTTAGTGGGATGAGGTACGTCCAGGGCAGCCTGTTTGATTAAGTGTGCGAGAGAGGGAGAAGCTGATGCACCCCATCGAGAACCAGCGACTGAGACGTCAACATTGATGTATGATACGACGTGTTTAGAGATCCATTGAGAGAAATCTTCGCCGAATTCTGTACTTCCAATAAGGCCGTACTGAAGAGATTACGTGTGCTGTCATGGCTAGAAGACAGACGGAATGGAAAGCAACACACCTCTTCTGCATCCCAGCTAGCGAATAGAACTGACGAAGAATGTGTTAGGGGAAGTAATAGAGTAGATAGAATGAAAAGACGTACTCGTACGAAGAGGTTTCCACCCGTGGTCCAGTAGTTCGCCAAACCCACGAATTACTTCGTGCAGGGAGACAGTGCCGCTGGTAGGATCCGCAGCGCCCATCACCCAAGCTATAGAACAAAGAAGAATGTGAGCTGGAGCAGCGATGCGCAGCTAAAGGCACTCGCCGTCGCGATGACAGCCTACTAAAATGACTTGGTCGCGTACGTGTCCGGGAATTGCAGCCATAGTATTCCAAATTGGTGTGACCTTCGTGTCGACTACAAGTTCTCATCCTTCAACTGGTTGGCCACAATAAGAGGGGACTTTTCGGACATACCATGGTTAACCAATTTCACGCTCGTGTTGCTAGACTTTCCGTTCAGATGAGCGTTCTCTGAGAATGCGCCATTGACATAGAGCCCATCGATTTCTTCGAGTAGCCTCTCCGCATTCTTCCATGAAATGGGAAGACTTGGAATCTTGGGTATATTCTCTCCTTCTGTTCGCTTGGCGTCTTTGTATGCTGGGTATCCAGGAGTGGTGGGATCTCCCGGGTAAAGGGAAAGATACTGTACTGAACCACGTTGAACAGACGTGGGGTTACGAGCAGGACCAGCAGGCCATGGGGCGTAGCCCTTCTCGACGCTGACATCACCGTCGTCGCGGGGATCACTGTAGATGAGCACGCCAGCTGCGCCGAGTTCCTGCGCTCCAAGGATCTACTAAGGAGTTAATTCTCATTCAGACGGTAGAAAGCTCGACGTACCTTCAAGCCCCGGAAAATAGCGCCATAACGGGCTATGACAATTTTGCCAGTAAAGTTGGTGCCCGCGGCGACCAACTCGTCGTAATCCTATGTGATAGATCAGAGCAGCACTTGGAAGCATGCTAACTTTCTTACTTCCTTCGTCCCATAGTTGGCATATATAAGCTGGCCCTCAGCTTCCCCGTCCTTTGAAAGCCCATGCCAGGTCGGGACATAGTCCTTGTACTTGTGTGCCTCGGGATCACCAGGGTCTCCGTCTTCAACCAAGTCGGCATTCCATGTTACGTCCCCATTCTCTCCAATGATTGACAGAGTCCTGTCCAGAGGAGTATTCATAACAGGGTAATACGTATCAATCCAAGCAGTAGGGCGCTTCGGGCCAAGGGGCGATGTCAACAACAGCGTTGAAGCCCGCGAAAGATACGACCCCGCGTCAAATATGGGGTCCTTCTTCGGCGCTGGGGCATGGAAGGCGTCCTGGAAGAGCTCGAGGATGACCTTTGCGTCCGCGAAGTCTTCCGTAGAGCCTGCTAGGTGCGGGTGCGTAGCGTATTCTCTGGATGCTTCCAGCGCGCTGTCTGCATTGGGGACGGACCTGAATACAAAGCTGTCAGTGCAGCCGTCGCCACGGACGTCGCACAATACTCACAGGTACAGCTGCTCGCTCTCTTCGTTGCTCAACGGCTTGCGACGGACATCATAATCGACTTCAGCCCACTGATCCGTCTGAAGTGCTGATTGCCTGTAGTACGACAGGAACCCGGCGATGGCGATCAAGAAGACGCCCAGACGCACGAAGCGTTTCCTCCTCCGTTGTTTGGTCCGTTGCCGCCAGTCCTCTTCGAACGCAGCAAACGAGGTCGCGCTGTCGAGAGCTGTGAGCTTCTCCGGGTCAACGATGGTCATGGTGGTGATGAAAGGCGAATGCCTCCGAGTGCGCAGTCGATAAGCAGCAACCGCGCGGACGTGAGATAAAACTCCATCAGACAGTATCGGCGCAATATATGGTGCAAGCCTTGTGATCGTGACTCTGCCCGTCCAGCGCCCACGCCAAAGACAACGTACGCCGAGTCAAAGTAGCTCAAAGTCTTAAGTTCGATTGGATGTACAGTATCGACGGTGACATTTATGACTAAAGAAGTATGTACGTTCTTTGAAGTCTGTGTACCTCGTATCTGTCTCAGATGTGGTACGCTTTGAACATCTGGGTCAATAGAAAGGTATACGTTTCATTTTGGTTCCGCCCCTCGACGCCTTTCGACTTGGGATCCCTCGCGCGATACGGTGGGAGCATTTAAACGTCCGATATTCGCAAGGTCAAGGAACCACGACGCTGATGTTGTCAAGTGGAGATTAAAGCGGGACCAGACAAGCGGAGAGCACCAAGCTCTTGCCCGCGTTGAGCTAGGGGGGCTGGCACTCGAGTTATTTGCTCTGTGACGGCAATTCTCTGCTGTAAGAACGATAGGGAACATCGAGGGAACATGGTGGTAAGAATGCAAAGAAGAGGTTGCATTAGACGCCTATATAAAGTCGCGTCTTGTCTTCAGCCACCTTACTAGGCTCTCTGGAACTACGACGCGATGTCGCTGCCTCAATCGCTGAGGACGTCTGTTATTCCTGAAGAACTCGAAATGATAGCTTCCCAAGAACTCGTCGAAGTGATCCCCCTCATTGCAATGGAGAAGACTGTCTTTATATCGGTATACTGGCCATAGATATCGGCGCGTCCTTCTCTCACCTGGGGCAATCCAGGGCGAATTTGGGCCGTTACGCCCGCCGATGAAAAGCAAAATACCGCTTTGGATGGCACTGAACCTGAAGCTGAAGAAGAAGTGCCATATAGTTGCCCCAGAGTGGCTGAATATCGGTAAGTTACTTGGGGAAACGGAGAACACCGTTCTTTATCCTCAATCAATCCGTAGACTATCTGCAGGATCGTCTGACCCGTGAGACGACCCTCCCCGAGTTCAGTGATCTACCGTTTCGCTTCGCGGAGATCTCGAGACTATTACTTGACGCGTAAGGGCACGGCCACCTCTTTCCTTGATGTTGTATTCAATGGCGTTTGCAGGGCCTCTGATGATATACCTAACTCGGATAAACTGCGACTGGTACTCAAGGATCTCCGAGAAGCCAGGCAAGCGAAGAGTAGGGAGGGTCTCCAGCAGCTCGACCACAGCGAACTCAGTTTGCCTAATCTGTGCTCCATGGAAATCAACGAGATTCGGCCGTTCTTCATTCGTTCGATGGGCATCTTTACACAGCTCCAGCGGACAACGCAACCGCAGGAATAATGATGTATTTGTAGATCTTGTTGTATTGTATACATACTGTCAACCATCGTCCATTTCCTCGTCGCCATCGTCTGATGGCCACCAAGCTGCAGGCCCAAGACCCTGCTCGCTCATGGAACACTTTTCGAAGCAGTTAGAATTGCTCAGCTGTTGGTCAGGAACTCACTATGATGCTATATGGTGATCGCCGTGGAATAGCTTGTACGGTGACGCCTTCAGTAGCCTTCGGAGGGCCAGGCTCGTCGTCGTAGAATTCATCCGATTCTACACGTACTCGGACTTGATCCCCTGCCTCAATATACATCCTCCTGTCCTCTTCTACGTCCAGAAGGTTAGGGGGGTCTTCCTCGTCCCCTGGCGGCACCCAGAAGTGCTGCCTTCGACTTATGTCACTACAATGGACAATAAGAATAGAAAGCAGGGAAGAAGCAGGAAACACACAATGCTGAAGGTGCTGGAAGGTACGCGGACGGCACGTAGACGTCGTCGAAGAACCCAAGTGTCACTACAAATGAATGAACGGGGTAATCAGTGTATTTTAGACGAACATACATCGCATCCCCTCTGCATCAACTGACTTGACCTTTGCGAGGATAATTTCAGAGGGAAACGGACGGAATACAACCATCCGAAAGATAACTATAGACGCTCCTGGCAGTAGGTATGATAGAGAATAAATGTAATCACCTTTGTACCATAGAAAGCCGTCACCATACCGTACCTTCCCCTCCCCGGCCTCTGTGATATCGAAGGTGCACACGCACAGTCCTACGCCGTGCAAGACGCGATTGGCGTATTTTTTGTTGAGCTCTGCGATGAGTGCCTGTTCTGGGGGAAGCCCAAAATCTGACGGATGTATGGGTATAGTATCCTGCAGTATACGTTAGATTCAGGACATCGTCTCAGCCAGTAAATCACCTTCAAGATAGTTATTTCGAACATTATGGACGGAAGATAGTCTGAAATCTCGGTAACGTGCCATTAAGGAGATCCATCACGTGACAGAACGCGCTCTGTCCTGCCACAACGAGCACGACGGTTGAACCACAACCGTCTTCGTGAGTAGCTGCAATTGTTGCCGCCGCACAAACTCACCAGAAATTCAGTACAGCCTATCATTTCCGTCACTATACCAAGTTCCTGGGCAGCGCTAGCGCTGCTGGTTGTCCTGATCTACATGCTTGGAGCACGAACGAAACAAGTTGTATCGTATGGAAGGCGCAACCAGCGGATCGTGCCCACCGATGACAAAGATAGGAAACACGCGAGCATATTTGACGATCTACCACCTCCGCAATGGGCGCCCGTGGTTTCCAAGATGAGGAAACGAGAGGAGCCGCCTGTGAAGCCCGCTTCCCCGAAGTTTGTGGTCATGAAGCGGAAGAAGAGATTATCACCAATCTTATCACCGCCAAATGTGAAGAAACGGGCGAGGGCAGCTCAGCTTAGGTTCGAGGAATGTGCGCCGAAGGAACCTTCCCCGGCGAAGAAGCTAATCCACGCGAGTCCTGCGACGAAGAAGGCGACCCTCAGAGCTCCTCTATCGCCATATCCCATAAATCTAATTAACTCGCCGGTGAAGCCCGCTAAATCGACCAGAAAATCTATGGCCCATACGGCCCTAGGTAAACCCCTTGCTCTCACAAGTCCAGCTCCTCCATGCGTAGACATAAATATTACTGTCCTTGACAAAGAAGGCAAGACTGTAAGCAAGGAGCGCAGGGTCTCCGGATCGAACGCTGCCGTGATTCCCCTGGGCACCAAAGCCAACACGCGACCAAAGGAGGATACCTCGAGTCAACGCAGAAGTAGAGCGCAGAAACCCCGCCCCGCCCCAGAGCGAAGCCCACCGGTTATGAGCTGGCTGGTAAGTGATAGTGAGGCAGATAGTCCTGCACAGAAATCCAAGCCAGCTCCAAGACCGACTCTCCCAGTTGTTAGTTGGCTGGCAAGCGATAGCGAGGCCGATAGTCCTATTACCGTACCCAAGACCCGAACCCGCCGAGTCAAGGTTGCCCGCATCATTTCGGAGGATGAAGCATCCTCATCGTCGTCCAATGAGGTTGTCCCGTTTGACGACGGGATTCCGGAGTTTCATGACCCTCCTCCGGTCGATGCCTCTCGAAGGGACTCAAATCACCCAACGGAGACAGTCCTGCCATTTCGGCCATACGGCACCAAATTCACCACTCCCTCTTCTCCCCCTTCCCGTAGTCTCCCTTCGTACAACCCATCGCCGATTCTCAAGCCACGTCCTTTGACGCCAATACGGAAGAAACATGGATTCCGATTCCACGAGCCTCCGTCTCCACCCTCTCCATGCGAGCTTAGCGACTTCGATCTCTCTGCTGAATTCGCTAGCCTGGACATTGGCGATGGAACAGATCCGTCAATGCAAACTGAACCACCCCGCCCGGAATACCCGGAATATTTGATGCCACTACTTCGTGAATGCCAACAGGAAAATACAGGACCGTACGAGTTCTCCGCTTTTATCGAGGCCTTCCCTATGGATCCCGTCGTTCGGACTAAGACATCAGAAGTCAAATTCAAGAAAATCGGTGAAGCTAGCTTTTCGGAAGTCTTTGGAATAGGCGATGTAGTGCTGAAGATCATCCCACTACGCGATGAACGCGCTGTTCTGAGTGAGGGAGCCGACGATGTCGATGGTCCACCGCCCAGTGACGCGAATGATGTTCTGAAGGAGATGATTGTGACCCGCGCGATGGGTTCAGTTAGTGAAGGGTTTGTAGAACTTCTGAAGACCTATATTGTCAGAGGCAGGTATCCTGAACTACTGCTTGACTTATGGGATGAATATCTCGAGCAGAATGGCTCAGAAAGTGTGAGACCAGGTACGGCGACTCGATCTGCCTTGGATCAGGCTATCAGAACTGACCCAAGGGAAATCAGATACGTTCATGGTTTCCCAAGTCTATGCTATCATCGTTCTACCGAATGGCGGCCCCGACTTAGAGGCTTATACGTTTACAACACCCACGAAAACAGGATGGCGACAAGCTTCCAGTGTATTCTGGCAAGTTGCGAAAACATTATCGCACGCTGAGCAACTTGTTTCCTTCGAGGTATGCACAATTAGAATGTATAGCGCTGTCCGATTTTGACAAGCAGAGTAGCACCGTGATCTCCATTGGGGACAGATTTTGGTGAAGAATACGTGTACTGCGCCGTACGCTCTTCCCCTTGGCACACGGAATCAGAACCAGAAACATGTTGGTCCAAAGATGAAGATGGACGACCAGCAGCATGGGGTCAAGGTCACGCTCATTGATCTGGGGCTGTCCAGGATGGACGCGGGTGATGGAGCTGGTGGAGAGTTAGTGCACTGGACCCCCTTCGACGAGGAGGTTTTCATGGGAGAAGGTGCGTTTTTTCATCCTTGGATCAGGCCCATATAATGGTCGATTCGACAGGCGATTACCAGTTTGATATCTATCGACTGATGCGAGAGCACAATGGTGATGCTTGGGAGGATTTCAGACCACTGACCAACGTGATGGTAAGATCATTAGGACGTACAATGTATGCAAGCATACTGACGATGCTTAAGTGGTTGCACTATCTCGTTTTGAAGCTCATGCGCTCCAAGAAACTCCGACCGCCTCCAACACGCAAAGACAAAGACAACAAACGACTATCCGTTGCCCCTTCGCCTCAAACCGAGTTCACGGAACGGGATTGTTATGAGATAATGGTTGGGGTCGAGAAATATTTGGGCAAGTCGGTAGCCTCCGTCGTTGCGTCTTCAAAGAAGAGCAAGACTAAAGCTCGCAGGAAAACGCAAGCCCCTGCCAGTGCACCCGAACTACTCGGTCCATCGTGCGCGGGCGAGCTGCTCGAGTACGGTGTTAAACACGGATGGGTCGACCCCATTCGATAGCATAGCACTGATACCATCATATTCATCGAGATTTGTTCATATCATATATTCGCATTTAGAATTGCAGGACGTTTTTGTATTGATAACCATTGTCTCCCGTAACTGAGCTATCCTCATGAAGAGCATTCCCAGAGTTATGCATGAGTAAAACGACCGTACATTGAACCAGTTGTTCGAAATATCCAACATGTGAGACAGGTACACAAACCTACATAGATGGACAGACGTATACTTTCAAAAACATCCGCAATGATACATGTATAGGACAGAGACGGAATGCGGCTCGGCAAAATATATTGTCTGCTTTAAGTTGATCTTTTTTTTTCAGCTGGCGGAGGCTTGAATTTGGTCGAGCTTTGCCATCAGGGCAGCCAACTGCTGCTTAACCTCTTGAATCTGTCCCACGACAGCGCTTTCACTCGACTATCAACCCCGTCAGTACCTTAACTTCATCGCAAAGTAACAGCAAAAAGCAGCACACCTGTGTAACAACAGGGAACACCTTGATCAGCTCCGTGAACGGAACCTTGCTGATCTGTAGCCCATTGTCATCATTGACTGTCGGATCTCTGTTCGACGGGCTATCCTGCGAGCCCTCATTGTCTCCCCGGAACCAATTATCTACCCAGTGGCCTTTGTTGGAATCCCTTGTAGACTCATAGAGGGCAATGCATGTAAGCGGGATAATGAATATTGTGGACATGACGACGCGATTGAGCTAGAGCCATGCCTTCCTTAGGGATGTGCACAGAGATGCTAGTATGTGCATTACATACCGTCGCATATGCTTCCCTTCCAAGGCGGAATTTGGGCAAGATCCTGCATTAGATGTCAACGGGGGGATACAGGGAGAGCTACATATGACGCACTCGAACGGGGCGACGAAGAATACTTCAATCAAGTTGAATGGCGCGGGATAAACGAATGAGTCTGGAGCCCTGATCATCCCAATTGTTTTTGATGCAAAGAAGGCAAGGTATTGGGCTTCAGCATCCTCAACGACCTATGCCACGAGTCAATGATGCGGATAGCGATCTCAGTAAAGGGCACTTACATCCGAGTAGGCAGATGAGAACAAGGAAATCAATACATTGAGGAGGATTACTGCCGTAGCAACGTTCCATCTAGGTAACTACTTCAGATTAAGTCAGAGGGGGCATGATTTTTCCTACAGGTAGTAGAGTATGAGTCCTGCCGGGCTGATAGGTATGGTCAGAAGGTCCAGAGGGCGATGATATAATATGACATACCTTCCGGTAAATCTATCATAATCAGGAGATCTGTGGGCCAGAAAGAAGTCAGTATGCGTAGAAGCGTAGCGATGGAAGTTGCACTTGCTGAAGAAGTGCTTGTATCAACATCCTCGCAACCTATCCAATAGACCGTTCAGCTGGATGCTCATTGAATTAAGACCGAGACACTTACTGCACTAGGATCTTCAATAGCACCGTCCGCAGCATCCAGAGCGTATAGGCCTTGTGCGAACCCAATGCCAAGTACAGAGAGCAACTTCGGAACATAATTCAGACATACGTATAAACAGAGCTCGAATGAGTACTGACCGCGAAGAATATGCCTGACTCCCTTAACATACGCGCCACACAGATCTGCATAGTTCCAATATATCTAGCGAAGCATGAGCCCCCGAGTCGAACGAAAACTGGAATGGCAAGGACTTACTTATACCCATCAAATACTGTAATAATCTCTACAATGCTCATAAGTAGCTGCCACAACTTGTCGAATCTAGAAACTTACTCGTCCTGAAAAGTTCAAGCACGTTAGCGCAAAGAATGCAAGGAGATTTAGAGAACATACCATATCAAGGGCGAGACAAAACTCAGCACTTGGAAACTTTTGATCATCATTTGCTTCGTATACTCATCATCCTTGCTCCCCAGACTGACAATTCGCAAGATGAAAGAAGCAAGGAGCAAGGAGTCAGTGAGAAAGGATACAGCATTCCAGTAGGTAAATGCCCTCCAATTTGCGAAACGGAGGAGTTTGAAGAACTTCGGTATTCTGCATGTCAGTATACATCTTCACTGAAGATTGACAATGCGTACCTTGAGGGCATCTAGGGATCGCGTCAATACCGAGTAAGCTGAAAGGATATAAGCCCACCTTCGATAGAGAACGCGAGTGCCATGATATACAGGACCACTTCCCATTCATCGAGTCCCTGGTGGGTATTGCCCAGCCGTTCCAGTGGCTCTCGCACTAGTACCCTCAAGTAAGCGAATACCCAACCGACTGAGTAAGCTTATCTCACCTGCTTGAGAGTATACGACAAGGAAGGAAATCCAGACACAGATGCGGAACATATTTTGATACCTGTTCAAAGAAGAGTTAGATGGAGAGATACCGCAGGCCTCAAATCGCGTACCGAGGTACAGAAAGACGGGCAGGGTCTAAATGACTCCAGAACCTGCCATCCCCAGCGTCCTGGTAAGGCACATCTATCATGTAGGGTGAGCATGTCACCGTATAACGAGGGCAAAAGTACAATACAGTCGATATCATGATGTCCGTTCTCTCTTTGCACCCAGTCCCCTCTCCATAGGGAAATTACCACTAAGGCGTCAAGTTTCAATAATCATAAGGAAAATATTGGACCTTCTACTTACCGTCCTGTGCCTCGCTCGAGGAGAGGAAAATAAAGCTGCAAAATACTATGGTTTGAATGCATCGGATCATTGGCTATCGACCCTTACCACTGCGAATCGATGGCAAGTTCAAGGGCACTAGACATCCCACTTTCATCTCCATCGACCTGACGATGGCAATATCGAGTCGACATAATTGAATACAGTCTGTCAGGTGCGGCTCTGTGGACTATCCTTCGTGCGAGGACTTCACATGCAACAGCTGTTGCTCTGTCGGTAAACCGAACAATAGACGGGTGCACACGACCTACCTCGGCCGTAGTTTTCGCCGTAGTCTGCAGCGTTGTGGTTGGCGTCCCACATGAATTCCGCCTGGGCACGTAAGAGGCAGTATGGCAACTAGGTGATACAGTTAGCACTGAACTCAATTCGACTCAAGACGCGTACTGCTTCGACAAAGTCGCCACCAGCCATGATATAGGCTGCGATGACCTGAGGGGTAATTATTCGACTTGTCGGACTATTGAGGGACTCTGCGTCGGCCTCAACGGGCAGTAAAGTCAGAGTCAGTGCGCGAAGGCGCTTTACCAGTTCTAAACCCTCGATTTTCAGCGTTCCACATTCTTCACAGCGACAAGGAGACTTATTACTCACTAGTCATTGTGTCTGGCGACGGCTGTACCGATTTTACGGACAACAACGAGGTCGTATCCTCCTGGTCGATGGGCACGGAGCGCACCCCATTTTCTGTGATGCCCGACATGGTGATTGCGGACGAAGAGGATTCACCGGACGTACAGTTCCGACGCGACTTGAAATGACCATACTGGTCCCTGATGTCATGTTACGTAAGCCTCCTCAAAACATGGGCAAAGCGACCGCAGCGCTTTACCACTACCACACACGATGCCAGTGAGTAGCTCGACATCGGCGGCGACGATGAGCTGACACGCATCCTAGGCATATCATTCTTCGCTCAACGAAGAGCCCGACACCCGCCAGGTCGGCAACGTTGCGATTCTCCCAATCAAAACGCGTATTCGAGGACCAGCGCCCCTAGGTGAGATACCGTCGCTTCCACCGTCAACAATGGGCAGTTGACTTCGAAACCAGCCGACCCAGAGCGCGCGGACATTCTTGATGAGACCATAGACCTCTTCCGCGCCAACTCTCTGTTTCGAAATTTCGAGATCAAAGGCCCAGCCGACCGTATCTTGATCATCCTCATTCTATACATATCGGACTGTCTCGCAAAGATCGGAAGTGCGCGCACGGTGCCGACGCAGATAGAAGCAGGAAAGATACTCAATACGCTCTCGGTGGACAATTTCTCGATTCCTGGCGACGCTGGATTTCCACTCAATGCACATTACGCCCCGCCTGCAAGTAGAGCTGATGCAGGTTCGCTACTCTCATTAGAGATGTGTTATATATACTGACCATGCTGATAGACTACTTGCGGCAATATCTTACACAAGTCCGCCAGGAACTAGCTGCACGATTGGTGGAACGACTGTACGCTGATGGCACAGGGAAGCCCAGCAAATGGTGGATGTCGTTCCAAAAGAGGCGATTCATGAATAGAAGTTTGGGCTCGTAGTGCATTACCATACCCTCTATGCGTACAACATCTGGCATTAGGACAAACATGATTGGGAGGAACAAACTACTTTTTTCGCACTTGGTTAGGATTCTTCTTACCATAACCTATTGTCGGCATGTCATTGCTGCCCTTTATCGATCTCCCCTTCCCGCCAGTTCCTACGCTCAAGATCTCTGGTACCCAGTCTGGATCCATCCAACTTCCGACCGCGGCGACGCCAGCTCCATTGCCCTTGTCGAATATTCCCTTTGTCAACTTCCTGTTCTCTCGTTCCCTCTTGTTATCTGCCCGCTGCTTGGCCCTAACGTATTCAGTCTGATCTTCGCGAAGTATCAAGCCTTCACCAGTGCCTTTCTTTGCTGATCCAGGTTTTGGAGCCGGTATCGAGAACTTCGTACCGCGTATTTTGTACTGAAAGTTGGATTTGAGATGGACTTGCATTACCGGCGCATCAGAAGCCGCGTTGGGTGCCGCGATAGTGACGGAAGCACGTAGCAAGGTCGGATTCCCGCAGGACGGGCAAAACTGCCGTGACGAGTCTTTGCAGATCCTATTTATCGATTGGTTAAACGGAGCCTTGTTTGAGATACCAAAATCTCACTTGAAACACGCATGGCATCGCAGCACCCAGTTCTTCACCCGTTGGATGCGCTTTCCCTCTACACCGACCAGACTGAGACCCATCTGGAGGATCACATTTTGCATCGCGAAATCTGCAGTCATGCATCCAACAGCGACCGTCTCCTCTTGTTTGCGCCCTTTTCCTGTCTTCTTGTCTTCGTCGGGGAGAAGGTGGAGAGCTCTGGACTTGTGCAGTGCAACATTCACGGGTGTGATCCACTCTCCTTCGCCGTCGTCCGAATCGGATGGGTCATCGAATATTGGTTCGTTGGCATCGTCTGTCGAGGTGATCGGAGGTATCTTATCCCCCAATGCTTCACTTTCAACGGGCTGCAATTCGACGTCCAGTGGTTCAAGGTCTTCCTGGGCTGGAACGTCGTCATTACCCCCAGCATGTTCAGGTTGGTCGGATTGCGACGCATTGGTCTCAGAGTCATCGATAGAGAGATCCTGGAGTTGTTCTGAGACGTCTATGGCGCCTTCATCCTGGAATGGAGGTGTACTTTCTTCTGTTTGGCTCTCTGGAATTGGTTGATCGGCACTTGGAGAGCTGTACTAAAGGACCTTTTAAGCATTATTCAACGGTGATCCAGCATAAGACCTGCCTTTGTGCGTTCGCAGCCAGAGATTTTTCCTTCTCAGCCAGGCTATGGGTCAAGGCTATTACACCAAGATCGGTATGTGACAGAACTGAGTAGTCTCCCGTCTTCTTAGCCCACTGAATGACTATTTCTCGTCAGCAATATGGTCGCGGAGCCTTATAACCGCCATTTAATCATACCTTGAGTCATACTCGTAGCATCAGGCTGTCTCACTTCAACCTTGACTCCCGCGCTCAATCCCAAGCGTTGGAAATGTTCCCTCGCCCGAGGATCTTTCAACTCAGCAAGAACCTGAGGCGTCGTGAAGTACGTTTCCGCAACGCCGCGAAGAGGGGATAACGAAAGTAAAGGTCCGGCATCGAGGACGAGACTCTTGCATCGCGGTTTCTGACTTGTACTTGCCGCCATGTCTTTTGTAAATTGGGAACGGTCGTTCAGGAGAAAAATGAAAGTACGATCATCAATTAGGCGCTTATACTGATAGGCCAAATCGAGAAGCGATCGACATCGTCGGCTCGTCGGCCGATCGAAATGCCATTAAATAGGCGGCAGATGAGTTTACCTCCTGAGTGTACTCACCCATGGCACAAAAATCGTGAGCACCCTCGAGAACGCTGTTTATCACTTGAAGACTCAGGCGTGCTCCCAGATTCAGAATTACTGTCCTGCCTGGCGATGGAATTGGTGAGCCTCTACGCCCCATTGTCTGCTTCTGAGTTACCAACAAAGATGATCGCAGGCCCGGAAGTAGTCGATCAAGCTATTCGTGTGCTGCAAACGGTCTCGGATGCCTCTCAGGATGTTGATCTGAGACTGGAGACCCATTTGTTCGGCGGTTGTGCCATTGATGCTACAGGGGAGGCCTTGCCAGCCTCGACATTGACCGCCTGCAAAGAGGCAGATGCTATTCTCATGGGTGAGTAGCTTTGTCATGGTATCAGTATACGGTAATCTGATAATATGGAACAAGGATCAATCGGTGGCCCTAAGTGGGGCGTTGATTCTAAAGTTAGACCTGAACAAGGCCTTCTCCAGCTTCGCAAGGAACTCGGAGTCTACGCCAATATCCGCCCTGCAAAGTTTGCCTCGGATTCACTCTTGGAAAACACGCCGCTCAAGTCTCATATCGCCAAGGGGGTCGATATCATTGTCATCCGTGAACTGATTGGCGGCATCTACTTCGGCAAACGCAAGGAGCTTGGTGTCGCGCCGGACGAGGATGTTGCTTGGGATACCATGCCATATAGTGTCCATGAAGTTCAGCGCATCACCCGAGTAGCTGCCCAAATCGCCCTTGTCGCAGATCCACCCCTCGAGATACACTCAATCGATAAAGCGAATGTCCTGGCGAGCTCACGGTTATGGAGGAAGGTCGTCACAGAGACGATACAGAACGAATTCCCACAGCTCAAGTTGGACCACCATTTGGTCGATTCAGCTGCTATGGTCATGGTCGCTAACCCAAGGAAGCTAAACGGTATCGTCTTGACTGAGAACCTTTTCGGAGACATGTATGTATCTATCGTTTCTTTTTCTGTATAATACTAATTGTGGTACTTTAGTTTATCAGATCAGTCAAGTATCATACCAGGTTCATTAGGCCTACTCCCGTCAGCATCTCTGGCCAGCGCACCCTCTTTACCGTCTTCGCCCAATTTCAAGCCCGTTTCTGGTCTCTATGAACCAATCCATGGATCAGCACCAGATATCGCTGGAAAGGGCATCGCCAACCCTATAGGCACCATCCTCAGCGCAGCGATGCTTCTCAGATACTCATTAGGCCTGGATAAACAAGCCACGGATGTTGAAACCGCCGTTCGCAAGGTCCTCGACGATACCGAGTCTGGGGGTCATGGTCTACGGACAGCGGATCTAGGAGGCAAGACGTCCACAAAAGAAATGGGCGACAAAATCGTGGAGGTATTGCAAGGCCTACTGAAAGCCTAATGGGGAACGATAAAGCGAGAAGTAGAAGACGATTGTAATGATCACACGCACCCACGGTGGAATTATATATGTTCAAAATCTCTCATGACAATATCATGGCGGAGCTCCTTCAGCCCGGTTGACAATGGGCTAACTTGAAGCTGAATTCCTTGGTGCAAAAATGCTAGTGCTAGCCAAGATCGCTGTCCTGGGGTGTATGCTTCCGCTGATTGTTGGACAGCTCCACCCCACCATACCGGCGACATACAAGTCCCTTCCATTTACGCGAGCAGGCCAAAATTCTAGATGAATGGAAGGATGCAAGAATCGGGAATATCCCTAATCTTCTGTACAAGTATGGAGTTGATGGCTGGCTGGTATGTAATATGCATTCTTCGAGACTGGAGCTTTGATTCGCGGACCCATATGCATTCAGATGTCTCAGCGCGAGCATGCTGAGGACGTGATTTGGTGGTCAATCAAGAATGCTACCGACTTCGATGCCCATCGGCGTACTATTATCTTATTCCACAACAAGAGGAGCGAAAAGCTGCCCAATCCAATAAAATGGGTAGATAACACCGGTTCGGCGTGGCCAGAACTCACCACCACACTCGAAACCTTGCAAATGCAGCGCATTGCAATCAATGTGGACAGCGACATCAACTTTGCGAGCGGGTTGCACGTCGGGGAGCTGATCGCTCTCCGGGAAAACATCTTCGAATCTTGGGTCGGGCAGTTAGTGAATGTCCCGATGCTGGGCGTTGAATATGTAGCAACCAGAGTCGATGGAATGTTGGAATACTACCGTGATCTACAAGAGATCGTTTGGGCAATGTTGGAAGAGGGGTTTTCTCACAAAGTCATTGAGCCTGGCGTGACGACGACGGTGGTAAGTACGATGGGATCGTCTGTAGAGCTGGTATGTCTGATACGACGATATTCAGGACCTTCAGTGGTGGTTCCGCGAGAAGATGCAAGGGCTCAATGTGACCACCTGGAACCAACCCAGAATCTCCGTCATAGTCCCAGAATCATTTCCTGGGTGGGAAGGCACGGACGATGTAATCCAAGAAGGCGATCTGCTGCATATCGACTTCGGGATAACGGCCATGGGGTTGAATACAGACACACAACATATGGCATACGTTCTTCGTACTTCCGAGGGCGAGAAAGATGCACCTGAGGGATTGAAGAAGGGCGTGAAGAAAGCGAATCGCATGCAGGATATTGTCCTTGACTACATGCGTCCAGGGCTCACGGGGAACGAGGTCTTGACTAAGAGCCTTGAGCGCATGAAAGCAGAAAATATCACTGGTCAGATTTTCTGCCACCCAATTGGTGATTGGGGGCATGATGCTGGAGCTGTCATAGGTCAGTGCTAGCAGTTGTAAACGCTGACGATTTCGGACGGTAACAGCACGACGTTTGATAGGCTTCACAAATCTCCCTGAGCATGTACCAATCTTGGGAGACCTGCCCATACTTCCGAATACGTTTTATAGCATAGAGCTATACGCGTATCACTTCGTCCCAGAAAGAAACGAGACGTTGAGGTTCCGACTAGAAGAAAATGCCCATTGGTCCGAGGAGGCGAGGAGATGGCGTTTTGTTCGAGGTCGTCAGGAAAAGCTGCACATCATTGATCAGACGAAGGGATACAGGGACACCGCACGACCACCGTTGATCCAGATACAATAGTCCATGTCATTCCTAACAGAAAATATGGGACAGTAATAATTGGAAACGGAAGAACGACCGTATTCCATCATATCGTGACAAGCATTTGTCATTTAGAACATATTAGCAAGTTTGCTAGCGGCTTCGCGGGCGTCTAGCCGTGGTCGAGCGGGTTGAATGCGCATTGACTGAGACATATGCTTCGGCATGGCCTGTCCCAGAGGATCCAGCGGGCCACCTTGAGAAGTGGGGTGTCCATTGACTCCATTGAAGCCATGTGATGAGTGGATTGTGGGAGAGGCCGTTGTGGGACGAATGAGAGGATCATATGGTTCGCCGTTGGCCAATGGACCGGCAGGAGTTTGACGAGCTGGGGCAGCAGATTGGGGTTTTATGAACATGGACTGGGTACCGTCAACAAACCGACCGCCCAACGGGGGAACATTGGAGGAGGAGGAAGAGGCGTATGTAGCATACTGCGGGGCGGGAGAAGAGGGGCCAGCGCCAGGGGACTGAGGGGCAAGGGGCGAACTTGGCTGAGGGAGTGACTGGCGCGGGAGACCTGATTGAAAGGATGGGCTAGGCAAGAATTGTTGGCGACTAGGGGATGCAAACTGTGATGACGATGGCGAGGTGAATCCTTGATGACTGGCTGAGGGTGATGGTTTCCCTGAGGAAGAAGCTACCATCGAGTCAGGCCGAGGCGACGTTGGCTGTGACTGGGGCAACGATGAGAAGGGTGGGCCCCGATTATTGAAGGTTTGTGTCGTGTTTGGGGGTGTCGGCAGAGTATTTCTAATGGAGTCTGCCACTGGTGCCGAGGGCATGGATGGTCTGGAGTAGTCTTCTAGTGGAGGAACGATGGTCGGTTTCGGCACCACCACGGGGGGCATCGCTTTGTCGGCAGCCGTGCTCACGTCGACGCGTAATGCTTCCAGTTCGCGAAGTAGCTGCCTTTCATACATGATGGACGACCGAGCGTGCTCGATCAAGGCACTCGTAATATCGTCATTTGCGTGTCGGTTGTAAGTCTGCAAGGCTTTGTGAAGGTTTTGCGAGATGCCCTCAGCACGTCTCGCAAGGATCTGTTCGTACTTGTTTGCCTATATGATACCAAACTGTTAACAAAGAGACCACATTGGATGCACGATAAGGCAAACCTCTTCCATTTCCTCCAATGCTTCATCAACTCGCTCTGGACGAATATTGGAGCTGGCCTTTAGGCGTTCGATATGGCGTCTTTTTGATATAGTTGTCTTGACGGCAGACTGATACTCTTCCAAAACACCAGTCCTCTGTTGTAGGGTTTCCTTTGCCGACCGTGCATTCAAGCCCTGATAACCGAGAGAATCTCCAAGAATAACACATTCGCTGATTGCCTGAGCTTGATCAAGGTCGGCTAGACTGTGCCACGTCCTACCAAGTTTCCGGAGCGCGTTTCCTAGTGGTGGATGTGCTTCGGTAGTTGCAACACTGATGAGTTTATTACCCATTTCGGCGTGTACGATAGAGAGCGCTAACCGGAAGTGATGGGTCAATGGACTTCGGGAGACAAACCTGATATACATACATTTCCGTGCGAGCGCCAATTTATCGACGGCTTTAGCTGTTTCGAAGAACTGACCTTCAAGTTTCGTCAACTCGAAGCGTGCACGTTGTAATTCCTCGTCCTCGTCCGGCACTCCGCGCTTCATCAAGCCAAAGCCGGAAGATGTCTTACGTCGCGGTCGTGGAGTGGGCTGGTATCCAAAATCACTTTCAACGAAGGAGCGGAGATCCTCATCGTAGAGCAGTATCGGGTCCTCGCAGACTCTGGTAATCCACCGTTGCAGCATTATCTTCACGAGCCTGTCGTCTTCTTCGTCTGTAGGTGCTGACGTCTGCGCGAGTGGTAATGCAGGAATAATGGTCTGTGGATTGCTGTGGACGATAGATTCATAAAACTGCTGAAATTCGCTGTATGACCGCGACACATTGCGGTACGTAGTCCCGGTGAAGTTCGATAGGTTCGTCTTCGCGTCAGAGAGACAGATGCAAACGTAAATGGAGGCTGTCTCAGAAGCGTGCACTTCACAGAAGGACTCACCTGAGCATCAAGTTTGATGAGAATATCTCGCCTGTTCCTATCCAACCCCGTTATCCTCACGCGCAAATAAGGGTCTGGCTTCTCAAAAGCCTTCCCATCCGACGAAAGTGTCTCCCGAGGCGATATAAGGCCGGCTTCTGGCTGTCCATATATCTTAGGTTCTTTCCCGTAAAGCCCGTCCGCTGGGCCCTTGACGGGGGTGGGTGGTATAGACGAATCCGCGCGACGTAAGTTGGGAATGGGGGAATTGGGAATATGAGGTGTCGTAGGCCAGGCAGGGACGTCGTCGGATGGATCGTCGCCTCCAAAGACAGCGGCGGTCGAGTTCAAAGGGTCAAACATTGTCGGATAATGGCAGCTTCAGAAGCCACGCAAGCCAAGTAGTAGGAGAAAAGTTTGAGGAGTGAGATGGACTGCGACACCACAGATCGTGGGAGCAAAGGTCCCTGACCTGTGGCGTCAGCCGGCAAGACAAAGCTGGACGAACAACTCAAGATTCCTACAAGTTGACACCAGAGGATTTGCTTTCCTATTCTACGTCGTATTTGAAATTTGTTGATATGGAATAGGCGCACAATTCCCCGCCAATCGATTGAGATGGGCTTGAGTGACATCCTTACAGTGCTTTCTTGTCCAGTGTAGACGTATTCCGCAGGATCAAAAAAGAATATCATAAATGATGGTCCATGATCCAAGTAGTCCATAGCTAGCTAGAGTAATGGCCTAACAAAGCGAGCAAGGGGGAAGAAGGGGGATAGATTATAGTCCTGTTAGCCGGGGTGAATATGTAGCTAAACGGGTTACAATGTATGTAGAAGGCGAAATGGTGAAGGGTTCAGTGTAACGCAGGGAAACGGGTCATGATACTACTTAGTGGTGTAGGGGGTCAATGGGGGGATGGGTTGAGGGAGAGATAGCTTATGGTGCTGTGCATGTTGGGAGCTTGATGTTCTTCAATGATCGGCTAAGAGGTATGGTTATTATTTTGTATTTGGTGCGTTCAAAATGAGTACAACTCACTCCTTGTTGAAAAGTCCCCACCAGCCCTAGATACGTTCAAATCATCAGCGGAATCCGATACGCCTTAGGAACTTAGACCCACCTCAACGCCGCCGTACTGCTTGTCTTTCCATTCTTCGTCGAAAAGCTAGGTCAAACGTCAGTCACAATACGGGTCAAGTTCTGCAGATGCACTCACTTCGAAGTAGAAGTAAGCAGTGCCATTCGCGTTAGCCTGACACACGAAAGTGTCAAGGAAGATCTAAAGATCACAGGGGTCAATCAGTAGACGCTACACAAGGTACAAGCAAAGCAACATACTTGGAGATTAGCCTCCGAGGCATCTGAGGCGCCGTTGTTGGCATTCGCGACATCTGATGATTTCTGTGACAAGTTTAAGCCCTCGACCACGTTAATCAACATTATGATTACACACCGATGGCCAACCCGTCTCAGCGATATACATCTTCGGGTTGTTGGGGAGGAGGCTAGCGGGCTGAACATTAGTCTCTTGGAAGAAGTTTGATACCCATCCGGCTGCGTCGTTCGCCGTTGTGTTTGCGAACCAAGCATGTACGTTGGATAACTGAGTCGATCACGAAAGCGAAGCAAGCACATGAGCAGCCAAGCATAAAGGGTATGGTGTATGGTAACTCACTCCGTAGTCGATGTTACTCAATACCTCAGTACTGAAGAAACTTCCAGCATCTGAGTTGCCGACTGGAATAGTCTTGGGGAGGTTCATAGATGCAAGCATGTCTCTTGTGTCCTTGATATAACGAACGAGCATCGCAGCACCTTGTGCACCAACGGAACCATTGGGATCGGTTGCGCCATTTGAGGTGAGGTAGCTATGTAAATTTGTAAATTCGGAAGATTACTAGATATCGGCAGTGCTCACTTCAACATAAATTCATTTCCAACAGTGATGCCGGCGATATGGTCTGTACCGTAGGTTGTGATTGCATCTCGAATAATATCCCGCTGACGGGTGTATACTCCATCGTCGTTTGGCACGGGATAGTTCCCTACGTAGACCTGCATGTCGACTTTGGTCTGTTTGATGGCCTCCAACTAAAAAGTGCGGGGTCAGACGGCCGCAAACATCTATATTAGGACCGGAGGCGGCCACAACTCACCACGAGCGCAGTTTGATTACAGTCAGCGCCGTAAAGACGAACCCGCGAAGTGAGTTGCGACAATATCTACAGAACTTCGGAGTCAGAAACCCATCGTTCAGTGGAGATCTACGACCGCACCTGAATGTCCTTGATGACCGAGTCTATAGCACGGGTTAATGAGACCGCAGTCAGACATGCGAGGGGGCGTACCCAATGAGTTGCCACAGTCTGGCAGTAAAGAGCCTTCAGGCGTATAGGCCATTCCGTAGAATGCCTTGTGGAATCGGCTATCCTTGACGAAAGAACTTGGGTCATTAGGATCCGTTTGTTTCGGGGTGTTGTCGGAGTTGCTGCTGCCACCAGGTGAAGAAGATGAAGAGGATGACGAAGACTTGTTTCTCTGTGAGACAGAGACGCCAACGCCGACGGCAATTCCAATGATTCCAAGGAGGCCGATGACGGAAGCGAGGACCTGTAGATCCGTTTCAGCGTTGGTTGATGATGGAACTTGTCAAAGAACGCACAATCAACTTCGACCGCCGGGATCTTGCGGCATTCTTTTCTATTGCAGCACCTAGCCCAGTGCTGCTAGAGTTGACATACTGATAGTTTTGGTTCATGTTGAGAGTTTAGGGCGTGAAGTAGAGTCCCCGCGAGGATCAAATTGGTAGTGTTCTAGTCGAACTTGATGCTGAGGGCAAAGAGAAAAGAATGTGAGACAACTACCCGAGTCGCCTCGAAAGTTGTTTGAGAGGATGGTGGTGGTCGTAAGAGAGAAGGGGAGTAATAATTGATCGTGAAAGCGGTTGGATGTTTCGTTGTCCCAGTTCGGTGCCAAGTGTCCAGACTCCAGCCCCCACAAGGAAACCCAAGAATAGCATGAACCATCACGTGATTCACCATCAGGAGAACCCCCAAGAAGCAAAGCCATCCAAGAAATGAAAGTTTGCTTGGTTTATTGGGTTATCAACCACAGACTGGATTCCAATGGGCCGGTAAATTCCACCGAGATACCACCCATTGACATTTCCGGAGCGAAAGAACCACATTCGCATCCTATTTCGTAGGCCTCACACCAACAACAATGAACATAGCTCTCTATGCCAAGGAATCCCCTCATCTCATGCCACATTTGAGGAATGTGGGATAGGCGTAGAAGCGGCCTGACTGAGTTACCGAGCTCGCGGGATATTTTCTTGTTGCGTTGTTTGGAGTGATACGATCTCGATGATCAACCTCAAGACAGAGGCGTGGACTAGATCTCTTCAACAGGCTGCTAGTTGTCCAGGGACGAGGGCAATTCCGTCGACGTGCAACGCGATGAAGAATATTAGAATGCATCAAACGGGCTACCCCGTGGAATCCCTCAGTCCCAACATGCTATTCGTAATATCCCTCAAGCAGTTTCTTCAAACGGGCCGGGTGGTTCTCAATCATCACTCATATGAACGCTTGCAACACACAAGTAGGGCATTAGCCTACTCCATGATGGTTCATCTTGACACGAACCTAAGTCAGCCTGTCATATCGCTTTAAAGTGGAACGGTATGTAAGATTTGAATTTCAATCCAGTAGCTAATCAACGGCACGTCTAACTCTATCAATTCGCCAACTGAGATGTCCTCCTACTATCTTCTCCCCTTGTACAACACCACGAGCAGCATCTTTGCGTCTTTCTGACAACCGATTCTCTAGCACACGCCCCGGGGTTCTCAGTCACTCAAAATCTGTAAGCTCGTCTCCGTCGCCTCGCATAACCTGACACGCCAACATTGTATCTAGCTTTTGGCGCAATGGGTACTTTGTGACAGACCAACCATGGCATGCCTCTCCTATCACACAAGTGGTGTCACTATACACCGATAGTTCGAGAACGGTCAGGTCGTAGCAAAGGTCAAGGCTATTCGCCTGCCATCCTCCAGGCGAAATGTTTCCCGGCGTTTGGAGAGTCTGGAATTTCTCGTGCGCTACAACAAGGACACATGAAATCTGCTCGCATCGAAGAGCCTCGCAAGACCGTTCCGGTAACTCGGATGCCAAGGTATCGAGTAACGTCGATTACGGGAAGTTATTACTCACCCTATCTTTTATATTTGCCTGCTTACGCTCTACGCGTCCAACTCAGTTATCCAGCGTCCACGGATGGTTCGGCGGCGACCGACACAGCCGTGTTTTTCCAGAGGCGAACATCCAGTCTGCTAGTCAGCTGCCCAACAACATCAAGACGTACATCACCGAGACTGGGTGTCCATCGTTATGCAGTTATAGCTTTGATTGACGTAAGTTGGGAGGTTCACATCTAATCATCAGCTGCTGTGGATGTCAACAACGGCGTCTCAGAGCCAACCTCCACGGACCCCACCCTCCATGCTTCTCGTGTTACTGTTGCTGATATTGGCTGGCGCTTGTATTCCTCAATACGTTTGCTTGCCAGGTTAATGCCAAGGGCACCGCCTACTTCTCCTTCGAAGTGAATGCATCTACGGAGCCCCACGGCCCAATTGTAACCGTTTTACTTCTACTCCCTAACTTTCCGTAAAGACAAGCAGTTCGAAGGTGTAGATGTAGTCCAATCTGAATTGTCTAACTGCTTGAACGTAATCAGGGTCGGAGGCTCTTAACAAGGAGCAAGTCTCAACTAATTATGTGCGTGCACTGATCATTGGAGAATACCAAGCTCCTGACATGGACATCACCATGAGCTGTCTCCTTCGCTTCATCCTCACCCTTTCTCGTTATTCCCCTATCCCCCCACACTACGCCAGCCGGGTGGTAAGCACACGAACCCTTTTCACGACCCGTTCACCGCGTAACATCGAACCCTTCCCCATCTTCCCAAGCTTCCCCACCGTCCCTATTTCCCATATTGCCCTATTTCGCCCCCCACCCTCTACGTACAATGTAACCGATTAGCCTCACATTCACCCGGCAACTGGACGATGAATTTACCCCTCTCCCCTTCTTTGCTCGCTTGGGCATTAGCCATTGCTATAGACAAGTTGCTAGTTATAGACTATTTGGATCATGAATGTTTGAACTATCACTGAAATTTACGATGGCAGGCAGGAATTCGTGTGATTCCATCAACTACAATTGCGTGGCTCCTGGATGGCAGGAGAAAGCTCCTAGCCCCTAGGGGTACCTCAAAAGTCGAAGTCTGTTGTTCCCAAGAAAATTACGAAGCAGGTGTAAGATACAACAATCCAAGATAGATACGTTTAACAATTAATAAATGGACATCAGAGTTCTGGATCTTCTAGCCAGAGTGGTAACATATGTCCCATTCTTAGCACTTTCGTCCTTAAATATTTGTCTAGGTCCTCCCCGTGCACCGCGCCGCCGCCAATAAGTGTCGCTCCAGTGGATCTGCCAAAGCTGTCAACGCCAGCATCCTTCGGAAGACCATCGATGCCAAGGTGCGGAGACACTACGGCAAGGTTGGGGTTTCTGGCTTTCCAGCTCCGAGGTATCATCGGCACGCGCTCGACAACTTTGACGCCTTCATCTGCCAACGCCTGAATTTTGTCGGGATTATTCGTCAGAACGCGCACGCCCTCCCCGCTCTGCTCCGAGCCCAGCCCGAGGTCGCGAAGTATCGCGCCAGCAATCTCGTACCCCCGCTCATCCGCTTTATGTCCGAGCATGATATTGGCGGTGACCGTATCGTGACCGAGGTCCTGAAGGTTGTACGCGCGAATTTTAGAGAGAAGGCCGATGCCGCGGCCCTCCTGGCGGAGGTAGATCACGGCGCCCCTTCCCGGAATTTGGGTAGGTGGGTATGTCGGAAGGGGTATCGGCTGCGAAATGAGGCGGATGGCTTCGTCTAGCTGCTCGCCACAGTCGCATCGCATGCTGCCGACTGTCTCGCCTGTGAAGCACTCTGAGTGTATACGAATGAGGGGCGGCGGCGCGTGGTTCGGGATGTTGGTATTGAGTCGCTGGGGCACGGGTGGGGCAGCCTTAAATTTCGTGGGCGAGAGCTTGCCTACGAAGGCACCTCGAGTGATCCGATCCATCTCAGTTTCGGAGTCGCTCCAAACGGAGTCTAGTGACTGGGATCTGATGTGGGGCACTGATGAAGATGACACCGTGTCCGTGAGTTGCGCTGGGTCGATGACAATGGCAAGGTGCTCCTTGTTGTCGCGATTGTTGTGGTAGAGATGGAGGAATGCTGGGCCATGCGGGGTGGGGATACGGGTACGAGCCATGCATTTCACAACGACAGGTGGAGGAATGGCGGACGTCGACGGGGCGGTTTCACTCTCGTTCGTCGTGCCCGTGGCGGCGGCTACTGATTGCCTGCGCTTTTTTGGAGTAGCGAGTGGGAGATTGTTCGTCTTGCCACATGGGACGTTGTTCTCTTTCCCATCCTGATCGGACTCGTGCTGCAGTCGTTTGCTACGGGGAGCCTGTCGACTGACGTACACTAGTCTACGGCGGCGTTCCTCCTTCTCTGCGGCGTCGTCGCCGGTAAATTTCGACCAGTCGATGCCCCCCTCTTCCTGTGGCATCATGACACCGGGAAAGAAATCGTGGTGGTAGTGGTTCCTGGTGACATGCGGGCCCGATGCAAATGCTGCCGCGATGAGCAGGGGGTCGAGTGCGGCGTCCCGTCTCCCCAAGACCGACTTGGGCGACGGTGCAATGGGTCCCGTGAGCGCCTCGAGCAAGGCATCGTCGGATGCACAACATTCGGAACCGTGATGGCGCATTTGTGGTCTGTGGAGGAGGGGGGGCTGTAAGACTGTAATATCGGAGGCAGAGATGATTACCAGACGAAATCCGAGTGCACCGAACGCAATATAAGTATGAGCCGTAGAGCCCCCGGCTATTCACATGGATTTGTCAAGCCAAAATACCCGGACTCTGCAAGTCAGCAGGTCGGACTGTGCGTACGTAAGCAGCGTGTGGACGTGGGAAGGTATTTCCAATAATTACGGTTGGAATGTGCCTGGCAATCTGAATCCCTTTTCCCCAGTGACCGTCGCGTCGCAGCGTCGCCTGAAGAGCACGACGAGGGCTTGTTCCTCTGCTACTACTCCCGGAGCATTGGCCCTAAGCCGTCAGACACGCCGCCCCCAAGTGGCATTTTACGGCGGGCTAGGCTCCTTTCCCGCCGCACTAGCATTGCAGCTAGCACCGGTTCCATAGACTCTGCTCAGACCATGTGTTGACCAGTCATTCCCTTCTTCTACTTTCCTGCTCGTCGACACTCCGGCTCCAGCTCCTTTGCTTTCTGCCCCAGCCTCGGGATGCTTTTTCGCTGTACTTTTTCCATCTATCTTGCCTGTCTTTGGCTATGCTTCCTTCCGTTGTAAGTTGATCCTGCTTTTGCCCCATCCAGGCCAGACGACTCATTGTACTCGTTCCAGATTTATGGCCGCCCCCACATCGACGGCGGACTCGTCTGCATCAACTTCTCCCGTCTCCCTCTCACGTACTGGGACTGCTATCTTTCCCACATCCTCATCTGCTTCAACGGCACGTCCGCATCGAACACATACACCCACAAACATTAGACCTACTCGAACACGACAACCAAGTATTCCCTCGCGCGTAGGGACCCACATTAGCATTCCCCGCGGCCGGCCTACTGCGGACAGCGGCAGCTCGAGCCCGTTTCCTCACGAATCGGGTGAATTCAGGAGCCACGGGCGGAAACAGAAACCCGTCGCCATCTTTTTTGAAGTCCTGGGAGGGATCGCAATCCTCGCCTTGCTCCTCAGCCTTCTTCGATGTCTCTACAGCTATAAACGCACACCCCGGCCAGATCGGGTTGTTGATATTGTGGAAAGGCATCGACTGCAAAGGGAGATGGAGGAATTACGGCACAACCAGGCCCAGAGAGTCAATCGTAGGCCTGCATCGCTGATGGAACCTCCACCTCCACCATACTTCCCTCGACCGCCATCCTACGAAGAAGTTGGCAATCGCCGCGCCCTTCTCAACCATACGCACGCAAGCTCTGATTCGATGTCAAGCACCTCGTCTCACTCAAGCTCTGACTCTATATCATCAGTTTACATATCGCAGGCGCGTCCACGCCCTCTGCACGGCGACGGCTAAGCATTTCATCAGGCTCGCGGTGGTTTACATCACTTCGCGTCTGGTTCAAGTGCGGCCGTCGAGCGGACAGGAGAACACCCTGGGCTGCAGGCATCATCTTTGCACTGCCTTTCTGGAAGGAGATGATCGAGGACGAAAATATTGCATGGTCGTGCAATCAGGTTGGCCTCGTGTCGCCAACCACATCGGGTAGCACATGTGTACATTGCTGAGACCGTGAGACGGATATACCTGCCACTCCTGCCGGCTTCTGCTGGCATTATCGATTAGTGCCCTCACCACGTTACAAGGGTTCTTGTGCCACCCTACGTAGGCTATGTTACACGTTGTGCAGAATGTAATAATCAGTACACTATCGATTTGAATCCTCTCGTAGTGTCGCCGTGTGCTGCAGGGATTGGGTGCCCTGCAGCCTTATTTAGACGGGCCGACGCGTGCCGGATCCAAAAGCTGCGCGGAGTCTGAAAAGGATTCGCAGGCACGAGGATCCTGAGTGAAACTCTACATAGTGCGCCGCATAAACGAAACAGACCCAAAGATCGCGCTCTGCTCTGCCGCTCAGCACAATGACCTCTTGGAACGGCGGCTCTTCCTCGCCGGCTGGGACGTCGACGCGTTCGGGCGCCAGGATGTGAGTCAAACTCAAATTGGCATCGTGCTTGATCCCGCCCCTAACCGCCTTCTTCTCTTTGTCTTCTTCATTCTGCCGCCCAATAGGCAGACAAAAGATTTGCGACCACAAGTTACTGAAATACTCTCTAAAACCGCAAATGGATGCCTACAAGAACTTGGCTACTTCCCTGGACTACTACAACAGTACAAAGCCGCTGAAGCACGCGCACGCGAGTGGCAAGGAGAAAACATCAAGCTTTTCGCGGACAACAGAAAGCTATCGATAGCGCTGAAGGACACTCAAGCGCTGCTGAAGCCAGAAGCAAAACAGGCGATGCTTGCCCTGCAAGAGCAGCTGCATTGCGCGCAACTCGAGCTGCAACGTGCCCACAGCGAGGTCGGGGCTTTGATGAACGAGAGAACAGTCTTGCAAAGCAGGATCGCAGCCATGGAGACGGATAGGCAGGCCTTCATGCTCCAGTATGAGAACTTGAGGCGATCGTATGCGAATGCGTTCGACGAGCTGCAGATCATACGCGGGCGCGCTCGCGCCATGCAGCAGGCCTCGACATCGTCCCATCAAGGACAACCAAGTGAGTCATTGGCCTCGTGATGTCTCGTAATCGGTTATTGATGCGTTGATACGCGCGTTTCAGTCGTTGCCCAAGTAAGTTCGCGTTTTCTCTTGCGTTCGTTGCGCGTTTAACCTGAATCAGAGCCAGACCCGTCGATCTTCGAGTGAACAGTTCCACGTACGTTTGTCCTTTCCCTCGGTAACTGCTGCTCATCTTTGTTCGTGGTTAGCAGATACAACAACCAGTAGCAGCACCTCTTGCTATCCAGTATACTCTTCCACATGGCCATCATTCCAGGCGTCCATCCTCTGCTTCTATTCCGATTGCTCATTCGAATAGCTCTGCATCAACATCATCTTTGGCCGGCAAGCAACATGCTCTTACAATCAATACTCACATATCGACGCGTCCTCAGCACACATCGACGTATGCCCCATATACACCAATTACGCCCAGCCATCAGACTCCACCAACTCAAAACACTGCAATGCACGTCTCTCAGCGACCGAGTTCTGATGGTGCCATGCCGCATCGGCCAGGCTCTACGTCCTGGGTGGGGGCACACGGCACTGCCAAGTTCCATGGACAAGGACCGCGTTCACAGCAGGGAAGTCCAAAACCAGGGTCTGGAGGGTTTCCGTATCCATCGCCAATCGCTCAGCCGTCGAGCAGTAGTTTGCATCAAGCAATCATAATTCCGCCGTCTGATCATAAGCCGAGAGTAACGTCTGGCGCCGCGGGTCCCAGTAGTCCATCGGAGTCCATCTCTGCGTCTGGCAGCCATCCTTCGTCGTCGATTGCACATGCATACCCACACCCTTCGATTGATTTATCTCGGCGCACCCCTTCGACGTCCAGTCCAGAGCAAGCACACGAAGCGCTCACGCCTGCCGACACGCCTTCTATGCCTGTCATGGAAGCTCCACAATCCAGCCCAATGTTGAAGCGCTCGTCGGTAGATATGGCCAACGATGATGATCAGAGTATCTTGATAGGAGGAATGTCGCGCAAGAAACCACGAATGGAGGTTCATGTGGAAGAGGATTCGAAAGCCATGGTAGTTGACAGGTCCTTGTCAGAGACTGGTGCGGAACAGGCGCTGTTAGACCATAGTCATGTATCCGAGGAACTAGTCCAATGCAAGCAAGAACAAGACGAATTGCTGCCAGACGACGAGCGACCAGTTATGAATGGTGACACTAGCATGGCGGCGGGAGATGGAGAACGGGAAGTAGAAGAGCGCCTAGAAGAGGTTATGTATCAAGACGATGAAGGTGTAAACACAACGTGTTTCCTTTGCATGCGAGTACCTGATGCTGTTCCCCATGATTGCCGCTGGTGCTGACGATACCCTCTCCCAGGCGTCGATATTCGAAGGGCCTGCTGATGGAACAGCCACAGCCTTTCGTGAACGCCACGTCCGACCAACTTGTTCAGCATCTTGAGGACGAACACCCTGCCGCTTGGGCAAAAACACGATTTCCTTCGTCGACCCCTGCATAATAGACACTATATCAAGGAACTGGGTTAATTATTATTGTACATGCTGCTTCCTCTTGTTGCTTATCGTATACAATGTTCGTAAATACTGTATTGGCTTTTTGTTGTCTTCATTGTAGTAGGGTTTGGGGCTCACGTGCGTTTGCAACGCAATTCTGTTGCGAGCAGTAAATTAGCAATCATGCGCGGAAGCGGCTTCAGCAAACCTTCGCAGAATGACTGAACATCTTTCTTCTCATCCACCATGGCGTCCAAGAGTTTCAGATCCTTGCTGAGCTTGGCCCGCCCAAGGAAACTAGGTCGTATTTCCCACCGCAACATTCGTTTCGTGGCATCGACATCAAGTCCGGCGAATGTTAGGCCAAATTTCCCTTGCGTTGATGCACATGCTGCTCGTGAATCATTATTGGTTTCGTTGAGCAAACGACCACCTGCCGACGAGGATGAAGACGAGACTGGTCCCGAACCACCGTATGCGCGACCTTCACCTAAATCCTACCTCAAATTTCACAGCGCGGCGCCGCTCCAGCTTACTTACGGCTCCTCCTTGCCCTCCTTCGACGTAGCTTACGAGACATGGGGCAAGCTCTCTGAACGACGGGACAATGTTATTCTCCTACATACAGGGCTCTCTGCGTCCTCACATGCTGCTTCGACGGAAATCAATTCAGCAGAGGGGTGGTGGGAGAAGTTCATTGGACCTGGAAAGGCCTTGGACACCAACCAATTCTTCATCATCTGTACCAACGTCTTGGGGGGATGTTATGGCAGTACTGGCCCGTCGTCGATAGACCCAACCACTGGGACGGAGTATGCGACGCGCTTTCCTGTAATATCGATATTTGACATGGTACAGGCTCAATTTCGTTTGCTTGACCATCTCGGCGTGGATAAGCTGTACGCAAGTGTTGGGAGTTCGATGGGAGCAATGCAGAGTCTCGCGGCGGGATGGTTACATCCGAAGAGAGTGGGCAAGATAGTAAGCATCAGCGGTACCGCCAGAAGTACCCCATCAAGCATTGCGATGCGCTTCGCGCAGCGAAGTGGTTCGATCCTCAAGTCATCTAAGACTTTCTGTTGACTAACTTCATTCTCTCAGTCCTCATGGCGGACCCGAATTGGAACAACGGGTTCTATTACGATGGGCTTCCTCCTCACACCGGAATGAAGTTGGCTAGGCGTCAGTATTCTTGGAATCATTGCGTTCTCGATTACTCGCTGATTTATGTCACATAGAGATCGCAACCATTACATATCGTTCAGGTCCTGAGTGGGATCTCCGCTTCGGTCGCAAATTTCGGGCATCTCCATCGACTGACCAGGAGCCAGACCAACCGCGAGTGCCAGCACTTTGTCCCGATTTTCTCATCGAAACATACCTTGATCATCAGGTAAGCTTGCGTAATATTTTTATGTAAACAGAAGGAGTTCGCTGTCTTGGCCCTTCGATCTACTTCGTGGTACAGATACTCATATTCATTCATATCTTAGGGAGAACAGTTCTGCCTTAAATACGATGCCAACTCCCTCATATACATCTCCAAGGCAATGGATTTATTCGATATGACTTCACCAGCCCTGGAGTCATTAAGCCTCTCTTGGCCTAAAGCCGTTGCTTCGGCGCATCTTGGACATTCCAAGTCTCATCCACCGCCACCGAATCCCGCACCACATCTTCCCGACCTGGCCGCCGGCCTACAACCCCTTGCGCACATACCCACTCTTATTCTAGGCGTTCAAAGCGATATACTCTTCACGGTCGATCAGCAAAGAGAAGTCGCGGATGCCCTAAGGATGGCCGGAAACCATTCAGTCAGTTATTACGAATTGGGTGGGGTCTGGGGGCACGATACGTTCCTGTGCGTATGATTAACGCTCCATTGGCGTATCAATTCTGACCCAAAGGTGGTATAGACTCGATGTGCTCAACGTGGGTGGAGCAATAAGAGGTTTCTTGTCGTGACGGGTTTAGTACAAATAGCTACGCTAGTGCGAATCAACGTCACGGTTATCAAGGGCATCAGACTAGGCCCGCCATGGTATACATTAGCTTGGTATATCTCGTAAAGGTATGATCGTCGTGTCTTTGATGGAATAGAGTCAACGCACACTCATCCCGCCTTCGACTTCGACTTCCTCTTTCCTTTCGCAATCCTCTTCTCCTCCTCATTCGTTTGTGCCGGCTTCGGTCCTCCCATTGGTATCGATGCTGATGTTTGCGCAATCGCCGTGTAGGCCTTCCCGACTGGCAAAGGAAACGCCACTTCCGGCTTGTGCTTAGCCCAGTAGAACTTCAACCTTGTGAGGAGAACCTCTATTGTGCCGCGAAACCTCCAGTGGGAACTCAGGCAACCTTCGAACCATCGTTCCGTTGCGCCGTAAACATAGGCAATAATCCAATCCAACGAATGTGGGACGGCCCCTGGCCGAGCGACCATGGCCATGATCATTGACCGATAGTAACTCTGCCGCTCCCATGGCACGATCTCCCCAGGCGTGATGTGGGGCTGTAACCACTTGGGCATCCTTGCACACGACCACAACGGCGCCCAACGTGCATGCTCCCACCCGGTGAGTCCCACAATAACATCTGGTTCTGTCCACGTTGCCCCACCCTCACCGCTACTGTAGGTGATCAGGGGGCCGCTGAAATCTACAATAAACCGCGACATCTGCATGTCGCTATGAAAAATTCCAAATTGCGGGCTTTGCAGTACTTTTCGAGCCATCTCGTAGGCTTCTTTGGAAAGCGTGTTGGGTAAATAAAAACCTCCGATGTGGAAAGGGATGAGGCGGGCCAGCCGCTTCCAAGTTTCACGGATCCTTGCAACGTCTTCGTCCGACAGCGGTGGTTCGTCCGGATGATTCGACTTTCGCGCGGCTTGGTTAGTCTCCGGCAATGCGAAAACACGGTCGACGCGACTGGAGAGTGCGCGAAGGTACTCCTCGATGGAGCCGACAGCTGACTGCGGAGGCAAAGTAGCTAATGGGCCCTGATCGAATGCGGGAGCAAGAAGTAACTCGCGATTCCCAGCAATAGCCGACGTGTTCATACCACCGGTACTTGAACCTTGTAGCTCGGTGTTCATGATGTCGGATCGATAATTGAACATGGCCAGGAGGAACTCGGTGACCTTCGCTACTATCCGAAGGCGGCGGTGACCAGGTAAAGTGTGCCAGACTTCGTCCAGAGGGTGCCCAGCAATCTGCAGATGGGAATACATGTTACTGGTACCCAAGGCACAGCAGTACGGGTCGACATACCTTTTGGAGAAGCACCACCTCTGCGCCTATAGGGTTTGGCAAGAAATCCTTGAACCCATAAACCTGCGGAATAACCAATTGCAACTGAGATCGGAGGCGAATGGTACGCATTGTGGCGGTCATGCCAATCTTGCTTCAGAGTCAGTCCGTAGAGTGGTGTATGATATTGGGAGGCGTACCAGTGCTTGTGTTGTCATTCCAGGTCGGCCTATAGGGAAGTGGGCCATCATTGTCCGGGGGCCCAGAGGCAGAGATTCTGGATCAAATTCAATCATTATCATCTATACGGTGGGAGTTGGCCATCCTATATTGTATCAAGTACAAAAATCGGAGACGAGGAGAACGTACCTCATCGCCACCCCAGTTGATATTCCTGCAACTGAGAATTCGGGGTTGAACGTCGGTATTTGACTGCTTGGTCCCTCCTATGGCATTTCGGGAGCGGTGCTCAGCCGCTACCGTCTCAATAGCAAACTGCTTGAGGGCATCAATGTTGAAGTTGGGGTAAAAGGCGGACATGCTTATTCAACCTATCGTGATGCGCGTTCGGTTCATTTATAGTCCACCTACGAGGAAAAAGAAGACAGAAAGAATAGAGCGAGGGCTCTTGTGCCCCGAATTAAGGCCATGTCGATGAAGCGTGTTCATTTGTGATCAGAAACAAAAGGAGGGAGGGGCAGTCAGCGCACGTCGGGCTCTGAGACGAAATCCCTGATTTCCATCAAAAAAACTCACAAACATGTATAGCCCGCAAGTCGCCTTACTTCCACGCACGAGTTTTCCCAACCCAGATGGGGGGAATTCCCAAACAGCAAGTGAAATCATAGCTTACCTTTAATCCCTTCGGCAATTATAAATTAGGCGTACCTTGTACTTCATTCATCATGTTATGTTGTGGGCCCTGGCTTGAGAAGGCTACATAAGCTCTGAGAAGTTTTGCACAATCCATAAATAATACGGCCCCCGTCATTCCCCTGCCTCCATACAAATACGGCGGTTAGTTACGGCAGATTTCGAGTGTTGTGGCCGCTGGCCAGCCCGACGGTCTGAGGCTACCATAGTTTTAATCGTACTTGCCTAACTTGGAAGTATCGGGCGCTATGGATGCTAAATCAGGGACTAGAATCACACCGTCACTGCTTCGCGCCGCAGTTACATACACGCAGCTCTTGACTGAGACCTGACCATCTGAGACACCATGAACCGCATATTTGGGTCGTCAGCAAGCAAGAAACCGAAACCTTCGCTACAAGATGCCATCGCTTCGGTGAGATTCGTTACAAGGCCACGCGTACAGTACTAACCCCTCGCAGACAGATGCGAGGACTGCGTCCATTGAAGTCAAAATTAGGAAGCTCGACGGCGAACTGGCACGGTATAAAGAGCAAATGAGCAAATTGCGTAATGGACCAGGCAAGGTGTCCGCGACATCTATATTTTGATGATCGGTATCTCATATAATCGGTGGTACTCAGGAGGCCATCCAGACCCGGGCCCTCAGAACACTGAAGCAGAAGCGCATGTATGAATCGCAAATTGCTCAGCTCACGCAGCAATCTTTCAACATGGAATCTGCAGCCCTTGCTACCGAAAATCTCCGCAATACAATGGCCACAGTTGATGCCATGACCCAGGCCAACAAAGAAATAAGAAAGCAATATGGCAAGATCGACATTGATAAGATTGAGGTCAGCACGGATTTACAAAAATGATGTCTGTTTGCTTGCTAATGTACGCTCATTTGCAGAGTATTCACTATGACATGGAAGACCTACTGGAACAAGCAAACGAGATACAAGAGTCACTCGGAAGATCATATGCTGTCCCAGACGAAATCGATGAAGCTGACCTCGAGGCCGGTAGGTTTCATTGTCTTTCGATGTCAGAGAAATGGATGCTGATGTATAAACAGAGCTGGATGCGCTTCAATTTGAGGAGGAAGAGGAGGGCACGTCATATCTTGCCGATCTCAATAAGGTACCGGACTTCGTGGACGAACCACCCGTCGAGCTTTCCGAGGTCAGTTCTGAAGGATCTCGCACCTCTTCCACACCGTGCCTACTGTTGACTATTTTTACAAGACTCCGGCGCAACACGAAGCGATCAAGACGACAGGTTGAATTTTTCTTTGTATAGCCGTGCATAGAAAGCTGGCGTAAATCCCGCAACGTTACCTCTGTATATTATACATCTTGGCCCTTGAGCTTCTCTATGGCAATGTCAATAACGGAAATGGTTACTTTAATCTCCGTGTTGCTAGATGAGCAACAGCCTGATAAAAAACGGGAAAATACTACGGTGGAACGCGGTTCACCCATACCGCCTGCCATCGGCATCTTCCGCGAACCAGTCATCCAACCGCCTGGATTCCTCTGCCGTAGCGGTGTTCACGATCGTCGACTTACTCTGTGAGTCTGCACATTCGTAGAAAGTCAGTGGGCCGCAGCATGTCACAACGGAACAGAAGACGTACATGCTTCAAAGGCTTCGACACCGTTTTCTCGACCGATACCACTTTCCTTCATCCCACCCCTAGAAAGTTCGAGATTGATTACATGTTACTACTAGCCTAATCCGCTGGCCATTTGAAAAAATATTTACGTACCATGGTGAGCTTGGGTCATTACGGTGATGAGTATTCACCCAACACAAACCCGATTGGATCTCAGCAGCTACTCGGTGAGCCTTGGACAAAGCCGAAGTCCATATTCCAGCTCCGAGTCCATATTTCGACGCGTTCGCTAGTCGGATGCCTTCATGCTCGTGCTGGATAATGGCAGGCATTAATATCGCCACCCCCTTTACAGAGAGTCGCTTGCCGCACCTCGAACCGTTTCACTACGGCCACTGGGCCAAATATTTCCTCCTGCCAAAGCAAGTCTTCGATGTCTATATCCGTGATGATGGTTGGAGGGAAGAATGCGCCTTTGGAGAAATCGTGACCATCAAGCGGTGAGGCACCAGACATGCGCGTGCCACCGGTTACAATCGACCCACTAGCCTTCCTTGCGATCATCGATTCAATACGGCCAAGGTGCCGCTCGGAAATAACTGTCCCCATTGTCGACTTTGGATTCAGGGCTAATAGAAGGTTTAGTGGCGTATTGAATAGGGTGGGTGGTACGACGCACGGTTGCCCATTCGCTCTCTGATAGACTCGGCTTTGCGCACAAATTTGGATAAGAACTCTTCGTATATACCGGATTGGATAATCAGCCTCGTTCCAGAAACGCATGTCTGGCCAGAAGCCACAAACGCTGCGAAAGCGGCCCCGTTGACCGCTGACTCAAGGTCGGCATCATCGAATACGATGATTGGCGCCTGGCGTGGGGGAATGACTTTAGGTAGGTAACAATCATAGTGGCCAACGAATCACTGGCCTTGCCACCTAGTTCGGCGGTGAACGCTGCTAGGTTCGCGCCCACTATAGCACCCAAGTCTTTCCCTGTCTGGGTTCCTGCCTAAGTGAAAGAGCGATTACACTGCCGAAGCAATACTACATGCAGACAACAAACCGTAATGTCGACCTTGCGGATCAGAGGATTATTGACGATATCCTTTCCTGTCGTGTGGCCAGGCCCTGAGATGACGGAGAGTACGCCAGGGGGAACTGACAGACGTTTAAGGGTATGTAAACACCATGTGCCATTCGCGTTTTTGAGGCGGTGATTACGTACCGCCAGCTTCTTCAGCCATCTCGGCGAACTCGAGAACCGTCACAGGTGCTAGCTGGTTGTATGTGAGATAGGCTTCCGCCGATGGAAGTGGTTGCAATCCAGACCTCCGAGGGTTTGACGATCACACTGTTCCCTGCAGCTAACGCAGGGGCAATTTTCTTGACGGCGATGAGAAGTGGGTGGTTGAATGGCTATTATAGACATGAATGGAAGACGTGACGGCGCAGACAAAAAAGGCGAGGCGTACTGTAATTTGGGCTACGACACCAAGCGGAACGCGTTGCACGTAGTTTAATAGTTTACCTTGCGTGGGAGCGACATACCCCGATGTTGTGCGGAGCAAGGCTGCATAATAATCTCTGCCGGGAAAATACGAGACAGTCAATAAATGGTTCCAATGAGGATGACATGCGGACCTACAGCCATTCAGGTAGACGTCCCAACTGCGCCGTCATTTCTCTTATAGTTCTCCCTGTTTGGAGTGTCTCCTTCTGCGCTACATCCAATATCCTATCTTCGAGTATCCGGGCAAGACGGGTTAGCACTTTGGCGCGGGAAATTGATGGGGCTCTGGACCATATGCCGGAGTCAAAGGCCTCTTGTGCACCTTGAACAGCTAGCGATAGGTCTTTTCCAGTCACCGAAGCGACACTGAACAGCAAATGTCAGTGAAGCCGCATCCTGTGACGGTGGCGTTGGCACTCACGAACAGAGCACTTGGCCGTTCGCAGGATTTTTGATGTCCAACCTATCATGGGAGTATTGTCAGCTATCAATAATCGGCTCATGTGTCTTGCTCGCCTTTCCGATGTGCCGCTGTGACTTTGGCCGCTGTGATTGTGCTGTAGGGCCGAACTATATGGCCCATAAAAGGGTCGTATATTATGCAGCCATGTCTGAATTACAAGGCGCGTTTCAAGTATTCACCAATTCACGTAGCAATCCAGTTCTGCTTACCTTCTGCACACGAATCATTCCTGGAAGTGCTTATCGATGGGCGCTTCTTCGCTTCCCGCGCTTAGGCCGACGTGCCCACGGTCTTAGAGCTGTAAGTTAGTGGGTCCGGATGTGTCGTGTCTTAGAGGATCGCAAAAGGGAGCCATATATATGTTATAACAGCTTTCAACCAGATTTCAAATGTATTTCATTATCGCACGTTAGGACCCTTGGTAGCATGTGGCGCCGCGCTTCCGCGCGAGATCACGAGACCGCGTTGATCACGTGATCCAAAGTCGTTGTGGCTGTTGACTGTTTTTGGTCCCCTGGCTCTTGCGATCTCCCTTTCCTTCTCTCCACCACCATCCCCCCGTTTCTCCCGCCATGCCAGTCGCCGTGCGACGCTCGAGTCGCTCTGTCCCTGCGAAACCTGTTGCGAAACCAGCGACCGAGCCCAAGGCTCCTGCGAAACCCAAAAGTCAGCCAACGAAGAAACGGGCTGCTTCACCTGCAAGGGCAGAATCGCCTGCTCCCAAGCGCAGCAGGACAACTGCGGCAGATAGCAAGAAGACTGAGCAGCCTCCTCCCACGAAGAAGCCTACATCTAAGCAGCCCACCAAAGCTGCTGCGAAACCCGCTACGAAACCTGTCACGAAACCCGCCACTGTTAGGAAGCCAGTGACGAAGCCTTCTCCTGCTCCTGAGAAGCGTGCAGCTGCTCCTGTACCACAGCAGAAGCCATACTTTAATCCCCTTCCAGTAGCTCCCCCCAAACAGCGTCCTGGCCTTACCCTATGGGCATGGGGTGCCGGCAACTTTGGACAGTTTGGGATGGGTCCCGATGTCCTTGGCGAGCTGGACAAACCGCGCAAGAACCCTTGGGTCGAGCAGAAGATCCAATCAGGTGAATTTGGTGAGGAAGGTGCTGGACTTGAGACAATCGCTGCGGGTGGTATGCATACTATCTTTGTAGATGAGAAGGGAACTGTAAGTAGAGCCCTTACAGTACATCTCTACTATGCTCAACAATCCTTGCATTGTAGGTTTGGACATGCGGGGTCAATGATGATGCTGCACTCGGTCGGGTCACTACGGACGTTCCCGATCCCGAGAATCCTGGCTCTTTCTTGAGCGTAGATGATCTAACAAGTATCCCCCACCCCCTACAATCTCTAGTCGACGAAAAATTCCGCGCGGTAAAAATTGCGGCAGGAGATAGCATTTCTGCTGCTGTGAGCACGGAGGGCGAACTGCGTGTCTGGGGAACTTTCCGTGTAAGCATATTTTCTCTGCAATGCTGGCTTACGTTAAATCCATCTTCAGGCCAATGAAGGCTCTCTCGGATTCTCCAGTGGGCATAAACATCAGTACTCGCCCGTGCCTCTTCTCGAACTCCCTCACAAACCCGGCGACTCAGAAAAAGTCTCATCGATAGCCTCCGGCAGCAATCATCTCCTTGTGCTCACTACACACGGCAACATATACACGTGGGGCGCGGGGGAACAATCACAATTGGGTCGCAAGCTCATCGAGCGACGCAAAATCCATGGAACCGTACCAGAAAAAGTCACACTTGGAACCCGGAGCCGCAAAGCTGTTGTTATCGGTGCCGGGAACTACCATTCATTTGCTGTGGATGACCAAGGAGACGTGTGGGGTTGGGGACTCAACACCATGGGACAAACTGGAACCGGGTATGATAGCCCATCGGACGATGAAGTCAAACTACCCACGAAGGTGATCGGTCTCAGCAAAGACCAGCTCAAGGGCGAGACAATTGTGCAAATTGCCGGCGGCGAACACCACACACTCTTCCTCACCTCTGGTGGGAAAGTGTACGCGTGTGGTCGCTCGAATTGCAGTCAACTTGGCCTCGAGGACGATGACGAGGCTCTCGAAGACCGGCCATACCCCGATTTCGTGCCTACGCCTGTGCAGGTGACCTTCCCTGATGACAATGATCCCATCAGGAATATCTCAGCTGGGTCGCATAACAGCATGGCTGTTTCGGAGGGTGGCGCACTATATGTTTGGGGGCAAGGTACACAAGGAGAACTTGGTGTAGCTGACGAAGAAGTTAAGACCCCCAGAGTTATCGTCCGCCGCGAAGGCGGCTCGTGGGCCGCGGTTCAGGTCGCCTGCGGCGGTCAGCACACGCTGGGTCTTTTCCGCAGCAAGAAATAATAATTTAAGTAACGTCAGTTTTATCGTGAACATTTTATTTCATTCCCTCTCGTCGTGCATAATTTTCGTCGTACATGTATTTCCTGCATCAACAACCATCACGCATAGCATATATCCTCGTTATCCTTTACATGTTAAAGACATTGCTTGGTATATCCAAATCACATTGAGTTACCGTGGACGTCAAGTCAATGATATGTCGCTGCGAGCCTGCCAACAATGTATTTCTCGGTATTGATAGGTGGATACTTGGCTTGTCCGTTTACACCGGCGCAGTTGGGGAGGCAAGCTACTTCGGTGCTGAAATTGGGGTTGCAGAAGAAGGCGATGGATTGGCGAGCCGGGGTGATGGTCTCAGTCTCGCTGATCTTTTTGGCAGGAGGCGCAACAACGCGATGCAGAGTCGAACGGAGGACATCGTTACTCCAGCGGGAGAGCAGGTCTCCGACGTTGATGACAATAGTATCAGGCTATATATAGTTCAGCATGGTAGTCGACGTTCAGCGACATGGCGAACGGTACGTACAATGGGAGGCGCGGCATGGAAGACTTGGTTATGCGGGTTTTGTACTTCCAGTCCCCCAACCTATGTTCGAGTTATAAAAGTCAATGATGCTTCTTCGCGTGGATTGACTGGCCAGTACTCACCGAATCTTGGAAGAGAAGTGTCACGGTACCATAATCTATCTCTGAGTGAGAATTGGTAACTGAGGGTTTCCGGGGAGTGTGCATACCACTGTGAGCCCCTGCTCTGGCTTGTCCCTCTTTGACAAGGACAGATCGCGTAACTGGCGGGTACGAGAGCAGGCGCAAATTGTGACATTGGTCAGAAACTTTGGCGTCGAAATAAGACTCCTCGAGGTCAAGTCCAAGCGCTATAGACCTCATCACTAGCACGTGTAGGTCATGACACGTCTTAACACACAATATCAGCTATAATGGACATGATGTCGTTAGAAAGGAAACCTACTTGATAGAAATCGAGCATCGTGCGTTTGAATTGCGGAGCATCTGACTCTTGGGGCCATTGATTCTTCCAGGTAGAGTCCCAATCTCTGCCAATTTCCATAGACTCTTTAAAGTCGGGTGCTTTGGCTCGAAGTTGGGCGATTTCGTCCGCGTCAGCGGACTGGGTAACGCGTTCACGACCCACGGCTACGTAGCCACGGTTTGAGCGAGGGTCCTCCCAAGCCAGTTTGGACTACGATATTGTGAATAACCCACATAATGAACATATCTAGACCGTGCTAACCTTAGCTTCCATTGGCATTTTGAAGAAACCAGCACTCTGTCAATACGTTCAAAACCTCTTGAATATCTCGGCCAGGGCAAGAACGTAGATGAAGTTTACCTTAGCAAATACATCTTGGATCGTAGCTGCGACCCAGGTTCAACACGCGTAGAGACTCTGTAGAGGCGAAACACACCAGTTGGAATGCCATGACCAGCCAAGTAGATGAACCCGCTCTCCTTGAATGCAGTCACAATCTCGTCTGCTGTAGCCTTCTTTTCTGGCAGTGATTTCGCCGTTCGGAATTTTGCAAAGTCAATCACTGGTATACGGAAGCCTTCTGCTCCCTGAACTGAATCAGTTCGCGTCCAGGAGGTGATATGGTATCGTGAGACCCACTGTCGCGATCGTCGCCAACCCATAGCGCGAACCACTGCTCAGGGCCCGCAAGGACTTCCGGCTGAAAGCACTGCTACGAAGCGACGTTAAAGATGGAAGCAACATCGCGGGGGAAGTTCAACACAATCTTAGGGGCTTGCGGTATTATTTATGCAGATCAATCTACGCCAAGATAAGGCCATGCGGTGACTGTCTGATACCAGATGGATTTGATCACACTGCAAATATGTGCCATTAGTTTTACCAGGCCGTGTTTTCGAGACCATGAATATGAGATTGTTGAAATGATCTTCCATAATTTATAAAACTAAACTCGTAATACATGGTGCAGAAATCGATAAACGGTGTCTGTGGCGTGGATTAACCTGCTCGATTGTAAGGAATGGAGCCTGGGGAACGCAGGCGGCGGAACAGCGCCATCAAGGTCTTGCCGCCTTCTGAGCCCCACCTACGTAAGACCATTAATTCTGGCAGGAAGAATGAAGTATTAATATACGTACTCTCCCCCAGCTACTTCAGCGCAGCATTTCTCGAACTCCTCTGAAACGGAGACTTCATCCCATTTCTCGACAACATAGTCCTATCCATTATGATGATGAGCCTGTATCAACATGAAGAGCCAAATATCCGGCCTACCTCAACCAACGTATGCAGGTCTTCCCAGATGCTAGTCGCAAGCAGGAGCGCGAAGCTCGATTGAGGAGTAATGGTCGACATCATATGTTCTAAAGAGAGTGAAACCAAGGCCGGCATTGAATACCGGTGGGCAAGCTGGTACATTGACAGGGCCGAAGCAGGTGCTGGGGACGGAGTCGGATGTGGATGTGGATCAGGACTCGAGTGGTTGCGTTGCGAACGAGGAGATATAGGATAATGGGCACCAGGGGGGTAAGTAGAAGTCGGGGAAGAAATGGGAATTGGCACTGTCTTTGGACGCATGCTGGATGAAGAAATGCCTAGACCGTGGGTGGTGGGTGTGGAGGTCGTAGTGGGCCCCGTGCGTCTGGGCGTCGAGGTGGAAGTACTGGTTGACTGCCTATTGGAGGGGTTGGTGCTTGTACTAGCCTTACTGGTGGGGATGTTGCGGGTGCTCGCCGAATTGCTACCGCCCGATGCAGATGGTTGCAAAGATTTTGGTAGGTTAGGATTTCCTTCGTCGTTAGACCTAAGGCTCCCACCACTGGCAATACTTCGAGTATCGCCCGTTATGCTATCTTCGCTGTCGATGGCCTTGCTAAACGTCTTCCAATCCCATTCGTCGCCGCGAAGATTGACCCATTTTGAATTCCACCCAGCAGCGATCCCTTCTACAGCTGCTCTGGGGTCATCCCGTTCCTTGAACAAGACCCAGTTGGCATAACAATACTTCAACAGCCAATAAATCGACTCGAAGTCAGCCTCTTCGACGACGATGGTGTATATTTTCCGTTCCCCTGGTGTGGTCGTTTGGGCCTCAAGGAATGAAGACCCCAGCATGGTGGCGAAGTGCTCAGAGCGTCGAACAAGAATATCAGAGTGCGCATAGATGCAGCGTTTGCGAGCGGTTGTTTGATATATGTGGCTGGACGCGGATTGAGACAGACCGGAAGCAGTGTCGGAAGCCTCTGGCGACGCTATCAGTTCGGGGTCCATTTTCTCTAGACAGATAAATCGGACATCTCCGGTGTCTGAGGAACAGTTGAGTGAACGTTCAACAGGCGAGCAGTAGCGTACATACTGGCATTATCCAAGGATGCCTCCAGACCATCCAAGAGGTCGCGAGGCACGTAGTAGGCTGAAGGGTGCTGAGGGAAGAACGGTCCAACAGGACTGTGAAGCTGTATACACATGACCAGTGAATCCGTCTCTCTGATCCTATCGTTCTCCAGCAGAGCAGACAACGGAGGTAGTGAACACTCTAGAAAGGAAAGGTTCAGCTTATGCCACTGCAATAGCCATACAGGACAAGACTGACCCCAAACTTCACTCTCTTGACGGAAATTCCAGTCGTTGTGCCAAATCTGCCAAACCCAGTCAGGACGCGAACCGCGTTCACCTGACCTATCATCCTGGCATTTAATGGCGACCATTATCGACGCGGGTATCTCATAATCGGCTTGTAAAAAATCCACCATAGCCGTGATATACAGCGACAATGTGAGGGGGCTGTCCCGACCTTGACCTTGTGTTGAGCTTGAATCACTCTCGATGTGAGTCCTAGCTGAACACATGGGCATCGGTGCTGAATTGAGAAGGCACTCAACAAACTGAACGTACCAACTTCGAGTTTGAATTTGTCGTCTCCCAACACTGGAGACTCCCTCAGGATTTCGAAATTGTCTTCAGTAAGGGCAGTAGTCGGCTCTGAGTCGTCTTGGACTGTCTCGGGAGTTTCTACCCATTCTTTCAGTCTGGTAACATCACGAATGGTCCATTCGAAGCCCTGTCGAACGCTCATCAGTGTGCCATTCCGCGTGTTGCAACAAGCGCGACACGCACCGTGAACGTCCACTGTCTGTGGGACTCTGCCCCTGTTCTCGTATTAGAGTTGCGATTCCACTGGTTTGACGAAGACGCGGAATGGCGGTACAGCTGGTTCGTCGACATCGCTGTTGGAGTCGACGAAACAGAATTGGAAAGCCTGCTAGCGTCCCAGGAACCTGATGCTCGTTGCCCAGACAGCGAACCACTGTTCGAGTGCACCGAAGGGGGTCTGCTCTGGTTGTACCTCGTCCACGGCCACGCTGGTCTTGAGAAAACAGGTGTCCGTCCCGGCGAACTGGACAAAGGCGAAGAGATGCGCAGGTGTTCACGTTCAGCTGCCATCGTGTCACGGTAGTTCACGTAAAAGGCTAGCGGGCTCTTTATGTCCTCAAAGTCGTCTCCGTTGCGTGTATTTGGCGTCAAGAATAAGGAATTTGCAGTCGCCGCCCTCAATCATTTATTTCTACAGTTTCCAAGCAGATCGCGCTCAGCAACCTAATAAAGGTGTGATGCGTCTAATTTTAGTAATTGATGATACTATGCTACTGATACAACTTCAATATGTCTCCCAGAAAATGTCCTTCAGCACTTGGCGCATCACTGCAGAGGTCAGTTCAGAGGGTGCACATTATTGAGATTTCTCGATACGCACGCGTCCAGTGATGGAAACCCTGGTCTTCTTGCCATTTGCCAAGCGGGTTATGTGCATCGGTCAAGATCAAGCTCGCCGAGAGCCTCTCGTTCTCCGCAGCTTCACCCTTGACAACGTTCAAGTTAAGTTCTCTCGTAGGGAGGGCGCGAAGAATGTGCTGGCGTAGAGGGGACCCAAGATAATCAGAATGTCGCGAGTTACGGAAGGTCAAGGGCGCCTTCGATGAAGTGCAAAAGAAGACCTAACACAAGGTTAGAGGTACGACCAAAAAATAGTCCATGATGATACATACGACATTGATAAACTCGGCTTCATATCTTTCCACGGGAATGGGCTCCATAGAGTCATGGAATGCCCGACATTGTCCAAATACCTTCTCCAACGTCAGAGTAATAGCTCTGGACGCGTTGGATTTGGGCTGGCCCGCGAAATTCTGTTTCGAAGCAGCATGAGTCTTAGTACAGGTACATACGTTCGACATTTGACACTTACCACCACCAAAATACCATCCTCATGCATGATCGCCTTGAGACCTTGCCAAAACTCTACTGTGAAAATATGCTGGGGCACACCCCCTCCAGAGAAGCAGTCGTGGACCACAAAGTCGAAGAGCTCCGGTTCCTGAGCTGTTGCTAGTTCGGCCTGTCGCTTTGAAACCCAACCTCGAGCGTCTTCGAGGAATACCTTGCCCTCTCCAGGATCAGGTAAACCAAAGTATGTGCGCGCGGCATCATAGACGGCTGGGTCAATCTCGACGATGGTCGTAGAGATGCCATGTCGGTTGAACGCAGTGGCCGAAATACCTGTTCCAAGCCCACTAGCTCTTTGTCAGTCATTGCCGAATCTCAGAATGCTATCAGCTGAGACATACATAATCAAGGCGTTGTTGAGATCGCCTTTCTTGGCCTTCGCGGTGCTATTAACCATGCGCACGGCTTCTTGTAGAACGAAAGTTGAATAGATTGAATCTCCTAGCATGGTGCCAAACGCGTCTTCGAGCGGTGGTGTATCGTCTATAACGCCGATCTTCGCGCCCATCCACACCCCTCCCAGGATAGAATGGTCGGCGCGAAGCCAGCGAACGGAATGCATCTCTTCGTCGGGTTCGCCATTGAATTTTGGGGGAGGAAGGGCCTCGCCAACGGATATAAGGCCGGTAACGGACTGCACTGATGAGTGAATAACGAGAGGGAAGTCGGGGTGAAGGTAGGGCTGTTTGAGAGGATGGGGAAGAACAGGGGATTTCAGGATGGGGTACACGCCAGCAAAGAGTGCACCCAATACTCCGAGGACGAGGAAGTGCTTTGGTCCAATGGTGTCAGAACCCTTGCTGGCGGACTGTTTGTTCCATTGAACTACGAGGCCAAGTGTGCACGCAAGCCAAGCAAGGGATAGGAACTATAAGGTGGTCAGAAACCGAGGTCAAAAGAGTAGGGTATCACGCACTATGTGGCTATCGGCAATCGAGTCTATGAATGGCACTTTGGCAATCTGTGCTTGAAGAAATCCAGAGGCTGCAAGGCTGCATATGATGGCTGAAACCGGCCGACTCGAACTTTCATCAAAGCTTTGGGCAACCTACAACATCTCCAACTGTAAGCTCGATTCTGGATGAAGATATGTGCACTACTCACCCCGATGTGCGAAGCAACAATTGTCGACAAATACGCCACTGGAGCAAGCGTCAGAAGATGCGTTGCCGCTGGACCTAACACCGGGTTTCCCTTCCTTGCTGTCCATACTGCGACGTGGTAGGTCGCTTTCGGGGCGATAGCAAGTATGACCGACAGAAGGAAAAGCAAGCGATTCTTGCCCAATTTCACCGGCACGAGCGCTGCTAGTGCCACGGAGGCGATAAAAGCCCTCTTCAAGAGATATTTCGTAGGAACGGATGCATAGATGGGAAGCAGTGTCCTCTCGTAGGCAAATAGGTAGAGCGCTACCGGGACAACTGAGAGCAAAAGCTCTACGGCGCCCACTACCAGCGAGGGCTCGTCGTTGCCTGCTTTCGCTTTCGCGGGGGCTGGCGGCGAGGGTTTTTTGGATTTGGCCTGAGCCTTGGACATGGAGGTTAGGTTACAAGATATGGAGGTGGCCGTTCAAGCACATGCATAAGTAGTCGCGGCGTTTCGTGTTCTCATCCATTCCGGCATTGCATCAACGGACGCGAAGGCGACCACGTCACGCGTCAAAGATAAAATACCATGATATTTCCGCGCTGGCACTAACTAGCAGACAAATTTCGCAATCTACATGGCTTCGGGGCAATTATACTCGTATCTTCTCTGCGAGTTGGTCCAACAGTGTGACCAGACGGTTCACCTCATACTCCGCGAGCGTTGCGTTTTTCTCAAAGGTGAGAGCTTCCGTCAGGCCGGGAAGTGTCGTAGCTCCATAGCCTGTTATCGAGCCAGTCGTGAACGTGTACCATGACGATTGGTGATAGGTTTACTCACCTAGCCACTTCCCTGGCGCTACAGCGAGATGCTTGTACCATTCACGGTCCTTGATACCCTCCTCCGATAGGAAGCCACGCTCGAACGCGGACAGCTTTTTATTAACGGTATACACTCGTTTAGCCGCCGCCCGCAGTTCACGAAGCGGGTTCTTGCGGAGGAAATGAGGACAAACCGAGTGTCCACTGTGTCTGGCCAAACCCAAGAGGACGTTATCGGGAAGTTGCTCCTCCTCGGTAACAGTATCGGTGTCAGTAGCATCGCGGGAGGGACACTTGAATCCAAATCTCCCCACAATACGACATATCACCCGTCGGACTGTTCTTCTTGACCTCCACTTCATCACCACCTTGAGCCACTTCACAAATTCGCGCTGTGCGGCGTGCTTCTCCAAGTCGAGGCCGACACTAGTTATCCTCAACTTATGGATAGACGACCTGAGGGGAGATACATCGAGGTCGATGGACAAAGATGCGGCGATATCTACCACCCTGCAAAAAATGAGGTCTATGAGAATGATTTGTAGAGATAAATGGACCTACCCGTCAAGATAGCGATCGAGCTCCTCGACGTAGTGCGTGGTGTTGAACGGAAGAACTAGGGAGCTCGACAACCTTAGAGCCTGTAAGCCCAGGTGTTTCGAGACGGCCACCTAGAAACGGCATTAACATATTGCTCCACGTTTATACGTATAACTCTGCTAACATGGCGGAAGAAACCTGGGTCTCCGTAGAGTTCCTGCCATCTCTCTGAGTCAAAGACGGAATGATAATGGTATACCGGGTCATGGAGAGTAGAACTGAACCCGCCGTTGCCACAGGGGATCTGTGGTCATGGAATAAGTCCCACCACTGTTATAGACTGAAGCCAACGTACCCCAATCCATTGAAGAAACACAGTGTAATCGCTACCAGACCCCAACGGGTTGACGCCAATTGGCGCGGTCGAAGTGATCTCTCCTTCGCGGATATCATTGGAAACAGCTCCCGAACTCGCATTCAAACCGAATAGCTTCCCGGAATCGGATGTAGCACTCCACAGAGACCGCCCGGCTTCAGTCGGGTGAGGAAGCTCCTCAGCTGTCTGTCTGATAAGATGTGCGAGTGAAGGTGAACCAGATACAGAGAATCGCGACCCAGAAACAGAAGAGTCTGGAATTATTATGGTTAGGGAGATTCAAGGCGTGTATCACGGTATTGATGATCATACCAAGGTTTAGATAGGCGACAACGTTCTCGCCTAACCAACTCGCAAAATCCTCGCCGTATTCAGTGGAGCCAATTAAGCCGTACTATCAGGTTATACATGTCAGCCTTGAAACGTGTGAAGAGATATCGCAATTACCTCTTCTGCGTCCCAACTTGCGATAACGATAGTCCGCAGAGGCTTCCAGCCCCTTCGTAGTAGCTCACCAAACCCTCGGATGACTTCGTGGACAGACGCTGTTCCACTACTGGGGTCCGTCGCGCCCATGACCTAATACCTGTAAACTAACTTGCAGAGAAAGATCAATGACGATCGTCTTACCCAAGCTACAATAACCTTGAGATCAGGCAATATCTATGTGAAGAAATAACACACTTACCGTCCCTGTGGTTCCCCAGCATGACGATTTCATTAGGAATGAAGCCCGGAATCACGCCCATAGTGTTCCATATGGGAGTCACCTTCTTGTCCACTAAAGTCAATTCAGTTCAATGACTTTGTAGGACTATAACCAAAGTTTCGCCATAGGACGCACCTTTGTTGACGAGTTTCACGTCCATACCCTCCCAACTTCCCCCCTTATCAAGATTTTCTTTCAAAACTTTCGCATTTGCCCAAGAAATTGGCAAGCTCGGGATCTTGGGGATGTTGGAACCTTCTGTTCTTGTGCTGTTTTCGTACGAGGGATAACCAGGCGTGGTCGGATCTCCTGGGTATATAGACAAATATTGAACTGAACCCCGCTGAACGGAGGTTACACTTCTGGCTGGGCCGTGAGGATATCTATGGGTCAAATGATAGATCAGACACCAGAAGATGTGCATGTAGTTGGCAACCTACGCTTTATATCCATTTTCTTCGGTAACCGTACCATCGTCGCGAGGATCTGAGTAGATAACCACGCCCGCGGCCCCAAGTTCTTGCGCGCCTTTAACCTATAAGGTCGAAGTTAGTTAGTCGAAGAAATGGAGCCCTTATAATGAGGTACCTTCAGGCCTCGAAATATGCCCCCATACCGACATATGACTATAGAACCCGTAAGGTTGACACCTACGGTGTGCAGGGGTTAGCATGCCTCTAACAGGACTGCTGCCATGGTGTTAGTACCTTGGTTGACTAGTTCATTGTAGTCCTAATTTCTTGTCAGCTCATTCTGTGCATGTACGCGCCGTTGTATTTACCTCCTGCGTGCCGTAGTTGGCATAAACAAGCTGTCCTACGGCCGTGCCCTCGGGACTCAGACCATGGAAGGTAGGTACAGCATCAGCATACAAATGTGCCTCAGGATCCGTCGCGTCCGCCTCTTCCACCAAGTCAGCTTTCCACACGATTGTCCCATTCTTCGCGACGACGACGAGCTCCCTCTCCAACGGTGTGTTCATCACCGGATAATACGTATCAATCCATGCCGCTGGTTTCTTCAGCTTCGTGATCGACTCCGTTGCGTGACGAGATGCCTCAGAACCCGCAGAGAACAAGGGTTCTGGGGTAGGTGGCGCGATCCCGAGTTCTCGCTGGAGGACTGCAAGGAAGTCTTTCGCCGTCTGTAAATCCTGAGGTGCACCAGCCAAGTGGGGTTTCGTAGCGAAAAGCCGGGAGGCTATGATAGCACTGGCCTCATTTGGGACTGATCTACTCTCGCGGTTACCAGTAAGGTTTCTACCACGGAAAAGCTAGTACGGCAGCAGCAGGCTCACAGGAACACCTTCTCCGCTTCACGTCCAAAAAGCAAATGTCGGCGAGGTGGATGTCCACCCAGTCTTGCGCTGCCGACGTTCCAGAGACTGACTGCGGTGTATGAGGTGTAAGTTATGACCACCAACGCCGCTAGAGCTTTCCATCCAGACGCGAATCGTGTCGTGCCACGGCACGCGTTCCGAGGTTCGTCTTGGTTAACGAGGAGACCTTTAGCAAGTTGCTGCTTTTCTTCATCCATCGCTCGTCGTCGACTGAGAAGAAAGAACCCTGTGTGAGAACAGTCAGCGACGCGCCATATGTCATGTAAGTAGCAAAGTCGTCTATTTTGGAAAGGTAAGTACACACTGCGGATCGTCTAAAGGGGCAATACAAGTACAAGTACACACAACATCGTCCATTGCGTTAAGACTCTAATATCAATATCTATACGTATAACTCATAGCTCTTATTCGAATAACAATTGTCCATGTCGCGAACGTTTCCAGTCGGCAATATTCATCTATTTCGCAAGAACGATGCATGTTCTGCTGGGAATATAAACCTGTAATACATTCTTAGTATTCGATTCGCTACGCTGTTCGGAGGCATTATCTACCTGGATGAAATTCTTCCTCCCATGCCATTCCAGATCCGTGGTGTGGAATGTCGAAGTGAGAGAAATGTTGTCGAATCCGCCGAAACGCTTCTCGTCACTACTGAGGATAATCTTGTATTCGCCAGGTTCCTGGACGCCGACTCTGTAGTCGGTGAAGCTTTGGGATGGGTGGAAGTTGAACACGAAGAGTAGGCCTGCCCGTTCGTAGACGATGACCTTGTCGACTTCGTGTTTCAGAGAAACGTAGGCCTGTAACGCAGATGAGGACGCTGTTACGACGCGCAAATAAACATAGATACGTACTTGGGGAGCTTCCAACCATCCATATTTCGCTGCCGCATGGTTCATGGCACCGTCGAAGTTATTGAGATATCTGTACCGGAGGAGTGGGTCATCGACAACGTTCCACTGTCTTCGCGCATAGTGGAAAGAGTTGCCGTTTCCAGCACGAGGGAAATCCAACCACTTCAAGAATAATCAGTATCTAACGACTGTATTGTGGGACCGAACCAACCTCGGGGTGTCCAAACTCGTTGCCTTCAAATGTAAGGTATCCCTCGCCGCCCAATGAGTGTGTGAGTAATCTGTATTATACCAATGTTATCGTCCAACTGATGCACACGATGAATGGCGACGCGCCTTATCATCTTGTGCAAAGCCAACCCCCTCGCAATGATCGGCGTCATCTCCGTCAGATCAGACATGTTAGTATCTATCACATTGTCAGACGTGATTCAGACGTGAGGTGAAGACGTCAACCTACACATTTCCTTATCCATCAACCAGAAAGCTATCGTCTTGTCGCCAACAAGAGCCTGGTCATGACTCTCGCAGTACGCAATGCTCTTCTCCCCATGGCGGCGATTCGTCAACGTATGGACAATGTCCGCGAGATTCCATTCGTCGTCGGTCTTGTGCTTGAGCAGTTTAATCCACATATCCGGAATAGCCATGGAGAGCCGATAGTCAAAGCCGACCCCGCCTTTGTCTACAGGCGCGCCCAGCAGGGGCATGCCAGAGACATCTTCGGCGATCGTGATAATTTCCGGGAACAAGGAATGCATAGCATCGTTCGCCTATCGAAAGTCAGGTCGAAAACGCATCTTAAGGAAGTGCGTGAGCATACCAGCATGAGGTAGATTACGCCTTCCTGATCTTGACCAGGCCCGAAGTATTCATGGTACCCTCCAGAAAAGCCGGTGCCGATTCCATGGTGAACGTACATCATACTGGTGACACCATCGAACCTGAACCCGTCGAATTGATACTCCTCAACCCAGAACCTCAAGTTACTGAGCAGGAACCTCATCACTTCATGGTGGCCGTAGTTGAAGAGGCGACTGTCCCAGAGTTCATGTCGCCCTTTCCCTCCCTCGTGGAAATAAAGGTGATCGGTGCCGTCAAATTCGTTCAAGCCATCAAGAACGTTCTTGCAGGCATGAGAATGAACGATATCCAAGAGGACCGTTATGCCCATGCCGTGTGCAGTGTCGATGAGCTCTTTCAGGTCCTCGGGCAATCCATAGCGTGAACTGGCAGCAAAGAAGCTCGTAACTTGATAACCAAACGCTAAAAAGGGATCCAATGAGTCCCGACAACAAGCACGATGACAAAGACGCATACATGCATAATACGCGTGCTCCATAACGGCCATGAGTTGGATTACATTGTATCCAAGATTTTGAATCCTAGGCAGAATGTTCTTGGTAAATTCCTTATATGTGCCAACTCTGCCCTCGGAGGTGGAGATCCCGACGTGAGCCTCGTAAATTCTGACATTGGTTGCTTTCTTTGGGCGCGCGTTCTTGAATGTATATCTGTCCGAAGCAGGAGGATTCCAGAACCGAGCGTCATATACCGGAGAGACATTCAAGTCCTGTGTAACGCGGCGAATCCATGCCGGTAGACGCTCAATGCGGGTTCCGGAAGGAAGAACCATGGAAATCTGCACCATAGCTTTAGCTCTTGTGTGCGTGCCTAGTGGAGTGGGCCTCGACTGACCTTTATTTTCGAATCATGCGGAATGGCGCAGACCCCAGTGGAAGTTGGCGGAATAACGAGTTCCCAGACGCCAAAGTTGTCCTTGGTCATGGGATGCGACGTCCTATCCCAGTCGTCTGTGCGCAAACTCGCGTTCAGTACTCGATATAACGCGTAGCACTCGTAAATGAACACTCACTGAACTCTCCAATGAGATACGCTTCCTTAGCATTTGGGGCCCATTCTCTGTACACGACTGTCCCGTCGTCCTTGATGTTGAACCCGAATTTCAGATATCCCTTCGTGAAATTCTCGTATCCGCCTTCGTGTTCCTCCAAAGTGTCCTTCCACTTCCTGAACTTGTCGTGCCTGGCGACGATGGCCGCGGCGTTCTGATCAAGCCATGGGTCGACGTCGAGCACGGTCTTGGTGTCGATTGCGGCGGTGGGCATGGTATCGATGGTGGTGGTGCAGAGGCAAAAGCTCTGGTGCAATTCCGCAAGCGGACGTGACCCTAAATTTCGGTGTGCATGACGTCGTGACTCTGATCGAAGCAGATAACGGAATTACAATCTAATCTAAGCTACACATTATGAGTACGTATTCGTCCGCGGTAGTGAAGGCATGAAAGACCGTCTGTCGAGCAGAAGGGTGAGTTTATCGACAGGCAATGGAAGTGACTGAAGCTCACCGATTTAGAACCAGCCCCTTCAATGCCCGAATTTCTCTTCGCATCTCATCTTCAGCAGGTCCCAAACTATGACCAGGCGGACGATATGGCAGATAAACCTGTGTGCTGATGTACCCAGTCAAGTTGCTGAGCGTCTGCAGCGTGTTCTGCACTGCACTCGAAGGCAAGGGCGCCTTGGGGAGCTTTGGCATGGCAGCAGACAGAGCCTGGAGCGAATCCTTGAGCGGAGTGGGAGCCGGTATTTCTGGTGAATTATACGTCCAGTGCGTCTGCCTGGGCACGTCGTTGGAGGAGTTTCCTTCTGGCTTTCCCTCGAACAGAGGGCAGGTGGTCAGGGTTTCCCATAGATTATTCTACTATATAATTAGATACCATTCAAGTCCAGATTAAGCATTTTACTCACTTCGACCGCAGATCCCTCTGGTGTAGTCAGCGAGGGGAACTTGGCCTCCATCACTTGGAACAACTCTTCCGTGTTTGGGTTTTCCTCACGGTGTAGTTTGGAGATGGAGAAATCGGCGATAGCACATCTTAGCAGCGTAATGGGCGGTATTTTGTCTGGCAAAGAGTTAATCGCCAGAATTGCGTCAATCGAAGTGCACGTAGAGAACTCTTCTGGTTCTTTGAATGGTTCGGGGCGTGGCAAGATGGAATATGACTCTGACTGTGCTTCTTTCAACACCGCGAGATCTGTTGTTAGTTTCCGAATCAATGATAGGTGGTGCGTTTTGAGGGATTGCCGGGCTATGGAGGTACGGGCTATCCGTGGAAGAAGAAATCGCTATGGGTGACAGTTCAGCATTGCATTCTGATCGACCTAAAAATGAGCATTACGCACATGATAGAGGAATATGAGAGCGGCCGAACCCCCGAGGACCCATGAGAAGACCCTCAACAGACCGATGATGAGGTTGGGAAGCGCAGAGGGCGGCACAGGAGGGTATGTGCGCGGCGGAACGATGGGCGCCTGCTGTGGCTATAACGCGCATGTTACACCGGATTGTGTCCGAGTACAATGTGACCAACATACCAACTCCCGAAGCAAGGTATCGATTTCGGTATCCCTCAGGCCCTTTTCGGTGAGGAAGCGGCGCTTCGCATGCAAGTCTTGAGCATATGTTTGCGGCGAAGTCAAGAATCCACGGGCGCGAGAAAGCAATTCGGACCTATCCTCAGTTACTGGACCGAACTGCGAAGTCTGAGGGGGAACTACCTCCGCTGGTGGAGGTTGCGTGGTCTGTGTAGGCTGTTCGCTAGACGTAGAGGGCTGCGGTACCTCAGCAGCCTCGGGTTTGCTGGTCGACGGTGTCGACGATGCCTCTTCGCCAGCCATACTGGATGGGAGTTCAAGAACACGGAGAAGGGCAGCGGAAGGTTACCGCAGCCGGTCACATGCCCATATATAGGAGCCAATAGGGGCGACAACGATAATCAGCCGGACCTAGGGCGTCTCACTTTCTCTTCCATTATGCAGCTTGTCTATTTCGAGGTTTGTTGATAGCACAGATTCTCAAATGCATCATGAGGATGTCAGTCAGCTGTCAAATTTTGAGCAAAGAAGAGTGGTTCTGAACTTTGTATGAATGAAGCCAGACAGGGGCGGATGTTACGTTGCCAGGTTTCAAGCAAGCGAGCAGCGACACCGGAGCTCGTCCATCTTGTTTCCTCACGCTCATGCTCAGCCCATGCACGACGTCCACAACGCTCAATGTTCAGGAATCCAAGCAACTCCTCGTCGAGCCAGTCGTCCGTGCCCCCGACTTCGTCGTCGTCAAACTCCGAATTGATGGCATCCGAGTCAGATGGATCCGCATTTTTGCCGGATTTCCCTGGGACTACAGCAAGTTTGAGAATAGCACTGAGAAAACTGCCCAAGGACGTGAGTTCTGATCTCGTGTACGCTGGCAAGAATATAAGGACCGTGCCTAACACGTGTAGGCTTTTATACTTAGTTCTCGACTTTAATCCGCCCTACGAGTCGCCCTCGAGGTCGCAACCCATTTATTCAGGTGAGTTCGTTGCCAATATACCTGACAGCATAGGCTTGATTCATCAGTCGGCCTCCTCAACTGCACGCCAGCAATCACGCGGTTCTGTGGGAGTAGCGTTGCAGACGGATTATGCCGATGACCTCGTCGCCAAGTCGCTCGAACACCAGATTGTCGTGCAGCGGCCAGAGGACATGTTCACGCCCGACCCGAGCTCAGAAAAGTCGTCTCGAAAGCGAAAGCCAGAGAGCAGGGTATGTCCCCCAGTCCCTCTGACCGCCACACGTGACGGAATGGCGCATTTCAACCTCTCGCAGCTCTACAACTTCCTTCATCCATCGCGTTCACGTTCACGTTCAGGATCGCGGTCACGCGGCGGCGCACGCTCCCCCACCCCTCCGATTCCCGACGAACCTCTTCCCCAGCATCCAAGAAGCTTGAGCTTCAGCGAGGCACAACGACCCACATCATCTGTGATGAGCACCCCAAGTTCAGCGAAGACTGCACGGGCGGGCGCGAAACCTACGTCTCGAATACCATCACGTCCCCTGTCATCAACGACTACCGCCACGAACACGACTATTACGCCGCGAACACCTACTCAAACGAAACCCAAATCTAGGATATTTGATCACAATACTAATGGCCGCAGAGAGAATCCCGCGACCTCGCGACCACCATCACCTAAACCTTCGGCAGCGCGACAGAAGCTTCATCATTTCTTTGGTCTACCCCTCCGTGGCAGAAAACCGATAGTGGATTCGCGGGCTAGCAGCCCAGGTCCATCAGGGCGCGGCTATCAGCCAAACGACCTCCCTCCCTCCCCTCCCCGCCCCTCGACAGCAACGACACACAGTCAACGCATGGAATACAAACCCTCCCAGTCGACTACATCGTCACACTCGCAATCATGGGCTACGACCTCCAACTCCCACTCCCGAAACGCGAGCGAAGATTCCGTACCCAAGCGCAGTAATTCGGGTTCACGGCTTGTTAGGCTATTCTCAGGTAGCTATCCCATCGTTCATACATGAAGAATTGCATTGATCAACGGATGTAGGTCGAAGCTCGTCTCGCTCGAATGCTCAAGCGGTAAAAAACCAAGATATTGGTTCCAGTGTCTCCCTCTCAATATCACCTCCCGTTGTCTCGGGACCATTGTCATCCAAGTCGAAAACACACCGGCGCAGCGGCTTGGGGGGTAGCCTGGACACTGCTACATCAAGAGGACTCCCGTCGGACCCTTCCTCCCTGTTGAACCCGAAGGGCAAAGCCTCTGCGCATCAAACGCCGCTAACACAGGGATATGGTTCAGAGGCAGGAATCCCTCGTATCACAACAACACCTGCCACTCCTGTGAAATCAGGGACATCTCCATCACGAATACCTGCAAGGAGATTGGAGCCAATTGAGTCGGAAGGCTGGCAGCCAATGGCGATGGTGGACGAAGAGGGGAGGGTGGTGAATGGGATAGTCACAGAGGCTCCAAGTTCAGATCGACGGAGGGCTCACGGCAATGGGAAAGAGAGAGATAAGCGGCGCCCCGATTCATCAAATACTAATTCGAATCAAAATCATGCCAGAGGTTTTGGTCCTCCCAAGACAAGGCTCACGAGCCGCGGTACAAAACATGGGAGTTTCGACTTCGAAAGGCCGGGGTGGAGTGGGGTTGCATCAGGAAAGGCAAGTACGATGGCGAGGAGTGTCAGTGGCGGGAGTACGAGTGGGGGCAGTGCTCTTACGAGTCGGACAGGCGGGAGTGGAGTCAACCAAAGCAGAGAGAGCATCACGGGCAACGGCATAGGGAGGACTTCGAGGAAAGGCTCCGCGGACATGCCACCCATATTAAGACCACACGACTACGACGCGGCTGGGTATAGACGGACGACACCGATTGAACCAGACCATACTGGTTCCTCAACACATACGTCTGCATCAGGGGCTACAGGTCTGACTTCCAGCTTCGGCCGCTCGAGTGGGCGGAAAGTCATTGGTGGCGTATCAAAGCTATTTGGTGGAGGTCACGGCCCGTTTCCTTTCGAACCCCCCGTTCCGTCACCGCCTATGTCGACTGGGAGCACTAACCCTAGTCCATCATCTGCAGAGGGGTTCGCCAGGCAGCAAGATCAACGGCTGCTTTCGAGAGGCAAAGCAGAGGAACCTCCAGAAGGTCGATCTCGTACGAAGTTTGCTTCGCGCACAGCAGGAAGAGATAAACCTGCTGTCCCGGTCCCCATACCGCCCCCACCGAATCCATCAAGCAAAGCGGGCGCAGGCTATCGGTCGGGCACCAAAGGCCGTTCGTTGGATCTTAATCTGGGACTCTCGTGGGCGCCGAATAAAGTACGAGAGGAGGCACTGCTCCCCTTTGGGCGGTCCCTTTCGGTATCTCGACGCGCGGAGAATACCAGAGGACATGCGCGAGAGGATAGACAACATCACCAACTCGACGCGGACTTGGCTAAAATTGGCCGTGACATTGCAGAAATTTTCCGCAACGTTCTCGACGAGGAGGGGTATGCCGAGTTCAGGAAATGTAAGTGCACATATTACTGTGAAGAAGTGTCAAATACTGACACCTACAAGATGTCCACCGTTTCGATGCCCACGAAATTCCCTTTGACGGCTCAAAGGGGATCGTGACTCATGTCGAACGCCTGCTCGCAAGGTCCCCGCATTTGGATTCCTCTGGAAAGAAACGCCTCTTGGACAGTTTCGTCAAAATCATCCTCCAGAATGCCTAGCTGTCATTCAGAAGTTGGCTACCATGGTTCTCCCACCCCTACCCATCCCTTGCTATCCTGCGTACCTATTTATTCCTCGTATCTATCTACCATCATCTCGCATCCGTTCATCATCCTTCATTCGCTGCTGGCCACTTTTTCGGGTTCATCTTAGACTTCTGCTTATTGCTTATTATTACTATTCGTTCTTGGGCTTCATGATATGTTAATATTCCGCCTTTACGTTTCTGTATATCTTACTCTCTGATAGTTGGCACACCTTCACCCATGACTTCGACGATTCATCCATGTCGTTTATGTTCTTCCTTCTACGAATTGTCATGCCACCATGCCATTTATGCTATCATGTTAATGTTGTTGATGCTTTTGTAATGGTTTTGCTATGTTGAATGCACTGTTTAACGTTGAAAGGTTCAGGCTATAGTTTATCCGTTATTTGAAGACATCGTTCCAAGTGAGATAAAAGTAACAAGACCGAAATACAGAGCAGGCACTCAATATGGAGTATCTTACGTCGCAGGCCGCAATGCTCGCAGACGTTCCGCCAACTTGTCATCCTCCTGGCCGATCTTGTCCTTCACAGCTAGATCAGGAACAGCCTCCAAGTCTCTGGCCTGGAGATCGTGCTGCAGCTCGATATTGGCCTCTTCAGCGGTCTGGCGTAGGAGCTGATCTATCTGATCCTGTGGTGTAGAGACTGCGGTGGTCGCAGACATAGCGTCCTCCATGTACGATGTTTGAACGTCCATATCCGCGAATTGTGATTCGAATTTGTCCATGACGACTGAAATCTGCAGAGATCCGGTGAGCGACTAGGTCAGGGCGCCGAAGAGACATCAACGCACTCGTTCGAGGTTCATGCTTTCCATGGCCTTATCCATCCCCCGCACAACCGACGTCATGTTGCCAGTGACTTGTCGCATCGTTACTGCAGTCTCGACGCGGCTGGCAACCGCATCGATGCGACTTGATAGCCTGAGGAGATTGAGGGCCTCTGACTTCTTCCTTATGGCATTCGCAGCGTAGATTCGTGCGCCATCGTTGTTCCCTTGCTGTAGCGCCTGTGACCACCCTCTGCGTTGAGGAAGGTTGAAATATGTACAACATACAGAAAGCGTACCTTCTTCAGGCGACTCTTCTCTGAGTTCTCGTCCTTCTGGGCCTTCTTAGCTTGTCGATTGAGAGTCTTCGCGGTAAACTAACAACGGAGTTCAATGATGCGCAGCTCGCTTTGGACATGAATGTAGTAGAGACCTTGAGCTGAAATAGCGTTTCTAATTAAGATCAGCAGGCTCCGTGCCAGGAGGTCGAAGGAGTACTGACTTTCTAGGTTGCTCATGGTGGTTGTCTACAAGAGTGGTCGCGGTCGCAGTTATAATGGAGATTGCTGTAGGCCGTGGGAGTATTGGAGTCTATTCGTTTTATATACCTCTTACCACCAGTAGCACATCTCTTATACCCCAGCACTGGTCGCTGGTCGTTGAACTCGCCGATCTCTCCATCCAGAATGGCGTTGTTGTACTACATGAGGTGAGCCCGTTGTCTTCACTCCTTCACGAATACGCGCTGAGAGACTTCAAGTTACGTGGCCTTCTTCTCAGCCTTCGCTTTTATTACTCTTTCGTTGGGTGGGTGCCAATCAAGCATACTCTGGATCCGGGAGAAGTGACGCTTTCACAGCTAGCGGACTTCTCTATTTATCAGAGCTGATAGAGGAGCACTCTCGGATTGCAAAACTCGTTGGCGAGCGGGGAATCTATGTATGTGCTTGCAACAACCACTGAAGGTTTACTGATGGACTAACATTTGTAGGCAGTAATTGGGCTTCACGTTCTGCTGTACCTGGCTGACTCGCTACCTCTAACGCACGTCGCGTTCTCGGTGGCCTGTCACGTCGTCTACCTTCAAAACTTTTCTTCTACTTGGCCCGTGATCTCACTTACATCGATCTCATTCGTATCGTCCTGCGTTTTGGTTATAGCCGACCACTTCCTCTGGTTTTTCCACTTCTCTCGCCTGGCAAACTACAACAAGCACGCGAGGACTTACCGGGAAACAGGAGGTCAATACTCGTACGGCTTTGGAGAAATCGCAACATTCTTCGCGCTGTGTGTTTGGCTTGCCCCTCTTTTCCTCTTCCTGAGCCTCAGTGCCAACGACAACGCGTTGCCCGTGTCTTCTGGTATGTCCAAGTGTTTTTCGGTGTGTCATTTCACTCATTCGTCTTACAGCCGACCCTGCAACTGCATCACTGTCAAGTCAACAACCCGCCCCCTCACGCGTGTCTCTCTTCCGTTCAATCGTATATGATGCCATCCCCCATGCTCTGGTGAAGAAACGCAGTAAAAGCGAGGGACTGATTGCGCCTCATTCCCCAAGGGCCTCGCCCGCGATCCCAAGCTCTCCTTCCTTCAATACTTCTAGATTCAACCCGTCTTCACCCTCTATCCCCGCGAGCACCGATGGCAACGCTCTTCTCACTCCAAGCTCCAGCTTCCAGCTGGGCACACCCCCTCGTCGGTCTCCTATCATGCGAAAACAGGTCGGTGATCCGGTTGGACTTGGACTGAAGCCGAGTTCATCCCTTAGTACTAGCCTATCAACTAGATGAAGGCCATGTAACCATGTACTTCGCACTATTAGTATATTATTCATTATAATTGAACCATCGGAATTAATGTTCGACGACTGCACGCGCAGCATAGTTGACAACACGCCCAAATACAGTACATCATTGCGACGCGTCCAAGCATGGGCGTTTCTGCACTTTACACTCTACGTCCAAGTACAATTTCGCGCACCAGGTGGAACGGTGTCGAACCCAGCTGTCGAGGCCAAAATGTACCTCTACTTGGGCAGCAATCCTCGTTCCCTGTATCTCCTCACAAGCCCGCAGGACGAGAAAGTCGGTCGGCCGCATAGAGGTCTCGTGTTCCGATGCAATGAGGCAAATCCGACACAGGCAATTGTTGAATTTCTGCCCAAGAGGGAGATTGATATATCGTCTCTTGTGAAGTTGACGAACAGGGTCGTGAAAGGGTGCCTTGGCTTGATTGCAATAGAGAACGGTACATCCATCCCATGGTGGCGCGATCTCCTTGGTTGACCTAGCTTCTGTCACAGACATATTCCTCGCTGTGGTCACCTCCGCGACAGAAGTCGGAAATGCGAGGCCATCAAAGAACAAACCGGAAGTCGTGGCCAGGATTCATGAGGTCTCTTTCTACAGTTTGACTTCCTCTGTCTGGGACGACTTCACTGCGGCGTCCGATGCACTCCCCACTCCCGATGCTATTGATGCGATGATGCGGGATAACTACACTCAGTCAAATCCACAAAACCAGGTCCTGGAGCACCCTTGTGTACCTCTTACGAAGATTCTGTCCTCTGGCTCGTTCTATTATGCTGTCGACTCAAGTTGGGACCTTTCTTCTCGTTTATCCCGGCGGTTGGCAAGAGACCCAAGCATGGCTGTGGATATTGCTGTCTTTGATGAACGCTTTGTTTGGAACGAATATATCGTACGCAGCCTTCTAGATTTCCGAGAAAGAATGGACCCGCATGACCGAGAAGATTTTGACCGATGTCAATTCATTGTACGTACCTACCGCCATGCTAATAAAACAAGCTATTCCTGCTCACTTTCTGTAGATACTAGCCATCCAGGGCTACGCTGGCATCTTCACCATGGCGCTCCCTGCGCCCCCCACTAATGGTACTCCTGCCATTACTACGCTGTCATTGATTTCGCGACTTGGTTGGAAACGTGCTGGAACGCGCTTTAACACCCGCGGTGTCGACGACGACGGCAACTGTGCAAACTTCGTAGAGGTCAGCGATATCACACGAATTGGGTTCATTTGACTAGATCAACTCCTAGACAGAAATCATCTTCAGTACAGACCAGCACTGCGTAAGCTATGTGCAAGTACGAGGAAGTGTCCCACGTATGTGGAACAACCTCTAGCAGACATATATGCGCCATAACACCACGATAGTATTTTGGGAGCAACAAGGCTTCCAGACGTTCGGACAACGGATCCAGATTACCAGGCCTCAGGGGTCACAGCCTGCCTTTGAACGTCATTTCAGGCAGCTCATCGAAGAATATGGCGCCGTTCATGTCATCAATCTCCTTGGCACGAAAGAGAACGAAGTTACGTTAACTACGGCGTACACGCAACATCTGAAAGTTGCTCGTGGATCCTTAGGAGACGACCTCGATATCACACCTTTCGATTTCCATAATGCTGTACGACTGGTGGGTCATGACGGCGTTGTCCGAGAGATCAGGTACATGATTTTTTGGTCTTCTCTGGTGCAGGATTCCTTTAATGTTTTACGTAGTCGGATAGAAAACGTGGTGGACCATATCGATAGGTTTGGCTTCACCATGTGTGACGCTACGTCGGACGACATTATCACTGATCAAAAGGGCGTCTTTCGAACGAATTGTCTGGACTGGTAAATCCCTCGCCTAATTCATTTCATACAATTAAACTCCATGGCCTAGCCTTGACCGCACCAACTTTGTTCAAGACATTCTCTCACGAACAACCATAGAGCAGTATCTTCACTTGGTTCGATTGGAATGGATCCAGTCCAACACCTTATGGGGTTACCACCGAGAGCTATGGGCGGAAAATGGAGATGCCCTGTCCAAGATATATGCAGGAACAGGCGCTCTCAACACGAGTTTCACGCGAAGCGGTAAACGAACACTAGCTGGTTCGTGGATTCACTCTGTCAAAGGGCAATTCATTTGAGAGAAAATTTACAGGTGTGTTGTCTGATGCAACGAAGAGCGTGTCAAGAGCATATATCAACAACTTCCAGGATAAAGGGAAGCAAGTTGCCATCGATATGTTTTTGGTAAGCTCAACGAGACAGCTACAACTGGTCGCTTCCTGATACCATAGATTGAAGGGGAATATGAGCAACCAAAAGCCTGTCATAATCTTTGACCCCATCCATGACTCCGTGCGAACTGCATTAGAACAAAGGTAAGTTCTTTAGTGCCCTCCCCTCCCCGCCCTTAATGTAGTTCTAGAGCATACGAATACTCTACGAACAAGAGATGTACGATTTTTGTAGGAACATGGAATGTGAACGGCAGAGTAGGTCGACGAATCATACGACTCTCCAAGCTCCTCGTGTGACACTGAATTACCCTCAGGCTCCTTCTGAATCTCTTGTACCTTGGCTATTTCCGCGAGACGGTTCGTATTTGCCTATTTCATTCATCCGAGCATATGTTCACTCAGAATAGGTCTTGACGAGTGCGTAATTGAGGTTATTAACGGATTAAAACCTTACGTTTCACAGCCCAGATATATTTGTCCTGGGCTTCCAAGAGATCGTCCCACTGACAGCGCAGCAGATCGTACAGGCTGACCCAGAGAAACGGTAAATGAACATCTCGCTCGGTGAGACTGGAACTTATCGGCATCGTGGAATTTAGGCGTGTTTGGGAAACTAAGATTTTGGAAACATTGGACCAATATCCCAACAAGACATCGAATTATGTACTTCTCCGGAGCGAACAGGTACTTATTTTCTCACCGAGGCGCTCACTTACCTTACTCACGTTTACGATAGCTTGTAGGAACGGCGTTACTTGTCTTGGTGAAGTCAGAATTGACGGGTGTAATGCGTCATGTCGAAGCTGCGACTCGGAAGGTGTGTCCTTTTCATATACTGCTTCAGGTACCACTCTAACCGCGTAGCCAGACGGGCCTCCGTGGTATGTCGGGTAATAAGGGTGCCGTTGGCGTGCGGCTTGAGTACCACGACACTAGCTTCTGCTTCCTCACCGCGCATCTTGCTGCCGGTCACCTGAATGTCGAGGAACGGAACGCGGATTACCGTACAATTGCGAACGGCCTCCACTTTCAGAAAGGAAAAACGATCAACAGTCACGAGTAAGCCCCACCATCCCTACTCTAATAAGCTATATTTAATCCCGCCTAAGCAATGTTATATGGCTTGCGGATACTAATTATCGGATCGACCTCGACAATGAGGTGGTCAGAGGGCTAGCACAGGCCCAAGAGTTCGATGCGTTAGTAGCAGCGGATCAGGTAAGAATACCCCGCCTGTCTTCAGACCAAACCTCCGTTACATTTGCCCGTAGTTGCGGCAAGCTATAGATTCTAAAGCCGCATTTGCTGGCTACGAAGAAGGACCGTTGCTATTCCGTCCTACTTACCGGTATGACCTCGGTACTAGTACGTACGACACAAGCGAAAAGGCCAGAATCCCGGCCTGGACAGGTACTAGTTCTGCTAGCACTCTGTTCTTCTATTCATTCTGGCGCAGATCGGGTTCTGTACCGTGGCAAAAGCCTCGATCTCTCCGTCTATTCGTGCTCGGAGCTAAAGGGATCCGACCACAAGCCGGGTACGTCCTTCGTATGCCCTTTGGTCTATGGTCTACGCAGTGTCTTATGACTAGGTGGCTGATATAGTATACGCCCTTTTCCGCGCTGATGTACGCGTCATTGATGCCTACAAGAAGGCTGCCCTCTCTCGTTTGTTGCTTGAAAGTGTCACCTCGACGGAGCCTGGTGAAAGGCTTGATGAGAAACTTGCGAAGTTATCATTGCCGGTCAATTACTCAGAACGTGAGTGCCCGCTGGTTCTCCGCCATGAAACTTTTTTTTAATGATCGCAATAAGTCCCTCCTCCTAGCTCAGACGATTCAGCGTGGTGGGATGGACCTGGTATGTTACCGCTTGTTTCATACTTGACATGTTGTCTAACCATACAACAGACCACCCGAGTGGTGTTATACCTTTAGCCGAGATCATGAAGGCACATTCAGGACCCCAGAATCTCACAGATCCCTTCGACGTGCCCGACTCGCCTGCGTCTGAATCCGTCTCCTCATCTGACGAAGAGCTGTTTGAACATGCCCTCAATCTACAGACACCTCTAGCACCTACGAAGCCGGTGCCTCGAAAACCTCCGCCCCCGCCTCCGAGGAGCAAGAATACAACTGACAGCCAAACGCCATCATAAATTAATAACAACGTAGACATGTAATAAATGGATCATCAGCTCGCTATCGCATTAGATTAGACCTTGTTTCTTGAGATCTTCGTAAGTCTTGCGATTGTATACGTTGCCCTCGTCATCCTCAAGCTCCTCCATGGTTTCTTGCTCGAAAATTTCGTGTTTGCCTTCCTGCTTCAATTTCTCGGCAACTAGGAACGCACTGGTCAATAACACACCGGCGAAGGGGGAAGTATAGGTACGTACGAGCAAGTGCATCTTCGATACGAGTTATTTCGTGGAAATGTTTTGTATTGGGAAGACCCAGAGCGCGCATCCCAAAGGCGTGCCGCGACTCCTAACACTCGGGGTCAGACTAAGGGCATAACGTACGGGATACAACGAACCTGGAAGTGACGATCGAAGTTTTTGCTTGAGGGAAATAAGTTTGTGTTTGCTAACAGTGTTGGTACATAGACTCACCGGCCCATATAAACATGGTCTGAACAAATTTCACAACGGTACTCCACACCGAGACCGTGCAATTTATACAGCCAGTATGGTATAGGCTTGCCGTCCCATCCCAATGGCAATTTCAGAGGATTGTAGATTCTTTCTTCCTCCTCTTCCTCGGGTGCCCCATCGGCGGCAGCTGGCGGTGCTGGCGGAGGTTTGGCTTGCTCCAGAAGTTCCTGCTCTCGCTCACGAGCAGTCAGGGAGAACCTTCGTTCGACATTTGATTTTGTGTCATTCAAAAAGCCGACAAGAGACGCGAGGAGGAATGTGGCCATATGTGTGTGATACGCAGCATCGCGGAACCTGGATCTCGTAGATGGTCCATGAGATGGATGGTCGCTGCCGTTGCCATTCGGATTCGATGAGGGTTCCCCTGAACTAGCCATCTTTGCTGTTGCTTTTACATGCTTTTTGGAGGTCAAGTGAGCGTCGTAGACAGTTTGTTTTGAGTAATTCTTTTGGCCTTGGAGTTCAAAATGAGTGGGTGATTGACATTTCGATACTAAATAGATACATACAAGGTGCACACCATATCCCAGGTGCTTCACTACCATTCGCAGGAGCTTTCGCCTTGCTCTCCCCCCAACCCTCTATTTCTCCAGCTTCCCACTTCACGTCGAACTCAGCGCCTGCAGTCTTCTCTTGGGAGTCCACATCGACAAGTGGTTGGGTTCGCTTTGAGAATGAGGAGAGATATGAGTGAAGTGTGCGTATGTAACTGGATAGAGTCGTCAATGATAGAAATTGGATGAGAAGAGTCTACATACGTCTCGTAGTCCTTTGTGGCCCTGGTTTCTTGGCTCAGCTCTCGGTGTACTGGCCCAAACTGGGCGTTCATGAGAAGGTCGAGGTATTGCAGATACCCAGGACGTTTCCCCAAGTTTTTGAGGTTATTATACGCCGAGTGATTAGCGTACAAATCAAGATACTTTCCGTATGCCTCTTCTCCGGAAAACATCAACGAGATAGCTACCAGTACAACGTCATTAAGTCGAAGTCTCGAGAGTAAGGTAAACGCGACTCACGATCTTCCCCTTCAAGGTCCTCGTCAGCCTCTGGGTCCGGCTCGTATAAGAAGGCGTCGAGTTCGAGTTCGAGACCGTCTACCACTGCGTCAGGGTACTTGTTGTAGTGCTCCTGGATTTTCACCAACCGGGAGTAGAATTCCGATAGGTCATTCTGCTGAGATTTCGCTGTGAGGTTGTCTATGTCTTCTTTCCGGGCAGTTTCATCGCTATACAGGCCATTCAACGCTGCGACCCGCGATGAAATTCGGTCGAGGACCTGGGAAGCTTTATGTTCGTTTTGAAGCTTGACTTCGTGAGTCGTTGGGTTCCTTGACAACAGGGTGTACAATGCGCGCTCGAGACGTTCGACTTCCTCGTGAGTTTGCCGTTGAACTTCAATAACTGAATCCATGGCGGAGCGCGTGCTAGGGGGAAGCTTGAGGAGGCCAAGGCGCCTACCCCGACGCTGTGTTTCCAACTCCGACACTCACGCCCGTACTCTCAACTTCAACGAAAATGTCTGGTATAAATCCAGGAGACGAGGTGGGTGGGCCATTCATCTTCTCTCTGCCCATGATTCTGACTATTTGCTGGTCAGAAACTCGTATTCGAGTCGTCAGAGGCCATCTCTGTGGTCTCAACCTTCGACGACTTTTCACTGAAGCCGGATTTGCTGCGAGGGATATACGCTTACAGTGCGCAAAATGAACCGCGGAATACGTGTTGACCTTACTGACAGCTCTGAATAGACTTCGAGAAGCCGTCTGCCATCCAGCAGCGAGCAATTCTCCCCATTACACAAGGCCGGGATGTTATTGCTCAGGCGCAATCGGGAACTGGTAAAACAGCCACATTCTCGATATCCATCCTCCAGTCAATCGATGTAAACGTTAGAGAGACCCAAGCTCTTGTACTCTCCCCGACCCGAGAACTCGCGACCCAAATCCAATCCGTTGTTCTGGCATTGGGCGATTACATGAACGTCCAGTGCCATGCCTGCATTGGGGGAACTTCGATTGGGGAGGATATTCGCAAACTCGAATATGGACAACATGTTGTATCTGGAACCCCCGGACGTGTCTTTGATATGATACGGCGAAGAAGCCTCCGAACACGCAACATCAAAATGCTCGTTCTCGACGAAGCCGACGAGCTCCTGAACAAGGGTTTCAAGGACCAAATCTACGATGTCTACCGTTATCTTCCCCCTGCAACCCAAGTCGTTCTTCTCAGCGCAACACTGCCGTATGACGTTCTGGAGATGACCACGAAATTCATGACGGATCCGGTCCGTATTCTCGTAAAGCGTGACGAGTTGACGCTGGAGGGGATCAAGCAGTTCTTCGTGGCTGTTGAAAAGGAGGATTGGAAGTTCGACACGCTTTGTGACCTTTACGATACTTTGACCATCACCCAAGCTGTCATTTTTTGTAATACGCGTCGGAAGGTAACCCCAAAGTCACATGCCGGGTGATCAGAGCCTTACCGTTTATCTTTAGGTTGACTGGCTGACAGAGAAGATGCGCGCCTCCAACTTCACGGTTTCATCAATGCACGGTGAAATGGTGCAGAAGGAAAGAGACGCTATAATGGCTGAGTTCCGTGGAGGCACGTCGTAAGTTGTCTTCTGACATCGACTGAAGCCGAGATCCTGATGCGGGGCCTTAGCCGGGTTCTTATCACGACCGATGTCTGGGCAAGAGGCATCGATGTTCAGCAAGTCTCTCTCGTGATCAACTACGATCTCCCTGCGTGAGTTCCGTTAGGTTTCAGGAAGGACACTGCTTACGTTACATTTCCAGCAATCGTGAGAATTACATCCACCGAATCGGTCGTTCTGGTCGCTTCGGTCGCAAGGGTGTTGCCATTAACGTACGTGCTAACATAGTAATTGATTGACTTCAACGGACTCATCAACTTATCACCACCGTGCCCAGTTTGTGACGGTAGAAGATGTCAGAATCCTCCGAGATATCGGTACGCTTTATGCCTTCCACCTGCCAATTTCTTGATGCACTAACTTCCATGCAGAACAATTTTATAGCACTCAAATTGTGAGTACTCCGCGGCGCATGTTTCTTCGCTGTACTGACCCTGGATTTCAGGATGAAATGCCCGTCAATGCCGCCGAGTTGATTTAGTACCCTGGCTTCATGACTTCCATTTATTTCCCAGTACTCACTCGCTTCCTGACTGCTCGTTGTGTCCATTTGTTTCGTACCACTCTCCAAACGGCTATGGTCACAGGAATCCCTGATCAGGGGCTGACACTCGAAGGATGGACTGTATGGCCCCCGTGTATCGTAGTTACATGCATATTAAAAGGCCCGCTCTAATATTGTACTCGGTCCACTGTGGCTACAAGAACCGATGCTACGCACCACGATGGTCCGCCGAATAATGTCCCCGTGCGCATGCCGGCAGTATTTCACGGACACAAACCTGACCTTAGGACATCAAAGTGAGAGTATCGTGCCTCCGAGGAAAAATTATCGGCGCAATCTGAATAGGCCATATGAACCCACAGAGATCATACAGATCATAGACGGATTCCCAGAGAGCTGAAGCACCCCGAAGCTGAAGATGCCCAGGCGGAATAAGAGAGAAGCACCGAACCATATGAGGGGCCTGACAAGGGTATCTCATGCATGAGAGTCTTATCAGGCAGGCTGGAAAGAAGAGAGCTCACAGGCGGTGCATCGCCAGCACATGTCCGCAGCGGCAATCAAGGACCGATAGATGCCCTTGTAGAACCGTCGGGCGACATGCGATGGGGTTGCACCATCGCACAGGCGCCATCTCCCTGGAGGAGTGATATAAAATAATTGCCTTTCGCAGAGAGAAGATAAGTTCTTGTCACTGATGTTCCAAGGAGTTCTCCGATTCGCCCAACATTCTAGGAAGGCACACGCAGACAGGTGGGGGCCCCTAAGTTGGGGCACTGTGCAGGGCTCAGCCAATCCTCTACAGGCGAGGTCCTTTCTCCTGCTGTAATCTGTCAGTGGCCTTGCCTTCGACCGACGGGGTTCTTTGTATTCGGAATCGGTAAGCGCTGCACAGCAGGCAATCGGCAGATGCTCGAATCAAATCATCGCAGTCTGTATGTTGGGCCGTAAACTGGGGGACAGGGAATGAACATTCTTCCGAAGTCGCCGCGAATGGGGATGCCCGCGAATGCGTGTTCTCCACGTCGATAAGGCACGACAACTCACTCTATGTCGTCAAGCCCTAAGTTATACTTTTAGTATTAAAGTTTCAAAAGAAACGGAATCAAAACCTGAGTGCGAAGCTAATTAACTGTGATATGCGTCCGATTAGTGCCCACGATTGGCATGGTTCCACGGGGTTAACCCACATCACGATAATGTCCGTCTAGAACTAATGAAGCTGAAAGTTCTCGAAGACGGAAGTATAATAAACCTAATGCTGTCCATTATTTACAAGGCGGTTAGTTCATTGCATTGAACAAGGTGTCGTATGACTCACGGCGGCGCTCAGAGATGCATCGCGAAAGTTGGTTTCTAGACTGCTAATGTCTATGACCTGGCAAGGCGTAGCAATTTCGCACGTTAATTATGTGCGTTCACCGCCGAGGTAAGCTCGATGAATTGCTAGCTACAGTTCCGACTTCAGAAGAACACAAAACAAGCAGCGATCATCTTACATTCATTGCGAACCTCGGCATCTACCCGCAGGGCTGGGGTCAAAATCTAAAGGCTGACTCATGGTCTACATATAAACCCAATGGCGAGAGAGGTAAGGGCAAAGCTACTGCCTTGCGATTCACTGCCCCGCTTTCTGCGATGTGCTACTTAAGACAGTGAGCGAATTCTTTCCATCGCTGCAAGGGACGGCACTTACGGAATTTAGAGTGCGCAACATATATAAACGGTGAGTTTGAATAGCCCTTTGCCGGTGGGCAAGCCTCGACAAGTCACCTAGATGCAATCACGGTGTTACGCAGGTGCGTTACAGTTTGTTGCGGTGTGCAAGGGCGATTTGACGCGAGGTTGATAGCCCGATGAAGAGGTCAAGCTTTCGCTCCCGACAGACGGACATACTTACATCGCGGTGTAGATCAAATGCAACCTTGTCAACTGTAAATTCAGTCCACACCACCCCCCAGACTGCCAAGGCCAACAATGCATACGGACATGCTGGCAATAGTAAGCCCAACCTCCACGTGGCTACAGATGCAACACTGACGGCCACCTCTTGTAGCCGACAGTTTCCGCAACAGTATTGTGCGTTGAACAGACCCAACACCAAAGGCACGATTGCTCACTTCATGCTAGCACCTCACATCGATAAATTTTGTCCGGCGTGCGAGGCAAGGTCGACATGATGACGAGGTGTATTTCTGTGAACCCAATGGGTATTACATGCATTGAAATGACTGGGTGACATACAATACAGAAGCAGACAATATATGGACAGCTAGATGTGCGTCGGAGACTGGATTCAATCGTCGCCTATGTCGTGCTTCGATTTCAACTGAGCAAGCTCTTCTTCCCGTCGGGCCAGGTCCGCTTTCGCGGCTGCTGCATCTTGCTTGGCAGGCATGTGGTACAACACGACTATGTATCGCTCTTGTAAGTGGAAACCATTAAGATGGTCCAAAGCATTTTTGGCCTGTACTTTAACGTCAGCGGGTCCCCCGTGAACAACAAGGTTGAACGTACATCCATAACGTCGTCGAAGACGACAAACGCGGTCCCCTTCGTCTTTTGTTCGTTCCCTATTCGAATCTGTCGGATGCTGCCGTATCGGCCGAACAAGTCATACAAGTCCTCTCCAGTGATTTGATAGTTCAGGTTCTTAACAAAGAGTATCCTGTTCGCGCCAGGCGGTAGTTTAGTCTACAAAAGGGGTATTCAGCTAGTGTACTGTGGAATGCGTTGAAGCCGTCGTCTTACCGTAGGTCGTGCAAGCGCCATGGGTGAACGGAAAGAGGAGGTAATAAGTTGATGCTTATTTGGTTCTGGGGACAATGCCCATTTCAAACAGCCGATCGGATCCCCATCGAGCCTACACACGATTCCGATTCTGAATACACACGACTCGGATTGGGATTCGTACGAAACATTATCCAAAGTTCGAAATATACAACTGATTTTGATTCGAGATCAAACCCACGCAGCCGCGAGAATCATCATGGTCACAACCGACACTATCCCTGCCGTCTTCCCATCGCCATAGCTCGCCGCGCCGTTGGAACCAGGGGCGGTAGGTGCTGTCGACGACGGTGCTGCACCTGACGCCGTCGACGAGTTGTCTGGCCCAGTAAGGAAGAAAGTCCCTGCGATGGGCGTTCCGAGCTGCAAAGCACTGGCGAACATGGAAATATTGAAGTTGGTTCGCGGTGTGCTTGCGTTGACCAATGGCGGGGCATTGGTATCAAAATTCGCCGACTGATTGAAGAGCAGTATGACATATCTATTGCCGACATCAGTCATGGTCAACCGCATGAGAACCATAGCTTATGCGAACCTGTGTGGGTCGGAGCCCGCAGGGGGTGTGGGCGGCACGAAGTCGGAAAGTGCAGCACTAGTATTCATGAGAAGCCCTCCAGTCGCGTTTGCACGGAAGTCGCCCCCAAGCATATGTCTAAATTGGGAGACGGACGTGTTCTGTGGAGTAGGCGCATCAGGGTCGATGATGGCGAGCACAAACGTCCCATTAGCAAGGGTCGTGTTAGTTGTATTTAGGAAGAACTGAGGCTGGATCGAGGTCTCTAGAGGAACAGGTATTGCATCAGGCACCTGCATGTCTTTGAAAATGCACAAAGAACTTACGGGTCATAGTTAAATTCATGCCTGGGGTAACGTTCAGCTGCTGCATATTGGTCGGGTCGGTGAAGACAACGTCGATGGCAGCCAGCGGGCTGAAGGAGGGAAGCACATCAGGGACTACACGTCCTTGAGTGAACGCATCAGCAGCCCGTTGGGCGTCCTGCCCATAGGCGAGGAGGGACAGAAGTAGAGGAACAACCCACAACATTTCTCGAATTGGGAAGGCGGGGTATGTTGCCTTTATGTAGCGAGGTAAGCGAAGACCTTGCCGACCTCCCCGCCCGCGTGTAAGTTGCAGAACATCCATGAAGTCATGGCTTTACATCCCGCGAAGCGCAGAAGCAAGGCTTGGGTGGACGGATAGCGGATTAGGTATGTTTTCTGAGAATGGAAGTTGACTTCGTGAGAGACGGTGGTCCTCGAATATATGTGGGACGCAAGCCAAGACACGATCAAGGGAACTTTCAGACCATATATAATTGATTCTCCCATGATAACATCGTCGGTTTGAAGTCCTTATTAGGCGCTTAGCATCCGCGTGGAAGCTGTTACAGGATGTTATAGACTGTTACACTTTGAATCGGCTGTGTCCTTGATCGCGGGCATCGCTATCACAACATGGGCTCCGAGTTTCATGGCGCAGTTGACCGTATAAAATGTTCCACTCGTGGTTTGGCGGCTTCGCTCTTGCTCGTCTTGCTGGCCATTACGCTCTTGAGTCGGTGCTGGTCGCCTACAAACGAAACGAGTGCTGGTCACTCCCAAACAAATCCTACGATGCTCAAGTCACTCACCTTCTTCGAGCTGCCGAAAGTCAAGGTCCCCATGCCGCAGTCCCTCTTCGTCTTGACCGTAGCCTCGCTTCTGGGCGCCTCTGTATCACTAATCGTATCCATGCTCGACCTGGGCGTACTTTCGCTGTATGTGACGCCCCCAGTCTCCGCAATCACCATCATCTTCCTATCCGTTGTGCTCGTAGTCGCACATCGTAAACGGGAAGAAGGCTATCCGAGCTATTACTCCACGACGATATTGTGCGCCTACATCGTATCCATAGGATGGCTCGTGGGGTTTATCACGACAATGGTGGTACTTGTGAAGGGTGAAGCTGTTGGATACCAGGTGAACACGCTTAATATGCAAGGCGTCGCGGCCAATGCCCACACGCAGCGCTTGCAATGTTTTCTTACATTCGTGGAATTCACCTTGGTGGGGGGGCTGGGTTTATGTGGGCACTTGATAGCGAGGAAAGAGGGGGAACCGGATAGTTGGAGACCCATGGCAGAGGTCACGGAGACTACGACCAAGGAGGCCGAGGAAGGAGACTTTATTTGACGGACGGTTATTGTAGGCATTACCCCACCTATCCGTCTCTAACCCTCCTAATTGTATTGCAGCAAGGGAACGTTATTTACAGCCAAGTTACGGGCTATAGCGTTGGCGATAACAATTAGAAAGAGTAATGGGGGTTAGGACAAGGATGCCTACATGCTACTTTTTGGTAGATCCCATTTTCATCAATCTCTCCACCTCTGCGCACTGCTTCTCTCCTCGCACACAGACCACAGTACCGGAATCCTTGTCCTCCGCGTCAGGTATTGTGCATTTGATGTCCTGCACGTCGGGACAGGGGCAGTCTGTGGGTTTCCGCACGCAAACCAAAGTTGTTGGGCATAGATAGTGCGAGCATGGCACTGGAAATAACTTCATGAGACGGAAATTTCATCAGTTGTTGTACATTTCATACCCGTGTCAGCCTGAGCGGCCCACTGCGATGTACCAGACGGTGGTTCTTGTTGGCGCTGTTGACCAAACATCTGGCTGAAATCCCATCCTCCAAATTGAGCGAGTACGGCTGGCAGAAAGCCACAAATGAGCAAAAGAAGGGTGATTCTCGAGCTCATTGTGCTCATTGTCAAGTGGATGAAAAGGTTGTGGTCGTGGTCGTGGTCGTTATCTACGTGTCACTGCTTGGTGTTGGCTTCGCTGTAAGACGATCATGTGACTAGATGAACCAGTGGGATGATTTGTAGCGTTCCCAAACGTAGTGAGAAAACTAATGACAAATCTATGATAACTACAGTAGAGGTGTAGTACGAGGCGGCATGTATAGACTGTACAAAGCTAGAGCGGTCATTTGGAAAGTTGCGTCGTAAGAAAATACATTGAAATAGATAGATGGGTTGAGATGAGGATAAAGCTAGAACTTATCAAGAAGAAATCATAAATGTCCGTGGCAGGAACGCTTCAAGGTTGACGATGCATCAGAGTTCGTGTTCTTCTTCGTCCTCACTGTCTGCCGTATCCGCTTCCCTTTCAAGCATACGCCTGAGCTCCCTCCGAGCACTAGGGTTGGCCATAGGTGTCAAGGCCGACGCTGGATGTAGGCCAACGATGGGCCTCCGTGGCGTAGGCGATGGAGGACGGGGGCGGAGGAACGCGGCGGGCTTTGGCGTGACGGGGGTACTACGAGCTTTACTCGGGCCGCTTAGGTCAAGGTTCTTCATGCTAACAGAACTTGGAGAAAGTGGCACTGTGGCGGACTTCTTCAGCTTCCGTCGGGGCGCGATATTCTCCTTCGTCGATTCGTCCTCCTGCGAAGGTGGGGTCTTGTTTTCGGATGCGCGGGGAATAAGGATATGAGTATCTTGATAAATAGAGAAACCGGGATAGTGTTGGGATTGTGGATCGGGTGGTGGCGGCATTTCGCGTGGGATCATGTTCGGGGCGCGACTCTGACCAAGAACCGCTGATGAGTCAAATTCAAAATCACTGGACTCATCATCCGAGAATTCCTCGAATGGTGTTGCCGATAAGTGGTTCGAGTCCGATGAAGCCTCCGCCGCAATGATAGTCGACGTCGTCGCTACGCTTGGCGAGGTATACGATGGTGCTTCCTCCTTCGTTACTTTACTGCTCCCTTCCTGGTTCGTGCGTTTCGAGGGCGAAAAGTCGAGTTTGCGCGCGGGGCTCTCGGGGCCGCACAGCACAGCAGAGAAGTACGAAGGTGTTGCCCCTCGGGAAGCAAAGAACGGACTCTTTGTGGTCTTCTCCGGCGTGAAGATGCCCTCCTCTTCAAGTAGGCGACGTTTGGTCGGGCTGAAAAGGTTTGGGGCCCCAGGAGATAGAGGTCGCTTATTGGGTCGTACTTTCGAGGAAGTTGGTAAGAATTGTTCAAGAGGTAGCTCTTGAAGAGGGCCGGAACGTCTCATGTCGAAGTCGAGATAGTCGTGTCGTGAATGTTGCGGGATCGAATTCGCGTCTGGCAAGGGGAAGGGGTTGAACAAACAGGAGGCAAGCTGCTATTAAAATAATTGAGCCACACCAAGGCCTCGTGCAGCAAATAGGAGCAAATATAAGCCAACAACGCGAACTGTCACGCGTGACAGTTCGCGTCTCATTTACCCAGATGATTCTAGCCTTGTCGTCAAGGCGAGGCGCATACCCTGCGGAATGCAGAGAATCGGGTCCGCCCAGAGAATCAAGGTCCATTCTCTGACCCTCGGTCACCTCAGGAACGTCGGTCTGCGACTAGACACGTTCTACATGACGCGGACTCCGATAACAATAGTCTCAACGACTCCGACGCTCGTAAGAGTTTGGTGCTTTGTAGTGATGTGAAATCTATTACAGCCAAGAAAGCGATTCAACAATTATGCCACAAAGGATAAATAATGCAAGATACAACTCGGATATAGTTACTTTTACAGCGAAGGCGCGTCGGTTTTCATCACAACATCGAAGACTCCGGTTCCCGTAAAGTTGGGTCTGCCAAGAACGATGTTCCCAGACGGCGTAGAGAGATCATCGTAATCACCATATAATGTCGCATCGGAGAGGAACGCGGCGGTGGTTTCATAAGAAGCTTTTAGCAGTGGAGATGCGTTGGTGGAGATGCCGCTTCGGTTGAAGGGCTTATAGCCACCATCAAAAGTCTGGGGAAGATCATGAGGGCACGTTTAAGAGACAATGCAGCGGAACTTGCCATGTAATCAGCAATCAGTTCGAGATGACGTCTGTCCACCTGAATGCTATAGGCGCCGAACACGCCACTCATCTCGCGAAGAATTGCAGCGCGAGCCATTTCTACGCCATATGTCTTGAGAATAGCATAAATATCGTTGGAGTAAATCTCATTGTCGACTAAGATGCTTTCGTCAGAAGACGTCGCAAAGTCCCACATTCCTTTGAGGTTGGAGCCATTGGTATTGAGCTAACCATATCGGACAATGAGTTCACTCGGTATTATGAACGGGGAAGGGAAGTAAATACCTTCACTACTGAAGCATCGTCTTTTGATTCCTTTATTTGAAGACAGTCCACAATCCCAGGGATCTCACGAATGACAGTAGCCCGACATGTTCTCTCGATGATCCCAACGAGCAATAGTTTTGGCATTCCGGGAGAGAACTGGCCAAGGGTCAGGACGGCCCTTCATTCAACAAAGGAAAGAGTGCTTCACCTGAAGTTCGAAATTGCATTCGAATGGTGTGAAGTCAAACGTTGTTGCCAGATGTAGATTTCTCATAAATAAGTCAGCGACGACCCGCGATGCTAGTTTCGTTCGTTTCTTCGACGATACCGCTTCGTCTTCGACAACCTCCCCATCGTCCGATGCGTACGCCGCTTCTATGGCCGCTTCGTTGTACTCGTCCCCACCTTCGCCCTCATCTTCGTCGTCAGAGTAAGTGGCCATCTGTTTCTTTTGTCGAGACCGTTTTTCATCGTCAGCATCGCCGTCACCAGCTTCGCTCTCCTCGTCCTGGCCTCGCTTAGGCTTGGGTTCAGCTTCGTCCGCCTCTTCGTCATCTGCTGCGTCGGCGGCACCGCCCCTCTCTTTCTTGCCCTTACCCAGCTCAGCAATCTGACTTTTAAGATCCGCGTCCAGTCGCTTCATCTCGAGCTGCATCTCCTTCTTCAAAAGAAGTGGGAACTTCGAGGCGAAGCAACCCATAATCTCGGAATGCTCTACGTCGTATTCGGCCTCATACTCTTCTTGGGGGAAAAATGAGAGCTTGACCGAGAACTCGGTTCGTCGAGTTTCTCCCTCGACCTTCAATCGCTCCTTGACCGTGACGTTGTCGATGATTTGGGAAAGTACGAGCCTGCTAGCTCGCGTACAGAACAACTTAACGTCTTCGCTTGATACGCCTGGCCGAACTGTCATATTCATAGAAGGCGTTTTGGGATTTCGAGAGGCAGTCATAATGATCTCTCGCAGACGAGGAATACCCAGTGTGACGTTCGCGGCACCGTGGCCTACTCGAGGTTATTGATGATCCTTTGGGCACCGATTAAACGGACTTACCGGCGAAATGGAAAGTGTTCAGTGTCATCTGAGTTGAGGGCTCCCCAATACTGCAAAGATGATCAACCCTATGTCGAGCATAGGCTTAGTGGAGTGTTTGCATACCTTTGCGATGCGAGCAAGCCGACAGCCTCCCCGGGTTCAACAAGACTCCGCATGTACTTGATGTTCATTAACAGACGGAAATGCAACGGGGAAATGGGGGAGTATCTGGATGGCATCTGTTCCGCAATATCCTTCGTCTCGAGAAGTTTATCTGGATTTGTCTTGACGTAACGAGCCACGGCGGTCGCAAATTGCTCGGAAGTACTACCCAGGTATCTACTTGGGCTATATAATGACAGTGCCGGCTCATACTTGTCACGTTTAGAGGGTTTGGTCATGTCTGGACGGTCAGCCGGGCGCTTGAGGACTTTCTTCATGTATGCAACGGCCTCATGATCATTGATAGAGTTGATGACAGCCGAAGGTTTGTAGAGATTGGCAAGGGAGACTTCATTGAGCGCGACGAATTCGAATTGGTAGAGATGCTTTTGTTTCGTGACGTCGATAGCGTCGCCACCATAGTGGAACTGGTAGACGGATTGATCGCTTCCGCGAACGGTGTGGTCGTAGTGAATTCGTATACCCTCGAGATGTTTGATCAAACACCGTTGCAGATACCCTGAACGCGATGTCTTGACGGCTGTATCGATGAGACCTTCACGGCCAGCCATACAATGGAAGTAGAATTCTTGAGGCTTGATCCCAGTCAAGAATCGGCTGGCGACATAACCACCGGCGATCGCCTTCGTTTCGAACGACTTGAACGACGGTAGCGTCTTTCCGCTGACCATGACAGGTACTCGCCGGCCTTCCAATTCCTGTTGACCAAGAGCGCAGGAAATTTGGCGAGCGTTGACCGCACTACCCTTCGCACCAGAGACAGTCATGGCCTGCATGTGGTTGTGAGGGAATTTGCGGTACAGTCCCGAAGGCAAACAGGCCTTGGTGATAGATGCCGTGAGATCATTTAGCTTTGTCTTCACTGTCATATCGAGGCCAGCCATTTTGTTGTCATCTCGTAGGACATCCTCCAGTAGATTTGAAAGAGCCGCCGGTAGCTCGTTCTGAGGGGTATCCTTTAAAGATGGGAAATTGTCAATGGCGGCTTCGGTACCAAGGTTCTTGTCTTTATTCAGCAGGTCGACACGTTTTGCATTTCCATCCGGAGTGAGAATCAAATCATCCATCCGACAAGTAAAAGCACGGTGTTGCAAGAATTTGGTAAAGAGTCGACTGAGGATGCCGAGTAATCTTCCAGCGATCTCTGCGCCATAAAGTTCGTAGACAGAGTGGATGAGGCCGTAATCAGAGGCACCAAAAGCTGCTTTGTCCAGGACGCCACAGAGAAGTTCTCCGTTCATGAAAACGACTTGATCTTCTTTTGAATCGGGGCCCCATAGAGGTCCAGGGACTTTTGCCGTTGCGCGCAGGTTGAGACCATCAGTATGACTAGGTGTGATGTTTTTCAGAATAGTCGAGATCTAAGCGTATACCATCAGAGCCGATCATGATCGCGTTAGGACAACAAACGGACAATTTGCTTCCCCGTCCAAAGAGGTTTGGGTTTCCATATAGTCGGCGGAAGTGTGACCAGTCGGCTCTGATCGTCTTCTGGACGTAAGGAACCATAGAGTAGTTGGAAATACTCCTCTCGGGTGAAGAACGCATCTTGGCAAGTCATCCAGACCCCAGCAACAACGTGGTCTTGAATCAGACCACGCAATGGGTTTCCTGATGTTGGTACGAGGTATTGATTATCGGTGTTAGCAATGAACATTGCTTCCGCGCGAGCTACCTGATTTTCTGGTAAAAGGAAAGATTGGAGTGGTGTCACCGCATATAGTTATAGTACTTACGAGGGAAATGTATGTTCATTTCTACGGCGCAGTCAGAACGGACGAAAGGGGACAAAAGAAAGGCACACACCATCACCATCAAAATCAGCTGTGGGGACACTTTCAGTCATTATTTTATCTCGGCGTGAAGCTACTTACCGTTGTACGAATTACTGATATATAATTAGTGAAAGAATCGAGTTCGACAAGAGTATGATACACATACCAGTTGGCATAGTGCATGCGGATGGTCTTTTCTCCTTGCAGTACTCGAGCCTTATGTGCCATCATACTCGGCTTATGGAGGGTGGGCTGCCGATTCAAGATCAACATATCGCCATCTCGCAGATGTCGATAGACTTTCTTGTTGACAGAGGGAGTTCGTGTGTACAACCCGCCCTTCGTCCGTTCGTTGTCTTGGGGCGTCAACAATTGATTAGCAATAGCAGTGCGCTGTTCAACACTCATTTTATCCTGCATGACACTATAGTGAGCCATCGTAGAAGTGCGCTCCAAGAAAGGAACTGACAAGGAACAACTGATCGCCATTCTCGTATTCGACCATCGTAGCACCTGGGTATCCATGTGGACCTGTTATGACTCTCTGACGCATTTCGTGAAAATTGAAAGGGGTGACCGGCTCAGGGAATGTGAGCTTCCTCGCAAAGACCGGTGGTATACCAATTTCATTGGGCTCGATATTAACATCGGGAGAGATAACGGAGCGAGCGGCGTAATTGACTCGTTTGCCCTATATGCTGGAATGAATACTCGTACCGAATAAAGCAAAATGGCACCCCATACCATCATGTGTTTGCGGAACAAGCCTTCCTTCTTCTCGAGTAACTGCTTGACACCTGCTGGAGGAAGCTTCCCCTGAGGCATAGGAGACGGATTTTTGTTGCTATCCATGAAACTGTTGACGTCCACTTGTAACTGCAACACGCTATCAAGCAGCATGCTTAGAATCCGTCGGCGATTGGCCTCATCCAGTTCGGCTGTCTTCTCAGACGCTTCCCGCAAATCGTTGTTGAGGTCACGGAGACGATATGAGGTTTTCAGGACTTTGGAAAGCAATTCATTCTGGGGATGCTCGAAGAGCGTGTCGTTCATCTTCGCAGGAGGTCGGAAACGCGTAGGTGTAATAGGGATCACGTCGATGAAGAATATATCGGGAGAAGCGAGCGAAAATCCAGCAGGCGTCAGAGGAGCGAAATGACCATGGCGCCCATACAGTAACGAACAGATGAGGGCTTCGCGACGGAACAAGCGTCGAAGATGAGCACGACACTCTTCAGGTATTACAACGCGTTCTGCTCGTCCTCGAGCAGTCTTGACCTTCCCACTAGCACTTTTAGGCAAAGCTGCCGGATCCGTAGGTTCTCCCTCGTCGTCACTTGGTTCCGGACTCGACTCGGGACCATCGACATCCATCTCCACATCTCCATCTTGGTCTGTGCTACCATTGACCTCCTTTGCTGGGAGGTCGCCAAACAGTTTCTCTTCGCGGAGGACATTTGGCCGCTTTAATCCTTGGAGCGAGTTCTTCTGCTTCTTTGTTAGGTCATACTCGATGATCTTGGTGTGACCCTCTTTACGGAAGGTGTACGCAGGCCTAATTAGCTTTAGTATAATGAAGCAAACACACAGATACCTCCCACTTACGCAAAGCAGCCTTCGTTATGACATTTATTCAGCGTCGTTGTCTTGAGGAACTCAGCTATCAGTTGTTTTCGAGCTTGGTAGACTTGGCCATCCTTGTAATTGTCACGCTTGTTTTCTGTTCGCTGTAGATGGAGCAGAACGTATAGGTTGATGCGCTTCTGGAAGTCTTCGAAGGATTCCTCCGAAACCTCGGCAGGTTCATCGTCATCCTGCGGAACGCCACGTTTCCCTAAACCTGAGACCCTTATGTGTATCTCGTCGATACCTTGAGCTGCATCCAAGAGCCCGCGCTCCAGCAGGCGGAATTTCGCAATGTATTTGCACATCTAAGCCGGTCAAGTCAAATAAACTGAGATGCTTTCTCCAAGATGACGATGACTTACCACACTCCTTCCCATCTTAAATCGGTGGCAGTATAAGCATACCCCACGTAGGAGGTTCAACATATTTGGCATGAAGAGCGGGTGGAAGACTGGCGCAGGTAATTCGATATGGCCAAAATGGCCAGGACACGAGAAGTATGTGAGATGACATGTCGCGCAGCTTTCCAACATATATATCAGCAATTGATGTTCGTCCTGAACAATAAGCACTAACATATCTTGTCGTTCGCTTGGACCAAGTGCGGGATCGTAGAGGCCTCCATGATTTGGTCTATTGAGATCGTCGAGGAGGACGGGATTTATAATTTGCTTGACAGATATTCTCCGGATATCATCGGAGGTCAGAAAAGAGAAGGAGACGCTCTTCACAGTCGACGGGATCGACTGCGAGATATTCATGGCCACCACTGAGCATGTGCCCTAAAAATAGACCACCCAAATTTTTGAGTACTGTATGTCACGTGATGCTCAATTAAGCTCCTCTCAAAGAATCGAAAACAATTCGAGATACAATGTATTACAGTACTTCGAAGATGGTATAATTACAGACCAAGGATAACAATCTATACCATGCCACTACCCCTGCGTATGGGCGTCCGAACCTTCGCACCTGTCTTGATCTTCTGTGCTTCACCAACTAGCTCGGCGATCAGCTTGTTATAGGTCTCGGAGTTCTGCTGCAGAGCATCTTTCGCTTGCAACGAATGTGTTAACACAGCGGAAGTATTCGCCGTCTGGCTGCGGATTTCAGCTAGATAGCGTTCTAGGACCGGAAGAGGCTGGAGAGATAGATTATCTGTTGAATGGAAGTGAGTTGCGTAGGCACAAAAGCGACGGAGAAATAATAACCGGGGTTGAGGCTGAGGAGTTGCATGATCTTGCTCTCATCGAGCTCTGGCTTCGGGCCAAACGATGGTCCTTGTCTGTTCCCTAGTTGCGGTGTTCCCGGTCTGGTAGTACTTCCGAGTTCAGCATGCACTTGTCTGGGACCTGGAGGTGCAGACATCGGCCGTGTACTGATCTGCAAAGGTGGAAGGGGTCTGCCATTCGCGTGGGGCATGACCTCGTCGAGATTAACCGGTACCCCCAGCGAGATCAGATGCTGTCGCCTTATTCGCGACCGCGTCCAGTTCGGAGGCTTGATCGTAGGCAAAGATTTGACCAAGTTGTTATAAAGGTCGCGGCTACGTGTTTCTACCAAATCAGATGAGGCTTGACCTTGCAACATAATACAGGGTTGCGTACCTTTCTGGGTAAATCAATAATTGAGCAATCCCTTCAGCTTCCCGTATGTCGTCGCTCGTCGTAACATCAGATAAACTACCCAGACCCCATAAGGATGTAAGGAGGTCACTAGTATGCCGCTCTAGTTGATGCCTGCCAGGCAACGGATCGAGGCGTAGTGGTTCCCATGCATCCGGTAACGTCGATGTCGAAGGAGTCTCGAAAAAGCCAGTGTCTCCAAACTGAGTAGAGCCACCCTGTGTATCCTGCGGTTCCTCGAAATCTCCAAAATCACCGAAATCATCTTCACCTCCCTCTGTCTCAGTCGCCTCTGCTGGCTCTCCAAACTCGTCATCAAACTCATCGAATTGGTTTCTTGGTGTTAAATATGACTCGAGGGGTGTCGTGGGCTCTTCAAGAGCACTGGTGGAGGGTTCGATTTTGATTGGTTCGTTTACACCCCATACGTCGGCGCCGAATGTGAAATCGTCCATTGGTGGTCGCTGTATAGTATGAAGATAGTACGCTGCTTCGCTTCCTTGCCAAGCCCATCATCGCATAAGCGCCCATACAATGTGTTGCCGAATTGGGATGAGTCGTCTTCCGACACTCAGGATTACACCTGTACAGAGTCGAATATTTCGAACAAATGCTGCTTCGGCGCTCTCCAGAAGATCATTCGTTCATCTTCTCGGATGGGGTACAAGTCGCCGCCTCTAGCGCGAGGAAAGTACACATCCGTCGACTCCATGACCTGCTGCACCTCTTGATCCAGCGGCGCGATAATGAACGCGCAAGACTCGCCTGGTCAATATTGGCTCGGTGCAAAGAGGCCGACTGGATGGTTATGTGGTCTACGGCGCTGTTAATCCTGTCGAACGAAAGCCCGTCTTCAAACACTCGTGACGAATCACGCAGCATTGAGTTCCTGCGAATAATGATGCTGCAGTATCCGAACGATGTAAGAGGCGTGTTTAATAAACCGACGAAACTGTCGAGCTGAATGTCCGTTAAAGCGTGAAGCTATACTACAGGAACTAATCATAAGCCTCATAAACGCGTCGAAATACCAGGAAGCCCTTAGTGAACTAGATTTGTACTCCTTCGCTATTTCTTTCGAGGGATCTAAGCTTACACCGATGCATAGGTATCTACCAACGTTCCCTTACCAAGAGAATCCGATGCTACATATGTTCGCTGGGATGTTGTCCCTGTATCTAGCACAACCGACGTCAGGTGAGCACATTCACCGGGTTCATAGACTGTTGCTTGAAGATACCTTCTAGACGCAAGCTCTACTTACAATCATTCGCAACTGCGAGAGGCAGAATCACACTTTAAACGCGCAGTCTTGTTGGATCCAGAAAGCTCCATAGCAAGCGCATTTTTGAGCAGGGTACGTGTACGTTTCTTATTCACAACTATCTCGGCGTTCATCGTACTCGTGAAGGTACAGAATATATTGACCGGCGATGGTAACGGTAACGGACACACCGTAAAGGGCTACGGATCAGAAGGAGACGATGTTATGGACGTAGATAGTCATCGCCCAAAAACAAAACGCATGCGGACTACAAAACAGAAATCCATTTAGTCTGAATCCGCATCCGAGTCCGAGTCCATGTCTATCGACGGAAGCTCTTCGGTGGCTGCTGGTTCCGTACGTGTTTGAGTGTGGTTATGGGTGATCACAGATGGGGAAGATGTCTCTTGCAATCTTGACGATGACAGTGGGGTCGCCGGCACAATTAAAATTTTGGAGGCAACATCCCAACTCGACGGAGGCTGGGTGGTTTGGTCCGCAACGGGTGCTACGGCAAGACTCGAGGTAGACTCCGAGGTTTGCTGTTGTGTGATATTGTGGACTGGTGTGAACGCTTGGGGCTGCCAGGCCGCTGGTGCGGGTGCAGGGACTCCGACACTCGATTGTTGGCCTTGCATTGTCATACTGGAGGGAGCGGGTATATCGCTGGCCATTTCCTCATCCACCGTAAGCCCTAGCTCAGCCCTCGCTTCAGCCTCTTCTTTGCTTTCCTCTTTCCGCGACAAAACGAATGATTCTATGTGTGGTTGTGTGCGTAGGAGAGGCGGAAGTCTGGGGTGTAGTAGTCGCTCTATAGTTTCCTGGTTTGCGTCCTTGAATGACGTTAATGGGCTGAACGAGGCCAATAAGAAGATAACTTACCGTGCCATACGGAGACAATGTCGCTTTCGCTACCATAGGAACACTACGGCTCATAGTACTCGAGGTTCCTACGCTGATATCAGCACATGTGGTCTCTAACTTGCGATATAGTTTGCGATGGAAGGATATGTCAGGTGACAGAGAAGACGGGGCAACTTGGGGCAAGGCCAGGAGCATCGACAAGAGTACTCTCGAAGAGAGCGACTGCATAACATCTCCCAGCTCGGGGTTGGCATGCAACACGTTGAGTACTAACGCAGGGAGTTAACGGACGGTTGTTTGTCTGCGAAGGTGCAAAATCACCATCCAGAGTAATGAGCGCTGTTTCGCCCTCTTGTTTTGTCGGGTACACAACACCTGTTGTGGTTCTCAGTACTTGATCGCCTTCCATGTCTCTAGCTCTCTTCTTGCTCTTCTTTGAACCATTCCCGGTGATGGCGTTTTTAGTATCGTCGGCCTGCGATTTCGACTCCAGCACGACGGTGAGGATGGGTAACAGAGCCTTCACCAAACGATTCGGTAGGAATGGTGAGGACAAGGGGAGTGAATTCAGGAGGAGCGCGTGTAGTGTCGTGATGATGTGCAACCGCTCCGGACTAAAACAGAAGATTATTAAAAAATCGATTACATAGCTATTGGGGAAATGCTCACGGTGACAGATCCTGTTGGAGATGATAGGTCATGTAGGCGATGACTTGAGGTAGATGCGGGGTGAAATGGTGTTGGACGCTGTTTGATTATGACCATTCAGCCACGGCAAACCCCGCTAGCATTTCCGTTACCTTAGGGCCAACGCTTCCAGTAGGTCACAGGCAAAGTGTAGCCGTTTGGGAAGCACTAGTAGTTCCTGACTCGAAACGAAAAGATCTACGGTTGTTCCCTGCTAAACCAGAAATCAACACCCATTCCGTAGGCAAACATGTTGGTACATACAAGTTCTTCGTGATTGCATTTGAGCAAAGCCATGGCGAAATCAGCCAAGGCACCGATTGGAACGATGACAGGACGACTGCTACGAGACCTACACCAGAGGGTTGAGCAGGTTATATATGTGGTTTCATACATTGACCACGTACTTGAGTAAATCACACAGAACTTGGGTGCAGCACCTCAAAGCATCGACTTTGAGCGGGATATCATCTTGGGGGGCTTGGCCGGCTCCAACGTTCCGTGGCCCACCTTGAGCTCGTCAGTAGATAGCCACTGGTATCGAGTCAACGGTGTTGGCTTACTCGCGTCTCCAAACGTCGTGCGTAGAGCCGAGAAAGAAGACCACGAAAAGGACAGAGTCGAGTCAATTGCGCTTCTCCACAGAGTGGCTGAGGCAACCTTGCCACCCGTGTGATGTAGGACGGAGAAGAGGCGAGATGATGCAGTCATAAGTTCTTGATCGACAGGAACAGGGAATGAACCGCTGAGAAACTTCAAGGTAAGAGTGGACATGGCGGCATGTGATGGTCGATTCAGGTTAGGATATCGCAGAGTGAGGTTGGTTAATGTATCAAAGCACAGTCTCTGGAGGTATTGTCAATTGCCGGACTTCAACGCAACGAGGGTAGGGAGTAACCTTCAGTTCCAAGCTCGCTGACTTTTCGGTCAGGATAATCAACGAGGAAGTGAATTTAGCGACGTTCGGAGTCGATATTTGACGTTGGAATTCTGGTATGTCCGCGCAGGCCATTAAAATAAGAACCCCAAGTCGAATCGCTGCCTTAGCCACTGGCACGCATTCCGTTTTCTGGGTTCATGTTAGCATTGAATTGCATTCGGTTGGTGAAACTGGACAGACTACAGCAATGGACATCGACGATGCTAGCCAGTTCGCTGCAGAGTCGATCATCAGAGATCTCGAGCATTGGGACGTCTTGTGAGCCAGGCAAAGCCCCGTCCATTGTACACTGGGATCACTGGAACGGATCAACGAGTTGAGTCGATTTGTCCATTTGACGAGATGTGGAGAGGGATTGAAATCGTTTGGATAGAGAGAAGTCAAGATAAACGGCAGGTGGGTGACAGCATTCACATCCGAGGCCAGATGGATTTGCAGGAAGGTCGCTAGACTTTTTCCCGCTTCCGACATGATGAGTCTTGTTGAACGTGCTCGCAAATTTTGAGGCACAGCTCGATCATTCGATCGATCGCTCGGAGGCCAATGGCTTTCGATCCAAGCAAGCGCAAGCAACGCCGAGTGCCATTGCATTCTCCCACGATCCAACCCGGTTACAGTGTAGATGTCTCGCATACGGTATGGCATAGAATATCACAGTATATTGCCTGAGTCGTACCACCTAGAAAGAGACACACAGGAATACTTTGACGATTTATTGAGTAATTTCTGTGCCTACTTATGTACCAGCTGATACTTATCTAATTTGGCACAAGTTACAATGCACCGTGTGCGTATCATGGATCATCTTCGCCTGGTTTTATCTTCTCTCAGATTCTCAATGGACCGTTCTAGTAGTCCCCGTTGCCCCTAGTGTCTGCTGTCTATCGGAGACGGATCTGTTTGGGGGATCGCGTCTCTGTTTGTCGTTGCTTGTCCAGGCCTCTTCGGGGACATGATGCGAGCTATCCTCACAACTGCTACTTGATACAGTCCCTGCGGAGGATGGCTAAACGCAATGGGGAGCTGGAACCAAGTACATCGAAGCACCTGCAGCTCTCCGTGTTCGAAGTAAATCCGATTTTCAACTCATATTACCTTCGCTAACCAGTATTCCATCAGGGCAAGTTCGATGTCACCGAATTTGTAGGCTCGATGTCGGAGCAGCTTATTGCAAAGTCAAAGGCTGATACTGGACGTGAGTGACGAGTCTCATTCACAAGTCTCCGCCACAATAATTTGACCACAGCATTTGATCCCAAGCCATTCATCCAAACCTTCGAGGCCGCGATCGACAAGCTCATCGCTGTGCGCAAGGATGTACAGACGAAGACGGAGCAAATGGAGAAGAGCGTGCGGGTCTCTGAGCGCGAATACTCGAAGAAGATGACAGACCTCAACCGGGGCTTCGAAGTGCGTTACGTTTATGTGCCCTGTTCAGCGCACTGATTTGAGCATAGACAGTGGGCAATTCGTTCTCAGGAATGGAGAGCAGGATGAACGAGGTGGGGAGTACGGCTATACGGATAGGTGAGTCGGTCGTCTCGGAGACAGCGAACCCGTACGGACGAACGCGCAGGTGAACAGCTTGAGACGATCCACATCGAACGACAGCGTGCGCAGGCGGCATACGATCTCATCGACTACTACAATCAGTTCTCGCGAGGGGACACGAGTAGACTGGATACTCTGAAGAAGGAGGGGCGTGTTGGGCGGCGGCAGGTTGCGATCTTGCTGCGACGTCTGAACACGGTGGCGAAAGAGGTTGATTTGCCTTCTGCTGAAAAGGTTGGACGGACCGTGATCTTTCTTCTCATCTAATGACATTGCCAGACACGAGAAGCTATCGACAAATACTGCGAGAAGTTCGAGAAGGAGATGCTGTACCTCTTCGACAGAAGTTACCGGCGCGGGGACCCCAAGATGATGCATGTTAGTCCAACCTTGTTGCTCCTAGCTGTGCAACTTTGCTAACTGCCTGCAGCATTGTGCACAAACGCTGCTCGACTTCAACGGTGGTGTGTCATGTGTGCAAGTCTACGTCAACCAACACGACTTCTTCATCAATCGCGTGCGGCAGAATAAGCAGTCGGACGACTCTTTACTGTAAGCTTTCAACATCACATCTTCGAGACTCTTTTGCTTATCAGATGTGCAGATGGAAACTGTTACCCGACCCGGATTCCGCTCCTGCTAAGAGCGAACAAGGCCTGGAAGAGCTGTTCGATGAGATCCGCGCAACGGTAGATACAGAGACTCAGATAGTAAAGGCTGTGTTCCCAAACCCTCCTGTGGTCATGCAAGTCTTCTTGCAACGCGTCTTCGCGCAATCGGTATGGCACCCCATTACTTGGTCATACAAACCGGCCTTATATCCCTTCCTTTGCAACCTAGATCCAGCAAACCGTAGAACAGCTCCTACACAAAGCGACCGAAATCTCCGACCTCGCGTATCTGCGCATGATCCAGCTGATTCACGTACGGCTGTCGGCGCTGGTGGACGACCTCAAGCTCTACGACCTGCCGTCCATCGCGCCCCGCACCCCGAACGAAGTCGCCGAGTTCCGGCGCACGTTCTCCGACGCGGTGCCCTCCGTGCCCGCGGGGTCGTCGACGTCGGTGAGCGCTATGCTCGAAATTGCGATGGAAGAGCTGTTCGTTCCGTATACGGAGGGCCAGCGATACCTCGAGCGGGAATCTAGGAGCCTGGGCTTTTTGTACTCGACGCTGCTCGCACAGTTTACGCGCTATCATGTACGTCTTCCCCAAGTACGAAGGCTGCATCCCCTCACGCGACATACAGGAACGAACACATAAAGGCAAAACCTCTATGTTTGACCGTGTAGTCGGCCAACTCAGCGCCGCCGCCGCAACGACGTCCGTCGACGGCGCCTCGACAACCTCTGCGCAGGCTGCTGCCGCGATCATGCGCTTTGGTGGTATCCAGACCGACCGCAGCAAGGAGGACGATCCCGTCCGAGAAGAAGATGGTCTTCTCCGAATAGACATAGCAGAGAAGATGCTAAAATGGCACGCTGAAGCTACAGGCAGATGTGTTGAGTTGAGCTCTTCTAATGATGTGTGAGTTTTTCACTACTTCTCAAGCTGGGGTGTTCACAATTGTGTGTTAGCGCCAAAAATATATTTGCACTGCTGCGCGTTCTCGCTGAAGCGATAGGTACGGCGTATGTCGAAACTGCCTTGGAGACGTCAGTAACCCCTAAGCTTGACCACTATTCAAATACTGACGCGGGCCAATAGTGCGCAAATACGCTTGGAGACGTCCGACGGGAAATCTGAACCCAACCTTGACTTGCTCCGCATATTGAAAGCCGTTGACCTTATATCCCACTTGTGGCAACAATACATCAATGTTGCGCTGCTCCCACTTGCAAGCTCTTCGGTGACCACGCGCCGCGAGATGGTCGTGTTCAACAACCAGACGCTAAGTCGGATAGAGAACCGCACGAATAATCTCCTCCAGAAGATAACTGATTGTAGTCTTGTTCTCCTTCATGTTTATGTTTGGGTTTCTGACCTTCAGTATGTAGTGATAGTCGCATGGCTTTCTGTCCAGCTCGCCAAACAAAAGAAGAACGATTTCAAGCCTCGAAATGACGATCTCTCGTTCGCGCGAGTCAATACGGAGCCATGCGAAGCTTGTTGCGAGATATTGGAGAAGCTTCGCGACGCAGCACAAGACAGTCTTAGTGGGAAGAATTTGGAGGTCTTCCTAACAGAAATTGGAGTCGCTTTCCACAGGTCAGCCGGGCTGACTTTACTACGAAGCCACGATGTCTAATTTTATCTCAGCTTACTCTTGGAGCACCTCCGCAAGTTCCCCGTGAGCGCGACTGGAGGCTTGATGCTTGCGAAGTACGCTTACTTCCGCGTGGTTCATCGTCGTGGCATCTAAAATAAATGGTTCTTCAGGGACTTGAAACTATACCAAGATACCATTGGCACTTTCGGCATACCCGCGTTACACGAACGCTTCGAGTTCATCAGACAACTGGGCAACATATTCCTCGTCCGGCCCGAGATCCTCAAGTCATACATGACGGAGAACTACCTCGGCAGGATCGACGCCAGCCTCCTGAAGCCGTACCTCGCCTTGCGCAGCGATTGGGGCCAGTTCGAAAAGGGTTTCAACGATATAGAGGAGCCGAACGGAGCTGCGACGGAGGCGAAGGGTCTACGGGATAGGTTCGGACGTCTCAGTTTGATGATGAAGGAATTGGAGGGTATCAAACTTGGTGATGGTATTACGATGGGCATGCCCACTATTCCGGCGGGCTTCACGAGCGGATTTTCCATCCCAAGTCGGCCATTTGGCTGAGTATACCCTGTGTTTATTTGTTCTGTACGGTCATACACTTATTCTCCTTTGAATACTGGAGTTCTCTTTTCTTTGAACGCCTGCAAGGCCTCCAAGCGGTCCTGGCTTTTCAGAAGCACCTCATATGAGGCTCGTTCGAAATCAAGTCCTGGTGAACGTTTAGCTATTGCGAACGGGGAGGATATTCTGGACACTCGCCGCTCTCCAGAGGTAGATCCTCAGCTCGCGAGATAGCCTGCTTAGCTGCCCGCAGTGCGAGGGGAGCTATGGTGACAGAAGTCAATCAAATGTCATCAGAATGGTAGCGCAAGAAACAAACCATTCAAAGAGATCTTCGTGGCCAAGTCTACAGCATAATCATGCGCCGACTGTTCGGGTGGCGCGACGTAGTCAATGAGCCCTACAATCAAAGTAGAAATTAGACTCTGAGACGCGGTTGAGATGACGATGCTCACCCCACTCCAGGGCCTCTGAGGCGATTAGGGATCTCGCCGTGAAGATAAGATCTTTGGCTCTAGATACACCTATCAGCCTGGTGACGCGTTGTGTACCACCAGCACCAGGAATGATTCCCAACTTCGTTTCCGGGAGGCCTATTTTTGTCACGCTGTTACCTGAATGTCAATTAGATGGATGTATCATGGGATATCGTAGCTAGAACTTACTTGCGACGCGAAGATCGCAGGCCAAGCTCAGCTCCAGGCCTCCGCCCAGTGCTGGGCCATCAATGGCAGCGATGGTAGGCATGGGCAGCGCTTCGAGCTTCCCGAGAGCGGCTCGGAGGTCGATGAGGAACTTGTTCACTTGTGTTTGTGACATCCCGCGTCGTTCAATGAGGTCGGCCCCAGCGCAGAAGGACCCCGGTGTGGTAGAGCTAATAATCAAGACGCGTATACTGTCAAGGCCATCCAGGTCAGCCTTCTATGAAACGCTTGCACCATATTAAGCGCACCTCGGATCATAATGTGCGGTCTCCAGACATTCTCCTAGTTCCTACAGAGATAGAATTGTAGTTCTGTAGCAGATGTGGGGTACACGTGGCTCACACCTTGAGAAGCGTCAATGATATTGCGTTCTTGCTCTGAGGCCTGTTAAGAGCAAGCCGAGCGATCCCAGGGTGCGACGCGACTGGCTCTAGGAAGGCTTGCTTGTGCGCCGCGCTATACGACCGGAATGACCCAAGAAGACTTCTGCGGAGCGAATTCCTGAGACAGAAGCTTGCTAGTAGCATTTGAGGATCGGGGTGGTGGGGATTCGACTCACACTGGAGGGTGAGTAGATCCGTCTCCGATAGACAGGAGGGACCAGGGGTGGCAGAGACTCCTAGGGGCGGAGACCGAGATGGTCAACAGAAGCTGAATCCACGATATGCACACGGTGCATTTGTAATTTGTGTTAAGTACATAGTAAGTATCAGCTAAAATTGCTGGTACATAAGTAGGATTAATGATATGTACTTTAAATAGATACATGTCCCAGTTGAACGAAGGGAAGGGTCGGTGCTTTCATCGCGTAGTCGTTGGACGCACAAAATGGCTCAGCCATTTACACTCTTGGCGAGTTTGCGTAGAATGAATCGTAAGAGATCGGTCTTTGATAACTGTCGGAGTGGGGGAGACGTAGTGAAGGGACGGGAGCGGCGACGGGACTTGCAAAAGGATTGGCAGATGAGTAAGATGAGTATGATGAAGCACTGGTTAATGCAGGTGACCCCTGCGCTGAGGCGGACTGGACGGCACGATATTCTTCATCATCTGACATGGCCATCCCGTATGAGATCTCGGGAGTGGGTGCGCCGTATGGTTGGTACTGCGTTCCGGGGGGATAGTCAGGCGTTAAAGCAAGACTGGGATACTGAGGCTGCGGATACTGAGGTTGCGGGGCAGGATCATTGAATACGTTGCGATCAGGATATGAACCAGCTGGGGCAGGGGTTGTGATCTCTGCCATACTTGGCGTAGGCGAGTCGTCAATGTAGCGAGGCGAGTCAGAGGCCCCGTCTTGAAACCCACGCAGAATATCATCCTCTGCCTTCCTGGCATAGTAGCGCCGGATGTAATTGCCAACAAGGGCCATGAGAGCCAATACAGCAAGGCCGCCAGCAGTGAAAATACCAGCGACAGCGCCTTTGTTGTTCCAGAACCTATCATACGTTACTGTCAGAAATTACACAAAGGACACGAGTATATCCAGGATACTCACGAATCAGAAGTCGCACTTGATGCACTGGCTGTTGCTGAAGGTGCGAAGGTATTGGCCGCGTTGGGAGGTAACGACGATGTTGGTAAAATTCGGATGGTAGAGAGTAGACCCTGCCCATTGGCAACGAATGTAGTCACTGGGGCGGACTCGGAATCAGTGGATATTGGCGATGGAGTCGACGAGTCCGTCGAACTGCTTGATGATCGCGTAGTCCTAGTTTACAGTTAGGTATGGAACAGATCACGACCACAGAAACCGCACCTCAAAGATGGCACTGTGGAGGAAATCGAAGTCGATCTCGCCGACGTGGTAGGGGTAGTAGACGTCGATGTCGTGGACGTCGTACGGGTAGTTGTAGGAGGCACCGAAGACGAAGTTGTCTCAGACAAGATCGTAGAAGTAGAAGTCACCGCGACACTTGATGACCGTGAAGACTCTGTTTCAGTGGGTGCAACAGGAGCAGCCGCAGCAAAATTCGACGGCGAAGGGGAGATGCTCGAGGAAAGAGTGATTGACTGGCTACTTGAAGGACCCGCCGATGAGGAGCCAGTCGGATTCTGTCGCGGCCATATTCTCGCTCTCGACTCTCCTCGGAGCCCCCCTCGTCGTATTCGTTGTGAGCTGTACGACACACCAGCAGGGGATTCTGGGATCCAAGCAGCACCAGCTAATTGCACTAGAATCAATATCGCTGGGATGAGGCGAACTGGCGTCGAGGACGTGCCCCGGAACTGCGACATCGGGAAGGTGGTGAAGGAAAGTGGACCCAGTCCAAGCTGGCAATGTATCAGAGACCAGAGCCTTGAAACAGTCGGGGGGGAGCTCAAAAAGGCTCAGGGTCCGAATTCTGAATCATGAGACAAGCCAAGCGCAAACACAGCAACAATGGTCGGCAACCATATGGCGAAGTGACTAACGACTCTCGCAACAGCGTGCAACCAACAAATATCATGATCAGAAATTTACTACCACACCTGGCTAGACGGTACTGGATTACTCTGCATCCTCGAGCTCCTTCAATTTTTCCAACCGTTGCACCATGTTATAAGTCATCTCCGCATGCTCCTCGTTATTGTTCTCCATCTTGAGGCAGAACGCGGGCCACTCTCCACTTGCAAGCCGTGCCTTCGTGTCATCGTCGTCAACCGACTCTATGCGAGCTTGAATCTGCTCGATAACGAGCGCCTGCGACTGCGAGGTTCCTGGTTGAGTCAAGGCGCGACTGATTGTCGAGATGACATACCGCCTCAGCTAGTGTTTCCCAAAGAGGCTGAACAAACTTGGCGACGTGGAAAGAATGTGCCCCTAAATAGTACCACACACCCTCATCCTGCCCGATTTCCTCAGTGTCTGGCGTTCATCATCGTTTCATACGCACCTGGCTCGAAACATAACTGAAGACATGTAACGCCGGCGATGTACCATCGTCCTTCGTACGGCGAGTAACGGCTTTGCTGATGCGCCCGTTGCTTGTCGTGGTCTTTGGAGCCCAATCAACAAGATAGCTTTCAACCGGTGCAGGAGCTAACATCTCGAAGAATAACGGATCAATCATGAAAGCGCAAGACTTCTCCCATAAGAAATGGATCCGGAGCCCAGTCGGCTCATGCGCAAGCCTACACATGTATAGTCTCAGCCCACAATTGATAAGGTAGATGAACAAGCAAAGCACATCACCTTTCAATCGTTTCACACTAAGAGGTAAGGCGTCAGACAACATCAAGGTTGAATGATTAAAGCTCAACTTCGTCTTCATAAAGTCCAACTAAGTGATAGGGATCTTCCACGCTTTGGAGCGCCTCCTTGATCATTGGGAGATGAGGAGGTTTATTGGTATTTAACTTCCATTTCTGCCCTTGAAGTATCTGAACTCGTAGAATATTCTGTTGTCGCATGCTCCTGGTCGACGAGTTGCGAGTCAAGGCAGTAGATGCGGTCGGTTGTACCGGAGACGCAGGGCGCGTCGGCACGTTACTCCCTGATATGCTCGCTTTGTTGTTTCCCGGCCCAGGCACTGGCGAGGTAGCTCGCGTTGATGGTACAGTACGGGATACTGGTTTCGTCACTGGCGCACCCTTCGGGATAAGAGGTTCACTTTTTGAGTTCCATTTCGCTCGAATAAGCTCTGCACAGGCCGTCGACGCCTTCTGAGGCAGTTGGCGCGTAGTAGCATTACTTTGGGCTACTGGTGCTGCGGCTGGTACTGCGGGCTCCTTGTCAGCGATGGGGCGAGCAGTTCTATCACTCCCTGACGATGCAGGACGCGACGACGAACTGGACGTCGATAAGGATAGCCTAGAAGTCGCGTCGTAGAACTCTTCTGCAGCTGATGAATTCTCCTGACTCTCGCTCATAGAGCCAGAGGCCCTCCTTCTAATGAGCGGCGACTCTAACTGAGTCCAGCCCTGTTTATGTCCTCTTAAGTCTACACCGCCGTTAAACTCGAAGCTCACCTTCTTCTCATCCATGAGGTCCCTGGCTACCCGTCTCACACGCCTCAACTTCTTGAGTGCATCATCGCGCGCCTGCACTACGGTCTCCATCTCAGACGTTTGTACCACCACTATCCTCTTGAGCTCTGCGTTATCATTCTGTAGTCGCTTTACTTCAACCTCGAGCTCGCTGTTTCTGGTTTGCAAATTGCTTGTTTGGGAATGCAGCTCAAAAATCTCATTCTCGGAACGTGTCGCTAGTTCCTCGACCTTGCTTTCAACGGCAACGAGCATGCTCGCGACCGCTTTGACCTATACACCAAGTATTGTCAGAAATGTGCGCTGAGAAACAGGAATTTACTCGACATTCTCGCGAATCGATTGCCAGTCCGATAACGTTGAGGAAGACATGCATGCCTTGCTGCGGCACAGTGACAGGACGAGGAGAGGTGAGCTTCCTCAAAGATGTCTATAAATATCTCCGCCGATCTCCCATATTCGATCGGGATCTCGGAAGGAAATGTGTGGGAAAGTCACATGATTATGTCAGCGGTATATATAAGGGTCCCTGCAGGAATTATCTTATCTCGAACCAAAATGTTGAAGAAACTGCTGGTCGATGTTCACACTCACGTATACCTTCCGCGCTACGCAGAATTGCTCAGGTCGCGGTCTGCTGTGCCTCGTATCATACCGGCGCCGGCGGCAAGCACGGACAGCAAGCCTTCCGAACGGTTACTGATACTGGATCACGAGCCGAGTGGGGGACGTCCAGTTGGCCCCCAGTATTGGAGTCGTGATGAGAAGCTCGGCTTCATGGACAAACATGGAATCGACGTATCCATCGTAAGGTGGGTCGAATTGAGAGTATCGCGGCAGAATTCATGTTTACTTCCCTCAAGCGCAGCTCGGCCAATCCATGGCTTGACTTCCTCCCCGCTCCAGACGCGTCGGATATCGCCATAAAGTTGAACGACGACCTTGAAGAATACTGCTCTTCGTCTCCTATTATCAGCGACCAACGTATTAAACGTTTATACGGTTTCGGGATGCTGCCATTAGTCCCAGGAATCACTACGAGTGCGCTGCTCGATTCTGTGCGGCAAATATCTCTATTACCCCATTTGAAGGGGTTAATTATGGGGACGAGGGGGGTGGGCAAAGGTCTAGACGACGAAGCACTGGACCCCGTCTGGGAGGCCATCGAAAAGGAGAAGCTTGTGGTGTTCTTGCATCCACATTACGGCGTTGATAACGACGCGTGGGGCGAGAAGGAAAACGGACACGTGCTTCCTCTCGCCTTGGGCTTCCCATTTGAAACAACAGTCGTTCGTCAGATTCACGTAACTCTCAATGTACAGGAATAACCGCTTGCTCACATAGGCAACCACACGGTTAATTTTGGCTGGAGTGCTGGACAAATTCCCCGATCTTCGTCTCCTCCTCGCACATTCAGGCGGCGCCCTTACCCAGTTATCTTCGCGGTTGGCCTCATGTATACACCACGATCCCCTCGTTGCTTCACGCCTCAAGCATGATGCTAGATATTACATCGGCCGACTATACTACGACGCGGTTTCCTACGGCTCGGAAGAATTGCAATTCGTTGCTGATACGATCGGCCGTTCGGGAAAATACCACAGCAGTTCGGCGGACGCAAGATCCACTTTGCCAGGGAGCCAACGTATGATGTTTGGTACTGACCATCCTTTCTTCCCTCCATTGAACGGAGAAATCAAATGGCGCAGCGTTGTGGAAAACCTTGAAGCCATCCAGGGAGTTTCTGGATGGTCTCAAGAACAAAAGGACGGCGTAGAAGGTGGCAACGCTCTGAAATTGTTTAATTTAGTCCAATAAGTGTTTACTACGGCGCTGTATGTGCAGTCTTGGTTCATTGGTATCAATGTCCTTTACGCGTGATCTGGCATCTGTATCTTCAAGCTGAAATCGATGTGCTGAACGGACTGATGGACGGCACTTGTGCTAAGAATATCGATTTCTAAACAGAATGAGAACCTTGTTCGTGAACGAAAATAAGCAACTTACCGTTGATCGCTCGCTCTTGAAGATTCGATTCTGTGATGTTACCGCTAGATTCAAACAGGAATTTCCGCTTGCCGTTCCACTTCTCCCTCAGGCGTCTGGCAACATCCACGAGCTCAACGCCTTCCATATTATCCAACATGATAACATCGGCACCAGCATCAATTGCTTCATCTGCCTCTGCCTCGTTCCGAACTTCCACGTCCAGCAGAAGGGTGAAACCGCCTACTGCGCGAGCTTGCTGTATCGCCGCCGTGATGGAGCCTACAATACATCAATAGGTAACTTAATCGGGAAAGGATCAATAAACAGTACCAGATGACCAGATATGATTATCTTTCAGCATGATCATACTGGAAAGATCATGGCGATGTGGATCGATTCCGCCGACGAGCATGCCATACTTCTCAACCAACCTGAAGCCTTCAGGGTGCGTGAGCGTGCTGATTGTAGGTAGTGGGGAATGAACACACCTGGTGTTGTCTTGCGAGTCCCAGCTATTGTCCCCTGGTATCCGTACGATCTAGCTAGGTCTTTCACCCGCTTTGATCTGTGTTCATGTCATTACGATTGAATGTATCGGAGAGTATATGCGTTACTTGGTAGCAATACCGCTGCACCTAGCAAGCATATTCAAGGCGACACGTTCGCCGAGCAGCAGATGCCGAGCTTTCCCGCTGACTGTAGCGACATGCTTTACAGGTTCAAACGTCTCCCCTTCTTGGACGTGCCACTTAACCCTTCGCGCATCAGGGTCAGTGCGAGCAACCAGGAAGTGGCGGCACACTCACTCACAACCAAGCTGAGCGAACACTTCAGTGAAGAACGGCGATCCAGCAAGGACGGCCGGAGTCTTGCCCTTCCCGAACAGGAACGCTTCCCTGTGCGCCTCACCGACAACATAACCTCCGTAATCAAATGAAGGAGTGTCTTCCCCCAACCAGACATTCACTTGAGTCTTCCAGCTTGGAGGAAGCAGATGTTCAAATGAGTTCGTGCTTGCCATGCTCCTAGTCGTGGGCCCGATGAAATGGTGGTTGGAGTTCAAGTGCAAACAATGGCTGCGATGAACGTGATTACTGATAAACTCGCCCGTCCCCTATTACCCCTATGTTCCCCCTATAAAGCATACTCTCCCTTACTGCAGACCTCAACACACGGGCAAGAAAGTGACAATGGGTATGGTGAGATCCAAGAAACAAGAGTGAAGGACCGTGACTACGGGAAGTGAACTACATGACCATCAACGCCAGGAACCCCATCAAACCTAGAATCCCGCCCTTTTTCGCTTCAACGGACATGGCACCATTCGAAGTCTGCGCGGGGTTAGCAGCGCCAACACTGGTGGTGGGGGGTGTTTGGGTGATCGTAGCAGCGGGAATGGTGTTTACGACAGGGCTAAAATTCCTGGATGAGATAAAAACGCGTACAACACCAGCAGGAAACGTACGTAGTAGTTGAACGAGGGGTACTGAGGGGGGTCGAAGTGGTCTGGCCTATATCAAACTGATTGGACTGGGCAAGAATCGCCTCGAGGCTCTGAGAGTCCCGACAAAAATTAAGCCTGAAGCCTTTTCCGGTAGGCCACCCGCCGTTGGGCGGGTTCAACCGAATCTGTTCCAGAGTGCCGTCAACCAAGGCGGCGAGGATCTGGTTATTTTGGGGCATAACGCTGCGATCCTTTGCCACCGTCAGCACTAAAGTCTGATGGATGAACTCTGGCAAACTTACCTCGTTGGTGAGGACAGCAGTGAAGTTCAGCGGGTCGGTATCCACGCGTGTCCATGTGGCGAGCTGGGACCCTTCTGTGGTCCAACTTTGGGACCCACCAGGCGAAGTAACTTGGTACGCGAGGGAGAAAGTCGCAAGGGCGAGGGCGAGTAGGATCTGAGCGAACATCATGGTGGTAGCTGGTAAAGAACGACGGCGAAGCTGGGCGAAGGCAAACGAAGTGAGGAGCGAACGTGCTGGCGGGAAGCAACGAATAAGGTTGGGCCTTGGACGTAAGCCACTACCGTCTTCGCACACTTCGTATCACAACAATTCTCAGAATCAAATACTAGAACCTCTTCTTCATTCCCACCGCGCTTTCGGAACAGGAGCGATGGGAGCCAGGCCATCGTTCCAAGCGACGTGGTCCAAAATCGACTTCTTTCACCATATGCATCACTAACTTCGGAGGTCAGGCTCGGCTCGCTATCATTCGGGTCACCATTGCGCGCAGTTGCACTCTAGAAGTGCCGACGATTAGTTCAAGGCCTTTGATCAGTGGATGGCACGATGGTCATCTGCGTAGTGGTTGGCGCCAGCCTGAGACGCGCAGCTGCGGCAATTGTACGACTTGGACCATGTGCTTCAACGCAGCAGGAATTACAGTTCTCAGATCGCAGTCATCGCAAGGCCAGGAAAATACTATAAGAGCAACGAGTCTTCTTCTATGTTACTGTGAACATGTCCAACGAAAACATGGATGAAAAGAAACAAGCACAGCCAAAAAGAGCGCCTCGTATCACCGAGATGAAGTCTCGTGAGTCACACAATGTTATGCATTTGTTGCTAGAAGCTCCAATATTGACATGGAATACAGGGGATATTCCTACCGCGGTCGAGTCATGGAGGCTAGCCTTTGAGAATGATCCTCTCCGGGGGTACATGCTTGATGTACGGTCTTCACACTTCGTGGATCCATAGAGGTCACTAGCGAGGTCTAATCTAGTCGTATTCGTAGGGCAAGAAACCGTCCCGCGGCTGGCAATTCGTAGAAGACCTATATATGCGATGGTTTCTTATCGTTTGGCGGCGGCGCAAAATTATGCTGACAGTGGAACATGGACAGTCATATGTTATCGTGTACGACCATTTCACACTGGAACACAGCAAAACAAAGCTCACCGCCCGTATCCTAGGACAACCCCAGAACTTCGGGAGCCGGGTACAATCATTGACCGCATACTCGACTGGACGATCGCAGCGACGACTTGGACTTGGGGCTTGCTACGTTCCGCAGAACTAAAGAAGGTATTTTGGGACACTTGGGGATTATACTTTCTTACTAAGTGCATGCAGAGGCGTAGAGAGGTCCTCGGAAAAATTACGAGTGCCACAGAAAGTATTTACGGTGACCGAGTGAAGGATATGGTCCATATAGATGGCTTAGCGACGAGGCCACAAAGTCAGGGTAGAGGTTACGCAGGTGCCCTCCTTGATACCGTGACCGCGAAGGTAGAAGTGTTTGCCCTATCGTCCTGAGTGATGCCGCCTGAAACCGCTTACAGGCAGATGCGGCCTCCCAAGCAACGTATCTAGAGTCAAGCAACGTCGCTAACACGGGATTCTACGAATCTCACGGCTTCATAACTGTCGGAGAGATCGTATGCGGGGACGACAATCCGGCATGGAAAGAGCCGCCAGTTGTCGTAAAATTGGTGGGTCGTTCTTCACTTGCAGGAGAAGGAAGAGTTGACCGTATGTCTTATAGATGGTACGAGAACATGGTTGGCTGTAGGGTGATGGTCCTATGTTATCTGTATAACCAACGAGGGACAAGCCGAGAAATTCATGTTGTTCCGTGACAATCCGAACAGTGAAGGATGTAAAATACATGAGCGTCAGCGAGGAAATTCACTATCATCCGAGTCACCTTGGTTGTCGCCGTTGCGCGCAGTGACACTCTAGAAGGATTGATCCCCGATGCGTGCTTCGAGACCTTTGATCACGACGGTCATCTGCAACGCGGTTAGCGCCAGCCTGGGGCGCGTAGCTGCGGCGATTGTACGGCTTAAACCATGTGCTTTAGCGCAGCAGGAACCATAGTATTCAGACCGCAGTCGCCACAACCAGCGTTCCGCTATCTCACTGTGAACATGACCAACGAAAACATGGATGAAAAGAAACAAGAACCACCAAGAAGACCACCTCATATTACCGAGATGCAGTTCCGTGAGTCGCGCATGGTTTGCTCGTAGTAGAGGCCCTTATATTGACACGGAATACAGGAGATATTCTTACCTCGATCAGATCCTGGAGGTTAGCCTTTAAGAACGATCCTCTACGGAGGTACGTGCTTGACGTACGGCCATCATGATCCGGAGATTGAGCAAAGGTCACTGAGGTCTAATCCGGTTCGTAGGGCGAGAGACCATCACGGGGTTGGGAGCTTGTAGAAGATCTATGCAGGCGATGGTTTCTTTTTGTTTGGCGGCGCCGCAAGATCATTTTGTCGGTGGAACATAGCCAGTCATACGTTATCGCGTACGAGCATTTGACACTGGGACTCGGTTAACAACACTCACTGCTCGTATTTTAGGACATCCCCGAAACTCCGGGAACCGACTACGATCGTTGACCGCGTACTGGACTGGACGGTATCAGTGATGTCTTGGACTTTGAGCTCGATGCGCTCAGCAGAAATAAAAAAGGTACGTTAGAACACCAGGGTTTCATCTACCTTCCCACCAACATACTGGCCTGGATACAGAGGCGTAAAGAGTTCCTCGGAAAGATTACGAGTGCCACAGAAAGGGTTTACGGCGACCGGGTGAAGAACATGTATCATATAGATAGCCTGGCCACGAGTCCACAAAGTCAGGGCAGAGGTTACGCAGGTGCCCTCCTTGACGCCGTAACTGCGAAGGTAGGAGTGTCCACCCTATCACCTTGGGTGTTGTCGCTTGAACCACCCCATAGGCAGATGCAGCCTCCCAAGCAACGTACCTCGAGTCAAGTAACGTCGCCAATACAGGGTTTTACGAATCTCATGGCTTCAGAATTGTCGGAGAAATCGTATGCGGAGATGTCAACCCAGCGTGGAAAGAGTCGCCGGTGGTCGTAAAACTGGTGAGTTGTCCTTAGTTCGAGGGAGGAGGAAGTGTTGACCGTATATGTCTCATAGATGGTGCGGGAACATGAGGGATCGTAGGTTTGTAGCCGTATATTATCTGTATAGCCAATGAGCAGAACTATCTTCCCGTCATTACATGTTATTCCAGGCTTTTCATCAATGGAATGCACGAACCGCTGACGATGATCATCTGCAACCGTCTTCAGCGCCAATATGGGGCTGCGGCAATTGTACGACCATGTGCTCCAACGCAGCAAGGGCGGGCCGTGGCCCTGACCGCAGTCATAGCAAACATCATAAAGACGACGAGCGTTCCTCTACTTCACTGTGAACATGTCCAATAGAATCATGGTTGGAAAGTCGCAAGCAAGGCCAAGAAGGGTACCCCATATTGCCGAAATCGGATTGCGTGAGTCACGCATTTTCAGTATTTGTTGCTAGAAGCCCCAATATTGATACGGAATGTAGGAGATATTTCTACGGCGGTCGAGTCGTGGAGGCTGGCCTTTGAGAACGATCCTCTGCATAGGTACATGCGTGAAGTACGGTCTTCACCATTCCCTGATCGAACGGAGGTTACTGAGATTTGATTGTGTCCTTAGGGCAAGAGGCCATCCCGCGGTTGGCAATTCGTAGAAGGTCTTTACATGCGATGGTTTCTTTTCGTTTGGCGGCGACGCAACATTATGTTGGTGGTGGAGCATGGTCAATCTTATGTTAGGGCGTACGGGCATCGTGTTAACACGGAATACGGAAAAACAAAACTCACCGCCCGTATCCTAGGACAATCCCAGAACACCGACCTATTTCGATTATTGATCTAATACTCGACTGGACGGTAGCAGTGATCACCTGGACTTTGGACTCGGTGCGGTCAGCAGAAATAAAGAAGGTATTTGGGACGCTTGCAGGTGGTTATATGTTCTCATCAAACCATCGGTACAGCGGCGTAAAGAGATTTTGGGAAAGCTTGCGAGTGCCAATGAAAGGCTTTATGGTGACCGGGTGAAGAATATGGTCCATATAGATGGCTTGGCCACGAGTCCACGGAGCCAGGGCAGAGGTCACGCAGGCGCCCTCCTCGACGCTGTGACTGCAGAGGTAGAACTTCTGGTTATCCTGTCGTTTTGCATGACGTTGCCTGAACCCCCTCATAGGCAGATGCGGCCTCCCGAGCAACGTATCTAGAGTCAAGCAATGTCGCTAACACGGGATTCTACGAATCTCACGGCTTCAGAACTGTCGGAGAGATCGTATGCGGGGACGACAATCCGGCATGGAAAGAGCCTCCAGTTGTTGTGAAACTGGTGGGTCGTCCTTAACTTGGGGCAGAGGAAGGAAGAGCTGACGAGTTGACTCACAGATGGTGCGAGAGGATGAGTCGTAGATTTGTAGTCGGATAGTCGTATGTTATCCGTATAGCCAATGAGCGACAGACCGAGAGTTATCTTTGCGTCATTCATGTTGTTCCGGGACATCGATCACAGTGAGCAGTGCCCGCCTCGTGGGACCAGTATTTGCAATATGTTCCTGTCAGCCAGGAAATTCAAAAGCTCCACTGCACTGGATATCTGCATGCCGCCGATCGTTGCCTGGGTTGCCGAGTGGTCGCCTGCAGCAGCGCCTCCCAAGTTCACTATAGCCTTAGACTCTAAGCCAAAGCGACAGGGTGTATGTCGGCGATTGTATGTACAATTGACCTACCCTAATCTGTGGCCCCGGCTTCAGCCGTAGATACGGATTGCAACATTTCCCCTGCATCTACCCACAAATCCCTCTGTGCCCATAATTCTGCTATCGTCGTGATTGTCATCCAGCAACTTGTCGTGCTCATCATGTCTACCTTCGAAGACGAGGGGGAGGTGCCGCTGGTCGATAGTCGTACTTTGATCAAGGATATGCAGGCGCGAGCGAGGCTACGAAGATGGCTCATGTCGTCTGCTGAAACATGGTCTTCGACGCGGGACAGCAAAGCGAATATCCATCTCGCGTGCGATTCTGTCGGTATCATTGTTGATGTTTCCGGCTCTTCCAAATAAAGGTTCATCCAATGTGCAAAGTACATCAGTAAATGCAGCGCCGTTCGCTGCGAGTCAACCTCGCATTAGTGAATATCTAATTGCTAATTGAAGGGAAATAAGCTGACTTCGTCTATATGGCGCAACAAAATTGGAGTTGGTTCACGACCTTTCGAGCCTTCATTTGGTGTTGCATCCGTTTTGGGAGCAACGGGAGGCGGGGTAGGATCGCCACCGGCTGGCTCTTCAGAGTATTCCAAGGTCTGTGCGAGTTCGACCTCTCCATCTTCGTTAATTCTCCACGTTTCTCCCCCTGGTATATCTTCGTCCTGCTTTGAGCTCGAAGGAGTCCCATACGCGACCCCAGGATCATCAGCGAAGGCACGTGTAGTTTGAGTGTACGTTCTGTTCTGCTTTGGCTTTTTGGGTGGATTCCAGTCTGATTCGGGCTTTCCGGCAAGAAAGGCCCACCAGTGATCTCGCTCCTTCCGATGGGGCATCAATTTACCTGGAGGTGCAGCAGTAACGTGAATCGTTGACTGTGAAGCGTTCTGGATATCATGTACTTGGTCAGGGATTCGTCTGTATTCTCGTAAGAGCAGAAATTCAAGCACACTTTGCAAAAATTCCGAAATTGGGACGCGTATTGTTGTCGCCACTTGAGCGACGGCAGCGAAGGGTGAGCAGCAGCTGGCGGACAGCTTGACCCCGGTATTATTGGATCGGGTTTGTCGTATGGGTTATGGACTCGTGTTATATGTGGTCGCTGGCGAGCATCGCGTCTGGCGAGCGTGTTCAGTGATGGATATTGGACAAAGTCAGAGATTTTGAGATCTACCTCACTGTGAAGAGGTATTGTAGCCCATCTTCTGGCTCACCAGCAAAGTCTTGCGGTAGATTCGCCACAGGAAGTACCTGCCTGCCCAGCGACACCTCGTCGTCGTCCGAATCATCGAAATCGTCGCGTTTGCGCTTAAGGTGAGAGGCAGACATTGTGGCGTCTCTAAGCGCCCGTTGAGCTTGATGAAAATTCTCTCACGCGCTTATGTTTCGTTCAAATCCACCATCGACCAACGCCTGGGTTCTGCTTATCTCTATTCTGCACGCGCGGGGCCAATTGGCATGACATCTAGTGTGCCGGTGGACGATGATTCGATAGACGCAGAGACCCTACAGGCTCAGATTGACATGTCTCTGTCATTTGCTCAGGATCTGGTTACATCCTGGATAAAGCCTTCCAACAAGATGGCACCACGGTCGACCAGAAATATTGAGGATGAGCTGAAGGAGTACATGCGGAGGCCACCTAGGTACGCGTTTTCCAACCTTGAACTTGCTGATCTGTAGGAGACGGTTGAACAAGTCAGACTGGGTGTAGGTGCACCGATTCCTGAATCAGCAGGCACCTCTCGCGACGCAGCGCGACTTAAACAACAACTCACGTCGAAAGGGGGCAAGAAACGCGCCGCAGACGACATGATGGACCGTAACAAGAAAGGGGACTCAGATGACGACGGCGAAGAGAGTCGTGCCCATGCAATACGCAAGAAGGTCAAAATTAGTGACCATGATTCGATCAAAAAGGTCCACATGGCAGCTCCTGAGAGCGCGCCCCGACCCCCGCCTCAGATACCAACAAAACCACCCGGCTCTCCTCGTCCAACTGCCGGTGCTGCTAATTTGGGTATCCCCGACACGCCCTCGCGCCCAAAGAAGAAGAAGAAGAAGCATGGCGGTGATGCTCGCATGCGTAGTCCTTCTCCGGCCTCACAACATCCACCCTCGTGCCTGGAAGGCAAATCTGATAGGTTACCGGAGAACGCGCGCGATATCGTTAAACATGCGATGCGATCGCCCATCAATGGCAAGGCAGACCTTTCTCCAGCGAAAGCGTCTTCTTCAGCAGGTTGGTGCATTCCTGCTGTGCTTGCTTGTTTTCTTGTAGCTGATCGATCTTTCGCAGATACCTCTCCCGAGAAGCTACAAGGAGCAACGAACAGCAGGGGGACCGCACCGATCACCTCGGTTCTGGCATCCGTCCTTGCTGGCAAGTCCAAGGACTTATCCTCGATGTTACGCGGGCCTCTCCTCAATCTAGACGGCCCTCCTGTTGGAAGCGATGACGAGGGCGATGGCCCAGGACCAGAAAGTCCCAGTAAGAAACGGCGGAGACGGAGGAAGAAAACACACACGAACCCCGCGATGCCTTGAATGCGATCACCACTTGGATTCGAAACTCATGATAAGTTCCGATGATGATGCAAAGGGCTTTGGAGGCCTTCGGCGCACAGTGAAACGTCGCGATCGTTGGGGGAACGTGTATCTGACGCAAGAACAAGGACTGACGATCAACTTGGGCAATGTCGCGATTGCGAGGGTATGTTCTCGATGGAACGAAAAAAGGGGGACCTGACGCGAAGAGGTACGTATCTACACGGGCAATGTAACTCGGATTTGCCTCTCTATGGGCTTAATTCTACGAATCTATCAACCGACCATTGCTAGTATGCAAAATCGTTCACATAGCCAAACGTTGCTCCAAGAATCTAACCTACGCAATCTCGGTGCACCGGGCGAGCAACCTACATTTTTTCTGACATTCACTGGATCACGGTTGCGTCGCTATGTTTCAGCGACATTGGGCTCCGGACGTCGGTTGTTGAGCGGGTCAAAGTGTGGGGTCGAGGTTGCGTTCTGTCGACAGCTTGTAAGCACCGCAAAGAAAAACTTACATTTGACAACCTAGCGCGCCGCGTCCGGCTACAATACGCTCGACAGCCCGCAAAAGCGCGTCGATTGGAATGCTCGGACGACGATAACAACCGTGCAGCGCGAGCTAAATGAACACGAGTGACCCCAGCGATATTCTGCGGCAATCTAGCGTCTAGTGCTGGCCCCAGGCCCATTTTTGCAGCCAATTGTCGGATGGAGAGTACGACCGCGACCCCCGATGAGATCCAGGGGAGATAATGGGTACGCCAGAGTCAGCGAAGCGCGTAAATATGCAGCGAGGTAATAATCTATCGATTTTGAGAACATCTCATGGTCAGTTCTCTGTCGGTTCGAGAATTCATCCGACGAAGGTTCAGACCCACGCTTGTCGCGACACGCGATCGAAGCACACGTGTAGATGGAATTCGGACCCTGTTGCCGCCTACCTGCTGCGACCTTGAAGCGACTGTGCGGCGACTGTACGGTCCTCAGTCACTTGTTGATGCTCAGAGATCAAATGGCAGTCAATATTGCCGGCGCGTACACTCTGATATACAATTCTACATAAAAAAGTACAAACGGAATTCCACAATAAATACATCTAATCCTGGATGATAGATAGAACACAGAGAATGAGAAACTAGACCCGATAAGGAACTTCACATGAGACTATTGTCGGACTCTGGGATTGCGCGAACTGTTATGACGAGATGCGGATGGCCTGCCACGACCTCTTTGACCGCCTCTCATGTGTCCTCGAGAAGAAGAATGATGCCGCGGGGGATTCGGCCGTTGCTGCGTTTTCGTCCTGACGACCGCGCGAGATTGGCTACGAGAGGTGGTGGGCCGTCGAGTAACCGGTTTCTTCTTCTTGCCAAAGATTGAGAACAATCGGCCGATCCGATGTCCATGGCCAGATGCTCTACGTTGGGCCTCTCGCTGCTTTTTCCACTTCCGAATTGCTCGCGCTTCCTTCATCTCCTGGATGCCTTTCCACCGAGTCTTCTCGTCATCCAGCAGGGTACCTGACAAGCGTGAGCCTATATCGCATCACTGCAAAAAAAGACTATACCTCGGAGCTTTGTTAGCCATCCGTGCATAGTTGACGCCAAAGGTCTCCGTCTAGGTGTTCCATCTGGATGGTACTGAGCCTATGGCCGGAGTCCAGTCAAAATGCTGATCCTGTGTCTAATGAATCAAAGGCTTTACCGATGTCCACTCGATCTTCATGACAAGGAATGGGTCAAAGTAATGGTTCGGAGAAAGGGAGTGTCGCGAGCTTGCTTCGAACTCACAATGATGCTGCCACTATATTGCGGCGCTTACGTAAGACCATCTACACGCTGTATCCATGCGACACCTCCGTTGCTGTCTGCTTGTTGTTCATGTTCTGTTCCGTTTGTGGCCAAAAAGTCGGGCTCCACAACGCGCTCCAAGCCGTGACTGCTGTAAGTTGATCCGTCGAGTGCTGCAAGGTCCGGATGTCGAGGAATGAGTCGATATGTTTTCATGCAGAGCGCAGGCACTCCCCTCGAGGCACCAAGTGACGGAGAGAACATGCCCCGATCAGGAATTGGATATACCAAGAAGAGGTACTCGCGAGACCTGTCCAATGGCGCGCCAGCTCTAAATCTGACGACGGTCAATAACAGGCATAGCATCACATCTTGCACCCTTCGCCGGCGGGATATCGACCCATATTGGGCGCAGTGTTTGGCTGAGGCCTCGACAGCAAACATCATGTCGCACCGCCTGCTCGATCGCTGTGCATTGGCCGTTGCATCATCTCATCGCATTAGGAGCTCGACGCGCAAAATATTCTGCAGTACTCCAGATGACAGATCCAATGCCGCCTGAGGGCATTCGGGACATGGCCTACGCCGCCGTTCTTACTAGCAATACAAAAACGCGTCGCTACAGCCAGGATGCTTCACCTCAGGTCCTCGACAACCGCAGTGCTCATCATGGGAAGCTCCTGGAGAAACGTCGATGCCATCATTGAAGATAGGCTTTACCTGGGAAAGTGGGTGCCTGTTTATTAGCACCGTCATATCCGCTGCCGTTACTAACGCCTTCTTTCTTCCCTTATTAGCATCACTGCGGCTCGCTCATCTCGATCCTTGACTGAGCGTCGCGTTACCCACATAGTCTCGGTGTGCACAGACGCTATCCCGGCTGAACTACCAGAGTCTGGCATATGTCACCTTCGCATCCCAGTGGAAGACGTCGACTTCGCCGACCTCTTGATATGGCTCCCGAGAGCCGTCCAGTTCATCGACCAAGCTCTCCGGAACGGCGGGAACGTCCTTGTGCACTGTGTACAAGGTTTGTCGAGGAGTGCGGCAGTCGTGGCGGCTTACTGTGAGCGCACACCACAACTCCATCGTTTACCAACCACTAACAATGTCTATACAGTGATGTACGCCCAGCGAGTAAACGCTACACAGGCCCTTGAAATGGTTAGACGTCGTAAGTCGCAATGATTTCGGTCCTTGTACAGCACGCTCACCATTTGTTTAGGTCGCCCTCAAATCTGGGTCAATCCCGGCTTCCAGGAGCAACTAGTATTATTCGAGCTTTGCCAGTATAATCCAAACCCGTCCAACGGGATCTACATTAATTGGCGCCACCGGATTCAAAGCCGTTTGCGCTGAAGCTTTTGTTAATATTGCTTTACTTCCTTAATGGACACTTCAAAAAGCCTTTCGTAGTATGTTACTTTGGCTACGTCTATCCTCGTCTCAATTATCCCATGCTAGTCTTGTAATTTTACATGATGTGTTTTAGTCCTACTTTCATTGTTTTGTCTTCGCTTCGCTCCGTTTCTGTATGTTCTGTTGTTGATTTGTTGTACTATCCACGTCTGCATCTATATCTACATCTATGATATGATCTCTCTCTCTTTCTTCTTTTACATATCCTAATTTAGCCTACTACATGATCGTGGTTTTCTTGACGAGCTGAGGCAGTTCACCTTCTATCTTGAAGTTGAATCTGAATTCGAATTCGGTGCCGCACCTAGTCACATCGAGAGTTACTCAATCTTGCACAGGCGCAGCATGTTCCACGTATTCCATCTGTCACATCTAAAATTTATATAAACCGTGCATGAACAGGACCAGGTTTGTCACAATTTGGATTCTAGTCAAGCACTCGGGTGTGGGCGGAGTTTCATTCCCAGTCTCACGCACCTTCCACCTCAACTGCCATCAGCGCCTCTTGCTCTCTAACGTTCATCGACTTCTCTTTCCTTTCTTCAGCTCTTCTTTCCCGCTCGCCATCATGGGTCTCTCCGTCTCACGTCTGCTCTCAGGCCTCTTTGGCAAGAAGGAAATGCGTATGTCTGCCCAGATTCCTGTATCGCCCACAGATCACTTACGCCGCTTTTCCTAGGTATATTGATGGTGTGTGACACCGCGAGTTTATACCGTACATATAGCTGAATATTGGGCGATAAGGTTGGTCTCGACGCCGCTGGTAAGACCACCATTCTATACAAACTCAAGCTGGGAGAAATCGTCACGACAATTCCAACTATTGGTGCGAACTTTTTTCCGTAAGCGCCTGGGCTCCAGCTACAGCTTTATCATGTAGGCTTCAACGTCGAGACCGTTGAGTACAAGAACATCTCATTCACCGTCTGGGACGTTGGTGGTCAGGACAAGATCCGACCTCTCTGGAGGCATTGTACGTGTCCCGTTTCCATGACTCACGCCGGTTATGGCGCTAAACTGTCGCTTGCAGACTTCCAAAACACCCAGGGCATCATTTTCGTCGTCGACTCCAATGATCGGGAACGTGTCTCCGAAGCCCGCGAAGAACTGCAACGGATGTTGAACGAGGACGAACTCCGCGATGCCCTCCTCCTTGTCTTCGCCAACAAGCAGGATCTCCCCAATGCCATGAACGCCGCCGAAATCACTGACAAACTCGGCCTCCACGGGCTGAGACAACGAACATGGTACATCCAGGTAAGCGCCAATTGCTAGCGTATTAACTTACGTGTTGACCACGTGTACAAATAGGCTGCGTGTGCGACATCTGGCGATGGTCTTTATGAGGGCTTGGAGTGGCTGAGCGCGAACATCAAGCGACGAGTGTAATGTCTTCATGTGTCTGCAGTACTTTACTTCACGCTGTTCACGTCCCCGCTACATACACCCCTCCGATTCCATCTTATCATAGTCTTCCTTGTTGCGTTTTGTCTTCTCGTTCTTGGCTGTCCTGAGCATGGTATCACAGTATCGTCAAGATACGTTCCTTCATTGTACAAGTATAGGCCCGGAGATTCCTTCTACGCATTTATAGACCATTGACTGATATCATACCCGATATTGAGCCATTCAACGGAGTTCCCCCGGGAATATCCGTCCTACAGCATCTGCTTCCTTTCTTCGCCTTTCCGCCAGTTCTCGCATGCCAGCATCACGCTGTGTGGTGCCATACTTGGCAAGCTTTTCCAGCAAGGCCTGTAGACGCTTTGGGCGAACCACACTGTAAGATTTCATGCGATTGGCCGGGATTAGGAAGTCTTGCACGGCGTTCTCCAGTGGAATCGATGTGGTCTGGACTACGTTCATAAACAGCTTGGATAGTAATACTGTTAGACTTACCAGACGTAGCTCAGTGAAGACAGAGCAAAGGTGTGCGCGACCGATTCGCTTGAGCTCGTTCTCGAGGAAATCGACATCAACCAGGATATTAGATATCGCGCTCTCGTTCATGACTGCTACATTGCGCCCAGTCAAGAAATCCTGATTCAGAATATATTCAGATTCGGTCGCTGAGGTGTCGTCAAGGTTCGGAGACTTACCATGAGACATTCAGCAATATATGCGACAGCTCCCTTGTACGCTTCGTCCTTGTAGTCCTCCTTGATCACTAACGAGTCTACCACCGTCGTGAGCCAGTTGATGAGTTCGTATAGATACATGCTTGGTGTGTCTTCCCGGTGGCGAGGCGTCCAGTCATACTCTGAGAGCTCGAAGAAGTCGTCCAGTTTGGAGGTGATCAATCCCGTTATACGTTCGAGAGCCCGAGTGAGCGTCGTTTGGAAGGAGCTTGTGGCCGAGAGCTTCATCGGGCAGCCTCTGTAATAGCGAACGGTAAATAGAAGCGTAACGAGATCGGCTATGCAAGCAGTATTACCGTGAATTGGTCAAAAACGTCTCTATGCTCGGACACGCCGCTTGGAAGTATTCCAAGTTCGTTATTATCTGCGCTATCTGCGAGAGCGTCGTTGTGCCTGCCAGTCTTTGCCCTATGCATTTGCTAACATAGTTGCTGAGAAGCGCGTCAAGTGACTAGAGTCCAGAATCAGATAAGCGTCAAGTATATGCACAAAAATATGCACTCACTTTACATAGTAGCTCGTCATTCCTTCCCGTCTGTGAAATTCCTTCGATGAATTGATAGAACTTCTGAATAAAAGACCTGATCTATGAAAATATCAACGAGATTGACCGCAGAACGTGATGGTTTCACGCACATCTTGGCAACAGAGATAGAACGTCTGTGACCAAGGGAAGACGAGGGGTACTGGGGTTCTGAATGTAGAGTTCATGTACAGGCTCTAAAGTGGAAGCAGGAAATACGTACTGCTTAAGGAGGTCTTTCTCCTCTTCTCCGAGCCATACTACGTCCAATACTGAATCAACTTCCTGTGAAGTCTCAGCTTGTAACGGCAGATGGTCATCTTGAAGAACGATCTAGAAGCCTTCCCATTGAGACCATGGATTGATATAATGAGTGGTGACTTACATTCTCGAAACGCCGGCTAAACTGCTTCTCGAGGAGCAAAGCATATTTTTCAAAGAGAAGGAGAAGGAAGGCGCTCATCGAGTTCGTCTGGTAAATTGGGGACTAAGGCGTACTATTGAGCAAGCGCATCAAATTAAATACATCAAGACAAACCTACCTCGAGCGTGGCCATGAAGCTTGTCAGATATTCCTTTGCCTGGAGAAATGCGCCGGGGTCGGTCTCGACTTGGAGGGCATTATCCACGCCTATTGATAGACGCGAAACGACAGCTTCCCAGAGTTCCTCTACGTCTCTTTCAGATCGGAAATTATCTGTTGTGTCCAAGACTCGCGTCTCAATCAAGAAAAACCCAGATATTTCTTGCGTCAGGGATTGTAATAGAGGTAATGGAAGCGGGTTCGGGAGGATGAGATCTGATTGGGCCTTTGCCATGCTCTTCAGGTGCTGTAGGATATAGCGATATATAAATGAATACCTTTCGGTCTGCCTGATACGATCTTCTCAGGTCATCGAGGGAATTGAGGGTAGAATAGATATGGATACATTCATATAGTGGCTTAAAGTCGACAGTAATGTGCTCGTTGTCCAGAACGTTGACTGAAAGGAACATCATGAATAATATTATTAACGACTTAATATGTTCATGCTTACATTCTGTCTTCTCGTACGTGACTAGCTCGACAGCACTACCTACGCGCACTGTTTGCAACAATGGGTCCCTGTCACGGCGTGCTTTCCACCGTCGGTTACGAGCGTCCATTGCATCCATCGCAAGCCGTCCGACCTCAGCGCTTATGTTGCGTATTTCTAGTAGCCATTGCTTCACCGACGCCGTAACAGCATCCTTAATCTGAGTACGCAACGACGGTAGCGAAGACAGTAGATGTTGGAAGAATGGTGTTTGTGAGAGTGAAGTTGGTGGCATACTTTCGATATCCTCAAGCGACTGCACAAGCCCGGGACCGTCAGATTTATTCTTGACCGCGATGAAGATGCAACGTACGCGCAATGCGCTCCAGTATTTTCCCGCCTGCACCATCTCTCCAACGCGGTTGACCACATCAAGAACTCTTAAGCAAGCCTGCAATGAGTCAATCCCCTCGTCCAAGTTGGCTGCAGTCTTCCGCGTCCGCAGCAGTGTCCGTTTCTTGTCCACCAAGCCCCGGCCAAGTTGAGAAACATTGGCATCCAAGCCGGCAATATTCTCTTTCATTTTATCCGTGTATGCCTTGACTGTGAACATGGTCGATACCGAGGATATAAAGTCCTGGTAGTTGTCCGCGCATATCTTCTCTATTTCAGCATCTTTAGATTCAATGAGACCTTGTATAGTGCGCAAGTATGCTTCTTGTTGCTTGCTTGTGTGGATCTGTTTGATAATCGGCCCTAGTTGTTCCAAGTTCTCTGAAGACGAAGAAGGGTCGAGCAGGTGAATCTGCTGCAGCTGCTGGTCAATACTCTCTTGAGTGAATTGTGGGCGTCGTCGTGGTGGCATGGTTGCTGAAGTGATCTATTTTTAGACTGTGGCTCTACTTGCGGAGTCCTTGGCACGTGGCGGGTCATTTTCAGTTCAGAACTTACTGCTAACAGTAAAGATGCCTGTGGCAACCGTGATCGTCGATGCTGTGTGAGTTAGAGTGGAGACGGTTACTTCTTGGATGCTTAATATCGTCTATTCTATTAGGCTTTTTGACATGGACGGGACCCTCCTTGATTCCACCGCAGGTGTCGTCGGTGCCTGGGAGAAATTCAAGGAAACATATCCAGGGATCGATATTCACAAAATCCTTGACAGTGCGTGACTGCGTGCTTTTGATGCGGCTAGGGCTAAATATGGAGTCAAGCCGCACACGGTGTCAGGACGGTAGACAATCTCAAGAACTACTGCGGACTAACCGATCCAGATGAACTAGAGGTAAGCTGTAAAGTGCTCGTCGCGCCGCTTGAAATCATTGCTCAATCTGCCTCATCCTAGCGGGAGGCACTACGCTTCGAGACTGCTATCGTAGAGACATCGACCAACAATGGCCGACAAGGCATCGTGAAACTCCCCGGCGTATCCGCCATCATCGAAGAAGTAGGCTGTCCCGTTCATAATATTGACCCGTCCCGCACTCATCGCGACGGAGTAGCTGGAACCAACCCTCGCCGATCCCCAGCAATGTTGGGCCATTTGCACTTCCGCGACACGGGCGTATGCGACAGCAGCTCTTGGAATCGCCGGCATCCCAATTCCCAAGGTACTCCATCTCCACCGGCTTCGGTATGAATACTGAACGACCCGAAGGTGTTCGTTGCGGCTGAGGATGTCGAGAAAGGAAAGCCGTTGTAAGTGCTATCTGACAGTCACACGTAATATCACCCACTAGTCTTGAATTAGCCCGGACCCCTACTTGCTCGGGGCGAAGTTATGCGGGGTCGGGCCCGAGAAATGTAGGCCACTCGCACGAATCCCTTCATATCTCCTCTAAATATCGTTTCGTAGGTATCGTCATCGAAGACGCGCCAAGTGGTATCCGCAGCGGCAAGACGGCTGGCTGTCAAACTATAGGCTTACTCACGACCCACAAGTTAAGCCAGGTACAAGAGGCCGCACCAGACTTTGTCGTTCCCAATCTTTCAAGGTAGCAACTCATTTGCGAAGTTATCTGCTCCCACATTCTGACCGTTGGCGATGCAGTGTGACCATGAAGAGGACCGACGATGGCAAGGTCAAGATCACGATTACAATGGAATAATCTTGCACAGAATATAGAAATAATAGACCTCTCAACTTCATAGATGCTCTATGCAAGCCGTACATAATAACAATATCCAACGTGAAAGCAAGTAGACTAGACACAGATAGATAGATGCCACGACACCGTCGATAGAAATGTCAGTAACGTTCCCAAGGTAGGAGCATACATTCAATATGCCTCTTCGGCCTCAGCATCGGCGGAGTCGATGCCGACTTCTTCGTAGTCTTTCTCAAGAGCGGCAAGGTCTTCACGAGCTTCAGAGAACTCCCCCTACAGAGACGTAAATAACACAGGGACAGTTGCGAAGAGTACAGGGTTACTTACCTCTTCCATGCCCTCACCGACATACCAATGCACGAAAGCTCGCTTCGAATACAGGAGGTCAAATTTATGGTCTGAAATATTGATGAGGAAATGTATTTAAGATGATGTGAGGAAACATACCCAGCCGAGCCCAGGCGCCAGCGATAGCAGTGGTGCTAATAATATGTCAACCGCACATACGGAACCTCATAGAAGGTATGACTCACTTTGAAAGCATGCAGAGACTGCGGGCAGTCTTTGCAAGATCACCTCCCGGAACAGTTGCGGCCGGCTCGTTGCAGATGCCGAGCTACAGCGACGGTAGGTTACCTAGGGAAAACCTAAGAAAGTTGAGTTGAACTTACCTTGAAGCCGGTTGGGCACCAGTCGACAAATTGGATAGTGCGTTTGGTCTTGATACTGGCGATAGCGCTCTGACAGTCCTTTGGCATGACATCGCCGCGGTACAGGAGGCAGCAAGCCACTGCCAAGGACACCTTTAGCAGCAGTGATAGTTGAGAGCACAACACCTACTGTATTTGCCTTCCCTAGGGTCACATTTCACCTAGTGCTATCGTCAGTATGCTCACTTCATATCAGACGTGATACACTCACCATTTGATTACCATTCTCGAAGCAGGAGAAAGTCATTTCGGCTACTGAGTTCTGCTCATGGCTCGCCTTCTCTGCAGACAAAAGGGGGGCATAGGTGGCGAGCGGGAAGTGAATACGAGGGAATCTGGGATGCAAAATCAGCATTTGCACGAAGTTATGTATGAAGCATCTTACGGAACCAGATTGGTTTGAAACTCGTTCAAGTCGACGTTAAGTGATCCATCGAAACGCAAGGAAGCCGTGACCGAGGAAACTACTTGGGCAATAAGGCGGTTCAAGTTGGTGAAGCTGGGAGACGCGACATTCAGCTTTTGCTTGCAGATATCATAAATAGCCTCATTATCAACCTGAACGGCGTCAGGACTGGACTGGAATGATAATAAGCGACCCACCATAAAGGAGCAATCAGAATGTTCTAGTGTCGTGTGAGTAGTCAGAACCGAGTTATATGGCTCTACAATGGAGCTGGAGAGCTGGGGTGCAGGGTAGACACAGAATTCGAGCTTGGACTTCTTGCCATAATCTGCTGAGAGTCGCTCCAACAACAACGCGCCGAAGCCGGAGCCCGTTCCGCCACCGAAAGAATGAAAGACAAAGAATCCTTGTAGTCCTGAGCAATTGTCTGCCAAGCGGCGTAGCTTATCCATAACAGGGTCAATGAGCTCTTTCCCAACGGTATAGTGCCCTCGGGCATCTGGTGATAACGCGCTGAGATTAATGGGATAAATCGTCTTGTGGAGAACGTACAGTTGTTTGCGGCATCCTCTTTGCCAGTGATAAGTGTCTCTGGATGGAACAGAGACCTGTATATTCCAGTCTTCACATCATCAATGACACCCGGCTCGAGATCAATATACAGGGAACGTGGAACATGTTTGCCGGACGAGGTTTCCGAGAAGAACGTGGAGAAGCCCGCATCTGAGTGGGAGGGCGAGTCGCTGAGAAGACGACCATCCGGCTGCGATGCTCAAATCAGTCAATTTCTTATACCCCCTTGGCAGATATCGCACTCACTCCTATGCCGTGTTCCAAGGTGTAAAGCTCCCCTATGATTTATCTCAGCCTCGGCAGAATCGCGTCGCGTCGCGAAAGCTCACAGCATGCATTTCCAATCTGAACACCGGCCTGGCCAACTTGCAGAGAGATAACTTCGCGCATTTCGAACGAACGATAGAGCTGGTAGTGATCACAAGTGTGCGAGCGCAAATTTGTTTCAGTCACACTTGTCTGATGTCTGAGTCTGAATCACGCTCGACATATCCAGTAAGTGCTTGATCATGAAATTTCCGTGTTATGAATGGCAACAAAAGCTATGCGTAAAAATCGTAGAACAACAGAAAGAGATGGGAGATGTCCTGCCTAATATTCTCCCGACTCCTCAACATCAGCCGAATCAATTCCAACTTCTTCGTAGTCCTTCTCCAAAGCAGCAAGATCCTCACGAGCTTCAGCAAATTCACCTTCCTCCATGCCCTCACCAACGTACCAGTGAACAAAGGCACGCTTGGAGTACAGCAGATCGAATTTGTGATCGAGGCGACTCCATGCGCTAGCAATAGCAGTCGTGTTCGACAACATGCACATGGAGCGAGAGACCTTGGCAAGGTCACCGCCAGGAACGTTCGCGGGAGGTTCATTGCAGATACCGATCTTGAAACCAGTAGGACACCAATCAACAAATTGAATGGTACGCTTGGTCTTGATGACGGCGACGGCAGTGTTGACGTCCTTGGGAACAACGTCACCACGGTAGAGAAGAGCACAAGCCACTAGAAAGCACAGTCAAAAGAGCATACGATACGTCGAAAGGGATCAACCAACTGTATTTGCCTTCTCTCGGGTCACACTTAACCATTTGGTTGCCGGTCTCGAAACAAGAATACGTCATGTCAGCGACAGAGTTCTGTTCGTGGTGGGCCTTCTCAGCGGAGAGAATTGGGGCAAAGGTGGCGAGAGGGAAGTGAATACGTGGGAAGCTACGGTCATAAGTGGTTCAGGTACAACGCTACTTAGAAGCAGGCCGACGACTTACGGAACCAAGTTGGTCTGGAATTCGTTAAGATCAACGTTCAAGGAGCCATCGAAACGCAGCGAAGCCGTTATCGAAGAAACCACTTGAGCGATTAATCTGTTGAGGTTCGTGAAAGAAGGAGACGTGATATTGAGGTTCTTTTTGCAGATGTCGTAAATGGCTTCATTGTCAACCTACGAATATATTAGTAGTGATCGAGTGAGGACTGCATAGAAACAAGTGCGTACCATGAAAGAGCAGTCAGAGTGCTCAAGCGTGGTATGCGTGGTCAAGACAGAGTTGTATGGCTCCACAATGGAGTTGGCGTTGGTGGGAGCAGGATACACGCTGAATTCCAGCTTGGACTTCTTGCCGTAGTCGGTAGAAAGACGTTCCAAGATCAAAGCACCAAGGCCGGAACCAGTTCCGCCACCGAAAGAGTGGAAGATGAAGAAACCTTGCAACCCAGAACAGTTGTCCGCCAATCGACGGACTTTGTCCATTACAAGATCGATCTGCTCCTTTCCAATCGTGTAGTGACCACGGGCATCTGTAGCGGGCATCGAATTAAGTCAGAACGCGTCGATGCAGTTGTAGAAAGGTGCATGCATACAGTTGCTGGCAGCATCCTCCTTGCCAGTGACAAGAGTCTCGGGGTGGAAGAGACTCCTGTACGTGCCGTTCCTCACTTCATCGATAACATTGGGTTCAAGGTCAACGTAAAGCGAGCGAGGAACGTGTTTCCCAGAAGAGGTCTCCGAGAAAAACGTGCTGAAGCCGTCATCGTTCGTTGATGGAGAACCTTCCATGAGGCGGCCGTCAGGCTAGATGAAAGGCAATATATCAGCCCATTCGTGCCACAGATAGATAGTATTTGAACGCACGCTCAGCCCATGTTCGACGGTGTAGAGTTCCCCTTGAATCAACAATCAGTATCAATGTCACGCCACTTTCAACTAACAATAGACGAGGCGATATAAACTTCCGCGACGCGTTTTATGTCGCGCTCCACCGTCTGCAGAGTGCATAGAAGGTAATGTTTGAGCACGAGAACTTACAGCAGGCGTTACCGATCTGGACACCAGCCTGGCCGACGTGTACTGAGATGACTTCACGCATTTTGAAGCTCTGAACTGTATAGATCGATAAACGCGATGCCAGTGAGTCGCCGAAGCTAATTCTCCAGCAAACGAGCGCAACCTACAAATGAAATGAGGATTGAAGGAAGTGGAGGCTGCGATGGCAGAACAAAGAAAAAGGTCTCTCGCGACACAAAAGTGCTAAAGCCTTGAGGCATTCTTCCCACGTATGTCAGCAAGCATGGTGGTCCGTGCACTTCACGACACGCAGATTGCTTTGCAGCACCAGGCATTGACATAAAAGAGTGTATATAGTACGTGTAGATGTAGATTGTAAGTTAGGTTCTGTGGACTGTGGAATGCGAATGTCCCATCTGATAAATAATAAATAGCTCTATGGAGACCGAATCACGTATCTGGAGAAATTATCCCCAAGCTCTCACCCGTCCCTTTGATAGCTGCCACGGCGTGTTTACCTCCGCGCGCAGCCTTGTTCGAAGTCTTGCGTGCAAAGTATCTATGGGAGCGGGGATTAGTTGAAGGGCTCTCATATAAGTATAATCAACCAAACGCACCCCACAAGTGTGTCCCAGATACGCAAGCCGTGGAAGGGTATGATATGAGTATATGTTTGTTGCTCTGAGACAGACTGTTTGGGTGCCTTCGTCGGATGGTCGTGGGGGTCGAAAGCGGCCCGAATAGCGTCGATAGCTTTGATGTGTGGTACCATGGTATGCGTTACGGGCGCGGTGTGGTATATGCTCTTCTTAATCAGCGCTATTGCCTCTGGCTGCAAATGCCAAGATATTTGTTAGCGCCAGAAATCAGGTCGCTGTCGAATAACCTACCGTATCTCGACGACCAGCGATGGCAGACGGTGGCGGGGTTTCGCCAGCGAGATCCAATGGCCCCCACCGTCGCTCAGCCTGGATATCACCTTCCCCGGTGACAGGGGAAGGGGCGGACGCTTTCGACACGGTAGAAATATTGGAAGGACGCTGGGATACGGGAGGCCTTTGGTCGACGGTGAACGCAAGACCTTGCTCTTTGGCATTCTTGATCATCCTCTCAGCCTTGGTCTCTAACTTCCGCCGCCGTTTCATCGCCTTTTTGGCCTGCTTCTTGAACATCCTGTCCCACTTTTCCTGACCGCGGAGCCAGCGAAGCGTGGGTTCCTCCTTGATGAGCCCAACTGCAGAAGGCTCGATCTGCAGCGCAGATATTTGATCTCTGGGTTCCATTGAGCGAACACGTCCGTGTATGTCTACCCGTTCGCGGACCATCCTAATGTTCTTGATACCCACCTGTGAAGCAGCGTCATTGGAACACGAAGCTGAGTAGCGACAGCGGATTAAGCCCTTACAACACTAGACTTAGATGAAGACGACTCGTTGGCGACCTGAGTAGAGGTTGCATTAAGATGATCTTCGACAGCTTGCATCACAACTTCCTCGTTGGCTTTGTACAGGGCGATATCTTCCGGGGTCTCTGGTGTCGGGGCAGGCTTGACAACCTTGTCCTGCAAACGGGAAACAATGGTCGAACGCTCTGTCCTGTCCTGTGCTTCGACATCTGGCGACACTGACAAAGCCGACGGACGGCGATGTAACTCGGGGAAAGGGTTTTGTTGGAGTTGTTCACTGTCGGAATCAGTGGCGTGCTTGATGAACTCGGCAATTGACCGATAAGCATATTTGGCCTAAAATAACCCCGATTCCACGTCAATATAAACTCGCAAGTATATATTACACTTACACTCTCTGTAAAACTGAAGACGGTGGGCACATGGCACATCCCTGACAGAGCGTGAGCAGCAACTACACAAATTATGCGGGTACGCCTACCGTCAAACACTTGCAAATGGACCTACGTCAACGATGTTACATGAGGCAGTGATCATGGAAAAAGTTGTGATGTTGTACCTTCGTTGGCGTGGTGAACTTCTCCGCATTCTCCTTCTGCCGTCTACCCTCGCGTAATACACCCTTTCTAGCAGGATATTGGTCGGGGTGAGCAGCTCGATGCGCCGTGTACACTATCTCATCTCTGAGAACCTCCCCTTCGCCCGCTATGATGTACAAGGGTGGAAGGTTTCCTAGCGAACCCTGCAAGACGGGGGAGACGAGGGGATGGCAGAGTTGCCTGAAATACGTGTGAGTACTGAGCGATGCGGAATTAGTATTGGGTAAGTGCCCTCACTCAGTGGTAGCGTATATCTGGATTTGAGAGTGAAGTTCGAGAGGAATCGAGGCATGATCGTTCATAAGGACCTTCGGTGGCTTCGGTTCCCAGGACTCATCCTCGACTACGGTCTGAGAGCTGGATGATGCTTGTTTCCGTGAATGGCCTCCAGTCTTTTCCTCGGTCTGACCTTGAGCGAGCATTTCCCCTTGGTTTTTGATTTCCGGGGATTCTGTTTCGTTCTTCTCTGCCTCTATGTGGGAAGCAGTTGGCTTGAGAGTATCTACGTGACCAGGCGCTGGGGGAGGGTTAGAAGTAGTCCTCGTCACTCGACCGCCAGCTGGGGGTAAAAGGTCAACCGGCCATAGCGTCGAGGGCTTTGCCAGAAACCCGTATTCCGGTATGATATCCTGAAGTAGAAATACAGCTCGACCATTCCATCTCTTCGCGAAGCGTGAGGAACACTAACCGTTTCTGAATTGGCCATGACACTGGGGAAGCTATGGGTGAGGTCTACCCAAGGGCTGATCAGAACGGCGCCAGCAGGGAGGGAAAGGCCCATGTCGCGAAGAATAGTCAAAGTGGTCAAGCAGAGAGCTGCACCAGCGGAATCTCCTGCAAAGACGATCTTGGAAGGGTCGATGGGGTTGTGTAGTGCGGAGGCTGGAGGGTTGATGAGGTACATGTCTGCAGGGATGGACAATTGGTATACTGAACACCGAGATATGAAAAGATGCTCACAAGCCGCGAGGACATCTTGGAGGGGACACGGCCATGGATATTGGGGCGCTTTGCTGTATATATTACCTTTAATGGATGCCGATAATCGCGATTCTTATGCTTACCGATAGTTGACGGCGAATGCCCGGCCTTTGCTTTTACGAGCTGCCCATGAAAATAGCTAGAGTCAGTAATCCGAAATATTGGGAACAGGTTTACCATATCGAATTATCTGGTATCTGTGTGTATCTTCCGGGTTGGTAAGAAGCATGTCAAAGTGCTGGAGTAATTCTTCACGTACTTATAGATCCCCAGAAATATCCACCTACGGAAGAAATGTCTATTGTAGTGAACTCTACTACGGGGATAGAACATACCTCCGTGAACATAGAGCTATGCACAATGAGTCTTAGCAACCTCATGTCGAACTTGGATTGAACATACTATGACTCGTTCTAGGTGATTCATCCTGAGTATGTCTGCATCCGTGGTTGATAGGTTTCTGGTCCTGAGGTCGGGGGTAATTGGCTCCGGACTTAGATATTCCTTTTGGGTAATCCATTCCGCGTCGACCCCATCCAGACCTCGTACTTGCCACCATCGCTCCCCACCTACCACATGCTTGAGTTCATCTGGACCAAACCAACTGATTAACGTGTCTGCCGCCTTGTTGCAGCTCGAAAGCGGGATGGAAACAGGCGACACCGCAGCCCAATACGGTGAAGGCACATGTGTATTGGTGCTGAAGACGTGTAGTCAAGAATATGGCTGGTAAAAGTGCATTCCCAGACTCACAATCCTTGCAGCGATTCAATGGTGTTCTTGGTTCCCAAATCTATGAAGGCTAGGAAGAACACATCAGCGCTCATTCTTCCAGCCATCCTGTATCTGCAAACTACATTTCACAATCTTGAAGGCCCTAGAAACTGTTATTCGTCGCGCGACGCCTAAGGCAACGCCTTGACATACTGGTGAAAGAATATGTCGTCCGTGGCCTCCTCCTCCTGGTCGCCCGCCTTGAATTTCTTGGCTTTGGTCCTCCCATGTTCGAAGAAGGTCTTGACGACGACTTTACATGTGTTTTAGCCCGTGCCCAATTGGTCCTGCTAGACATTAAACCCGAGCGCGCTCACCAGGTGTAATATGTACCGCCGCTGAAACGGTGGTCACAGGCATGTCTAGTTAGAAGAGAAGGTAACACAAGGAAACGAATGAAGGAGCGTGGTGGAGTCGAATATAAATATGAACGTGAACTGAAATTGAACTGGAAATATATTTGTCTCCAACTAGTATTGCTCCTTTAGCCGACTCGGATGACGTCCAGTTATGCTTTGTTTGGTTTACATTCTGTTGACAAGTTTTGCGACTTACCTCTTAGTTCCGACGATGCATCTCGACGGCATTGTCTCCCGTCTGCTCCTCGATGCGCTCAAACCTTTCACATACCTTGTTCTTTTTCTAATGAAGTTACGCACTCATCGATCATCAGTGAAGTGAGCCGATATTCAGCCAGTCGCTATTACGCTTGGACTACACTGCATACCACCCTCATTTCAATTACTCGAGTCGTTGCCAGGTTCTATGTCGAATCTCTGGAATACCAGAGCTAGCAATGGCCTTGGAAGTCATGCAGGGTCATGGCAAGGAATAAGTCCCTTTCACCTCAGTCCGCAACGAGGTTCTCTGAGACACTTTCGTCGATCATGAAACACCACACGGCGCAGCGTATCGCTACAGCGGCGAATCGGAGAACACTCTGGTATGCAGGCGGATGCTACAACAAGACATCGGCCGTCCCCGAGGTTAGGTTCGACTAAGGATGTGCCCGTGGACATAAAGGCGAAGGTGCCAGTGCTCGTGATCGCGGCCGGAAGCCTGCAATTACTAAAAACAGACTGGAGTCCAATGGAAACTACTATGCCTAACCTTAGGAGACCCACCTTGATAAGAGACGTTTCATCGACTTCAGGCTTTAATCTTATGGGTGGGTGTTTTTAGCACAGTATACAGATATACAGATAGAAGAGCTGACCGGAACACAAACAGATTGATTCTTCCGCTTTTCCGGCTTTGCTGTCGCTCTCGTAACATCGTGAGATGGATCCGCTACAACTTTCTTGCTCGTTCTTGGTTGGTTCTTGCCGTAGACTTTGTGTCATGCCGTAAATGAGAAGGCATTCGACACCGTTCGAGGCTTGGCCGCTCCACGCATTTGAGCTATAAAGGTCGGCTCATCTCCTCAAGAATCCACAAGACCAGCAATGCGTTCAATCCTCTTGTTGTGGACTATCTCCCTTCCTTTGTTGATGGTGCTCGCGACACCGCTGATGCGTGGAAGTGAAGGCCAAGTAATCCCACGTCAAATCAGTCTCACTCCGGCCAGCTCTTGCGCAGCTGGACAGCTTTGGTGTTGTCAGACCGTCGGCAGTGTACGTCCCAAGCCCGTCTTTTGATACCCTGGCTGACTCATCCTACTTTGCATCTTGAATACTTATGTAGTCCTCAGACTCAGCCATAGCTGCAGCGCTAATCCTTGCTGGAATCCTTGATCCTTCGGGGTTTAATAACGTGGGGGTCGGCTGCTCTGCACTATCCTGGCCCCTCAATATGAACTGTCCTAGCCCGGGCAAGCAAGTTTGTTGCGACCCGGATCCGGTATGTATTTCCGACCTCCATCTGCATCGTTGATACGAACTTGGTAGTAGGGCTTGAAAGGGGAAGTGGAGCTCGACTGTCGCGCGGTGAACCCACTCTTGCGTTGATCTGCTGGCATAAAGCTCGAGGCCCTGGCATCCATGGTGCATCTAACATGGATATGTATTTGGACTGTAATAATATGGCTGTGATGACCTCGCAGAGCGCTCTTAGCGATATAAAAGTATATTTGAAGAGTTTTTAAGCGATATGCTTCCAAAGCCCAGTCTTAGGATTTGAATTTTTGTGTATGTATTTTATCAAAGACGCTACGAGCCAAATAAGGAAACCTATCGGTGCACTCGGCGGTATTACTCAGCGGGCGCTTTCCGTTTTTGCTCTCCTGCTCATGATCACATTTACACCTTTGGCTGGTGCTGCCCGTTCCTCCTCCTTGTCCCCCCTTTCCTATCTTCTCCAAATTGACGATGTGCGCGTTTTGCTAGACTGCGGTTCGCCGGATTGGTGCCCAGAGTTGGGGGAGAATGACGGCGAGTTCTACTGGGAGACATATTGCACGGCCCTTCGCGAGTACGTGCCCTATCGTTCCGTATGCACGTTATCCAACCTCTTCACAGTGTCGCGCCTACTGTTGACCTGGTTCTGCTGTCGCATGGAGACTTGGCTCACTCTGGACTCTATCCATACGCGTATTCACGGTGGAACTTGAAGGCGCCGACGTACACAACATTGCCTGTGCAAGCTATGGCCCGCATAGCAGCAACCGAAGACGTCGAGGGAATCCGCGACGAAGAAGATGTCGGCGATGTCCTTACCGAAGAACCATCCACACCTGAGCCATTGTCTGAAGGACCTCGGCTGAAAGACAAGCAGAGGGGCAAGTACGTAGCTACCCTCCAGGAAGTGCAGGAGGCCTTCGATGCTGTCAATACACTCCGCTACTCGCAGCCCACACATCTACAAGGTCCGCATGTAGTAGCCGCGTTACACTGCCCAATACAAATGAAATAAATTGTCTTAGGGAAATGTCAGGGCTTGACGATCACTCCATTCAACGCGGGCCACACCCTCGGTGGAACCATATGGAAGATTCGCTCGCCGTCGTCAGGTACGATTATGTACGCGGTGAACATGAACCATATGAAGGAGCGGCATCTTGACGGCACGGTGCTCATGAGGGGTTCGGCGGGAGGGATATTTGAACCACTAGCGCGACCCGACCTCTTGATTACTGACGCAGAGCGCGCGAATGTCATCATAAGTCGACGGAAAGAGCGCGATCTCGCATTAATTGGTATCCTCCTCCCTTCTCATGTCTGATGCCATTATATTGACAGTACGCCAGACACAATTACATCCACTTTGTCCTCGCGGTCATCTCTGCTCCTTCCATGCGACGCCAGCACCCGGGTTCTCGAACTTCTCGTCTTGCTTGATCAGCACTGGAGCTTCTCTCGTCTTCGGTATCCCATTTGTTTCCTGACTCGGACGGGTAGTGAAATGCTTACATTCGTGCGAAGTATGATGGAGTGGCTGGGTGGGACGGTTAGCAAAGAGGATGTAGGTGAAGAGAACCCAAATCAACGGCAGAACTCGAAGCGCAAGAGAGGTGATGAGGGGGATGATGATGCTTTAGGTGCTTTGGCTCTTCGTTTCAAGTCAGTTGGCTGTTTCTTTGTATACGTCCTTATCTGTTGGCTGAGTTTCATGTTATAACAGACACCTGGAATTCTTCCCGAACCCTCAAGCTCTACTAGAACGCTACTCGTCGAAAGACCCCAAGCTAATACTTGCTGTACCTGCATCGCTTTCCCATGGCCCTTCTCGACACCTCTTTTCTGAATTTGCCGCCGTGCCGGATAATGTCGTGCTACTTACCCAACGCGGTGAAGAACATACCTTGGGACGGGCGTTATTTGACAGATGGAATAACTCTCAGCGCGGTGACGACCGCTGGGACAAGGGCAGAATTGGTAGTAATATCATGATGGACGGTGTCATGAAGCTCAAGGTGAATATCCCTCCGTTAGGTCATGTACAGACCTTCTTACACTCTTTATCTCTCCAAAGATCAACACCAAGGTACCTCTCCAAGGCGCTGAGCTTGAGGACTACCTCCAGAAGGAACGCGAAGCGAAAGAGAAAGTGGCTGCCCAGCAAGCCGTGATGGCACGCCAGCGCCGCATGCTCGAGGCGGACGAAGATGACAGTGACTCTGAGTCCGATGACTCAGAAGCCGACGACGAAGACGAAGTACGGAAAACGCTCGAAGATGATGCGATGGATACCGACGACCCCGCCACCCGCGCGGACAGGCGGCGGCGGCAGAAATCCGACAAAGCGCTGGACAACGACTGGAATATGGACGGCGACGAGGGGCTGACAAAGCAGCTGCTATCGTATGATATCTACTTGAAGGGGAATGTGTCGAAAGCGACTTCGTTCTTCAAGAGCGCCGGTGGCCAGACACAGCGGTTCAGGATGTTCCCGTATGTAGAGAGGAAGCGGAGGGTGGATGAGTATGGGGAGACTATCGATGTGGCGACGTGGTTGCGGAAAGGGAAGATACTTGAGGAAGAGGCCGAGAGCGATGAGGCTAAGGCGAAGAAGCGCGAGGCCGACGAAGAAGCCAAAGTACAGGAGTTTCACTCAGTTGAAGGCTTCATCGCTAACGTTTCTCTGTTCTTCAGGTAGTTAAAGAACCGCCATCTAAGTTTATCTCTTCAGAGATCGAGATCCAGCCTGCATGTCGACTTCTCTTCGTGGACATGGAGGGGCTCAACGACGGACGTGCCGTGAAACATATTGTCCCTAAGATTAACCCACGGAAAATGGTGATTTGCATCACCCCAGCGCAAGTGACAATATTTATATTTATATCCTCCCTAGATCATCGTTCACGCGTCCGACAGCGCTACAAACGCGCTCATCGAAAGTTGTGCAGATATACGCGCGATGACGAAGGACATATACGCGCCCGGCATCGCAGAGAGTATCCAAATAGGCCAACAGACGAACACCTTTTCAATATCCATCAGCGACGAACTACTAGCATCCGTGAGGATGTCAAGGGTACGCTTCTCGCATATAGTCCATCAGAATAACTGACGGATTTCTCATGCAGTTCGAGGATAACGAAATTGGATATGTCAAAGGAAGGGTTGTCGCCCATGCGACTTCGACTGTTCCTACGCTGGAACCTGCACTTTCATCTCCCATCACATCTCATTCCACCAATCAGGTGGTTGCACGGGGGCGGACCCTTGGCTCTCGCCCGCCTGTCAACATTCCTAACTCGACCATGATCGGAGAGCTCAAACTCACTGCCCTCAAAAGTCGCCTGGCCTCCGTGGGAGTACAGGCGGAACTTATCGGCGAAGGTGTGTTGGTTTGTGGCGCCGCGGCTAAACGTGGCCCCACTACAGATAGATTGGGCGAATCGGTTGCAGTGAGGAAGACAGGGAAGGGACATGTTGAGCTGGAGGGGAATGTGTCGGAGGTTTATTACATTGTGCGGAAGGAGATCTACAACCTTCACGCCTTAGTGGCTGCATGAAAAGTTTTCTAATCAATCGAGTACCTTGTAATCTGCTGTCGTGTGTTTAATTGCCTTTATTATCTTCCGTCTCCCGAGTCCTGTGAGAGTTGTACCAGGGACATTCTACGACAATCTGAGTTGCTTGTCACGAACGCAACAATGATTAGTGAACAACTTCTGCGACATCAACACCTCTTAGTTTCTGTAAACGTTTATGCGATAAAACTTCAAATGAACGACATGTATGTTATATCGGACGGGACCCGTGTTAGATGCTAAAATACAGCTCTGGGTCGTAGAGTTGTATACTAGCGCAATAGCGGGTTTACTGCACGACAATTGACCTTCAATACTTCTCCAACTAACGGCTATTACCGAGTTCAAAACGCTTGCGGGACATGGAAAGTGAAGGCACGCACCAGATCAGGGTCACAGCAGACCTGTTTTCCGGGGCTGGGACAGTTCATCCCGAAGGGCCAGGTTAGACTGGAGCAATGGATCCCTACTTCATTGAACCCTGTAGGGTCCACGACTCCAGCGAGAACTAGAACTCCAGCTATGAGTGGGTTTGTGACCTAGAAATATACACGCAAGATGCAAAGTAGCATGGATATCAGCCAGGATGTGACTGTAGGACATACGATATCGACCGGGTCACAGCACCAGAGCTGATCGTGGGGGCAAGAACTGGCTGGGTTGAGACTAATCTGACGTGCAGTCACCCCGTCTTCACCAGCCAGCGACGTTGCAAGCACCATCGATAAGCGAAGGGAAAGGACCGACATCAAGAAGGTCGGACGCATTGTGAGCATTGTGTGCTTTCTGACGAAAGGAAACATCGCATATTTTATAGATAAATGTCTGAAGGAGGCAGGTCTCGAACATGTTTGGGTGTTTTCTCATTTAAGCGGAATGACACAAAGTCTGCGCCAAGGACGAGCAAAAAAGCTGCAGTCTCGACATGTCATGGGAATACATCTCACGACATACGAGAGGTGCCGAAGTACAGCTGGCAAAGCGGGAGAATTGATCTACATCGTGTTCCGGTTAGCTCTGAGTCCGTCCATACACTTGGCGAAAAACACTCACGAGATAATCGATCAATATCAATGCTTGAGCTTGAAGGTTCAGATAATGGAAGCTGATGGCCCAGACCGTGGTGACCGGTGACCCCTGTTGCAGTGGCTTCTCCGTCGTTTGTAAAGAATTGACTTGTGGATATCGATAAAGGTTTGGTGCCCGAATGAATTTATGGATTGGTTTAAAGTCGATCATAAATACAGCACGGCGGGAGACGATATATACCCAGAAAATCAAATTGTTCTTACCATCGCTACGCTGTCTTGCCTGAATCTTCCTTGAGACTAACGATTCTGTTCAGCACCAAGTAGTCACCCTGCTCACGGGAGGGTTCGACGTCGACATCGTTATCCAGGGCGGCAATCCGCGAATCCTTGTCCAGAGCAAAGTATGCTACTCTGAGGCCCTGGAACCGGACACACTCTTTGCCAACTAGTTGTTCGCTGGTAGCATGTGGTGTTTCATCATCGGCTGCTGGTGCGCTGGATTCTAGCGCCTTTGCTGTGCGGGCCTTGCCATCATGTCGGGCTTCATTCATCAATTGCTTGGAAAGCGGCCAAAACCCAACCTCTACCATGGCACCCTTGATGACCTCCAAGCTGTCGGGATTGATATCTGATCTGAAATCTGCGGGTGGGTTGTCGCTTTTGAAGAGACGGTGGAATACCCGTGTCTCGTCAATGCGTACTGGGCTACCTGAGGGAGGGTGCTCCGCGACCCACTGAATAAATGCCTTCGGCTTTTTTGGAGGCCCTTCGTTCTCTAGTTTGCACAGAAGCTCGACGATCTCTCCCGTGGATGGGTCTGTCTTGTATGAAGTGCATGTGATGGGGTAAGGGGCCTGGAACAGTCCGACCGTCTTGCCTGGTGCGAGGCGGAAGTAATCTTTAGAATCTTCTAACCGGAAATCGTCCGCGTCGATGTAGATAGTTCGAGTGAAGGGAACCGATGTAGTCCCTAACTCAGGGACCTTGGGGTGAAGAGGTTTCTCTATCGTCAAGAGGTAATCTTCCGGTAAATTCTCGATCGTGACTTTGAGGGGACGCATTACCATGAGGAGCCTTGGCGCTGTTGATTCTAGATATTGGCGGACGGCATGTTCAAAGCGGGCCACTTCGATGCTTGTTACAGCGGTAGATACGCCCAGGGTGCTGACGAAAGAGATGATGGCACCAGGTGGTACACCACGACGACGCAAGGCGATGAGTGTATAGAGCCGTGGATCATCCCATCCATCAACGTAACCCTCTTCAACGAGAGCCAAAATCTTCCGCTTCGACATGATTGCCCCTTCCAAGCTGAGCCGCCCGTACTCCGACTGCCTAGGCTTATACAATTCGAGGGCGTCGCAAAGCCATTCATAAGATTGACGCGAGGAGACGAACTCGGTTGTACATAGCGAGTGGCTGGTAAAAGTGTGATGAACGGAAGAAATGAATTGGAGAGAATCCATAGACGCACGAGATATTTTCGAAACTATCAACCAAACAATGGGTGTAATCGTACGTTGGATAGATCTTCCATTTATCTCCGGTTCGGTGGTGCGACGCGTCCAACACACGATATGCAGTCAAATCCCACATCTGGGGATTACCATCCTCTAGATCTTGCTTCATACGGAGATTGGCTTCTTTGGGCCGATATTTACCATCCTTCATATTTACGAATTCGGCGAGGGATTCGCTGACAGGGCGATCACGGTGTATGCATGGTCGGGGTTGTCCACGCTTTTCTCCACGGTCAGCTTTGATTTGCTCCTCTGCGGAAATAACGAGGGTCAGCGCCTCACTCCGGAGCACCACTAAGCTCACATACGAGTACAGTGGCAGACGTAAGCCTTGTCGCGTTTGATGAGCTCAATGGCTAATTCATACAGTTTGTCGAAATAATCGCTGGAGTAGGTGATCTTCCAAGGTTCAAAACCTAGCCATCGTACCATCTCGAGGATGCTTTCGAAATAACGGGCTTCTTCTTTCTCTGGGTTAGTGTCATCATAGCGGAGGTAGCATTTGCCACCGTTGTGAGCAGCATAACCAAAGTTCACAAAGATTGCCTTGGAATGTCCAATATGGAGGTATCCGTTGGGTTCGGGGGGAAACCGTGTCCATACTTGTCCGCCAGTCGTGGCCAAATGAGCTTCACGGAGGTGGGGATGGATCTGAGGGTTTCCTCCAGGCCTATGTAGCTGTCCTAGAAATCCTTCTTCGAAGACAGACTTGCGTGAAGTTGAAGGTTGAGCAGAAGCGGCTGAGGATTCTTTCTTGACCGCTTTCGGCTCCTAAGAATACACATTAATCCTTGGATCCAATGCAAGGGAGTAGAATTTACCTTAGTCTTAGGCTTCCCCGCCTGCTTTGGCCCGAATGTATCATTGAACGCGGTCTCAACGGCATTCTTGATATCCAAAGGGTTGGCCCAACGCAATGATGGCGAATTTCGGATGGATGTAATGACCGAGCCTAATTTGTCCCATCCTGCAATCGCGTTCGAAGTGATATGTTCGTTAACCTGGACGAGCAATTCTTCCGAGGTGATGGTGAATCCTGGAATCAATTATCCGGTCAATCCTTGTGGCGGCATCAACATATCAAGCCGTACCAACACCACACTGAGCGTCGAAACCCACATCATCTATTGGCACACGATGCGATTCAATATACTTCACAGCAACTGAGATAACATCAGAACACAAAGGATTTCTGGCGGGAGGATACGGGCTCACCGGAAACTTGATCAACGCTCTTGAGCTTGCCGTCAAGAATGCGAGCAACGATATAGGATGTTTCTTGCTCCCCAACATCCGATGCCTTGGATATCGCGCTTGCAAGCGCGGCAAATAGAGAAGCTTGCTTCTCATCGAGGGACGCGGTAGCTAAAGAGTGCTTCTCTATGGTGTCCTTCAAGATGGCAGCAGCCTTGGGTGATTTGGCCGCCTCCGCTGCTTTGGCTTGATTGAGGCCAATGGACTTGAACAATGCGATCAATGGATCGCCTGATGCGTCGAGCTTGCTTGTCTTTGAAGACATCTACTGTGAAGGTGGCAGACGATATCTAGTGATATCCGGATGGAAGATGGTGGTATTGGCTCGACAATCAATTAATACACGGTGTTCGCGATTCAGCTTGAGTCAGATCTAGGGTTAGGTGTACCTATGTATGGGTCGAGTTCCCAAATGGTTTTGTGCTTATACATGTACAGTATGTCCATTCAATATAAATCCCATACGATGAGGTCGCTACAACAACTAAACTGACATTTGTTCCGCTAAGTTAAGCTCCAGAAGGACTACAATGTCCGCAAGATTTGTCCCAATAGAAGGTGAATGGAAGCACCCGAATGAATTTATTTAGTGGGAGGCCCGCTCCCACTGGGTGTACCACTCCTACTCCCGTCTCTACCCTCCTGGCTGTTTCTCCCAAATAGCAGCGAGCTCGCATACTGCTCAGCTGCGGTGAATGTGTTCCGAATACTGCGTTTGACGCTTCGCCCCCTGTTATCCCCTTCTGTAGAAGAGGATTGCGCCTGGCCGTGCCCGAGACCAGAGGGCTGGGCAGGCGTATCGGTAGAGTCATCGTAACTGCTGTTGTCCTGCTGCTGCGATGGTAGTTGGTGTCGCTGACTCTCACGATGATGACGCGACTGCTCTGCCTGAGCGACGGCATGATGAGGAGAGCTCGCGACACCACCCAAAGCACTTTGGACGGAGGCTTGGAGTTCGCGCGCGGCGGCGAGCGACACTGGCGATGCTGGCTCTCGATATGGCCAAATTCCTTCCTCGGAGCGTAGTGCTTGTCCGCGACTTACGTGACGATTACTGGGTTGTTGCCTCTGCCGAGGCTGTTCAAGGCGAGCCTCCGACCGGGACGGCTGTTCATGCTGTAGATGTCTTGACTCATAAGGTCCAGTCCTAGAGGGCTCGCCCCCACTGCTGTCTACTTCTAATACCCTCCACTCCCCCGTACCACCACCAACATCGCCTCGTTGAGGGACAGCACTCCCGCCACTCACGGTTCGCGAACCTTGAGCAGTATGCACGGACACTTGCGCGCCTCTCCCATGCCCGATCTCCGCGTAATTCAATTCTGGCGTCAAAGCTCCATTCCCCCTTGACACAGCCAAAATGCTCTCGCCCCCGGGACCAACGAGCGTCGCGCTCGAGTTGACATGACTCTGCCCGATTCCCTGATTCAAATGATATGTTCTGAAGAAGGTAGCTCCGTTACTAGTATTCGTATGTGTACTCCTGTTTGACGCTACATCGCTCGGGGCCGGAGAATGAGGTGGCTCAACGACTGGGAGGTCAGTCCAGATACGGCGATTTGAGCTCGGGGCGGGGCCATCGATGGCGCCGATGGCACGAAGATGCATATAGTACTGTGGGGGGTCGAGGTATATGGCTTGGGGGTTCTGTGGTATCGCTGCATTAAGGTGTGTGGTATCTGGCACCCTCCTATGCGGGAGATGCGCCGCTTGAATAGCGGCTGCACGAAGGTCAACTCGCGCGGGCGGGAAAGTAGTGTGAGACCCGCGGAGAGTGCTTTCTACTTCTTCGTCGCCCTCTTCATCATCCTGAGGTTCCAGATTGTCATCGTCTTGAGAGTGTTCAAGGTCTGCATCACCGTCGACTTCGCCGTCACCATCATAGTCGTCTTCGTATTCCGTGTCATCGGTGCCGTTATTTTCGTTCATGCGGTCAAAGTATTCAGTAAGGAATGCCCGCAGCTGAGATACGCCTTTGCCAGAGTAGACGCAGAAGGCGGCCTGCTGGCTTATGTTGAAATCCTACACGACGCGGTGAGCCATGGGATGTCAGTTGAGTCTGATGTATTACCTTAGGTGGCGGTCGACAGAATCGCTGGAGTGTTGGTTGTCTAAAAGCTGGCACTCCGGTGAGGCTGAGATGAGTTAACTTGTGTAGCTTCTGCAGCAAGAAGTGGATCGCTCCGACAGAAATGCGATCGCAGTAGGATAAGTGGATACGCTCAAGTGTAGCGTGACGTTCCGCGAGTGAATACACCGCCTCGTCGGTGAGATTATTGACACGGACGAGTCCGACTCGGCGCAGTTTCGGAAGAGCAGAGAGCTCGAAAACGGACATATCCGTCAGACGGACACAGTCTGACGTGCCTAATGTTAAAATTACTGCCACGGCTGACCGCTAACAGGGACTTACTTGCGAAGTCAATATACCTCAACCTCGTGCAACTTCTCGCAAGAGTACGGACGGATCGGTCTGTGATATCGATTGCATGTCCCATATGTAGGTAATGTAGGTGCCGACCTAGGCGACAGATTGTTTCGACCGCCCTATCGGTGAGCAGGGCACACTTTGATAGGACGAGATTGCGAATCTTGGGGGCATGGGATACGATGCCCTCGATAGCGTCGTCGGTGATGTTTGCGCAGGCAGAAAGATCAAGCATCCGTAGGTGTTCGAATGTGCGGGTAATGATAAGAGGCGGAAGTAATTCCGCGTCGTCCGATAGTTTGGATAGAGGGAATGGATGTGTAGGAACGTTGCAATTATTGATGTCAGTTCGCAGAGTGGCCGGGAACGCCGCGTCGGTCAATTCGGTGCAATGTGATAGGCGCACTTCACGCATATGCGTCGAATATGTCCAAATGTCCCGAATGGAAACGTCCGTGACGAGTTTGCATTTGTTCAAGTCGATTTCCAGTAGCAGGGGGCAGGATTTGGCCAATGCAGAGATCGATTGGTCGGTGATAAGTTCAACCCCGCTCAACTTTACGCGGCGGAGGAGGGGACAGTTTGCAGCAAGAGCCGTGATAGCGGTATCAGTGACGTCTTTACAGTTGGCGAGATTAATGCCTTGCAGTCTGCGTGCCGATAACGCAAGGCCTTTGATAGCTTCGTCCGTCGTATTGACGACGCTGGTGAGGTCAACTGCGACCAAGTTCGGACATGATGGGAGGACCTCGGCGAGTGCAACCGAGGAGAGTTCGGAACAGTTGACAAGGGTGAGACGCTCAAGTCGGACACAATTGGCCAATATTTTGAAGTAGTCGTCCTTGAGGGACGATGCAAGAGCGAGGAAGTTTAGTCTACGGATAAGCGTGGCGTAGGCGAATCGCTGTTTCGACTCTGCTTGGGATAAGACGTGGATCATGGACTTTAGGGTGCTGAACTTGGAAAATGACGGTTTGTGCCATAGAAGTTCTACGGCGCACTCGCACCAAGCTCTGGATACCCGCAGAGAGTGGTATAAATCCTTTGGCGATGACAGGTGTTTGAGAATGTGAATGAGGATCTCGGGGGGCAGGGTAGAAACCACGCCTTGGGATGCCCAGTGGGCGGGATGAGCCACAAGCTTGATCACGACGTTGTCATCGTCGTTGTCGCCGTCGTTGTCGTTGTCGTCGGACAAGGATGTGTTGGACGGGGCGAGATGTTTGTGCTTGTACATTGTGGTCGTGAGGAAGGGAAGGATGAAGAAGGGTTGAAGGTGCAACGAGTCCACGTGCATCGTTTATTATTGTATGCCAAATGTCACACTCTTCCTCCTTCGATGAAAGACTCAATTCTTATATCCTTCCCCAGCCAGGACCCGAATACTATGCCACCAGACGAGCCCTGTGGTTGTCACGGCCAGAACAGGCTCAATCACAAGAACAGCCACATATACCTCACCCAGTTGGAATTCAGAAGTTGGCGAAGGCGCTTAGCGCGCCTGGGGCAGTCCAAGATGATAGATTATGGAAACAGTCGCTGAACAAGATCTGGAAGGGCTTCTCGTCGGGGGCGAGCTTGGTCGAAAGACTCCCCATGCGTGTTGTTGTGAGTAGCCGAATCTCACAGATTACTACTGGATTCATGGATGTGTGTGCTCTACAGGTCAGGATCGTACACGCTGCTTGGCTACGCGACTCGACTTGGCCAGCTAACGCCCAAGCGCCTGAGCCAGACGACGAGCTTCCACCAGATGCAGACACTGCAAAACAGGCGATGCCGCCTCTCGTTCTCAAGAGGGATCTCGATACAAGTGCCAAATCGCAGATGACTGGACTCGGCTAAGGCGCCAGCGGACGAGCATGTTACAAGTATGATCCTCTTTTGGTACAATGAAGTATGATGGGAGAGTAGCTTGACTCGTAGTGCTTCACAGATTAACTGGCGCCTGCGATCACGGCAATCCGAGTACACCCTCTCAAGCTCATGTCCGTGAAGGTGGTGAAACCTGTTTCAAAAGAACATAATTGGAATCAATTAGATCGTTGTTGACTATGACTATCACTCAGACATACCAAGATAACTCCATCTCCTCGTACAAACAGCATATCCATTTTCCGTTTGGCGACCTATGAGTGGATTAAAAAAGTCTCATACACCTAGTGCTTGGGACGCACGTTGACTGTCTTAGATCCAGCTGTGACATTTTCATCGTCGACGTCGACGATCATGATGGTCTCTTCAACATCACTGAGTATGAGGTTCATATGTCCATCGTACGCCTGTATGTCGCGCGTATAAGCTATAGAATTGAATCTTGATAAATGACTCACATGGAGGATCCCCGTTAACTGCCTGTCCCCTCTAAGTTTAACGAAGACGCGTTCGCTGAGGGAGAGCCGGATGAGGTCGAAAGGCTCCTGAATTCCAGAAGATGATGGATCCATGAACGGTAGATTTGGAACTCCGCCCTCTTGCTCTTGTACTTGTAGGATCAACGATGCCCGTGAGTCGCTTTGCTCCCATATCTCGTCCTCACCGTTGCTGACATCCTCAACAGAAACACTACTGTGACTATTGCGACGTCTTCTTGACTCACGACTCTGCTTCAGGTGGGTAACTTCTAGAAGCACACCCGTATTTGTTATTAACTTGCTTGCAGTGCGCAAAGCACACAACAGTGGTCGCAATCATCTCGCCAACGTTCGGGACTATTACGCCTGTACGTGATTGCATCTTTATAGCTTCTAACAATCTCCTTACGTCGGTGTATAGCACTTGGCCACGACAAGGCTCAGTCTATCATTGATCAAATTACGACTGCATATGAGTCAAGCGGTGGGCCTCCTCCAGGCGGTTTCGGATTTGGGCCGCAACATCTAGGAGGACCCCCACCACCACCTATGGGCTTCGGAGGGCCGCCGCCGTTTGGCCGTACGTATCTTGTCCCTGATTCTGAGGTAAAATACTGACTGTAAGAACATCAGGTCCTCCCTTCCCCCCAGGTCCTGGCATGCCGCCGCCTCCGGGAATGATGGGGCCTCCCCCCTTCCCCCCGAATGGTCCCCCAGGAATGGGCCCACCAGGTTTCGGAGGTGCGTACACCCATGAGCGAGTTAGGCTCTAAAGTTTACCTTTTTTATCACAGGTCCCCCTCCTTTCCCACCTAACGCAGGCGGTCCCCCCGGTGGAGCAATGCCTCCGTTCCCTCCCAATGGCATGAACGGTCCTCCTCCAGGTGCGCTCCCCATGGGTCCGCCAGACGCCCCCTCAGGGCCAGCGTCTGGACCTACTATTCATCCAGATAGGCTGCGGATGATGGGAAGCAGATAATCTCCTTTCTTTGACGCAGCACTTCAGCAATTATGGTGTTATGTTAAGTACGGTATTACAAAAACATGATTAAGTTTACTGGGTCAGTGGAACCCTTCTAATGTCATATGTTTATCATGATATGTGAACCTTATGCAAGAAATTGTCGATATGGAAGTCGAGTCGGAGCATTCAAATCTCAGTCCTGGCTGCATTACCGCGCTTGGTCGGTTGTCCTTCCATTCGTGCTTTGAATATGATTACAGCAATTAACGACATACGAAGGCTAAAAAAAACTGATTGTGAGACTAGCTGTATCTATGTACCCGGGAAGAAGAATTCAACGACTTCGAGTCATTTTTAGAGGCATTGGGAGTAGTCTAGAGTCGGAAACGGTCAGGCGTCAATAGGATGTTTAGACAACTGCACACAACTCACAGTCGTTGAGCTTGGTGCAAGTGCTGCCAGAAGCGCAGACGGTTGGGCCAGTGTATCCGATACCTGTTCATCCGTTAACACCATACGTTGTAAACAACCTCGGGAAAGCTACTAACCACCACACTGGGCGTATTTGGGTGCGGTCGCAGTCGTCCCTGGGCCAGCGGATGTGCTAGTGCCCGTGCCAGGCTGGGAGGTAGGTCCGCTAGGGGTACCAGTAGAACCAGTGTAAGTAGAGCCGATAGGTCCGGTTCTGATGTTCGAGAACGTAACCTGGGCATTGGGGGACTGGGACTCGACATCAGCTGGAACACCCGAGGTGGTCGCACATTCGCCCCGAGCAACACCGGGGGTCGAGGCGCTCTTGGTTGTGGGGTAGTTGCTGTCGAGCCAGAGCATGTTGGCAGCATGATCGTCCCAGACGGACATGACCAGGACCATGCCGTTGGCGAAGGCATCACCCATCTTGGCCAAGCCACCCTTTGAGGCGAACGAGTTGGTGTCGCCGAAGGTGGTCTTCTGGGCAGCGCACCAGGTGTCGGTGATAGAGTTTGCGTCAGTGAGGCCGGCGATGTTGGTCTTGGAGTTCTGGTAGACGACACCGTTCTGGACGTAAATACGGCGGATCTCAGAGAGTTTGCCAGTGGCGGAACCGTTGTCAGTGATGAATCTGAGGGCGTAACTGAGCTACGACAGACACTAAGTGAGTTGGAAATGTACGTACTGTGTCACAACTGTGATCTTCTTGGTGGTATCGATGGTCTTTCCCTTACCAAGGAAGTTCTTGTCCCCCATGCGGAACGAGTTGAAGTCGCAACCATCTTTGTCGCAAACACCACCGTATCTGTTGTCGCCGTCACCGCATTCAGTTCCAGAGCAGCGACGGATGCCAGTGACGCTGCAAGGATGGGGTGTGTATGCAGATGCCATCGAGTTGGCTTCCCAGATGTCCATCTCACTGCAACACGCGCCGTAGCGACCAGTTCCAGCGTTCGCGTCGTTGGGCGACCCAGCCCAGTCAAGGACGTTAGCCTCGCCGTTTATGAACTTGATATCATGAGGGCATTGTGAGTCACAGTATCCAGTTCCATATTTAGCACCGGCCTTGATGTCGAAGAGGTCAATCGAGGTCGCAGATTCTTCCGGATCGACAGAAGCTCACCTTGTTGCCAGTATTTTTGGACATGCCGCCGTCGGCTTCCATCTCAGAGAAGTAGAGAGCACCGTTCAAACCACAGGGTAGCTGCGACATGTCGACGTCGAAGGTGAACTCCTGGTTCTTCAAGTTGAACATCTTGTAGTGCGTCTCGTCGTCCATGAGGTAGACACGGGAGCCGATGTTGGTGGAGTACTGGCCCTTGGTCACGAACTTGAGAGTCAGGGCGTTGCCTGAGGTAGTGATACCGTATGTGCCGGAGTAGTCAGCACCGTCGAGAGCGCAATTGCTGGCGCAGGTCGTCGGGCTGGAACAGAGGGTAGAATCCCAAGTATTACCATCGTAGCAGTTCTAGAGGGGAAACCGTAATTGAGCGCGATTTCATCAGTGTTGGTAACACCAAAGAACTTGCCGTCGAACCGCTTGTAGTATGGAGCCAACGCCAATTGGAGTCAAGGACGACCGACTTGGATTGGGTAGTACATTGACCGGCTGCAGTGCACTGGGATACCTGCAATGTCGGGTGGGTTTCCGCGGTCAACGTGCCGACTTGCTGACCGAGAACAACGGCCGCGAAAGTGAAAGCGATGAGAGCAGCTGAGCGGAACATGCTGTAGGTTGGCAAAGAGACCGTTTGGACGATGGCTAGAAGGATTCAACGCCGAGTTGATGGAGAGAACTAGCAGCATTTCGCATGCTTTTATACGCACCACGTCGGAAAATGTCTGGTAAACCTCAACGCTCACCAGGCATGCAAGTCACGGTTGTCTCTGCAGAACCTCTGACTAGAGTCGCGAGGGAGTTGAAAGGCTCGCCGAAGAGCATCCGGCATATAATCATCGGAGAGGTCATCTAGATGCACGGAGAGGACGGTAAAACAAATCATGAGTATGTATCCCATCGTGACCATTGAAAGATCGAAGACGAGGACGGTACCGGACGGTCCACATATTCAGACGCCTCTTAGTGGGACCGTCAGCTTGTCGTCGTCGGGAGTGTTGAATTGAATAGAAATGTCACGAGACGGGCTTCATGCGGGCTTCTTATACTAGCCTTTTGACATTCAGGACCTCGATTGTGATGGGGGCCCGCGTGGATCGCGGTCTGTGGAAATATGGAGAACATACCGAAAAACTGCCGCAAAGACAAGGTCCGTACGCGAGTACCGTGAATGGGCAGTTCTTCATCTCCGTTGGTGGCATATCGTACGGTCCTAGACGTGTGGGTGTACGGGCTGGGTGTGTAGATCATTATGTTCGGTGATTCATCGCATCACAAACAACATTGGTGGAGGTAAAAAGGACATTATCAGTGTGCGTGCGACGCGTACGACGATACGTATGAAGGCACATCCAATCTTCCTCGCTTTGGCCCTACTACATTTATCCAGGAAGCAGGACATCGTGATGCAGAGGTTAAGGGTGAACGATTTCCCCGCAAAGGGTTGTCGACGGTCACTGGAATAATCGGCTATCGAAGAAACATGGGGTTACTGGACCGTTGAAAGACTGAGAAGAAAGAGTGTCTTGCAAGCAAGGGGTAGCGACTGCCATCCGACGGTGGCACCGATAATCATCCTTCGCGACGCCCTTCGGCGGATATTTCCTCTTCCTCTTCCTCTGGATTGAGGATCGCTGAAACAGCCATGAATCTAGGAAGTAATATTTTCTGGGTGAGGGTCGGCGATAGAGATATGACTGGGCAACTGACTTGGCAGCATCCAAGCCAGCAAATGTTCTCATTGCGTTGAGATCCGCGTGCAGCTGCTCACAGAGGTCCGTTGTCTGTGTGATAGCTCGGGACATCCTCGCGAGGCTGGCTGCCAGCTGGCCATAGAGCCGTTCTTTGGCCTGCGTCGCGTTCGTTGGAGGGCTCATCGTAGGAGTTGAAAGAGAATCTCATGGTCACGTGGGCGAATTCAGATCTCTCACTGCAGTCTCGGTGGCGCTTCCTCTCCAACGACCATCTCCGGAGAAATGGCTGCCTCTGCCTCTGACATCCGAAGTGCCCTCTCAATAGCATCACAACCCCAGAATCCTGCACAAACCCCTGCTCAGTCCAAGAAACTACAGGCCCAATCCAGTCGCAAGCCAGATGGCATCTCTCGTGAACTCTACTCATTAATTGGACCCTCCGCGCCCTCGCTAGCAGCCCAGCTAGCCAAGCCGAAGCTTAAACAGAAACCAAACCTTGGGAGCCGCTCTGTGGTGAAATGGTGAGTAAATAGCCGGCCTTGGCAAAGATATGGATTGAGATCCCAGTGTGGAGGTAGGGAGTGGAGGTCTTTCACCAACGGTGCTCGGAAGGACAAGTTGCAATTGAGACATTGGACGAAAGCCGCGACCGATGTAAATGCTGGTGAGCATGCCCCTTGCCTAGCGCGGGTGTCCCTCATACTTTGTAGATTACCCGTTTGCCAAATACAACGTCCAATCTACACCATATATCTATACCGACGAAGAATATACACAATACTTACAAGGTGCGTACTCCACTATCTACAAGTCAGCTAGCTCTCAAACTCGACTCTCAAGATCCTGAATGGACGAAGGAGGAAACCGATTTCCTTTTCAATGTTGTACGCGAATTCGATACGCGGTGGTACGTGATATACGACAGATATGACTTCCAAGGTGGGCCAGCGCGCTCTATGGAGGTTAGTGTTGTGTTGTTTAAACTCGACACATACGACCAATCTACGTTATCACCCCAGGACCTCAAAGACAGATATTACAGTGCATGCAGGAAGCTCATACGCAACCGACCCTGGTCTGGCGATGAAGCCAGTAAATCTTCGCTTCTCGCAAGTTTCCACTTCGATAAAGGTAATACATTCTCTGTATACAACGCACAATTGGCTCACATGAAATGAATACAGAACGCGAAATTACACGGAAGAAATACGTCGCAAGTCTCGAAAACCGGACGCCCGACCAGGTCGCAGAAGAGGAAGCTTTGTACATTGAAGTCAAACGTCTCGAGCAAAGCGAACGGAAGTTCAAGAAAGACCGCGAGGACCTTCTGCGTGTTCTGTCGGGTGTCGAGTCTGGGTTGCCTGATGTCCTCGAGGACGAGAGTCCTTTCAACAACCTTCCTATCATCGATACCAAGAAGAAGAGGAAGGGTCCAAGTTCGGGGTTCCTTCCTACAGACGTCGACAGCCCCACATCCGCTTCGAATGTCATTGCACTGGATCCTCCCATCGTACGGAAACCTCGGGACCCCAAATCTATCGCTTACGGTATGTCACCCTTCCAATATTTGATTCATTACTGACAACTCTACCCTTTATTAAGACGCACAACACTGCATCATACGCACAGACTTACCACCAAATGTTCAAGCCACCAAAGCTGCCCACCATCCCGCGTTTATGCGTTCGTTCAAACTACCGTATCCTAAAGCTGCTCTTGCGCCAAGAATCAACCAAATATTCGCTGAACTAGGGATCAACAATACTCGCCTAGTCATGCCGACACGGGACAACTGCGCGAGGCTAGAGGGGCTCATGGAACACATTTCGGCACTGGTGGAATCGAAAAAGATCCTTGATAAACTTGAATATGATATCCAAGTTGCCAAGAAGAGGCTAGGCATACGGAATAGCGAAGATAGAGAAGGGGGCGGGGGCGGGGGTAAAGGTAAAGGTGTTGGCATTGGGAGTGCCATGGATGTAGACGATGGAGATGCCGATGCCGATGCAGAGGCTGAGGAGGAGAGTGTTCGTGACGGCCGGGCTCAAAGTATTGTGAGCACGAAGAGTGCTAGGAGCCGCCGTCCGGTATGAGGACTCTCCTATGACTTACCCGGATCCTGGCTCACCGATTGTTGTCAGACTCGCCGTTCAATGTCCATTTCGTCGGTGGACACAAACGCCACCGCATCAGCACGCGCAAGCAACAAACGAAAGTTCCGTAATTAGCAATCTCGTTGTACTGGTAAGATGTATATCCTAGTACCTGCACGTAGTAGAAAATCGTCCCTTTCAGACAATCGGCTGCGTGCACCGATTCAGAAGTATATAGTAAGGCTCACTGCTGTTGGTGTGAATGATGCAAGAAAGCGTTAAATAAATTGGTATGGACATTGAAAGCAAAGATGTCCGTATCGAGTGAGACCTATGTTTCGGGTTCCGACTGGGAGAACCGCAGAATAAAGTTCACTACGACCGCAACTGTGGAACAAATTAGCATCCATCCTATTGGGTGAGGCACATCGAAGCGTACCCAGGAGCGCTAAACATAGGACAGTCTGACAATGCCGGCAGCTTAACAAATGCAACAAAAAAAGAAGACAGGGTGCTCACGGGACCAATCCTATCATCGTACGGCCCTCTACCCCCTCGACGTATCGATGCTGCTCGCCAGTGATACGTGTAAAGAGCATAGACCATAATCGCCATTGCTGAAGTGACCAAGACAGTCGAGTTCGTGTTCCCGTTAAGCCTCTTGTAGTTGTTTTCCGGCCATATCAAACAAACGCACCAACAACCGAGAACATTGCTGCGCTAATCTTGCCGACCTTCACAGATATTTATTCAGCATCGGCAATAATGACACTTGACAGCATTAAGGACCTTGTCACCAAAGTTCAACAATCCCACTGCCAATCCACCTAAAACCACTGTAAAGTGCAACCATGATAGAAACGTTCGTTCGTTCGCGAATGAAACCTTGGGCTCTACGCGAACAGGAAGGGCAATTCGCTTCGTCGCTGTCCGCTGAAGGAGCGGCTGAGTCGACATGACTGGTAACCGCGAAGGACGAAGCTTGTCGTTGCAGGCAGGAGGAAAGAATATTGAAGCCAAACGGGGGCCTTTATGAAGGTAAGCTATTAATAAACCGCTGCTTATCCGGGCAGTTGAATTTCTAGACCGTTGCCTTATTTGGTCAAGGAATGACGAACGTGCGTTGGCGACGTCGTCCCATTGGGTCTCCAAGTTCGCTACTCCGCTCCGATGACCGTGAGACCAACATATTGACCGTGAGAGCGTTATTCAGGAGGGAAAGTGTAATCGATCCCAGTTCGCGGTACTGAACTTGAATTGACGAGGAATAAACAAGTGGCGATGATATAAAGACGAGGAGACACAACTATGTTACATACACGATAATCAAGCTGAAGAAATACAATCCGACGGACGTAATAATACAGTGGGATCAGGAGAAATGATACAGCCGGCCCGGATGCGAAGGTATATTCAAGCGAGTGAAGTTGGCAGGATTATTTAAAGTCGTGCGGAGCCTTCAGTTTGCCCAGCGAACGATACGCGACGATATGTGCGCATCTGTGATTGAATACGTTCAATCTGGCCGGGGGTGAACTCAGTCAGACACTCATCATCAGAGTAGTCCATGAAGTTGTCTACAGAGAAGTGTCGTAAGCATCAGACTAAACTGATAGAGGGATTAGATCTTACTAATTGGGTCGACGCCTTCTCCAGCACAGGTCTTGCGACCTACTGGGCAGCCGGCGGAAGGGATCTTCTCCGCTTTCGTATCAGAAATGCCGTCGCCAATAGGACCGCAGCCGCCTTGGAATGTATGGTAAAGTCCAGCCCAGTGACCAGCTTCGTGGGTGAGAGTCTATAAGTATCACGAGAAGGAAGAGAAGTTAATCACGGTCTCCCACAACGGTGAACTTGTACTTACGTGACCCTTGTTGTAGCCGGGAGTCGTACCCTCAGGGACTGTGGAGTAAAGAAGCACAACACCATCATCTTCTGGCTCTGCCTCGTACGAAGACGGGAAGGTGGCGTATCCAAGGAGGCCCTTTGCCTTGCCTTTCTGGAAGCTATTTACAGGTCAACGACTGGACGATGGGAGGTGAAACGTAGTTGCTTACCCGACAGTCCAAACATTGAAGTCAGCCGGACCACCTTGTCTGAGAGCCGCCTTCATGTCTGCTTGGATACTCCTGGACAACAGAATTACAATGAGTCAAGAAAGCATGCAGAAAGAGATCATCTTACGCTTCTGGGCCAGCGGACTCAAACCACTCAGCATTGACTGTCCGCGTAGTGTTTGCAAGAACCCAAGATAGCCCGGTGCTGCTGTAGGCGGAATTCAGGACGCTGATCTGCGCAGCGATTTGCGAGTCACTGTAGTGAAAGAAACGGTTAGCACCTACTCCTTTCGACGATTGAATCATGTACATACGGGACGTTTCCTCCTTCAAGGGTGTCGTCTTTGCTGATGACGTGCCAGTAGACATTGAGCTTGGGAGACGAGGCCGACGAAGGGCTCAGGGTACCAGGCGCCACCTGATGGAGCTTGAATGCCATTTCTTTGGTCGCCACAGTCTGGTCATCGATGTACGTGCCACAATTCCTATGGAGAACATGTTTTAGCCGATGGATAATATTGTACGGCTGATACAAGATGTACCTTCCACGAGGGATTGACGGGCCACCAGCAACGGAGGCAATACCGAAGGCGAGGGCGAGAATGGCGGAGCAAATCATGACAGATGCTGAGGATGACTGAAAGGAGAATGCAAGCTGAGGAATGAGAGGATGTGGAGTGAGATGAGGGATCCTTGCTTTTTTGCGTGGTTTATATTCAGTTTAATCCTCCCGCTGGCCTACGACGGCCGAAATCGCAGCGACGGTTTACTATCCTCCCCGAAGCCAAGTGGGCGCGCACACATGGGTGTTGCATGGGTGAAGTAGATAACAGATTAGGGCCGCGAGCAACCACAAGTAGCTATCTTGCCACGATGGCGGGGACAACACTGTCAGATAGCGTCAGCTGAGCTAATTCAACGGCCTTGCTGAGACCAGGCGGACGAACCTGACTTCGCTTAACGACTAAAAGGTAGAAATGATTGGTTTGGGTCGTCACCGCGTTATGATTACCATTCGGACGCGTTGGACCCTTACCGACTCCCGACGAAAAGCACATGGGAGACGAGTCTTGCTCCATCATCGGTGAGTTAAATGCTAACCATCGACTTGTATCCATTCACCTCCGTTAAGAGGGTAAAGGGGGTCAGCCTGAGTATTGGCGAGGTGGGATTCTTCCTGTATTATGTTTGCTGCATCTGAATCAATCTACATGAAAGTGGACTGAGTTTCTTGAGCAACTCGGTGCCGCCAATTGTGAGTGTATTGAGAGCATGAGGAGGCCGTGCTTGTGATCGTTTATAGAAGCCATGTGTTTACTATGGCAGGACCGGACACATGGTTAATGTGGGGTAAAATCAGGCTCGAGCAAAAGGAGCGGGAGACCGTTGCGAACGATGACGGACTGTGAAAGATGTCGCAGAAATCGTAAGTGAGCGCAAGCGTGGCGTTTGAAGGCGTGAACTTCAAGGAACCTACTGCGGCTCTCTAGATTTGTTCCCTGGCAGTGGCGAAAGTGGTCGGAGATGTAGATGCCACCTTGAACTCGCATACAACCATTGACCAATAACAAAAGATGGAAAGTTAGACACGAACCCGGAATAGCATAACCCCCTTACGCAGGTAAATAATGCATTTAGATAGGATACAGGGATACAACGTTAGTATTATATACAGCTACAGATAGCGAAATGACAACAATTTCAGAACCAGGGATTATAGAGCTCAGCCATCTTCATAAGTTGGATTGGGTTAGTGGCGGTCGATATGAGATTCGTAATTGTCTGAATGACAGGGACATTCGGTGGGTTGGACGGATTGTTGGCCGCCTAAAACCGGGAGTTAGAACGATGAGGCGACGAGGATCACTGTTGACCTACCTGCTCGCGCTCAATTTTGCACGCCAAAGTCTCTGCCCGCTTCACGACGCCGTCGATGTTGAGGGAGACTAATTGGCGGAACTGTGCATCCACAGTCCAAGGTCGTCCTCTAGCCATGAGCCAGGCTGTCACCTCGTCACGTCCGAATAAGCATAGCTGCTGCTCTAGATCAAACTGGAACGAGAAAGTGGTTAGGCGCGTTTATCAAAGTACTTATAGGCGTACCTCAGGCTCTGTAAGGGATCGTCCCATAGCCATCAAGCCAGATGTAAATATCCCTTCGATATGAACGATGCCCAGGAACTGTTGTATGTTAGGGGTGAATCGGAAAGGAACAGCATCGTTGTTCGCGAAGACAGGGCTTGCATTGGAGATACCTGGAACGACAGCATTAGATAATGTGTATGGGACGAAGACCGACGTTTACCCGGCGATAATTCTGTCATGGCAATCAATCCAGTAGAACGAGAGACTTGGAAGCGGGAAGGAGTCCGGCCAGGGATGCACAGAAGGTAAGTCATGAAACTGGTGCTTGCGACATGGAGAGCAAATTGCTTCCGCATCTGCCAAAGGTCACTCGGCGAGTCCATGATGCGAGTCATATACTAATATGGTTTCGTGAGGGAGTAGAGGACCTCCAATTTGTTTCCCACTTACGCGACTAAGAATATCATCTGGTACCATTTTGAGCTGAATTTCGTCGATGATTTCCTTTTTGAGGGTTAGGTACTCGGTCTTGGAGGGCTATATACAAGGTTGAGTTGTTTCGCGCGAAGACTTCGCATGCAATGGCCTACCTTCGCATTGGCTAATCGCATTTCGCGTAGCACCTTCTTTGTTTTATCTCCTGAGACCAAAACCGGCTCTTCCCTGGCGATACCCGTTTCTTGACAATGAAGGTCGTAAATGTCACCCAAACTGATATAAGAAGCGTCCATCTGATAGAGTCTGAGCATCGGGCTACAAGAGATAGTGGCTGGGAGATGGAAGGCGAGGTTTCGCTTTCGTGTCTCTTTCTTGCGACTAAGCGCTCTGTGAGGTGATTAACATCGTCTTCGTGCAGGATATGATAGTAGCGAGTAGGACATACCCACTCAAGGTGTGAAGAATTTGCATTACCCTCTCCTCGCGCCGAGAATGCCTCGTGCATGGTAATTGCACGAAGAACGACGTTTTAGTGCCGTCGCTACCATGAACCGTGAAGCGTTTCCAAGGTTGACCGCTGGTCCTGACATTCTCGACTTTAGAAGCGAATTTCTGTATTCTGACAAAGTTCTGGTTCGTGTCTTTGTCCTAAATCGCGCAAAGGGTCAATTGATGTCAAAAGTATTAGTTCTAGTCACAAACCTCAGTATACTGGCCAGGAATCTCGACTTCATCAACCTTGTTGTACTGAAACTCCGCCAAGTAGTGACTGAGAACATCCATGGGTTGAGTGCGAGGCCTCGAATCCAAGAGTGCTTCGTATCGATCGCGCCACTGCTGGAGCTTCCGAATGAATTCGTTATGATTCGGACGACTAGCGATGAAATCTTGGTGGAATTCAGTCTATACGGGAAGTTCGAGCAGTTGATCCGAGCCCATAATAGATTAGAAACGCACTCGAACAGCTGGGGCTAATGTTTGGGCCATTCGACCTAAGCTCATTATAGTGTGGGGGTTGAGTTTTCCTTCGTCGTCCGGAGCATTCACGCGTACGACATAGTTCTACACGAGTAAGATATAGGGAGCAATGGAGGGGTATGAAACCCTACCTGCATGGCATCGGCAAGGAAAAGTCCAATGTGTCGATATGTCTCTTCCTCCGAAGATAGCTTGAACTTGGCGTGGAATTGATCAATCATAGTCTCCATGCTCAGAATCAATAATGGGAAGGCTGTTTTCAAGATTTGAACGACCTCTTCAAGGTGTTCCGAAGCCTGTCTGCTTGGGAAGGTCATGGGGTCGAAGGAAGTTGAAGGGGTCGTGGCTGCGTTTGCTTGACTAGCATCTTGCGCAGAGGTAGTTGATGCGCTTTGTTGGGTGGGTTCGGCATTTGGTGTCTGCGCTGCAGAATTTCCTGCGAGGGCACCCGCCTGCTGTGCCGCTCTAGCTGCAGCAGCCTTCTTCATTAGCACCAACTCTTCTCTGGTCGTGCGTAGTTGATAGAAGAGCGCCTTAGATTTAAATGAGCATAAGTCCGCTAAACATGTAGATTGTCTTACCTGTGGGTATAACTTAGCGATGTTGATCAGCAGATACCTTGCTTGTTTGACTTCGCGGTGGGATATTGATAAGCATAGTTGGGGAATCAATGTGATCCAATACCAATAGGCCGCGTCGCCTTTATAGGTGTCGAAAGCACGAGAAATACCCAGATTTGCATCGTCGATGCTGAGTAACCAAAGTACCCTAGCCAAGAGGGGCCTACTCTTCCCAGATTTATAGGAACCAGCGGCTTGTAGATAACAGCTGACAGCATTTGCGGCGTAAGGCATCTCAGTCGGTTGCTCCTTGAATATCCTATCGTTGAATTTCCCCCACTCAGCCCAGGCTTTAGGTTGACCCATGTCCAATTGTACAGCTTGTCCGAAGGCTTGATTGGCTTCTTCGTTGCGACCAAATCGTGCGTGGAACATGCCCTTGAGTGTGTAGAACTCGGCTTTTTGGCTTGCGTTGAAGTAGGTCAAATTGGTGTTGTTAATGACTTCCAGCCCAGCTTGAGCATTATTTGGCTTCTGGTAGTGGCATCGACCCTCTTCACGAAGTTTGAGAAAGGCCTCAGTAATCTCGATGTTTGGGAGGGTATATATCTTCCCCAACAACGTGAAACAGGCTTCCAACAGATCGTGTTTCCGAGCTACATGAGCGAAGCGGTTGACAATCCATGCAGTCTCGTGGTAACCTCGGAAGCCATAAGTATTGGACGATGTTGAACCTCCGTGAGTTGAGCTGGTCGCGACGAGAGGTAAGTATGCTTTGTTGATGGCATGGAATACATTCTGTCTCCAGGCCACCAGATCACTCCATACGCTAATGTCATCGTGCAAGTTTGGCAGGCGTTCACGCCATGCTTGGAGAACCATCTTCAGCTCTTGCGACTTCTTTTCTAGGTTCTGGGCGTTGGTGAAAGATAGAGAGCCGAAGATCTGTACTGCTTCCTGTAGTTCGACAAACTGTTGGAAATGTTGTAGCAACGGTATATGCGCCGCAGAAAGGTAAGACGGCAGCGCAACCCATTTCCGGAGAGATAGTTGCATGGCATCTTCTAGGAGCTTCATGAATTCAGTCTGCTTCTCAGGCACGGGTTGCGGCCTTAGCAGCACTATGAACGTCTCGAAGACACGACGACGGGGAGTAGGTACCTCAGGAAGCTGATTGACCTCCTCTTCGATAGCTTCTCGGTTCTCGGACCAGTCTTTAGTCCGCCATGCACTCTCGAGGACGAGTTCGTGATTTGCTTCGCTTTTGGCGAGTTCGTATAGGGCCTCCCAATGCTGCAGCTTCTCTGCCGCCAGCATCCAATGATCCTCCCACAAGCAATATTCCGATTCGGAGAATGGAATAGCACCAGAGCGAGCTTTTGTCTGGGCTGACTCATAGGCTAGCGAAGCCTGTTCCCACATGCCATTTTGTTCGAATGCCAGCGCGATGTTGGTGTCGACATGGACAGATCTACGCCGCCAAAGTCCGTAAAACAGGTCTTCTTCGGCTAGCTCTGCGTAGACATCCGCCAAAGAGTCGTATACGTAATCCCGAATAGTGACTTCGTCCTCTTTGATGTAGTCTAGCGACGCTGTAAGCAGCTCCAGGGATATATGCCATACCCCGTATGTCTTTGCAAGGTATTTTACCAGATGTGGCGGAAGCGTCATCGGTGGAACACAGCTGTGGATGCTCGTCAAAAGAGTCTGGATAACGTTTGGTCGCAACTCTGATTGTCGAATATGGTAGTCCTTGCTCAGTAGGGTGACCATGTGCTGGGTTAGATCTGCTTGCTCTTTCCGTGAAAGCCACGACCATGCAGCAGGAAATATTGATATCCACGTCTCGTGAGCAACTTGGTGGTCTAGATACAACAGGCGTTGTAGGGGACGAAGAAGCTGCTGTGTTTTGGGCCTGGGTAGAAGGGGCGATGACGGAACCGCACTGCGACGTTCAACGAAGGTCCCGCTTTCCAAATCAGATGCCCCAAGAAGAAGGATGACGGCAAGGTATATCCAGTTGTGCTCGGCCAATCCCTCCCAGTTTTGAACCCCTATGATATATGTCAACCGACTTTGCAACGAACGCGGTATACTCATGTCAAGAAGGTCGATGAACTTCTCTCGCAGCACGGGGTCCCGAGCATAGCAACCAAGTAGGAAAGGTTGTTCCAGTCGCGTCGTCAAGTCGCCGCGTCGCATGCTTGGATCCGTGTAAATCTCGTGTATGAGCTCAAGATACGGATGGCACAGGATTTCGCCTCTACGTTCAAAAGCCGTCATCTGCTGCAGAAGGCTAGCTTTCTCCTTCATGGTTGGGTAGGCGTCTTGTTGACGGAATGCCCAGACCCTTGCGAGATCAAGAACATATCGACAAAGAGTAAGACTCTTCGACTTTTCGATGACAGCAACCAGACTACTGAGCAGCCACCTTCGATGCTCTGAGAGGAAAGCCACTGAAGTCGTGAGGATATCAAAAACGAGGATCATCAACCTGACACCATTTTCGTAGCCCGTCGCGTTCGGCATGGCGTTGAGATGTTCCTTTGCCAACTTGCTGAGTAGCTTCATCACCAGCACGAGGAATGGCTCAATCCGCTCCGGAGTGACCGTTACTACCGACTTCAGCATCAACAGGGTTCCACGCAATGCGGTAGTCTCTCGCAGTCCATTAGTGATGGAGGTCTGGACGTATGTGTGGAATTCGGCAATCTCCCCTTGCTGTGGCTCTTCGTCCTCCTTCGGTAACGGATACAGTCGTAGCAGCCGTTCGAAGACGGGATGTAACGCGTCATGCAGGTTATAATCATCTGTAACCATCCCCTTTCGAACGAGCTTTTGGAGTAGGTTCGCATTGGCGGTGTACCACGCGTCGGTCTGCTCGGCCGAAATAACTTGAAGGATCTTGGCAGTTGCCACGGCTTGAGCTAATGCAGGGTCGCCGGTCAACTCTATCTGGACGTAGATGTGAGATGTTGTACGCATCAAAGAGTGGTGGAGCATTACCTGTTCCAAGCTTCTGAGGAAATATCTCAACCCAACGGTCACATCACTCCAGCCACTTGGATGCACCATCTTTTCCAGTAGAGCCAATGCTCGAGGCGCCACTAGTTTATTGGTCGGATCGTTGATCATGGCTACGCGCACCAGATAGCTAACGATGTTTTCGCGGAATCCCAAAGGTGTGTGCCACGTCTTCGCTGCACTACTCTTTTCCGTTTGGGCTGCTGCTTCTTGAACAGCTTGTGTTTCCCAATCGTATACACACTGTAGGATATCGATGGAGAGCGATCTGTAATCCGACGAAGATGCAGGAGACAAGCCCAATTTAGTGAGGGAATTGACAATGTGAGGTACGAAAAGGGCGCGAACGGGGTAGAAAAGTTGTGGATGCTTTATGATGAGCTGATATGTGGCTAGAAGCTGAGTGGTACCCTCCTCGGTCAACAGACGACGAGTAGTCAAAGCCCACTGCGGGAAGTTGGTATCCCCTGGCTCCATCTGTGGGAGCGATGGCACCAATGCCGCCAATGCTTCCGCACGTATCGTGGTCTTTCCATCGGTGTGTGGGGGGCGGAGGAGGCCCGACCAGGTGCGAAGGATAAATTTCTGCGGTGTCTGGACCACGGCGAAGAAGCGGGCGGTGAGAAGGTACGCGGTGTGCTTGACAATAGCATCGTCTGTGGAGATATGATGCCATGCCCACTTGATGATATCCTTCCGAGCTTCGTCGAGCATCTCTGAATAGTGCTGCACCAGGAGGGTGGTGAAGTGGATGAGTTCTATTTTCACAGAATCATCGATATCTTGAGAAAGCGTCCCGACCCAGACGAGGTGATGCATACGGTTGACAAAGTCACTGGTGAGTAGGCCGTTCTTCTTTTCTGGCCGGCCGGATAGCACAACAAGAGTAGGGTTGATGACATAGCGAATGAAGGCTGCTTTCTCTGACCAAGGAAGGTTAGGATCACCCATCCATATCATGAAGCGAGCGAATACGTTTCGTTGGAATGCAAGATCGTTGGAGCTTGCAACATGAGTATACAGGAAGTGCTTGACGTGCACAACATCCATCGCCCAGTTCCGAGAAAACACAGAGACGACATCGAACAGTAGGTCAACCCGAGGGGTAGCATCGAGAGCCTTGTAGAAGATGGCTAAGATGGTGGAGTATCGCTGTGTGACCTCGAGTGGCACAAGGACTGAAGAGTCGCTACTGGATGTATCGGCTCGCCACAGGGAGACCAAAGCCGTGATGACGTGCTCATTTTCAGCAATCCAATCAGGGCGTACTTCCGCCAAGTCCTGAAGCGTCAAAAGCGCAGGGTATAGGAACTTAGTGTCGCCACCAGGAGTGCAATAGCGAACCAGAGTCGACGTTCGCGAGGCGAGTTCACGTTCCATATTCGGAGCAAGTTTCGCCTGGATGATGCTTCGCATGGTCCGTAGGTGCCGGGGGAAATGTAGGTGCTTCATCATGAAATCAACCCCATCTACGGGGAAGCGGTCAAGCAACTTCGCCAGGGGTTGGGAAAAGGGACTTTGACTGTAAAAGTGCATTTGGGTCTCGACCTGCACGATGGCATTGGCCAGGTCTTCGAGGAAGATATTGGCAGTTTGTGGAAGGAGATGGAAGATATTCGCAAGGCGAACTAACTTCGCAATATTCTCGTTGTCAGCTAGGGGGAGTTTGGATGATGCTTGCAACATCTGCGGGTCTGCCACATTACGGAAATGGTCCAAGAGCTTCTTGCCTATCTCCACTTTGAAGTAATTCGTGAGGAGTTCGAGCAGTCGAGCAAGGCCCTCTAAGCCAGCCACTGACAGTCGCTTATGGTCAGCGAGATTCATCAAGATAGGTCGAAGGCCAGTCTGCAAAAGCTCCTTCGGAAGCCTAGCTTGGTATGACAACACTACCCGGAGGCCATCATGGGCCACATCCTTGATTTCGGTGACGCTCGAATAAAGTGATTTGAAATACACGCCCGTTACTCTGCAAACCGATATGAGCACCTTGTTAACTGCCAGTATATCACATACCTTTGTCGAGTTTGAGTTTGACGCGCGAAAAAGTCCGTTATGCCCATCGACGCCGTCAATAGTTTGATGCAGACCACCCTCAATTTCGTGACCTCCAACGCACTTTGTCTGGGGTTGGCCCGGTTGATCAATGAATTATCTTCAGCGTCGGCAAATCCAAGAGCTTCATGCAGTAGGCGAAGGAACTCATCGTTAACCTCTATTACCGGTGGGTCCAGGCACACGACGTATCTCACCGCTTCTATCATACCAATCTGAACACTGTAGGGGAGTGCACGGAGGGGCTTCGAGTAAATGCCGTTGAGCATGCGTTCTCGATGAGGAAGCATGATGTCCGCCACAGATTTGCCACAGATTTTGGCAAGCAACTCAATGCACATCTGGCTCGCTTGGCGCACTACCGTATTTGAGCTGGATAACGAAGGGATGAAGAAGCTGACGAGTTGAATGATGGTCGTGTACGAATCCTTGGCACCCGGGCCTTCGAAGTCCATTCCGGAGTTGCATATCGTGATCACATTGCGAAGGACGTCCAGCACTTCTTCGTAGTCGCGTGGGAGATCCGGAGGGAGGTCCTTCAATATATGTAGAAGTGCCCGAACGAACTCAATCTGCCTGTCGATGAGCCACTTGATGCCCAATGATTGAGCGCCCGTCAATATCTTGATCCCCAGAGCGCTGGCGTTTTTGTTGATCCAAGAATCCTCCAACGACATTGCAGCGAAGCGACCTGCCATCAGGTGCAGCAAGACGACAACATCTTGCATGGTCACGTTCTGCTCCTCTGTCATGCCGGTGAGATCGTTCACAATACGGGTGATAAGGGCTTGAGCCTTTTGACTTTTCTCGGCGTTGTCGGTGGCAAGGGCGTGAGGCAGGGCCTCGAGGTAGGCTGAAAATGCGACACTAGGTATGTGACGACTCGCCGCGCTTCGATTCTGATTTTGGCGGATTTCCAGGTCGAAGATGCTCAGTGAGAGTCGTCGAACGAATTGCTCCGATTGCATGGCTAGCTCAGATATATGGATGGCGTCGAACAAACCCTGCACTAACAAGACGTAGGTATCTTGGACATTTTTGCCATTGATTCCCTTATAAAGTTTGAACTAGAGACATTATTAGACCGTTGGTAATAACGCACCTCATGCAACAGAATACTTGAGCAATTCTCGATGAACTCGTAAGCCATCGCGCGATCATGCGCGACGGGGCGCTTCAGCGCCTGCACCGCGAGCTTCGAAACTGCGCTGACATCCATCTGTCCCGCCTCTCCGCCAAAAGTCACCACCACCTTTGCCGAATCAGAGTGGTGCCTCGTCTTCAATGAAGGCTCCTTCAGGAGCAAACGCCTATTCCTGCCTCCAAGTTTGCCAAGTATCCGAATGGTGTTATGCGCGGTCCCGTGATTCGCAGGCAGTGGCTTCAAGTGGCTGTGCAATGCCTCCATGAGCTCGCGGAGGACGATATTAAGTGTGGGGTCGAGGAAGTCTGGGGTGAGATTATCTATGCATAGCTCTAGTGTACGCAACCCCTGAGAGACGAGCTCGGGACTTCCTTTGAGTGCAAGCGCGAGGGGACGCATGAGGTATGAGAGATACGGTATCAGGTTCGTGAGCCGGAGAGGCACTGTGAGGCAGAGTTCCACGATCATGTCTCGAGTTGGGCCGTCTGAGGCGAGAAGATGTCGGTTGAGATTTTCAAGCATCTCCGGGAGTAATGGCAGCACTTCTTTGAACAGAAGTTCGAATCTTCCCCCTCCGCCACCAATGGTTCGGAATAGGGCGCGAAGAAGGTGGAAGTAGTGAGTTGGTTTCGTCGCTTTCGCGGCCAGAGGGAAGCAATCCATCAACAGCTTCGCCAGGTGGGATGCAAGGATCGGCTCGTTGGAGGCGGCATGCACTCCCACAGCTCCGAACGCCATCTTGAACAACCGTATGGTCGCTGCTGCAGTCAAATCATCATAATCCCCGAGGTACGGTAGTTTCTCCATCAGGTACCGCAGGATAATCGCCAAAAGCGTTGGCGAAGTGTGTTCTCTGTTCAGGAGGAACTGACATATATTCAGCAAAACAATCCGCTTCTGCGCACACTGGAAGAAAAAGTCGATCTTCTGCGTCCAGACTTCCTGGAATACGTGCATGTTAATCTCCAAGAGCACGGGCGCTATCCAGTCAATCGCGTCGTTCTGCTCTGAGACGCGAGGGTCGGGTTCAATCAACGACATGCACCGAACACAGCTTTCGAAGAAGCGGAATATCAGCGTTCCATCAGGTGCAGAGTCATCCAATTTGCGCAGGGCGGACAGGCAAACTCGGAATCCGTGCAGGAGCGCCCGAAAGAATAGACGGCACTCTGTATGTGAGATGGGCGTTAATGGTTGGGCTTTGCGTGTATATGAAGGATAAAGTACCAGGTAAAGCGTCCTCAGGCCTTTCCACTAATGGCATGGACCCTCCGATAGGTCTCGCTCTCTCGATTGCCACGATATCAGGCGGTTCCGCACCTTCCTTCTTTCGGTCCTGAGTTAGTCCTATCTGTACTTGAATAGCCGCGAGGGCCTCTAGTCGCTCAAGACATGATTCGAACATAAGACTCAGAAGGCGGATCGCGCCTTGACTTGGTTCCTTTGTGACAATCACGTCAATGAGGTTGAAGAGCATCTTGGCGAACAAAGTATGCAGATTGTTGCCGAAAGATGTGTTGTGAAGAAGCCGCGAGAAGACGTGGATAACTTTCTCTAGCTGAGGCAGACTCAGCTCGCTGCGGAGATGGTGGAAGAGATCAGCTGTGGCACTGTATACATTCACCCTGCAAACAACCTATTAGACTCGGAGGTATGTTTGTAATCGGTCGCGAACCTTAGGATCTCTCTGCTCGAAATGGCAGGTCCTAGAAGCACCTTCTCATCGAGCAACTTGTCGATCTGGCTCAGTAAAGCACTCCGGTGAGGGGTGGCCATCAGGTGGCGAAATACCACCATTAAATCCTATAACACTGATGTGAGTGTCATTATCATTGTAGTATAAAGTGGGTACGACCTTTCGAATGTTGATCGCATGCGCTGGGCAATCCTGTAATATTCGCAGTGCCGCAAGAATCATAGGTGGCCCATAAGAATCAAACTGTTCTCCAGACATACGCATTCCATACGCCAGGTAGGACACCATCTATATACAGGCGTTTATGTGGAGTGCATAGCAAGGAAGACAATGAATGCACCTTCACTTGAGCAGTCACAAAATCGGAATACACTTGCGAGTTCTTGATACTGGGCGCCATCCCAGACCAATGCCCACCATTTGCTTCGTATTGCTCCCGCGTGCTCTTCTGCGCGGGGGCCTCTATCTTTACTGCCTCCAATGCCAAAGGCATCGTTACTTGCACAGTCGGCGCGCACATAACCCGGTGCAGTTGAATGAACATCATCACTGTCATGCTCATTTCCGCGAACAGCTTAAAGCTGTTCGACCCAGGCATCAGCGAGTTCGTGTCAACTTGCATCGATTCCTCGGAGAGATACTGCTGCGCAAGCGTCTGGAATCTGGGGAAGAATTGCTGGAATATCGACATGAACTCGTTTAAGAAGTCTTCGCTGAGGATTCGGTACGCTCTGAGACTGTCGATCAATATCTTGCAAGCATTAACGGAATTTTCTTCATTGTCGTGTCGGATGACGTTCAGCATACAGTTGGAGATAGGCACGGCGTGGGGGCGAATGACATCGTTGATAGGTAGTCGGTAGACAATTTCAAGGAGTACGCGCCGAAAGTTGTGCTCTATACTGTCCTTTTGAAACGAAACTTCGGTGGAACGCAAAAGGTCGAGCACTGCCGGGATCATTTGAGGAAGAACGCGAGTAGAGTCTGATTCGCGAATTGTATCCAGCATATTCTGGATTTCGCATGCTAGTGTGTGCTTGGTTTTGAGGTCTACATTGTGCAGTACATTAGACGGCGCCAACACCAATCGTTGTAACAAACGCACCAACGCCTGGGTCAGCAATCCTCGCGGCCTGGCGCTCCAGGTCCGCCACCGATGGAGCCTCCATCTTCAAACTTCAGTATACTTCGGTGGGGGCGGGGAAGGGATGAACAAGCACCATCGACTTGCAGAGACCCTGTAAATGGACACTCACGTGACTGGGCGCTTCCGAGTATTAACATTCAAATAATCGGGCCCTCGTATGTCAAAATCCCTCGGTGAAAAGGCACTGGAAAGTAAAACCGGGGAGTATAAGATCGTCACATCACGTCAAGCAGCAGAAACTTGGACGAAACAACAAGATATACAGGCGCATTCCGAGAGGTTATTTGGCTCTATTTATCTTAGGCGCTCTCGCCTGATTTCAGCCGAAACCACTTCAGTGCTCATCATAAACATCCATGGCATCGAGTGCTCTTCTACAACAAATCCAGGCTGGCAAGAAACTGAAGAAAGCCGAAACGCATGATCGAAGTGCACCCATAATTGACACTCCAAAAGGGGGCGGTGGTGGGGGCGGAAGTGTAGGTAGAGTAGGAGGAGGTGCTTCACCAATGATTGCTGCGGGAGGGGGAGGTCCTCCTCAACTGGCGGGCCTTTTCGCTGGTGGCATGCCCAAGCTGAAGCCTGCAGGGCAAAACAACCTTGGTATACATCGTCTGTTCCTTGGATCCACTCATAACTAACGACTTCATAGCCAAAGCTCCAACGTTAGGGAAGCCTCCTTCAATTCCTAAGCGAGATGCCGCAGCATCTCATACTGCTCCTCCTCCTCCCAGCCGTATGGTTCCATCCCCAAAACCTGCTTCCCCCGCGCCGCCGCCCCCTTCACGACCTGTACCTACCCTAGCGTCTGCCCCGACACCACCCAGTCGACCGATACCGTCACCAGCGCCCCCGAGCCGACCTATACCTTCTCCCGCACCGCCAAGTCGCCCCTTTCCTTCCCCGATCGTCCCAGCGCGTCCCTCGTTACCAGCTCGTACGGTGCCTCCGCCCCCATCCGGAGCGCCCACACCACCCAGCAGACCCGTGCCACCTCCAAGGGCCAGTAGCCCTCCATCGGCGCCTCCACGCTTACCCCCGTCACTTCCTCGACGTGCTCACTCCCCAGATCACGCTTCTCCCGTGTCGCGTGCTGTCCCAGCTATACCGCCTCGGACGATTGCTCATTCCACCTCCTCGCCTAGCCCCGGCAGGAAAGTTCCCCCGCCTCCAACAATACCTGGTCGCGTCGCTCCGCCACCGCCTCCGCCCCGTCCTTCCAGCACTATCAATTCATCCCCAGCCAGAGCAGTCCCTCCTCCCCCAGTCCGCAGACTCAATGGATCGGGCTCGCCCGCTCCCCCAGTTCGCACTCGAGCTATATCTGAGTCGGAGCCCGCAGCGAAACCTCCTTCCCCTCCCCCTGCCGAGACTCGATCATCGTTAATGCCTCCTCCCCCAAGGGCTCGGACACTGTCTGCCAGCAACATCGCCGGTCCTCCCCCTGTCCTTAATAACCGAACTTCAATGCTAAATCCGGTGAATGGAAGACCAACCAAGCGTAAAAGTTGGTGTCTTTCGGCTTCGATTCGCCACATGACATGCTGATGTTCCCTCGCTAGTTCCGTCGCCACCCCCAAATGCAGGACCCCATACGTTCCCAGTATCCGACTTTCCTCCCCCCCGAGAGTTCAAACCTAGTACAAGGAAGTATCTGAGTGGCCGTCAACGTGGAAGTGACTTTGACTTGGGACAATTGTAGAGAGAGACTGTAGGGCACACGTACATTTGGCCTGTGTTGCATAGAATGTTTTCGGATTCTATATATCATGACAAATGGTCTGGCACTGTCTGTGACGGGAGATCAAGTCTGCTGGCATACTTGTTTGATAATTCAAACAGTCAGATATTCCGGTAATAGAACGTCCCAGCCAAGTTTCAGCTTCCTAATCCGGGCATCCACCGAACTATATACGTGTCTACGTGTCAGTTGTCGTGTCACATTATTTAAAAGCTCATCCGCTGCTCTCACCACTTTACAACTCTTCCTCCTACCCCCATCCTCCTCTTCAACCATGCGCCTTCGTTCTGTCCTCTGTCCCGGCGCCGCCCTCATGCTGGCCTCTTTGGTCGCCGCCGAGGCCGCTTCAGATGTCATTAGCTTGACCGCGAGCTCATTCGAGTCCGTCGTCAACCCGGAGCCCCTCATTCTGGTTGAATTCTTTGCCCCATGGTATGGTCTTTAGCCACCTGTCCTGATAATCATAGTAACGGTGCATCTTCAGGTGTGGGCATTGCAAGGCTCTCGCTCCTCACTACGAGGAGGCCGCGACTGCTTTGAAGGAGAAGAACATCAAAATCGCCAAAGTCGACTGTGTCGAGGAACCTGACCTCTGTCAGGCACATGAAGTCCAGGGTTACCCGTAAGTCTCAAAGATAGAGCGTGGTAGCATCCTCTAATTCGCGCATCAGAACCCTGAAGGTCTTCCGCAATGGCTCCGCCAACGATTACACTGGACCACGAAAAGCCGATGGTATCATTAGCTACATGGTTAAGTAAGTGCCGAACATTCGCTATTGTATGAACATGGCTGACTGTCACTAAAGACAATCACTCCCTGCCGTTTCCGATGTCACCGCCGCCAATCACGAAGAGTTCCAAAAGGCTGACAAAGTCGTCGCCATCGCCTACTTGGCCTCCTCAACTGAGGCTCCTGCTGTTGAATTCAGCGCGGCCGCCGAGAAGCACCGTGATGACTACCTCTTCGGTCTCTCTACTGACAAGGACGCCATTGCCGCGGCTGGCGTCAAGCCCCCAGCTGTCGTTGTCTACCGCAGTTTCGACGAGCCCAAGACTGAATACCCCCTCCCCGTCTCCGCCGTCACCACTGCCGAATTGGAAGAGTGGATTGCTGACCTCGCCGTCCCCGTCATTGACGAAGTTAGCGGTGAAAACTACGCCGTATACGCCAATAGCCCGAAGCCCCTTGCATACCTCTTCCTCGACCCGTCTGACGAAAAGAAGCAAGCACACATCGAGGCCATCCGCCCTGTCGCTCAGAAATATAAGGCCAAGGTTAACTTTGTCTGGATTGATGCCATCAAGTTTGGTGATCACGCAAAGGCCTTGAACATCATGGACACCAAATGGCCCGCTTTCGTTGTCCAAGACTTGAAGCAGCAACTCAAATACCCTCTCGACCAAAGCAAGGACGTTACGCCTGAGGCCGCTGGCGAGTGGGTTCAACAATACCTTGATGGCAAGCTCGAACCCGCGCTCAAGAGTGCCCCGATCCCTGAGACTCAGGACGAGCCTGTGTTCACCCTTGTTGGCAAGCAATTCGATGAGATCGTCTTCGATGACTCCAAGGATGTCTTCCTTGAGCTTTACGCCACCTGGTATGCACTAATTCTCTTACAATCTCTGAAGCCATATTAAACCCTCCCTCAAGGTGCGGACACTGCAAGCGCTTGAAGCCCATCTGGGATTCTCTCGGAGAGAAGTATGCTCCTCTCAAGGAGAAGATCACCATGTACGCATTTCTACTTTCATCTATTTGTTCAAGCCTGACCACTTTCGTTCAGTGCCAAGATGGAAGCCCAGGAGAACGACCTTCCACCTTCAGTTCCTTTCCGCGTCGCTGGATTCCCCACCATCAAATTCAAGCCTGCTGGAACCCGTGAATTCATCGACTATGATGGTGACCGTACCCTCGAGAGCTTGGTTGCTTTCGTTGAGGAGCACGCCAAGAACAGCCTTGAGCTCCCCAAGGCTGAACCCGTCGTCCCCGTTGAAGATGCCGCGCAGACACCATTGGCTGCTGAGACCCCAGTTGCCACCCCAGCTGCATCAGCAACCCCCGAGGCTCACGATGAGCTGTAACTTCATATTCCCACAGATAATAGCTTTCTTGTACACAAAATAATAAATTCCATCTTATTGGGTCATGTGATGGTACCATCTTGAGATTGAACGCGTCGCGTGCATCAATTCTATTCTGAATCCTGAGCTTGAACCATGAACTTGTCCCGCGACCTCGAATTCCTCGTTGATAGCGTCGTCCCCCAGGCGCGAGATAACGACGGCCTGAGAGATGAACTCGCTCAGCACTGTCAGGATATATTGCGCAGGTGCTTCATAAGCCTAATCAGACCACCGTTGACTAGGCTGACGTGCTTTGCTAGCCACATTGGCCAGAACTACGACCCAGATCTGGGACATTTGACGACTCTAGTCAAGAAACACTGTATGTCGCCATCATGACTTCAATAGCGAGGTTGATATCTTCCCCAAATACTAGTACTACAACATTCTCCTTCTGGGTCGTCGTCGGTGAAGTTCACTAACTTGCTCTCGAGACTGCTGGACCAGGTATGTTCTCGTCAAATCATTGATTTGCTCACCTAAACCTTTCGAGTAGTCAGTCCTGACGCGAAAACACGCAGCGATCCTTTTCCTTCATTCGTTGGCCTCCTCTCAACCATCCCAATCATCCCAGCTTGCTTTCCTTCCTTCGCTGGACATACCACCCTCTCGACAGCCATTTTCTCATGCACCCAGAACGCCGATCGAGGTATCTAATGGGATGGCGACGGCGAAGGGCAAAGGGAAGTCGAGGGCGCAAATATTGAGCGAGTATCGCGCAAAGATGGGTTAGTCTTCCTCGGAATTTGAATTTTCGCCTGGTGAGATAAATGGGTCAGGTCGCCCCCCTTTGCCGGAACAGCGCCTGCTTCGCGATGCTCTGTATCTGTTGCAGGGTATCTCTGGCAAGCACGTTCATTTCTCATCACACAAAGACAACGGTACCCACCTCGTCAACGAGCTCTCTTTCGTTACGGACCCAGTACGTCCTTCGTCACTGGCTGCATGATCAATGTTGATTGGATCGTCATCAGAAATACGAGATCTCAGAAGCTACCAAGGCACTCATCCATCGCCTGTCGGAGGTGGGTTACCTCTACAAACGAGTCCAGACATACGTCAAGGAGAGGGAGAATGTCGCTGAAATGGGGATGATCGAGCAAAGCCTCTGCCATCATTTACAAGCTCGGTTGACAGACTACTATCGTTTCATCGCAGTCCTTGAATCGCAAATGTCTGGGACCTTGGCATCAGAATCTCCAAGCGCTCCCGAAGAAGAGATAGGGTTGACGCTTCGACGGCTGGACGTTTGGATAAATGACTGGAGATTGCGTATGCGTATGATGAGTGTCTGCGTGGAAAGTGCTCGAGGTCATTGATGCCGAGTTTGTTGTCTTACCACTCGTTGCTCATCTTGTTAACAGACTCGCACGGAGGCGCGTTGGTCAACATCATCCACGGATATACTGAAAATGGCGATCCCTTCGTGCGGAAGTTCACAGATCAACTGCTTGAAGATGTATGGATTTCCACCACACCAGAAAACGTACGGCATCTGACAAGCCTACTCTAGGTGTCAAAACCATTTTTTGCAACCCTGCACAAATGGCTGTTCTCTGGGGAGCTATACGATCCCTACTTGGAATTCTTTGTAGCAATGGACCCTTCCCTCGCTCACATGCAATACGCACACCCATCTTCACTAAGTGGCGGTATAAATCAGCTCTCTAGTGACGGTGGTTTCGCTGGCCCGTTCAACGACAGCGATGATATGAGTGGCGACAGGGAAGGTGGGTTGAAGCTTTGGGAAGCGAAGTACAAGTTCCAGAAAGAGATGTTGCCCATGTTCGTTGGGGAAACGTTCGGTCGCAAGGTACAGACGTTCTCAATTTGCACTTGTCTCATATCCTCATGACCACTATAGATATTCTCGACTGGTAAAAGCTTGAATTTCATTCGCTACAGTTGCCACGATAGCGACTGGGTGGCTACCAGGGAGAAGATGAACAACACGGGAGGGTGTAAGTGCTGCTCCAATATCAAGTTTCCCAAATTTGATGTCCTATAGCTCTAAAATATAGCGACATTGCCGGCTTGGAGCGATCCATCGACGCTGCATACCAAGTTGCTAGCGGTCGACTATTTGACGTTTTCCTTGACAAATTCAAGCTCTTGGATCATTTGAGAGCGTTAAGACAGTACCTGTTACTTGGACACGGCGACTTTGCGGACCAACTTATGGAAGCTCTAGCGTAAGTCACACCCTTGCCACCCTACATCGGTGGTTAGTTTGATCCTGAACAGGCCCTCATTGCGCCGTCCGGCGAACACGCTTTACCGACATAACCTCACCGCAACACTTGAAACCGCTATTCGGTGTTCGAATGCCCAGCACGACCCGCAAGATGTTCTTCGCCGCCTCGACGCGCGCATGCTCGAATACTCACATGGCGAAATTGGTTGGGACGTCTTCACTCTCGAATACAAGATCGATGCGCCATTGGACACAGTTGTCGACCCCGAATCGATGGTCAAATACCTCCAACTATTCTCGCATCTGTGGCAGATGAAACGAGTAGAAGGAATTCTTAGCATAGGATGGATGCGTGCATCGAAAGATGTAGAGTCGTTCTTACGGATAGCAGGTACGCCACGCCGATTCACTTTATCTTTGTGCCCACAGGTTAATTCGGGTAGACCTAGAACAAGAATGGCATCGAATAAGACTCGCATCAGCAGAAATGCTACATTTTGTTCGTCAAATGCAGGCTTACTCGCAACTCGAAGTCATTGAGTGTTTGTGGAAGGAACTCTGTGAATTTCTTCAGAAAAAGGAAGGCGATCTTGATGCTATGATCGACGCTCATCGGTCGTACTTGGATCGTATGGTGAAGAAAATGTTATTGGTCAGTCCCAAAGCTGGAAAAGAGGTACGTTGTTTGCCTGTTGACGGATTGATTGACGAATTGCGCTCGTTTCTAGTACAATGTCCTAAACCAAGTCAAAGAGGTGTTCCATGATATTTTACAATTCCGTGATGCAATGGTCAGCGCAATATAATGAAAGCGTGCAAATACTGACTACATCCCTGCATGAAGGATACCTTCTACAATCACTGCCTATCGGAATCAGCTAGGCGAGATAGAGGGCTGGATGGGGAACGCGTGCGGGATTTCTGTTTCTGAATTTGACAGCTATACTCAACTTCTAGTAGGGGGTGGTTACTGGACTCGAGGGCGACAGCGACAAGTCGCAGGAGCTGCTCAAGGTCTACCAGAAGGTGAAAGAGTACAGTTCATCCTTCTCGGATCGCGTCCACAGCATAGTGCAATCCCTGCAGAGTCATTCCGATCTTGATGTCAGATTCATGGGCACCAGGCTAAATTTCTCAGATTTCTATCGATCGAAGCGAGAGCATCCAACGCAGAGAGGGACGCTGCATTAATCTCGATTGCTTATCCGATGCCCGGAGCTACCGATGGATTAGAGGGACTGTGTCTCTTGTGTAAGACGAGTAGGTGACACCAAATATACAACATGCATAACGCATAATAAACATCTACAACTTGACCTCCTTCAGGCCATCCTTCCAGAACGTGAAATAGGCTACGAGCGGACAAGATCAGCAAGAGCGCACCAAGCAGCAATGATTGCTTACGAGTAACACCATCTTCTCTGTAGTTGAGGAGAGCAACCATACCATCGGGGTTCATCGTCTCGCCGGTGTACTAAAACTGATCAATAGACGAAGCAAGCGGTCCTCAATCAACTCACGAATTCATAGTCCTTGAAGTTGGCAACAATCTTTTTGGCAAAGGCTTGGGCTCCCTTCTCAAAGTCGGCAACGCGATCACCAGGGAGCTTCTCCTTCACAGCTTTCATGTATCCCTATTTTGACGTTAGATGCCTTAAAGATGAACGAACGTGCCATTCACCTTGAGGTAGGTCAAGTAACTCTTCTTGTCGAAGGAGGTCGATTGGAGACGGAAAGAGTGGACGACGTTGTTAACTGTGGCGGCGCCTTCTTCGAGAGCTTCCTCTTGCTCTTCGGCAGATGGGTTGGCACCTACGAGCGCAAAGGTCATGGTCAAGAGAGAATAAAGCCAACACATGGGGCTTACCGATGTTGACGTCGCCCTCTTTAACGACAATCATTGCACATTCGACTTCATAAGCAATGCCGTCGACCTCCTTCCTATCGCGTACTGGTTAGTTCTAATCATCAATGGAGAGCAGATCCACTGGCATACAAGGGGAAGGCATCAGAGAACATTTCATCGTCAGAAATGATATCGCTGTACAACAACATTTTTGGGTTCTAGAAAGAAGAAAGAGAGGACGACGGGGAGAGGATGGAGGTGGTGGTAGCAAGCAACTTCAAAATTTAAATCTGCAGCCCTCCTGTTTCACGATCGATAATCTCTGAGATCACGTGCAAGAAATTTCAGTACGAGAGTCGTGATCGCCAATTTTACTCAAAGCGCAATCAATGGACTACCAACCATTGGTCGTGAAGGCGCATCCTCGCACAGCGTCCAAGAAACACAGCTCGGAATCGCGGCATTGGCGCCAGTTCAAGCACCCAGTCTTCGTCAAGGAGTATGCCCCCGTTACTTCCATCCATTTTTCTCCTTCTCGTCCACACCGATACGCGGTGACAGCCGCGACTCGCGTTCAGATTTACGCCCCTCGGACGCAAAAAGTGACCAAGACAATATCCAGGTTCAAGGAAGTCGTGCGCAGTGCTTCATTCCGAAACGATGGAAAGCTCCTCGCTGCTGGAGATGACTCGGGGCTCATACAAGTATGTGCAAGTTGCGCGATCACCAGGCTTGTATAGCTGATGTTGACTAAAGGTATTCTAGGTCTTTGATGTAAATTCAAGAGCTATCCTCCGGACCCTTGACTCGCACAAGCAGCCAGTACATGTTGCCCGTTTCTCGCCCTTAGAGCCGACACAAGCACTGTCATGTTCGGATGATACAACGGTCAAAATATGGGACGTCTCCTCCCAGACAGTTCTGAACACATTTACCGATCATAGCGACTACGTTCGCACCGGCCAAGTATCGCCAGTGAGCCCCTATGTGATCCTGACGGGTTCCTACGACTCGACAGTCCGACTCTACGATACACGGTCGAATGTGTGTGAAATGGTGATGGGCCAAAGCGAGCAAGGCAGCGTACACAACCCGATAGAGCAGGTGTTGATGTTTCCTTCGGGGACTGTCGCACTGTCTTCGTCTGGTCCAATCCTTCGAGTCTGGGATATTGTTGCAGGTGGGCGATGTATACGTGCATTGTCGAATCACCAAAAGACAGTCACTTCACTTGCCTTCAACGCAAATGCAAGCCGATTGTTAACCGGAGGCCTGGATCATATGGTCAAGGTCTACGATATTAGCACGTATAAAGTTGTTCACACAATGCGATACCCTGCACCGCTGTTATGTGTATCAATATCAGTACGTTGTTGCAGTGCTTCCTGACACCTTCGTGCTGTTGACACGTTTCCTCAGCCAGATGAAACACACATAGCAGCAGGCATGTCAGACGGCACACTATCCGTCCGCAGGCGCCAGCTCAAGGTATCCGAGCCATCGGCCTCCGACCTTCTTACTTCCGCCGCAACACTTCGTTCTGGGTCATACGAATCATTTTTAAGTGCCAACGCAGCACCCATTGGGCAAGGTCTTGTAAAGAACAAGACCAAACCCAAAGCTCTTGGTGACGAGGACGAGTTCCGAGTAGAGAGTAAACGGAGCAAGAGACTGAAAGAGTACGACAGACTGCTCAAGAATTTCAAGTACTCTGCTGCTCTAGACTCCGTCTTGCGTAAAGTAAGTCTTGGAACAGTCTATGTTACCGTCAGATCGAACATTTGACTCATGTTGATTTAGCAAGTCCCCCCGGCCGTAACCTTTTCATTGATCCAAGAGCTTATTGCTCGTGACGGTTTGCGAAGCGCTCTTTCTGGAAGGGACGATGTACTCCTCGAACCAATATTGCGCTATTTAATCAAATACGTGGCCGACCCTCGTTTCGGTCAGACCGTTTGTGACGTCGCAGCATTCCTGATAGGTCAGTACAACCGTCCAACATTTTTACCTTACTAACTTGCCTTGCAGACATGTACAACCCAGTGTTGGGCCAATCACCACTTATGGATACACTCTTCCTCCGGTTACAAAAGAAAGTCACTGCAGAAGTACGCTTCCAAAGGACGCTCCTGCAGACAAAAGGTGCTCTTGATATGCTTTTTGCGTCAACTGCACTCTCAGCATCGGCTGGAATTACTCCATCACAAAAGTAACCTATATAACTACGGTACCGTGTCCTTGTATTATTGTGCTTTCGTATCGCTGAGTGCGTAGATGAGACCTTGTAGTATGTCTTTCTGCGACAGCGGCTTTTCGACGCCATTTTCACTGTCGACTTGCATGCCATCTTCATCAGTGTTGTCGTAGAATATCCGCAATGTCTGTATAATGTCTTCCATTGTTTGATTTTTCCGGGAAAGCATTTTCTGCGCATGATCTCGAATCTAGGTTTAGGTTCAATTGCGACGATTTGCGATGAAGACAAAGGAGAGGACAAACCCCGTCGTCTTCCATTATGATCCAAGCCAGGATGAAGTCCACAGTTTGCAATGTGAACAGGCCACCCTCAAGCCGTCGCAGATACCAAGCCTCTTCTTCCTCAGACGTCACTTCTACGCCATCGGCAAGGAGCGCCTGATCAATGTTCACGGTCAATAGAACGAACGCGACGCCTAGACTCGAACAGGAGTATCTCACTTTCTTTTCTCGCTCGATCTCCGCGTCTGTGACACTCAATCGACCATGGGCCGACGTCCGTATATCGAGTAGTCTATCCACTTTCTCGTATGTATTCTCCACAAACTTCGCAAGTAGTCGTATACGCGCTGGTGATTCCGATGGGAGATTTGAGAACAGCGAGGACATTATTCCGAGGATGTGTTGTGTATCTTCAGATGCAGGGGGAGCTGGCCCGGACTTCTGTTTCTTTGACGACTGGGTGGGTGTGAGATGAGAACACATTGACAGCATGAAACGGTCACACCTTGCCCATGAAAGCAGAGAACAGAGTCTTTAGACCCAGCGCATCTACGAACGCTTCACACATGGCTGTTCCCGTTGTTCCTGCCATAGCATAATCGAGACATTTGATAGATCTCGAACGTGCTTGCTGCTTCTCTCTATTACAAAGAAACAGGTCAGACTGCTTGAAAGTATCGTTGGCGAGTAGGAGACGTTACTTCATGAGCAAAACCATCAGATCGGGACCTTCTGCCTTCAGGAAGAGTTCCTTCACGCTAGTCTCGATGAGAGCGGAGCATAAGGCATCGAACACGTTCTCCATGAATTCGGTCTCGTCGGCATCTACTGGGTCCCTTCGACGGTATTGCTAAAGGGACAGAATAAATGACAGGAGAGAGGGGTGATGAACCTTGCATGACTTACTGACAGAACCTTCAAGGATACCTCCGCACCATCTTGCTTACCGAACTCTACGCGATTGGGAGGGTTATCTTGCAGCAATATGGAGAGGATTTCAGCGGCGTATCCTCGATTTTCGTCGTGTTGTTTAGACTCGATACGCTTTAGTAGCCATGCCAGGATTTTTGTTTTCGACACTAAATCCGTGGCAAGGGATGGATTGAATCCAAGAATATTTTCGAAGATGCCTACGAGCGGCGTTAGCAATAACTCGAATAAGAAATGCCTAATCCTCTGACCTAGAATGTGGAAGACACCTTGTCGGTCTGATTCTTCGGCTTCGTTCAGTCGACTCAGATTTTCGACTAAGAGTTCCAAGATTGAGTTTGCCAGCTACAAGATAATGAGCATGGCACTTTATTCAGGCAACTAACACTGACAAGGGTTTCTATAAGAATCCTTAGTGCCTCTTGGTTATTCTCTACGTCGTCCTCATCTTGACCCTCATTCCCTACGTCCTCGTCTGTGAGCTCGTGGATTACTTCCACAACATCAATAACGATGTCGGCATTCTCGTGCGCAAGGAGACCTATTAGTATTTCGATTGTACCGTTATCAGCGAGCTCGGGGTATGCAATGATGGGGGATTGCGCCAGGGGTAGAAGGGACTTTAGCGCAGTGTCAAGGTCGGCTTCCGAGTCTATAAATCTGAGTTGTGAAGAATGTGAGAACCTAGGGACAATGGTGAGGTAGTCACATACTTTGTTGGGTCATCGGGATACTTGGAGCGTTGGTCTTGGTTTTTGTTCGCTGCACGCTCGAAGCGCAGCAGAAGTCGTTTCACTGCAGCCAGTGACATTATCTGGAGCTACACACACCAGTGTGTCAACTTCGTTCGACGGCGGACGGTATGTCTCTGCAACTCACATCATCTTGGTCCCCTTCCTCAGTCGAATTGTCAAATATGTTGAGGATATCTTTCTGCTCTGACGTTAACCCTCCACCAAAGAACCGACCCTCGCCGTCCTCTTCTACAAAGTAGTCGGCGTCTCCTCCTGGAGCGAAATTTCTTCGGCTGTCCTCCTCCTCATCGTCTGCATCCTCCACGGTGACTGCTCGGGACTTTCCTTTCGACGGCCCAGATATTGGCGCACCCGGAGGCGAAGATACCTCCATACGCATCTTCTTCAGCGTTTCCGGCGTCGGGTTGTCTGGCATCTTTCGCTTGTTCCCGCCAGTCGGGAGTTTTGGCACCTACGGATGCTCAACATCACGCAGAGCATCAAGAAACCAATGTATGCTCACTTTGAATAGCTTGTCGATATCCATGGCCGTGGCGAAATAAATGCCACGAATTCCGCGCTCAGTTCGTTCGCGTTGGTGGCGTCAATGATCGTTACGGCCAAACAAGCGTCATTTGAACTTGGTCACCCTGCCATGAATTCTGCGAAAGCGACGCTGCCAACCCAAATATTGAGCCAGACTCCATCTACCTCGTCAATTACAGACCGCCTATGGCGGCATTCGTTGTATAATGTTCTCAATCAGCGACCCCTGGACCGAGTGAATGTGCTTGGAGATAACAGCCATGGACATCTATCGTATGCACGTCCCCTCAGATCTCACTCTAAACTGACATCGATGGAATCGCAGGTGTGTCAATGCCCTGAGCTGGACGCCAGACGGACAAATGCTCCTGAGCGGAGGGGACGACCGAACGTGCGCTCTGTCGATTCTCGTGTATGTTTTAGTCAACTTACACCGTGACATCTGCTCCAGTGTTAGGATATGGCGCATGGACCCGGATTGCGACGTGGATTACCCTTTTTTCTGTAAATCCGTCATACAGACAGGACATAAGGCGAATATATTCAATGCCCACTTGCTTCCGCATTCCACGCGAATGTAAGCCTTCGTCTTGGCTGTTTCATTGTTCATTCCTGAACGGCGGCACTATCGAAGCGTAAGTGTTGCAGGAGATAAACAGGTTCGGGTCTTCGAGGCTGCGGTTGCTTTGGCTCATTCACAGAGTGAGCCAGAAACAACTTACAGCGCGAATCAGTTGGACTGTCGCGTTCTACGCTGTCATACGAACAGAGTCAAGCGCATAGTCACTGAAGATAGCCCCGATCTTTTCCTCACCGTGGCAGAGGTAAATAAGTTCATGGATCACCTTCTCATTCTCATTCTACTCGTAGGACGGCTCCGTCAGGCAGCACGACTTACGTGTCCCGCACACTTGTGGACCTGGAGGGTCATGTCCAGCACCTCTAATCAAGTGCCAGCATGAACTATCGGCTTTGGCCTTGTCTCCTCTTTCGCCATATCAGTTCGTTGTTGCTGGCGAATCACCCTACGTAGCTCTACATTCTCTCGTCCGTTTTCGTTGTTTATTGACTTCGCTGTTTCATAGGGATACCTATTTGATCGCAGAAACACGGGTCGCTCTTTCGATGAGGAATGGGGCTCCCTTCCCCCAACATCTGGCCCTTCCATCGCGACTTGTGTACGCCGATTCGGCCGTAAGACTAAGCCTCGTGATGATGTCTACGGGACACATATAACAGGGGCCCGAATGTCTTCGCACAATGGACATGAGGTACGTTTGCACGCGTAGGGCCTCCATTGGAACTCATGAGCAACGCTGTAGGTTCTATTGTGTAAGGGTGCTTGCAGTCTTCACAATTCTCGCGCTCATCTCAACCTACAGCTTATAGTGGCGATGCTGTATATCTGTATTCCACCCGTGATGATCCGCAAGACGAGGATCAAAGCCATGGATCTGGTATCATCCCTCCAAACCGGGAACATAGGACCGACGTGATCCCGATAGCATCCGACGAATCACATATCAACGTTCAATTAGCAGAGACCGACGACAATGAAGCGTCTAGCCCTCTCCAGCGGGCAACCGAGGACCAGGGCGATCTTGATGACTCTGACTCTGACGACTTTACTTTGGACGCTATGCCGTGGGACGACCCTGGCGTCCCTATCCTCCTCCCTCGAAGGCGATTCGCTGGCGCCGGCAATGTCGAGACCGTGAAAGATGGTAGGTGCCAGACAATTCAACTAGTAATCGTCGTTAATTTGCTCCTTCCCTTTAGTCAACTTTCTAGGTCCTGAGGATGAGTTCGTTACGTCTGGTTCAGATGATGGTAATTTCTTCATCTGGCACAAGGCTACGGGCGACCTTCATGGTATTTACGAAGGCGATGGGAGTGTCGTGAATGTTATTGAGGGCCACCCCTTCCTTCCTCTTATCGCGGTCTCTGGCATTGACTCGACCGTCAAGGTAATTATAACCCTGCCCTTCTTTCCTTACCGCTTGATCAACCATCGACCATCAGCTCTTCGCCCCAGTCAATCGCCGAAGTGAATTCTCTCGTATAGACAAGCAGGAAGACATAATAAGGTCCAACAGCCGCGGTAGTCGCCAACTCATGACAAGAGGCCAACTAGCCCTAATCAGAGCAGCTCTTTCCGGACAAGAGTTATCCGAAGGGAACCCATGTAACGTTCAATGATTCGTAGATTAACGCAACACTTGTAGAATACTCTGCCAGCTGTGACATGGACCTTGTGTTTTGTAGTAGTTGGACAGTGGATATGTACAATGCAACGAGGACAAATTTGGGGTGGAAGCTTCCGACGACCTTTTATCTCACTACCGTCAACTCATTCACCGTACTCACACTTTGTTGTCAAATCTACATGGTCTGCTGCGGTTAAGGTTGCGTCTGGTATGATGGTCATTGGAGGTCCTGGTATTTCTTGGGCATTTCAATATTCTGGGTATATCAGTAATTCGGCCGGTGATTTATTGACGCCTGATCGTTTGACCGGTACTTCGTCGCTGGACACAACAGTGACGGGAGGTCTGAAGCTCTGCCCCACGTCGCGCATAGATCAGCGCAGGTTCGCCTTGATCCCAACTCTATCTTCCACCTTGGCCGCCATCTTTCAGTTGCTTCTCTCCTTTGCGGTTATGTAAGTGCCCACTTCAAGTTCCTCAGTGCCTAGGCTCATATTGTCTTAGCGGTCGCCGTTTGCTTCAAGTTATTGGTTCTTTCGTTCATATTGAGGTGCTCGTGGTGAGCATTGCTTGGTGTTACTCTGAAGGTGTGGCCACTAACCGACGACCAAAGTGCTGAGGTTTTCTCGACAGCATTGCCAGATCGGCCACACGCCTCAACTTCTCTCTCTCACTCAGACGCCAGCTTCAAATCGTCACGTTTCCTCACTTTTCTTCTGATACTAACAATGCCATCGCACAACCGCTCTAAACGCAACAGGAATCACACCAAGGGGCAGGATGATGAACGTTTGCTCGCAACTCGGGCTGCAGGTGACGACTCGTCGTATAAGGAGTCTTACTCGCGCCGTCAAGGCGACAATTACAGGCCTTCTTCCACGCAGAGCAGGCATTATGACAGCGATAGAGAGCCCCTCCCATCCAGGAGCCATCCACCTTCGTGGCGTGATGCAGACGTTCATGACAGATATGAACCTCTCTCTTCTGACCCATATGTGCGCAACGGCAGAGATGACTATGATACAGTTGACTCAAGGGAGATGGATGGTTGGGTTGGTCGCGGGAGCAGCGAGAGTCGCTACGAACGCTCCAATGAAGACTGGTCACGGAGATATGACTCGTCGTATGCATCGTCTTCGTACGCTGAGCCCTCAGCGTGGCGCTCCTCCACCTACGAAGACAGATCCACGTCTTACACCTCTTGGGTCCCGGAGACTCGCACATCTAGGGTAATAGAGGAACCACTGGTTGAACGAGACTCACCAAGCCGCCGCCGTGAGGATGGACATTCGGGAGGGGGGCAAAAGTGGAAAAGCGATAATGGTTGGGATACTCGTCGGGAAGTTCGGGAGCAAACATGGAGTGAAAGCAAACCCGTCGATCCCCTCGTCGAACCCTCTCCAGAAGATCGCACCTGGGAGCCAGCACCTGGCTGGCAGCCGCCGGAGCGTCGGGATAGTCACCACAACCACAGCCAGAACGACAAGCAAAGCCATAGTAGCAAAAATGGCAACCGCAACCACCGTTCCAAAGGCAAGAAGAGCAAGAGGAACAGTGATCAGAATCCACTGCAAAAGCGTGAACGCGAACGAGACTGGCGAATAGACGACGGGGACTTTAATAAGTGAGCGAGTCGAGTCATCATCTTCAGCTTCGATACTAATACCTCATATTCAAGTTGGCAACGGCGCGATGTAGCTCCTGTCCAGACGGCAACAAAAAAATCCAATCGTAAACGACACCCTCGCTCTACTTCCTACTCACGGTCAAGATCACCGCCTGAATCTTATTCCTCCAGGCGCTACTCTCGCAGTCGAAGCCGGTCTGCGTCGCCAACTACACCCTCTACCAAACGCCGACGACGAGCATCAAGTCCTACACGACCCTCTCCAGCTAGTGAGCGCGGACGTACTAGTTGGAAGCAGCAGAACGAGCGGCCGTCCCCTAGATCGACATCCCGTCGCAGTGTGGATAGCCGCCGACCTCGCAACCGAAGTGCATCTTCTATGTCAAGTGCAACAAGGAGTTCACGAAGCCCAAGCCCGGATGGTCAACCAAAACCGGTCCATCGACTTCCCCAAGCTAGTAGTGTTCCGATCCCACCTTACGTGGCTACCAACGCTAGTCGTGCTTCGAGGAAGTCCAAATCGAAGTCAAATGGCAAATTAGTATGTTTTTTCTCATTATTTTTTTCTAGGCTAGATGATTCATATTGTCCTTCAGCGCAACAACACAGAGACCTTGACTCGTCATCCGCTACCTATGAACCCTTCTCACGCGGCTGAAATGCCTCCACCGTCCACCATCCCATCACCGCATAATAATATCACCATCTCTCCTGATCCTGTACTTCCAATGACAATTACCCCGGAGCAGAAGCGAGAACCTGTGTCCCCCAAAGCTTCTAAGCCCAAGAGCGCGGGCTTCAAGCCGATCGGTCAGACTAGCTCTGCTCTCAAACGGTTCTTCCCTGCCGATGACGATGACGACATAATTCCTAAGGTAGCCCAACCCCAAATAACACACTGGGTCCCGGAACCGTCTGCTCAACTACCGTTGAGAAAGGACAATCTAATCATCAGTGATACTCTTCCACGAAGCCTGCCGCCCAAGCCACTTACTCCTTTACTACCTCCCAAGCCGCCTCCACCTCTCACTCCTATTGATTTCCTACCCCCGAATCCAATTCGTCGTTTCCGAACAATATCGCCGCCGCATGTGGTAGAAAATGTGGTAGAGAAACAACCGACACCCCCGCCTGTTGCATCCGAGGAGGAGCAAGTAACCCCCGTTGGACATTCCGAGCACGACATACATCCTCCCGAACGAGTCGGTTCGCAGGATATCGACATCCCGGAGTACGCCTCTTCCGAGAAAGAGTTGTACGCTATCGTCAGTCAGGTTGGTGAGGGTACATTCGGGAAAGTATACAAGGCACGGAATACCATCACGAAGGTCCACGTTGCTTTGAAGCGTATACGAATGGAGACCGAACGCGACGGCTTCCCGGTGACTGCCATGAGAGAGATCAAGCTCCTTCAATCTTTACGGCACGACAACGTTGTCAGACTGTACGAAATGATGGTTTCGAACGGTGACTTCCTTTTCCCTTGATATACAAAACTGTATCTTATGTTCCAATAGGTTCGGTGTATATGGTCTTCGAGTACATGGACCACGACTTGACCGGTGTCCTTTCGCAAACACAGTTCAGCTTTGAGGACGCTCATCTCAAATCTCTTTGCCACCAGATGCTGGCTGGGCTCGCTTACCTTCATCACAAGGGAGTCATCCATAGGGATATCAAAGGGTCTAATATCTTGCTGAACAACCGGGGGGAGCTGAAGCTAGCGGATTTCGGTCTGGCCCGATTCTACCACAAACGACGACGAGTTGACTACACTAACCGTGTTATCACCCTTTGGTACCGGCCTCCCGAATTGTTATTCGGTGCCACTGTATACGGCCCTGAGGTGGACATGTGGAGTGCGGGGTAAGAGTCGTCTAAAAATCACTTGTCGCCATACGTCTCATCGTTCAACAGGTGCATCATGCTTGAACTGTATACCAAGAAACCCGTATTTCAAGGCAACGATGAGATACATCAGCTGGATGTCATCTACAGAATATTCGGTACTCCAGACCCTCAACGATGGCGAGGGGTCGGGGATCTCCCATGGTTTGAGTTGGTTAAACCCAGGGAAGCCATGCCAAATCACTTTCGCGAACTATTCAAGAAGTAAGTCGATTTACCTTATTCGTTATTGAAGAGTTAGTCACGCTCTACAAGATGGATGTCTCCTGCCGCGTTAGACCTGGCGGAACGTTTGCTTGCCTATGACCCCGCACAACGCGCCACGGCGACGCAAGCGATGGCTGCATCTTACTTCACCGAAGAGGAACCGGAAGCAGCTCTTCCCACTGGGTGAGTTGGTCTAAGCAGTGCCTTGCTTTATTGCTAAATACGATACAGGTTGGCAACATTGGAGGGCGAATGGCATGAGCTCGAAACAAAAAAGGAGAGGGCCCGCAAGCGCCGCAAGACTGAGGCCACAACGCAATGACTCTCTGAAGCACATTGCATCTTGAAACATGTACTTTCTGGACTACATATTCGTCGACTAATGGGACATTGTTGCTGTTGCTTTGACCAGTCCTCGCTCGACTAGATGTTGGACCATGACTTCCACCTGCATAATAATTTATACATTATTTTGTTTTCCCGATAATTGCATATAGGGAAGCTTACATTGGCCGCTGTCGTTCGTATCTGCATGTCCCAGTGCTTGGTAAACGGTGCACCAGTGTCCTCGGCCTCCTCCACGTCTCCGAGACCACCAGCCTTACCTTGGGCATCGTCATCTTCGCGGCTACCCTCAAACCATATGATCTTGTCAACCTGGTCGATCGAGCCTCGCAATCTCCCTTGCTCAATCATCTTCCGGGCCATAGTCTCCGCAGCACCAGGGGTCAGATCCAGCAACGCTCCTAGCCCTCGGAAAGTGATGTTGTTATATATTTTCGAGCTCGCGAGCAAGTTGTGCTCCATGACAGCGCGGTCCAGGACAGTCGAGGGACCCGTTCGGGTGCTCACAGATCTATCCGATGTTTCTTCTTCATTGGCTGCAGATGCAAGACGGTCATTGGAGGAGATGGCGATTTTGGCCAGTTGGTGAGGTTTGAGGGTTTCTTCGAACGATTTGATTTCTGCTGGTCGTAAGATATGGTCTAAGAACATCTTTGAAAGGATGTTGTAGGTTGAGAGCTCGGCTACACGTTCGTCGCGATAGAGGGAACCAAGTACTCTGGATCGATTTGGGCCGGCGGGGGCAAGAACGGCGCATGTCACTGCCGCTAGGCTGTGGACGTGAAGGTGAGGATCCCGGTGAGGTAAGTCGCGAACACTTACAGCATCTGCCGACGTTCTTCTTCGTCAATTTCGCCCACCCAGCTCAATTCATGGTATCGGCTTGCTGCCTCTAGGAATTTACGGCTATAGTCACTGATTCTAGCTTGACACAGCTTGAATTGTAATACAGTCTCTTTATTGGTGGTCGAGTGCATCAGTGAAGCTGCACGGTTGTAATATGATTCGGCCTGCACAGAGTCCTCATCCTCAAGTAAGAGGCGAACTATTCGTACGTAGATCTGGAGCTTGTCCTCGTCGGACATGGCGCTTGGTAAAGTATCATTGCGAGGATACCCAGCTACAGAGGTGGATCTACGTACCGCTGGCTGGAATCAAGTGAAATGGACATCAACACGCGAGCAGCATCGCTCCACTCCTCTTCTCGCTCCAGTATGTCCGCGAGCTGGAAACGCAACGCGTTCGCCTGCGTTCCTAGTATTCAATGCAATGGTCATATTCTAAGAAGATCATGATCGCGTACTGGATCCTCATAGCTGATTCTTGACTTTATCAGCTCAATGGAGTCATTTACGACAGATTTGCGGAGGTCATCATCCTTGATGGCGCCTCCTCCCAGCAGCTTTGCAAGCTCTGAGAGCACCTGTCGGCCTGCAACATGTGTCGAGCTATCCTGATGGACGATGTGATCAACCAAAGAGTGGATGTCTTGTGCTGCCTGGTTGTCATCTTGACGCGAGAATATGTCTGATAGTACTGAAATGTAAGCTTGTGCCTTGTCCTTCTGGCCCAAGGCCGCGCATTGGGCTAATCTGCTTTCCATTGCAATTCTAGAAGTTAGTGGAGGGAGAAAGGGGTATCAGAGGCGACGCGCCTTGATCGAGGACCAATATGGAAACTACCTTCCCACCCCTGACTGCTGCCTGGTCAGTGGTCCTTGCTCGCCGTAGCACCCTTCCATGATATGCTACTACATCTAGCATGCTAGCACCGTAACTTGAAGTTCTCTTCACCAGCACCAGAGCTCAAGAAAATTGAAAGCAGGTCTTTTGCGAATCATTCGTTTGACTAGAAGGTGTGAGTAATATTTGCCTGGTAACTATGCAGACTTTGAGTGTCTGATCGCATCAAGTGCTTCAGCAGAGGACGTCTATTTATTTTCCTACGCTCTCCCTCTTTCCTGCTCCTCCACCTTAGATTTCGTATTTGCTGCTAGTCAGCATTTCGTTCCCTTTCCCCCCTTCGTTCGTTGGTTCTGGCATCCACAATGGCTCATATGGCGGCGGCGCACTTTGAGTATCCCCAGCGGCACCCACTTAGTCCTCCGGAAACCAATGCTGACTCTCCTGGTACCACCGCTATGCCCACTCCATTGACCCAGCATGTCCCGTTACCATCACGCAGCGTAGGCGATCCAGAAGAACTCGGAGCCAAGCTCTCTGAGTCGCCCACTAGCCGCTTTAGAAGGGTTTCGACACTGGCTTACCATAACTCTCCGCTTCGAGATAACCGCGACAGATCGTCTATCTCCAGGCCCTCGAAGCCATTGATCATCGTCATTCCTCCTCAAGCGTTGTTGCACGAATGTGGTCAGCTCGGACACACTCTATCACAAGGACCCCCGCACCGTTTGTCTCATGGGATTTTGATGCCGTTGTTTCCAACCGTATGAATCAATTTTCGTTGATACATTGCTGTTGCGCTCATACGCGGTGATTGTAGATGTATGGACAACTCACTGCGATTGCGCGAGAATTTAATTTTCCCAGTACCTCAGGGTTGTGTATCTACTACCATTTCTCCGACAACGGGCTCACTTCCACGCCTCGAGTGTCCGACGAATCATGGCAACTCATCTGGAGCCATGTTTTCGACGAACGCTCCGTGGTTTCATCGCCGCGGCCTCCTATCACGGGTAAAATTGAATTCGACATTGATACAAGACAAGCGCGTTGGTACTCGGCGTGGTTGGGAACGTCTCGTCGCGATCCCCTCGAACGCATGTCGGTGACGCCGTCCGCCATTCATTCCATTGACCACACGCGCATCGAGAGCAAGACGACATTCCAAGATGATTTTGAAGACATGAACGAGACCCCGCAAAGGCCGAAGGGAAGACACGTCCCTCGGAAGCTTTCGCTTGTAGACCGTTACGAGTCAATGTCTGCACGATCTACGCCCGCTAGCGGTGCTCTGCTCTCGCCTCCAGTCGCAGCACCAAGCCCACATCACCTGTCCCCAATTCCTCAAGCCGACGAGCCATTGACTGCCAAGTTAGATTTGGAGAAGAAAGTCACGTCGTGGCGCAATAGCGCGAGCTTGAGGCCTTCGTCGCTCGCGTTAAAGGGTCAAACCAGCCTCGAACCAGCGAACATGCCTAATACCCTACCAATAGATAACCCTCCTTCGACAGAAGATGACATGAACTTAGAAGACTTCCATTGGTCGGTGTCGTCCCAGGGGCCTCCAGAATACGACGACGACACGGTGTCCTCAGTTAGCCGTCTTCCTTCGGTGCATTTAGCTCACCGTGCCCAAGGCTCCGTATGCCTAACGCCTTCCGTATGTACGTCCTTCGGCCCCTTCGATTACGACAGTGCCTACTCTCCCATCTCGAACGTGGACCGCCTCCCGTCCCCAGATATCGCGCGTCGCATGCTGGATGATTGTCCACCAACCCCATCAACTGCCACAAGCTGGGGCGCACCTTTGTCGTATCCCCCATCCCCTGCCAGTGAGCACTCTCGGCTTTCCCTCGACATCGCGCACCGTGCTGTGTTCAGTCGTCCGATAACGCCAGCGACTGCTACGAGCTGGGGCGCGCCTTCGTGGCCTGCTTCGCCTGTGTATTCAAGTAGGCCACCTTCTGTGCATATGGACAGACGTGGGTTGGCGAGCCGGCCGCTTTCGCCTGTAGACCTCCACGAAAGCGCCCCGTGGCCTTTCGTATGGCCTTACAACCATCATCAAGGTATGGCGGAGACGAGTGATGCAGATATCATCGATGAAGCAGACGAAGGCGTCGAGGTGCCGCTGGCACAGTCGACCCGACTTGTGTGGCCGTATGAGCAACATGGCAGCCTTGCCGCTTTGGAGGTATCTTCTCAAGACGTCCCTCAAGACGTTGATGTCTTGCAAGCTGGAGTTGAATTGGTGGAGGATGAAGAAGTTGTCATCCAAACGTCAGCCCCAGGTGCTGCTCCATGGAACCTTGTTTGGCCGTACACTCAACAGCAGAAGGGTGTCACTACTGAGGAAGTTCGTGAAATAGTGGTCGAGGAACACAAGGGCCCTTGGCACCATGTCTGGCCCTACACGCGCTCCCACGAGGAGTACGACGAGGAAGGCGATCACTTCGAAGAGCCTCTGCAATCTGCTGCTTCCAGTCACACGTGGCCATACGATAATGATGCTGGCGACGTCCCCGTCATCTCCTTACACGCCAACGCTCATGTTCGACTCTTCAACCACCCATACTCTCCGCCCGCCGAAGCCTTCTCCGAAAGATCGCATTTGGCTTCCATTCGTGATGCAGCGTATCCCTACTTCCTCCTCTGTGAGTCTTTTACGCGTTCTACTTAGAACAGGTACTGATTAGATTTCAGACCCAGCCGTCTATCCTCACTTTGACCTTTACCCGACCGTCTCTGCTTCTCGTCTTGCGTTGGCTCCTGTGCGGACATCCCCTGCTGTTCTACTTGGACCTTCGAAACCATATCCTTTCTGCCTCTACGAGATCTACCCACCCATCGCGGTTAAGCCAAGTAGATTCCCTGGAGGAGGCAGCAAACCCTATCCCACAAACCTATATGCCATCTACCCACCTGTAGCCAGAGTTGCATCGGGCAGCCATGGTGTCTCGAAACCCTACCCCACAAACCTCAGCGACATCTACCCTCCCGTCGCCAAAGCCGCATCGCGCAGAGCTGTTGTCCCGAAACCTTACCCTATGAACCTTTATGAGATCTATCCGGATATCAGCCTCTATTTTGGTAGCGGACAGCCGTATCCTACGAATCTCAATCACATCTACACCCCGGTTTCACTTGGTTCCAAGCAGTCCTCACATCGACAATCAAAACCGTATCCCATGAACTTATACGAGATCTATCCAACAGACGACCTGTACCCTGGATGCCACAAACCATACCCGGTGAATCTAGAGGACATATACGCCTCGATTCCACGTTCGATACGTAAAGAGGCTTCTTCGAAGTCCAAGGCCTCAAGGCCTTATCCTTCGAATCTCCATGAGATCTACTCATCGTTGGACCTTTATCCCGGATATTGGAGACCTTACCCTGCCAACCTAGATGAGGTTTATCGCTCGCTAACGCATGATGTCCTTCCTACGTCTCTCCCCCCCATCTCGTACTCGGCGACTTATCCTTCTAATCTCTACCAGATCTATCCTTCACAGGACTTGTATCATGGATGTTGGAAAGCGTATCCCGCCAATCTGACCGAGATATATCGTCCACTCACGGGGCTCGTTCTGCCCCCCCGGAAGTTCCAGGGAGCCATCGTGTGGTCGGGACCCTACCCCACAAATCTCAGTCAGATCTACCCTTCCAATGATCTATATCCCGGCATTTGGAAACCGTACCCCGCAAATCTCGCTGACATCTACCGTGCATCGGCTGGTCATGTCATAGTGCCTACTTCTCAATCCAGTACCTCTGCCCGTGGTTCGGCGCCATATCCCACGAATCTTTACCAAATCTACCCTTCATCAAACTTGTATTTCGGGTGTTGGATGCCGTATCCATTGAATCTAGGGCATATTTATCGTTCGTTCGCGACTGCCACCAGGCCTAAGTCTACCATCGGTATCGTTGGAAGCTCAAAGCCATATCCCGCAAACTTAGATGATATCTATCCTGCTATCCCTATTGCCCCTCCTGTCGGTCCAAAGGCATATCCTTTCAATCTGGACGAAATTTACCCTCCGGTAATTCCTTCGAGATCAGCTAGCCGAATTGCTTTTGCTGGGAAGAGCAAACCGTATCCATTTAACTTAGATGAGATCTACCCTTCTGTCGTTACCGCTAGTATTCGTGAGTACCTCTTACACACTTGGCGCACCCTTTACTTATATATACCCTAGGTTCAACAACTCCCCCCGTCGTCAATCGACTCCAGTCGGCCGCGCTAACAGTCGGACGCTATGAAGTTCGCTATCCGGTTTTCAACCTCTGTGAGTATCACTACGCTTTGCCTCTGCTTTCACCCTCTTATGAAGTATCCTCCTCTTCAGACCCAGCTGTGTATCCTCGGTTTGATCTATATCCCTCTTTCTTCATGGAGGTTCCCATACCAGGCCGTGCGGGAACGACGAGTTCGTTGGCCAATGTTTATCCATATTTCAACCTGTGTAAGCGCCCGTCCCGACTTCCAATTTCGACATTGGTTGACCATTTTTAGACCGTCCTATTTATCCCTACCTCGAGATATATCCCGCAGCTTACGAGGGGAAACTGCAACCTCTTCCTCCAACTCGTGTTCCCAAGTTCCAGGTGCACACTACCCTGCGTCACGCTTTGCGTCCACCCTCGGTTGTGATCCAACCGCCCACCCCTCAACACTCGTCTGAGGACTTCGCTGCTTCGCCGACTCCATCTTTACCGAATCCCCATGGCCGACATCTCCAGCTGACACATTCAGAGCTACATGCGATTGTCATGATGGAGTCCCGATCTAAGTCAATATTCGAAGACGATGATGAAAGTCCCGTTTCCCCTCCTCCGCAACCGAGGGTCGTTATGAGGGAGCCCCCGCCAGTACCATCTCTCCGCCGACCGTCACCATCACGTAGATCGAGTATCTCGCAGGCTCCTCCGCCGTTGGTCAGCGTTAGCAATGTCGAGACGACAAGGCAGACATCACCGTATCGAAACTCTGTGACCGCGCTCGCGCAAAAGTATTCCTCTAATACCTCGTCCACGAGCCAAAGCGGGTCGCCCCTGAGGCGATCTGTTTCTGCTGCCACTCCGAGGTCGCAAGTGTCACCTGGATTAATAAGAACGCGGTCGATTGGGCTGCCTTCTCATCCAGCGGCACACAAGAGGGAAATGAGTCCGATCGAGGGACCTGCTTCTCCTCCTTCGCGGCTTCCTAAACGCAGGGATAGTCTAGTCCTGCAGCGAGTGCGGGCGTACAGTTGTACGTATCTCACTTATCTAGCTGATTCGAAGTCCTGATCCCTTCTCTAGCGCAAGGGGAGAAAGAATGCTTCCTGAATATGGATACTATCAGTGAATTCCCTCTTCCGCCCCGACCACCAACTTTTCCCGGAGGCGGGAGGCCGGTGAGATAGATGTGAGAGTAGACACCCTTTCCCCTTCCTTCCCGCGGATTACCTAGGCACCTTGCAGAGTCGCGTTGATTCTTCTTGTAGATTTGTTGCCTCTGCTGTTCATGAACTTCATATATGTATGTACTCCTAATATACAACTGCTCATCGATGGCTGTCATATGGCGGTGGTTGCAGGTCATCATCATCAGACGGTGTTGAGGATGCCGCCCGCATCGCTGACACAGGGCCATCAGAACCATCCGTACTAGCAGCTTGTGCTTTGGCGGCAGCGACAGCAGCAGCATGGGCTTCGCGAAGCTGCCTATCCCTCTCGTCGGCCATAATCTTCGTTTTGCGGTCGTCCATATACGCCAATTTCACCTGGAAAGGTCAGGACCCTGACACAACATAAAGGTGGGTGCAACTCGGTTACTTACCTTGAGTACCGCTGCTTCAGTCGCCTCTTTCTCTTCCTGCTTAGCACGGCTTGCACGCTCGTCTTTCTCGGATTGACGATCTAGCGCCTCCTTCAGGATGGCAGCGCCAATCTGTAGATCATGCAGCTTTCGTGGGTTGAAGACGTAATACGGCTGAAAGTTCTTGACTTCTGCCCGGAAGCCCATCTTGATAATCTTAAGAACACTGTACCCTTGGAACCGGAGTGAATGCATAGCTCACTGCGATGGCATACTCCAGTGTACCCTTCGGGTCGACAAGTCGTTGCTTGATTATCGAATTCGTGGGCTTGAACTGCTGATATTGTGGATTGTCTGGTTCACGCAACAAGTTCTCTGCAAGTGTAGATAGTATCTATACGGAGATGATGAAGCAAGCTGCCATTGAGTCCCAGTAGAGGTCGAAGTAAGCTCAGGATGTACTTTGATTGCAGCCGTGTACACTTCTCTCGAGTTGCGTTCGAATATTCCAGGGTTTATGAGTCGCCGGAATGCTTGCCGCTTCTCGTGCTCCTCCGCCAACTGAGCTGCTGTCGGACCCGCTGCAGGGTGCTCCTGGTGTCTTCGTTCAGCCGCAGCTGCAAGAGCCTGAGCTACAGGAGAGATGGTACGAGGAGCTGATGTCTCGGGGGATCCAGTTCTGGGGGAGCTAGGAGTCGACATCCTGAGTTGGGCTCAATGCGGGCTCAAATTCAAATTCCAAGTCCACGCAGCAGCAGTGACTCAATGGGAGGGACGCGTTCCGACAGTCACGAGCGCTACTGCTCAAGCTAAATTAGTCACGTGGCGTCACGGCGCCACAAGGGGGCCAAGCTTCAGGTTAGTTTGCTTCCGTCATTCGCAGTTCTGTATCATGCTACCACGATGAGACGTCGACAAGGCTCAATTTCACAAGATTCTCGACAGTGGAGACGAGTTCCCGACATTGAAACGGACTATGTGAACGAAGCGTAGGTACCGAGTATCGTCGATATCGTATGAGGTGGAACTAACGTCGAACAACAATACCAGTCATATTCAGACATTCGCAGCTGCTCTCAATAGCCCGGACGATATTTGGGATGCGTCAGTACCGGGGACGCCTACCCCTCAGGCTCAATCCAGAGTGCGAAAGGTTTCTGCGCTCTCGGACTTTGCGCCTATAAACATCAGGATCAGGAAGTGCGTGGGTATCCTCGTTCAAGGGTCTCGCAGTATTCGATAATGGACATGTACATTTAGGAGAAAGCGACGAGATAGAGTCCACGGAAAGCGGCAGGATTGGCTGTTCCTACTGCTTCGGTGGCCCCTTCTGGTATGTCGGCCGTCGTTCTGTGTACTCACTCGCCAACATTGTGTTTGTTAGTTCTTCATATTCTTATTCATCGCCGGGGAGTTCAGCTTGTACGTGCTTATCCGTCAACTTGTGAATACAAAGGAGTGGATATCTGCATGTGGGCCTGAACCAAGTTCGCCTACATTATCAATGATATATCTATATTGTAGGGCGGGGGAAGAAGGGGGCAATGCGGAAACGACTACGGGCGTCGAGTAGCTACGAGGTATGGTTATACGCACACACCCCACCGTCACCTCTCACCTTGTGGCTAGGAATGGATAGCTGGTGCAAAAACGTTGGATGAATACTTAAAATTCGACGACTGGAAGAAGGTGGATGAAGATCCTTACTATGACTGGAAACTTGTCCGCAAGGTACTTTAATCCAGCCTCACTAATCATTTACGACGGTACTTAGTTGTATCCTAGGTCAAACGTTCCTTGGCCCATCTGCGAGAGAAGAACGACGTTCGTGGGGTTCTCGGCGTCCTAGAAACCTGCATACGGGATAACTTTGGCGGAGTAGAATCAACTAGAATATACAGTGAAGTGCGCAACTCTTCTCGTGCATAGTGCTGCTCGATTCATATCTGTGTAGACGTTCTACGGAACGAAGTACCTCGTCGAAGGTACGCTAGGAACCCACGTTCTTGGCTCTGCTAATTATTTGCACTCAGGCTATTTCGACGAGCTACAATCAGCACTTACGTACATCAGGGAGTCCCCCGAGCTTTCGTTGGACGAGAAGCGACGGTTCTTCAAGAGTGCTAATGCTAATCTAGGTTCGTTCATTCGGAGCATATATTCATAACATATTCATCACCCATTCATAGGCATTTCTGCCCTATGCCTGTCAGGGGGTGCATCATTTGGTTACTGTGAGTAGTACGATGGATCTAGCTGCATCGGACCTGATCGTCTTCGAGATCACGTCGGTGTGGTCAAAGCCTTCCTAGACGCAGACTTGCTTCCACGTGTCATCACTGGAACTAGCGCAGGAGGCCTTATTGCCGCCCTAGTGTGCACAAGAACCAATGAAGAACTGAAGAATTTGTTGGTCCCAGAACTCGCCAACAGGATCACGGCTTGCGAGGAACCATTCCCCGTTTGGTTCAAGCGCTTTTGGACGACTGGGGCGCGCTTCGACAGTATCATGTAATTACTTTACTGCTATGCCTTCTTTCACGTCATCTCGCTGACTGGTATGCTTAGATGGGCTCGGAAGGTTGGTCTGCTCTCTGTTGTGTATACCAGTGCATGCTAAGCTATGCCACAGGCCACCTTCTTCACAATGGGTTCCATGACCTTCAAGGAGGCGTACCTCCGAACTGGCCGAATTCTTAACATATCAGTTATCCCGGCCGATCGTCACTCGTAAGCCCCACCAATCTAGCCAATATCTATCTCTGTTACTCACCGTGTACGACCAGGCCTACCAAACTTCTCAACTATATCACCGCACCCGACACACTCATTTGGACCGCTCTGCTGGCTTCCGCCGCGGTGCCCGGCATTCTCAACCCAGTCGTTTTATTGCACAAGCTTGCTGACGGTACTGTCGCACCCTGGAGCTGGGGCAGTAAATTCAAGGATGGCTCTCTGAGGTAACCCGCCCCGTTTCTCACCATTTGACCATCATTGACGGGCATGTAGAGTCGACATTCCATTGCAATCACTGAATCTGTACTTCAATGGTAAACATAAGTTCCTCGCTTCCTCGGTGGTCTCAAACACCCGTTGCAGTCACACATCCTGTCGTTTCGCAAGTTAATCCGCATGTACATCTGTTCTTTTTCGCCCCTCGTGGATCGGCTGGAAAGCCTGTGGCTCACCGCAAAGGCAAAGGTACCTACCTAATTGCAGTTTACAGTCCTCATCTCTGATGGTTTTCTAAGGTTGGCGAGGCAACTTCATACTTTCTGCAGCCGAACAATGGCTCAAACATGAACTAACCAAGAACTTCAAAGTAAGTTAGTCACCCCTTCCGCCTTCGATATGCTAACAACCGGCATATGTTTACGTAGGTCATACGAGATCTTGAGTTGTTGCCTCAGCTCCTGGGACAAGATTGGTCTAGTGTATTCTTGCAACGTTTCGACGGTTCTGTCACGTAGGTTTTCAATCCCAATATTAGGGCCTTCCATTGACTCTCGTGGTTGATCGTTTAAGGATCTGGCCTCGAACTAGGCTATGGGTACGTGGTGTCAACGGGTCCGTTTCCATCGCTTAATACCTAATCCAAAGGACTGGTTTCGCCTTCTGACTGATCCTGATCCTCCTGAACTCGAGAGAATGATACATGTGGGAGAGTTGGTCACCTGGCCGAAGGTGGATAGATCCTTGCTGTGCTGCATTTATCTGGTGCTGATTACTGATTATTATAGCTCCACATGATAGCGAATAGGGCGAAAATCGAGAAGGAGATATACCTTGGGCGCAAAGCAGTGCGAACAACAATCCAAGGTGGCCGACCTTCTGTTCGAACAGATAGGCCACTACGAGCGGTGGACCCAGAGATTGGCCCTCCTCCTGCATCCACCACGCCACCTCCAACGGGTTCTGATGTCCCTCTCTCAGTAGACACAGACACGGAGGCTGCCTTTGCCAATGGCTCTAGATGGTTCTTTCAACGAGGCCATCATACCGCATCCCCCAATTCTGGGACTAGTACTCCGCGGGGTGATTCGAAGGCGACGAATATCCCCGACCCACTGCGATTGCCCGTTATTCGCAGAAAGTGGGCTTCTGATCTCTTACAGTCGCGATCGAATGGACATGATCATGAAGGACGGGGAACCGATAACTCGGAGCGCGAACCATCAGACTCAAGGCCTTCTACAACCGAAACCCCACCATCACCCAGTTTCTTCTCCAGACTGCGAGCAACATCGTTCACCAAGATGGCGGCCACTCTGCCGCACCGCTTCCGCAGCTCCCCTAACTTGTTATCTGCGGACGCTCAGTCAGAGCCGAATTGGAGTAGTGACAGCTCGTCTGAGTTGGACCTTGCCGGGTCCCCTGGGGATCGCCGACACTTCTTGCGCAGCACAATTGGAAACCACGAATTTGATGAAGGGGATTCTGATGGAGACGACTCATGAGGGCTGCGTTACCCATCGGACGTTCATCTTCTGCGTTCATCCTGTTCTTTGTATAGCACCTGTGCCTTTCCCTTTACTTTACCTAGTTTATAAATAGCTCTTTGAGCTATAATTATCCTTCTATTCGCTAATTCCACGGCATGTGCGTGGTGGCACTGGACAGGACCCCCGACATTCCCTACCCCGGAACGCCGGTTGGTAGGTGAATGTGGGCAAAGGTGAGTCCATGATGTTTATGTTTAGACTACTGACATGGTGTAGATTGTCCTGGAATTCAGTGATGTAGGCTAATAGGTCATTCAGGCTAGTACACATTATTCCAAATTTAAATTCATCGATATCACAACCAGAGAATGATCCTTTCGGGCTAAATCTCATCCATAGATCGGTGGTGGCATTGCCAAACGGCTCGAACAGTCTCCGAGATGGCGTCAGGGACTGTCAATGGGGCGCCGCCAACCTTCCTTGCGCAACCGGTGTCATGTATTAGCTGGGATTAGGTGAGATTGTTGGGGGTCCTGGTGACGACCACACTATAAAAAGGAGAAGTTCAAGCTGCACATTTCGCAACACTCCTTCTCTCTCAACTTCAATACTACTACTACTTTCTCTATATCATTACAATGGGTTGGTTCAACGACGACTCCGATGAAGCCCAGGCCTACAACCAGGTTTGCGTCTACCCGATGAATATTCAGATCGCGTCCTGATGTCGATACCTTAGGTGGTCAATGCTCCTCACAAGGCAGAGCTCTCCCATGAACTCATTGCTGCCGCTGCATCGTACGAGGTACGTGTCGCAGGCCGTGGCTCCAGATAAAATCTGACACAAGACTCGCTTGACAGGCCGCCAAGGCGTACGAAAACCATGTAAAGAAGAACAGAGTCTCATCGTATGTCAAGTGCTGGATTGGCGGGCGCCTTTATTGACCGCATCGTTGAAACCAAAGGCGTAGGTAATAGTGATTGAGCATCTAGAAGAAAACTGACGCCACAGTATAGTTGGATTTCCTTGACCAAGAGAAGGCTAAGCGACAAGGTGAGTGAGACTGACTTTGCGCTGAAGCGCCTGCTGCTGAATCGGAGTGCTCTCTACAGCTCGCGACCAGGTCCATGAATCTTACGACAGGAACAACTAAGCCCTAAGCAGTCGATGTAACAATGGTAGTTTGTAGTCCGTAGTCCAAGTGGAAATTCCAAGCGCTAAGTACTAAGGCCTAAGGTCCTACCCCTGAAAGCGTGCGACTAAAGGCAGGGTGAGCGCTCCGAGCCACTTACTTCCTCCTTCACATAACCGACCATGCGAGCTCTACTTCTGCTTCTCTTCGCAACGCAAGTACTTGCCGCACCACTCTCTTTATCCGCATACCCATCTGGCCCTGCATGTCTGGCTGTTCTTCTTACTATCACTGTCGCCATGACTACTCTGTTTTCCTTGAAGTTGTTATTTATGAGACACCGTCGTCTTACTAAGGCTTTGCCTTCATGGTCCTCCTCGCCAAATGCTTCTACAAAGTTCGACGCGTCGTACAGCACAGGATCTCAATATCAATCAGCGTGGTCACTGCCTTCGAAAACCCCGCCCGACACCCGCAACGGCGGCATCTGGGTTGGTTTCTTTGGCTCCCCGCGATCAGAAACGCGTTTCGACATTCAGGCAAACAGCTACCAAGGACAGAGCCTCTACTACGTGCGGGAATACTCGAAGCATTCTAGGCGTTCCCGGAACTCCAGTACTATCAGCAGAGGTTCCATGGTCAGCATTGGGAAGTCGGGCCTACCTGTGTCGACCGTCGTCGAAAGTCGAGCTTTGTACAATCTTCGAGACGGGACAAAACATGGCCGACCGCGATCTCTTCGACTACCCTCATATCCGACTAAGGCCTACACGAAAACGCCCAAACCACGCCGATTCTCTGCTCCAGCCGACTCTCGTTCTTCATCACAGGCAGATTCTCTCAGGAAGAGGCGGCACACCAGCTTGAAAAGCGTTCGAAGCCGCCGATCTGATATATCTGGTCTAAATCTCGGTAATTCCTCTTTACGGCTCGTCCACCCCCACTTCCACGCAGAGCCACCACTGCCATTGCCTCCCGGAGCAAGACGTACTCCGAATCTCCCTCCTTCACCCGCGCTCCCAATTTCTGGACCTTTCTTTGCTCTACAACACCGGTTCCCAATCTCACCGAGGTCAAAAAAGCAGCCGGCGCTCCCGGTTAATTCTCCCATCGAAGGGTTGCCTCAGACTGTCCAGATATCCCATCCGTACGCCCTCATGCCCGTCAAGCCAGGAAACCTAAGGCGACTATCCAAGATACCTCAAATACCTTTGGATATGACGTGCCCCGATTTCAGCCCCTTTTCTTCTCCTGCGACTTTCGGCACACATCACTCCCCGTCTCCGGCTCAAGCGACATATGGCGCGGTACACGGATTGCCACCAATTCCTCCTCACTCCACCCCCGGCGTTCCGATGTTTCCCTATCCCATACCGCCAGCTCCAGGAGTTAGTATCCCTCTTCAGAAACCTAGATCTATAACGCCGAGGGTACGAAAAAGCCCCGTTGTTGGACCATCACCCTTGCGAGTCATGACCTTGCCCGAGGCCCCATCCTCAGATTCCGTTGGCGCCAATAAATGCCCCGATGGACGCCTCAAACCGTCCCAAGAACAGAGATCCGGGGAAGACAGCTCCATCCGTCCTTTATCGTCGTTCAAGGATGCTGACGAGGATGAGGCCGCGTTGCTGGGAATCATTCAGGAACTCATAGAGGAAACCAGCGACTGGGATCCCGACCTGTTCATGGACGCAGGGTTTAAAACACTTCTTCACGATACTTCCCTCAAAGCGAGTTCCGTTAGTTTGCGTGTGTTCGAGGAAGGGAATGTCAGTCATGATAGTAGCAGCGGTCCCGAGCCCTCGAGCGGGTCTTCGAACCATTCGGGATCCGATGAGATGGACCTTGGACTCTTGGGGATTGAATTCTCTCCGACACGGAAAACCAAAGCCACCCCTCCACGAGCTAAACCTGTGGCTAGTAGCGACACTCATTCCAATAGCCTTAGGGAGGATGATCTTGTCTCGTTCTGGGACGAAAAGGGCTGGGAGAAATCCTTTGCACCACAGTGAGTTTTGATCATTTCCACCTTAAAGAGCTTACGATGGCGAGCAGAAACTACAGCGTGGATAGGGTCGGCTTGGCTGTTTAATTCAGTATTCAATATTCAGCATTCAGCAGTTCGAACGTTTATACCTCTCTCTGGATTGTATTTTGATTGTATTTGTATTCGTCCGTATCTCGTTATGTGTAACATTCTATTGTATCGTCATATCTCGCCTTGGGTACATCCTACCTGACACTCGTTTATATGTCTCCGCTTTATCCTACACTCCGGCTACAACACTCTGAGTCAAATACTGGGCAAGCACTGGGCGACCGAGGCGAGAGGACTGGTCTGTAATGTCTCCAACGTAAGGTGTAGCCGTGATTATTCTTTCGTGTCGTGCCTTCGCCACATTCGGCCACGAAGAAGGATCGCAACATCATTCGTAGCCGACCCCAACGCCTTGCTCTGCGTCAGCAGTCGTAATTACATGACACCCACCCTAATACTCTGACTTATGTGACTCATTTTGATGACTGAGCGCGATCATAGAAAGGCATTATGACCGTTCAGAACCCCCGGTCATAATCGTGGGTGTGCCAATCGTGAGAAGCAGTATACGCCTACTTGAATGAGGAGGTACAATATCGCCGGACGACGAGGATTCGAACGTCGCTCAAAGAAGGGAGAATTTTTCTATGCGTCCTTGTGGTGCACAGTCTAGAAGCCTTCGTAGGATCGCGAATGGGCAAATGTAAGCAGCAAGGAAATATGAAGCCCATGGATGAAACGGCCCGTTGGCATCCCCCAGCGCTTAGCGTCTACTCGGGAGTATTCTCGTTCTCACAGTCAATAGCAGTTGAAACTCCGAAAGCTTTATGGTGACCTTTTCGCGCTCCGAAACTTACCAACTTACATCCAATGATCCATCTTACATATTGAGTGGTTTACGAGTTCAAGATTTGGCCACTCTGCTTGCGAATTTGGCGTGCACCGGACCCGCGAATTCGATCTCTTGTACGCAACGCGCACGCGTGACCCCTCGAGAGGAAACCTGCCATGAGGGTCGTCCCGGACTCAGAAGGCCAACGGAGAATTCGAAGATTCCCACCAGAAGTCGTTAAATACGACATCTGGTAGAGCTGCTGGAATAATTCGCTTCATTATGACTTGGGCGCAGGCCTTCGCGCTACTCCTCTTTGCTGCCGCGCTCGTTGGTCGGACATGGGGGGCAGCGACTGCAGGTGACATAGTCAACTTGGGTTATGCACGTTACCTTGGGAATCGAACCTTTCCCAACACCAACGCATTTCTTGGAATACCATATGCCGAACCTCCGCTGGGTGAGCGACGCTTCAGGGCGCCGTTGCCTTTGAATACTGCTCGTGTTCGCAAAGAATCGCGTGGGCTAGCGATAGATGCAACAAAATACCCCGAACCTTGCGTGCAAGGAACTACGGGAGGTACGCAAGCCACTCATAATACTTGGGCAATTGTATTGACATCGATCATAGGCGGCGATGCCGGTGGCGCTGGCAGCGAGGATTGCTTGAAGGTCAATATTTATGCCCCCGTTGGTGCTAAGCGAGGCAGTAAACGTAAGGATGCGTTTGTACACGCCACAACAAGTTTACTCATGCAGTGTATTAGTACCTGTGTTATTCTACATCCATGGAGGAGGTATGCGAGATCCCATTCGAATGAACGAGATGTCAACAACGGATACTTAGGCTATGTCTTCGGGAATCCTCGCAATTGGCCTTTCGATCATTGGATTCGCCAGAGTCCAAATGTGGTCATCGTCTCTGTGTACTACAGACTCGACTCTTTCGGCTTTCTGGCCACTCCAGAATTTCGAAACCCAGTCTTCGGCGATTTCAATGCTGGATTCAAGGACCAAATCCAAGCTTTGGCCTGGGTAAAAACACATATCGATGCCTTTGGCGGCGACCCAACTAAAGTCACGATCAATGGCGAAAGCGCGGGCGGTTCCTCCGTTGAATTGCACTTGGTTGCTAATGTACAACGGCAGCTATTTTCTGGCGCGATTGCACAGAGTGTATATCGAACCCCTTTGGTCACGCCGGAGCAGCAGAGGGTAAGACCGTCGTCTTTCTCTTAAAGGAGTGCCCCTGACCCTCTCCCAGCCCTTATTTGAATTCTACTCATCGCAGGCTGGTTGTGGTGTAGGTAAAATAGCCCAGCGTTTATCCTGCCTCCGCACAGCGAGTATCAGCGCCCTTGCCCGAGCGCAAGACGCAAGTGGGACAAGTGCTTTGTAAGTTCACTTTCGAGAGTAATGATACAACATTAACAAAATGCCAGTTCTGGTCCATTCAATGGCTTCCATCCTGTGCTGGACGGGAAATTGTTCACAGACCTACCGACGAAGTCTATAATCGCTGGTAGATTTCATAGAGTGCCTCTGATAGTAGGGTGAGCTTGGTATCGTGTATCTGTCCGTTCATTGATCATAATCTTGTGACAGAGCAACCTCCAACGAAACGCTTTCTGGCAGTGCTGACTTTCGCACAACTCTACCCGTTTTCTTCCCACTTCTCGACAATAAAGACCTTGATCAGTATGCCAAGGTGTACCCAGAGTCCGATTTCTCAAACGTCACCCAGAGGAACGAAGTGATAACCGGTGAATCCGAGTTGATATGTGCTGTAAGTCAAGGTAGCTGAGTTACTTGGTCTTTTTCTAACTTGTAAGCAGAGGACGATCATGGGCAGCGCGTTTTCTGAGCGAGTCAACGCCTGGACATATCGGTATAATCAGAGGAATCCGACAAGCGGAGGGGTGGGAGTTGGGCATGCGGCCGAAAACTGGATGATGTTTTTGGGTACGAACACAGGGTCAGACTCACTCTACCTTCATCTTTCCAGCATCGTGACACTTACATATTTTTTCCTGGCGCAGATTCAACGGAACCACGACGTTCACCAAGATGTCGCCTATCGAAACTTCGTTCGCCGAAGAACTCATCGCGTATTGGCTTTCCTTCGTACGCGCAGGGAACCCTAACACGTTCAAATTGGCTCGTTCACCTACGTGGCCCCAATACTCGAAGAAACAGCGTAACCGAATCTCGCTACAGCAAGCGGCGGGCAGCACCACGATAAGCGGAAGTACTATAGAGCTTGAAAGCACGAAGGAAACAGAACGGTGTGCTTTCGTAGCCGGAAAGGTCGAGCATCAGCAGAATTGATCCACCATAGCATGCAGTGCAAAATAAAATCAGAAAATGTACTACCAAGCAGGAACATAGGTGACTAAATAACAAATAACTTCCGATGGATATCCACCAGGAACGCATTCTGTCAGATTGTTGCAGGTAAATGGCATCAATTCAATGGGTCGCTCGTTATTAACGCTTGTCAATAATGCGATTCCGGTTATCAAAAGGCGTTAATTATATGAATTATGTTATTCACGGTTGTGGATAACCCACTGCTCGTTGATAAGTAACGGTTGTTAATGATGCTATTTCTGACAACAACAAAGGTTAATAACACAATGTCTATTAATAACGATGCATTGAATTGTCTTCCTAACATCCGATGATATTCATGTTGATAATAAGCGTCGATGCCTTGTTAGGAACAGATAATGGTATTCACGAGCTCTCTTGTATTCAAAAAGCGGTGTCCTCATTACAATACATCTACATTCTATTCAGTTGTCTGATACACGCTTCTTCTAAGCTCTACACTTAGCACATAAACATCAATTAGCTTGAATACATAAATTATTGCGGTTTGTTCATCCACCGCTTGAGATGTGCGTGCCCGGTCCTTGCGACAGCCTTCCGCAAATCGTCGAATTCCACTGTACAGCGATACTTGATGAACTCCTTCGAGACGACGGCTGTTGCAGGCATGACGCATACGAAAATACGAGAGGCGATGAATTCTTCGAAGGCCTAATGTGCAGAAGATAATGGTGAGTACGACCGTCGAACGGCGAGCAATCCACTACTACGCACTCCCATCATGACTGGTCGTGGACAGCGAACCATGCCAATGCTCCCGCCGTTGACTTGTACAGGAGCAGCTGTCGATGCGCGCACTTGTCGAATAAATCTTTCGTACAACATCTCAAAAGTGAAGGTATCGTGTCCAGCCGTTCGAGAATGCATGCAAGCAATCAGGAGGCAAAGCGACGGATATGGTAAAGCTACAGGCAGGAAGATATAAATCAAGTCGTGGGGTAGGAGATTGGACGTACCGTGCAGCTCTCCGTGTTGTAGACGGAGCCGTTGTGCGGATATGACTGCCGACAGATGCGATGCTGAAGGATAAGGTGAAGCTTCGGTCAATTGAAGAACAAGGCCCATCTATCCCGCGACGGGTCAGCTTGAACGACGGGGTAAGGATATGCACACACAAGAAGATGTCTCAGTAGTCTAATGTCCTTGCTAACAGCGAACACCTCGCGAAGTAAAGACGCCACAGCATCGTCTGCAATGAAAGTCTCGATGTTGGCTTTCCACGAGCTCTGCCAGGTCTCGACGTGTTCTTCGTTGTCTTCGTTGCCAGACAAAGGTGTGCTGAGAACTTCTTGAACGAGACCCGTCCATGCGTTCAAAACCCGAGGATGGGCGGTTCGTAAGGTTCGCCCCGAAAAGCGACTTTTAACACGCTTCTCCAAAAGATTCGTCGTGTCCAACCGTGATGTTATGCCAATGACAGCTAGGGCGCTACGGCCTGAGCCCGCGCGACAATTCTGTACTGTGTCGAGTAGGCAGTATAAGAGCGCCTGGCGTGGATGGAGAGCGAAGAGGTCAAACGAGTCGAGGATAACGATGGTGGGCCTTGAAAGAGTGGGCAGTGTGGATATTAGAGCTGGAAGATGCGAAGGTGGTGGAAGTAGGAGTCGATTTTGCTCTGTCTCTATCGTATCAAGGAAAGGACTATCTTCCCCAGCTGCATCGGGATCATTTTCATCGATGTTGTATGCAGTTCCTGTCTGTTGAAACAGTTGATGTGCGATTTCCCGCATAGCCAGCCTGTCGTTATATTCTGTCCAGCCGGACAGGCGAATTATGATGGGTTTCTGCGGCACATTGGCTATGCATCGCTCGACAATCTGGGTGGGCATCGTGAGACAAGAACAACATCAAAAGGATGTATACTTACACGACTCTTCCCGCTACCACGAGGACCTAACAGCAAACAACTATTTCCTTCCCCTCTCGTAACAGTTGCTTTTAGCAGGTCATCTAGTTGTTGCATGACAGTCTCATTCCGAGGCTGTTCCTCGTCTTCATCCCCTTCGTCCGCTCTTGTATCTGGCAAAGATTGAAGTGCGCGGAGGATTGCACGTTTCTGCATGTTTAAACACGGTCTGACATAACGAGCATTTGACGCTGCAGGATTTATTGCCCACATGTTCATCTTCGGCGATGTTAGATGAGGGCTTTTCTCGGGTGTCTGGCTACGCTCGGACTGTTGAACGCTCGGCAGACGAGATGAAGAGTCTGGGGTCTCAGACAGGTTACGCGAGCTACGGCTCGGGTAGATACGAGGTGCTCGTTTTGAAGGAGTTATAATCTCGACGGATTCCATGACTCGCCTAGACGAAGGTGTGCCCGTGCGTGTCACCCTCGCGTTTCTCGATGGTCTTGAGGGCGAAAGCATAAGTTCATCCTCCGAGCCGCTTTCGCTGTCGATAGAATTTTCATGTGGTATTTCGCGCGACCCTTCGTCGCCTTCCAGTATATCAGCTTCGTTCTCCCTCTGTGTTTGAGCCAAGACTGTTCGCGTTCTTCCGGACCCGTACGTTCTAATCACTTTAGTAGGAGTCGCCGGGAGTGAGTCCAGAGGTTCCACAACGGCGCCACTGGATCGTGTTCTTCGCTTCAAATTTGGCGCCTCTAGCGTGCTAGCCTTTCGTTTGACGGCCATGGGAGCTGTGTGTGGTGTGTGGAAGAAGTGTAAGTGCAGTGACCGTCAAGACCGTGACTGTGCACGACGGATCACATCACGGGGTCGTGACTGTATCACAGACGGGAGGGCCGGAGTCCTTGTTACACTATAACCCCACGACCTTCAATGGGTTTTACAGGGTAATCCGACTTGCTCCCGTTCGATGAACTACAATAACCACACGCAACCATCCATTTAGGCTTGCGAGATGGGTGAATGCGCCAGTCCATGGCAGTCTGAGTATCATTTCCAACAACATCCTAGAAAACTACAATGTGAGTCCCGTAACTTCATGGCCAATATCTTATTTCTCATTTACTTCAAGGGAAAAATTGTTGGCAACTGGAACATCACTATTAAAGCATTCCGCCTCCCTATGCCCCCATTTCGTGACATGCCGGTGCCGGATCGAATTATGTGCACCCTCCAAATGAACGACTCCGTCTTCGTTCTCGTTGAAGATAGTGTCTCACCTGAGCGCGCCATGGTCGTCGATCCCGCTAACTCAGGCGACAGTTTCTTACAGAGTTGCACGCACTATCGCACAACACTAGTAACTGTAAGACCTCCGATGGCACTTGAGCAACTCATCTCGCAGCTCAAGTCTCGGTGGGTTGCAGCCAGGCAATCGACATCAGGCGGCGCCCAAAGGAATCAAGCAATGTCAAGTCAACAATTGACGATAGAAGGCATGGTGTTTGCAATAGGGACAGACTGGTTGGTGAGAGTTGGCAATGTGATGCTGTCGACGCGAGAGATGAAGGGATTAATCATAGAGGTATGTTTCCAATCACACCTATCCCCCACTGCGACCACATCACCATTTGATTTCAAGGCTGAATATCTACCCGTTGGCCGTTTACATTCACCGACCGTAGACGGGACATCTGAGTTGCTCTCGAATATGTTGACCGCACTCTTGCCCCCACGGCCAGACGCCAAAACGCTTGCAGTAACTAGTAACGACAGTCAATGGGCCGGTGTCCTTTCTGTGCGCGAAGACGACGAAGCAGCGAGACAGCAACCACCGAAAGAAAGTGATGTTCCCGTCGAGGACGAGGACGATATTTACGCTTACGGCGACGACCCCCCTCCTCCTACCAAAGGGGACTGGTTCGGCATTGACAGAGACCGTCGATCAGCTTACCTGGTTATGGGCGGATTGCGTTCGGAAGGACTACTATAATTCCATGGTATCATATAGATTTCACGAGCTGCAGCAGTACATTTGATTACTTTCTTATCATGTTCGGCTCGCAATTACATGAGACCGATGGTTAGAGTGCAGCACGCACGAGCATCCTTACATGAATTGGCCAGGGAGTTGCACCGTGCATAATGACACGAGTCACCTCCAACCTGGCCAAGGTGATCCCGGACTCAAGCTCAAACTACGTCCATGTTCAATTCCCCGCTTCGACGGTGTCGCCCGCGTGCCCAAAGGCATCTCAGTCCACTTTACAACGATTTCTCCAATGAGTGCAAGCGACGCTGCCTATCTACCGGAGTCAACTTTTACCAGAATCGCCAACTCGAGCTCTATGCCTCCAAGGAAGCCAAAAGGCTCACACTACGCCAATTGGTACTGCTTTGGTCTGGGACACGTCGCCCGTAATGCTCAATAGAGGCCCAGGTCTTTTTTGGGCGATCCATGGATGAGGACCGGTTGATCAAGGTGTGTGCGCAAACCCCTTAAGTTCGTTTCCTGTCAATACGACTCTGCCCTCAGAGCGCCAACTACGTCCGCACCGAATTGCCTGTACGGCTGGCACATAGGATACGAGACCTTCAAGCACTGCCATATATCGTCGTAACGCAGGAGGGAGTCGCCCGAGTATACGAGGTATGAGATTATCACATTCGCTCCCTTATTCTAACATCGTGGATAGCTGTACTGGTTAGCGTTCGAAAGGTGAGCACTTGTGTCTCCGAACAATGCGCAGCTGCCGAAGATGATATATTGCCCAGATTCAGAAAATATCCCCCCATTACGAATCTTTTGGAGAATGAGGAGTACTGTGACTTCCTAAGAGAAGTCTTGCAAGAACAGTGAGGTCCTCCATTAAACGGATTGTAGACATGCTAATCCCGGTTCATTCAAGTGCATCCGTCATCCCAAATCTCTCACTGGGGCTCTCTCTATCGTCTCCCTACCTCCCCCCGGATCAGCTAGACTCGTTCATGCGCCGCATGCTGATATCGCGTGTATCCAGACGTGTTTTAGCCGAGCACCATCTTGCGCTGTCGGATGTATACTCGGGTCGCACCAAGGAAGCCACAGGCGAGCCCCACGTCGGCATCATATTCACTGGGTTGGACGTGAAGAGGTCAATCGAAAAATGCTCTAGGCTGCTACGTGAACGTCCGTTTGGCTTTGAAGATGACATCGACACGCCTGATCCGCATAATCGGAAATGGCCTGAAGTCGTGATTGAAGGGCACCTGGACACCAAGTTTTCCTATATCAAAGAACATCTTGAGTGCGACCAGATTTAATATGTCTGATCGTTTCACAAACCAATGGTCCGCAGGTACATCATATTGGAGCTATTGAAGAACGTGAGTCGTTTGCACTCCCTCGTTGAAACGACGCTCATGTGAAACATAGTCAATGCGAGCGACTGCCTTGAAGTATATCGACTCGCCGGAGTTTCCACCGATATTAGCAACCGTCGTCGGGGGAGACAAACATGTTGGTATACGGATATCGGATCAAGGTAATATTTGTGTTTACCTCCAGCTTCAGACGTCACTGAGCTGTCGAAGGCGGTGGCCTTCTGACGCCTCAGAACCTCATCAAGTTCCCGTCGGATCTGTTCTCTTTCTCTCATATTCGTAACGCGGGACGCATGGAAGACGCGAGGATTGGCGCTCTTCGTTCCGCAAGCTCAAATCCTTCCGGTGTTTGGGCGACAGTAGGGGAACAGGTGGGGCGATGGAGTACCACGCGGGGTTCACTACCAGCCTCTGGGACTCAGTCACGGATCGGCATCGGCCTCCCCATGAGCAACATCTACGCAACGTGCGTATCGCATGTCAATTCACGGCACGCCGCTGACACCCGTTCTAGCTACTTCGGAGGGACCTTAGAATTAGTCTCCCTCGATGGTTGGGGTGATCATCGATCGTTCCGGTTCTGCGCCTTCGTATTCTGACTTTGATGCATTATTTTAGGAACAGACGCATACGTGCGACTACCGAGACTAGTGAGCACAATAACTTATCGAAACTAACATGCGACTGAATCATTGTCCTAGGGCACCAATCTGGAAGGCATCGAAGTCTAGACGCGTGCCTTCTCGGTTGCCTTCCGAGCCTACTCTAAATCTGCCCGCCATGGACTACTGGGCTGGTGCGGAGGCCAAGCGCTTAAGCGCTTATCAATGATCGTAACCCCCTTCCGAGATGCTTGCGCTGGACGGAGGATCATCGATCATCTGTAGTGTAGAATATCATGTAACCATAAGCCAGGTATCTGCCTCAATGCACGCCCACGATGCACATTAATTTGCGCTCTTCTCGGAATAATAACGAACTTTGTAAGAGGCTGTGTTACGTCTACTCAGGCTCCAGGGCACATCATATGAACCCTGATACCCTTGTCAGTGAGCCTGAAGGCTCTGCTGCGCTCAATCTAGCGCCAAATCCTTCAAGTTGTAATTTATTGTACTCGGGCCTCGTCCAAACTCCCGTCTCCTACCGATAACATGTACGACGATACTGATTTACCTCCGCCTCCCCCAGCCTATTCAGAGCAAGAATTCGATCGCAAGGTCTCCACCGCCGTAGAGGTGTCATTGACCTTCAGTCAGCCGCCAGTTGAAGATGAATGGGAAGTCTGGGATGAAGCGCTATTCGAAGCAGCAGCTCACGACACGACTCGGCATCACGATGGAAGACGGAGCGGCGATCATGCTGGCCCATCGACTGGGCAAAGGGACGGATCTGTCGCTCCGCTGCGGGTGCACAAGAAGAACCCCTCCGATTCAAAGTCTCGACCGGCCTGGCATGAAGAAGTTAGTTATGGTGAAGGTTCATCCTCTAGCTCGCATGGGCACGCGGGGAGTAGTTTGATCACTTCATCAACAAATGGCAGCGAAGCCAGAACTTCTGGTAAACAGCGGCCCAGTTGGTACAACGAAGCGGGTCTGGGAGAGGCTTCAAGCCCGTTGCAAAGTAACGCGGCGGGATCTGCCCAATCTCGCAACCCGACATCTTCAGGATCTTCATCACTACCATCCCCGACGGTGTCGCCGTCGCAGGGGACAAATGCTCGGACCGAGGTTCCAGTAGAAGCCTCGATACCACCAGACAATCAGCACGAAGTAGGCGATGACCACGAGTCCGACGAAGAAGATCGCAGCGCCCCGCCCCCGCCGTTCACACCCGTAGGGCCCTCTCTAGATGGCCCCCCATTTGAGGAAGTAGCCTCTCTATCATATACTGCAAGCAGCTCGACTCCACCATCGCCTCTGGCTTCGCCCCCAACCCCCATTTCTCAATTACCACCTCACAACAGAGCGGATCACCGACAAACGTATCAGGAATCCCCTTCTAATCTCCAGCAGCAGCCGCGTACGCCGTCTCGTGCGTCGGCTACTCGTATGTCCATGCCTATGCCTTCGGTAAATAATGCAGCTCCTGCACCTCGAGTCAGACCAACAACAGCCGTACCCCCTCCCCGCCGCTTGCAGCCTAACCAGGGACCTCAGATCGAGTTCAATCCATACACTGCCTATGGCAGACGGAACGACCTTATGTCAAGAACACCACCCGCTCAGGTCATAGACGCCTCGGCGTTCTACAAGTACGCGTTTCTCTTACTGACGTGAATTTGCATTTAAATTATGTGTTTTAGTTCGGCGGTCTCCGCCCATATCGCCTCCCCGCGCAGATACCCAAACCAGCGTCCTCAAACGTAAGCCACTATTTTATCTTCCATACAACCCAATTGATCGTATATCCAGCATGGAGGGCCGCCAGTACAGTAACGATCATAATGCACCCCAGCCAAGCTATATGGGTGCACGGGTAGCTTCCAACGCTTATAATGCTTGGACGCCTCAACCTGTGGCCCCAAATCCTTCCTATCCCGCTCAGTTTGCCCCTCAGTTCACTAATCAACAAACACCACAGTACGGCCCAGCTGTCTCTGGGGGGTATCAAAGAATGAAACAAGACCAGTGGGGTCAGCCATACCCAGGACTTTAAGTACTAAATTCCTTCTAAGTAGTGTACTACTAATCCATGTATCCTTCAACGACCGAGGTGATGTAGCAGTACTATATGTATGACGTTTATGATGCTGGCATTATACTGTCCAGCACTAGTCTAGCATCGTATCCACATTTGGTAGATTGTATCATGGTTCAACGTTTCAACCAATGAGATCAATTTCAATTTCCTGCAGTGTCATGGCAGGCAATCATGAGAAGGTCGTGTTGTTATCCTCATCCAATTCCACTTCTTCACAGACAGCTTGGTGGCTTTTTCCCCCATAACAAACCCAGGGAACCATGTCAAAAGCTCCCCACAACGCCACACAATTCAATAAACCTGCGGAGCCCACAACTTTCAACCGTTCGACTGCAGGCTTCTCTGACGATGCGGTGCCTAGGGCCAAGGCCGCCCAGATGAAACTGGAAAACTATTACAAGCTTGCGGTTGAGGCAGCTGTGGAAAGAAACACCCGGTACGTTATGGACGTACATCAGAGGGGACAAAAATAACGTGTTGAACTCGGATCAGACGCGTCGAACTGGAACGACGATTACAGTCCGATGCACTTATGTCCGATGAAAGAAAGCAGCGACAGCTATCACAGTTGGGTGCAAGGGAATCTACGTTTCTTCGTCTACGACGCACGAGATTGGGGTTGGATGATTTCAGAACGGTGAAGGTCATCGGAAAGGGCGCATTCGGTGAAGTATGTCGGAACCTATGTATTCCTCCGTCCGCTGAAGTGTGTCTCTAGGTCAGGCTTGTTCAGAAAATAGACACGGGGAAGATCTATGCGATGAAAACGTTGAAGAAGGATGAGATGTTGAAGAAGGATCAAGTACGTCGTTTTCGCGAAAGCATGATCAATAAACCTCTAAAATATACGGTTTAGCTCGCCCATGTACGCGCTGAACGCGACGTTCTGGCTGAATCCAATTCCCATTGGGTAGTGCAACTCTTCTACTCATTCCAGGACCCGACGTTCCTATACCTGATTATGGAGTTCCTCCCTGGAGGAGATCTCATGACCATGTTGATCAAATACGACACTTTCTCCGAAGACGTGACTAGATTCTACCTCGCAGAATGCGTGTTAGCTATTGAAACGGTGCATAAACTTGGCTTCATTCATCGGTGAGTCTTCCCTCTGGCTGTTAGTCAGGGAGGATATGTACCAATAGTTGACAGTGACATCAAACCGGACAATATCCTCATTGATAAGGATGGTCATATCAAACTCTCCGACTTCGGCCTGTCTACTGGGTTCCATAAAACTCACGACGCGAAGTACTACGAGCGATTGTTTGACTCGAATAACAAGGGTCATGTTCCCAGTGCCGCGCCCAACACGGTCAACTCTATCAACCTAACAATGACCAACAAGGAAGAAATAGCCACTTGGAAGGCTAACCGACGAAAACTCGTGTGTATAATATTCATGTTTCGCTGTTACAGTCGTCTCATATTATTCGTCCGTTTCAGGCATATTCAACGGTCGGTGAGTTCACGCGACATAACCTTTTTTGCGTGCTTGCACTAATTAAAGCATAGGAACTCCGGACTACATCGCCCCGGAGATATTCCTACAACGCGGGTATGGCAACGAGTGTGATTGGTGGTCACTAGGCGCCATCATGTTCGAATGTCTCGTCGGATATCCACCGTTCTGCTCTGAGTCAACCCATGATACGTACCAGAAGATCATGCATTGGCAACACTGTCTGGCATTCCCCAACGATGTTCACCTAAGCCAAGAAGCAGAAGACCTGATACGCAGGTGCGATGTTTCTTTAGTTTAGCGTGTTCTGGTGATCTCATTTCATGGCTGTTTAGACTCATTACATCGGCCGAGAAACGACTCCAGGTGGAGCAGATCAAAGTCCATCCCTTCTTCTACGGCGTCGACTGGGATACTATTCGTTCAATAGATGCCCCTTTTGTTCCCCACCTGCGGTCAATAACGGACACTTCTTATTTCCCCACTGACGAACTTGAGCAAGTACCTGAAGAGGCACCTGCTGCCACGGGCAACGCTGCCAAAGATCTCGCGTTCCTCGGGTGCGTGTCATGTCCTTCTGTCTCCTCTATGTATCATATTCTGAGATGCCCGTTATAGATATACATTTAAGCGATTCTCTGTCTCTTCCCAAGCATTCTAGTAGTATGTATACGTATACATCTAAGACGTCATGTATGGACTCTTCATATTGGTTTCGAGCCAAACTGTTGCTAAATTCTTATGGTCAATGCTCCAATTATAACCTCCTCTCGCAATGTACCTACTACAAATCTCATTCTGCCCATTGCTTGCATTGTGTCTTCCGATTCGTATTCCGTCGCCGTCGCTGTCGCCTTCGCCTCTGATTGTACTACCAAATTGAATTGATCGACACGTGACCTCACAAAACTTTGCATCTCGCGTCGTCCCCTAATCTGACACCCGTTCATGGCAGTAACTTCAGCATCTGCAGGGCCATGGCCAGAATCGCTAACACCTTGGATGTGAGCTTGATCGATGCCCAGACGGAGATTGCCTGTATTCATCTATATCCAAAGAGCAGATGTCGTCCATTCAATGGGACACACGCATATGACACCAGTCCAAGCTTCCACCATCCCACTGTTCATGAAACACAAGGATGTAGTTGTAGAGGCGGTCACAGGCTCTGGGAAGACTCTGGCATTCGTTATTCCGACATTAGAACGGCTCGTTCGCCGTGAAAGTAGACTTCGCACAAATGAAGTAGGCGCACTCATCATAAGTCCTACGAGGTCTGTCCGACTCTTGTTTTGTAGAGCATGCGGACTGAATCAATGAATAGGGAGCTTGCTACGCAGATACATTCCATATTCTCCCAGTTTCTATCCTCCCAGTCGGGAATGTCTTTCTCTAATGAAGACGAGGACGAAGACGTAGCCAAGACTCTTTTTCCTGCGCCTCTCTTACTGATATCTGATGCACAATCCTCCCCGGCCCAAGACATACAGCGGTTTCTGTCAACTGGTGCAGACATTGTGATCGGTACACCTGGCAGGATGGAGGAGTTTCTTCTAGGCAAGGGGAAATCGGTGGTGAGTGTGAAAGAGTTGGAAGTATTGGTCCTCGACGAGGCCGATCGGTCAGTCAAGGATTACACATAAAGTGACCGCGCAGCTGACTCCGCGCATCAGTCTACTTGACTTGGGGTTCCAAGCGACGTTAGCACGCATCATCACCCACCTTCCTAAGCAACGTCGCACCGGCCTCTTCAGCGCGACAATGACAGACGCGCTTTCAGAGCTAGTTCGGGTCGGCCTACGTAACCCAGCCCGCATAGTTGTCAAGGTGCAGACCAAGAAGAACGTGAAAGGTCAGGAGCAACAATTGATTGAAGAACAGCGCATACCAGCGAAGTAAGTTAACAAATAAATATAAAACTACTAGCTCATATTTTCACCAGTCTGCAAAACTACTACATTTCCTGTCGAACGTCGGAGAAACTCATCCAATTAACTCGCGTTATAAAGCACGAAATCACCCAACATGGCACATCTCAGTTCATCGTCTACTTCGCGACGTGTGCCTGCGTAGATTATTTCTACCGAGTAAGACTTCATCAATAATTTCAGGGGGCATGCATGCTCATGCAGATATAGGTGCTTCCATTATTCCTCCCTTCGTCTGTCACTCTGTACTCTTTACATGGCCACCTCATTCCGGCTGCGCGGACCCGAACACTTGCCGCCTTCGCGTCTGCATTGACCGTCTCATCCTCTCCTTCGATTTTACTTGCTACAGATGTAGCTGCCCGCGGACTCGACCTCCCTCATGTTGACGCAGTCGTCCAGTTCGATCCACCCGCTGACCCTAAGGTGTTTTCTCATCGTTGCGGACGTACAGCGAGGGCTGGCAGGGCCGGGAGGGCTTGGACGTTACTTGCGGGACGCGAGGTGGAATATGTCGGTGAGTTATAACTTTGGTTTACGACATGCGCGTACGTTGAAACTGATTTTTACGCAGACTTGATGGCTGTGCGCAAGATTCCCCTAAAAAGCCATCCGATGTTCACAGACGATGGAAAGTCAAGGGAAACCCCTGAAGATGACGAAGCACAATCTGAGGATTCATCTGTGAATACCTATCTCGAAACCATTCGGACAATGGCACTTAAGGATCGAGCGGTTTTCGATCAGGTAACGGATTTCAGGCCCTTGTTTGAGGGTCTTGACTTATCCTTCGCAGGCTGCCAAGGCGTTCGTATCGTTTGTGCGCGCGTATTCCAAACATGAAGCGTCGTATATATTCCGCATCAAGGACCTCGATCTTGTTGGTGTAGCGAAGAGTTTCGGGCTATTGCGCCTGCCAAGAATGCCAGAGCTGCCGCAAGCTAACAGGGCTCAATGGATGGATGCTGATGTAAATGTGAGCAGCTTCCTCGCCTAGCTAAGTTATTTCCGCTATCTGAACGTTCTCTCCAGTGGGATACGTATGCGTACGCAGATTCAGCTCAAGAAGCAAAACGTCTCGCTTCCCTAATTGTCAATCCTAAACGCCCAGAGGATATCAAGAAGCAGAAGGAAAAGCGTGTTCAACAGAAGACGCGTAACGAAGCTTGGAGTAATAAGATGTCAAAGAAAGAGGAAAGGGAGCAGAGGAAGGAGAAGCGGAACAGGAAGAGGAAGTGGTTACAGGCTCAGACCCAGACCGACACTGTTGGTACGGCGGAAAAGAAGGATCGGCCAGGTGCCTCTGACGATGACGAGGAGGAAGACGACTGGACTACCCTTGCGAAAGAAGAGCGCATGGCGAAGAAAGTAAAGCGAGGGGCTATGAGCCAAGCAAGCTTTGACGCTGAATTTGGGGATATGGACATATGATCCGATCATATTGCAAACGCCATCGCCTCATGAATGGCCTCTTGGCGGCGGTCATAGGCTTTGGCTTCGGTCGAAGTACAAGGAGGACTCGCCCAACGCCTCTGTCAGGCTGATGGGGACCCTTCTCCTGTCTGAGCGATCATCGAAGCATCACTCGACTATCTGCGTCGCGCCTCATTGCATCCTGCCGCTGCATGCTTCGTACGTGGGCTTGCGATCAGCTACGAAAACATCCCTCAACCATAAAATTCATTCGGGACACCATCGTGCCGTTCATCTTGCTCAATCAAACTCCATAAACCGCTCCTTCATCCATCTCCGCCTGTACCTCTGCCCCCGCAATTGTACTTGTCCTCTCCATACCATCCCCATATTAATCGTTGCATGTCACCCACACTTCCACTCATGTATCCCTTAGTTCGATCCCTACTGGATCCAATGCACGCATGACATCATGCATCATGCATCTGTATTGTCGTATTGTCAAGGTTAGACGCGATCCGAGCGCGGTTTAAGGTTGAGGTGGCTCGCTGCCTTCTCACAGTATATATATACCGAGACTCGACAATATGTACCCCACATACCGCCCCACATACCATGCACGTAAGTGCCTTTCTTCTATCTCCGCCCCCTCGTCCTTGCTGAATTCCTCGAAGGATGCACCCGCACCCTATTCACTTCTCACCGACCTGCCCTACGAAATCATCCTGAAGGTGCGCGACATGTATTAGGATCCTTAGTCGCCCAGCCCGACTAGATATACTGTAGATCGTGGAAGTCACACACCCCAAGGATCTACTGACCATAGCCCGTGTCAGCAAGCAATTCCGCGGACTCCTGATGCACCCCACTTCCGCCTCGCTCTGGAAGCACTCGCTCGCCCTCCACGAGCCCGCTCTCCCAGAATGCCCCGCCAGCATGAGCGAGCCGCGCTGGGCCCATCTCGTATTCGAAGAGCAGTGTACCGTACGTGTCCACCCGCCAATAGCCAATTAATTGCGGCGATAAAGCTAAATTGTTGACGCCTTCACGCAGTTCTGCGGCGCGAATGATGAGGCTGCGGAGGTTAACTGGTACCTCCGCGTAAGGGCTTGCAAGCACTGTGCTAAATCATGGTACGGCCATCCATATCTCCATCAGATGCACAAAATACCACATAAAACGTGTCGCTTAGCATCAAGACGAGCCTCCAAGACGGATTCAGACCTCTCTCAGACGGCACGACATCCTTCGAACGCCTCATCCCGTCGAAGCTCGCGTACCTTGATTCGATGTCCTTCTTCGCATTTGGTGCGTCTTTATCAAGCTGCGGCACCCCTGTGAACTAACATCCACCCCTGAAGGTTGCTTCCGATCCTGGAGTTACCTCGCCGCGGACTACGAAGCCGTAAAAGCAGAATACCTGTCGATAAGAAGCGATGCAGACAGACGCCAATTCGTGGAAGAGCGCATCGCGCTGGCGAATTCAGGCCGCGCCCATTCGCATCGCTGTGAAATCTGGAGCCAGAAACACCAGTCTTGATGCGAACTTGATATTGATTATGACAGATGTGCGATGTCGGATGTATGATACATGATGTATCACGTCTGGAATCGGAATGGAGGCAGATAGTAATTTAAAACCAGAGTATTACACACATTATGCACATATTCTACGAACATATAAACAATGGAGATTTCATCGCAGCTTACAATATATTTTCAACTGGCCATCTTATCTAGGAGTTGGAAGATATTTTTGCGGCGAAGCACAGCTCCGACCGTTTAGTGGGGCAAGCATTGGGAGTAGTCTGAATGGGTTGTCAGTAAGGTTGACCGTCGGAGAAAGATATGTTCAATGCTTACACGGGTTGCCGACGGTGCAAGTGAAGCCAGAGACACAAGCGGTGGGTCCAGTCCATCCTTGACCTAAAGCCGTCGTGTCAGCATTGCTTTAGAAGTACGAAAGCTTGACACATACCACCACATTGTCCGTAAGCACCTGCAGTGCTAGAAGGTGCCGGCTGACTTGTGCTTCCTGTGTTCGTGGGTGGCGACCCGGGGTTCGAAGCACCAGCACCGAATGTCGAGCCGATGGGGCCAAACTTGATGTTCGAGAACGTCACCTGCGAGTTCGCGCTCTGCGACTCCACGTCCGTCGGGTCCCCAGAAGTGGTTGCACATTCACCGCGCGCAACACCGGGTGACGACGCGGTCTTGTCAGTGGGGTAGTTACTGTCTAGCCACAACATCTTCGCCTCGTGGTCATCCCAAACACTCATGACCAAGACCATTCCACGACCAAAGGCGTCACCCATGGCACGGAGACCACCCTTGTTCGCGAACGAGTTGGTGTCGCCAAACGCGGCCTTCTGCTGCGCGCAGAAGTCCGTCGTCACCGAGTCTAGGTCCGCAGACATGCCCGGGATGTTGACCTTGGAGTTCTGGATAACCTTGCCATCTTGCACGTACACACGGCGGATCTCCGTGAGGTCACCATTAGCAGTCCCATCCGAGGTGACGAACTGGGTCACAACCGTGAATTTCTTCATCGTGTCGACGGTCTTGCCCTTGCCGAGGAACGAAGTGTCTCCCATGCGGAACGAGTTGAAGTCGCAACCATCCTTGTCGCACACACCGCCGGCCCTGTTGTCGCCGTCGCCACAGTCGGTGCCCGAGCAGCGAGTCAGGCCAGTGACAGTGCAGGGGTGAGGAGTGAAGGCAGAAGCCATGTTGTTGGCCTCCCAGATATCCATTTCGCTGCAGCAGGTACCGAATTGCCCCTTGCCGGCGTTCGCGTCATTGGGGGACGGAGCCCAGCCTGCGACGTTTGCCTTTCACCAACGATTAGCCTGATTCTCATGGATTGGGAATGGGAGCTGCGTACCTCTCCGTTGATGAACTTGATGTCGTGAGGGCACTGAGAGTCACAGTAACCGGTTCCGTATTTGGCACCAGCCTTTGGCATGCAATTTAATGACTCGCTCATATAACAATATGGAGTACTTTACCTTGTTGGTGGAGAATTGGGCCATGCCACCATCCTCGGGCATCTCAGAGAAGTACAGAGCACCGTTCAAGCCACACGGAAGCTGCGACATGTCGATGTCGAATGTGAACTCCTGGTTCTTCAGGTTGAACATTTGGTACTTGGTTTCGGACGCCATTAAGTAGACACGGGAACCGATGTTCTTCGAGTACGGGCCGTTGGTGACGAACTTGAGCGTGAGCGCGTTTCCAGAGGTGGTGATACCGTAGGTGCCGCTGTAGTCTGCGCCGTCGACAGCGCAGTTCGAGGCACACGTCTTGGCGTCGGGGCAGAGGGTAGTGTCCCAAGTGTTACCGTCGTAGCAGTTCTACCGGATGAATCATTTAATATTGTATTCAATGATCGAGAAAAACTGGAACTTACGTTCGAGCCAGTGGTGGTGTGGAGCCAGCGCCAGTTGGAGTCGAGCACGACAGACCGAGCCAAGTTAGAGCAACTGCCACCGCCGGTACCCGTGCATTGCTGCACAGAGAGCGTCGGGTGGGTCTCGGCAGTGAGGGTGCCAACCTGTTGACCGAAGGCAACGGCGGCGAGAGAGAAAGCGATGAGAGCGACCTTTGGGAACATTTCCGTGTACCGGTGAAGATAGACCTGTAACTAGCTGCTGAGCTGTTGAAATTCCAGCATGACACCGCGAGCTTTTAAGCAATTCAACTCTGCGCTGCTGCTAGAGGAGTGACATCGCCCTTGTTTTTCCAAAGGCCGTCACAGAGGCGCAGAGGCTCTGACATACCTGGACGTCCAGCTAGCTTCCTTGTTTGGTACCGACGAGTGTCCGAGTATGCAACGCGCAAGAATTCGAAGCTAAAGTGGTGATCTTGGGATAAACCCCATCACAACCGCTTCTACTACCACCTAGGCGTCGACGGTGCATATGCATATATCCGACATATCATATCGAAGCGAGAGATGATAATTTGTATGCCCCTCGGTGCTTGAGCTTGGATGACAGAGCTGCTTCTCGTCTGTTGCATAGAAGGACCTTCGTAGTAATTTTGCTGGCGCTCGTCGCTCAATGCAATCATCAATGCGATTCTTTCGAAATAAGCCGCTGAGTGGTCGCACGATGCACACTGAATTGCATCTGACTGGGACACCAGCGAACACATCAAAGACCAACGAGACGGGATACCACGAAGTCACGTGCCCACTTCCCCTGTGCAGCTAGCATAGTATGCGCAACCTTTCAAGTTGCGCCCCAGGAATAGTTCGGTCCCTTTGACGCTTGTCACCAGATAGCCACACAGAAACTAGTCACTACCAAAGAACATTAGGGTGACCGTCTCATACTGGGGTAGAAACTCACCCCATCGTACTATCACGTGTACTGTAGTGCAAACACACATAGATATGCAAAACCAATTTTAAGTTGTTGTAGATTCCATGTCCTATGCTCGGACATGAAGTATGTTTGAGAAATAGACTTCATTGAGCTACTGTAAAAATCTCAAGGCATTTGAGAAGTTGCAAGCCCATTTCCGCGGGCAAAATGTGACGTGCAAATAGTCATTTCAAATTTGACTTGAATGCTGTGGAAGTAATAACAATCCCACAGACTTCTGATTTTTTTCTTAGCTAGTATAGTAGCGCTAGAGTCTGAATCTAGAGTCCCTTGCACTCGTACCTACTGGTTCATGCACAGGAAAACCAGCAACATTTTGCGTGACAAAGAAGCTCCTATTTGCCCCTTGTTTTGCAGATCCATGTGTTGCCGAGCGAGCGGCCGAATGCATACGGCGGCACACGGCTGCGCTGCTGGGTCTGAATGACGCGTGACACACTGTGACGAAAAGTTTGCAAATCTATGTTTTTGGGTACTTGTCGTACCGGCATCGTCATTGCTCTACTACTCGGAAAGGGATTCACTCAAAAAGTTGATAGGTATTTAGACAAGATGAGCGACAACCTCTCGTAGCATGCCGGGAGTTGTAGGGACATCCAATCTGGAGCACCGGGTTGAATTGTCCAAAATTTTGCAAATCTGTCTAAGTGATAGTAGGTGCAACTTAAAATCAAATGGCGATCCAGGGTCAGAGTTCGGTTTCATTTACCCGCCAGCAACATCTGAGACTAGACCCCGCTTCTGATAGGCTCATTAACTCAATTTCAAGCTACATCAAGTAGAAGTACCGTCGACATTAGCCTACACTGAGGGCCAAGGTAGTACTACCCACTGCTTTGCGGTCCTGATATTCGTTAACCTAGCCTACGGAGCATTGTCACCACTTCTAACAACGCCCTGGCTGCCTGGGCCAGCGCTTCGGGGTCGGACTGCTGACCATCGTATTTTCTGCAATACCATGACACGGAGCTCGTCCGTAAAACACTTGCATTTTATTTTGATTGACAAGTTGAGTATTAGCGTAGAGACTACCAGAAATGCTCAAGCCCTCGTACCTACCACCCAATGACTAGAATTTCGTCTGAATGAGAACGACAACGTAAGTTGGGCGCTTGCGCCGCTGAGATTATCTTACCAAACACGGACATACCATAACAATCTCAGGGGTTCTCTTGCCACCATTGACAGTAATGCCGCAGCCGTCCTCATCGCCTGATCGTCCTCGACGCCCGACTCGCTCGGTTCCTCCAATACCTCCACTACGCATGGGTACTGATACAGAGCCTCCAGAAGAAGGACAAGATGTGCTAGTAGCCAGCCCGGTCGAGGACTTCGACTCGGGCAGTCTCCCTACTGGCCTCACCCCGCTTCGTGCGCACTACCTCAAGAAGTCTCTAATACAGCTGCAGCTAAACCAGGAAATCGAGGCTATACTCAATGCTGCTCCTAACAATGAGTCTACGCTATCACATCTAGGGCCCCCGTTCTCGCCACCCCCGAAAGGCTCATCGCCGCTTGATCTGCCCTTCCTTCGGTATATATTTCGCCAGTTCGTCTTGACATTCCCGTTCATGGCTGCAGCACCCAAGGACTTCTACTCGGAGAAACTGCAGCCCTTCGTAGCATCTATGTTGTCGCGGAACCTATCACCTAATTACGATATACTGGATGAGGGCGCGGACGTTGCGGAACAGGCCGCGCGAACGAAGATGTTAGGCAAACTGGAGCGGAGCTTGTCTACGTTCCTGGGTACATCCACCAAACTTGTGGAGCGCGAGGAAGTAGTCAGGCTCACCCAGACCGATTTGGATCGCCTCGAAATGCTGGCAAAGAAGCGCCAGGCTCGTCTGGCCAAGAATAAAGAGATCTTTGAAGTCAACATCGTGGGTGTAAGAACCGTGGTGGCTAAAGGTCGGGTGAGAAGTAGATCTCATGATGAATTCATCATTCGAACCAGACGTTCCCGGTATCGAGATGTTTTTGTGGCGCGCAGGTACGGTGACTTCAAGACACTTGCTACAGAGGTACTTTGCCTCCATAATGCACCCGTATATTGAATTTATCAGCGAACATAGTTACGCAAAGCACACCACGACGAAGACATTCCATCCCCTCCCGTCAAGGATCGATCCACAGTCAGCGTTCCTCCAAGTACACCATCTCCAAGTAGCCTCTACACCAGTTTCTCCGGATCTTCACAGCAGCCTCCAAACATACTCAGCTCACCATCCGATGATTCCCTTCAGTCGTTCGGTTCTCCTGTATCGCCAACCATGCGCTCACCGCTATCCTCTCAGCAAGGCCTACCTTCGCCGCGGTTATCTCGTGAAAAGAATCGACTCACGTTGAGGGCATACCTTCACACCCTGATGACTTCCAAGGTCATCGCATCCTCCCCCGTACTTCGTTCATTTCTACTCAGCGGTCCGACGACCCTCACTGCGGACGAGCTTGAGGATGCCAGGAGGCGAGAAGAAGCGGACCAACTGCGGGAAGAAGGGCGCAAGCGTTTCGCAAAGGAAATTGCACACAGGGTTGACGGACTACGCAATGCTATCAGAAGTGTCAAAGGCGATATCATGGGCGAAAGTATGTGATATAGACACTTCTACCTTTGTTCGACTCTATAACTTGGATCACAGACGGACTCACACATGTGTTTGGCACAATCAAAGTCACTCCGAATGTCCGTGACCTACCTCCCAATTACCAGGCGGTTCTAGAGTGGGCACGAATATCGTGAGTCGTACTTCACTCTCTTTCAATACCCCCACAGACGTATCCATTAAGCTAAGCGTGGATTTTTTGCCTCGTTAGCCTAGCTTCGACCGTTTTCCACCAATTCATCGCGTCAGATAGCTCTTCAGAAACGTTTGCGAGCTTGAAACGTATCCACGGGTTAATGCCGTACATGCTTATGAAGGGAGCGCTCAAAGTCAGCAACCCAATAGGAATGATCCGAGGTTTGCAAGACGGCCCTTTCTAAATCTTAGCCTACATTGACTTGGTCGTGTAGGCGTATTGGATCTGTTCCTTGCGCAACCTTTTGGCGGAAAAAGCCTGCTTCAAAGGTTCGGTATTACTTATGAAACACCTTGCGATGCATGCTAATAATAGCGATACACAGAATGTTTACTAGTTCATTGACCGAAGAGGTCAAGGTCCTCGAAGAGCAGATAGAGGCAGTGAAGGACAAGGTAGAGGATCCGATCATATGCGAAAAGATGCGCCAGTTCGTATATGCGCCAAAGGAGATCCAAGAGTTGTACAGAATCGATGCAGGTCGGTGAATAGTTGGATCCACTCCAGCATTCAGCTAACTCATTGCTCTTAGCTGTCGAAAAGCAGAGTCTCGTTACAATCATTCTCCGATCTGGAGAGGAACCTCTGTTGAACAGAGCACAAATGCATCGGGTAGCAAAGGCGCATAGGGCCCACGAAGCTCACTTACGCAAGAAAGTCACTGTTGCGGACTCTGACGACGATTTCGCACCGGAAGACGAGGATGCTTGGCTTTACGAAGACCTGCGTATATTAACACAACTGTATGCTCGTCTTCGTGACCGCGAACAGTTGATTGCTCTCATCTTTGAGGTAAGGATACGGATTCTGAGGGCGCCACGGTCATGACGTTTCACTTATACCCTTATATAGGGATTCACAGCCGACCTGTTGAAGGATATCATAACCATTTTCTATTCTCCTTTAGCCCAAGTGTACAAGGCCGCCAGCATCGCAGATTCGTTGAACGACTTACAGAGCTTCATTAACGACCTGATCAAGACTGTAGAAGCGGTTGAAGAGAGTGAGTCGTCTACTCTGGCTCAGTGCCCTCCGGTATCGCAAAAACACTTATGACTGGCTTTAGTTGGGCAAGATGATCCCCAACGTACCGTCCAAACGTTCATCGACCTTATCCAAAGACACGAGCAAGCGTTCTACCATTTCGTCCACAAGGTTCATTCTAAAGGAGAGGGACTATTCGACAGTCTGATGCGATGGATAGAGCTCTTCCTGACCGTCGTGCGAGAAGGGCTGGGTCTTCCATTGAGTCTGGAATTTTTACTTCCTCACACGGAACGGGAACGCGAAGAGATATTGGTCGAAGTTGACAAGGTCGCTCTTCACCATTATAAGCTCAAGGTCATATACGAGGACAAACTCCGTCGTCGCTTCGGTCGCACACAGAACGGGGGCGACGCTGAAGCTGAAGACGAAGCAACCCAGAACTTGGTAAATGGGCTTGTTGGGGGCATTAGCTTCGGGGAACTAGGCCAGAGCGATGGCGAGTTAGGTGTTGACACGGATGATAGTACAGACGAAGACAGCAGCGAATACGACACTGCAAGCGATGATGACAGTAGTTCGGAGAGCTCCAGCGAGTCGCTTGCGGAGAACAACGCTAGGCCAACGCCGACAAGGTCTTCTACAATTCGTCCTAATGTGCCACCACCTCCGCCCGCCGAAGCAGCAGCTGAACCCCCGAAGATGTCCCGTGTTCGTTCAATGTCCCTCAAACTATCTCGGTCTATGTCTTCTTTAAAAGGGGAAGGACCGTCACGTAAGAGCTACGATCAGAACCCCCCACCGGTCCCCAAGAATCCACTCGTCACTGCGCTATCTAAACCTCTTCCCCCGAGCCCGTCGCGATCCTCGACAGACAGCGTTCATCCACCCAAACCTTTACCACCCTTGCTTTCCCGATATCCTGCTCCATCAACTCCCTCCCCTCCTCCACCGCTTGTAAAGAAAAACAAGACTAATCAGCCCCCTCAGCCTCCGAGCTTAGAGCATATACCCAAATTGTTACCAGTATTCGTCGAGATGGTGAGTTGCTTCCTTTGAAGATATATGTCCTCCTTACATTGTAAACCCTTAGATGCGTCCTAACTTACGCCCCCGCCAACGAACAAATAATCCATAGAAGCTGTTCCAGCCTTATATATACTTGCTGTCTCACCGTAATGTGTAAAACGCGGATTGTAACACACGTCGGACTTGTCGAAAATCCATCCACCTAACCCCTGTATTGTACTACATCCTTGGCGCTAGAGTGTCTTTAGACTTTAACCTCTACAACTTTCCGAATTCTGAATTGTTCTTTCAAGCCTTGGACAGAGTCTATGGTAAAAGCTGGCGTGGAACTGGATATTCTAGGCTGTCTCAGTCAAGTGACCAACCTAAGATGATCAAGAGCTTCGTGCGGAATCCGTCACATAATATAACAATTAAACGGTGGGATCATAGTGCACCATTCACACGAAACATGTCGTCTCTCAACCACCAACTACTCAAAAACGGCCTGGTGAACCTCCCGAGGGCCTCACCAACAGTCAAAACTACCGTTGAAGAACTCTTGTTCAAGGACGCTGAGGAGCACCATTGCTACTTTCGTAGTTCAGGTTTCCACAACCACTTAAGCCACCAGTATGTCTCTTTATTTTTAACTAACTAGTCCTCGCACGAGTTAAAATACCTCAAAAGTCTTCTAGCAGCGTACGATCTTGGGGCATCAGAGGGTGTTCTTAGGAAGATATACGAAGAGGAGGCAAAGACACAGCGGCCTATATTTCTTGAAGAGACCGACAAAGATGCTGTGATCACTGATGAGAACTTGGTACAATACTTGGGAAATCAAAAGTACGCATCTACCTGCTGGCATACGGGTTTGTTCGTTCAACACGCTGCAGTGCCTATGGCGCATTTTGTCGGTTCTTCAAGAGACGCGTTTATGAGCTTGGTGCTGTTCAGGCGGTAGAAGAATACATATTCTCGCCAACGGCGAATGAAGGTAGTAAAGCCATGCTGTATCGTTTAGTAGCCGGAGCGTGAGTACCTGCGAGAACTCGCTCTGTATCAATGCTCATTGGAGACGCCTAGACTTCATCCATTTATTCAAATCGGTGTAAGTAGTATCGTGTACAATCTGGAGGCTACGCATGCTCATATAGCTATACATGATAGCACGGCCTAGAATTTGGCAACCTGGTACTTGTTGCCACAGGCAAGTTCGTTATACTGCTGTCTAGGAATTAGCTGCTAAATGCCTTATCCTTGATTCTTTACCCTTCAGGACTGGCTCAAGCAGCTGTGCACATCGTTCGATTTCAACCTACCTTTGCATCTGTGGCAGAATCAGAGCCGTCGATGTTGGAGATATTACGTCAAGTCTACAACTCTCCCGTCCTGCATCCAGTCATGCCATACGACAATAATGCATTGATCAGTACTCGTATGAAGGACGCGCTAACGGGAGGGCGGGCAGAGGAAATCCAACGAATCTGCTCTCAGATAAATCTGGACAACCTATCTGACGATGGTTACAGTGCGAAGGTCAAAGAAATCATCTGGGCGTGCACTCTCCTCATGTTTGCCTCTGGTAAACCAGGAAAGAAACCTCGACTTGACTTCTTCCTCATGCACCTTGTTACGTCGTCCATGTTTTTGAAGTCTTACGTCAATTCGCTTCAGGTCGCTTCGCATAAGGCCGACTTGATTCGAGCATATGTTTTCACCATGATTTTGCTCCTGCTTTCCAGAGGCAGGCCCATCATTAAACCCGAACTAGTCATGACTTACACGGAGAAGCCTAGGCCGCCAAACAGTCATGCGTCCAGCTATTATCAACCCGACGGGACTGCTCTGGGAAACCCACTGCAGGACGCGGACTACAACCCGTGGCCAGCATTGGTTGCTTCTTCTCTTCATGCTCCGGATTCGCACGTGCTCAAAACTATGCGCACGCTCGTGTACGCCGCCCGAGAGTTTGGAGACACGCTTCCTGGTGGCGTTGACGGGGCCTTTCTCAGAGACGACGCCCACGAAGAAAGCCATCCAGGGAGTTCTCAACTAGATGGTTCATTGTTCGTAAGAGCAGCGGGGATGACGTTGGATTATATGGGTTGGGTGGTCCACGGACAACCTGCCAGGGAAGATTGGGACCGAAGCGCCCTTGGATGGGATGATGCATGGCTTGACGAAAACTAGGAAATGGAATATCCATGACACAAATTGAAATAATGGTACGCTGTCCGCCATTTCTCCTGGTCCCAATCACGACTGAATTGCTCGGATCGGGTCTTTCACGGCAGCATTGTATTTATAGCTTCTTGCTCTTACTCGAACTTGGAATGCACAAATGTTACCCGAGTCTACGACGACTAACCTGTGCTGTATCCCAATCTTCCGAGCTTTGGAACGCGTGATACTTAGGAAAATTTCCTCTCCAGATGCTTAAATGTTTGTCCCCATATTCGCTCTTCCACTTTTGGCAGCTACAGGCTCTATCTATACTTGTTGGCAAGCCGGTCGCTGGACCTTCTGGATTTACCACTGGATAACCTCGCCAGAATTATGGTTTTTACTGTGTCACCTGAATGTTGCCGATGCTAATGTTTAAAATAGAATCTAGATGATCATCTGCCAGACGAGCTCACACGTGTACGCAACGGGCAAAGAATTCTTTCATATCGAATCTGTTGAGGTCTCAGCAAAGTGGAGCCTTAAACCTCACAAGTCTACATACCACTCCACCTCGAATACTTCTAAAGCACTTCGGTATTCGCGAACTTGATGTCGAAAATCCAACATTTGACTCCGCGCATATAGTCAAAAAGCAGTAGTGAGAAGTAAGTGGATATCACGTGTGTACGTCTATTCTGACACTTTGTTACAGAAAGAATACCATCATCATGCTGTTTCGGAAAACATTCGGGAGCAACATCTTGTGCTACAGCATGTCTCATCACAGATCATAACGTGATAGATGCCAGACGACGTAAGGAAGCAAACAAGGACGGCCAGTGCCAGTACCGTCACTCAGACTCGGATGTCGCGGGGAAGAGGCTAAAGACATTTCTCCAGGTCCGCTGCTTCTAATTCTTGCGAGCTCATAGCAGGAGCTTCTGCGGAATAATTGACCGATGGGGGTCATTTCCTTCATTGTTGTATGTATTCTAACGACCCCCCGAGCTCGACGCGAAGGAATATAAAAGGCCAAGGAGTTGGTTGCAAACCGCAACAGCTCAACAGCTAGTTACTCAGGTCAACTGTCTTTGGCTTCTAGTCATGTTCCCAAAGGTCGCTCTCGTCGCTTTCTCTCTCGCTGCCGCCGCCTTCGGTCAGCAGGTCGGAACCCTCACTGCTGAGACCCACCCAACTCTCTCTGTGCAGCAATGCACGGGTACCGGCGGAGGAAGCTGCTCCAATCTTGCCAGGTCTGTAGTTCTCGACTCCAATTGGCGCTGGCTCCATACTACCTCTGGCTCCGACGTGAGTTCCAGGACGCGAAATGTTGCGACTCGTCATACTGATTCATTTCAACAGAACTGCTACGATGGAAACACATGGGACACTTCTCTGTGCCCGGACGCCAAGACCTGCGCGTCTAACTGTGCTCTCGACGGAGCAGACTACAGTGGCACCTACGGAATCACCACTTCCGGAAACGCTCTGACGCTCAAGTTCGTCACTAACGGTCCATACTCAAAGAACATCGGCTCCCGTGTCTACCTGCTCGAATCCGAGTCCAAGTACCAGATGTTCAACTTGAAGAACCAGGAGTTCACATTCGACATCGACATGTCGCAGCTCCCATGTGGTCTGAACGGTGCTCTGTACTTCTCTGAGATGCCCGCAGACGGTGGTATGGCCCAATTCTCCGCCAACAAGGTAAAGTACTCCATATTGTCATCTGAGCGAGTCATTAACTTGCATGCCAAAGGCTGGTGCCAAATACGGAACCGGTTACTGTGACTCTCAGTGCCCTCACGATATCAAGTTCATCAACGGAGAGGCACGTGTCCCTCACTTATAGACCATCATAACCACGCTAATTGTCCGCAACAGGCTAACGTCGCGGGCTGGGAACCTTCTCCTAACGATTCAAACGCCGGAAAGGGACAATTCGGTACCTGCTGCAGCGAAATGGATATATGGGAGGCCAACAACATGGCTGCTGCCTTCACCCCTCACCCCTGTACCGTGACAGGCTTGACGCGCTGCTCGGGCAATGATTGTGGCGACGGTGACAACAGAGCGGGCGGTGTCTGTGACAAGGATGGTTGCGACTTCAACTCGTTCCGCATGGGAGACACTTCGTTCCTCGGCAAGGGCAAGACCGTCGACACGATGAAGAAATTCACGGTTGTGACCCAGTTCGTCACCTCGGATGGGACTGCTAATGGTGACCTCACGGAGATCCGCCGTGTGTACGTGCAAGATGGCAAGGTTATCCAGAACTCCAAGGTCAACATCCCGGGTATGTCATCAGACATGGACTCCATCACCACCGATTTCTGCTCCGCACAAAAGACTGCTTTCGGCGACACCAACTCGTTCGCGAACAAGGGTGGTCTCCGTGCCATGGGTGACGCCTTTGGTCGTGGAATGGTCTTGGTCATGAGTGTTTGGGATGACCACGAGGCGAAGATGTTGTGGCTCGACAGTGACTACCCCACCGACAAGTCTGCGTCCACCCCCGGTGTTGCTCGTGGAGAGTGTGCCACTACATCCGGCAACCCCACGGACGTCGAGTCGCAGAACGCCAATTCGCAGGTGACATTCTCGAACATCAGATTCGGCGCCATTGGGTCGACATTCGGTGCCGGCGCTTCGAACCCCGGCTCGCCGCCACCCACCAACACTGGAAGCACGAGCCAGCCCGCTCCTTCTAGCACTGCAGGCGCTTGGGGACAATGCGGTGGTACGTATAGCATTCTGACGAGGCATTATTTGCTGACATGCCCGTCTCAGGTCAAGGTTGGACTGGTCCCACTGCTTGCGTCTCCGGATACACTTGCACTGTCAGCAACCCATGTAAGTTTTGAGCCTTCACCACAAGCTTTCAGATCTAACTTCCGCCTTTCTAGACTACTCTCAGTGCCTGCCGCACTAAATGCTCTTCCATCGAAAATTATTCTCCCTAATTGAATTGAGGAGTCGAGTTCCTCACCTGTTTTTCTCCCAACTCGTTGTAAACTACTACTTTGATTAACAGCTTTAATCGTGACTATATATTTGAGTGCAATGGGCGAACAGATCGATAATTTCTCCGAATAGTATACACAGATAGACAAAATGCTAAAGAAACAGAAAAAGATACCCAGCGGTAGCGTTGCAAATTGGGCATGTACCAACAATTAAAGCTTCCTATCACTGGGACTGAGGTCGGCAACGCGTTGCATAGATGTGTACACCCTCTTTGGACCAGCGACATGTACTTTGCTAGTCGACACGGCTAACCTGCGAGCCTCGATGCCGTCGGTCCATTCAAACGGACGGCCATCCCTGGTCGCGGACTGGCGGGGAAGGGGGGACGGAAGCTGGACGTAAGAAGGCTTGGACTTCTGGCCATCACTGACGGAGGTCTGCGCCATCGACTCAGAGAAACCTGTAGGGTTTGGAAGGGGCCGATAATCATCACCGCCGCGCCAGTATGACGAGTCGGCTTGGTAGGTGCCAGGGAGTGTGGTGTACCGCCGCTCAGCGCCTGCGGGGCGTCCGGAAGCTTCAGACTTGGCGGCGTACTCAGATAGAGCGTCGAGGAGCACGCGAACGTCGCGGTCCATGGATGGCTTGTTGTCAGGGCGGGCAGGAGCGTTGGGGATGGCGAGGTCTACCTGAGCGCGCGACGAAGCCATATCGGTATCAGACGACTTGTCCAACTGCTTGCGAAGGGTCTTGATCTGGGATTTCAGCAGCGTAGCGAAGTCGACCTCCTCCTCGTCGTCGTCCAAGCCAGCCAAAGTGACCAGGGTGGAGACACTTTAACCAAAGAGTTACAGTGTGAGCAAAAACAGAATGACGGGATGGGACTTACAAGGCCTCCTTCAGGTACGCGAAACTGAATCTCTCGGTCAGCCCCGCAACTTCGTCGACAAGGGCATCGGGGAATTCGATTTCGTCGTTGGACGCGAGTTTCGTTTGCCAGTATTTGCAGTACAAGCTGCGTTCTTCGAGGTCGGGGTCGTCGAACAGGCTACATACACATACAGATCAGCTGGCCAAACAACTTTCTGAGCTAGGCAAGGACACTGACAATTTCCTATCGAAACGACTTGGTCTGGTGGAGAGACCAGGATCCAAGCGGTCGAAGTGGTTGGTGGTCCCGATGACCAACAGGCCATCGTTGCCCTCTAAACCATCGAGTTGATTCAAGAAGAAAGATCGGTTACGGTCGTTTATCAGACTGTCGAGGTCTTCGAGTATCACTACACATGGGGATACTTGGCGTGCCTTGTCGAATACGTCAGCCATGGCACCTTCTTCGCCTTTGTAACCTAAAGTAGCATGAATTAGTCGGGGCAGCAGGTGCAATATGAGGAAAGGGTACTTTGGAAAGACTTGACGTAGAGCGGGGAGAAGCCCAAAGCGTCACAAGATTTCATGATAGCCTTCAGGGAGATAGTCTTTCCATTGCCTATTGGTTACTACGCTGAATGGTGGTAACTAGACGTTGAATGAAAGACATACCAGGGGGACCATGCATGATGAGGCCTCGCTACTCGCAGAAACATAGTTGAGACACAGAAGAAACGTAGAAAGGAAGGGTGCGAACTTTCCAAGGTATGGCAAGCTGTCTGTACACCTCCTGCGACGAGAAAAATCCGTACACGTCCTTCTTCAGGGCCTTCTTGAAGTCTTCCTTGAGAATGACGTCCGCCCAGTCAGCCTTCTGCACCTCCTCCCACAGCCCGCGGCTCTTCTGCCAGAAGCCCTGGTTGAAGACCCATATTTCATCGTGCAGCTGGTCCTCCCATATGCCGACTTTCGTCAGCATCTGACGCGCGGGCTCTTCTGTTCCTTCATGCAGGATGAAGTACTCCGTGCGATTGCCGAAGCCCAGGGGCCACTAACAGATGTATGTGAGTACTGCAACGCGATAGGCCATAGCAGCCAGCCACCTTACCTGCGTGATGTATACAATGAACTCGTACCCCTAAATAGCCCATTGTAAGTCTATCAACAGAACAACAACGAGCATACTCACTTCCCAGGTCACTTTGAAAGTGCCTATTTCGACGCTGTCCGCGACAATGCCCAAAGGGCCGCCGAGGCGACGTGCTAGGGGAATGAATACCACCTCGGTAACTAGAGGTGCCGCTTCGATAGGCTCCGCCGAGACACCAGGGAAGCTAAGCAACTGCAACCTCCAGTCGGAGGTCATCACCAAGGAGTGATCAGGATACAGCTTCCGTAAAGCATCGGCTCTGTAGAGCGTGCAATGTCACTATCTCTTAATTGTACTCCAGGTGCTGAGTACTCACGCGAACTGCTCGGGGGCGCTATGCTTCGCAGAGGCTAGTCTCTGTCAACACTATGCAATAGTAGAAGTAGGAACAACAAAGGCACACCTTTGTCAATCCACTCCCCGTAGAACTTGCGCTCATGTTTGCTCTCCTTTGAAGCAGTAGACTGCGAACGAAATATCACGTCTACGAATTCTTCATTCATTATGTGGAAGAGGCTAATCGAGGACGAATGTTGGTGCACTTGTATGAAACGTACTCAGAGGTGTTGAGTGCGTGTACAAGGTGCATGTGCTACTGCGCAGGCACCGTGGCCAGGATTGGCGTTAGCGACGAAAGCCCCTGTAGCTGCTCAGGGACTCCCTTGATAGCAATACTCTGAAAGAGTCTTCGACACAACAATTCCTCTGGGATCTACATAGGGTACATAACTACATACGGTGTCCTTGCGTGCCCCGAACAAAGCCCTCCGTTTGACGGAAAGAATGGATGAAGTCTTCGCTTTCAAGCATCATCTGAAGATAAACAGATGAAACCCACACCCACGAAACCAGCGCGAACTACTCACATCTTCTGCCATCGAGTATATGTCAGACCCGGGTCTATTGTACATCATCGCATTCGCGAACATCAAGTAAATGTCCCGCTGAAATTCCAGCGAGTTGGATATCGCCCCATCCTTGATTCTCGCTTTAATGGTCTTGAGGTCCATTGGCCGCTTCACGATTTCATGGTAGTCGGGAGCTTCGGAGTTCTTGATGGGATTGTGAAAGATGGTGCCGTTGCGGTGTTGGGAGATTTGGGAGTGAAGAAGTCCTATGACATTTTGGAAACGCTTGTTGGCGAGTTGCTCGTCTGTTTGACGGTTCCCTTTGCGGCGGGAAGGACCAGACGAGGACATGCCTAGTAAAAAGGTCTAGATTATTAAATTCACCGCATGCGAAGGTACTCATACCTGTTTCCTCCTCGTCGAGAGGTTCTGAACCATCACGGGGACGTTTACGGTCGCGAACAGACTCTGCGGGAGACTCTATGGAAGAAGCTTTACGTTTGCCTGGTGGTGTGTTAGCCAAGCCTTAACAGATATCGTAAGTCACCAACCTTCGCGTCGATGACTAGATGCATCGTCTTGAGGGGTGGGAGACTCAGCTGGCTCCTCATCTGCATCATCTTCCTGTACATCAGCAGGTTCGCTGCCCTTCGTCATTACTTCGATTTCATCCACCACCATAGGCTGTACTTCAAAGGGGCTGGTGTTCGACCGAGTGGTAACTGACGACGGGGAGGATTCTCGCTTAGTCGTATCTAACAATCAAAACGTTGAGTAAAGGATAAGTGCGAGGAAGTTGTCGAGCTACCTTCAAGAGTGGGTTCAGGTTCAGGTTCTGATTCGTCCTCCTCCGCAACCGCAACCGCAACTCCAGCGTTCGGTCCAGAGGGCGGCGGCACTTGGTCCCCATCACCGTCAGTAATGCCCATGGATTGATCAATATCTTCAGGAAGGTCTTCGCCTTGAGGGCTGCGCGGTGCTTCTACGTCTACGTGGTCTTGTTCCATCGGAACATCTCCCAGAGGCGGTGATCCAGTGGACGCTGTGTCTGCCTCCTTTGCGTCTTGTCCCTGGGCACCAGGGAGAATAGAGGGATCTCTACCCAACTCCGGCGAGGGCGGCGACGGTGGCGACGGTGACCATGAAGGCTCTTTTGTTAGTGCCTCTTCCACAGGTGGAGGTGAGGTAACTGCAGTGTCGGTGTCTTCTTGAAGAGGAATATCGACATCGACGTTCTGTACAATGATTTCATCGTCTTCTTGCTGTGCCTCCTGCTGTGCCTCGTCTTCCTGTACCTGCTCCCCATGTCGTTCCTCGTCCTCCTGCTCCGTGTGTAACTCATGCTGTCGAATGTCATCAACCGCTTCAGCAGGAGTCGATTCGGCCTGTGTAGTCGGCTCTTCGCCGTGTGGACTCGGAGCAGTCACTCCCACTTCTTCTACCTCTACCTCTTGTCTGCTGTTGTTGTCCACCTCCTGGTGAAGAGTGGGTAAGACGCAAGACGGGGCCGAAGGGCTTCCAAAATACCTTGTGCCCACTCGATTTCGCGTTGTCATTACGTATAGTATCAATCTCAGCAACCAGCAACCTATGAGCGAGTGTTAGGTTACTCCTGTAGCATTCAAAGGTTGATAATACTTGTATTTCGTTTCCTCGGCAAGTATTAGGTCGCGAAGTTCGTTCACGCGAGCTTGGTAGTGCTTCTGCGCCAACTGCAGATGTATTGGAGCTTCATTTTGTTAACCCGAGCAAAAAGCCGACGTTGAAGCCTCTTACCATGGATCGCATCCACAGCCCCAGCACTGCACCATTTGAGCTCCCAGACCAACGAAGAGATTAAAACCAAGCTTACCCATCCAAACCTGCTTCTTTCATGAGAGAGTCGTACATAGCGTGGCATGACTGACAAAGGAGATATATTAAGCCGAACTATGGTACAGAACAAAAGTGAGCTGACTTGGGCAGTAAAGAAAGACTTGGGGTGGTGAAGAAGGGGGTGTTTGGTGAGCAATTTTGCGACCGCAGGCCAAGAGTTCGCACCCAATTCCCAAACCGCCTGGGCGAGTAGAAGACGGTCAATTGGCTGAAGCGAAGGGGCTTCGTCGACGTCCATCGCGTTTGCAGTTGACTGACGCGTCGAACGGCTGACCATTGATGAATGTTGGGGTTGCACTGCAAGGGCACGAGCGGCACATCCCGAATGTGGACATCAATTTCCCACAGGTGCCCATTACATCAAACTCGAGGGCGGAGCTGCGCGTCTCTTCACCTTCTTCGCTTCAACCACCATGATCTTGACTTCCACCTTGTTGGGCCTTTTGCCCTTTGTCGCAGCTGATGGCCTGCACCGTCTTCCTCTCAAGAAGATGCCGTCGACCGCTAGCAACCCTTCGATGGAAGCTGCATACCTTGCGGAGAAGTACGGCGGTGTGCAGGCTCAAGTTCCCCTTATGGGGGCCGGCGGGTCTGGTCGACGCGTGCCGCAGTCCGACCTCTTCAGGACTCAAGAAGAGATCAACGGTGGCCACAATGTTCCCCTTAGCAGTGAGTTCTTCGCCGCATTGTTGACGAACGAACCCAACCAGTGAAACACAGACTTTATGAACGCCCAATATTTCTCTGAGATCACTCTTGGGACACCTCCCCAGACTGTGAGTTTGTCAATTTGAAGCGTTGACTCGTATACTGAAACGTGCAATCAGTTCAAAGTCATTCTCGACACTGGGTATATTGACCACTTATAGGCGCCGTCGTCATGCTAACGTCGCATGTAGTTCGAGCAACTTATGGGTTCCTAGCACGAAGTGCACTTCGATTGCTTGCTTCTTGCACGCCAAGTATGACTCGAGCTCTTCCTCCACCTACAAATCCAACGGAACCGAATTCTCGATTCAATATGGATCTGGTTCTATGGAGGGCTTTGTCTCTCAAGATACTCTTACTATCGGTGACCTCAAGATCCCTCGACAAGATTTCGCCGAAGCGACGAAGGAGCCGGGCCTTGCTTTCGCTTTCGGCAAGTACGTGTCTTGGCACATATATGCGTGTCATCAGTCTTCTAATCTCTTATGTAGGTTCGATGGGATCCTAGGTTTAGGATATGACACTATATCTGTCAACCATATCACGCCACCGTTCTACAGCATGATCAACCACGGTCTTCTGGACGACCCTGTTTTCTCGTTCAGAATAGGTAAATCGGAAGGCGATGGTGGAGAGGCCATTTTCGGTGGTATCGATACGTCAGCATTTACAGGCAAGCTCAACTATGTCCCTGTTCGCCGCAAGGCCTACTGGGAGGTGGAACTCGAGAGCGTCGGCTTTGGTGATGACCACCTTGAGCTCGAGAACACTGGTGCTGCCATCGACACTGGTACGAAATTGCATCTTCGTGATCGAGTAGGTCCTAACAATGCGCAGGAACCTCTTTGATCGCCCTTCCCACCGACATCGCGGAGATGCTGAACACGCAAATCGGTGCCAAGAAGTCCTGGAACGGCCAGTACACTGTTGATTGCAGCAAAGTTCCGGACCTTCCAGACCTTACCTTCACATTCGGTGGCCAGAAGTACCCATTGGCAGCATCCGACTATATCTTGAACGTCCAAGGAACTTGTATTTCCGCCTTCACTGGTCTTGATATCAACGTCCCTGGCGGATCTTTGTGGATTATTGGTGTGTTCCCTCCTCTCCCCCTAACTCTCGTATCTAAACAATTATCTGCGTTTAGGCGATGTCTTCCTTCGTCGCTACTACACCGTTTACGACAAAGGTCGTGATGCCGTTGGGTTCGCCAATGCTGTATAATCGGACTGTAGCACCTTGTCTTCGAATACGTGAAGTCGCTCCTGAAGCTTGAAGTATGGATGTAAATCTTTGCATGTTTTTGAAAGTTCATTGCATTTCTGCGTTCGAATGGACTAGTCATCGTTGGCTTACATAAAGCGAGTCTGGCAATTGGAATGCATAATACATATATATTGCCCAGGCAGCCCTAACGCTTGTCGATGATAACAACGTCTGACAGTAACGTAAACAGATAACTGAGGAAAGGATGGACCGTTTAATAAGGCTTATGCCTGTTCTTCTTCAAAGCTTGTTCAAGTTGCTTCGCCTTGCGATGTCCAATCTCAACGGGGCGGATCGCATTGTCGTCGGCTTTCTTGAGCTTGACGGGTCGGTTGCCAACATACTTGCCTATAATCACCCATTAGCATAGCCAAACGTCTACTTGTGCACCCACATACCGTCCATCTCCTTCCAGGCCTTCAAGAAGTCCTCAGGGTCCGAGAATGCGACAAACCCATACTTTGCCTGAAGAAGGGTTGAGCAAGACAGCGAAACAGAGAATAATATGATGCTACCTTTTGGCTGAGTCTATCACGAATAACCCGGGCTTTGGTGAAGGAAGTGTACTTGTTAAAAGCATTGGCAAGGACATCATCCGAAACATCGTTGCTGAGATCACCGACGAAGAGCCGAAACCACGCTGCATGGAAACGCATCAGAAACAAGGACAATATAACGGAAAAATACGCACAAGGGTTCCATTCAAGAAGAGTCTGATCCTCCCAGACCTTTCCTCCGCCTTTGCGCAAGACTGTCGTCCGTTTGCCCCCCTTTGCCACTTTGCCCCCTGCTCCACCACGTTTGTCAATCATGGCGCCTGGGACGTAGACACTCTGCTGGGCAAGTATTCCGACGTCGTATTCATAAGCATTGGCGGGTACCGGTGCAGAATGAGCTGAAGATGTGCCAGGAATGGGGTATGAAGGACCAGCGTACGGTTGATAGTATGGATTGACATCAGCTGAATAAAGGATCAGCACCAGCTCAGAGGTGAAATAGAAGTATACTAACCTGATGCGTAGCCATATTGCTGCTGAGATTGAGCGTAGTAATTAGGATCCATGATGCGATTCAAAGTTGGTACAGTGGTGGATGAGAACGAGAGGCACACTGGCACAGCATCAAGGCTAGCATGCGTAGTCGTGTGAAACTATTTCCGTATGCGGATGCTAATCGGTGCAACACTAACGACAGAATTTTGAGTACTCACCACCCCCCTTCCGTCCCCGCCCCCCTCAAGGTATGTCTCAATGCTGTCGATGATATGAATGGACTGCAATGGCCATCCTTGGATCGTATGCTGCTAGACGCGCCGTTTCACGGAGTGTATCCGATGGATTCGAGCGTGATCATCTGGATGGCCCTTGCCCTTCTGACTTGGATCTCTGTTGTAGATGCCCTTCGTCAAGAAAATCAAGTCCGACGCCTACTTCTCTCGGTTCCAAGTCAAATACAGACGGCGACGGGAGGGCAAGACCGACTGTCAGTACATCCCATACAATCTGGCAATTCACTCATAGATAACATGATGCCATAGACTATGCCCGCAAACGACTTGTAACTCAAGCCAAGAACAAGTAGTATGTACCGGAGGGCCTCTGCTCGTAGGAGATATATTAACAAGTGTCAAGTAACGCGCCAAAATATCGACTTGTCGTCCGCTTCACCAACAAGGACATCATCGTACAAGTCGTCTACGCCCGCCTCCAGGGTGACTTTGTCCTCTGCGCCGCTCACTCGAAGGAGCTGCCAAGATATGGCATCAACCATGGTTTGACCAACTGGACAGCCGGTCCGTCAATAATTCCATCGGATTCATATTACTCTTCCTGATCCGTGACTTACAGCATACGCTACTGGTCTTCTCTGCGCCCGTCGTGCGCTCACTAAAATCGGACTGGCTGACAAATACGAGGGTGTTGCTGAGCCAGATGGTTCCCTCGTCCTCACTGAAGCCCTCGACGAAGAAGATGCTCCCCGGCCGTTCAAGTGCTACCTCGATGTTGGCTTGAAGCGTACATCAACTGGTTCGCGCGTCTTTGGTGCCATGAAGGGTGCCAGCGATGGTGGTATTTTCATCCCCCACTCCGACAAGCGATTCCCAGGCTACGATCCGGAATCCAAGGAGCTTGATGCTGAGGTTCTCAAAAAGTACATCTATGGTGGTCACGTCGCTGAGTACATGGAGAGCTTGGAGGAGGAAGATGACGAGCGGTCAGTGCAAACGTTTCTGTTTGTTGTACTGTTGCTGACTACTATCATAGATTCAAAAAGCAATTCTCGACATACCTCGCCGACGGTGTTGGATCAGAAGACATTGAGGAGATCTACACCAGTGCCTACGCCGCTATCCGTGAGGATCCCACTTTCAAGCCCACTGAGAAGACGCAAGACTGGAAAGCCGAGACGCTCAAATTCAAGGTCCCCAAACTCACCCTCGAGCAAAGACAAGCACGCATTGCCGAGAAGATCGAGAAGTTCAAGGCCACTGGAGGTGCCGTGGACGAGGACGAGGAGGAAGACGACGAGTAGATGCACACATTCACTATTTCTACTTTACCGTATGCTGTTATGTCCTCATCTTCTATGCTGCACATGCCATGAGATGCAACTCAATTTGATCGCAGAGAAAGCAAATTCCATTCAGCGAGATGTATTCAATGCTTTTTTTATCAAATTCTCTACCCATATCAGTAGTGTGACAGCCTCTCGTCCATCGTACTTCTCAGTTACACCGAGTTTGTTGAGTCTGTCGATTCTGACAGCTGAACACGAAAACGAGGGTTTGCGATATGTGACCTGCAAGTTCCTTTTGTGCGGTTACGACGTGAGATCACGGAGAGGGAACACAAGCGGTTACTCACAAAGCACACCCTTCCCATTTCCCTACACACCTGCCAAAGTCCACAAACCAGGTTGCGTTGGCAGAGCCGCAAAGCCGATCCCCAAGTTCACATATTTGAAGTAAAAGACAGCGTTCCAACTCGTCGGCAAGCAATCTTCCAAATTGCGGTATTGTATGGATTGCAATGGTGGCCTGAGCAAGATGAACGGTCATCGCCGCGGGAGATGTCATGGTCATTCGCAACGTATGTCTAGAAACGGGTTTTATAAACCGAATTGTTGCACGAAAAATGGAGTTGACTGACTGATCCTGTATTCTCAGAACCATATCACCGCCCAGCTTTTTGTATTGGTCGTCGCTCAAGAACTTAAGTAGGTTCACGCCGGTGTCGCCCACCGGATCGCAGCGGAATGTTGTAGCAACTCCGGCATGTCGCAACGCCCCAACAGCAGCATCTACCTCTGCTTTGAGTCTCAAACAGAATGCTTCGTATTGAAGCATGTCTAATATCGGCTGCAAGAGGCTCGTCTCTGTTTGGCTCCCTTGGGACGAAGTCGTGGTTCCAGTGTTGCCCAAGCGCCGTCGTTTGAGGTGGCCATGTGCACGTATTAAGAGAACATGTAAGGCATAGAAGATAAGGTCGCATTTCCCGACGACGAACGGGTCTTCCGTTGAACGGTTGCCACGGATAGAGGACACCGTGTGAGCATTGACCTAGCGAAAGTTTAGGCCGAAGTACATCAAGATCCTTGTAAAGTTCAACGCACAAGTTCAAATTTCAGTGACATTCCGTGAGCAGCATCCAGAACAATCAACCTCTCGGAAACTCGGGCAGTGGCGGTCGGTAAGTTGCTGGCTTCCTTCACTAGAAATGAGAATATCTCCTGTTCTATAACCTCTTGTTGAGCTGTGCGCAATGACCCATCGATGGTGGAGTAGTCTGCTTCATCCAGGATATTCTGCGCGGATACAGGGTTGCCGGTGGTGATATCTGTGAATGACAGGGAAACACAAAGTCGTAGATGACTGAGTTGAGGGAAGACCAGTATTCCTGCATCAGGTGCGTCAGCTATTGTGGGCATACGACCCACCGCACGCCTTTTGAACATTGGCAGAGCTAGTAATGGGAAGTCAGATGAGTGGGAATATGTAAAATCCATTGCTGTGGAATACGTACATTCTTCCAATCCAAACGAGATTAAGAAGTCTTTTGAAGTCCTATCGGCTCCCTTTCCAGTGGGAGCTCCGAAGGGTAGCGGAGCCGGGATTAATCCCCAGTTCGCTCGCCGAATCTTCAGTGCATCAACCCAGTATTTCTCTCCCTTCACGCGACTGCGGTCCATCCCATCGGCTGCGGCCTTGAACACATCGGCAGCATTCCGTAAAGCCAGATCTTTGCTGCTGATTGTAAGTTGTGCGTTGAAGGCCTTGATGGATGAGATCGGCGGGGGCTTCGTTACAATAGTCGTTGAGAGTTTCGGAGGGGGCTTTGGTTCGGACGTGGAGGATGCAGGTGCGGGTGGCATAAGAGACTGGATCACCGAAACTGGTTGACTAGAGGGCACCGAAGCCAGAATAGTCTCTAGCAGGGCTTTCCCAACCTCCATCTCTCCTTGTGCAACACTGGGCTAACTGAGTAACCTACCATTCTAGTAGAGTGTCCCCGAACATACCTCAGCTCTTGCGCAAGCTCCATGCGCATCTTGAGTAGCTCTTCGGGTGTCATTATTTTGGAGGACAATTCCTCGTCCCCTTCCGCAACCGGTTGCACGTTGTCACTCCTGGCCTGTGGTAGCTCATCGTGGTACGACTTTCCGGAATCGCGTATCCTGTCGAAGAAGTCGAGCCCTCGTTCGAGGAATACCCTCTTTAAGTTCTCGCCTAGGGCTTTCGACGGGGGATCCTTGCTTCATAAAAGTGTGAATCAACGACGGTGCCAATCCATGGAAAGGGGCTCACATACGACTCGTATATAAATTCCCCCTCTGGTGTTATGTCGAGCAGTGTTGGTATTGGTTCTCCATTGTCGTTTTTATATGGCCGTTCGAGTGACAACTTGAGGTCCCTCCAAGTGTTCTGTTGCATCCTGACCGTGGGTTGAGAAATGCATCGTGGTTTAAGCTGAACGTGACTCATTTATTCCAATCGCCTGCAACCTATTGGCCACAGAGACGGCCTCACCGACCATGGTGAAATCCAACATCGACCAGCCCCCGCTCACTCCAATCTTGACTTCTAAACGCAAGAAGGAAGAAAGTGAAGATGTACCAGCGGCCAAGAAGCAGAGAACCCGAGTCAGGTTTGTCCCCTCGCGGCAATTTCAGAGTTATGCTCGACTCATTACAGCTCGCTGGGCAGCTTCTCGTGCGGTGAATGCCACCGTCGCAAACAAAAGGTATTGTCTAGTCGTCCATATACCTATATCTCATGCTCATATCTCGAAAGTGTGATAGGAAGACACCGTGCTCTCATGTACGGCATTCTGTTAACATCTCATGAATGACCGTTGACTAGCATTGTCTAGTGCCTAGCCCGCAAAGTTCCAGAATTATGCCAGCCATATACCCCGGGCAAGACAGATCAGGACCTCAGTGCGAGACTATCCAGGTTGGAACATATCATCGAGATGGCCCTGCCTCAATATTGCACATCAAATGCTACCACCCCCTCGGCGTCCAATCATGCCGGCCACATCGAAACAAGACGGTCTTCTTCCGTAGGCGACGATGATGTACATTCGCAAGCTGACGAGCAAGATTCGATTGGGGGGACATTTCATAGCGGACGATGGTTTGGCAATAGTGCATCGGGCAGTCTTGCGCCGGCCCCCGTCCTTGAATTGGTATGCAAATGCACATCTGCTATAACAAGCAGTGATTGATACGCTGTGAAGCTGGATCACGTTGTTGTCCGTTCATCACAACGAGACGACTCAAATAACAATGGGAAAATCATCCAATCCTCCGGAAATATCTCTGATGGTGTTGCAAACGGTCCGGCCGCCATTATCGACGCGCAGGCGGAACCCTCACCCGCCGATAACCTCAAGAACTTGGTTCAGGAATGTGGCGTATCCCCTCATAAGATATCCGAACTATTGCAAGAACTCCCCCCTTCACGGATATCCGACGTCCTGATAGACTTCTACTTCGACTCCATGTATGTACTCAACCTACATTACTTCTCCCATTTCTAATCCTTATTTCAGAAATTGGACTCGATATCCTATATCCGAGAAAGACTTTCGAACAGCCTATAATTTCGTTCGTGCGCATGGTGCTGACGGAATCGGAGCAGCGAACCCAAACGACGTCCGATTCCTTCCCCTCCTCTTTGTCGTTCTCGCTATCTCCGTGAGGCTGGCACCCGAAAGCATTGGTGGGGACGCTCGCCATAGACGGGTGACGTCGCTGCGATATTACTGGTCTTGTAAGCTTATCAACATCAGAGGCTGGTTGTCTGTTGTTTATTCATAACCGGGTCGAAAGCTCGCAGATCCCTCCTTATCGCTGCTGCCATACAGCCCGACTCCCTGGATATCGTCCTAACTCGGCTACTTGTGAGTAAACGGTTCATTTGGGTGGAAAGTAAATAACGCGAATTCAGAGTGCACGATTTCTGACTTTCGACCGACGCATTACCGAATGCTGGAGTCAACTTGGTGCTGCCGTATGTACAGCACAAGCACTGGGCCTCCATCGTGACGGGTCGACTTTTGTTAGTACACAGAACACTTCGCAGCTACATGACTGGCTAACTTTGGTGTATAGCGGGGAATGGACTCGACGCAAGTTGAATATCGACGTCGAATATGGTGCGTATAATAGTTGGTTCGCCCCTTTCGCTCACTTAATGAGCATTGCAGGTCTTATCTGTACCATGCTGACCGTTCATATGCCCTGGTTCTTGGTCGTCCAAACAATATACAAGACGACTATACGTCTTCGAAGCCACCTTCGAACATCGATGATGTGCTTCCTGTCGCCCGTATCCTCAATGCCACTCCCTTATCGTCGCCCACCCCAATGACTTTCGTCATCCTCCGACACCAACTAGCATCCATAATAGGACGCATGGTACACCACTTCCAGCAGGTCCGCCACCCCAGCCACTACCACGAGGTTATCACACTAGACGGCGAACTGACCAACTTCATCGAAAATCTCCCTCCTCACTTCTCTTTCAAGCCCGATAAATCCCTGGACGCTTCCATGAAATTTATACCTGTCCATCGTTTCCTTTTGATCACGGAGGTTCTATTCGTTCGCATAAGCCTACATAGGCCATACCTCCTACGACGACTACGCTCAGAACGCTACAACCCGTCCCGTACGGCATGTTTTGAGTCTGCTATCAAAGACTTCCAAGTGCGACAAGCGTTCCGAGAAAAAATGCCCAAGGAAACACAAAACTCGTTGAGCAATGCTTATAGGGAGTTCCAAACGGCTATGATCAGCGGGATATACCTGGTTCTGCAACCTCGAGGCCGCGATGCGGTGCAAATGCATTCCATATTAGATGGGTTCCTCAAAGACCACGAGGGCATTCCCGACATGGATGAGACCACTCGACGGGAACTGAAGACGATAGAATTCCTGAAGATCAAGGCCTCTCAAGCGGATAATCAGGAGTCCACACGTTCCCGTACAATCATTACGAATGGTTCCGAGCAAGCTCAAATGTTGCTGGATTTGCAGCAATCGTCGAACGGACATCCACACACGCCCAAAACAGCGTTCACAAATGCAGCGAATGCATCAACAACTCCTCAAACATCACCCAATCTATCGTATTCTAGTGCTAATATAGTACATTCGCCCACATTTCAAAGGCTACAGCATGCGGAATATCCTCTTTCCCCTGCCGGCTCAGGAAGTCCCAGCGCAGACGACGAATCAGCTGCGCAGTCCTTGCTGGACCACTGGTGTAACACAATTAGCAATGGGCCTGCGATGGATGGTATGGGGGGCACCATGGCTTGGCCCACACCCGGCCCCGCGGATTTCACTGCCTGGAGTGGAACACCTCAAAGTTTGGTTGGTACGCCCGATTCGAGAGGGTTGGATGCGTCAGATTGGACCTATTGGGAAACACTGGTCAATCAGATTCGCGCTCCTGGTTCGTAGCTTTAGATGAGTTCTCCTTATTTGATTATGTACGTTGATAGTGTATACCATAAGTTAAATTCGCTTCAATCTGTACTGGGTTTCTTCACTTCCTCACTGCAAGGAAAGCCACGAATGCTGCATTGATGGATAGTGCATAAAGGCGGACATATCGACATCTGGCGTAAAAGTTACTCTCTTGGGGCACCACGACCAACGCCAAACTGAGGCCTGAACTCGCCGGGAGCACCTCCCTCCTTCTTGCGGTAGTCATCACGGTCTCCACGGGGTGCACGGTAAGCACCTTCGGCGCCAGGGCGGACTTGGGCTGGACGAGGAGCGCGAACGGCCTTTTTGTGGGTAGCGGGTACAATTTCAGTGGGGAGGTGTAGCCTAGCGGAACGATAAGATATAAATTTAACAAGTGGAGATCATGCATACCATTCACGGAGGTATTCGACACCCTCGGGGGTCAGAGTGTAGTAGTACCATTGCCAGGAGAATTGTGTCTTGACATATCCCTTGGATGTCAAGCTTTGGAGGGCCTTGATGACCTGAAGGTTAGGAACCTCGAGTTCTTCATGCTTGGGGGCGTTGTAGTCCTTCTTGGCTACCATGACACCCTCTGCGTGTGTGGGCCCATCATTAGACCTACATCCTCCCTTCAACCGCTAGGACGAACCTTTGAAGAGGTTCTCGTAGATGACACGCTTGTTTTCTTTTGAGATAATCATATTGGTGGAGATCTGTGGCGAAGCTCGCTTCGGTGAGCCTGGCACACCGTGAACGCAAGAGATATATGGACGTACTGAGGGGTCGTGCTGTTGGGAAGGAGTGTATCAGCGTTTGTACATCCAATATTGCAAGTTGCCATCCAACGATTCTGAACGTCCCCGAGTCATAGTTTCGACACCTTGGGACATTCCGCAGCGTCTGACAGCATAATGAACACTCACTGGCTTGAGGTTGGCGGGGTTCAAGGCTTTGTCGACGGGCCCTTCGTTGACGACAAATCTATCGGTGGACTGAGAGATGCTTACATAACGTGCCTCCAATTTCCGTATCAAGCCATTTCCCTTTTGGGTCATGGCCATCCCTAATTCCACTAGGCGCCGGTTGCTTGGCACCGTCGCTCAACACCATTATGCAGTCTATCAACCGTTTCTTCTATGGACCGACGCCAGAGGAACGAGTGAAGGCATGGCAGGCAAAGTTGCGCGCAGAGCAGCGGGTTTTGGATAGGGAAATGAGGCAGGTTTGCACGTTACGCCAGCTGCAAGATACTGGAGTTTGACTCATGTCCTTCACAGCTTGATATTGCTACGAACAAGGCGCGGCAGACCGTGAAGCAGCTGGCGAACAAGGGCGATGTAAAGTCCGCACGTATATTAGCAAGAGAAGTGGTCAGAAGCAACAAGCAGAAGGACAGGCTCTCCGTCAGCAAAGCCCGCTTGGGCTCAATCGGCAACCAGCTGTCGCAGCAGCTGGGTAAGCGTCTAGGAATCCTTCTCAGGCGCCCTCGCTGACATGGATGAAGCCCTCTTGAAGGTCACCGGAGCGTTGCAGAAATCCACTGACATCATGAAGCTGTCCAATTCGTTGATCAAGCTTCCGCAAATCAGCCAGACCATGCGCGAGATGTCGATGGAGATGACGAAGGTGTGGAATGTGTGCCTTAGTTTGTGAGTGAATATTCTAATTATCGGATAGGCTGGCATCCTGGAAGAAATGCTGGAGGATACCCTTGACATGGACGAAGATGAAGAAATAGAAGACGAAGCCGACGCAGAAGTAGATAAAGTTCTGTATGAACTGACGGAAGGCAAACTTGGTTTGGCCAGCACGACTGCGGGTCTTCCAGTAAGTTTACCTCTTTATCTTGCGAAACGCACTCTGAGCTTTCGTCTCCAGGTGTTGGAAGATCAACTAGAAGATGAGGAGACGGAGAGGAACATGGAGAAGTATAGGCAGCAACTGAACGGTCTCCTCAGTGGTTAATATTTCATATCGTCGTCGCTGTACATTATCATAGCTTGTGTCGCAGCCTCCCTGTCCTTTCTTATCTTATCTTATCGTTTCACGTGGAACTGATAGCACCTGACAACAAAATCCGTGACATCAGGTCGGGTTGACCGCTTCGATAATTTCAGTCTCTTGCTTCCGTTCTCCGCCTTTCCGAAATCTTCAAAAATGCTCAGGTCGCGGTTCGCTTCTTCCATCCCGCAGAACCTCTTCAGGCATGCACAGGTGGGTTGCTAGTATACTGGGAGAGCACTCAGGATATTCAAACATAATAGGCGGCGCGCCAATACGCTTCCGCCGCTCCAACAGCTGCCTTCGCTGGTCAGAAGGGAGCCAATGTAAGACACTCGAACTAAAGCAAAGACGTTCATCTTATGACAAACGTGCAGGGAAAATACACAGTGACCCTCATTCCTGGTGATGGTGAGTTCGCTTCTGGGGGATTGTGTCGTACGCGATAACCAACCTCTGTACACAGGAATCGGTCCAGAAATCAGCGAGTCCATTAAGGACATCTACGTTGCTGCTAATGTATACCCCACGGTGCTTCAAGTTGTCTCAGGTAGCTGATGTCTCGTTCTGGCAGGTACCAATACAATGGGAGGAAGTTAGCGTCACACCGATCTTGAAAGGTGGAAAGACTGTGATACCAGACGCCGCCATTCAGTCCGTGAAGCGAAACACTGTCGCATTGAAGGGTGGGTTGCTCGACTATATGGTTGAATAGCTTTCTAACGCACGTCTATAGGTCCTCTTGCTACCCCAAGTTAGCATATCCACATTTACTCATATAATATTGCTCACCAACCTAACTTCATACAGTTGGAAAGGGCCACGTATCGTTGAACTTGACGCTGCGACGAACGTTTAATCTTTTCGCCAACGTACGACCATGTGTATCCATCCAAGGCTACAAAACTCCTTACGATGACGTGAACACGGTTCTAATTCGGGAGAACACCGAGGGAGAGTACTCTGGTATTGAGCATGAGGTATTTTACTGACGTCTGAATATACTACGCCTACTTACTGACACATTCAAGATCATCGACGGTGTAGTGCAGTCGATCAAACTCATTACATGGGACGCTTCGGAGCGCGTCGCTCGCTACGCTTTTAATTACGCGCAATCAAGCGGTCGGAAGCGCGTTACTGCGGTGCACAAGGCAAACATCATGTGCGTACACCGATGTTTGATGACAACTCGGTTATTCAATCGGATGCGTGTATAGGAAAATGTCGGACGGGATGTTTTTGTCCGCTTGTAGGGAAGTCTCGAAGGAATTCCCCGATGTAGCCTATGATGAAGATCTTCTCGACCGAGTATGCCTTCAGGTACGATTTGACTGGCATAAGCTTCTATCACAATATTTACTTTGGAGTAGGTTGTCCAAAACCCGAAGCCGTACGCGGACCGGGTGATGGTTATGCCAAATCTCTACGGAGACATTCTGTCCGACATGTGTGCTGGTCTGATTGGCGGACTGGGTCTCACACCCTCCGGTAATATAGGACGTGTAAGTGAAACATCGATTACGGTATATGAATAGCACGTTGCTGACTTGCATGATGAAGGATGCCTCCATCTTCGAGGCTGTTCATGGCTCTGCTCCGGACATCGCAGGTGGGTAATAGCATCTTGTGATGGCTCAGTCTGCTTAACATCACCGCGTTGCTCAGGGAAAGGCTTGGCTAACCCGACTGCGTTATTGTTATCTTCCCTCATGATGCTGAGGTCAGTATGCAGCATTGATCAGGCGTGGTGCTCGCTAATCGCTCGTATTAGACACATGAACCTCAATGAGTACGCAGACAAGATCGAAAAGGCCGCTTTGACCGTGAGTTGAAATTTTCTGACATGCAGCGTGCCGCGTTACTCATCTCTTATTTGACAGACGATTGCGGAAGGGAAAACCATCACTGGAGACCTTGGAGGCAAATCCTCCACCAAGGAGTACACCAGCGCCATCATTGCCAAGCTTCGCGCTTGATTCATTATAGACTATTACCCATAGAGTCCATAGATCTGTAGAGCTTGTTCAGTTGCTCTTCGTGCCCATACCTACGTAATAGATCCTATATTTACTGCCATCAGCAGCCGAGGTTGATGATGTCTTATTGTGGTCGTGGGATTACGCTAAGCGCCCAACCTGAGTGACCATCAAGTCAAGGAGAACCGAGACCAAAACCTCCTCCAACCTTTCGATAAGCCATTCGCATTCTTTCCCCTCACTCGCCCCACAGGGCAAAGCCTTACAACGAGAAAACCATTCCCACTTCAGGTATGTTCAATAATACCGTTCTCTTTCTTTTGCTCCATGATGTCCCGAGCGCTCATGTTGCCGCAGTCCAAACTGTACGATTGCTAGAAATTCCAAAATCCCAAAAACATTCCAAAACCAACTAAACACTCTCTCGCAACCTACAACTACGTTATACGAACGACATGACAGATGAAATAAACCCTCAAGCCCAACAGCAACTCCCTAGAAAGGACGAGAGGAAATCGTCAGGTACTGGGAACGGCCGCAATATGAAGCGGAGCGTGTCTAACTCTCGACCGAGCAATGGTGGAGGATCCAGCCAAGGAGGTACGAGACCTTCATCTAGGTCTGGTGGCAAGAAGGCATCAACGAATGCGCCTGAATCAGGTTCAGATACCAATTCTAGGCGAGGGTCCGATACTGGGAGGAAACCCGATGCGCGCAACAAGAATCAGGGTAACAATCGTGGAGTCCCCAATCGTAGGCCTTCGCAAGGTGCGCGCGGCGGCAGCAACAGCAACAGTGCGACAAGGGAGCAGCCTGCCAAGCCCACCAATGCAGCCCCTCCTCCCACCGAGGGTAGCGATGCCCTATCTTCACTGCAACGAGTCATTGCTGATTTGAAGACCACCTCACCAGTTCCGCCAACCCCTGCAAGCAATCCGCTGACCAGTGTTGCCCAACAGTCTACGTTACCCGCCAATGCGCCCGTCTTCACACCTGGTGCTTCCGCTTACCCTGGCAATCCGAATCATCGCAAAGCTGCATCTATGGGCGCCGGCGGATATTCCGGTATGAATAACTTCTCCCCCAACCTTGGCTCAATGATGGAAGACGCGGAGGATGGCACGGGTAACGCAACATTTGAGGAGGGCGAGATTCAGGACAGCTATGCGCCTCAGCAACCCACACATCAGCCCCGTTCGCAATCTCAAAGCTTTGTCCCTCCTCGATTCGCCGCTCTCGCTGCTGCACAACAAGACCGCGACAACGTTGGCCCTACTGGTCGACCGCAACTCGCTCCTGGGTTTATGTTTGGAATGCGTAAGCGCGGAATCCCTATGGGACCTCCCATCAGCGAAGAGGATACCGGTTTCCAATTCCCTCAACAGCAGCAGCAGCAGCAGCAGCAATATCAACAGGAGCCTTCTCCCCAAGAACAACAAAGGAAGGGCGAGAATGGCGAAATCACTGGTATCATGGCTGAGCAGGTTGGTGCATAGTTACATCATATGTTTGAGAGCTCTGACATTGGTTGTTTTAGATTGCTATCCAGAATCAAATTGAAGCTTTGCAGCAACACCAGCAAGCTTTGTATCAACAACAACTTGCCTCTGGTCAGGTACTTTCCCTTGGGACCCCAGGTCTTGCGCCGAATCGAGGAAACGCCCACCGACGCGTTCAAAGCACTTTGCCTGCTGGTCTCGGTGTCGGTAACGCCTTCGGTGCGCTGCAGAGCAACATGGGCCAGTTCGGTAATATGCCTTCGCTCCCTCTTGGTCTTGACAATCAGCAAGGCGTTCCCCGCGGACATGGGCGACGACACAGTGTAAATGTGGTTAACAAGACACCTTCTCAGAATGCGCAAGGGATGAACATCGGTGGGTTCAATGGTCAAGAAGGCTTCGACGATGGCTTTGCCCCTCCCTCTTTCGGCGGTCACTCTCGCCAGGCATCCCGTGCCGACTCGAGCTGGCGGATCAGTACGTTTCATCTTTATTACCAGCTGAGCATCTCGTTCAACTATAATTCGTAGATGGTGGAGTCGGTGGCATGCAACCCAACACCGCTTTTGCTTCCGATCTTGCTCAGGCGCAAGCCCAACTCCAAAGTTTGCAGCAGTTCCGCGCTGCCGCTGGAGGTCATCACCACAAGATGCCCTCTTTCAGCTTCCCTAACATGCTCCCCAATATGATGGCGGCGAACATGATGGGCCTGGGACTCGGTGGTTTCAATCTCGTTCAGCAGCAACAACAGTTCCAGTCTCAATTGCAACAACAGCCTCAGCGCAAGTCCCTGTTCGCACCTTACCTTCCTCAGGCATCCTTGCCGCCTCTTCTCGCTGCAGGTAAATTAGTCGTTGGTATATTGCGAGTTAACAAGCGAAACCGATCCGACGCCTATGTGGCTACCGAGGTCCTCGACGCCGACATCTACATTTGTGGCTCGAAAGATCGCAACCGTGCCTTGGAAGGTGATATTGTGGCTGTTGAACTGCTAGACGTCGATGAAGTCTGGGGTACTAAGAAGGAGAAGGAGGAGAAGAAGCGCAAGAAGGAAGAGAACTCTGCCTACGACATCAAATCTTTCTCTGGTCGCAAAGACGACAAGAAGAAGGATGACGTTGAAGTCGAAGGGCAAGGTCTCATGCTATTTGAGGATGAGGAGTAAGCAACAATATCTGGGAAGAAGTTCATCTGCTAACAGCTCTTCTGCAGGGTGACGGACGAAATCAAACCTCAATTCGCTGGTCACGTCGTAGCTGTCGTCGAGCGTATGCCCGGACAACTCTTCTCAGGAACCTTAGGACTCCTTCGGCCTTCCTCTGCAGCGACTAAGGAGAAGCAAGAGGCTGAGCGCCGTGAGCGCGAGGGTGATCGTGGAGACGAACCTCGTCGTGCCCCGATTGAGCGCCCTAAGATTGTCTGGTTCAAGCCTACCGACAAACGAGTGCCGTTAATTGCCATTCCCACCGAACAAGCCCCTCCAGACTTCGTCCAGAACTCGGACGATTATGTGAACAAGCTCTTCGTTGCCTGCATCAAGCGCCACGTAAGTGTTGTGTTATTGTGTTGATCCCTGAGCTTAACTCCTCTGTCATAGCCTATCAGTTCACTTCATCCGTTTGGAACTTTGGTCGAAGAACTCGGGCCTATTGGTGATATTGAAGTTGAGACAAGCGCCCTGTTGAAAGATTGCAACTTCCCCACGGAGGACTTCACTGATAACGTCCTCAAATGCTTGCCACCCATGCCATGGACGTAAGTCGCAGTACCGGCCTTTCTGCTTTCCCCTCTGATTCAACGTATCTTTAGGATCTCCGATCATGAGCTGGGCGTTCGCAAGGATCTGAGAGCCGAGAGGATATTCACGATTGATCCCCAGACAGCCAAAGATCTTGACGATGCATTATCTGTGAAGGTGAACGAAGATGGTACATACGACGTCGGCGTCCACATCGCCGATGTTTCGTACTTCGTGAAGCCCAATACCGCGTTGGATCGCGATGCCCGCAAGCGTGCCACCAGTGTTTACCTTGTCCAGCGAGCGGTTCCTATGCTCCCCCCTGCATTGAGCGAACGGCTATGCAGTCTTGTGCCTGGTCAAGACCGACTGGCATTCTCTGTGGTTCTAACCTTCACCAAGGACGGCCGAGTTGTCAAGAAGTGGTTTGGCAAGACTGTAATCAAGTCGGCCGCTCAGCTCTCCTATGCTGACGCGCAAAACGTTATCGAAGGCAAGACGCTTGGTAACGTGGCCGTCATTCCAGAGCACAATGCTGCGGATATCGCGCACGACATCAAGGTCTTGGAAGACATTGCTAAACACTTACGAGCCCAGCGTATCGACAATGGCGCTCTTAGTTTGGAATCCCTGAAACTGTCTTTCTCTCTCGACGACAATGGATTCCCTACAGATTGTGGCCCAGTGGAATACACAGACGCGAACAGGCTCGTCGCCGAGGTGCGTTACTTGCTTTATGTACGATCTATGCACTAAAAATCAAAACAGTTCATGCTTGCTACCAACATTGCCGTTGCTCAACATATTGCTGTCCATCTACCTGAGCAAGCACTTCTCCGTCGTCACGATCATCCATTAGAGCGAAGGCTTGTGCGTCAGCTCCCTCCCTCCCTGATGATACCATGGCGCTAACTTAGATACAGAAAACCTTCGTAGAGCGTGCTGCCAGACTTGGCTATACCATGGATGTGTCGTCATCGGGTGCTCTGATGCGATCGTTCGAAGGCGTCAAGGATCCTTCCTCACGTCGCCTCTTGGAGCTCCTCTGCTTCAAGGCCACCCAGCGGGCTAAGTACTTCTGTGCCGGCATGTTAGACATTGCCAAGTACCACCACTTCGCGCTTAACTCCCCCCTTTACACTCATTTCACGTCGCCAATTCGTCGATATGCTGACGTCTTGGTACACCGAGAACTGGAAGCCATCCTTCAACAGAATGGTTGTAAGTTGATTTATCTTCTGCAGTGACTATTTCTCACAATATCTCTAAGCAGCCGACATCAAGTTCAGTATGGATCGCGACGCCGTGGCCAAAGTCGCCCAGCAGTGCAACATGTGCGTACTTCGATGAACTCTGAGAACCTTTTACTGATCTATACTCTCGTAGCAAACGCGATTCCGCTCGCCTCGCTCAGGAGCAATCTGCTCATCTCTTCCTTTGCGTCCTCATCGCCGACCTTACCCAACGCTACGGACCTGTTGTTCGTCAGGCCAAAGTCGTTGGTGTCTTGGATGCAGCATTTGATGTACTCGTCCCCGAGTTTGGCATTGAGAAGAGAGTTCACGCCGATCAAATGCCCATTGATGTAAGAGGCCTTCCTTCTATAGCAAAAAGTTCATCATACTAACAAGACATCTTAGAACCATGTCTACGACGAACACACGCACACCCTTCAGATATACTGGTCTAACCGTGATGTGATCACATGGTTGGCCGAGAACAGCGATGACGAGCATTTGAAGAAGGTCAAGCAGAATGCGGAGCAGCACGCCCTGAAGATGGAGGTCGCCTCGCGTTCCGTCCACGACGAGAAAGCTCTTTTCGACGAAGATGATGCGGACGAGGACGAAATTGTTCTAGGCCGCAGCAATCCAGCCGAGGACGTCAAGGAGACCTCGAAGCAACGCCTCTTGTCCATCGCTAAGGTCAAGCCTGAGTTTGAGGGTTTACGACAGACTAGCGTTGGTCACAAAATCCAAGATATCCGTGAACTCATGACGGTTCCCGTACGTTTCCTTACCTCCCTTTCTGGCTCCAAGCTCACCTCCTTCTAGGTCATCGTCACCGCCGACCTCACCAAGAGCCCACCGGTTATCAAGGTCTACAGCGTCAACCCTTATGCTGAGAACCAGAACTGACCCCCAACGGATAAATGATTCCATGACCAACTCCCCCTGCCCCCTTGTATTTGTATCCCGACATTTCACGACCATATGCCTTCCTTTTCTTTGCCATTCTTTTAAGACCAAACGGAAGCCGTCTTCATAGCCACTTTCGATGCCTATCGCTCAGGAAACAATCCTATATGGTCTGTAGTCTGTTACGTTCATGTATAACTTCAACGACGCGAGGAATAATTACGTCTATGCTTGGATCTCAAACCCGTTTCCTGAGTATTCAATGGCAAGCTCAAAGGATCCACGACGCTACAATGCTCAACCTGATATATTGATGTAGATGCTACATGCACACAAACGAAATACGAGAACGACTGTAGCTAGCTTTGTGCGAATAAAATATTAGCTGTTACAAAGATGCGCGTACTAATTGGCAACAGTAAAAGAGAGACAATGTGCACTGACGAAATACAAGTGCTATTACAGTATAAACGAAGTGAAGTGAGTGTGATCATAAATGAGTATGGTTATGAGTTGAGTATGAATGAATATGAGAACAAATATCAGCAGCAAATTTGCTAGATCCAGCCAGCAGGAGGTGTTTGCTGCGGTAACCGACGAATGGAGCCGTTGCTGCTTTGACTTCGGCTTCGTTGGCTACCGAGCCAGGACTGAGGGGTAGGGGGAGAGCGGGCGTTGGGTGGGGTGGAACCAGTAGGTGGGGTCTGAGGGTGTTCCTTGGGTAGCGGAGGCCGTGATGCGACAATTTTCTTCGCTGAAACTTGAATGGTTTCGTGTTCTTTATCCTTGATACTAGCACCCAGCGACTCCGGTATGCTATGCACCGATGCCTGCATACTATGTATTGACCCCGTTCTCGAGATCGAGAGGGAACTCGACGACGACGACGAAGAGGTACCGCTTTTCTGTCGGTGGCGGAGCTGTGATTTCACTGTCCGAGGCGATACGCTGCGCACGAAGAGAGATGGGTTGGGGCGGGAATCGAGGCGAGAGTAGCGGGTGAGTTCCTTCGTGCAGAGCTCAACGAGGGCGTCGAGGCCCAGGAAGTGGGCTTCGTCTCGGAGCTCGAGGAGGGACTCGAAGCGCGTGGAGTTGGAGGTGAAGTGCGAGGGATAAGAGTTTGTGGAGGGGAGTCTGACGGTGTGTGGGAGGACTTCGGGGTGTTCATCCGTGCCGAGAGGGGAGCGGAGGTAGTGGAGGATGTGAGCATATCTGCGAAAGAAACAGATGAGTAATCAGACAATTGAGCATGGAGAGGAGGAACTTACGGAGTACTCGGTCTGTCCAGGAAGAGGTGCATACTGAACGAACTCTGGGAAAGCAGTCCCAACCCGGTGAGGTGATGCTGGTACGTTGACATATCATCACTCTGGTTCGAATATATCGACGCCGCGTCGTTCTCTTTCTCCTGTGGGTGCAGTAGGGAGATGAGGTAGGATGCGAGGTGTGATGTACGGGAGCACAGCGTATCAACTGTTGTGCGATAGCTCGAGGTTGATGTTTCCAACGTAATGATGATTTTGGAGAGGTCAATTGCACTACTTGGTATCTCGGAGAGCAGTATTGCACGGAAGGCTGGGGGAGGGGAGGGTGGAGGCACGCCAGCATCTGCGTTAGAGATTGCTGAGGTGGAAGGGAGAGGTGGCACAGGGAAGTCTTCAACACTGTAAGACGATGTTGACCTCTCAATGGCGATTGCCTGCGGAGCAGGCCTTGGTCCTATTGGGGGGATCTGTGGCGTGTTCTCTCCTACAGGCGGAGGTGGAGTGCGGCGTAATTCTCTGGGCGGCATTGAGAAAGATGACAATGAAGATGCTTCCGAAACGAAGGAGTTCGGGTCTGATAAAGGAAGGGGTGGCAAGGAAGGGCTGTACGGGGGCGAAGGCAATTCGCTGTGAATGCTCGCCTGATCTACCTCGAGCTGAGGGCGCTCGGAGATTCGGGTGATCGGCTCATGCTCTACACGACCAACAGTCCCTTCAACCTCGTCAACTTCATCAAGTGACTCTTGTGAGACCGGTGCCCCGAATCTCTGTTGCCTAGCTGCGAGCTGGCGCTCCTGTAACCTTCCACGCAGAGAATCCGTCGATGGAAGGCGGTGATGTTTAGGCTTCGATATTGTTGTTGATGATGATGACGCTGGGAGCTCTGGTTCTGATTTGGGCACTAGCGAAGATGGCTCGAATGATTGATCTCCGTACGTGAGGCGGACACTAGAGTCTCTCAGGGCCTCGTCTGGAGTGCGTACTACGGTGGCGCCTGCGCCGAGAACACCTCGCCTCTGGGGGCTGAGAATTTCAATGGATCGAATAGACTTGTCCTGTCGTCCTGACACGGAGCCGCTGTTGTTCCTGCTCAGCCAATGCATTGGATTTGAGATAGAAGGTCGATTCCGATGGTGCCCACCGGGGGTCGTCGTCGGTGGCGAGAACTTGAGTGTAGACGCAGCTGCAGCAGCAGACGAGGAGGCAGAAGAAAAGTCGTGCTGCATTGGATGGGATATAGAGACGGGGGTGCGATTCCTGCGTGGTGGTGGTTGAGGAGAAGAAGCAGCAAGCATGATGGATGGATGTGGGCTTTGGCTGAGAAGCCGCGATAATATATAATACAAGCGACAACAATAGCCCTTTCAGCACAACAATAGACTTCGCGTTGTTTGGCGCGTTGTTTGCATCAGATGCCGCCGACCCTGAAAGGCACCGGCCACCCCCTGTTCACATAGGAGGCCTTCCTCGTCCACTCAGCTTCAAGCGATCATACTTGCAGTCAACTTCAACTACTCTCCTTTGTAAATGGGGCAACTAGATAGATAGGATGCTAGTGCCGGGGCCGCATGTATAGCACCATTAGACGACGTCAAAGCTGCTTGGACCGCAAACCCATGCATATTCCTCATGTCAACCAACAGTCAGTGTCCCCTTGTGGGCTCATATCTTCTAGATAGCGCTATTGACCCCGTTTAGAGTACCACCAGATGTAATTCCTCTTCACAGATGGACCGCAAGGTGTTTCACCGGCATAAAGCCTTTGCTCATGGTCATGCTAGAGCTTGTGCCCGTCCACATGTCCGACGAATAAAAATATTCAGTGCTTACGATTGGTTTTTAGTTCCGTACTCTCACGTATTCGCCGTTACGGCCTACGGTAGGACATAAATCCCGAACTCCAAATCCAAATTTCCACTTGGTGCGGACCAAAATTAATGAAAGTGGACGGCATGAGACTGCAACACTGCAGTCGTGTCACTGACCAGATGAACAACATCACATCCGAGAATAGCCCTACCACGCCGAAGCAGCACGTCGCCAGCTTACTTCCAAGATCGACCCACTCTAAATTCGGCTTCTCGGACTCACTACGACCAACAGGCGCCCATAACTCGGAGTGCATGGCACCCTTGCCCTCGCCCATGGACGACATCGACCCGATAACGCTCAAATACCAGCAATCCATTCCATTAGTCCTCCTTCCCGCGTCGAGCCACCTCGCTGCCTTCCACGTCGCACGTCTACGCCCTCTCGCTAATCCCTCTATTCAGTTGGCTTCCCTGCAAGATTCTGACTCGCCCTTCTGCCTGAAATGCGGCTCGTTATACACGCACGCCGGAAACACCCGCATCCTCCGTGTTCGCCACAAGATCTCGACTTCGAAGAGGGAACGAGGCCTCCAAGAACAGCAAGAACAGCACAATGGACGTGTCCAAGTAAAAGGAAAAGATAACTACAAAGACAATGTGGGAAACAAGGACTCGGTGGAGTGTGGAGACTCAGCAGCAGGAGAAGTGTTTGCGACGGAACGTGTTCCGAGGGTTCTACAGCGTAGTTGTGACGCGTGTGGCTGGGTGTCGAGGGTTCCGATTCCGCCACAACAACAGGACAAGGCAACATCCCTCCCGAAGAAGCTGAAAGTCCCTACCACCGAGCTGCCTGTCTCGTCGCTCCCATCTCCCATACACTCAGACTCAGCCACATCTGCATCGTTATCCAAAGCATCAATGAGATCTTCGATCAGACCCAAGGAGGCTCCCGCACCTACCGCAATGCTCGCCCAGACATCAGCATCAACGAGTCGCAGCAAATCACGCTCAAAGAAAAGCACACTTCAAGACATGCTCGCCCGGAATCGCAAGCAGGAAGCTAATCGTACCCAGCCATCGGAATCAAATAATCTTGCGGCGTTCCTGACCGGTCTCCAATGATGTCCATTACAGTTGCAATGATCAATGAATGTCTCGCGCACTGGTCTAACTATATGCTACTTCTACGAGTAGAACGAACGAACAAGCAGTAAACGAACAAGTAAACGAAGAAAGGAGTCATATACACTCAACCACTGTCCGGCTGCTTGCCGTGTCCCAGCTCTATCGAAGCCTGCGGCGATCTTTCCTTTGTTATCGGTGTCGGAGTGATGAAGCGACCGGGCCAAAATGGAATGAAGACAGATATGGCGATGAAAAGGGGAAGCGTATCAAGGCAGTAGAACAATTTCTCTGATGTAGCGAGGGGTCCTGCGAACCCTTCTGATAGTTCGACAGTCCGGAAGACGGATCGAATCTAAAGTTATACGCCGACGGTGAGACACGAATGCATGACGCGCGGGAGGGGAGTGGGGCTTGGGTGTAAATGTGGAAGACGTACCAGGATACCAATGCAACTGATGACCAATGCACACCCTAGAGCGCGCCAGTCGTTATACCACGCCTTGTTTGAGTCGATGTTCCAGATTTCCTGTCGGCGGGTGTACACTCGGTATAGGAACAAGAGGAGTATAATAGTGAAAATGACGAATGAGAGTAACTGCGCGGCCAAGCCAGCAAGGAAGATCTATACGTTTGTACTTCAGTCATTTATCTGTCTGAGATGATAACACAAGTGCAACGCACATTAGAGCCAATTTCGTTTGTGTGGAGGTCGCGACTTGAGGCTGACACGCCTCCGCCTGCAGCCTGGACGAGGAATGTAACGACATCCGACGTGACGAAGGCAATAGTGATTCGTCGCGGTCTCACTGCCAAGTATTCATCGCAATCTATGTATGCGGCCAAACGGCCTAGCAGGACGTATGTCGCCGCAATAAATGCGCACGGCTATAATGGGACTGTTGGTAATCGCAATGATCCAGCCGAACGCGCCACTCACCGAAAGCACGACGAATAGATATTCGGCGATGTACAGTCCTGTCCCCTGTGGCTGGAAATGCAGGCCGATTCGTAGGGCGATACCAAGTGCAAACGCTACCAGTCAACGCGTTTAAACGCATATATGGATGAAAAAGGTGCATTCGACGTACTGTAGCACCCGATCACCATTGCGAGCATATATTTCGCCCCTCGTTTGTATGTCAGCCATGTCTGAATGAGTCCCACAGCGAGAACAAGAGCTGGCATTTCAATTTAGTATTCCGGTGAGACCGAAAGGCATATAGTCACCCACCGAAAGCAATTCCCGAAATTGTGGTATTCGAGATATATCGTAGGGGGTTACAAAAGTCATTCCGGGGATCGAGGTATGGGTCCGGACATGGAAAGTCCCCTCGAGCTGCTAAAACGAAAGTGGGATGGAGGAAGAGGGAAAATGCGGCAATAATGGGGAACCGCCGCGAAACGGTGCTGCACACAGTCATGATGGTCTGTGCGGTGATTAATGTGGGGTACGATAAAGAGAGGGCTCAAAGTCAAATCTGAAATCCTAGCAAGGAGTCGGTATAAGTATGCGGGGCCGGCGATGCCGACGGAAGCACAAAGTATGTCCGCGTCCGGCCTCACTACTTTTCTTCGAAAAAGGATCAAAGTCTATATGAAGACTGTGTGACGGCGACCAGTGACTTTTTATCAGACATCTGCCCTCCAAGATGACCTACTCGAGCCTATTCGCTGGTGGCAACGACGCCAGAACTTGTTGAAGGAAGACATTGCCGCGGAAGCATCCCAACGGAACGCAATCTTCCAAGCCAAAAGCCCAGCTCCAAGCGTATAGGGTGAGGTCCAATTTTGGCACTGAAGTAGGCAATTTTCCGAAGATTGCAGGTATTATAAATCAACGGTCGTGTGGCAGACTTGGGCGGTATGAGATGAATCCAGGTCCCAGTATCGTTACGGGGATAAAGACAGAGCGAATGGGGCGATCAGAGCGACCAATGTGCAACAGGCTGCAACAGGCCAGTTCTGTAGGAAAGGGTATTGATAAGCCAAATTTGACTTTGACATACGGCATGTACAAGAAACAGGAAACTACCCCTTCGGTGCCCAGAGGTCATACAGTTCCTTCTCCGTCACGGGATCAAAGCACGATATCATCGCAGGATCCGAGCGCACAACAATTTTTCGTGTCGTAGAAGGATTGACTGTGACCGCGGTGCGGAAGGATGATCGAGCCATCGAATCGTTCAGCTGGAGCTTTGGGGAAGTGCCGTGTTGCGGGGAGGTTTCTGAAGAGGAGGTCAGGGTTGGAGATTCAGCACCGCCCGCGGGAATAGAGGGCTATTGGCAATGTTTTCAGTAGGACCGTATGCCTGGCGCTATGCGCACACACCTCCCCAAGCCCAGTATTGTTACGGTTTCTCAAGCCTGTACGAGGGTTTGCGGGAGAGCCTGTGAGGAAGTAAAGCGGATTTGGTACCCATGGCGACCTTGCAGAGCTCAAGCTCACCTGTTGTTGAATTCATGAAGTGCTCAACGACTCAACGAAATACAACAAGTTCCTCAGGGTTCGTAGACGTGACACACAGTCCCGTGACTCCGTCACACCGCGCCATTCGATGACTCGCTAAAGGGGGCCTTTATGTTCAATCCACCACCATAACTCTTTCCCTCATAACTCTCTTCTCATCAGTGTCGATATCCTGTAATGAACATATTCAGAAGCCGTACGTGTCGAACCCGGATGGCCTCTCTGGATGCCCATTGCTTATCTTATCTGGAACAGTGATTGGCAAAGTTTGGCGTATGTATTTCCATCCAAGTTGGCAACAAGGTCGCCTGACTCTTTGGCATCGCCAGATGACCCAAATGCCGCTGAAGTGGTGAAGATCTCTACGGGTCAGCTGTATCTTGTCCGCCCTGGCAATATTCGCTCGTCCCGGGAATGCATGTAGGTTACACTTACAGCAACCTTCGCATCGCCACCGCTCATCTCTATGTAGATTCAACGATGCAATGATCACTATCAGGCGCGTTCCCACCGTGGAACACAATTTCCAACTAGTTGTAACGCGCGTGTATGAGGAGGGCGACGAGGATTTGCTAGAGGATGAGGACGAGAGTGAGTTCAACTCTCCCAACTGCAATGACTTGACTTATCAAAGGTATATGCAGCGGATGCCGAACGAGTGTGTCTCATAAGCGAGGAACTGGAGTTTCACACCGGGGTGACAGACGGCGAGCCGACCTTCATTTGGAGGGATCTCCAAGGAGACATCGATGAACTCTACGAGTTTGTAGCCATTGGGACCAACGCACCGACGCGAGCGTTCTTCGAAATGTGTATGTATCGCGCCATGTTCGAGCGGAAGTACAGACGAGCCGGGGACAACGCTGTTGATAAAGAGCTTGAAGAGTTTATCTGGCAGTACGTCGTTGCTCAGCTCACTAGCTGTTTGTGTGTATTAACATCATACTAGGCCGCCTACACCTACCAAGAAACACGCAACTCCGAAGAAAGCCTCAAGGGGCTCGCCACCAAAGAAACGGACTTCCGCCGTGAAATCGGAAGACGACCTACCGAAAGTCGAGCCTACCCCGGAGTCCCCCAGCGCCAGCAGAGCATCTTCTGAATACGAGGTGGACCCTGTAGCTACATACCCGGCGCTTTTGTCGGTTCCTGCCGGCCTGCACCAATGGAACACTGACACCGAGAACTTCGAGCCTTGGGGTGACGCCGTGGCGCGGATTGTGCAAGATCCAGATGATCAATACAGCTTCTACTTGGCAGCTACTCTCGATGACGCTCGGTTCATTGGACACAAAGTAACGACGGACATGAATCAGAAGTACTCGAAGAAGATCTTTACGGTGACATGGAATCATATTGATCGCGATGGCTCCCAGACGAGTTGGGTCCTGCAATTCCAGAACCTTGAGGATTTTGAGACGTTCCAGAAGTTGCTTGGTCAGTGTATGTGGGAATCTCTCAACCGTTTGCCCTACGCGAAAGTTAAGGTGCGTTGAATTGACAATTGATGTGATGTTGGTTCTCATATGTCTGTCTGATTGTACTCCATGATAGCCCGAAGAACAACGTTACATTGAGAGCGCCAATGAGGACGTTGAGATGGCTGATCCCGAGTACGAGGATGAAGACGACGAAGAGGAGGTACTCGATGAATTGGACCCCGACGCAGGTTAGAAACTCGTGGCTTGTCCTTCCGTTTCCTATACTAACTGTTTGTGCTCCTTCGTCCCAGGCGGGTCAGATGAAGAGTCGGACCCTGAAGAGGACGAGGACAATGTCCCCGAGATGTTCACTAACGGAGACCTCAATTCACAATTGACGGTTGGTTATAAGAACGATCGCTCATACGTCCTACGCGGGAACACCCTTGGGGTTTTCAGCCACACAAACGACGACCAGGTTAAGTATTATAACTCCATCAAGAAGATCGGCACTCCAAAGGGCAAGGAGTTTAAGCCCAAGCATGTAATTATGGTGTTCATCACCCCGAACGATTCATAAACTTACTTCTCGGCCATATATAGATCATGTTGCATGACCAGGACAGCAAGATGGTGCTAATGAACCCGTCCGAGCCCAATTCTCTATATTCCCTCGATCTCACGGTCGGGAAAGTCGTCGAGGAGTGGAAGGTTCACGACGATATTTCCGTTAATGCTGTCGCGCCCGACAGTAAATACGCCCCAACTACCCGCGAACAAACGCTCATTGGTGTCTCTCACAATGCACTTTTCCGCATCGACCCTCGTGTCTCCGGCACGAAGCTCGTCGAGTCACAATTCAAGAATTACGCGACCAAGAATGCTTTCTCAGGCGTCGCCACCACGGATTCTGGCAAGGTTGCTGTCGCCAGTTCGAAGGGTGATATACGGCTGTATGACTCCATCGGGAAGAACGCCAAGACAGCTTTACCACCACTTGGTGATCCAATCGTTGGTGTTGATGTTACTGCTGATGGGCGCTGGATTATTGCGACAACGAAGACATACCTGCTCCTAATTGATACGCTTATTGGCGAAGGAAAATACCAAGGATCATTGGGCTTTGATCGAAGCTTCCCGGCTACAGCAAAGCCCATGCCTCGTCGCTTGCAACTGCGTGGGGAGCACGTCGCGTACATGAAAGATGAAATTAACTTCAGTCCCGCACGGTTAGTCCTTTACTCTGTGCTCCATTGATAGTTATCTCTGACTGTCGTTCAGGTTTAACCAGGGTGAAGGCCAGCAAGAGAATGCTATTGTCACTTCGACAGGCAAATTCGTTGTAGCTTGGGACTTCACGAAAGTGAAGCGGGGGCAACTCGATAAGTACGAAATCAAGAAATACGAGGACCATGTCGTCCAGGATAATTTCAAATTTGGTGATGACAAGAACATCGTGAGTTCCATCTTTGCTGTCGTCCCTATCATTTGAATTTATCACATCGATGTAATCAGATTGTTGCGCTGTCTAACAATGTTCTGGCATTGAATAAGAAAGGCCTTACTAGGCCCACCCGGAAATCTTTGGGAGGGGGTTTGGCGGGCTCATCAAACATCGTCAACAGCCCGTGGTAAGTGGTGGTTTCGATATACCCCCTAGGTGTATACGATTTCTGTCTAGCGTTGTATCCATCTTTGTATATACTCTATGTACCCTGGTATGTAAAACACTGTAATACGAGAGCCTCGGCGGTTAAATAGTCCTCGTCAGAGTCGTTAAAGCAAAAGTGTGTCCGAGCGAAAGGTAGCCTAAGGAGCGTGATAGCGGGAAGGACTGACAGCGGATGTAAGTACAAGAAATATATAGGTATGACGGTGGGTCGCGATTAGCGATCCTTCATGGATTGCTAGCTCTTCCGCAGTGCGGGAGAATCGCGGGAGTCTACGTAGCGGCCGATTCCAAAGTTCCAGCAAATCCTCGGGATCATCAAGGTGAACCCGAGCAACAGTGTTGTCCAGAGCATGGGGCTCCAGTTCCAAGGCTCCCATTTCTGATCGCCCAAAGCCCACAGGGTGACATAGGCATGCAAGATATCGCCGATAAGGAGTGGTATGAGCAGGGAGCCGACTATCTTCTCCTGTAGTGCTGGGTTCGAGGAGAGATGTCGCCGAGCAGTGGTCAAAACGAAAATGTTTATGACACCGATCAAGCCACAGACGTTGGCCAACTGCGCTACCGTAACGAATGTTGCGCGAGGAAGTGGGCCTGATGGAGGTCCTCCTTCGCCCCAGGGTGCCTGTGCGTCATGAGTCTGCGGTTCGAAAAATCATGAGCCTCGATAAATGCCTCAGTGAGCAAGATGAGCTCACGGTCTTGGGGTCACTATTTACCCAACATTAGCCAACCCGAGTATTTATAACAAGCATCGAGACAAAGACTTACAAAAGCGTGCCAATGAACCCCATGGTCGTCAGAAATGGCTCGTATATGCCAAAGATGGCGTAATATACATCTGGGAGAGCAGAGATGGGGGACATTTCGCAAGCAGCTGCGAGAACGGACGATGGGTATGTTTTATGCAAGTAGATATGAAATCTCGGCTCCGGGGTGACGAAACCCAATGATGGCCCAGGTGATTGTGGTGAATAAGGTAGAATGAGTCCCTTCACTCCTGGGACGTATCTACGGAGAAAACAAGAATAGGAGGAGAACAACCTAGAAATGTCAGAAAAGAAGGAGAATTGCGGGAATATTGAACGTTTGGATGATTGAGCGCATCTGAGTGGCCTTTCATTGAATCCATGTTTCACGTAAGCAAGATGTGTAGCCGGAGGGTTGAACGTGAGAGTGTCCCTGGACCGGCCCTAACTCGGAATCCCTACTTCAGCGTGGCGCCACAAGATTTTTTCTTCATTCTTACACCACGATCCTCTATAAACCATGGTGGGCAATGAGATGCTCGACGCTGCCAAACCTAATGGCGGGGACCAAGAAAACTCTCCTGAATGGAGATGGTAGATATAATGCTTATTATCCCTTGTTTTTTCACTTGGAGTGAGCTTCGCTTCTACCTGACATTCACGTATTATATGTTCTAGTTCCGAGTAGTGCATGTAACATGTTGTAATGATTGTGATGGGAAAATAAATAGTGCATCGGATAAATACTTGTGGGGGGAAACGTCTTACTCGGAGGTTTGCTGAGGCTCGCCGAAGAACTTTTGGGCCGAAAGATATGCTTCGTGCTCCTTACGATGGTTCACAACGGTCTTGTCCACTCCGCGACGCCAGTCGGCGAGCCCAATCTGTGGAAATTTTCAGTACGGAGGATACAAGCAATATACTTCGTGAGGGTGTACGTACCCATCCAATAATACCATATACGATGTCCAAGAGCACATTGTTGTGAGGGGTAGCACCCCGTGTGCTCGAACGCATCAAATTTCCAATAAGGTCTACAGCAATGTGGAAATGTCCTTTTTGAACACCTGGAAAAGAAACGACGGGTAAACATGAGGATGTAGCGCCCGAGCACATGCATACCATCGAGTAGTCTCTCAGCTACTTGCTCGGGTTGAAGGCCACTGTCATCCTCCTCTATTTTGAGTGTGATTTTGGGCTTCGTTTCATTCTCCTTGGCGTATCCGGGGCTGAATATAGTGCCGGGGAAGAGAATGTGCACGCCGATGTCGTATAACAACAACTCGGAGCGCAGGGTCTCGGCCAATCCTACACACCGCGCGGTGAGACCAGCCGACGGAATGAAAAGGACGAGTTCACACCTCGTAACGCGTGCTTGGCGGGTGAGTACGTGGAGTACCCCACTATAGACATATATCCCAGGACGGAAGATATGAACACAAGTTTCCCCCGAGAGCGCGATTTGACCATTCGCTTAGCTGCTGCCTTTCATTCGGTCTAGCGAACGCTGAGAAGCAGGGTAGAGGAACTTACATGGGCTGTCCAAGCTTGCACCCAGTAGCCATTATCCATGCCGTCCCTCATTGAACGCTCGTCCTGTTCCACGAAAAACCCGGGAGTCGATGCACCGGCACACATGAAGACTGCATCCGGACAGCGTCCACCATGTGGTTGACAAGCGGCTTCGAGGGCCAGCGCAGAGCTCGTGGCATCGTTGAGTGAGAACGAGTATGACCTCAGTATTTGATTCGGGTTCTGTCGTTCCTTCTAAAATTACAGTGTGCGCGTGGTTACAAACCATAAACATAGCGAATGAACGAGACTGACCTCCATCAATTCCACAGCCCTTTGCAAACGCTCTTCATTGCGAGCAACTATAGAAACATCCGCGCCTTTCTTGGTCAACAGAATCGCGAGGGAAAGCCCCAGGCCTGTCGAGCCACCTGTAACATAACAATGCTACGACGCGAGTTGATGTTTGTCGGAGACAGGCCAAGTGTAGGACGTACCTTTCCACGGGGATCCCATTTCTTCGAGTTCGAGAACATCAAATATCCGAACACGACGCTGTGCAGAAGCAACAAACGCGACTGGTCAGGCCTTCAGGGGCTCGCCTCAGCAAGTAGAGGTAAACAGAGGTAAATACGTCCCAGAGACAACTGATCAGTGATCACAATTGCCGATCACTTCTTGCCCTGTGCCTATATCTTCAGCTCACAACAGTCACCGTTATGTTCGCAAACAGCCTATGTATAGGCTAGGAAAATCATGTGGGCATTCCATTTCCTTGACAAGCGTGTCTCCCAACTGCTTGTGGCAGAGCCAGAAGCTGATGTCCACCAAGATATGGAACTTAGGATTGGCCCTCATCTCAACTTCTCTGAATGCCGCTGTTCAATCTGTCATGGAGACATTCAACCGTATGATGAGTATGCAATATCTGGGCCCTATCACTCCATGTCGAAGATGGAAGCATACGCGGTGGGATCATGGGTTGTGGTGTACTGGATGGACGTCAAATTCTTGATGGAGTCGTGTGCCGGTGCTCAATGGCAGACCTTAAATACTGCGAGCGTGCTAGTCATGTACAGCCCAAGCCACACGGTGCACAGACAAGTTCATTGCGATGGTATCGTACCCTCCCGACGAGCCAGCTTCCACCATCCTCCTGGAACAAACGTTCGTAGCAGGCGACTTCATATGCGGCATAGGATATGGTATGAGCTCAGCACAATATACATCTGGCAGGGCTGACTCGAGTATTGTTGTCACAGGAATCCAGATTGTACTCTTCTTCTCATGTGCAATCTACCTCTGGAAGCAGCGCAAGAGTAGACCGCAAACAATGTTCCTCCTGGCGTACATCATCGTCTTGTTCTGCGTCGAAACAATCTTCGAGGCTGTCCAAGCCCGCACGGTACAGGTCATCTATATTGACAATCGTGCCTATCCTGGAGGACCGTGGCAATACTTTCTGGACACCCAGAACCTGGCCATCAACGTGATTTTCTACGCGACTACTTTCATATTGACTTTCCTGTCGGACTTCCTGGTGGTAAATAGCTCTTGGCTTATCCTCGGCGGATGATCGCTGATCGATTCTCCTTCTAGCTTTGGAGGTGCTGGGTTATATGGACCGCATCTGGTAGGCTGGCGGCCTACTTAGCGACAGCATTCCCAGCTCTCCTGCTGTTGGCTTCTTTTGGTAAGCTCTATCATCAATTCCTGAACGTCGCCTAACGTTGATCATCACCAGTCATGGGCACACTGTGGACGTTGCAGTCCAGTCAGCCTGGCCTATCATTATACAGCAAGTTACCACTTGCGTATGGTACATCATATTACGCCATCTCACTCAGCGTCAACATTATCTTGACCATCCTCATCACTTTCCGCCTCCTGTTGTACCGTCACAGGATCAAGGAATCGCTTCCTGAGGAACATGCCAAACACTATGTGTCTCTCCTCACCATCATCATCGAATCCGCTGCTCTGTACTCGTTGTTCTCTATCCTGTTCCTCATCACGTACGCCGTGAACAACCCTACCAATCAAATCTTCCTTGGAATGGCGTCCTCAGCTCAAGTAAGTCTTTTGTTGTAGTAAATTTTGCACAGTCTGACTGACGATATCCATCCTACAGCAAATCGCCGGCTATCTTATCATATACAGAGTTGCGGAGGGTAGGGCTTGGAAGAAGGACACGCTGACGCAATCGACGCTCCCCACGATGAACTTCCAGCCAGGCAAGAAAGAAAAGTCGGGGACGGACAGCTCAGCGACGCAGACACAGATGTTCGGTGTATCCACTCATGGTGTATCCTTAACGCCAGCCGCTTCTATTAGCGATTAGCATTGTTGTCCTTGCTCGTTGTCCATGGGGATTTCCCAACCATTGGACAGAGCCATATATAATATCTGTTGTGTAATAAGCAATAGCTCCATGTACTTAACCTTCTTGTACCTCTCTAGCCAGCGGCGCTTGAGAGTTGTGAATTCATCCCTGGAACCGTTTATGCATTCTAAGAAGTAAACAAGGACAATCTACCTAAGGAGTCGGGGACTGAATCATAAGGTGGTGGCATGTATGATTCCTCACACCGTTCCTAACCAACAGCCCTCTCCCGACGATGATGTTGCCTCAATCGACGAACCGCCCAGCGTACACGAAGGAATCCCCACTGGGAAAATATACCACCCCCTAGCCTTCCCCGTCCTCGCTTTATTGGCGCCAGCCTCTCTCTTTGGAGTTCTCGTCAGGATTGGGCTGCAGGCCTTGGCAACATATAATGGGCAAAGTATATTCTCGTTAGCATACGCGCAGGCCCTTGGATGCTTCATTATGGGATTCTGCCTTCAACTGAAGGAACCTATTGGGAACTAGTGCGTTTCATTTGTATTATTATTTGGTATGTTTTCACGACTTTTGTTTCTTGGCGTCCAAGTTATGGACCGATGTATACTGCAGTAGGAACAGGTACGATGTTGCCCCATCTACTTCTTGTTTGGAGGCTCCAATTCTAGTCACCCTAGGATTTTGTGGTTCTCTAACAACGTTTTCTGGCTGGGAACTGGACGTGTTTAATTCTTGGCTCAACGCTGATAGAAACAGTCGAGCCGGTCTCCGCGACGTAGGTCGTATTATGATATATACACTGTCTCCTAGGGTTTCACCACCGTCTCATAGTTCATGGATGGACTTGGCAAAACCGTCTTCACGCTCACCCTAGCTTTGGGTTCCTTTACCTTTGGATCCAAGCTTGCAACCGTCGCATTGCGCCACTTCAGGTTTCCCGGAACCCCCTCTAGAACGACGCGATACTTCATGACCGCGATTTCCGTGCTGATCTGGGCTGCGACTTTCCCTACGTACTTTCGACTTCCACCATCATATCGACATCAAGCAACTGCAGCCTTGCTATTTGCCTACCCTGGCACACTCACGCGGTATCTCTTATCAATACGTCTCAACCCCGCCCTCAAATCATTCCCCCTCGGCACCTTTGCCGCCAACATGCTCGGAACGGCGTTATTAGCGACTTTTCATGTCCTACAGAACCTCGGTGCGCCGCGATCGTCGAATGCTTGCGCGTTGCTACAGGGGTTGGCAGATGGGTACTGTGGTTGCTTGACAACTGTGAGCACATTTGCTGCTGAAGTAGCCAGCCTGCGATTCAGCAAGTCGGTGGGATACGTGCTTGTAAGTTGGGGAGTGGGGCAGCTAATACTATTGGTGATATTGGGACCGTCATTTTGGGCAGGAAATGTCAGTGAGCAGCGTACATGTATTTTTCCTTAGACTGCCATGTACTCTGCAACGAAAGCGAATATTTGGGAAGATGATTACCCCGCAAATGGAGATCTGAGTTTGAATTCCCACGGCTTCCTTGTACCACATCGGTCCACTAGAACATACCGTCAGAAAACGAGGCAATCGCTCTCCCATCGGCCGCCTCGCAGATGTCTCGCCAGGCTCCTTCAAACGAGCCTTCACAGGCTGAACTAGAAGAGGAAGAACAAATGGCTCCTGGCGAGGGCGATGAAATCATGGAGGAAGAGGAAATCGAGGAACAGGAGGATGGATACAGTACGCTTCATTCGACTTCATTTCACAGCTGATGTCACGGCGCTGACACTGTGTCTGATTCCTACCATGGACTTAGCCTCATCGACCCCGACCTCGACGCTCACTTGGATCAGCTGGTTCTGTTCACTGCCTGGACACGAATATTTCTGCGAGGTGACGGAGGACTTCATCGAGGATGACTTCAACCTCACGGGCTTGAACGGAATGGTGCCATTTTGGAAGGAGGCGATGGAGATGGTCCTGGATGTTGAGCCAGGTGCGTATCTCAATGCCGATAGCTGTTGGTACGATGTCGTTGAACAAGTGCATCAGACGAGGACGCTTCCAAGATTCCAGATGTATCCATTGTCGAATCGTCGGCCGAATTGCTTTACGGGCTTGTGCACCAACGATTCATACTTACCCGCGCCGGATTGCAAGCGATGGTACGCTTCATTTCCCTCCACTACTCAAATGCTTGGCATTAAGGTCTCGTTAGGTTGAAAAGTACGAGAGCGGGATATTCGGCTCGTGCCCTCGTGTCTACTGCGTAGGAACGAAGGTGGTGCCATGCGGGAAATCAGATATGCCCGGCTTCGACACCGTCAAATTATTCTGTCCAAACTGTAATGATATCTACGTTCCCCCTAGCAGCCGGTTTCAAGGTGTTGATGGTACGTTCGGTCTTGTCCTATGAACAAGATATCAACGGTGTCAACTTCTATTGCCCTTCCAGGTGCCTTCTTCGGAACCACGTTCGCCCATCTCTTCTTCCAAAGCTATCGTGAACTCGCGCCGGCACCCTTCTGGAAAGCTCCACCTCCGGGCTCTTCCCCTCGAAGCGGCGGCAGCAATGGTGCTCGGGGTTCCCCTTTCGTCAACCCCAACCCTCATGGCGGTCAAAAACGTGCCGCCGGCTACGTCTATGTCCCCCGTATATATGGGTTCAAGGTTAGCGAACGTGCGAAGAGTGGACCAAGAATGCAATGGCTGAGATTGCGACCTGAGAGTCCGAGTGAACTAGACATGGTGGACTGGAGGGGAAGGTGGCTAGATGAGGACGACGATTTCGATGATGATGACGACGACGTGCACGGAGGGGAGAGGCAATTAGAAGATTTTGATAATGTCAGTGTTGGTCGTGGTTATGCGTTGCGTGGGTTGACTTGATGTTCACCGTTATCCCCATGGACATAGGAACCAGCAGAAGGTGACGACGATGAAGAGGAGGAAGAAGAGGAAGAGGATGCACCACAATCTCGACATATGGGTAGCGGACGTCAACGTAGACTTGCCGATCCTTCTGACGCTCTCTCCAGCACGACAGGGTCAACCCTCCCATCTCTGACCACCACCCAAGTCTCTGCTTCGTCTGCGCGTACATCACCTACGTCCAGCGTGGCTCTGCGAACTCCCGTCGAGCGGTCGGTTGCAAGCCCAATGCTCTACACGACGTCTCCGTCGCCGAGCTCTGCTCTGGGCAAAGTCCGAGTCATTAGACAATGGCAAACCGGGGCAGCTCAGGTATAGCGCCGTGAGTACCGAGGGTCGTAAGTAGAAGTAGGTAGGGCTGATCTGCTGCGTTGATACTATACAGGGTGTATGTTATTCTTTTCTTTCATTCCTTCCATGTTCTTGGTTCCTCCATTTGTTTGCCATTGTCTTCCATCGCATCGTTTCAAGCCGTTATGCCTTACATTCCATCCATGCTCCAATTTCTAGTTATGAGCACAGAAATCCCTTGATCCCTTTGTTTTACCCTATATGCTTCGCCAGTTGACACTACACTACACATTTGCACCAACAAGCATTCAAATACATATTCGCATTTCTATGCCTCTTTATCTAATCAATCAAATCTTATCTACAACGCCCTGGATCTCCGTCTCGAAGCGTGAGAATGACGCTGTACAGTTCCAAGCCACCTTTCTGTCACGTGCGCCACTGCTGAACCCCGTCGTACTAGTCAACGCCCAAGGTCCCAAAAGCTAAGCAAGAGCGCGAAGAAGACATGGCACGAACAAGTGAGCCCGTCCTGCCGCACCTTCATATTACGGAAATGCATACTGACTGACTATCGCTTTTCCTCTCCTCCTCGAATTTCTGCCTCTCCCTTGTTTCCGTAGATCTCAGCATCGGTGCCAACAAAGGCCACCCCACCACCCCTCTCGAGCGCCCCGCCCGCCCATCCACTCGCAAGGGTGTCTCCTCCCAAAAAACGCAATTCGTCCGATCGGTCATCAGAGAGGTCGCTGGGTTCTCTCCGTATGAGAGGAGAGTCATGGAGCTGTTGAGGAACTCGAAGGATAAGAGGGCGAGAAAGTTGACCAAGAAGAGAGTGAGTGTCCTATTCGCCTGTCATTTCTCTATCTGGCCGACTGGACTTGGGTTCGCTGGTTGCATGGGGGCTATGAGTGGGCTTATATGCGGGCCCAGCAGCTGAAGCCATGTCTAGATGCGTTAAAGAGCATTATGCACAAAGGCCAGGGAGTTTGGCTTGGTTATCTCAATATTCGATTCCCCATGACTGTAGTTCCAATTCTCCGAACTCTTACTGACATAAGATCATCTATTTAGCTCGGCACACTCCTCCGCTCAAAGCGCAAGCTCGAAGAGCTCGGCAACATCATCCAAGAGAGCAGGAGAGCCCACTAAACGCCTTCTCTCTTCCTCCTTCACCCTCTTACATACGTCGGTACTCGCTGTATCGAACACCGAACAACGTAAATCATAATCCGACCTCATCTATCCATCGTTCTCCATGCACTTTCCATTACTCTTTTGTACGTTATGCGATGAATATGGATATGAATACGAAATTATGCATTTCTTGTGCATCTTGAAGATTTTGATGGCGTTCGGGCGTTGTATTGCCGCCTAATGACGTCGGGCTACCGAAGGCATATCTGGTGATTTCTGTTCTCTCCCACCATGGAGGGCGCGGAACGAGGCGCGCTGGATAGATCCTTGCCCATAAGGTACGCTCAGCAAGAGCCCAGCCAAGTTCCTGAAAAGGCGCTGTCTGCTTTGAATACGTATAGGCAACGGGATCTCACCAAAGGTTGTTCCCCCTTCTGTTCCTCTTGAGCGCTGTTAACCTCTACATCCATAGTCCCCATACGCTTCAAAGCAGTGGGAAATGCGCCGATCATGAAGGAGAATATGTACAAGATTACTGCGTCGAGCAGGTTTCAGGCCGTCATTCAGTTCCTCCGAAAACAGTTGGGTTGGAAGACTGGAACCCCGTTGGTGAGTCGTAGTGCTCTCCGTCAAAAAATTGATCATGCTCTTTGGCTCATTCGGATTCGAGTTCACGTACATCAACCTAGCGTTCGCGCCTGCCCCAGATGACACGGTTGCAAGTCTGTTCAAGGCAAGCCCACCCTCTATGGTCGTAGAAGCACTCGACTGACACCTGTGTGACTTAGTCGTTCGCCACGGACGGCTACTTGATTGTCAACTACAGGTACGCAGACAGTGTCTATTCACCAAGCCAAAGGTCACTCAAGAACCTGTAGTACGACTCCGGCATGGGGCTAATCATAATTTATAAACGGTGTATCCATGGTATACAATTTTGTACTCCCAGCGAAGATGAAGGCAAACGTAATGTGCCGTCTACCCAGCGGTTGCACTAAAGGACGCTACGCAGTTAATTTCGACGACTGTTGTTGATGCACGTCGTCTGTAGTAGCCTTTGAATCTTAGCTCGTGTTCGGTATACTGGTTCCAGTAACACTTATAATCGTTTTGTGCGAAGGCGATGTATCATCGCAGAGACGGAGTTGCATCAAGTACTGTAATATTTTCCCAGTACCGTCTAAGGATTGCCATCCTGATCCGCGCTTGAGGCTACTTTGTATTTGCTTTAAATCTCGATTTGCGCTGCTTCCTTCTTCATCCTTGTCGCACTCCAAAGTCCCCATAGCTCCGGTGTTGATCGAGTTGTGAGTGTGAACCGGATAGTTCTTGATCGAGATTCAAGCGGGGACATCAGTGCTTAAGCGCCCAATATCTATACCGAACCCTCACCATCATGAGCACTCCCGCCAACCAACCCAATGCAATGGCGGGACCTAGCTCCAGCGGGTTTGCCGGCACTTCTTTCAGTATCCCACCTCCCAGCACACCCCTCCCGCGACCCGTCTTTGCGACATCTCCCAACACGCACAACGGGTTATTCGCGAGCCCGAACGTGCAGAATCAAGCGGCCGCGTGGAATGCGATAGCATCGCAGATGAGCGCGACGCAGAACCCGACCTCCAACGCAAACTTGAACGGTCGCGCAAGCGGAGAGCCTGCCGTACAGGTGAAGACCGACTCGGATGGTGAGGATGAACTGGACGAGTCGGACGACGGGAACGTCTCGGAGTCGTCCGACTCATTCAGAGTACGGGATGGCGTACCCCCACCACGGCAAATGTCATACACCACCAAAGAGCTGCACGGTGAGGAACTGCTCTCTGGTTCCGTGATGAGTAGTAGCTAATGAATATCCATATTAGCCAGTATACATCAGGGTGATATTGACCTTGAGCCTCCCTATCAAAGAGGTAGGCCTTCTTACTTATGTCATTTGCAACATCATCACACCCTCTAGACGTCGTATGGCCGAACGCAAAACAGGTCAAACTCATCGACTCCCTATTTCGAAATTTCTACATTCCTCCGATTGTGTTTGCGCAGAGCGAAGATGAGGATGGGAATATTACGAAAGTTTGTGTCGACGGAAAGCAGCGCCTGACGTCCATACAGAAGTTCATGGACGGACATGTGCGTGTTTCGATTCTATTGATTTCTAGTTATTTACTAAGGTGCATCTGTGAACGCCCTTGCTGGTCCTTATTATCTGTAGATCGCACGTGAGTTCCCCGTCTCATCTCCAACATATTCCAAGAACATAACCTCTACAGACCGAGATATTGTAACAAAGAAGAATTGGTGGTACACATGCCTCGGACTCGGACAATCCACCGCGAAATCTCAACAGCTCGAAATCCCCATGAAGTACAAGCAAATGTTTGACAACATCAAGATCCAATGCAGTATGTTCAACCGTCCCTTTCCCCTTTGGCATTGAGTACTCATCCTGTTGATAGTTGAATATCAAGTGCTCGGACAGGAGATGGAACGAGAAATCTTCCAGCGTGTCCAGTTGGGTGTCGCCCTCACGGCTGCTGGTGCGTCTCTGTGTTCCTATAACTTCGCTTCGCCTCTCATTCTCTCGCAGAGAAACTCCAAGCTATATCCTCACCATGGGGCGCCTGGATTTCATCTCTCGAGTCGAAGCATGTTCACATCGAGAACGGGCTTCGCGATCTGTTTCAATGGGACGTCGCCCGAGGCCGTGACTTCCAAAACATCACGCACCTCGTCTACTGTTGCGACAAACTCGAGAACGAGGATCGACAGGAGTTACCGACCGCTTCGAAGATTGATGTATGGCTGCGTCGTACGGATGAACCAGATCCAAGGTTCCAGAAGCGCATAAATGACGTCCTTGATTTCATGACGTACTTGGCAGGAAGGGACGCGAGGAGAGATGGGTTGGTGAACGGGTTCGTGGCGGTGGGCAAGAGGGTTGCTCCTGTGGAGTTTGTGTTCATTGGTGGGCTGTCTTCGATTCACGTCGCCATCTCTAGACTGACAACGGGCACCCGCTCATTAGGTGTCTTACTCTTCGTTATGGCCCATGCTTCGAAAGATGAACGTGCACGGGCTGTTCTCGACCTCCGAAAAAATGTGCGCAGCAAACACAAAGACGTTCGCATGAACACCATTTGTGCGAAGACCATCTGGACCTTCATTACGAACATCCAAGAAGGCCTATCCTCTGCGGAAGACTCCCAGACGCCCTCTCCGAGATCAGGTTCGAAACGGGGGAAGGGGAAGGGGAAAGCTGCCAATGGCAACGGGAATAGGTCGCTGAAGCGGGGGAGGGAGAGCGAAGATGATTTTGACGAAGCAGATGCAGACAGGGAGGAAGATCCGTCGTACAAACCCGTTTCAAGAACCTCTCGAGGACGGAAAGTGAATAAGCCTCGGAAGTAATGTTTGGATGATATAGATTGCTGCAATATTCTACGCGCCACCATTCCCGTCAACAGTTGCTATCACTGCTCTACTCATTCCTCCCATTCCTCATTGTGTTTTCTAACTAGTACATACGCATATTATTTAAACTGTATCCTTGCGTTTTTCTGACGTCTTTACAATTAAACCTAAATGGACGTATCGTCGCATTTGTAACTCAAGCTCGGTACTTGGGTCTGTGACCGGCCGTCTATGAGGCTATTTGGCACTTGCAACCTGGAAGTAACCTTAAATATTAAATCTCCACTGTGCTGCCAACTCGTCCACTCTCTGAATCCCTCCACCATTCAACTTCACGGGACTTGAAAGAAATACCACCGTACTTCTGGTCTGCCTCTATTACGATGGTAATAAATGTCCCCATCCAGGCTATTTACCTCCTAACACCGAATACGTGATCACTGGCTCAGCGTCCAACTCTGCGTCAGCATAAGCAGGTTCACGTCAGCTGTCAACCACTCATCCTTATACATCAGCTCTCTCTCACAAACGCCGTACAACATTCGAATAGTGTCATCTCTCGATGACAAAGCATCGCTTCTCGTCAGCAGTTGACAAGCTACATCCATGGGAGGAGGGCCCGCCGATGGTATAAAATACGATGAAGTTACGCCTGGTATGAACAGCATCTTTCCCTCATTCTCCACCTACTCCACTTAATCCAACAATCTCAGAAACGCGACTCACACACCGTCGATAACGATGTCTTCAACCACCTCGTCCGAGTCGACTCCCAAACTTTTCCAGCCTATCAAAGTTGGGCGCATGAGCCTGAGCCACCGCGTCGCCCTTGCTCCACTCACGCGCAACCGTGTCGACGCTGATCACGTCCCTATCCTCCCCATTGTCAGCGATTACTACACCCAGCGCGCAAGCGAGCCGGGGACGTTCTTGGTGACGGAGGCAACAGTCATCGCACCCAAAGCCGGGGGCTATAACCACGTACCAGGGATCTGGTCCGACGAGCAGATCGCTAACTGGAAGAAGGTGAGTTTCTTCGATTACCAACCTTCTTGCCGAACTTGGATGTAATGCCTAATCCCGATGACGATGATGCTGATCGACTTTGTTTTGTTTTGTAACCGTAGATCACCGAGTCTGTACATGCACGTGGCTCGTACATCTACGTCCAGCTTTGGGCGCTGGGTCGCGCAGCCTCCGTAGACTTCATGACCGCCAAGGGCTTCGAGTACGTCGCGCCTTCTCCCATCAAGATTTCCTATGTCCCCGCCACACCCCGTGAGCTCACCATCGCCGAGATCCACGAGTACATCGCCCTCTTCGCCGAAGCTGCCAGGAAAGCCGTGCACCTTGCTGGGTTTGACGGGATCGAGGTCCACGCAGCCAATGGATACCTCGTCGATGAGTTCTTCCAGGACGTGTCGAACCAACGTACAGATCAATATGGAGGAAGCCCCGAGAACCGCGCGAGGTTTGGGGTGGAGGTGTTGGAGGCAATCGCGAAGGAGATTGGGGCGGACAGGACAGCCATTCGGATTAGCCCGTGGAGCAAATACCAGGACATGAGGATGGCCGATCCCAAACCCACCTTCGCGCATCTAGTGGAGGAAATCAAGAAGCGTCTCCCCGACCTGGCGTACATTCACGTCACCGAGCCGCGCGTTGCCAACGAACAGCGCGAGGAAGAAGGGGTTGTCCCAGACGAAGAGGAGAACGACTTCCTCCGCAAGATTTGGGCGCCGAAGCCGTTCATCAGCGCAGGAGGGTACACAAGGGACGTGGCCCTCAAAGGCGCGGAGGAGAAGGGGGATATCATCGCCGTGGGCAGGCATTTCCTGGCCAACCCGGATCTGCCGAGGAGGTGGAGAGAGGATTTGCCATTGAATAAGTACGATAGGGCGACGTTCTACAGTGCGGGCGACGCATCTGGGAAGGGGTATTCAGATTATCCGTTTCTGGATGGGACGACGTTGATTCCCCCCTTGCACGAGGCTCCGGTCAGGCAAGACACAAGTGGCTCCGGCCCTCACCCCGTCGATGTTTCTGGCGGTGTTGCCATCAAGTCGCAGGCATGAGCATTGATTCTCGATTTCCTCCAAATCTTAGACTTGTCTTTGACACTTCAGTTTTTAGTTGGTTTTTAGTTGATTCCTAGATAGAGTGACTTGACCATTAAGTTACTGTGCTCCAATTACTCCCGCTTGTTCTCAGAATTACTATGCATTTGTTTCGTTTGTACCTGTTCATGAATGACTTCCCTCGCCATCACTATGTGGATTGACTAGTTACAACTAGGAAGATTGGCGCTAAATGGCGCTTAATGTGGAGTCATTGAGCCAGGGTAACTTAAGTCACGTTGGCGAGCTACTCACACTCTCACTCTCCAATGTCCACAACGGTAGGAGTTGAATTCAATTACCATGGCAGCCCTCAGCCCCTCCCAAAGCAACTCTCGGTCGAACTAATTCTCGACACAATCACTATCGTCGCGAACACGCGAGTCCTCTTGTCGCACCGGACACAGGTACTACTAGCCGTACGTAGTCGTAGTGATCCCAAAGAACATATCCGACTTGAGTCCAGCACCGAACACAGGGCGTCCCGCACCCTTGCTGCAGCCTCGCTGGTGTCCCGTACATGGAACGTCCTCTGCCGCTCTCGTGCATTTGCTTCACTCGGAGATGCGTGCAAGCTGTCAAGACGTGGAATCGAGCAGCAAGCACGACTCGGAGCAGGGTGATGACGGTGCAGATCCCGTACCCCTCCCCATACTATACTCCCCTACCCCAGTGTGAACTTCAACCTGTTGCGCGAGGTCGGGATTTTGACATTGGGATGGAACATGGAACATGGATCATGGATGGGTGGCGCTACATAATCGGATATGAGAACGGCGAGCACGGGACCGGCGGGGAGACTACGACGGGGACTGCGACGTGAGATATGTGCTATCCGTGGACGGCGCGCATTAAGAGCATGGACGAGACAGCACCCGTTCCGGCTTTCTAACTTTTCGACTTTTTGAGATGGGCGCCCCTGAACCCCCTGAACCCTCCCTCCCTCCTCCCTCTTCTCTCTCCCCTCTCCTCTCTCTCCCCCTCTCCGAGCCCTCCCCCCCTCCCCAATCCAAATGCAACCTCAACCGACCTCATTATCAATGCATCATCAACCGATTCTCAGCGTTCAAACGTTCAACGTTCAGCCCTCAAGGCCTCAATGCTCGATATTATGATCATAATCCAATGCCTCAAGCTCAACCCTCAAGGCCTCAAGATGCCACCTCCTCTCAGCTGAGTGTGATATACGCGTATACGCGTACCGCCACCCAGCACTGACCCATTCCCCGAACGTTTCGACGCGTGCGCGTGCGCGCACGTCGTGGTGGCGGTTGCTCGTCCTGCTCGTCACTCTTGGTACTGGTACTGGGCGTCTGCTTTTCGGAATTGCAAGTGCATAATACACGTATATAGCTAACGTTAACGGGGTCGTTCCAAGCGCGCCCGCGCCCACCCCTGCCTCCTGCGAGCCGATCTGGCAGCGACTTTACTATTCAATCTCCAATATCCAATACTACTCAATATTCAATATCCTAGCTAGTAACAATGTAGAAGTGAGCTGGAACCTGCGGTATATCTTCACGGTGGTCATATACACCGTATGCCGATGGTTCGGTGAGCTGGCTTGATGGTCGTTGATTTTATAGAATGTAGAATATAGAATATAGAATATAGAATGTATACTTTGATTTGGTTGTGAGTAGTGAGTAGTGAGTAGCGAGTAGTGATTGGTATTGGTATTGGTGAGTGACTCGCTGGAATTCAGAAATTCCAGTCTGTCAATCAATCAAGCGCGGTATATCACCGATATCATCAGCTCACCGCCATTGCCATCATTTACAGCTACGGCTACAACGACAGCTATACCTGTATCTGTATCCTTGTATCCTTGTGTCCCTGTAGCCTTGTGTCCTTGTGTCCTTGTGTCCTTGTGTCCTTGTAGATGGCAACTGGTTCAGACTGTATGCGTATGCGTATAGATACCATCCATCAAGGTCAAGATTGAGCTCGACTCCTAAAACTCGAACATTCAAACATTCGACATTCGACACATCGCCTTGCTTGCTCAGTTGCTCGTGAAGGTTATACAGATATACAATTACACGATTATACGACTATACGATTATACGCAATGTGCGATGCGCATCGTACCCTAACTTCGATATCAATCGCCAGTTGGCTCTTTGACCGTATGAGGTGTTGACCGACGTCCGACGGATCGACAGTAGCGAGGATAGAAGGGGATAGCGAAAATAGGGAAGATAGGATAGAGGGAGATCTCGAAGATAAAAGATGTCGTCGCGATGGGCAATAGGCGATTGGCAATTAAGAGAAGGTACGATGGTATGGATGATGTCGTCGAGGTCTAGGACCAGAATCTGAGCGCTGGGTCTAGGGGGACCCTAGGAATCTAGGAGGCCCGAGGGGCAGGGGCAAGCCTCGAACGTTAAACGTTTGAGCGTTCGACCGCGAACGCAATATCAGTGGCGACACGCAGGCCGAAAGAACCTGCTCAATCTATTCAACCCACACAATCTACTCAATGCACTCAATCTAGACAAGAATCGTCAGGAAGGCTCGGTTCTGGAGCATCGGGTGTTCTCGCAGGTTGTACGGTAAATCGTGGTGGTAGACTGAGCATATATATAAAAGGGAAAAGGTACGAGGGGGGTCGAGGTTGGGGTGGGAGGTTGGTCGAATAGGGAGAGAATGGACGTGTACGCGGGCGGTGGATGGTAGGAGGAGGACCAGAGTACGGGACGCCTACACTGACGTCGCCGGTATTTGTGCATTTATGCTCGAGTCTAAGCAGAAGCAGAAGTGGAAAGTGGAGGGCCAGGAAATGAGGGAAGGAAAGCATGCTGGACACGCGGGGTAAACGTATCGCCGTCGCAAGTGCCCATCGATGAAGTGTAAGTATAGACGCATCGCATTGCGGGGGAAATGAGCGGGGAGACGCGGGGGGTGCGAGAGTGCCAAAAATGCATAGAATACATCATGTATCAGCGATTAGCGGCATTAGCGATTATCGTGATCAGAATACAGAAAGCGTGATCAGAGGATGAAGGAAGGGGGTTATATTTGTGAGTGAGTGTCTGAGTCAGCCAGGGATGATCGATGATGCATGTCAGTGGAGGGACATACGCGGATGTGAGCCGTTTGCCGAGAATCCAGGAGAATGCTGACGAACCTGATGAGACCTGGCAACCACTCAACAAGAAAAAAGAACAAGGGACGGGAAGGACAGGTGATGGATGAGTTTACTACGGAACGCAGTTGGCTTGGTGGAGGGAGGACTGCGCGGAGTTGAGTGTGGTTGCTGCAAATAGAGTGGGCGAGGGTTCCGAGGGCGTGGGAAGGTGGTGAGGAAGATCGAGCCGGGGCCGGCGGAAGAGGAAGAGGGGGTTGTAGTCATTGTGATTTGTGATGGATTCTTAAGAAAACTGGATTGTTCATCTGTCGTCCGACCTCCCATGGCCGCCTCCTCCACCTCCACCTCCCTCCAGCCGCTGCCAGCCTCCACTGGCCGGAGACGCTCCAACTCCAACCTGCCGCAGCTGCAGCTCTCGTCAGCCTCCGCCCCATCCAGCAGTGCGCCGCCGCCGTTGTCCCCCGTCGACTCGTCCTACTCCGACTCGTCCTCTCCCACCATCTCCACCCCCGCAGACGACGTGCCCCTGCTCCTCACAGACTCCGCTGCAAAGCACCAGTCCAACATGCTCTTCATCGTCGCCGCACGCCTCTTCGACTGGGCAAACCCCCCACACCCAACCTCCGTCCCCACATACGACGACGACCTCGTCCTCCCGCTCTCCGCCTCCCACCGCCAGACCACCTTTGACATCCCCGAAAAACCAACTGTCAGACACGCGTGGTCGGCGTGGTATCACGGCATTCCTCCTGTATGTCCAACGCAGTGTCGCTCGACCCTTGTACTCATGCTTTTTAGATCAACACCCCCCTCATAATCGTCATCCTCTCCTTCCCCGCGTCCACCCTCCTCGTCCTCGTTGCCCTCACGTCCCTGCCCATCTCCCTCTCCTGGCCCCGCACCCTCACAGACCTCTCCCAGCTCGGCCGCCAGCTCCACGGCTACTCACAGGCAGGCTGGATCCCCTTCCTCCATGTCATCGCAGCCATGTCCGTCACCGCAGTCTGGAAACACGCCTGGTCAATACCCGGTGCCGTCATCTGGGTGCGTACACCATCCTTCTATCTTTTATTCTATTCTAATCACACGCGCGTATCTCCAGAACGTCCTCGCAGGCGCCCTCTTCTCCCCCTCGTACGCCACCATCCTCCTCACCCTCCTCACCACCCTCGGCTCCGTCCTCGCTTCCCAGCTCGCAAAGCCCCTCGCCCCCTTCCTCACCTACGCATTCCCAAAGGCCCTCGCCATGACCCGCACCGCCCTGGCTTTGGAACCCCCCTCCCCCTCACCTTCCACACCTGACGCTTCTATCCCTCTAACCCCGATCGCGCGAAGCCGGGGACCGGGCGCGGGGCGGTCGTCGCTGTACCCACCACTTACGACCCCCGCTTTCTCGCTCTCCGTGTCCCCGCCTACGCCCTCCTCTCTCCCCTCCACCCCTCTCACTCCGTCCACCTCTTCAAATCAGTCCACCTCAACCGGACCCACCGCGCAAGTCCACGCGAACGCGAACGCGAAGCACCAAAAGCAGAAGTCCGCAGCGTGGGTGCGCCTCTCCGTCCTGCGCCTCATCGGCATCGTCCCCTGGTCCGGCATCAACATCGCCTGCGGCGTCACCGCCGTCCCCGTACGCGACTCGGCGCTGGGTGCGTTTATTGGGAGCTTGCCGTGGACTGCTGTTACGTGCCAGGTTAGTGTTTGTTTACTTGATTTACTGGGTTTTGTGGGGTGTGTTCTGCTTCATTGCTTTTTTTTGGCTATGGGCTGGACGATGCACGACGCGCGCGCGTGTGGTAGCGCGTGTCCCGCCCAATCTCCATCCCCTGTGTTCTGTCTATTTCTGTTCCGCTTGCTTTCTACTTTTTTCTTCCGTGTTCTATTGTTTCCGTGTTCTATTTTCTCTCTCCCCTTTCCTTTCTCCCCTCTCTCCCTTTCCCATTTTCTCTTCCTTTATTCCCTCCTTACTCCCCTAACCTAATCCTGGAGTCGCGTGGGAGGGGGTTCTATTTTGGTATTTTCGTGGTCGCTCGTGTGCGCGTGGAGTTGGCGTTGGACCCGATTTTGGGTTTAGCTTTTGGCATGGCATGGCTGCTATGCCACGATCGCGTCCTCGGGCTCCAGCGCTCCACCGTGGCGCGGTGCGGGGATCCTGTCGATTTGGCTCCCGGTTTCTCGGTCTGTTCGGCTCCACTTTCCACTTTCTACCTACCCTCCATTTTCTTTCTACTTTGTATTTTCTCCTTCGACTTGCACTGTCTCGATGCTCCCATGTCCCGATATCTCTTTCCTCACGCCACTTCGGTTCACTAACGCATCATCCTCCCGTAGATCGGCGACATTCTCCAAACGCTTGCATCCTCCACATCTTCCCTCTCCTCCTCCTCCTCTGGCCCCGCCGCCGACCTCGCATCCTCCCTCCCCTCCGCGTCCTCCGCATCCGCCGCCGTAGCAGCAGCAGCGGCTGCCGCCTCCGCCGCGCTCCTCTCCTCCATCAACTCCACCGCGCCCTCCTCCCCCCTTGACGCAACATCCACAGCATCACTACTCAACACCCTTCATTCCTCGACCACAACATCGGGAGCACAGGGCGCGGTGTACACGCATACAACCTCGTCGCAGACGATACAGACGATATTGCTGTCGCCGGAGATTCTGTTCAAGTTGGTGTTCCTGACTGTGCTGTCGCTTGCGCCGATTCTAGGGCGAGAAAGGTTGAGGGCGTTCGTCGAGGGGCGGACATCGTCGTCGTCGTCGGCACCGGGGGATGAGATGGACGCTGAGAAGGAAGAGGGTAGCACTGGCGGAGATGTCCAGGAGAGTCCGAGCGCCAGCGCCGGTGGGAACGCATGCATCGCGAACGCCAATGTCGGTGCGTGTATCAGCAACGCGCGCCGTGAATTAGGTGCAGGTGTGAATGGGGGAGGGGGCAGCCCGAACGGCCTGGGGAACGGGCACGTGAAGAAGCGGGGCAGGCACTACAAGCGGTTCTCGTCGTTCTCGATGCCGCATTTCCCAAACCTCCCGACGCTCAACCTCCCGCACCTCCCGCACCTACCGCATATGCCGAACCTGCCCCATCTGTCGCATAGCGTGAATAGCGGTGTGGCGGAGCTGCCGCAGACGAGTGCGACCGTGCCCGGGGGCGAGGGGGAGGGTGTGCGGAGCTGGCGGGCGCATCTGCGCGCGACGCTGAGCTCGGTGGGCGGTGCGATGGAGTCGGTGGGCGGTGCGATTGGGGGTGTGGGCGCGGGCGTCGCGGAGGTCGTGGGCGGCCCGGAGTGGAGGCGCAGGGAGCGGGAGCGGGAGCTCGAGGTGCTGGTGAGGGAGAAGCGCGATATGGAGCGCGAGGTTTGATCTTTGCGTTGCGTTCGAGCGCGCGCGCGGGATACTTCGTCTTATGAGTGGTCTTCGTCTCGTGGTCTTCGGTTCCAGTTCCGATTGCTCGATTGCTTCATTTCGCATGTCCGCGTGTCTGCACTTTCGCACTTTCGGTTCGCGCATTGTTGATTAATTATACGTGTTGTTCATTTTTACGCTCCTTTGCAGTGCTTCGTATATCTACATCTACGTATCTTCCTTCGTTCCGTTTCGTTCGGTTGCTTCGTTCGGTTGCTTCGTCTTTTGGTTATACCACATCACGTTTATGCGCTACATCCTACACACACACAAGTCCGCAAGTCCAATTTCTTTCGCGTTCGCCAGTCCAAGCATTTCACATACATATGATGCATGCATGATATGACCCACTATACCACCCACCCACCTTACCACCGTATCAGTATTTTACGACTCATCTATTCTCTCGCTGCCCCACCTACCCTCCATCTCAAATATCTCTATCTCTATCTCTCAATATCTCAATCATCTTAACGATCCTACGTCCAACCTTCCGTCTTCTCGCCAGTGCAAAGCCAGTGTTATATATCCCATATCTCATATCTCATAGGTATAATACGCAGCGATACATCTATCTTCTGTCCATCAACAATCAACAATAGCAATATAAATATGAATTGGTGTCTATTGGTGACCCTAGGAGGCCTGATCAGTTATGGGGTATCGAATGGGAGGAGGATGTTGGTAGATGTGAGAAAATGAGGGACAATGTTAACGAGGGACAATGAGAGATATCGACTGTACATAAGGCAAATACATCCATTCGACATCCATTCAATGCATATCTCCTTCAGGAAATTTACGAGACTTGTATGATGCAGAGTCCTGGCAGATTCTATCATCTTGAGGCGCTCTGGGTCTAGATATTATGTACACGCCGTACATTCATTCAATAGCTTCTGTCATCTCACGGCTCACGGCATACGCGCCACGGTACACCCACGGTAGCCTGCGTTGGGCAGCCATATTGCAGGCCAGTCATGCGTGCTAACGGGATAATCAATACCGGTAAATTACACCGCATGAACTGTGCAAGGCTCAACGTTCAGAACCCAAACTATAGTCTTCTTGCGCTTCAAGAGGGGGTGTGACAAATATGCAGGCGCAAATATGTGGTCGTAGCTGCAGCAGGACAGTCGCTGTCTTTATATCCGCGACCTCGACCGACGTCCGCCGGGAGTCGCGACGTCGAGGAGTATTGGGAACTGCGCAGTTCCGTTGGAGATCTAGCTTTCGAGACATTTCTCAGTTTCATTGTACAATAGTTCTACGCTGTCCATGGAAATTTGTCGTCCTGATGGGTGAGGTACGTTGTGGATGGTTGTGGACAAGTTGCGGAATCCGGATGGAAGACGCGAAATGAAGGCGCGTCGGGGTAGTCCCGCAAATCAGGAGTCACAGGGGTTAATATTTTAATCTCTAAAGGTCCTTTGTCGACGTCTATTATCGCTACCACTACCTGATCACACTTCCTTACTATGATTCGTATCAAGTCCTTAACCATCCTGCTCAAGCGTTCAATTTATGGCCCACTTTTACTTCACCGATAGCAACAATAGCAATAGCATCAACAGCAACATCAATTATTACGCTTACTATAAGTACACTATGCTTACATACATGAAATGGTGTGCTATATATACTGGAGTCCTAGATATGTGAATGATGATACAGCGTACAACTATACGTAGACGCACAAGTACGAGTACAAGTATACTCTATATACTATATCCGAGAATGCATATGCATGGGTTCCGGGTGTATAAATCAGCCTCTCGAATTACCAGGCCTTCGGTCTTCAAGCTCAAGCCTAAGCTTCATTAACCCATCGTATTAACCATCGCGAAACCACCTCTAGAATAGGCGCCAGCCTTCGCCACTCAGCGAAATCAGCGTCGGCGCGCTGCGCCAATCACTTGCGCCACCCCCGATTGACTATCCTAGCCCTCGACCGCTTCGCCTCCTTATGGTTTACCGGACGATCCGGGTCGTAGTACACCGGGCTCTCGTCGTCCTCATCGACATTGTCACATTCCCCATTACCCCCATTCTCCATATCAATATCCCCTTCACCCCGTCCTCTATCCCCCACATCCGGGTCGAAGTCGCTCCCGTCTGCATCACGCGCACCACGCTTGCGTTTTAGCGACGACGTCGGTGTCGGCAGTTGCCTCTGCGACTGGGTTCGTTTCGGTGTCTGTGTGATGGCGATGCGCTGGGTCCTGGGCGTGGCTACAACGTTACTGCCCGTGATGATTGAGTCGTTGGGTCGCGCGTGGAATGGGGGGAGCTTGGAATTAGTCCCTGCTTCGCTTAGATACGCTTTCGTTTGATTCTTGGTCTTCGCTGCTGTCTTGGATGCAGAGGGGTGGTTGGGTTTGCTGTTGGAGGGGCCTTCAGCCTCGATTTCCCTTGCTTGTTCAAGATCCTCTTCGAGATCTTCTATAAACCTCCAGAAAGTACGCGCACAGGATGGGTTCATACGGATGTCGGTGTGCTCTCCCCGTACGCGTTTACGGAGGTTGAGGATAGAGAGTGCGCGCCACTCGTCGTCTTCAACGTCCCGCGTGACGTATAATAGTACACCTAGAAAGTATCATAAATCCATGTCAGAATACTGATTGAGGATTAGGCGGACAGAGAACAAGGAAGCACGAAACACAAAACACAACACACGAAGAGAAAAGTCCACTCACCAATAAACACAAACTCCACTGGGGCGACTCTCTTCCCATCCATTTCAAACCCATTCACCAGTCTCCGCCTCTTCTTCTGCCTGTATCCATATCCATTACCACCCCCGCTGGCCCCGCTAGCCACCTCCGTCATGAAGCACAGCACATCGTCGATGTCCCGCTTGAATACACGGGACGGCTCGTCCGTGCGCTGGAGCCACCGCTCGATTTTCTGCGGGGTGGGCACTTCGCGTTTACGCGCCGAGGAGGGTAGGACTCTCGCTTTCGCTTTTGAGGTGGAGTGCTTAGACTTCGATTTGGAAGAGGAAGGAGTCGGTGTAGACACCGAAGACGCGAGTTTATCGCAACAATATACGATCTGCGCGATATTCTGGAAGTCGCGGGCTCGGCTGGTGTCCCAGGCGAGGAGCACGGATAGACCATTATCGATAAGGATGTGCTTGCTCCTTAGGGAGTTTATCCATTCGCTCCAAGGGGAGGCGATAGCTTGAAGCTTCTCTATGCGACGGGGGGGAGGTTGAGTAAGAGGGTCAGAGGATCAGAGGAGCAAAGGGGACTGGTGCACGTTGAGGGGTGGCGGGGAGATTGGGAGATGAGACGTACCTGCGGCCGTAAGCGCAACGCCCAACTGGACCCGTTGGAATATCTCGCGTTCCGTCATTTGGTCCAGGTGCTCGTATTCGACTAGAGATTGCACACGGAATCTCATAATCAGTATCGTGGATCGTTAAGCAACGCTCGAGGGGAGGACTAACCACAATGGAGCTCGATCTTCTCGAATATATCCTTCTCCAGCCTCGGGAGGATTTTGCGAGACTCGGGTTTGATCCCGCTCTTCCACCACCATTTCTTCTTGGTCATCTCATTACGATCTGAATCCGAAATGACCGTTAGTTGCATAATTACAGGCGACGAGGGAGGGGGCTCACATGGAATCTGCAACACGTATAAGAGTGAAATTATCAATATTCAATGGGGAGGAGAAACGAACATATCCATCCAAAAAGTGAAATATAGATCTGAGCCTCTGTTGCCCATCGACACAGACTCTTGTACGTCCTCCCTCGCGGTCGTTGTGTACGGCGAACACCACGGGTGGGATGTAAAAGTTCCGAAAAAGAGAGTCGATAAGTTTAATTTGCTTGGGAGTTGACCAGACGAGGGCTGGCGGAGTGCACGTAGAGGATAAGCGGGGAAATGCCGACGTGAGATCAGAGCGTTGAGTGAGACGGTAGGGGCACTCACCTCTCTGGTACGGAGGGTCGAGATCAATGTCTCCCTGAATTATCATATCTGTGAAATCACACATCATATATCAGCGGTCAGCTTCAACGTCGACGACTCAACGCGTCCAACGACCAGTCCAGTCGACCGACGGCCACGTACCATACAGATGCTTCGTAGTATACTTGATCCATTTCGGGGGGTTCAATAGATCACTCCCAAGCACAGAAGAGGACTCGTCGTCGTCGTCTTCCGACTCGTCTAGCTGATCGTGCTCCACTTCTCCATCTGCGTCCGCGTCTGATAGATCGGACAACTGCTCCGTTGAAGTTGTCATGATTGGGGGTGCGGACGAAGAGGAGGGGCCCGGGCCCGCGTGTGCTGGTGTGGCCATGGTGATAGTTAAAGTATAACTTGCTGAGCAGCATATCTGATCCTTAGTTGAATACGTATTACGCGCGTATTGCTGGCAGTGTAGAATCTAGAGATTCCAGCTCAGTGACTGTGAGAGCGCCCGGACAAAAGGGTCAGTTCAGGGGGGCGAGAACTTGTCAGTTTACCACTTCCACCACCACACATTCAGAGATATGGATCGCGATGTTCCAGTACCGCTACCCAGATTCCTTAGGTTGTTGACAGAAGGTAATATACCGATGAACAAGGCAATAGAGATAGCGAGAAACCTGTGAGTCGCTTAGGCTACTATTGTCTGAGTCATCTGTACTCATTGCCGAATATTATCCTCCCAACATTTCGCGCATTATTGACGCCACAACGTCCACATATCATCCAGATACAAGCAATCTAATACGGAGGCGAAACTGCACCAACTAGACGAGGCCAAAATGGTCGGTGCGGGTGTCGATAGCAAGGACACCCGCAGACTCGTGATGGTTGCTCTGCGCAAAGCAGGATACGCGAAACCGCGGCGTAAGAGTATCAATGGCAACGCAGAAGCAGGACCTTCTATCCCTACTCCAGTTGAAGTATTGGTAAGTACCACATATGTTAACTAGACTTGTGATTCCTCACCATAAGGAAATATACGTACAAACCCGCGGTAGACTACTCCGGTGAAGAAACGCAAACGCAAACGTTCAGCAGGACCCGAGAATACACTTCTACCGAACGGTCCTCCTGACGACGCTGCACTAGTTCGGGCTCTCGATTTCGGACCGGTATTGGACGAGCAGGTCTGTTTTACCTGTATCTCGCTGCCGGACGCTAGCTACGAATTGACTTGTTCATTTAGGTTTTAATGGGCAAGTCGGTCGTTGTGAATAGAGCACCTGTGATGTCCGCTTGGGCGACAGTAGTAGCAGAACGCATGGGCTTCAAGCGGGAGGAAGCGTTGAGCATTGGTGAGCACAAATACGCTCCTTTCTCCTCAAGCAAGTAATTAATGGGTTGGGTGACGGTTCTGGCTGCATTCATTCATATCCACGAACCATGTTTGAACCACTCACGCACGATACGGACACCACTCGGATAGCTTCCGTATACACCGAAATGAACGCAATCTCGAAAGGCGTCGCCCTTGGCATATTTGCCAAGAGCCGAACTAACGATGCAAATCCATCACGGAATGGCTCCCAACCTTATGTAGATTTCATTGGGCGAAGGTGAGCACTGACACTCAGGTCCCGATGTAGATACATGAGGAGACCTGATCATCTCACCTAAACATCTCTTACCGAAACCCTTCGACAGAGTGTATGCACGACTTCCTCTGATCCTGTCAACTTACCGAGATTAATCAATGGCCACCCACCTTCTAGGTCATTATACGAGACCCAAAATAGTCAATGGCGTGCTATTCTCAACGGCTCGCCCGCAAGCCCAGGAACAGCCTTCGGCTACATCTCCCGTTCATTCAAGCATCTGACGCCCTTCGTCCTCGGTTCACTGCAACTCCTGGCGGAGAGCTATAGTCAGAAGGAGATTAACGAGAAGGCATGGGGTTTGTACGCTGAATTTCGCCCTACTGTCGATGGGTGGGGGCAGCGGTCTGTGATGAAATGTGCCGATATCTTGGCCCTTCGGAAGCTGGCAGACACAACCGTTGGTAGAGATCCAGACGCACCGGCAGACGTCTCGTTGGATGCTGTCAAATACTCTCTGACCTCCCCAACGGAGATGAATGATGTCGAACCGACAGACGGGGAAGAGGCCAAGGAACCTGACAAGAAAAGGGTCCGGGAAATGACATTGGAGGAATACGAGGACATGCTGAACCGAGACACGACTTTCGATAACATTAACCTCGACATTAACGTTTAACCCCGATATCAGTGAACACTAAGTGCTTGTCAACCATCTAGGTATGTATGATATCTAAACGTAAACCAGTCTATGCGGAACGAGTGGCATGATCATCACAACTTCTTGATGACGGCGTTGGTGAAGTCGGAGGTGGTGGAAGAGCCTGAAGGTAATCAGAACAATTAATCACTGCTGCTTCTTGCGGAGATAAACTTAGGACGTACCACCCATGTCAGCGGTTCTGACCTTGGCCTCGTTTATAACGTCGAAGGTGGCTTTTGCGATGCTGTTGGCAGTGTGGTCGAGACTAGGAGGTGGTTAGACACGTTATTCCTTTCCCTTAGAATGCAGACCATACCCAAGATGTCGCAGCATCATAGTGGCGCTCAGGATCATGGCCGTAGGGTTAGCTCGGTTGGTGCCCATGAGGTCTTTAGCAACATGTCGGCATCCGGGTTCGAATAACGCGTATTCCTGCCATCATTTATCAGGATCAATGAGGTGAGTGAGGTGGAAGGGAGATAGAGCGACGCACGGTTCCAACGTTGCATCCAGGAACGATGCCGGGTCCACCGACAAGGGCAGCACCGATGTTCGAGACGATGGCCCCGTAAAGATTTGGCATGACCATGACGTCGAACTGACCCGGCTTCGCAACGAGTTGCATGGATCTATACGCGCGGTATTGGGTCAAAGAACTTCCGTGGAGTGTTAAAACATACGTGTTGTCGACAATCATATCATTGTGCTCAATTCCTGAAGACTTGTAGTCCTCGGCTACGCGTCGGAATGTGTTGAGGAACAGACCGTCACCGAGTTTCATGATGTTGGCTTTGTGTACACATGTCACTTTCTGTAAAAGGCGATAATGATGAACTAAGGTTCGGACGAAAGATAGCCCGGTAGTGCCTTACTTTGCGGTTGTTCTTGAGGGCGAAATCGAACGCGAAGCGAGCGATGCGCTCGGCCTTGGCGCGCGTGGAGACTTTCAAACTCTCAACAACACCAGGATAGCTCTGGTGCTCCAAACCCGAGTATTCACCTTCCGTGTTCTCTCTGATGATGGCGAAATCTACGTTCGCGTGGCGAGTGGGGAAACCGGGGAGGGACTTGCAAAGAACAACTGAAGCATAAATGTCGAGTTGTTGGCGCATGGCGACGTTCCATGAGATGTGGCCAGACTGGGAGATGGGGGTGAAGAGGATACCTATCCGACATTGGGCAAAACAAAACAACAGAACAGGAAGTTCAAGTGCACGAACCCTTGAGCCCAACTCGGTTGCGCTTCAAGCTCTCCATTGCTTGCCTGAACAGGGCCTCACCGGCGGAAGACATGCCGGACACGTCGTATTGCTCCCACTCAATAGGAGCGTTGACATGCTCAAAAATCTCCTTCACCGAGTCCGTAATCTCAGCACCGACACCATCACCGGGAATGAGGGTGACCTTAGTGAAGGGTCAGTTACTGTGCATTGCTGGCAAAGATAAGATAAACACTCACCGTGTAAACTCCCCCGTACTTCGTCGGTTGCTACAGGCGCTGTGAGATACTGGAGTAGGCTATGTTGCGGTATTTGTACTCACGACTTTATGAGAGACTTTTGGGAAACTGGCGGCCAAAGTTGTCGCGAGTCTCTGCAACTTCAATGAGAACTAAAATCGACAAAGATACAATGAATCTCACCGACTGAGACACAACGGGCCTAGTAGCAGAGGAGAATGCGTTGCGCAACATCACAGACGTTGAGCTTTTGGAGACGAAAACTTCGGGAACGGAAGGGAGATGATGGTGTTGGAAGGAGAGAATATCCGATGCCTCCGCCCCGTGCCATGATTGATCGCCCCCACGCGAGCTGTCGGCGTTTGCCGAGGAGGTAGATTATGGCTGACTTTTACGCTGGGGCGATTTGTTTCTGGGGCCCTGGGTGTACAATACCAACCACAACGGGACACTGAGTAGCCTTTCGACCGGCGCACTCTACCTTGCTCTCGACGTCCGCGACGACGACTGCTCTCCCCGACGTGCACATGGCAGACTCGACCCCGCAACGACCCGAACAACGACGGGACCTTTCGTTCTACTTCGTCCTTTTGTTTCTCGTCGGACCGTTATGGTGCGCGGTGCCACTTTCCTGGGCATTTGTACTCTACTCTCTACATACCGGAAGAATATGGCTCTATGCCTGGCAGGGCAGGACCGTCTTCGCCGTTGCATTGTGCGAGGTGAGCATCGTTCAAGCATATGTTAACAACGGATCACTAAGACACGTTCCACGTAGGTGTTCTTCAGTGTATATCACCATAATTTGTCGAGATATGTAGCCTCGACACCACCGCAACCTCCAGGGAATCCCGAAGAAGTTAGAGCGGCGTATACTCGCGCGGTGAAGGCGGGCTTGTTCGTCTTCCCGGAGGATGCGTTCGACGGTGAAAACCTTGACGCCAGCCGACCTGGAAGCCCAGCAGAAGACATCGTCCAGCTTGAACACGATGATTCTCGAGCGGAAGAGTATCGTAACGTTCTTCGTACTTGGTTCCGTCATGCACCCTGGTCAGCCATCCGGTTGTACGAGATCAAGAAGTGGCTATATTGGTGTATCTTTAATTCGCATCTGCCCCCGGATCATGAAATACCAGACACTCATCGCAGCGTCTTGGATGAGGCCCTCGATCTCTTGCGGAAACGCACTGGCACAACAGTCTTCGAGGAATCACCTTCGAAACACCAGCCTTTACTCTTGACACTCGATTCTGTCAAGATTCATTGGCGTCCATTCGCTTTCTACGCGCTCGTTGGAACTTTCAGCAGATTACTTAAACTATATCTCGTACGCAACCGCCGCGTCCGGTTCGGTAGCTATGATGGCCTAGAGTAAGCTTCTTCGCTGAAGTCAACCTCCCATTTGTTACTGATGCCGAATGGTAGATACTTGATCCGTATACCCTCTCAATGGGATTCACACCACGGTCCCCGCCCGATTGTCTTCGTTCATGGGCTTGGACTAGGGCTGCTTCAATACCAGAGCTTCGTTTTACGCCTCCTAGATGAATTCCCCGACCGCCCAGTATTCATACTACTTCAATCGCATATTAGCCAAGACTTCTTTCATAGGGATTACTTACGACCCATGAACCGACATGATACCACCCAGCGCTTGGCAGCCTTGTTCCTCCGCCTTGGCTGGGTTCGACCCATCCGTGATACCTCCTCGGATGAAGAGGAAGATATAGACACTCAAAATGTTGCCTCGTCCCTACTATCTAATCAGAAAGGTGTTACATTCGTCAGTCACTCAAAGTGAGCTTTATTCTTCTTTACGTTGAGTGATTTGTAACGTTGATGTAATATAGCGGGTCCTACTGCCATGCCTGGATGCTCAAGAACTACCCACACATGGTGACACGCTCATGTTTTGTCGATCCTGTGACATTCTGTTCTTGGGAAGGCGGTCAGTACACTGCTTTTGGGGCTTCCTCCGTGGACTCATACGAATTGTCATAGATGTGTGCTACAACTTTGTTTATCGGCCGTGTACCACGGTGAGAGTGTATTACCTTATTGTCGCCTTCAAAGATACTCACCAGGATTTAGGGCATGCATTTGCTCATGCGTTACTTCGTCAGCTCTGAGCTGGGCACAGCCAACCTCCTGCAGAGGCACTTTGACTGGTCCTCGAATTCGTTATGGTACGAGGAGATCCCTCATGCAAGAGACCCATCGAAATCCTTCTTCCTTGTCGGCGGCAAAGACGAAATCGTGCACGCTGAAGTACTTGTCCAATCTCCTCTCAGTTGTGTCTTGGTCTGAAATTCATTGTCTAGCGCGTCGCCCGATATCTGCGCGGACATGGCATACGTAAAGGATTCTGGATGGATCCAGAGGGCCGACACGGTAGCGCCCTCGCCTCTGGCGGAGAAGGGCATCAAGCAATTCTCGAGTGGCTTCGCGAAGAATAACAAGGACCCGAAAACTACATCAAACGACATTAGAAGACACTTGCTATCTCATAATGCCTAGAAGTTCTGTGCAATATCTATCACTATTATGGATGCATATATAGCTTATACCCAACTGTTTATACTTCGGCTTTATAGGGATTCTTTAAACAAACGACCTAATTAACGTACACAACAGCGCTCTTATCGAATAGAATTACAGTTACAGTCACAGTCGGGCCTGGGGATGGGCATGTTCCACGGTTTCTCTGAGACGGGGGAAGAGACGAAGGGCGTTGCCTGCCATGATGGCGTGCAAGCTGTGAGGATCATTGGCGTAGAAGCTTTCGAGGTTGTCGGTATACCACTTCGACATCTGCGGGCTGACGGCTATTGCAATATTAAAGGGTAAACGATCTGCGTGAACAGGGGAAGAGGATAATAGGGTTAACTTCACCTGGGCAATCCGTGCCGAAGAGAAGTCGATCTGGTTTGACGAATTTGAGCATAGCAGCGAGATTCGTGTCATACGCGCTGAGGGCCGTGTCGAAGTAGAAACTCTTGAAATCGTCGAGGATTTGGGACGGTGTTAGAGGACACCCCATGTGGGTGGAGAGCACTGCGACGCGAGGAGCAAGCCAAGGGGTACTGCCTCCTAAATGTGCCAATATTATCTTCACATTGGGATATTTGCGCTTCATGCCCGTCACGACAAGGTGAGAGGCGGCTTTGAAGGTTTCATTCGGGACCTTGGAATCAGTCAGTACAATAAGCAAAAGTCGAGGAACAGAACCTACGCACTTCGGTGATAGGCAAGCCCAGGTATTCATGTGGGTACGGTGTAGAAGAGGGTGTCTGGCAGCCGTGGAGGAAGACAACGGCGCGCCGCCTGTCCAGCTCCTTCCATATGGGTTCAAAGCGCTGATCTCCAACATACTCTACCCCATGTCAAACAAAGTCAGCCCTGATGGACACAAAATAGTCACCAGTCTCCACTCACTCGCGTCCTGCCCCTCGCCGTAAGAGGAGGATAGGGATATGCCGTCAGCCTTAAGCTCGTCGAGCGCGTAGTCGATTTCTGCCAAGGCACCTAGGCGTGAGGTGAGGTGAGTCTGGAACGCGGGGATATGGCGCGGTGGGGGAAGCGGCGAACTTACCTAGGACGTCGTAAAGGAGAGGCAAAGCAGCAAAAAAGCCAAATCGCGAGGGATATGCAGCGCATGTTGCTGCTGCTTGGATATTATGATTCCGTGTAATGGCTCGGTTCTCGAGACCAGGCAGTCCGTGTGAGGCCGCAGGCGTGGAGAGTATGGCCACATCTACATTGCATTTCTCCATCGCTCGTAAGCTGACTTGAGGGTTCCATGGGAGACTCTCGGAAGGCGTTCTCCAGCCGGCATTTGCAGAGGCCTTGGACTTGTCTACACCTCGAGGGAAAAGGTGGTGATGGATGTCCACGCGTTTGACTACCTGAAGAGCGTTTGTCAGTTGGTCTAGGGTAGCAGAACTCAACAGCGATAACTTACAGGATGCATTATGGGGTGTTCAGTGACCTGCCCTGTCGGGGACAGAGTAAATATACATACCTATCTTCCCAAAGGGGCACGTCACATCGTATCTGGAGCGTTCGTAAGAATTCGCAGTATGATTGACGGGCTAAGACAGGCGACCCACGAGTTAGGGGAGCGTTCTCTGCGCAAGAAAAGCTAGAAGGTACCATGCCACGAGCCCGAGTGTGCGGCCGGGGGCGAAAAGAAGTTGATGAGGAAGAACGAACACCAGCAATAGTCCAAGCAGGTCCTGTCAATCCTATAATGAGCGAGATAGAGCACCAACCAATAAGGGAACTCTGAAACGCATTGACGGTATGCTATATGGGTGTTTGCCACACGGGTGTGCCATCATAAACTGATGAGATTCTGAGGATGTATACAATTGCTCAAGGTCTTCTGTATGGCTTGCATTCTTCCTCGTTCCACCCCACAAATTGGCCGGACAGGTCCTTCGTGGCCTTGACTGCCAAGGCAGCAATAACGTACCCAGAGTCCTCAGGTCGAACCAGCTTGCCTTCAGAATGCACGCGCACGAACCCGGCATGAGTGTCCGCCCCGAGTATAGATGGGTCAGAGTCACGAATAGTAGTTTGCATCTAAGTACAATGAGATGAGAACAGAAAGGAGGGTCGCAAACATAATCTGAACGCACACCAGTATCCACCATGCCAGGACGAAGAGCAACTGCAGTGACATCCGGTTCCTCTTCAGCCAAAGTGCTTGATGGAACAATATCAGACCCAATAACACGAGGGATGCGATTGTGCATACCGACAAAGACTGTTCATGGCAGCCTTAGAGGCGCAATAAGGAGCCCAGCCTGGGTATCCCTTGAACGCGGCACCCGAGCTCACGAATACGACTCTACCACCGAATGGACTCGAACGCAAGTCAGGAAGGGTAGCTTTTAGAGCCGTGACCAGGGAGAAGAATCCAATGTCGAAATGAAGCTTCCAGGCGTCAAGGGGAGTATCATCTCCAATACGACACATTGGGGCGAGTATTGCAGCGTTTAAAACAAGGCCATCGAAGCGTTGATGAACCTTTTTAGCTTCATCGATAGCTTTATTGAACGCGGCTTCATTAGCTCTGTTGGTGGGAATTCAGGAAGAGAGGGGGGTAAGAATTGACGATTTTACAAACACGTCGCATTCAATAAAGGTGAAGTCGTCCGATACCATCGCGTCCACTTCTGGTGTCCTGGAACGAGCAAGGCCTACAACTCTAGCATGGAAATCCTGCAGCAGGATCTTAGTGGTGGCCAGACCAATTCCCCTGCAAATCCAGCATCAATGGGGAAACATTGATAGAAAATCAGGACCAACTTTGAAGCACCGGTCACCAGAACAACTGGTTTCTGTGTAGAGGCCATGGAATCAGTTATGATAAATCCTTATCAACTCGTATAACAATGTCCCGTGTACAGGGGCGCTTATACATCGGGAGTGGTCAGCTGGGAGAATTGTTACTTTGTCGGTTGAGTGTGCATGTGCGAGTATCTACACCTCGAGATATAAATAATTTGAAGTCTTACTCTGGCTCGTTTGTCAACAAGAGGGGATGGGTGGCGATCAAAACGGAGGTGGACTTAGAGTAGGATATTTATCGCTGAAGCGCTGACTGTCGTTGTTTACGTCAATTTTCCTACGCCCCAAAAGTTGGGTCTCGGAAGAAACAAGACTCTGCCAACACGACACCTCACCTTCCTCTTTTCTTCTTCTCCACCATCTTCACGATGCACGCCCGTCTGGCCTTTTCGCGCATGGCCCCTGCATTGGTCAATGCAAGAGCCTCGTCGTCTGTGACCGCTCGCGGGGCTCTGAACGGTATCCGACGATACGCAACGGAGACCGAGCAACACACGGTGAGGTCCTTCATGTACCCGACGGGCGCAAACTATATTCTTGTCTCGTAGATGACCGTGCGTGAGGCCTTGAACGCTGCAATGGAGGAGGAAATGATACGCGACGAGTCCGTCTACGTTCTCGGTGAAGAGGTCGCGCGGTACAATGGGGCATACAAGGTTGGTTTTCAAAATTCAAACGTGTCACAGGTATGGCGGGCGTGAGTCTAATTTTCTACAAAGGTCACGAAAGGACTTCTGGACAAGTTTGGTGAGAAGCGCGTCGTCGACACACCTATAACGGAGATGGGCTTCGCTGGTATTGCCGTTGGCTCTGCGCTGGCTGGCCTCCGACCCATGTAAGTCCAAAGTACCTTTCCGGCATTGCTGCGTCTCATCAATATCTCGCAGTTGTGAATTCATGACATTCAACTTTGCTATGCAGGCCATTGACCAGATTGTCAATTCCGCTGGCAAGACGTATTATATGTCGGGCGGTAACGTCCCATGTCCTGTTGTCTTCCGTGGCCCGAACGGTGCTGCAGCTGGTGTTGGTGCTCAACATTCACAAGACTATGCCGCTTGGTACGGTTCAGTACCAGGTCTTAAGGTTGTCAGCCCGTGGAGCGCTGAAGATTGCAAGGGTCTGTTGAAAGTACGCTCTCGCGTTGCAGCCCCCGTGTCTCGTGTTGATCAGCGATTATTATCATTTTAGTCTGCCATCCGGGACCCCAACCCCGTTGTCTTCTTGGAAAATGAAATGCTCTATGGTGTTTCTTTCCCAATGTCATCGGAGGCCATGTCCGACAACTTCCTACTCCCAATAGGGAAGTGCAAGGTCGAACGGGAAGGCAGTGACATCACCATCGTCGCCCATAGCAAGATGGTCACACACAGTCTCGAGGCGGCAGATGCCCTCGCTAAGGAAGGTGTCAAGGCTGAGGTCATCAACCTACGAAGTATCCGTCCTTTGGATATTGACACCATCAAAAAGTCGGTTAAGAAGACAAACCGGTTAGTCCTCAGAGCTTCTCTACCCCGATAACATCCTTACAAATACACTGCTTAGTCTCGTCATCGTCGAGGGTGGCTTCCCAGCCTTCGGTGTTGGCAGTGAGATCTGCGCTCAGATAATCGAGAGTGAAGCTTTCGACTATCTCGATGCTCCCGTTGAACGAGTCACTGGTGCTGACGTCCCAACACCAGTAAGCAATCGTCCTTTGCCATCTTGGGGTCCATATCTCACCAGCGTTTCACAGTACGCCACCAACCTCGAGAACCTTGCCTTCCCCGACACACCGCTTATCGTCAAGGTCGCCAAGCGCGCCCTCTACCGGACCAACTAGTTTTGTGGCCATCCCATATCTTTGTTTTAGCTGTCGTTATTCTAGACCTCACAGTACCTTTCAGTGGCATATTTGGCTTCATAGATTCCTTAATCATTATCTTGCTTCATCTCGGAGATGCTTATCATTTTCAAGATACAAATCTACGTGCCCATGTGCAAGCTTTATACTCGCGCAACCTCACTGCATCTCGCGCAACCGTATGCGAACAGCATTTGCATGTGCAGCGAGGCCCTCACAATCGGCCAACGTTGCAACCACTGGTCCGAGTTCTTTTAGGCCCGCAGCCGTGATCTCCTGTGAGGTGATGTGTTTTTGAAAGGATTGGGTGTTAACACCGCTGAACTGGCGTGCATATCCATTTGTTGGGAGGGTATGATTTGTACCGGATGCGTAATCACCGCAACTAACCAATCTCAGTTCAGTTGCTCGAAAATAAAAATAGACACAGGAGGACGGACCTTTCTGGAGTGAACGGGCCGACGAACACGCTGCCCGCATTATCGATGTGGGCGACGCGGTCTGACGCGTTTTCCAAGTGCAGGATCAAGTGCTCGGGAGCGTAATCGTTGGAAAATTCGATCGCTTCGTCGACCGTCGTGGTTTTCACTATGATACTCTTTGCGATCGACTGACGCACAATGTCGACACGAGGTAATGCTTTCGCTTGTTTATCTACTTCCTGTTCGATGGCTTCGAGTCGTTCGGCCGGCAGGTCGACAGCCAGGAGCACCACTTGGGAGTCGACGCCGTGCTCAGCTTGAGACAGTAAGTCAGCTGCTACGAACGCGGGATTCGCGGTGTGATCGGCGATGACCTAGTCTCGATTTCATCAAGCTATGAACAGTGCATGAATAGGACAGTGCATCGTACCAAGACCTCAGACGGACCAGCGGGCATGTCTATGCTGACCAGCGCATCCGTATCATTTTGCACCAACATTTTTGCTGCAGTTACCCATTGATTGCCCGGGCCAAACAGCTTGTCTACCTTGGGCACGGTCTCCGTCCCATAGGCAAGGGCTGCAATTGCTTGAGCGCCGCCAGCCTTGACGATCGCAGTTGCACCGACTAGGTGGGCGACGTACATCACTTCCGGAGATATACTTCCATCGGGTCTGGGAGGTGTGGCAAAGACTACTTCCTTGCACCCAGCCACCTGCGCCGGAATTCCGAGCATCAGCGCCGTCGAGGGTAGGATAGCGGTACCGCCGGGGATGTAAAGACCAACACGAGCCACCGGACGAGCAAAGCGAGAACATACCACCCCTGGTGTGGTTTCTACCACCAGGGTAGACCGATCGGCTTGTGCGTTATGGAATTTGTGGATGTTGTGGTACGCTTTGTCTATGGCCACCCGTACTTCGTCGTCGAGTTCCATGGACGACGGAGAAAATGGGGGGAAGATAACGGTGGCATCGAGAGTAACTTTGTCGAATTTCGCGGTGAGCTCGAGGAGGGCGGCGTCACCGCGGATGCGGACGTCCTCGACGATAGGCCTGACCTTGGCCATCATCTCGTCAGATTTGAGGACGGGGCGTCGAAGTAGTTGTAACCGCTCCTCTGCCTCGATCGCGGCGAGGTCGAACGTTCGCATGCTGATTATCTCGTCGTTAGCAGAGGGTGGTTCAGAAGATAACGGCGGTTTCGACGACGATGCTGCTACACTGGCCGACCATTGTGGCTTGGCATTTCCTGGTCGTCGTACAACCTTCTTGGCTTTATGATCCAACGACCGCTCGATGTCTGCAAAGCTTACGCCCGCTGCGACGCATTTCGTGAGTGCAAAGTAGAACAAGTCTGCGGCTTCGAACGCGATATCTTCGGGGCTCGCCGCCTGACAGAGTTCATCGGCTTCCTCCATGATTTTCGAACGAAGAAGACCGGGGTCGTTAAATAGACGACTAGTGTACGATCCTTCGGGAGAGGACTCGAGCCGTGATAGAAGGGTGTTTTCCAGTGCTGTGATGCCACCGACGGCACCAAAACATGATTGTCGTTCGAGGTGACAGAACCCTGCGCCATGTTGAACGACTTTGAATTCGAGGCTGTCCGAATCACAGTCTAGTCGGATGCTAACAACGTCTTGGGTGGCACCAGACGTTTCGCCCTTTCTCCACAGACCATGCTTTCGGGATTGGTAGACTCCCTTCCCAGTGACGATACTTTCCTTGATCGAATTCACCGAGGAATAAACGAGTCCTAGCGAGTGACCGGTTTCATCACAAACAACGGTAGGGAAGAGTCCGTCTTTGCGATCCGAGGTAATTGGAGCTGTAAATGCATCTGAAATATTTATCTGAGATCCTGATGATGGTCCGATTGTAAGCTGGGAGCTTGGAATGACGAAGGACGCGCCAACAGTCCGTAGCTGGCGAATACTGGCCGTCGTTGGGGGCGTATGGGCAGCAGAAAGGACGTAGACGGTGCACGACGCGAAGAAGCGTGCCACCGAGGTGATGAAGTCTATGTCTGCCGTCGGCATCTTCAGAATAACTCCTGTGACTGCATTCCGAACGGTGTCGCTCACTGCACTGAAATTGCTGGCGTCTAGGAGCAAAGCAAGACGTTGAGCCGGAACATGGTTCAACAGTTCCTTTGCTAGTTTTGGGGATACTATGACCTTTTCTACCCCGGCATCGAGTTCGGACAGAATCTCTTCCGACGATATGGGCGTGTTAGGGTCGATAAGGAGGTAAGTCCGGGAAGGTAAAGGGTCGGATGAGTGAGGTTGGTACGGAACCACCACTGGTCCGATGCGCAACAAAGGTTCTACCAACTCCTCGCTTGATTTCTCGACGAGCGGCAAGAAGGTAGACATAGTTGAATTGTAAAAAATAACAAACCCGAGTCACTGTACATCGATTGTCGGATTTTCGGAGGATCGTCGTGGCTTTGAGGCACATGAATCACTGTGAGATTACTACCCTCGAATAAGGCCTTGTAGTGTAGCGGTTATCACATCGGATTCTGATTCTCAGAATGTTCCGGTAACCCAGGTTCGATTCCTGGCATGGCCTCTTTTGTTTTACGATGATTGTTTTCTTTTTATAATAAAACGCTCTCATAAAGGTTAGTGCGACCGATCCTCACGCCTGTTCTCTCAGGACGACCGTATGCTTCACACAACAAGTTGGTAGCTACTTTACATAAGTGCGACGAGAGCAAAATTTGGAATAGCAAGTACAAAGCGATTGTTCAAAGCAATTTCGTCAAAAGGTTATCAGTCCGTTACTGTTTTGGACCATCGTCAATCTGATTGTAGTATCAAGGTTCAAGAAAAATATACATACCGAGAAGTACATGAGCGTTCGTTGCGCATTGTGCAATGGCCGGAAAGCTTGTCGGAAAGCTACTACTGACGCATCTGCCTGCCCAGCGGACAATTGGGTCGCAGAGTCGGACAAGTGCATACTTCCCTGAGGGTCGTAGTGATTTTTCGCTCGGGCGCAAACGATGTCGGCGTCTAGCAAGGTATTGTCAGCTTCTGAGGGGTCACAGAGGTAAGCGAGGCGTACAGTAAACCGGGGCAGGAATCGACACTGAGCGCGTCGCACGGGCGTATACATGACACAGCGCAAACGATAGCGCCTGAAGTGCATCGGGGCTGCATAGGATTGAACATGAGGTATAGGACGGATTGATGACAGGGAAGGACTCACGAAAACGCGTTGTCCTATAGTACAGTCAGAGGTTAGAGATTCCAACTGCTATAAGAAGAACTACGTACGTCGTGAAGCACCTGAGTACCAATGGTCAGGAACGTTATTCAAAATCAATGGTCGTGCCAACATACCGAGTAGTGGGAGGGGCGGCTGGTCCCGAGCAACCCCCCATGACTCAAGAGGTACCAGTCAAACTCAGACGGATGTGCGATGTCGCGGTCGACAACCATCCCGGCAGGGCAATTGCCTGACCTGTCAGCGTCGCGCGGGTCGATAGTATTGAACCTCATGTGGTGTCGTTTCCCGACAACGATAATCGTGATCTTCGGTCGAATTTTGAGCTCGACGCAAGCCGCCCTGATCCGAGGCAGTTCTGAGGGATCAAAGAGCATTTTTTTCAACAGCTGTGCAAAGAAAGGAAACCAGAGTATATATACCTTTCTCTAGGACTTGCGCGAATTCACCTTCCGATACGCCATCTGCAATGAAGTGAAGTTAACACCACTCGGCCGCGCACAACTTTGGGAACGGCTAAGCAAGGGAATACGCACCCCGGTAGAAAATGAGCCTCTTGGGCGCTATGGAAGCCGATCCCACCTTCTCCTTCTTCTCCCGGTATGACATGTACATGGTCAATACATGCTGGAAAGAGATACTTATCAGCCACGCAAGGAGAGGATCGATCTAATTCACTGACTTTGACCATAGCTTGTAGGTCTTCGATCATTTCGGTACGCCCTGCCTGGACCCTTGTATCTGCGACATATTTAGCCGCGTTGGAATCAACACTCCCGACAAGGGATGTGAACGACGGCCGTCCCTCAGACCCCGGTGCGGGGTGGATGACATCAGCACCTACGAGTCTTGCTCTTTAATTTCGAGGGTCATTAGAACGAGCGGCTACGCACCCATGATGATAGTTGGATTATGTGGGTCAGTCAGAACTGCCGCCGATTGAGGATCCGGAATAGCGTTGATGCCGCCAAGCTTGACGTTGATCCTACGGCCAATGTGAGTATCCGAAGCTCCACGAGAACTTCATGATCATACTCACTTCAGACATACGTTTGCGTAATATTGCATCTTCGCGCGAGAACATTTCGACGATATGAGGCACTGTGTCGCAACTCCTTGCTGTGGTCTAGTGTAAGGAGCAAAACGGCAGCAACGTGCGTAATGCAACATACCATGATATCACCAAAGCTAAGGAAGCAACATCAGTATTAGTCATTGCGATGCTGCGACGGCAGGGAAACTCTTACTGTTTCACGGCCGTGTATATCTCTGTGTTATTGTCCGGGAGAACGACAACGATGAGGTTGGGCGGTCCCTTGTATTTCTTGACACATTCGCCGCCGGCAGCCTTCAGTTGCTGAAGTAGAAGCAAGCGTCAACAATACTTCGACCTGCACAACACTGGACCTACGTTGGCAATATTCCCCTGTCCGTTTTCATATTTCACGATAGGGACATCGTTCGTGATTTTCATCCCTAGGTTCGTAGCATGTTAGTACCGGAAGACCTATGGACAAAGTCACTGCTTGTACGAACCGACGCTGCGACAGGCGTCCTTTAGCCCGTTGATCAGGCCGTCAACGTTTTGTTGGCCGAATCGCCTTTGCTGCTCGTATATGACGATGACCCATCGTTCGATCTCCGTTGGCTCGAAGAACCTCTTATCGACACTATAACGGATGTCAGCCAGGACCACATCCATATCATGCCCACGCACAGGTTCCATGCTCCATTGGTAGGTTGCTACACGTATCGTCAGTATCCCTTCCTATTGTTGCTTTTTGGCTCACTTACTATCGTCGGTTGTTTGCTTGAAGCTCCGTACTTCAGCCTTGTTGCTTGCAAAACCCTTGCGTTCACGTTAAGGGGAGTTTGCGATATTCCCGTCATTTCGAAGGCATCCAGGTACTCATTCCCGGTGTACGATAAAGCCTGTACGTAACGGGGTGAGTAAAGAAAGGTTCAACAGAGCGAAACATTACCTCAAACCCAGAGCGAATACTCTGGAACCGTTCTGCAGGCTTCATCGTCGAGAACGCCAGAACATCCTTGATCTTATCACTCGGCACTTGCTTCCGCATTATTTGCCCAGGAGGAACGTCGCATAGTTCCAGAGGGATAAGTGCGCCATTGCCTACCTATCAAAACATTAGCAGAAGTTGGGAGTCGAAGTGGATGTGTTTGAGGCAAACCTCAATGCAAAGTACGTCTGGGTACTGCAAAGGACGGTTGACGGTCCTGGCGAAGTAATCAGCGACCGTGCTCGAGCCACCCTCCCTCAGGGTAAATGTGCAATCGCGAGCACCAGCGGTACTCAATTTCTTGACGACGCGGGTGATACGGCGAGTACCGCCGTGAGTATGTGAAGTCGTTATACGCAGCCCAGAGAGGAAGCGCTGCAAACGCAGACGTTCGCGATCCGGTAGGCCTCGTTTTGGCGACAGTATGTTCGGGTCTTGCCTCCCAAAGAAATCCAAGCAGAGGCCTATGAGGGAGCCTCTTTTGTACATGAATCCCGTGGAAATGTCGACATTGACTATCATCCTCCCAATAACGGGACGGACAGACTGGAAATAGCCACGCCAGATCTCGATACCTGCTCCAAGATCGCGTCTTTCACGGTCGGTGAAGAACGATCTGACGTTGAAAGGATGGCACTGGTTAGGTTTCATCCTAACAGCGACATTGAGTGCCTGTAAAGACAAGTTAGTAGCCTTGATGTCTTTCGGCAAGAAACATACTGTAATTGCGATGAGCACGTCGTTTCCGTGGCTCTGTTGACCGTGGATAAACTGATCGAGCACTCTGGAATACCGGCCGTTCAGCATCTATCGGCACAAGAAATGAATACCTACTCCGGATTGATTTCTTGGGCAAGTGTAAGGGTGACCTTGTACACCTTCGGAGGCCTCGTGCCTACGTTGCCGCCGTTGGTCAGAGTGACGTCGAACTGGGGTGGTAGGTTAAGACTATGTAACACATCAAGAAACAATGGCGCACCGTCTTCGAATGGTTTGGACCGAAGGCAAGTTCCTGCGTGAAGAAGATGTTCTTTCGACCATCATAAACACCTGGTGAGGAGAGCGCGCTGAACTTAGCGCGGCTAGATGCTATGTAGATAAAGACGTACCTTTCGGGGTGAAGACCTCTGGCGCGACAGTATTTTGAAGTTGTTTTATGATGTCGTTGTTGACCCTGGCCGGTAGCACCTTCTCTGACGGTTCGATGACTAGATCGCATGTGTCAACTTTTGAGGAAGGTGGCCAAATGAGAATGGTGCTTACCCACTAGTAGACCGAAGGCACAGCCAGGAAATGTCAAGCGCAATGGTTTACCGATCAGGGAATCAAAACTGACCGTCGTAATGTCGAATTATCTTGCCCGGGATAGGTGTTTCAAATGCATTCGCGATTACAGTGACGGGGCGGCCTGCCGTCCCATAGCTGGGTCGTTTGACCCCAACCGTCTGAACATGCGACGCGATGTCGAGTGACCCAGTTGCTGCACCCGCCCCACCGCCACCCCGCCCGCCTCTCGCGCCGCCACCGCCTCTTCCGCCGCCACCCCTCCCGGCACCACCTCCCCCACCGCCTCTCGCGCCCCTACCACCTCCCCTGCCTCTGGGTGCTGGACTGGCCATGGTGTGCGCGTTAAGAGTTGTCGTGAAGATAAGGTATGGAAGTTGAAATGTTGATTGTTGATGAAAGGAAGGAGAAGCGCACTGCAGTGGGCGACTCAATACTCAGGGTTATATATTCAGTGGGTGACCTGCTTGTTCAAACGTTCACCGCAGCGCAAATAGAAGCGCAGTTAATCATAGCCCTCCATCGATGTGATATGATAAGTGAAGCTTAATATGGAAGCCATTCATCCGGACGTCTTTCTACAACTATGGAACATTTTTTTGACTCGGGATACACATAGAGCCCGCAGTCACTACGGCAAAGAACACAAGCTCGCTGCCAGAGACTGGGCCAGTGGGTTCGAGCTGCTCGATTCCTGGGACTTACCGCTCACTTATCCGCTTATTACGCCTGCTTTGTGGTTTCTCATACACGTTGTGGAAATCTCGGGAGCAATGAGCCGTTCCCGACGACTCGTGCTAGGTCGTGGAAGCTTAAGAAACTCGCGGCGTGGCATTCGACATAGCAGATGCCAAGGCTGGACGCGTTCTTCCCATTGTGCAGCTCTGCAGACTTCTCCGGGGATCGTCGAAACTTTCAGCAATGTAAAGCAAGACACAATTATACTAGATATATCTATCGACGATGTTCCATAGCGAAACTTGATGGACAATGGGCCCTGTCCCAATTAAACCCGCCCCATCGACGCGCTTTGAACGGCGACTTACCCTCCCTGTACGTGCTATCTCATAGAAGCACGAAAACCAGCTGATGATCTGATCTCAAGGAAACTCCATGACAGAATTAACCTTCTGGGCCCTGGCTATCGTAGGCGCGTAACTTTCGTTAAGATGTGGCTGGCAGTCGAGTCATGATTCTTTCTGAGCACGTATCGTAAAGATTATGTCTGAAGGCGCGATATTTGGTAGCGGGTAGCGGCTTTGGAGTCCCTTGCTGCGACATTGCCGCTGCGACCGGACGCGGTCTCAAAAGTAGTAGGAATCACCTGACTGGCGTGATTTTGACAGGAGGGTAACTGACAGTAACCTCCAGAGAGGACGCATTTTACGACTTTTCGAGGTACGGGCCACTGATATGAGACAGTATTAAACGTGGGTAACCAGTTTCAATTACCTCCTAGACTCCAGTGATCCAAATCAACCTCTAACCGCAAATCGTTTCGAGTCCCTCACTCAATACACACGCCGTTCCTGGTGGCCGAAGTCAGAAATATTGCTGTCCCGAACCAACGAAGATGCCGCCAAATTTCGTGAATGTGCCTTCAGGCCTTTTCATAAACATATATTCATGCTCCTGTTAGGGAAATACAGTGACATGCACCCGGACATCGTAGGACCAAGTTCTAAGAGGCAATTTTACTGAAGTGGGATATTACTGGATGAGTTGTAAGCCTTTGCTCCACCAGACACGTCCTTGACGTCACTTACTGAGAAGTACATGACGGTAGATTGCAGCTTATGCAGGGGCTTGAACCCGCGTTTATACGCAGCGAGGGAATTGTCGGCCTCTGTATCATCAAGCTGGGTTGCGGAGTCAGAGAAGTCAACCGTGCCTTGTGGATCGTAGTGGTTCTTCGCACGAGAACAAACTATGTCGGCATCTGGAAGGATCTGTTAGAACTAATCTCACGTTTGGAATGGAACGCGTACAGTATACGGGCGCAGGAATAGACACAGATCGTGTGGAACGTGCGTAGACATGACAGAGGGCGAAAGAGAGGGACTGCAACGCATCGGCGCTAGAGGGCAGGGTGAATTTGGGAACAGACTTGGAAATAAGAGAAACACTCACGTAAAGTTGTTCTCCTGTTTGCGATGCAAGGCATCAGGTCTCAGCTAGGTCTAAAGGTTCAAGACTTACATCGTAGAGAACCTATAGAAGATATTGAGAGCTTAAAGGTACCTGATACAGCAAAGAAACTCACGGAGTAATGCGCTGGGCGACTGGTACCAAGAAGGCCTCCGTGACTTTGAAGGTAGAAGTCAAATTCAGTTGGGTGTGCGATCTCTCGGTCCACGACGGTACCAGCAGGGCAATTGCCAGACCGATCACCATCGCGCTCGTTTTGTGGGAAGAGTCGAACATGGTGTCGCTTGCCTACCACGATGATCGTGATCTTCGGACTGATTTTGAGTTCCTCGCATGCCTCTGAGACTAGCAGTTAGGAAAAGACTTCGTCATGGGCCAGGAAACTAACTTTGGAGGGATGGCAATTCTTCAGAACACAAAACTGTCAGACCATCAGTGGTAAAAAAATCATGATTTGCACCTTTATCGAGGACTTGAGAAAACTGTCCTTCAGAAACACCATCTTTACAACTGAGGGTGAGAGTGCGTCAGACTTAGGACTTTTCCGTCTTACCGCGATAGAAAATGATCCGTTTTGGTGCGGCGTTGGCCGCACCCTTGCCTTCCATCCTCTCCCTGTACGATATGTACATAGTCAGGATATGCTGGCGAGGAACAACCATAAGCTCGATATCTGATCGAAACACATGTGCATACGAACTTTGGCCATGTCTTGCAGGTCCTCGATCATCTCTTTCCTAGATGTCTGGACACGACTGTCTGCAATGTATTTGGCGCTGTCGGAATCGACATTGGCTACCAATGCTGTAAACGAGGGCCTTCCATCGGACCCAGGAGCTGGGTGGATAACATCGGCCCCTATAGCATAATATGAGATGGGACACATTTAACCCCAATAGCACGCACCCATAACAATGGTCGGATTGTGAGGGTCAGTAAGAGCGGATACAGATGCTGGTTCCGGGATCATATTGATACCACCGAGCTTGACATTGATCCTACGAATCGTTAACGCATGCACAACAATGAAGCAACAAGACAAACTTCAAGCAGACATTGGCATAGTACTGAGGTTTTGCACGGAAACACTTCGTTGCTTTCAGACATTGCGTCGCAACGCCTACCTTTAGAGAATCTTAGGTAGAAAAAGGTGTACAAGAACACCCGACTTACTAGCACATCGCCAAAACTGTACAAAAGTGAGGCACATTAAACTGCGGTGATGGAAATCTATTACTCACTGCTTGACGGCGGTGTAAATATCATTTCCACCTTCCGGCAAAATAACGACCAAGAGGTTAGGCGGCGCTTTCATTCGTGCAACAACTTCTTGGCCAGCAGCACGCAGTTGCTGTGGAACATGGGTTGAACATGGAATAACAAGTAAGCGAAGGAAACCACTCACTTCGGCAATGCGGCCCTGCCCATTTTCCCATTTGATCAGTGGAGCGGTGTCATTGACTTTGATTCCTGGTGAAGAAAACTTGAGCCACAAGCTACTCGGCGAGGGTATCACGAAGCGCACCAACGTCGCGACAGCTCTCTATGAGGCCCACAACCATGTCGCGTGCTGCTTGTTCTCCGAAGCGTCTCTGTTGTTCGTAAACGATGACAACCCATCTGTCAATGGAGACCGGCTTGACGAATCGTTTGTCAACCCTAGAAGTCGTGTCAGAAGGGGTCGTCAATTGGACAAACGACGTACATATTCCAAGACCCATTGCTTGGAGTCTGTGAAGAGATTTTAATAGGCCCCCCGCATGACGACGAAGAGGCGTACTATGATGGCTTGCTTACTACCCGCGCCGTACCTAAGTTTAGGTGGAGGAAGAACGCGTGCTTGCATTCGAAGGGGGCCTTGAGCTGAATCAACGGACATGCCGAATTGGCGAATGTATTCCGATTGCCCATAGTCCAGTACCTTCGTACCTTAAGAGTAACATAGCTTGTTTTATCAAGAGGGACTCACAGCAAGACCCTTCCGAATACTGTCCAGCCTAGCGGCCGGCCTCTTTGTGGCAAAGTCGATAACGGCCTTGGTCTTTTCGGGAGGTACTTGTTTCCTCATAATCTGACCCGGGGGCACAGTGCACAATTCCAGCGGAATTAAAGCTCCTGAACCAACCTAAAGGAGTAGCGATGTGAAACCAACGCTGTGGAATACACAGAAAGTGGGCATACTTCAACGCAAATGACATCAGGGAACTGGAGGGGTCGATTCTGGGTCTTATGGAAGTACTCTGCGACAGTCATGGAGTTGCCTTCACGCATTGTAAACGTGAGGTCGCGAGCGCCGGCGGCACTGAGTTTTTTTATGACGCGGGGGATCTCCCGAATGGTACCTTCCTGACTGGGATGTTTGGTATTGACGCGAAGATTGGTGATGAAACGCTGAAGTCGAAGTCGTTCTCGGTCTGGGAGACCACGTCGGGGAGCAAGGGCATTGGGATCGCGTTTGCCAACGTATTCGAGGCAAACGTCCAAAAGTGCACCGCTTTTGTACATCGTGCCCGTTGAAATGTCGACATTGATGAGCATTTTGTTGATACCGGGCCGCACAGATTGAAAGTAGCCTCGCCACAGTTCGAGACCAGAACCAATGTCTTGAACCTCTTTGTTCGTGAAAAAGGACCGTACATTGAAGGGGTACTTCATGGTAGGCTCCATACGAATGACCACATTCAACGCCTATCCCGAAAAGTTCAGAAAAGGTAAGTACAGGTGTAAATGACCCTACATCGACTCACCGTAATTGCTGTCAGCACCGAGTTGTCGTGTGATTGGGCTCCTTGTATGAATCGCCGAAGGACTCTAAATAGGTTAAACTTTTAGGGAGTAAAATGAAAGCCAAGGAGGAGCTGACTCTGGGTTGATTTCAGCCACTTTCATCAAACGTATCTTGTAGACACGCGGCCCACGTCCTGCGGCCTCTCCTCTATTCTCTGTAAGGCTGACGTCGAACTGCAAGTTCCGCTATGAATTCAAAGTGTTGTTGGTGGAGCAGTGCTACTCATACCTCCTGGGAGCCCGAGTCGCCAAAGGGCAGTTCCCGAGCAATGAACATATTCTTCCTCCCATCATACACTGCCAAATGACGGTATGTTGAGCCAGGTATTTGCCATGAGCTCGACACAGCTTACCACCACGAGGCGTAAATATTTGAGGAGCTATGACCATCTGAAGATGTTTAATGAGGTCCATATTCAAACGCATCGGCAGAGTCTTCTCCGATGGAGAGATAACTATGTCCAACATGATTAATGGGTACACCGAAATCATGACGTTACTCTACGAACCAACTAAACCGAGGTGTAAGCTGTGATTTGCCACAATACCAGTCAGAGCCACTCACCATCATAATGGTATATGAGCCCGTCTGGTATAGTCGTCACGAATGAATTAACGAAAATTGGAAGCGAGCGTCCGCTACTCCCAAAGTCTGGACGTCGAACGCCGACAGTTTGAATATGCGAGCTAACCACGGGCGTGCCCATCGGAGGGGCGCCTCCGCGACCACGACCTCCACGAGGAGCGGAACTACCACCTCGGCTTCCTCTACCACGGCCTCTGGATGACATCGAGCTATCTAATGTTGAGTTATGGGGGTATAAGCTGGGTACAAGGGAGAAGAAAGGAAGGTAATCTTCGAATCTTTACTGCCTTTGTATCTTCGAATTTCGATCCCATGTCGTACCTCGCCTTTGAAGTTGTTGCGGTCATGTGAGTACCTCAAGGCAGAACGCCACTTCTTAAGCGCCCGAGGCTGGGCACAGGACAAGGACATCCGATACTTTATATTCACGATCCACGTACATGTGCTGAAAGAGAGAAACGGCCCTAATAACTCTTAGCGTAACTCTAGTTGCCGTTCTGACGTTAAATACTGACCTCTATTGCCCTAGATAAGGCGATGTTATGCTGCGATGTTGAGTTCCACTGGTCGACGCGCGCGGCCACGATCTCATCGACTCATCGATGACCCCGCAGCCGATGATTGCGCAGGTGAGCGCTATGTGACTCACCAGTACCAGTTAGGACCTTACGGGGACCAGACGGTTTGCCTACATGTTGTTTTCATTCTGTGAATGTGCCCTAAACGTGTACGCTGCAGTAGCGCTTGTTGCCTCCTGAAGGACGCGCATTCACAGCAAGCTTGTACAGCTCTCCTGCCAAACATGTTGTCGGCAGAATCGATCACCGTTGCCTGCTTGCCTGCCTCGAGTCCGTCTTCTGACGTTATAAGCAGCAAAGTTTAACCCATTTCTGGGTCAACGACCAGAAAACAACCTCTGCCTTGTCATCGCCCGCGGCTGGGAAACAAGTAACCGTTCAAAACTCTCGTACTTACTCACAAGGATGATTCATCGCAAGCCTGTGCCGCCTTACGTTCCTTCTCCGAATTCTCCAAGCCCCCCTTTCGATTTCGATACATTGTCCACTCATAATAACAGCGATTGTACCTCTGCTCCACCGGTAAACACGCCGATGACTTATACATCTCTCTGTGTAACTTACGCACCATGCACCCCTCCCTCTAGCTACCAGATGGGTGGGAAGACATGATCCAGCAAGCCATGGCTGCCAACCTTGACACTGTCCACATAAGACGTAACCTTACGAGGCCGCCCGGAATATCCCCTGTACCTTCGAGAAGGGTAAGCCGGAATGTTTCCTTATTGGCCGATAAAATCTCTGACTTCTGGTGCTAGCCTACGTCAAGTTTGACCCCTTCCCTGCCTTCAGTACAGCCGCAGCTAACTGTACGCTCACGGAAGCGCCATGAGGTAAGATATACAGGCTTTTCACCGTTTCTCTGTTAACTAACGCACGCCACTTGTAGATATACCGCCCTCCGACGCCACCTCTTCCAGCTCCCCGACATGAGTATGGGCTTCGCCATAGTATGATACAGCCGCACGGCGTAACGAGGTCGGCCACGGTAGGTTGATGGCGGATATTGGAATTCAAATGTCTCGACTCATTCGTTTGCATAGACTTGTTCTGATTCGTTGTCTTTCTCCTTTCCTCCGCGATTTTCCATGCATCAAACAACATCCAACGGCTCTTCAAATTCCACGCTTAGCGTTGGCATACCCAATCAACCCCGCAGACCATACACCACACCAGATAGGCCGCACCACCTAGTCCATGAAGTGCGGTTGGATAATTTATCAGGGGACGATCGATTCAAGTTCTCTGGGGTCAAGGTTTCCCGACGCACGTCCCTGCTCTCTGGCCACGGCGACGTGAAGCATGGAAGAAGTTTGCGAAGGCGGGTTGGCGCCTTGGGGTTAGTCTGCAGGCTGCGTCTGCGGAAACTCGGAGAGGCGGTGGCCACGCTTTCTGTTAAACGTTAAACATTCTGAATACTCGACGCATCGTCAACCTGGATAGAATATTTGGCCTGTAGCCTTAGTTTGGATGTAGCTTCGTAGTGGTTAGTTTCTCCAGTAGTTTGATACTACTCAGGGGGATAATTTATTGTACAAGCATTCGTAAATAAACTGACAAAATAGCCATTACTCGATCACAGACTGTCATGATCATCATCCAGCTAGAGTGCCATTCTCCACTTCAACGCCTTATGAACTCTCGTTACTAGTTCCACGCCCGCCCGTTGCTTTGTACAACTGTACTCAGTTTTATGATTTCTCTGGCTCCTCATAGACCTGCTTATTGCTTTCGCTTACACCGAATACCATGGCCAAAGACAATGGCCCCGAAAATACCCCCAGTGGCAGGGAGATTTTCGAATCGTGTTTCTCTGGCGCTCAATACCCACCTCGCATACCTCGGCTTCGATCGGACCCAGTTCCCCAATACCATAGGCTACCCCATTGTCTCTCCGAATTTCGCTCAGAAGAAGGCAGAGCATACCGAAAACACCGGCTAAAGACGATGCACAAACATTTACAGCAATTCAGCCACCATGATCGACACTACACAACCGATGCTGCGAAAACATGGCTGAACGATGGAGTTGCAGTCACACCGGAGCGCGCAAAGGACCTCGAGGCTCTGTACGAATCTGAGTTATTGGGGATTTGTGGCGGGGGTGATCTCCGCTGGACAGAATTCAAAAAGTATGCGTTGGCTAAAGAAGCAGGTGTGTCGACGTGATAGCCTCTTGCAGACATTCAGGTCGCCATTCTGACTGACGGTGTGAAGAACTATGGACGATATTCCATGATGAACTAGATTTAGACGGGAACGGACATCTTGACTCGCAGGAGCTTGACCTTGCACTGCGGAAAGCTGGTGGGTGGAGTTATCGCTACTTCATGAGAACTCACTCAATCCGGACATGAATGTAGGCATCGAGCTTCCTCCTGCGATGCTTTCGGACTTTATGGCATCCTTAACCACTTCACCACACTCACATACCATCACATTCAGTGAATTCCGCGATTTTCTTTTGTTGTTGCCCCGGAAAGTATCCACCACCGAAATATATGACTATTATAGAGTCAGAAAGTTCATGGGAGACGATGGAAGGGGCGTAGCCCGTGTTACCATGGAAGGTCTGCCTTTATATGTCCTTATCTACGCTTTGAGTTGATCACTCGACACACAAGGTGATGTAACCTTAAGTGCCGAAGACAAACCACCGGCTCTAGCCCATCCCAAGACGCCGCTCTCGACAGGGCCGTGGCAAGGTGCTTCAGATGCGCAGGTACTAGATGAAGACGATGATGATTTCTTCGAGGAGGACGAAGAGGAACATCAGTGGTTAGAAGGGCGTACAGCGCTTAAGTTTCTGCTTGCCGGAGGCATTGCTGGTGCAGGTGAGTATGTACATTCTTCTTTGCTGTGTACTTGCTAAAGATAAAAAAACCATATCACAGTGTCACGTACATGCACTGCGCCGTTCGATCGACTCAAAGTCTTCCTCATTACGCGCCCGCCAGATCTCGGAGGAGCATCGCTTGCGAAACAGTCCGGTATTGGTGGTGTGAAAGTGATAGGTACCGCTGTTGCTCGGATATACACTGAAGGCGGTATCCTCGCGTTTTGGGTTGGAAATGGTCTCTCAGTCGCCAAGATCTTCCCCGAGTCTGCCATTAAGTTCTTCACCTACGAGTCATCCGTGCGTATCCCCCCTTAAGCACTATTACACCGCCGTTAATTGAGATGAATGCATGCTTGCTTCTCGGTGTATGCTGTAGAAACGCGCATTTGCGAAGTATTGGGATCTTGTAGACGATCCCCGTGATATCAGCGGTGTTAGTCGCTTTATGTCGGGTGGGATTGGTGGGATCACCAGTCAACTAAGTGCGTGCCCTCGCTTTGGATTCAATACATGCATTAGAACCTTCTCATCCTTGTGGCGGCACGTAGGCATTTACCCAATCGAAACCCTGAAGGTAAATCTAGCCCACAATAGCTCTTTGCGTGTATCCACGTTAACCTATCTTCCAGACCCAAATGATGAGCAACACCGGGGAGCAGAAACGGACATTACTACAGGCATGCCGGCATCTCTGGGGTCTGGGAGGGATGAGGGCTTACTATCGAGGACTCACTGTAAGCATGCTTGTTTCGCGTATGTATTTCATGAGTTGTTTCGATCCATTGTCCCCTGCTCATTAGATCGGACTTGTCGGCGTTTTCCCGTACGTCTGCATCCTCATTCGTTGACATTTGCACCCTAATAATTGGTTCATATAACCATCTATCTGTGTCCGCCCCGATGGATACCACCTACCCATTCGCGACACCTCTTCCGTACGTAACAGATATGCTGCGATCGACATGAGTACATTCGAGGCTCTTAAGCTCGCCTACCTCCGCTCGGCCGGCAAGGATGAACCTGGAGTCCTCGCTACTCTCGCATTTGGCAGTATCTCAGGGAGCGTCGGTGCCACAACGGTCTACCCACTTAACCTCGTGCGTACGCGATTGCAGGCGTCCGGTTCCACAGGGCACCCACAACGATACACCGGTGTTTGGGATGTTACAGTCAAGACTTTTGAACGGGACGGTTGGAGAGGGTTTTATCGCGGTCTATTCCCTACGCTAGCAAAGGTACGTAATGGGCTTTTATCTTTTGCTATGTTCCGTCATTGCTTGGATGCGTTTGCGACTGTCACCTGCACTGTTGCGCCAGGGCGTTGGTGTTTTAATGTCTACCCCGTTTTGATGGGATCCAGTGCAAGTGGCATACGTACACAGCACCTGGACGACCTTCGACCTCCCTGTCTTGTTGTTTGCGGTGGTCAGGTGTCGCCATGAGATAAATCATTCTCCTTGATCCTCCCTCCCTTTCCCGTTCTTTTCTTTTGTCTGTGTTGTACGTCAATATGTTCGCTCGCTGACTCTGACATCTCCTGCTGCAATTTGACGTGTATGTACGCTCTATGCTCGATTAGGTTGTTCCAGCTGTGTCAATATCCTACGTCGTTTATGAACACAGCAAACGGAGGCATGTCGCCAGTTTCATCCCCCTCTGATGACGACTGACAATAAAATAGACTTGGCGTATAGCCTGCTCGGTCAAGTGTTGGTTTCGCAGATGTAGGATCTCCCGTGGAGGCCCTTGGAATGAAGTACCGCCCACGCCAATTCAAGATATGAAGATGGCACTCCCGTGCTACCCCCTTCGATCCTGGCGCCTGTGACACACTATACAGGCACCATACTTAGATATACAGCGTATCCACCAAACGACAATTTAATACTATGACCATATCCGTCGCGTACACTTTGCTATCTAGACTAGACTTGTCATGCTTGCTTTCCTATTTCAATTCCGCTCCCTTAGTCTCGCTTATCTTTTCATTCATGTCTACAATAGTTCATCGTAGTCCACCATTTGCACTGATCCGTTGTATATATCAGCATCCACAAGTCTTCGTCGCTTCACATTTAAAATGTATCCATCTATCTATGATGAACATGTCCGTCTCAGCCGATGTAAAAATGTGCTTGGTAGGAATAAATTGCAGGACGAAAAACAGGATGCCGAGATTCGATATGCTACATCGAACGGGAGTCGAACCCGTGCCGCTTGCTCACAAGAATGGAAGGCAAGCATGATACCGTTTCACCATCGATGTTATGACGAACGAATCATCATGAAGTCACTCGATGCACGCCTTCAGTTTAATCAAATCGTCCACCGTCGGTCTGTCACACACTGAACTTCTTGGAGACCGAACTTGGAGGTAGAATCAATCTCTTCAGGGCACCACAGTGCCTGTGGTGGCGTGGTGGCTGCGCGGTACCTTTACAGGAGACATCCTTTGATAAGAACCACCTTGGTTCGGCACAACGCCGTACCTCCAGCGTGCCATTTCCGGGCCAGTCGACCCACTCCGCCACATTGATTCCAATTCCGCGTGCCTCTGGTCACTCACGAGGAGATGATAAGCTACTTACTCCTCATCTCACGTCAAGGTGCGAGCTAGGTCTTTTCGGTCTGTCTAGGTCTCAAACGACACGTCGACTGATGGATTTATCGTTTGGCATTGTCACGATGGCGAACCAGGCAAAGTCCGGCTGGCGAAGTGGTTCGTCACGCTCTCGCCGAAGAGCAAGGCGAAGATTGTGAAAGAGGTGACGCAGTTGGTGTTAGCCAGACGGGCGAAGATGTGTAATGTTTTGGAATATAGAGGTGATCGGGTTACTCTGCGTACCATGGACGCGTCGAGGCTGATACCGGATGTGTTAGATACGAAAGTGATATATCGACGCTATGCGTCTCTTTTCTTTGTCTGCGGGGTAGGGGCGGACGATAATGAGCTCATCACGCTCGAGATTATCCATCGCTACGTCGAAATACTGGATCGGTACTTTGGGAACGTAAGCTATTTTCGCATCTCGAAGTACCCTCAGCTGACTGGAATTTTCTACGGAGCTCAGGTGTGCGAGCTTGACTTGTACGTTCACTTGTCCGTTGGGTGGCATATGCTTCCAGCTCATCTGCCCTTTACCTGGGATTGAAGGATATTCAATTTTGATCAAGCATACGCGGTACTGACTACTCCACGATCTGCTTTGGATTTCAATTCACGACAGACTAGATTCTCGACGAGTTAATATTGGGCGGAGAACTTCAGGAACCATCAAAGAAAGTGGTCTTGTCCGTGGTAAGGGTCTTCCTAGTCACATACACCACCAGTTCCAGTTCCATGGGGCCGTTGTTGAGAAACTTCGGTCGCCATTCAGCGGCATGCTCCTTTGGTTCCCTCCTCCTGGTCAAACCCACATTCGTCTTGACCAAACCTATTCGTTCGAACAGATCGCCGCATCGGACTTCCATGTCGTAGAGGAAACACTCGACAGCACTCTTAACGCAGCTGGCCTAGTCTGATAACCCTCGTCGACCCCTCATCCTCCGCGGTGCATTACTCATTCATTCATTGATATCATGTGCGCATTACCACCCCACCTATCCACTTATGCCTTCTCTCTCTCATGCTTCCCGACCCTCTGACCATGCAGCTGACATCCCCGCCATTTGTGTGCAGGTACATCAGTTCCAGCGAGCCGAAATAGAAGATAACGTGCTTGGTCCGTGGAAGTTTCGTTGGAGACCCACCTCGTGTACTGACAACGCAAAATAGGCGCAAAGTCGATCTTCGAACCCATCAGGACGTCCTAATCTGCATTTTGGGAACGGTTCTTTTGATGGATTATTGCTTGTTGCTGTTTGTGAAGTATGGTTTGTGTTGTATTGGGACAATTGGATAGAGTTTGCAGAAGGAACTATACTCCATTCGCGTCCTTCGTGCTAACAAGAAATGGAGAACTTGTGATACTATTCGTCCAAACATTCGAGACGAAGATACTTTTAGACATCATATTGATTCCTTCATCCATATCTCGGAAGCACTGAGTATCAATGATTGAGCCACAGCCAAGCCCAGTGTCTCGCATGCGGCGTTGTCTCGTCGTCCCCAATACCTGTCGAGCTGTCGAGGTAGATATCGGTGGCTATAGGAGCCTGTAAGCCGACCGAGATGTGGGGAAGCGTAGGAAATTGTGGGGAAGCCAATAGAAGCTAATGCGGGGAAACGCATTTCTGATGGCACACGACTGATTGATAGGCAGGCCCGTGGCCGTCTGATATCTCCATCTACGTACGGCGTATGATTTGAACGTGGATGCATGGCAAATATTTTTGGGGCGGGAGAATCTGATTGTTAGGTATTGTAGTGACATTTATGATTTCATGCTAACGGCTCGGATGCAGGCGATGAAGGAGAAGCCCGTGGTAAAGAATGCAAGCAGTTGATTGACTCGAGCTCTTGAGTTCTTGGTGGGCGAAGTGTTGATTAAATGAGGGTTCTGTATAGCATGTATATTCACTGTCTGTGAGCCAAGCGAGCTGAGGATATGAGAGCTCGAGTCTGAGGCAGTGAGTCTCCGCGCTCGATCATGATCGAGAACGAAACTGGGGAGGGCACGTTTACGCAGTCGCGGGTGTGAAGGGCAGGAGTTTCAAGAGGCCTACAATTATTTGATCACTAGCATAGGAAAATACACAGCGTTCTCGGATCGCCCAAGGAGTCAAACGCACACGTTGCCCACTAGTACTTATGCAGCTGGATGTGTTGACTAGGGGATTAGTATTTCTGTCCTGTGGGTCGCAGCGTGGGGTATGAAGCACGGGTCATACCCTTTGATTGATAAGGACGTAGACATTCCTGGCGAGTTTATGTGTAACGGCAAAGCGGGCCTGGAGCAGAGTGCACACGTCGCTGTGCGGTAGTTTCCATGACTGATGCGTCCGAGATAATTACGATGTCGGTCGCAGCCGCGGGGTAATTGCCAGAGGAGGTAATTCGGCGTGGATATTCAGGGTTGGACGGCGGAACCCGCAGGTAAGTACCAAGTCCGCGACATGTCCCCATTATCAGTAAAGTAGTCATGGCGGTACGCAGACGGCGTAATTGAGACATCGGGTACGAGGAGGCGACATTGTTACTCGCCGGATCGGCGTTTCAAGGCTGAATACGGCGAGAAGTAGCCTGGAGGAAGCGACCGACCGCTGGCCGGAGAAATTATCGAAGAAGTGGAGTCAACTTGTGGAATCTCATGGTAAAAAGATCTAGTCAAGGTCCGTTTTGGACAATCAGTCAAATGCAGAGTTGCAGATTGCCAAGCGGAGAGAAGATATGTTTCAAATTGTGTCGGAGCAGGGCATTCCGATATAGAGGAAGGGACCCCGACCGAAAGCCGATGGTAAAATAGGTGCAATCGTAGTGGGTAACATAGCCTGGACGCCGTTGAGCCAGGCGCAGCGGAACTGATCTCTCGATCAAGCAGTCTCGCCTGCCCGCCTTATCGTCCAATCACGTTCGAGTGCCTTGTCATCCAAACACACACAAACACTATACTGTCCGACTGCTTTAAGCGGTGTGAAACTCATCTACGCCTAAATCCCATCTCATCTTGCTCTCAGCCATGGCCAACGTCTACCACAACGATCTCCTCGCCCCCTACCTCGCCCTCCCCCAAGGCGACAAGGTCCAAGCTGAATGTGCGTACGGGCGCTGCCATCGACGCTATCTACTCTGACATATAGTCCATAGATGTTTGGATCGATGGTGACGGTGGTCTTCGTTCGAAAACCACTGTATGCACTCTTCTCTAGTCTTCCCACCCACCGGTTACTGAACTATCGTTAGACTGTGAGCAAGAAGGTCACCGATATCGGCCAACTTCGCATCTGGGACTTTGATGGATCATCCACCAATCAAGCCCCAGGCAATGACTCCGACGTCTACCTCCGCCCAGCTGCCATCTTCAAGGACCCATTCCGTGGCGGCGACAACATCCTCGTCCTCGCCGAGACCTACAACAACGACGGCACACCAAACCGAACCAACTACCGTCACCATGCCAAGAAGATTATGGATCAGGTGAAGGATGAGGAGCCGTGGTTCGGTATTGAGCAGGAGTACACACTCTTTGACGTCGACGGGTCTCCTTACGGATGGCCGAAAGGCGGCTTCCCGGGCCCCCAAGGTCCTTATTACTGCGGCGCTGGTATGTTTTTTCGTCCCAATACCTCCAGACATCCTTATTCACATGCATATAGGCACTGGAAAAGTCTTCGCTCGTGATCTCATCGAAGCCCACTACCGTGCCTGCTTGTATTCAGGTGTCAACATTTCTGGTATCAACGCCGAAGTCATGCCATCGCAGTGGGAGTTCCAAGTTGGCCCTTGTGAGGGCATCTCCATGGGTGACCATCTCTGGATGGCCCGCTACCTCCTTGTTCGCATTGCCGAGCAATGGGGTGTCAAAGTCTCCTTCCACCCCAAGCCGCTCCAAGGCGACTGGAATGGAGCCGGCGCCCACACCAACTACTCCACGAAGGCTATGCGGGAGCCCGGAGGAATGAAGCATATCGAAGCCGCCATTGAGAAGCTGTCACATAAGCACGACGAGCATATCGCCGTGTATGGAGAGGACAACGACATGCGATTGACCGGTCGACATGAAACCGGCCACATTGGTGCCTTCAGCTCCGGTGTTGCCAACCGTGGCGCTTCCATTCGTGTACCAAGACATGTTGCGGCTCAAGGTTTCGGCTACTTGGAGGACAGACGTCCAGCTTCTAACATCGGTTAGTATTCCCCGCACTCATTCTTCCTGTTTGATCATTAACACTTCATTCTTAGACCCCTATCGTGTCACCGGCATCGTCGTTGAGACCACCCTCCTCGGATAATCATACACCCCCCGCATTAGACATAATAAACTAGAGAGAGCCAGTATTCGCAGTTTGTAAATCGAGATATCAATTACAAGGACGTTTTATTTTGCATCATTACTACATACTGGATTGTGATTCCGATCCTTGAGCATGAGCGCTAAGCCGATCTGGCTTCTTGAGTCCCACCTTACGAGACTCGCTTCATGTGCGACTGCAACCTGAGTTTCTCATCAACATCCTCCGTAGATGCAGGCTCGTACAAGTTCCTAGAACTTCCTCCCGAATTGGCGACGTTAATTGAATCGTCGATTAGCAGCCTATCCACATCAAGGTGCGGCACTCGCTCCACGGAGTCACAAACTTTGTGCTAACGCGTTGCTTCTTTCTTATGTACATCTCTGTGTCGCGTTCCTTTGCAATACGACGTCTCCGTCGATGTAACTCATCGTCGACCACGTCAGTTCATCCCAACATGACGGCAATTACGCTGGATTAAAGATTAAAGGCGTACACGGAGAGGATGCCGTGTTATGTACTGCAGACAAGACGTATTCGATGCGTTCTGTTGTCCTGTCGAATTCGGTTCTCGTGGTGACACAGCCGCCTGCGCCTACACGTTCTGGATCCCCTTCGGCTACAGATGGCATACACGGCGAAGCAACTGTGGATCCTTCCGACACGGTGGTGATACGCGATACGTTGAACGAAATCATCGAGCTCGCGCCTACCGTTCCGAAGCTGTACAAACTCAACGCACTGCTCAGAGGAAAAGAGTACACCGATTCTAGTGTCGATGAAGATGTCGTTAGCACCCGAGAGACAGCTGACGGCCATGGTGAGAAAGACTGGTTCTCCTACAAGGACGCTCTCTCGCAAATACAAGCGAGCGATGGCGAATTAGAGAAGGGGCTCAAGGATAGACGCATCCTAATCGTAAACGGTAACTTCATCACCCTTCCAACGCTTCATAGATGGAATACTGACGCTTGGAAGTGATATAGGATATCTCCGTCCAATAACGCCATCCTTTCTGACCCACATCCTGGAGCTTGCGCTGAACCTAATGGTTTCGCTCTCCCTTACTCCCTCACGCGCGCCGGTGCATGAAATAGCCTCGACGTTAGCGGACGAAGACGAGATTCCGCTGAGCGTCACGCACCAGATCATGGCGTGGTTCGGCGAGGTGAACCTACGCGAGGATAAATGGGCGGCAGACGTTAAGCTCATTGTGAGGGAGATCGGCCTAGGGCTCCTCCGCGAACACGGCCTGGGGAGCGGTATCGAGAACGACGCCTTTCTCGAGAAATGGAAGACGGCCGTCAGCGATAAATTCGAGGACCTCGTCGAGATGGAATTACTGTCGGTACGGATATTGATTTCGTACCCGTTGGTGCACTGTAGACTTACTGGTTCACTGTCTTAGGGAAACGTCCTACTCTCAGCTTCTACTCTGTCTGCATACGGAGACGATACTACGACCACCCTCCAATACTTCCCGGCTTCTCAACTCCCCGCCGATCCTCCTGCTCGTTTCGCTGAACTATTCCTCACGCGGACGAGATGGCGTACCGACGACATCACACCCTTCCTCTCCGACATCGCGGTTAACACGAAGGATCGGGATCGTCTCTTACTGAAGTACGCGAGGGCTGTCAACGACAAAGACGGCCTCTGGTACACGGCGAGGGCGCAATACACTTAAACTATAAAATGAACGGGTCTCCGAGAATGTCTCAAGCGCATCAAACATGTGTATATGTATGAGTATAAACAAGAATGATATATACTAGCGGCGCGCTTTCTTCACCTGGAACCGAGCGTGAAAGTCCTCTGAGACGGTTTTGTGGGGTCCGAGTGCTCTGGCCTTGATATGGCACAGGTCCCGCATTGCGACGTCCCAAGGGAATCTGGTCCATCCTTTTCTTGTGTTGTTCTCTTGGTGATCGAAGATATAAGCGTACGAAGCCTTGATTAATGCGACTTCTTCGTTGCTGAATATTGACGTTGTTGGCTGATCAGCTGCGACGAAGCTGGGGAGATCTGCTGAGCTGGGGGAGGAAGCAAATTGTCGTGAGAGGGATCGCAGAGTGTCCTGTCGCGCCTCGATTGGAATACCGGTAAAGTCCTCCCCTTCCTTCTTCGGCTTCACCTGCTTCCTATGCTCCCTATACATCGTTTCTACATGCCGTTTGATCTTCTCCAGGTCCTCAGCTCGCTCCATATACCCCCGGGAGGCCATCTGCTTGCCCAGCGCCTCCGCCTGCCTCCATGGTTGCTGAAGATCCAAATCGACGACGTGCTCCTTCGGCAGGGCTGCGAATGCCTGCTCGATGCGCTGTTGGGCGAGTCGTCCTTCTTCCCTGGCCTGGTTGTAGATCGTATCCATGATGAACTCTTTACCATGGAATTCCTTTGGCCGGACAAGGTTGATCTCGTTCGTCTGGTGGCGGCTTCGCTCTTCTTCAGTCTCCTTCCAGAAAGGTGGTCGCTTATTGTATAGCTTCGAGTCATGCTTGATCTGTGATGGTAGGACTTGCTCGCCTGACTTTGAGGAGTCAAGCACCTTGCAGAACCTATATAACATTGGTGAGTTCTACTACCATGGCAAGAAATGAAATCCACTTACATGTAAGCAAGTCGTATCGTCTCAGGGTGCTGGTACCCATTAACATAAATGGAGTTAAGGTGGAAGTTTGAGTACTGCCCAACCAAGGAAGGCTGGTTGAGTGCTCCAAGCAGGTATTGCTGAAGCTTGAGTTGAATCTCCTCAGGTGATGAGCCCTTTGTTTCCTCCAAGAAGTCAGTGACAGTTTTCTTCTCCTTGAAGAAGGCAGCCTTGATCTCAGGAGGCTCTATTGAGAAGTGAAGCGGAGCATTGACAAAATGCTCAACAACTTCAGGCTGCCAAATCAGCAGAGCTTTGTCTCCGTCGTAGTCACCTAGGTACTGTTATCAATGATTGTTATTGATATGATAAAATAGTACTTACCTCCTGCTAGAAAATCAGCAGCTCTACGTGAACCAAGAATGGGAAGGATGATGACATCAACAAGATGGGATAGCTGTGGATAATTGACAGCTTTCCACTAAAATATTTGTGAGTGCAACAAACAAAAGCTAGTATATGAAGGCTTACTTTTTGTGTGTCTGTAGGAAGTTTGCAAGGATGTCTGGTGACCTATTCCAGATTAGAATTGTTTGATAATTACAAACAATAGATTTTGCTTACCAGGACATCACCAAGTATAAGATCAGTGTCAATACCAGATGGAGAGGCCAAGTTCTGGTGAGATGCTTTGAAATACACCTCTCCAGGTTGAAGAATACCACATGGATCTGGATGGAAGTGAATCAGAACAAGAATCTTAGCAAAATAAAAGTGCTCACCTGGAATGATGAATGCAGTCAAGGACATTGGCACATCAATGCGATAACTCTGGATATGCCTCTTGATGGCTGGCTTGATGACCTTCTCCAGCTTCTCCTTCAGAACAGGTAGCTTCTGAGGAGTGAAGCCAGCCTCTAGCAGGTACATTACTGTCTCCTCCAGTGATGATGGGCACCCACTAATGGGGTCTGCCCACCAGGCTGTTGATCGCTGCTGGATAGCATAGTCAAACTGGTGGAGGCCATCTTCATCATCCATCTCCAAGTCCACCTCCCCATTAGAGTACCCCTGTAACCGAGCCTCACCTCTTTTCTCTCTGGCCAGTCGTGCAGCCATGACCCCACCAACCTGAGCAATAGTGCTCCAAAGATCCAGCATGGCATCAGGCCCATCCCATTGGAGAAGAGGGTCAATGGTAGCCTTGAGACTTGCCTTGAGAAGATTGATGAATGCTTGAGCAGGAACCCCATTCTCAGCCAGATTGATAATGGTTTCTGTTGAAAGTCTGGAAGGGGAGTGGGAGTGGGATGCACGAAGAACATCAATGACTTGCCAGGATGGATCATGGTGAGATGAAGCAGTATGCTTGATCTTGACTTGAGAAGGCCGAATTTGAATTCTTGGCTCTAGTAGCTGATCATGGATATCAAGGATTAACAAGCCCTAATCCACAAAGTAAAATCTTGCAGACAATTATCAATTACAGAATAACTTACTTTTGCATCCCCAAGTCTATCATCCAATGAACCCCCACCAGCACGGCACTGGATGGCTGTTGGCATGCGACTCCACCCAAACTTGTGATATAGCTGGTGTAAACCAGCAAGGTTGATGAAGCCGGCACCATCTGTCATGTCTGACCCTTCTGATGAACCTGTTGAAGTAGAGCTATTATTCCATCAGAGGAAAATGATAAACAGAACTTACAGACATCAAGATCTGAACAGGCTACAATGTTCTTAGGTTGAAGCCAACATCCAGGAGCAGAATTTGAAAGGCCCAGTGCAAAACGAGCTGCCCACTTTGTCATGGTCTAAAGCAAACAGTCAGAATCCCTGTGTATGCTGTAGCAACCAGAACCACTCACCTGAGATTTGTTAACCTCCAGTGGATTGTGCCAGAGCATAAAATCCATCAAAGAGAAGTCCTGGGATTGTGCAGGCCTAATATGAAGTCCATCCCAGGTTTCACTGCAGCTGAAGAGGAAGACATTGTCCTCCTTGGCATAAAAAGCCCGAAACACCTCTGAACCAAGAATGAAAGGTCTTAAGAAAAAGTGAACAAGATCACCACCTTTTAAGGTACATTTTCTTGGGATCTTGATGCGGAGGAAATGTCGTGAGCCAAAGCGACGTAAAAAGCGAGATGAGGATCCAAGCTCAGCTCGGTCAAGCTTGATACTGTTTGTGGAGTCATCCAACTTGCCTCCCAGAATGATTTTGCCTCCATAACGCCCATCATCAGAAAGGCCTAGACAAGCATATTGATCCTTCTGTATGGCCTCCTCCTCCCAATCAAACTCCACCCAAGGAGACTAAAAATGAATAGGTTTGAGTTTCTCTGAAAAGAAGTAGGACATAGAAGCCACACCTTTGCATTTACCTCTTTTGCATAGGCAGCCAAGTAAGATTTGCTATCCTCAACCTCACTATACAGAATAGTGTCAGACTAATATTATATTGAGTTTATAGCATTAAGTTCACTCTACCTGGTAAGCCCAAGGACAGTAGCAACAGCAGAAGTTGCTTCAGCACTTGAATGCTTGGCCGCCAGCTTGTCCAGCATCTCCATAGAAATGTGTTCAGGTGAAATGCACTGGTTGGATACCAGCCTCCATATTTCATATTGAGCACCATATAGTACCCCACGCCTGAGCATGCACTGCTGAATTCGCTGATGGGATGCCTACCCATCAATATGTTGTTAATGAAGAATATACTATCTGAAGGTGGGGAGGTACAAACAATAATAACTGGCAATGGACTCATGAGACTAGCTGATGATCTCTGATGTTCATATGACACCCGTTGCCGCAGACGTGGTGGGGGAGAAGTAGGTGAGGCCTTGCGCTTGCCATGATTGAATGCCAATATCTCAACTAAGAGTACCATCAGCACAAGTCAATGACTAAGTGACAGTGTTGAGGCTTACCTGAATCTTCAAGGCCACTTGGCATCATTTCAACTATTGCCAGTTCAGCATTGCTAGCCTAAGATAAATAAAGCAGCTTAATAATAGTGAACCAACAAGAAAGGTTTACTTGCTAGTGAAATGGACTCATCGGCTATGTCTGCTAGTGTGATGTCCCCAGCATCATTGTAGCTATATTCTGACATCTTTCGATCCGACATATGGTTAGATGTTAGGATACCCAGATGTTGCAACAAGGGCTCACATGGTCGCTTGTTTCCGAGACATCAGGAGGCAAGTTAATATTGTTCCAAACATCATCACCAACATATTCTAACATGGTCGCATTGTCAGGAAGTTGCTAAGTTTAGTGGAACACTGGGACTTACGGCTGGCTTGGAATGTATCTTCTGACATGGTTTTCCGCAGTGAGAGTTTGAACGAAGTTTCAACCGTGAGAACTAAGCCAAACCAATGACATTGTACTTGATACTCGACGACAGCGACACAGACAACTCGACGGCCACGGACGGCGACTACAACAGACTAAGGACGACCTTGCAGCCGCAATACTCCAACGCCCACCGAGTGCCAGAAAAAGATTCGAGCCCGGATTTCACGCCATTAGACAATCATGTCAACCGAGACCCGATCGATAGAGGCAGACTCTCGACCATATACCACCACCGGTCCATGTTGGACTCGCAACTTCCCGGTGTCATCCACTTGGACTTATAAAAGCCAGGTCACCAGATGCGCCTCCTCAGACCATCTCTTTCTCATACTACCATCTTCTCTACTCGCTTTACCACAACCTATCTTCACTTCTATCCTTTATTTCATATCCTATCGAAATGCCGTCTGCCGCTCTCTCGGACTCTATGCCTAACTTCACAAACAAGTTCTTCGACGAGGGCCGCTACAAACTCCTTGATCAACTTGGGTCTGGCGCATATGGGAAGGTCTATCGCGCTCTTGATACCACCTCGCCTTCTACGCATCCCGTCCATTACGCTGTGAAGTGTCTCGTACGCCCGAAACCGGGGAGCCGCCAGGACGATTTCCAGCGCCGCGAGTTCAATCTTCACAACATGGTATGCGCTCATCCGAATATAGTCACCATCCACAAGGTTGTCGTCCAAGGCGAGTTCGTCTTCGTGATCCTGGACCTCTGTGCTGGTGGCGATCTATTCACGGCGATTACGGAGAATCAAGTTTTCTCTGGAAGGGACGACCTCGTCAAGAAGTCCTTTATTGAACTTCTGGACGCCATCCATTGGTGTCACGAGAAGGGCGTCTTCCACAGGGATATCAAGCCGGAGAATGTGCTTTGCTCAGAAGACGGCTCCCATCTACGGCTGGCCGACTTCGGACTTTCTACCCGCCAACGCGTTAGTAGGGATTTTGGATGCGGAAGCTCCTACTACATGAGCCCAGGTACTGTCGTCTTTACTTATATCTGGTCTGGTCGCTGATAGCTTGCTACACAGAATGCATAGGCAAAGAAGTCCGGATGCAAATGTACTCTACGCGACACAGTGATGTCTGGTCTCTGGGTGTCATCCTGGTCAATATGATCACTGGTAGAAATCCCTGGCGGTACGCGACCACGAAGGACGACTGCTTTGCTGCATTCATCCACGATACCGATTTCCTTCTACAAGTTCTACCTATTTCCTCGGATGCTAACGAAGTCATCAAACGTATCTTCACTCTCAACCCACAAGAGCGGATCAATCTTCCGGACCTTCGCGAAGAGATTCTGAAGTTGGACACTTTCTTCATGTCTCAAAAGGATCTGGCGCTCGCATCTGATTGTGTCCGTGACGCGGCGAGAGGTTACGGACTTCGAGTACCACCGGCGCGGATTACTCGTACACCAATCGTCACTTCAGAGGCGGCCAATGTCGACACCTCGAGCGATGATCAAGACTCCGCCGGCTCCAGCTCGTCTGAAGAGGATTACCTATACCCCAGTCCAGGCGAGCAGCCCTCGCCGCCAACTGAGCATCTTGACCTCGCCGACCTACGGATTGTCGACTCGAACACGATCAACAATGGTCCCATTGATCGGACATCGTCCGAGTCTTCTGCTGGTGACAGTGAAGGACCAGTTACCCCGGAGACTTACCCCGTGGACCCAGATGTGGAAATACCCGATATATCTGAAGAGCTGGATCAGCCCGTGGTTACCGACCGAGAATCTACTCTCAAAGCCCCCTCTAAACCCTCCCAATTCCTGCAGCGAGCGGTTCAGCGACTGAAGGGCATTTCGACTGGATCTCTTGCTTTCTAATATCGCTGGCGATGTTTCCTTTCATTCGTAATCTTCAACGCTCGGAGAAGTAGTCAGTACTTACTGCGACGCTTTGATCCTTAATTTTATTTTTACCAAAAATCTTGCTATTGGGACGTAGTTAGTACTTCCTAAAGCGTACAAAATCCATAATGCCTTTTTCCCTTCGTACACCATAATGGCGTTTTGCTTCGTAGCGTTGGTTCAGTGACCCATAGCCCCATTATTGCCGCAAGTTGAGCGTCTTGTTCGGCTTTTGAGCAGGGCAAACGACTTCGCTTACCCCGTGTCCAGTGCTCTGTGATGGCTTTCATCGACGGGGAGGGTTATGAACGATCGTATCGATTATATCAGAATCGATTTCAGGGTAAGTCTCACGTGTTGACCAGAGTTGACCAGAGTAACTGACGAAATATATAAGCTCTCGTTCTACGATTGACTCTCTATCTTCACCACCATCTACCTTAGACTTACTACAATGGTGTCTTCCAGTGTCCTTGGCTTTCCCCGCATCGGTATGTTTCTCATCTCGGATATCTGCTTGACAAGCTCCTAAAAGTGTAATTAGGTGGAAATCGCGAAATCAAAAAGGCTGTCGAGGCTTACTGGGGAGGAAAGATCTCCGCAGAGGATTTGACCAAAGCTGCCTTTGATGTCAGAAAGACCAGCTGGTCTACTGTAAAGGCCAAGGGAGTTGACTTCGTCCCCAGGTAACACTAATGTCAGATTGATATGATCGTTGATGTCTAATTGATCTAATCTTCAGTGGTGAATTCTCCCTCTACGATCATGTCCTCGACCACTCCGCCGCCTTCAATGTTATCCCCTCTCGCTACACTGGCCACAACCTCTCCCCCTTGGATGTGTACTTCGCCATGGGCCGTGGTCGCCAGGCTGACGGTGTCGACGTCCCAGCCTCTGAGATGAAGAAATGGTATGTCTCGATCACGTCACTTCGGATCTGAATTTGATGATATAACGCCATCTTGTTATTAGGTTCGACTCAAACTACCACTTCGTCGTCCCCGAATTCTCGGATGCCACCGACTTCAAGTTGCTTTTCAACAAGGCTCTTGAAGAGTACAAGGAAGCCAAGGAGGCTGGCGTCACCACTCGTCCCGTTGTGTTGGGCCCCGTCTCTTTCTTGGTGCTCGGAAAGCCCTCAAAGAGCGCTAAGCCAGGCTTTGAGCCCATCTCCCTCCTCCCCAAGCTCCTCCCCGTTTACAAGACCCTTCTCGCTGACCTCAAGGCCGCTGGTGTTGAGTGGGTCCAGATCGATGAGCCCATCCTTGTCCTCGACAAGGCTTCCACCCTCGAGCAGGCTTATGCCACTGCCTACGCTGAGCTTGCACCTGTTGCGCCAAAGATCTTGCTCGCCACCTACTTCGGACGCCTCGACTCCAACCTCGGCTTCGTCTCCAAGCTCCCCGTCGCCGGTCTCCACATTGACCTCGACCGTGCTCCCGGCCAGCTGGATGACGTCATTGCTGCTTTGAAGCCCACCAACGTTGTCCTCTCCCTCGGTCTCGTCTCTGGTCGCAACATCTGGAAGACCGATTTCGAGGCAGCTATCAAGCTCGCCCAGAAGGCCATCGATGCCCTTGGCCAGGACCGCGTCATCATCGCCACCTCGTCCTCCCTCCTCCATACCCCCGTCACCCTCGAGTCCGAGAAGAAGCTGACCGCCGAGCAGAAGGACTGGTTCTCCTTCGCCCTTGAGAAGGCTGCTGAGGTCGCAACTATTGCCGCTGTCCTCTCCGGATCGCAAGATGCATCCGTGAAGGCCGCCTTGGAAGCCAACAAGGTCTCCATCGCCAAGCGTCGTGCTTTCGAGCAGAACTCAGACGACTCCGTTCGCAAGCGTGTCGCTGCCATCACCCCCGATATGTTCGAGCGCGCCAGCCCCTTCGCCGTTCGCCAGGCCGTCCAAGCCAAGCACCTCAACTTGCCTAAATTCCCTACCACCACCATCGGCTCTTTCCCTGTAAGCCGGATTTTTTTCTTAGACAAGGGGGTTGGTTACTGATCAACCAACAGCAAACCAAGGAAATCCGTCAAGCTCGTGCTAAGCTCGGCAAGGGAGAGATCACCCAGGACGAGTACGATGAATTCATAAAGAAGGAGATCGAGACTGTTGTCCGCTTCCAAGAGAAGGTCGGCCTCGACTTGTTGGTGCACGGTGAACCTGAGCGAAACGACATGGTTCAATACTTCGGTGAACAACTCAACGGCTTCGTCTTCACCCAAAACGCCTGGGTACAGAGCTACGGTTCCCGGTCCGTCTATACACATCTTCTAGTATATAAACCGTTGCTAAATTCTTCATCTTTAGATACGTCCGACCCCCCATCATCGTCTCTGATGTCAGCCGCTCTGGCCCCATGACCGTCCGCTGGAGTAGCTACGCCCAGAGCCTCACCAAGAGGCCCATGAAGGGTATGCTTACTGGCCCAGTCACAATCCTCAACTGGTCCTTCCCTCGTGCCGATGTCTCTCGTGAACTGCAATCCAAGCAATTGGCTCTGGCTCTCCGCGATGAAGTCGTTGACCTCGAGAAAGCCGGCATTAGCGCCATCCAGGTCGATGAGCCCGCTATCCGTGAGGGTGTAAGTGTTCTTGTCCTCATGCATATTTCGACCGTTCTCTAATAAGACCTCAATAGCTTCCTCTCCGCCGCGCTGACTGGGACGGCTACCTCAAGTGGGCTGTCGACTCTTTCAAGTTGTCCACCGCCGGTGTCACCGATCAACTCCAGACCCACTCTCACTTCTGCTACTCCGACTTCGACGACATCTTCCCCTCCATCCAGCGTCTCGATGCTGATGTCATCTCCATTGAGGCCTCCAAGAGTGACATGAAGCTGCTCACCACCTTCAAGCAATACGGCTACTCCAACCAGATCGGCCCCGGTGTCTACGACATCCACTCCCCCCGTGTTCCCAGTGAGCAGGAGATCAAGGACCGCGTCGCCGACATGCTTGCCATCCTCCCCGACTCGCTCCTCTTCATCAACCCAGACTGTGGCTTGAAGACCCGTGGCTGGAAGGAGACCGAAGGTCAGCATCATATGGCGTTTGACAGTGTGTTATATACTAACTTACGGTTTTAGCCGCCCTCATCAACGTCGTCGCGGCTGCTCGCTGGGCCCGTCAAACATACGCCTAAATGCCTCTCTTCGCTCCGCTTCAACAGCGTCTCCCATACCATGCAAGTTGCCGAAGGCTTCTTACGGAGGGGTAGTTGTAGCGGGTCGTGAGACGCCAGCGTATTGAACCTCGGGGGGATATCTATCGCATTCGGCAAATAGCCTTTACAAGTATATTATTATGGGATTTCAACAATCCTGATAACGCAAACATTGTACAATCCACATGTAGAAAATACGCATCTCACAATGGTCCCTTGCTGTGTGTTAGAATGTCCTGGATACCTGGATAGATGAACGACTAAATAGTTGAACACAAATAGGTGGCTAAACTTGTTCTTTGTTGATAGTGGGCTCCGGTGGGTGGATAAGCATCTCCTCGTCTACTGATGTCTCTGGCTTCTCGGGGTCGTTAGATACGTAGGTAGCAGGAGTGTGATATTCATTGATGTATTCGTTCAAGGGTGGGGCGAGCGTCGCTGGCGCTCCTCCCTGCGCATGGGCTTGTTCCAAGGCGGCGCGTAGCATCTCTTCGACTTTTTGCGTGCGTTTGGTCTTCGCGCCACCACGCCAGATGAAGACGCCAGAGAATATACCGCAAAGAAAACTGGCTGGTATCAAAATTCCGGTACTCCATGCCGGGCGCTGAAACCTATAATTATATTAGGAGAGGCACCACAGCAGGTTTTTTTTGGGGGGACGTACCGATTCAGCCCCCACATGGTCGCACATAGCATTATCTACGTTCACGGTTACATCAGGGCATACTACAGTTGTGTAGAATGCCTTACCTGGAAGATGGAGTTCCCGTCATTGAGCAAGCATATCAAGAGGGCGGTACTGTTAATGCGAGGGTCAGACTACGTGCTGCTACGTTCTTGTACTGAGACTGACTTAATGGGAAATGCCTGGCCGCACAATGTGCGTTAGCGTTGTTTTCCGATTCTATGGTACTTTTAGGAACGTACTCTATGTGTTTCTGTCCCATGTGCGCGATACCACGTCTGTGATTGGTGGAATTTGACCTGCTCTGTTGAAGGCGGTTTAGAAGGTCGTCCATATAAGGATGGGTTCACTCACGTCGATGCAAATCATGCTGCTGCTTGTCCGTCAGAACATGGACGTAATTGGGATCGTATTCCGGGTCCGGTAGGTCGTCTCTGTCAAAGAGTTGAGGAAGACCCGCTTTTGCGCGCAGCCTTTTCGTGCGTAGCTTATAATGCCATATCTTGAATATTCCTGAATGGGCGGCTTGTCATCAGTGAATGAAAGTGCAGTGCGGGACATACGATAGCTGTCCATGACACGGAAGGGGATGAGCCCAATGCCTGTGACAGTGAAGAGGCCTAATCGGAGAAATATTAGTCGTTGTAGGGTACCGCGGTAAAGCAAGGTATACCATTCATTATCTGCGAGCAAACCTCCACCCAAAAACCTTGGGTGTTGTCGTTGTGGAAGTTGATAGCTTTGCCAAGGATAAGGACAAGGCCAGCACCCCAGAATACTGGTAACCAGAGTTTCAGTATAGGAAGACGCAGAAGTCGTGAGATAAACTAACCGACGAGGAAGCCATAGATCCCGGTAATGATCTACAACGTCAATTTGAGTATAGGATACGCTGATGATATGGGACTATCGCCTACACCCATGGCTGGGGCAGAGAATTAGACATTCATCAATATAACAAAGAGATGGGCTCACGCGTCTTGAGAAAAGACCACACTCCCATCATCGTTCGACGAAACTTGGAAGGGCTATTGAGGACGTCTTCTACATGACGATCAAGTGAGTCCGAGTGAACAGAGGCTGGTCTACTAGCTGTAGGTTGGGCGTGATGCGAGGGTAGGTAGACGACCGGTTTTCGCGAGTAGAATGACAGTGGTGGACTATCCGGATTCCGTGAGCAAGCACGCAATGTCACTGAAAGGTCAATACAAACAATACGATAGAATTGGCGGCGTTGGTTAAGCTCGAGACGGTGCCCACTTGTGGATCTTAATGCATGGATACTTAAATAAATGAGAGTCCAAGGATATGAAAAATGAAACATACCGATAACATCAAGGTGCTCGACAATATCATCGTGGTGGTGGGTTTCATCGTCATCGGGCAAGAGTGAACTGTCCTGATTCGAAGTGGTTATGCTCAAAACCGTCCCAGCACGCCTTCGCCCCATGTATGGAGCACTCCTCGCAGGTAAGTCTGCATCTTGTTCACCTTGAACTGACAGGTATCGCGGGCGAGATGCATAACTCGCTGCGGAGCCACCTTGGCTTTGCGTTCCATGCGAAGTCGAAGCAATAGACTCTTGGCCGTCCTGGTCGAGGAGACGTGAAGTAGCTAACGACCTGGATCTCCTGCAATGCCGATGAACTATGCTCCCGAACGTAGAGGACCGCTGACGCGAAGGCAACGTCGCCACATTCCGTTCGGTTTGAGGTGTCGGGCTGTCCACCCGTAGTTGTGGAGTAGGATTTTCCGCATTTTGAGCATTAGGGGGAATAAATATAGATGTTAGGGGATGTGTATCCCTTCTGCTAGGTTCGCCGAGATTCGAGTATTCGGACCGTTTCACTCTGACGGAGGGGGCCATGAAGGAGAAATGCCCATGCAGGTCGCTGGACTGAGATGAAGGTCAAAACTCCAATATGTCACAGTCTGTACGCAGCGTGCATGTTTGGTATTGCCCTCTGATCGACACACTCCACCCACGTTGGCACTGCTAATTGGTGCCGGTCCGAGTTGTCAATAATTGAGTTCTGGATCTATTCTACAATGCAGGGATAAATTACTAAAGAGCGATATAGATAATAAAGATGCAGAGCAATTGAGAGCAGGGTCCAGATTGTGTTCTATCATACATGATCTACTGGTTCATCGTTGGTGACGTTCAGTGGATCGCTGGGTTCATGATGATGTGCAGTGTTGTGCTGGTGTGCGCTACATCAGAAGCGGCACAACCTCAGAGGTCAACTTGCACTTACAGTGTTGTCCGAGCTTTTACGCGGCCGAGATGATTTGCGACTGAAAAGGTTGAACACTTTGGGGCGAGTTTCAGGCCGACTAGCTCGCTCCCCTGCCATATTCATGGATTCCGGTTCGTCGGTAAGAGGTGTCAACTGATAGCTGGTCGGAGGTGTTTCGGGCCTCTTCTTTGATAGCATTTGCCATCGTCGATGCGGAGATGGCGAGCGTTTCTTGGACCGTGAGCGCCTTTTACTGGTCTCAGGCCGTGACGAGGAAGGTGATGCATTCTGACTTTTCGCATTGATCCATTTGGTCTTGGAGATAAGTTCGCGTGCTACAGGGAGCACGGGCACCAATGGCTGATGGAGAGCCATCTTGACCCATCCTCTCCAGCTCATATCCGAAGGAATAAATTGGTCGACAAGCTCTTCGAACTAGAAAAAACAGTTGAACCAACTAAGCAGTCAAAGAAGTAGCAACTGAAACGTACGCTCCACGTCTGATTTCGGTATTCGAGGTCACGGGTTCGGATACGAGCTTCACGACACTCGAAGGCATCGTCCTTCTTGATGCTGAGCAAGATATGAAGGCTGGATACAAACACTGAGGATTTCGCTTCGATCATGATGCTAATACGAACCTTGAGATTCTAACAAGCACAAAGCTCTTCTGAGACGACCGCGTCTTCATCTCTGTCGCGTCCATAATAGTATCCCGCCGCTTTGGCTCTACTTGGTTCGCAGGCTTCAGTGCATCAGTGGATCGCGTCCTAGACAGTTTCGGTGCCGGGTCCGTCGTGCTGAAGCGGAGATCTGTGAATGACCGCGATGATCCTAGTCTCCGAAGGCCCATTGGTGGACGAAGAGTCGCGTCGTTGGTCACCTCGGAAGGGAAGGTTTGTAAAGCCCTCGGCGAGTCCAAGGAAGCGCGAGTCGCAACGATTCTAGGAATATTGGTCTCGTCGTCGGTGTCTGCGCTTGAAGAGCTGCTGCGTATACGCCTATCCTTCCGTGCCGGCCATAGGTATTCCATAATACGACGCCCTAGGCTAGCGTCAATTTGCAAACGGATAGGATGCAAGCTCAGCTCGAAGTCTTCGTAGATCGTAATTCCACCAACGGGCGCTAAGACCGTCCAGTGGCCTAAAAGGAATAGCCCACGCTATATGCAGATGTATTAGAGAACATCAACGGAATGGAAGGATTTCGTTACCTTCAACAACGGGTGATTCGCGGGCTCGTCGTACTTGCAAAGTATCTCCGTCCACATCGCATTCCTAGCTCCATCGAATGCCTGCAAGTCTGCCAAATCAAGACTATTGACGGTTGAGCTGTCCCTGCGGCTGAGCCACTTGAAGTTGATGTTCCGCAAGGCGAGCTTGGCCAATAGACCTTTGTTCTCGTCCAGCATGCGCCAGGAAATCTCGGAGGATGAAGCGCGCAGGAGGAGCGCAGAGCGCTGATCGTTGAGGTCGTCGACACGATCTTGAGCCATCTTAATGGCGTCGAAAAGGTAAGTTAGTTCCTCCGAAAGTAGGTAGATGTGTGCCTTCAGCTTCCACAATTCGGCGCCAGTGTCCCGTGGACTTGTCTGAGCAAGAGCGAGCTGTTCCACTTCGACGGCATTGCGGAGGCGACTTTGAACATCGGAGACAACGCCTGCAGCTGACAAGAGATCGGAGAAGTCGTAAGTGAATAGAAGGGTCTCTAGTTTGTCTAGTCGTGATTTTTGCGTGGCGTCCGAGAAGAGAATGACGTTAGTAATTATGTCGGAGATGGTCTGGAAGTGTTCGTCGCTCGCAATTACGGTAAATCGGGGAATATTGAATTGAATGAGATCCTAGAGACGTGGCCTCAGTTACTATCCGAGAAACTAAGACTTCGCACTAACCGTTTGATTGTGTAAATGATCTATGATTAGAGTGGCATCCTTGTTATTGGTTCGCGTGATAGAAGTAACGTTGTTGCGCAAGCGGAGGCGATTGAATTTGTCGTAATGGAAGGTTGCATCCGTTTGTGGAACGATGCGGTCGAATTCGTCGCTTTCACACCGGACATCGACCAAGACTTCCAAAGGAACACATCCGTCACTGTGATGCAGACCGGCGACAGGTGCGAAGGTTTGTAGGCCGGAAACCGCACCGTAGCTCCTATGTGGTAGTGAGCGCTTGTTATATACTCCATACCAGGAAACTCACCGACTCATGACTTTCCCACTAACGGGGTCGTCTACGTTGGATTTATCCATGATGTGGAATAGCTGCAACTTTGCTTGGACAGCTGCAAGAATTAGCACGGAACCCAACTCTTTCTCGCTTCGGAGGACTATTTGAGGTTTGAGCAAGAGGAAGAAATGACTCTTCATCAAGGAAACTCCATCAGACCAGCCATACAGAGGGTCGACGTTATCGGCAGAGGGGAGATCAGATACTTCAATGGACGTCTTAGGCGTATCTCCGGACAAGATCTTGCGCAAGGCTGAGGCCGCTGCTTGACTCGACTGGAATGGGCTCTTAGGTTTCTCGTCGTTCTGTTTAGCATGAATAGCTTCCGCCTGGTCTAGGATATATCTGACAGCTCTGCGGGGATCAGAGGGTGAGTAAGATGTAATGAACAGTACGAAAGGCCGAACCTTGTGGCTAAGTGATATTCATACCCTCTCCGCGATCTCGAACAGTAATAATACTGGAGCATAATCTATGCAGAAAAGAGGGTTCGTTCGCAATACCGACGGGCGGCAGAAGTGCAACTCACGTCACGGATGGCGCTGCTTAAAAATATCTTCGGACAATGGATTTGGTATACGTTGTCGAACATCTCCCATTCCTCTGGGGTGGCGTTGTCAGAAGGGAACAGGTATGCCTCGTCCATAGAAGATGAATTGTGTTCTTGGAGATGATTGACATAATCTTCCAGCAACTTAATCATCCTTTGGGACGCGGCACGATCGTGCTGCATGGTCTCATAAATTAAATCCAACGTCAAACTTGAATGCATAAGATGACCTACCTCTGCTACGAAATTGTCGGAAAGGTCTGACATACAACGACGTTTTTCTAGCTCTGCGATTCGCGTCAAGGCGATGTCGACTTGTATCTTTGCGGAGGCTAAATGCAATCTAATTTCAAGGCGAGGCGGAGGTGCAAAGGACATGTCAACCTACAAGGTTCTTTCCCAAGCATACACGTGTGTGATGATTCGTCGCCGAACTTACTGCGTTGGATTCGGTTTGATTGTGGAGAAGGCTGGCGCTTGCAGTAGTTGAACCGAGGGCAGGAGAGGATCGGTAACAAGTGGACGGTGGGTCGGCAACCAGGAATCCAGTCAAGTTCAATGAAATCGTCATCGTCAAGCCAAGAGGACGTAGGATCAACAGCTGGAAGTCGGCGGTTCCTGTATTTACTTCTTTGAGGCGGACAAGTGACGGGAACCGTTTGCTTCGAAGGTTCGTCGAAAGTGGCCAACACAGTACGAAGATCAAGCCCCTTCAGAACGACTTCGGCGGCATAGAACGACTTGTGGCGGGTCGCTTTGGTTGTCTGAGGGTTGCGACCTTGTGCTATCGTTTCCTGATCGCGTTGGTGCATATCAATTTGGACTTCGTCAATCATGGCCTTGATACCAACAAATGGGGTCACACCGTCGACCCACGTCTCCCTTGATTCGTCCATATATGCATGTAGTACGAACAATCGAGGAATAGCGATCCAGTACTTCAACGTGGCCAAATGACGACCGAACTTGGGGGAAATGTGTCGCCGCGGATACAGGGTGCCTTGACGGATGGGCAGGGATAGTACACCGTCAAATAGAGCCAACCATGACCAAAAGTGGGCGAACACCTTCGGCGTAAGGTGGAGGCTACTAGGGGGATGGTGTATTTCGGGACTATGATGATGCAGCGGACGGACGGCAGACGCGAGCGAAAGGGAGAAGTGAATGAAGTCGGAGCGGAAGCCATTATATGAATCTCCCGGAGTCTGTCACATGTCAGGATTATAGGGCTTCACGAAAATGGAAGCCAAATCATCTCACCTTGCGCTCGGGTGGTTGAGCCTTTCGACCTAATTTCACTGCATAATGTGGGAGAAAGTCGAAGAACCGACACTGGCGATCAAATGCTGCCCCAGAACAAACAGGGCATTCGAAGCCACATGCGCGTTCTAGCCTGCATCCCACACCGAACCGAACGCCTGAGACAAGTTTTGCGCATACCTTTTGGAAGCGGTACGAGGGCGCCCCATTCTGTAGATCGGGACCCAGCCTTGCCAGGTCCCGCAAAATTACTTGGCTGAACAAGATAAGCGGGATGAAAGAATGGGAAAAGAAACTGATATAAGACTTACCTCGGTACGGCGATGACCATGGAATCACTAATTACTTGCACGATCTCGTTATTAGAGTTGGCATGACCTATCAGCAGTTTCGTATGGCCTTGCCAAGAGAGGACAAACCCGGCGCCTTCTCCAGCGAGTTCATACGGATCCCGAAGACCTAAGGCGTATATGAGCTCAATGCTGACAGATCAGAAGTGGGCCGTACCTTTCATGTACAAATGAACACCGCCCTTGAAAGTGGTCCGAATCTTCCAATGGAAAATAAGGCGAAGCTGAGATAAGGATTAGCATTACTGGAACACCCCGGCGTATCACCAGTGTATCACCTTATCCCAGAATCCAAGTGCAGGGGATGAATCGCGGGGTGGGCTCGATATTGTATCAATGATTCGAGTCATGTCTTGAAGGACAGGCCCATAACTGACTGCCCAAGAAAAGGTTGCGACGTTTGCTGTAGATACATGGATGTCGGGATTCGCGTATGTTTTAACGGGCATAAGTGTCTTGGGAACAGAGACCGACAACGGGGCGGCACCCTCGATGCCCTGGTTGCGCTCAATGACAGGGCAATCAACCCACTCCACGGATGCGCTAGTTCCCGTCTCCTCTGCAATGACGAGGTCACTTTCGAATGTGAATGCAGGTTCCTTCTCGGACCCCAGGTTACAAATATCTACCAGTGGCAATGGGTAATCGCGAAGCCAGATCCGTAATGTGGTCAGGCGCAGCAGAAGATGCATCGGCACCAGTAGATAGAATAAGGTATCCCTCGGGAGTCCCGCGCCATTGTCGTGAAGAAAGTCAGGGAGCGATGTAATCGGGAATTTCGGTGGAGCGATGCTGAGGGATAGGCCATTCAGTAAAACCCGGAACAATGGAGGGTCAAGTGTATGCGCTGGAACCTCTACGATGTCGGGATATAAAAAGCGCTCCGGGGGAGATGGCCTTCCTCTGACGTGGCGTCTAATCCTTTCTTCAGCCGTGGAACGCATTTCCTTAGTGGCACGATGCCTAAACGTCCAATCAAATGCATGGAGTTGGTCTAACCGTTGTCTAGCGTCGTCGATGGGGATGGTGTGACTTGAATTGAACTTGTACTCGTTACTGACTTCGTTCTCCGTAGCGCTAGGGGGTTCTGAACTGCCACCATTCTGTATCGCAGCGACCTTCAGGGCGAAGGCCCTCTCACGTTCTTGTCTGGACCTGGAAGCATCCATCCCAGCCTTGCATATTACAGCTAGCTTGGACTCAAATGGATCATCGGCAGCTTCCAAGCATAGACACCGCAGCCGGATTGTAATGTTGGGGATGTCTTTAGCAGACTCCGCTTCGGGAATTGGTATCTTGACAAATATTCCGGAGTGGACGATACGAAGTAGATGCTTAACGGTTTTCATAGTGACGTTGATATCGAGGACTAGATCAGAAAGGATGAAACCCGATGGGATTCGTAGATGACCATTGTCACCATTCACGGACAAACGAAGTGGTCGTTCATCAAGGCTGAGGACAGAGAAATCCCATTGTTTCAGTGTGGCGAGCGCAGCCCAATGTGCGCCCCTGTTCTGGGGATCGTGGGGCAGAGCGACGTTTATGCGTAGGCGCGAAAAGCTGGCAGAGAGCGGCCCACTTGCGGGCAACCGGACGACGAGTGCATCGATACGAGTTACAGCCTTCTGCTTGTTAAGGTTCCACAGCACTTGGAACGAAGCTAATTCAACCACGAGCAGAAGTTGGATGCTAGGCTCTCGCACAGTCGGAGGGGGCGGCCCTGGTACAATCCGTCGACGGTTATTTCCTTTGATCAATCGTACGATGGTCTGTGAGGCGAGAAGTATGCTGTATACGTGGACCAATTGAAAAGTCAACCGGATGTCTGGCACCTGGAATGAAATCTCGCATGTAGGGGGGCCAGGCGTAGGTGAGAGGTTTCTTCCCTCAACAAGCCTGACACTGACATCGACGTTCTTCACCCGAAGGAATTCATGTACGAGGAGGCTTGGATCGTCTCGTTCAATGAGAAATGGGTCGTCCGAAGCATATGGTGTTGACACTGCACTTCGCACGGATAGCGCGATGAGGGAGAGGTTGAGGAGTGCTGAGCCACTTTGCGCGCCTTGGCTCGACTGACAGCGTGAGATAGCTTCTCTATGATGCAGCTCAGGCAGATAAAGCTTCTGACGCGTCTGGCTAGCTTTTAGAATTTCCCCGAAATAGCGAGTGTGACGTAGGTTCAGGCAGCAATAATGCACCCGCAGTCCAGTCCGCAGGACACAACCACGGGACAGATCAAGGCCATCTCGACGGTTCAAGTCCGGCGCTGTTACATATACCACGATGCGTGGTATAGCGATTGAGGCTACGAAGCCGCTTCGTGGATTGGCAGAAGGAGAAGGTCGCGGGGCAGCAGGCTTGGGAATATGGTTATGAGGACTTGGCGGCAAGAGTTGGCCTATAACTGCAAGCACCGCAGGATGCCATAGTTCAATCGCCAACGTATCTGAAAACATATGCGAATCCATTACGACGGAGTCCGGGTCAATACTCGGGACATTTTCCAGATCGTCGTTAAGGTCTCCACTGGCCTTGACGTGTCCAGACAATTCTAGCGTGTCGAGCGAAATTAGAGCAGGATCCTCCAGGAATGCGGGTTCTGATATACTAAAGCTGTCCCCCGAAGACAACGGGGCACTTCGATCAGGAGAGCGCACCCGTAAGAGTATCGACGATAGCGCCATTGAGAAGCCGAGGTTCATCTGAACAGGAAGACAATAGGCTGGATCTGCCTTGGACTTGGTACAAGGTTGGAGACCAAAGGAGGATGAGGCAGAGGCTGTTACCCCCTCTGTCCTAAACTCGAGCGCCCGAGGAGCATCGTTTAGATGTGTTACGCCGCAAATGACACGCCCACATATTGGCCCAGCGTGAAATTCAACATTGATGCGAGGGAGGCGATACTGAGGGCGTACGGCCCCTGGTGGGCGGCGTTTGGTGGTTGGGGCGACGGTTGCGGCATCCTGGCGGGTCTCCAAAACTTCGTGAATGAATTCGATGTGTTCAGTAATTTGCAAGCATCCAAATCTGACCTGAACGCCTAAGAAGGCGGCGTTGGGATCGCCCGCCATGAACCGCGAGGGCTGTAACAAGAGCATGGGCCATTGTGTGACCAGAGATGAGAGTTGGACGGAAGCCAAACTCAAAATGCGAAGGTGACTTCCTCGAGCGTGTCTATCTATTGATATTCTCTCTGCGGATGCATGGAAGCAATAACAGTCGGCTTGCAGCTGGTCCGATGGCCTGCGTATGCCTACCCAAGACGAATAGAGAGGTGTAGCTGTAGAGTCATAGATGTTCGCCCCAAGGTTGACGCCATGAACAAGAGATTCGTAAGTGGTGCGTGGTAGATGACTTTGGCGATGGGCTGCCAGTCGGACCACGGTGATGCGCAGCTCTGCGCCCAAAAGAATGGACAGAGGTGACTAAAGATGGGTCAAAACCAAAGCACATAGACGAGACAGACAGACAGTACCAATGACGTCGTATCAGATAATTTAGAGACCTTGTGACCTCTGTAGCGCTTGCCACGCATGGATGTCTAAGATATGGATGATACATTTGTGAAGCGCCATAGAAATGACAACGTACAGGTATCACATCGAAAAAAGGGGAACGCGGGGTCATTGGGGAAAAGAGGGAAGATGTTGCGGAAAGCGGCGCGGATGCAGCGATAGAGTCAGAAAGAGGCGAGATGGGGTCCGAATCTCCCTCGTCCTGGGGCTCGCACGTGTTGCGAAAGACCCGTTTATACGAGTCCCAGAGCTCATGACATTCGTCCAGGGCAACGTAGAGTTCGTCTATGAGCAAGGAAGTTCTCAAGCTATGTTTTTCGATAGATGCTGTCCTGGGATTGAACTTCAGTGAGCCGCGGAAATCAATGAAGCCGGGGAACCCAAAGAATTTCAGCCCTTCTCTATCGCCTAAAGAACCTTGAGTTACCTGTTCAGTAGTTGAGATTCAAACGAACCTGATGAAGAAGGGGCATAGCCAGCAACTTCCGTGATCTGTATGTTGACCGTTGCCGTCCCTTCTGCACGACCCCAAGCCCTGTCCCAAGATCGACGCAGACTTGACGAGAAGTAGCTTTGCCATGCAGACATGCTATACATGACTGCTGGCCGCTGGCTTTCAGCTGGCGGCAGAACGTCTGCGGCATTGCCAAGTTTCGAGAATCCCAATGACATTTGGAAGTGAACCTTGTCTATAGTAATCTGTGTCCCAGGTAAATCTTTGAAAGTTATAACAGCAGAATTAAGGTCGAATGTGAGTCTTTGCGTGATGAAGGGAAGCCAGCGAATGATGCGACCGAGACTTGCTCCTACTAATGCCCGGATCGTCGGGCGTACGAGCGGATCGAGGGCGGAGTATATCTGAGCGACGAGCTTCCACGTACGGCGCGCGACTGGAGAAGGACCAAAGTCTGCAAGGGTCAGCTTCCGCCTATGCCGTCTTCGTGGCTTCGTGGCGGACTCCATGCGGCCTAACTCGACGCTCAAGCCGTCGACAGTAATGGAGAAGCGATTTAGTCCCTCGATGTAGGACCAACGGTATGCGATGCGCTCGACTCTCCATACGTCGGCGCCTTTTCTGACGTAGAGCCCCCGAAGAGAACGAAGACTGATACTCCGGAAACGAATATGTTTGGATACCCCGGCAACGACACCTGGGACGATGTAGGTCCTCAGGAGGAGCGAGAGAGTGAGAATGCGCGCAACCCAGACAATTGCAACATGCCAGCGCGACGAGGCTGAGGAAATGACGAAAAGGTAGGAGATGATAGCCAGCAAGTTCGGTGCAGGCATGAGGGAATCTTCTGGAGAGTGTAGTCTTCCGAGCGTGGAGATAGAGGAATATTAAGGGAGCGGATGAGGTAGAGAGAGGTTGAGCATTTAGCAGAGCATGGAGGGTGGCTGCTGTAGGATTCGGCAACATGGAGGCGCAGAATCTTGCCGCGCAAAACATTTTGCCACGTGCCGACATATACGTCTCGGGATAGGCGCTCTCAACTTGTCGCTTGCGGAAGTATAATTACTGCAATTATAAACATTGGCAGAAGCCCTACAGTAACATGGGTAAGAAGGTCGAGGTACATTTGCAACTACGTCGGACGGAACAGTGCTAGCAGGACTCTGGATCACGACTCAGGTTCTGACATCTCCAGGATGCTAGAAAAGGTTCGAAAATAGTTAGAGACGAAGGACACATCAAATATATAAAATACTTGCCACTCCTCCGAGTTGCACTCTGCTGGCTTGTATGCCCAAAACGAGAAAGAGTTTCGTACAAAGCTGCCTGGGTTAAAAACATGGCAACCGGTATAGGTTACTTTATATCTATCATATTTGTCGGCAAGCACCACCTAAGCGGGGTTTAGGTTGAAAAGTCAACATAGGTGCACTATGAGAGCTTACCACGGTGGGCAATGGGTATAACCTTAGGGTATGATCGAAGTCTGAAAGTGTGGGACTTATGTTGACAACGAAGGGATTAAGATGGGCTTGATCAAGAACCGTTTGGACAAGCTGTTGTTGTGTTAGGAATGCGTGATTCCGGGCACTAGATGACGCACATATTTTTTCAGATCTCCGCTCTGTATATCGGGCTTGACGCCAACGGTATTTCGGAGTATCCGAGACATCAGATCTTCGCGAAATACTACTATTTCCTGATGGAAAAACTTGATGCGACAAGGATTTGTGGCGAAGTGAACATGCGGGACTCTGTTCTTTAGTCGACTGACGAATGTCGAAATCAACGGTCGTCGCGGCAGAATAGAGTTTACAGCGATGTCTAATGGTCCAGGCACGAAGACGAAGTGGGTGTCGCGAGTTATCTCGGGGTATGACGAAATCAGCTCTGCGAGCTCATCGAAATTATCTGAAATTACGATGTCAAGGTATAGAAGATGATGTACAGGGCGACGCCGTTACCAGTGTACCGTTGTATGTCTTGTCCATTTCCGTGTGAGATCGAGCGACTTGTGAAGTTACCACAAAGAACGATAACTTTAGGTATAAAATCATTGTCCCTGCAATTATCAAACAGCTTTTGCAAGCCAACGAATGTGATAGGGTTGTCCAGCCATACGTCGGACAGGAAGAAGAAGTGGAGGTTTGCTAAGTCCTCTTGAACTCGTTGTGCCAGTCTAGTCTTGAAAGAATATTAGTTGCCGTTGGATCATCCAAAACAGGATGTCATACATCCTCTAATATTGAGGTTGCGCCTTTGCCCAAGAAATCTATATGGCCGTAAATAGACCTAACCTGTGTTTGAGCGTTGCAGCACCTTACAACAAACGCGCCGAGAACGTACCGAGCTACCTCCCTGGCTTCGCAAGGAGGTTGCCCAATCGCAATAATCTCAAGAGTACCCTCTTCAGTATATTCACCCTCTACGAGAGCAAAACACCCTTCAGTGAAAAGACCTTCCCCAGGTTCATCCTAGATTCCGTAAGCTATTTGTGCCAAGAAAGGGAGTAACAACACATACGAGTTTTGAGAAATCGAGGTTGACACTACCGTCCGCGTCTTCCAGGCATATGTTCCCTTCCTTCGTATGTGACAACATACCCAGTAAAAGGAACCGATCACCCGCACGACCAAGAAGCTGTTTCGTTGATTTCAGCTAGCGAGGAGTTGAGTCGAGTCTCGCAATTCGAGGAACCATACGGCCCTACCGTCACCAGATTCTGACGGTCTCGCGAGGGGAGTGTGGACGGAGCGAAATGTTCGTTCCGCAGAACGCATTGTTTGATGATATTCAACCTATCACGTACAGCGAGTACTCGCGACTCTGCGGATCCAGACGTCGTCAATGGCGTAGTAACCCTGACAGATAAGTTTCGGTAAGGTCACTATGTTGTACGGAAGATGCGTACCGCTCAAAGGTTCCCCGCTCCGTTGACCAGCGCCACGCCGGCATCTCATATGCATTAATAACAAACAAATGGCTCTCCGGATCGATGACATCTTTTTCAGCATCTGTGGATGTGCCCTCTGAGTCTTGAAGAGCTTGATACACCCTTCGGAGGACATCAACCGCAACCTTCATTGTTGCATCTATCCAGCATCCCATCAATCCATGTACCAGCTACGATGGTCAGGGCTTTCACCTTCTTGCTTGTTGTATTCGGCTGCTAGAGTTTCGACCGAAGACTCTACATCCTCGTCCGCTATCTCGTGGTGATCGAGGATTTCCTCAACTAGCTCCAAGGCATCTGGACCAAGTGAATTGCTGAACTTGAGGAACGCCTGGTTGGACGCGTGTCAGAGAGAAGGTCATGGGGTATAGAGATGTAGAACCTTTATGATTGTCCTATGGCGTAAATCAGCCATCGTGAAGTCCTTGGGCAAGCTCTCGCGACGTGACCGAAGTTACTGTGTATCCTTTCCGTACGCGTAGTTTCACGTCGGGGTGTTCCTATGGTGATCGAATAAAAGAACTTGGAATGCTCAAAGAGGGAAAGGCAGCCTTGCAAACAAGTCGAATCGGGAGAATTAGAAGGACAAGGTCACTAATCATCAAGCATTGCCAGTCGTTGAAGCAGTATAAACCAGTGCCACAGTGGTGCCAGTACGAACGGCTTTCGCGCCTTTCATCCGTCGGTCACGTGCCATTCTGGAGTTGATCCATTTATGTCTCCTTCGCGCACAGTGCATTCCTGTACTCGCCCCCATGTTCCCTGCACTCGACATTGACATCAGACCTGGTTCGGGACTCGGTATCTTTGAGATCGGTCGGTCTACTTTGGAGCTGAAGATTGACCACGAGCTCAAACACCGGGTACAGGGGCATCGCTATGGAATATCCTACATATATTGCACCGACACCAAGAAGCATTCCCCCAAGTCGACGTGAAATATGATCCAGATTCATCCGTCCTCACACCCATAATTCTGCACCTTCGGCCTCACCTTGATCTCCTCTTCTCTAGCAAGAACCAGCGGCTTCATACTATCTGTCTCCGCAGACTTCGCGATCCCAACCCACCAGTGGTGCTGCGGTACAAGGACACGATACTTTCGTCTATAGATCAGGTGCTGCGGCGCTCTGGAGTCAACAGAACGTTTGGACCGACATATGCGGGCGAGGACTTGAAGTATCCTGGTCTATGGTTCAGCTTCGAAGAAGATGGTCTAGGTGAAGGCATCAAAGGCAACCAGGCAGAAGACAGAGGCCAGGTAGTCAAGCGGGTGTTTGTTTCGCAGAAGCCACTGGATGGTTCTGACCGTGATGCCCTGGACGAGGTGATAGAATCTCCTACAATGGCGGGTGAGGTGGCCAAAGCAGTTGTTAAGGTAATTAGGCCCGTATCTTCTTGAGGGATCTGTATGTCACCTCTATGACCGTCTTCTGCTCTGCCCTGTACAGATCCACGTTGGAATAACACTATTTTTTCACCCCATCGGATCCACGGAGCCTCTACACATTCGGCTGGGGGAGACAACTGCACAAGACTTGACTGTGGATCTTGGCCCTCCTTCACGAAAGCATTACAAAGATGACGACCGTATGACCATACATTTGACCTCAAATGCAAACGAGGAAGATAGAGGCTGTCAGTTTGTCTCGCCGTGGTTAGTGAGTTCACCTACTGACTGACCTTTCAATTCGTTAAGACTTCTACAACTACTTTCAACACGGTCTCGACTTCCTGATATCTGGAAATAGTCACATAGTGCGGAAGGTCATCGTTCACACTAATATCGTGCGCGCAAATCCCTTCGTTCTATTGTCTTCGCTCATCTGTCCACAGCCAGGGACGCCTCAATTTCAGCGCTACAAGCGATGTATATGGGAATTGGAGGGACAGCCTGAGGACGACGAGGATGGTAAGCTGGATGGTCTATTGCGTCGGGTATCTCCACTGAGTGGCCACCGTTAGATTCTCCTCCGAGGCGGCACTTCAGTGACAGGGTGAGCTCCCCTTCTCCCCAAAAGCAGATGATCTTCTGACAACTAATGGACAACTAAAACGAAGTTTGAAACAATAAGTCACTTTTTGAACCCAAGAGGCCCTCCGCCTTCGATGCCTTTAGATCGCACTGCTGATGACGAAGGTGTTACCCTCGCGAACCCCACAACACGTAAGTGCCTGATGTAGTGCTCCTCTTTGCGTCCCATTGATGGGTCTCAGGCCTCTACGGCTACGATGGTATTGTCCTGGAAGTAACCGATTCTTCGCATGTGGTATCATTGACATTGTTTTGATCTTGCAAGGCAACCTCCGCTCATGCATCTGTACATCATATAATATATTAACATATTACATCACAAATGTATTCCTTCATTCTCATCTTCGTCATTGTTCGCTAGTGCAGCCTCGCGGTTTCCCGTTTCTGGCTGGCTAATCCGCGCTGGTGAGGCACCCGTATAATGAGAAGACAAGCCCTTCTCGCTGAGCGCTTGTCGTAGGATGAATATTCGTTCTTCTTGGGCTTCACTGCACACATGGTGAGGTGCATCAGTCCGGGATATACACTTTCGGGAAGTGCATCACTGACATGACAATCTTGTTCTCCTCGTATGCTTTCACAAGTTCGACATCCGGGTCACTATCCTTATACTCTTGAAGTACAGTTTGGGTTTCCCGTAAATGGGCAAGGGAGTTATCAAGTCGAGAGATCTCTTCACAAGGCGTCCGTCAATGCGGCGAGTGAAGCATGAGACCGAGAAGAGCAACCTTCAGTAATCGTGCTGACATCGAAGTGAGCTGCCTCTTGCAAAGTGAATGGATGCGAGTAACGCGGCCGTAAGTCGTTCATCGGGTGATAGTGTTTCAAGATCAAGGATGTACAAATATGGCGCTTAGTACTTGGGCGAATTATTACAGTAAATCCTTCCAACCTAAATCGTGTTTTATATACAGTACTCTATTGCTTGAATACCTCCGGCCAAACTGACCGAAGTTCTTCTAAGTTGGTCACCGACACAATTTCACTACTACCGACGTCGGAGTTATTGATGACGAGTTTCTTGCCTCCCTCGACTGACTCTAGGCCATGTTCACAGAAATGTACACATCGTCCCCATCCTAATTGCTTGGCAGCTAGGACATTCGATTTGTTGTCGTCAATGAAGTAACAAAGAGTGGGATCGGAGATGTTTGCAACTTTCAAGGCCTGGAATGAATCAGATTTGGAAATATCGTCGAGAGTTATGAGTGTACCTGTTCATAGAATGCTGGCTCGGGTTTGCACACGAAGTTTGGTTCTGCATAGTCACAAAACACGAGTCCATCGATCTGATCGGTGAGGTTAAGAATCTTCAGGACTCTTTCTGCATGCTAGGGCACCTATTAGGAGCGATCATAACCCGACGGACCGCGACGCACCGTACGGTAGGCATTAGTGAGGGCCCATACTCGAAATTTACTCCGATCTATATCCAGGAACAATTGCCGCAAGGATTCACTTGGGAAGATCATGTCTTCAAGTGGTAGAGACCCATCGCATTTACGGTCAAAGTCTATGGGGTCTGACAGAAAGCATGAGTTGCTATGCTCACCTCTTGTACAACGGATGAAGTTCTTACCGATTTGATGGTGTCTCGTTAATCCGCGCAGGGCCAAGCCATACTGCGTGTAGTATCGGTGATGAAGTTCCGACGCGGCATCGTCATCGAGTCCAAGGGTTAGAAAGTAAGCTGCACTTGAAGGGGAATCTTATTAGCTTTCCGAGAGTGATTCTCAAGCAGCTTCACCATGAATTCGCTGGCCCATGGCCTGCGATATCTTCGTGCTCGCAGAATATAGTGTGTTATCAATGTCAAACCACACGATCGGACGGTCATCTACTCGGATTGTTAGCGTGCGACGGGAGAACATATCTATCAGAGTACACACCTTTCTTTGCGGAAGGTTCAGACATCGTGAGTAGTAGTTTGACAAGCAGCGAATACTACAAGCGCTAACTTGAACTACTTTAAGCGCCAGCGTCTCGTTACCCCTAACCCTAGGGCCACCTCGGTATTTGCCGGTGGTGCTATCTAGTCGTCTCAGCCACACAAGGTACTACTTACGATTTCCCCGACCGGCACTGGCAACGACGACCTCAAGACTCAAGGTATGACGATATTTGTATTATCTTTATGTGGCTCAAATGTTATAGATACAGATGGCTTCACCCGCAACCGTTGAGAAACAAGTAGGAGGGGAGAAGAATGGCGGTACACGGCAGGTGCCAACTACCAAGGCACCAAGATTCTATCCTGCCGAAGACATCCGCCAGCCAAAAAAGAGTCGTAAATCACACAAGCCCACGAAGCTACGCGGCTCCATCACACCGGGCACCGTCTTGATCTTGTTGGCTGGTCGGTACAGGGGAAAGAGGGTGGTGTTCTTGAAGCAGTTGGATAGCGGATTGTTGCTGGTCACAGGTCCTTTCAAGGTCAACGGTGTCCCCCTCCGCCGAGTCAACCAGGCGTACACTATCGCAACTTCAACAAAAGTCGAACTTGCCGACTTCAAAGTACGTCTCTTGCACTTGATCATTATGATCCGGCTTCTCATATGATTCACTAGCTTGATGACAAGTTCACCGATTCCTACTTCGCCAAAACCGTGTCCAAGGAGAAGCAGTCAGCAGAGACTGAGTTCTTTGAGGATGGCAAGCCAAAGCCAAAGGAGCCGCTTCCTGAATCGAAAACGTCGGACCAGAAGGAGGTTGACAAAGCTATCATCGCTGCCGTTAAGAAATCCGAAAACCTCACGAAGTACCTCAAGGCCAGCTTCGGCCTGTCCAAGGGCCAATATCCCCACCAACTCGTCTTCTGAAGTGGGCTGATAGATTTCGTCGGGCAGAGGAGATGGATCGGCGTCTTGGGGTTACCGCGCTGCACTTATATGATATATGTTTTATTGCTCGCTATGACCTCTATGACAGGGATCGTTCACATGAATTGATATGGGCCTGCCGTCCCTTTGTAATGTCCAGGCAGAAGACATTCCTCAATGACAACGACCTATAATCAGTTTCACCGGCGCTTAGTGCGAAATACCTTGATTAGATTTTTGTGACCGTGACTTCACAAAGGCCTGACATGCTTGTTTGTCGGGCCACTTCGCGTTCCCTCCTTCGCGACTATCGAAAAACTACCTTCCAGTCGATACAGCGGCCATGCTTCCTGCGTCAGAGAAGACACTTCATACGGAGTCTCGGTGAAGGTTTCTTGGATTTGGCTATTGCCCTACCCTTGCCCACAACCTGCCCCACATATTCCTCAACAATCATCATAGTCACCGTGCTCACGCGTTTCTGCCTATTACCTGTAGCAATTTGGGTACGTCTTGGCGCCTTCCGTGATTCTACCTATCTCATTGCGTGTAGGGCAAGAAACGCGCGTGGAGAATTGAAGAATATGTCATTCCAGAACTAGAGCGGGCGAAGCCGGCAATCTACCAAGGTGTCCTGAAGCAGATGAAAGCGCAGGGGATACGAGGAGACAAGAAACAGATACAGGCTATTCACGGTGAAAGGTCGACTGCTTTGGTATGTGTACAAACGGACCGGGTGCAACGCAACTGGCTAAGCACGATACCAGCTCACCGACCTCCGGAAACAACTGTACAAGAAACACAAATGTGGTCCCCTCACATCAATTCTTGTTCCAACTCTATCTCAGTTACCAGTCTTCGTAATCTCATCTATGGTTCTGTCTCGACTTTCCATTGCCCCGACACCTTTCGACTCGGAATCCTTTCTAACGCTTACGACACTTGCACACCCCGACCCAACAATGACCCTCCCCATCATCCTCGGAATGATCACCATGGCAAACGTGGAATCGAGTAACTGGGTAATGACTGCTGCTGAGCGAGAGCGACAACAAAGACTTGACGAGGCTAATGCAAAACGAATTGCAGAAGGCGGCAAACCTACCATACAGCCAAACAAGTTGCTCAAATCAGGTTTGAGACTTCTGTCAGTTGGGCGGATAATCTTTGCCGCTGTCATGCCTGGAGTAGGTTTCCGCAACTTAGTCTCGTGTGTATGAGCTTATACCTTCTCAGAGTGTTACGCTGTACTGGGTGACATCGGCCGTGTTTGGTCTCTTCCAGACTTGGGGAATGGACTGGTGGGACATGAGGCGGAAGCAAAGACGCCTCGTTAAAGAGCCAAACGGACGGAAGTCAGCGACGTCTGCTCGAAGATAACACTTGTGAGTAATTTCCTCTGCCTGCCTTACTCGAGCGGAGTGATTATAAAAGTGGTTGAGAGGGAACCTCCTGTTGGGATGGTTCCCGTTGATTATTTCTTGATCTAATCTGACCGTTCTCGAGTGTTTTCTGTCTTGCTCTTAGCGCCTACTGACCCCACCTTATAGCAGGTACATTCGCTTCCACAACCAGCGGGGCTCGCAGGTGTAATCTTGAGGATAAGGATAGGTGCTAGATCCCATGTAACTCAATCTCGTGCATGAAGGCTTTGGCACCCGACAAGTGACAATATCCACAGGCCCACAGGCCGCTTGAGAATTCAGTGATACTCAACGCATGATGCGATAAGACATACGTTGTTTGAAGTACCCCGGAACTGTACGTAATAAATGAACAATGGCCCACATTGCACGACTGTATAGTCGATACAGCGGTGTAAGAATAAATAATAAACAGATCTTGTAGTGTACAGCTGAATGCCCTCACGCCATGCCACCCCAAGGGCCACGTATCCGACGAGCCAGTTGGATGTCGCGTTGCATAAGCGTAACTCGTTTGGCGTGGATAGCACATAAATTCCTACTTCAAATTTGGCGTGATTCACCACGCTCATGGGAGAATGACTCACGCGTCTTCGAATAGATGCACCAAGTAAGCTTCTGTGGCTTCCTGAAGTGCCAACAATGCTGATGTTTGCCACCGTAATCCACTGTCGCCGTATCCGTCATTCACGTCGGTGGTCATCTCCATTGCAATCTCCCGAACCTTGAGAGGGAGTTAATACGGCATCCCATGAGGGAGTGGAAGAGCGGCGCACCAGTCGCGAAAACGGGAGTTTCTGAATCAAAAGATCCGTGCTCTTTTGATACTTTCGGATTTCTCGCAACGCAACCGTTCCAGGTCGGAATCTTCGTTTCTTGCCGGCATTAGCGGTACCACTATCTCCTAGAATGAAGTTAGCAAAGTCCACAGGAAAAGCATAGACAGGCCCCCACTACGCGTACGGTCACCACCTGAACCACTTGCATTGCTTCCCCGTGGCGCGGATGGTGGAACAGGGGGTCGGCCGCCTGTACTTTTCCTCGCAGTAGCTTTCGCCTTCTTGGCGGGGGAAGGCTGGACGTCCGCATCCGAGGGTCGTTCTTTACGCTTGCTTAAGCCGCTGCGCTGGACGGTTTGAGCCATAGTGGAGGAAGAACACCAAGATGAAAGGAGTGGTTCAACTCATTGTGGAGGAATCTCACGATGGAACACCACATGCCTAAATCAAGTAGCCGGCGCTAATTTCATCGCGTTATATACTTCCAGAGTTGCTTCTCTCAATGCATTGCAAACGCGACTCATTGCACAGCTCAATCGATCACACAGCGAAAATACTGCACATTTTCTAGTGATATGGCCCCAAAGTCGAACAATCCCGTGGTGACGGGCTACTACCGGTGGACAGACATATGGTTTCAATGGTAGGCACTTTCCAACTCATTTCGCGTACAATTTCATTCGTAAATCAATCCAGGCCATCAGCACTACCCAATCGAGACGATGAGAGAGCCTTAAAGGCTATCCTAGGTAACTACAATAATCATTTCTTCGGTCTAACGTCTTTCTTACTTGAGAATTGTGTATTGTAGCCCATGACTCTATCGTTCATCCTGATCATCCTCTGCATCCCGGTGAGGAGGGGATAACAATGTACATGGGTGAGCCGTAAACTCCTACAACGAGACCGCATCGATTGATACTTACTACTAAATACTTTACTCAGGGACATTCCCCAGTGGTGAATCCCGGCTTCTCATGTCATCAGCCCAAATCGATTATTGTAGATACTGGCTTCATGCCGTGGGGAAGACGACACAAATGATAGCACTTCCATACTCCGATTGTCTTTTGACACCATCTAATCTGACGAGCATATCGGCTAAGCTCGTCAAGACTGGATGGGATCTGAAAAACATTGTTAAGGTTTGGCCTTCCTCTACCAGTGCATTGATCCTCGTCCTAATGCTAATATTGAATGTCAGAAAATCGAGAAAAGCAACAAGAAGCTCAAGGGAAAGACACCCGGTCTCGGGCGCAGACTCCAATTATTTGATCTCATACGAACTTTCTGGGCGGCGAAGAAAGGCGTTTGGTGTGCAATTGATATCGAGGCTTGGGAGAAGTCGCACGACGTGATCACAGAACTTGGCTATAGCTTCGTCCACTGGGAGAACGGCGAAGAAGTCGCTGAATATGCTCACCTCATCATCGAGGAGCACAAGATGTATACCAACTCCGTCTATGTCCAAGGCAATCGCGATGTAAGCGGACTTTTCATTGGATGTATACATATGTCTTATTGATCTTTCGGCAGCACTACAACTTCGGAAAGAGCGAGGTATTGAACAAGAAGAATTTCAAGAAACGCGTTCACGGATTGTTTGACATGATGCTCGAACAAGGCCCCGTATTCCTGGTCTTCCACGATCATGGACAAGATGTCAAGTCAGTATATTTACCTTGACTCATCCGCGTAAAGCATACTCATCGTCAATAAGATACCTTGAGAGCCGCGATATCGAGGCCCCTGTGAGGCTAGGGACCCATATCCTCCCAGACAACCTCCCTGAGGATGGCATCTTCTACGTAGACACATCCGATCTGTTCGGAGCATTGGTCAACAACGGAGAGCAGAAGAAGTCCTTGAGCGAGTGTTGCCGCCTTCTGGGCATTCCAACCCGATTCCTCCACAACGCGGGCAACGACGCCCACGTGAGTGTCTATCATCACTACCCCACAGCCTACACTACTGACTGTATTATGTTTGGAGTACACGATGCTTGCCTTCAAGTCAATGGCATCGGGTGCAGACTTAGAGGCACAAAGAGAGCAACGATGGCCCAAACAGGCTGCTAAATTTGCTGCGACCAATGACCCTGAAATAGAGTTCCATCCATGGGATGAAGATAGCGATTACGAAGACATGGAGGGTTTATTTCCAGCGCCACCCGCGTATGATAGGGCGACAGGCCTGCTGAACACCGCAGAAGAATAGCCGAAGGCTTGACAACCAGCATCGAAACATCGTCGACATTGAACAGCACCGCCATTACTCACCAGCATTCTTGACTACATTTTTGGCAACCGTTCCGTTCCGCACATCTTTTTGGTAACATCATCAGAGTCAATGTATGCAAAAAACATCCGTGAATCCAATCATTAGTGCCTACCGTCCTCCTTATACGCGGTCTACGATTAGTCATTACGGCCGTGTTGTAGCCTATAGAGTCTGGACCATATGCTCGGTTCTGGGAGTACTCAATCTTCTTTGCCATCATCACCTTCGTCTTCGTCGTCGGAGCGATCATCAGTTGCCGTATTCGTCGTAATTGCTCTGTTATAATTTCTTGAGTAATTGTCTCATTATTGTGATGCTTGTCTACGTACCGATAAGCGATACGCAATATCAAGTAATACCAGAAGAGGTTAAGGAATTCCAACAAGAGCAACGGTGTGAAGATTTGGTATTTCATCCACCAAACGAGCCAGGCGCCTGACTCTGGGTACCATTGTTTTGCCTCATCTCTGCGATCAATACTGTTAGTGAGCTTCATGTACGAGACAAACCGCGTACGGGATTAGATCAAATTCATTCCACACCGACCAGAGTATTCTAAGGTTCAACCAAAGGCGGAAGTAACTGCAGTGATATTAGAAAATGTTCCATTTAGAGCATCTTACGAACTTACGACCAGGTGACAAGAAGGCCCGCAAAGACTACCATCTTGGCCGTCTCCCGTTGGAGGTAATTGAGCAGCTTGGAGAACTACATCGAGAGGCGTTGAATAGAAGCGTGCATAACATTCCATATAACATACCGCCAAGAAAGTATCCGGAATATCCATGCTCATGTACACCGCGTTGCCGATGAAGGTAAGATTGACGAGGTAGCTCCATCTGGAAAGGCAGTCAAAATGATGCACGCGTAGGAATTTGGGTGGCCTTACCCCACAAGCCACAATGTAACGGCATGGTGAGCGACAAGTTCGCGGTAGTCTTTGCGGGGTTTCTCGAGACCCAGCACCATCACGATGAGCTGTTGCCACCAGTATGCCATTTGTACGAGGTAATAACACTTCAGCTCAGGTTTCATGTCCCAATGAGGGTAGTCTGCAATAACGTCAGCGAGACTCCAAGATTGCGTGGAATGACATACTGAGCCAAAAATGCTCCGTACGGTACCAGAACGAAGGGAGTTGGGACATTATCCTCTGTAATTTGAATATTGGTGACAACTAGGAGGTATTTTGGGCGACGACTTACGAAACCCCACGCGCCGAAAAAGGCGAAATACACGAAAGCATATCCCTGTTCACCAAATCTTTCTATCTTCACCTGCTTTTTGATACCAAAGTAGTGGCAGATGCGTTTGCAGATGTTGACGGTGATGATTTGGCGAATGCACGACCAGAATACGATGTAGTAGGCGATGAATAATAGGTCTAGGTATCCTTTTTGGTATCTCGGGTCTTCCTCTGAGGAGGCCGGCACGCGATGCGAGAGCAGGAAGAGCGGCGCAAATGGGTTTCGACTTTGCAGCGAAGGATCGACGAACGGGGTGATGAGGTCCCAATTAATGTAAAGAATGACTGGCACTATGAGAATCTTAAACGCGACCACTGAAGAGCTGTCAGTGCCGACAGGCCAAGGGATAGACAGGGAACAAATGCGCACATGGATCAATCGCCCAAGTGAGTAAGGCGGAGGGCTGGGGAGGCGGAAGTTTCTTGTAGGGGGGCACGGGCGACGCAGTACGCGACGAAGCCGCCGAACCAAGTGGACTATAGAAGCGTCAAGAATCAGACTTGCGTCGAAGCAACGCGTAAAACATACGTTTGAGGCAGGAATGGCCCCGTCAAATGGTGGTTCACATCCTTCCTGCATCCATAAGGTCTTATCAGAGTAGAATGGGCGAGTATTTACGAGACTCACTCTAATTGCATGCCATTGGTGAGGACGTGCAACGAGCTCGACCGGTTTCTCGTTTTCAATTTGTTCGGTTGCATGGCCGTCGGGTGAGAGAGGAGTTCCGGCGCTAAGAGAAGTGATGTTCACGTGTTGCCGAACTATGCAGAGTCGCGTTAGCACTGTCCTCAAACTCAGTCTGCCATCATCCGCATCGCCCTCGCGCAGCACAACCCCTTGAGCTAAATCGCTAGGCCGCCGAGCTCAGGTCCCATCTGCTTCATGTTCCCCTCATTGCGCCTATTCCATAAACTGCCATGTCCCCAGCGAGACCACTGTTCGCGGATACGCTGCGTCTTCTCTCATGAAAGTATCCTGCCACCCGAGCAATCCTTGGATATTCCATATGAGAAGCCCGCTGAGCTTGATAGAAAGGCGTCAGACAGTCCGCCTGCCCGTGCACCTGATGCGGCTGTAATACCGGCGAAACGCCCTATCCCTTCTGCTGGAATACGTAGATCTGTCGCACCCTCGTCTACTAGCAGCCAAAATGGAGAGCCTCCGAGGAAACTGCAGAAGTTAGGCCCAACGCAGAGACCCCTTGCCGTGCCAACCGCGTCTCACACTACTGTATGTTCTCCAACATTTGATCTGTCAGTGTGTTCTCTAGCCTACGCCCTGTCGTTTCACAGACGGGGGTACCTCTACTAAAGGTTAACGCGGCACAGTCTCAGGTAGCTGTCCCTGTTCGTCAGGTATTTATCCTCCCGCTATTTAATAGTCCACACCTACGATCCCCATGTTCACCTTCCTCCCCTTCCTCATTCTTCAGGCAATGCTCAAGACAATATTCGACCACTACTCTGTGCTCTACGAGCTCATCCTTCCTACTTATCCTTCCCTTGCGTCGGAACATGCCCTGCGGCAAGAAGAGGAAGTCTACAAAGTTTCCACCAAGTTCACCTATCGCAATGTAGGCCCTCCTATCACCCCACCCATTCTGGATATTCACAAACATACACCAGGCTGTCATCACTACTGTTGCTTCGTTGAAACGGCGTCCAGTGCCTGATGGCATCTCGCATCCTTCCGTTGGAACGGAAAGAGACATTGCTGAACGCGAAGAGGCAAGGAAGTCCTTGCAGGCCTTGCGTCTTTCTCGGTCCCAACTTCAATCCCTCGTTCTCTCTGTCGAAGATATGCGGAAATGGGGCTATATCGTTGCAGCACCCGAAGCACCTGGCGGTACTGAGCCCGCCATTGAAGGCAAGATCGCTAAATGCGATCGCTGCGTTCAATACTTTCAAGTGAAGCGGCGCGAAGAGGCTGGCGAATGCCTGCACCATTGGGGCCGCCCTTATACGAAGATGATTGAAGGCAAGTTCTGTGTCTCGTGCCTGCAAGTTACTAGAAGTGACGTCATTCTACAGGCCAACGATCGCGGATATATTCTTGCTGCTCAAGCCCTGCGGGCGATGGTGGAGGATGTGTCACGGGCACTCACGTCTTTTATGAATCCGATGCTGAGACGTTGCATGCACGACATGCATTCACGCCCACTCGATCACCAACAGAATCTGATACGGCTCTTGACGTGGTCGCACTGGACTGTGAGATGGTTTACACGACAGGCGGTTTTCGGTGCGCGCGAGTTTCTGTTGTCGACGGCGCTGGCAAGGAGATCTTTGATGAGCTTGTTCGGATGGATGATGGTGTTGAGGTGATGTAAGTGTCCATATCTCATTGCCTTGCGCCCATGCTAATTTATCAACAGTGACTACAACACTCGCTTCTCTGGTATCACTGAAGAGGCGCACGCCAAAGCCGTGCTGCCATTAACAGCTATCCGGGCGTCGCTTGATTCGTTTATCAATTCGGAGACAATCATCATTGGGCATGGTCTCGAGAATGATGTAAAAACTTTGCGGATGATCCATCATCGTTGTGTGGACACCGCGATTCTATTTCCGCATCGCGCAGGCGCTCCATACCGTCGCTCACTTCGGGACCTGTAAGCCTTTTCATTACTTCCTCTCGTGGCCAGCAGTTCAATAGTCACCATCTTCAGTGTTCGTGAACATCTTGGAAAGATTATACAAACTGGCGGCGGGACCACCGGCCACTCGTCTGTTGAAGATTCCGTAGCAACATTGGACCTCGTCAGATGGTTTATCCTCAACCAGTCGAAGATTTCGCGCACTACTACTACACCTGCGCCCTCTACACTCAAGAGCCATGCAACTGCCACAGTGACTTGACAAGGCGTTCGCGATTGAACATTCGTGTCAGGGTGTACATTATTACAACGAAGTCTAACTACATCGCTACCCGCCCGGCGACCAGCCTCGCCGAACGCAGAATCGAACGCCAGCGATTCCGAACGAGGGGATGAGCATCAGGCCGGGGTGTTGCTTGGGACCGTCCGCCTTCATATTGTCATAGAAATATGTAAGGACTACCAGCGGCGAATCCACACCGTCGTCGTAGCACCGTCATACTACATCATGGGACCTTTAGACAGAGGGAACAGAATGCAATTGTTTGTAAAGGTGCCACGGAGAATGGAGGAAGTCTAACCACTGCGAGAGCCTAGTCGGGCCATTGTGTCCTCTGAGTTTTCTTGCTCTTCGACGCTATCCGATTGAGTGACCTTGAATGGATGGGATGATTGGGAACGTTGTTGAGGCAGGATAAGATCGTGACTCACTACTCGAAGAACTGACTTCTTAGAAGACTCCTGCAATTCGCCTGCAATGATAAGCTCGTCGAGTATCTATGTAAGGTATCAAGTAAGAGGCATATACGATGTGACGGACGGGATGATCACGTACAGCATACGCTTTCTGGAAGTTAAATATGCTGTCCCGAGTCGTGAGCTTTATTTACTCAATGGAGGGGTATCTATACGTACAGATCCAACTCGCAGACCTAGTTTCATCGATCAAGCTGACGAACTGGTTACACAACGGTGGGCGACTCACATTGCCAAAGTATCGGTCTAAGATCTCGACGTATCTATGGATGATTTCCAGCGTGACCAACTCGTTGTCTTCCGTGCTTATGCCGCAAACGAAGAACAGGGATGCATATCGCCTGTAGACCACCTTGGTATCTGCACAATGTAGGGTCAAAACCGTTCGTCGACATCATGAGACTGTGCCCGCGATGCTCGGTTGCCAGTGCGCACCTTTGTACTCGAGGAAGTTGCACATCCGAGTGCGCCTAGCGAGGACCAGCTGCGTGACATCCTTGACGATCTTGGCCTTCACCTTCGGCGCCATGGTGGTGAACCATTTGGCCAAACGGACCTTTCCTGCGGAAAAAAACACATTGGCGGGATGTATCAGGGCACCAACGTCGGGCAATCGGTCGCTGCGCACCTTGTCGAGATACCAGGAGGATGTAGTTGATCATAAAGGTGTTCCGTATAAATAGAGGACAACACCGACATATGGTGTTGACATCATCAACTAGGATTACTACTGTACTCAAAGTCTATATGCCTCTAGAGTCTATGTAGCCTACTTTTTGCGGATGGCCTTTCTGCGCTTTCCGCCAGCTTTGACGGCCGCGGGTCTGCCTTCCAACGGTGTGGCTGTACCACTTTTACTGTCCGAAACACTGCTGGTTTCCCCATCGGTGTCGTCAACCTCAGAGGCGAGTTCGTCGTTGTTAACTTCGTTGCCCTTGTTTCGTCGTCCCAAGGTTTTTCTGACCAATGAATGGATAAGTGACGGGAACCATGTTGTTGAGAGTGCTGGCCTAACAGCAGTCGAGGCATTCACGGCTTCTTCAGAACCATCTGGGTTGCGCTGTACATGTTTTTCAGTGGTGCGGGGCGGAGTGAAACGATGGCAAACACACAATAAACACGTCGAGACCTCGGACCACCATGCTAATGGACTTGCCAGGGATGGGATATCCATCGTCGTCATAGGAGGGTCCTCCGAGGTTGACTTTGACCTGCGAAAGGTAGGTCAGAAAGAGTAGGGGAGCACCATCACATTCCTTACTCTCTTCTCGCCCTCTCCAGGAATCATCTTCGCTCCCCAAGCGGCCTGTTGAGCGTCCTGGACAATCTTTTCGATTCTCTTCAGGTGGGTCTTGTAAGTCATATTTTGGATGATATATTGGAGCCCGCAAGTGAGCACGACGAGGAAAACGAGAACCGTCTGTCATAACATTATGAGTTGCGAGACGAGTGGGGTCCGCAGAGTACATACGCCAAGGCCTGGACGGAAGCGGGCATAGTAATAGCCAGTCCCGCGCCATTTAGGTACACCGTTCTTGTAGAAGAAGTCATATCTGTTCTGGATGAGCATACGACAACGACGGGGCGAGTGCTGTTCTCACCGTTTCCGGCTCTCCGCATTTCTGAGGATAGTGGACACAACTCCCAGTCTAGCAAATCGTTCATGTATGGTCTTGTCATTAGGGTTTTTGTCAGGGCTACACACGTTGAATAATTATCAGTGGGAGACATCCCAAACACCACAAATGGAAACGTACTGAAGCTGCATGCTAAGTTTCCTGTAGGCCCTCGCAATCTCGCTCGTTGTTGCGGTAGACGGCACGTCTAGCCACGAGTAGAAGTTCGTTCCCTTCCCTTCTGTGGCCTCTAATTCGCTTACGAGGTCAAATATTTCATGATCTTCCTATAGCGCACAATTTGACACAACGTTGAGAAAGGTTCGGAATTCAGAGCGTGCATAGGCAGACCTTCTCCCATCTACAACGAAGAATGTGCGTCAGTACTGCCGTACGTTCAATACCCGAGGTTCGAGGAACTTACGCCAAAACAGCCGTTGCGCAGAGTGCAAGGAGTGCGAAGATGTAGAAGAGCTTCATAGTGGGAGCCCTAGTTCTAGTTGTATGTCAGATGTTGGTGTGCCAGGATTACCAGAAGCCTAAGTTTGTCTAAGAAATGGAGAAATTGGAAGAAGCGATGCCAGCACTGCAGGAGATGAAGCGCCTGAATGATCGAGCGACGTGCACGTGATTACACATTTACTGAAGTCGACTGCCATCATCTCGGGCAGCTGGAACTGTGGTTCTGACCACAATCAAACCGTCTATCTTCTTCATGGCGCCCAAGCGTCGATGCCCAGTGTGTCAATCTAAAAAGTGGCGCAAGGAAGCCTCTAGCGGCCAAATCGTGTGCAGTGAGGGCCATGTGATGCAGGTACGACGAGGCCGACAATGAGCTTCTCCCCCTGCTTCTAATCGCTTGGACTTGTGCTCCACCTCCGCACTTGACCCAATCGACGCGTAGAACTATCGCAACGAGGCGGCTGATGAAGAAATCGGACCACATGTGCTCAAGAAACGCACGCTAAAACAGGACCGGCAGACGAAGGAAAGGTCTCGCGTTGACCCCAAGTGTACGTGTCTAAGTTTGGTTCGGTACAGAATGTTGATGCTATCGCGTCTATTTCAGTGTACCACGGCGCACGCGGTCTATACCACTACTATCAGTGTCAGCAGCTCATCCTGCGTCACCAGGTTGCTGTTCTTGTTCGAGAATGGTCGCTACCGTCCGAATTCGAGGTAGTTTCGGTTACAATCAAAGTTCCCAATACTAATACGTCGAAGATGATTTGCAAGGACGTCTGGGCTTTACACTTATCGCTACTTCCCACTCCACCCTCGGCTGAGCCGTATTTCCATTCGCAAGGCGTTACGGATCCCACAACCAAGGCAGAGGGTAGTCAGGGCAGGGTAAAGCAATCTGCCAGCCAGGAGATAGACGATGGCGCCGCTCTCGCCGGTGCAACGCGTGCTTCGCGTAGAGTCAAAGTCGAGGACGGTAAACCACCGGGGGATGATAGCGAGGGTGAAGGGGACGATGCTGAGCTGCAAAGCCTAAACGAGTTCGGAGATGGAGCGGGCGATGATGAACTCGCAGGTCTTCTTCGTGAAAACAGTGATTACTCGTCAAGCTCAGATCTCGAAGAGCCGAATGGTTCTCGATCTGAGCTTGAGGATGGTGAGCGGGCTCGGAGTAGTGGCAGTGGAAGGAAGGGGAGACCCAAAGGCAGGAACACTTACGAGGGGTTGCAGGGTACTCTGTCAGTTTTAATCGTCGGCATGTGGATTCTGCGAGTGCCCTTCATGTACTCTGACATCATCCGGTCTGTTGCTGTACACTTTTACAAGATTTGGACATTGAACTCGCTCGTCTAGGCTGATAGATTCCTTCGAACTGCCTTACCTTGGGGCTCTTCGTTTGTTACCCCGCGATATGGCGCTACATCTGACGAAGTATAACTCTGCTTCATTGTCACCTGCTGTAAGCCCCTGCCTATACACCGGCTACAACGGTCTGACTCCAACTTAGCACTCGCCCCAAGTTCTTGTACTTCACGCTCTGGTGTCGCGCCTAGCGAAGCGTCTGAAAGCGACTTATATGGTAGTTATCCCGGAGGTGAATGGTGGACCGCTCCTCTGGAGGGTGACAAAGGCTTTCGGCGGCACACGTTCGTTTTATTTTACGCAATTTAGTGACAGGAAAACTAAACTACACGTCAGCGATACTCTACTCCCTTACCAAACGACTTGGCGATGTACTGTCGCTACCCCTGACACTTCATTATAGCCTATCCCCAGATTTGGTACGGCTCGCCAAGAGCCACCCCGGAAGCCACAAGTATGATAACGTCCCCCCTGAACTGGCACTGGCAATTACGACAGTCATCGTCCTCAAATTGGTTTACGGCTTGGACGGAACAAGGAGGTGCCAGCAATCCTTTTGCGCTTGGTTGAAATTTAACCCGGGAGATGTTTAGAATACCTCAAGATGGCGAAGATCCCGCCAGTTGGTTACCCAAACCGGAAGAATTCCTGGATGCGCTGAAAATGGCAAGTGAAAGCGATGCAAAGCGCGACTCCGTACTATTCTCCGCTTCATCACCAATGTCAGTGTATTTGCATTCCTTTTACATCGGGCCTTGTCGCGACGCGTGATCCGTATGCAGGTCAGTCGCTGATCTGGATGATGATAAGGTTGACGCGTACCTACGGTTCTGCGAACGTGCACTTGTTGGAGAAGACGGGAGTGCATCAATTGGTGAGCTCGCCACTCGGACAGGGCTCGATTTGACTGATTTTGGGTGATGGAAGGAGGGTCTCCTGTGCTGAACAGGTTCTTTCCCTTAAACGAACATGATGCATGGGGGCGAGAATGTTCTTTCAACCGGGCAATCTACCCGGAGAGGCCACTTGATGCCAACCTTCCGTTGTCATCTACCAATGGGGACGAGGCAACGAGAGTTCTGCCTGCCGAACAGTATCCCATCTACCACGCCCGTGATGTATTTGGAAGTCTTGAGGAAGACATTGAATTGGTGTTGGAGCGGGTGGGGACAGTTGTCGGGGTCCCTGTAGAATATGTTTTGCGCGTGTTGGAGAACTACGAGAGACGAGTTGCTGGGTGGTGGAAGTCTTTGAAGCGGAGGTCGAAGGAGATGAGGATGAGGGGCGGCGGCCAAGATGATGAGCTAATCGAAGATGACTAAAAATAGAATACCAGTCACTTGTGTTTCGCTGAGAAATTGTCCGCATTTTGCGCCTGGCTCTCACCCGAACCATCATGAACTGATTCTTCACCGCTCTTTCCCTCTCTATCCCCCGCTCATCGTCACAAACGTCCCCCAGCTCCCCTTGCTCGCCCTCCGCACTCTAGCAGCGCTTCCCGCCGCACTCCCGTCAAGCTTTTTACCTCGACTTCTCCCATGACCTTCTCTGATTCTTCATAATGCGCCGCTTTGCCTCTGTATTTTTACCAAAGCGTGACAAGAACGAATCAAAGAAGTCGGCGACCGCTACTCGCAAAGCTGAGGAGGCTGCCTCTTTGGCGATCCACACCGCCGTCTCGCCCGCTCATCCACTTCCGCCGCCCCTCAACCTCACGTCCCACAGCAGCGATCGCGCCCAATCTTCTTCGTCTTCAACAGCGTCCGCCAGCATACAGACCCCAGATGATGAGTCCCCGCTTTCTCGCTCCCTCACGAAAAAGTCGTGGAAGTCCTGGCTTGGTACGGTTAAGTCAGGCAATTTGAAGCGAGGACATCCCAACCACTCTCGGACTTCCCTTCACGCCCGTGAACCGAAGTACGACGCGGACATCCACCCGCTCCCATTTCTTCATCTTCCTCCCCAGAGCAACAGACGGCTCATTGATTCCTCCACATTTCGGCTTGAAACGACCGCACCGCCTTCCACGGATGGGTCCGACGATGCCAACATAGCGCTCGCCAACGATATTGATTCAAATCATCCGGATCCTTTCATTGCACGAGCAAATGTCAGGAAGTTGACGCAACGGCGCCTTCAGGACGCGACATGTTTGCCACCATTTGCAAATGTCACCGGAAGTCCCTTATTCCCGAAATCCTGTAACACACCTAGGCTTCCAAACCAACACGCCTTACTCGCGACCATGTTTCGGCAACGCCTTCTACGGCAGTTGGATGGTGATGGAATACCAATGGACGACCCTGACATCATGCACTTCGCATCGTTAGACCTCGGCCAATACGTGCCGCCCCGATCCAGCCTCATGTCGTCTTCGATTGACATATCGTTTGTCCCCACAGATTTTCATGTTTCAGGGTTCAGCACTGGTGTACGGCGCTGGATATCCCGACCATGCTTTGAAGACAGATATCTAGTGTGGTTATCGGAAGATGGTGTAATCGTTCGTAAAGGTGTCTCTGGTACTTCCTTCGCAGTCCTAGACCTTGAGTTTTCCGAGGCAATGGAGGCGATGGCTGGTTTTGATGTGGGCTCACCAACCCCCATGGATGCCGCTCCGACATACGAGACCATTGCTAGGAGAGGTGAGAAGCCAATTCCTCACCCTTCTCAGAATGCTAACAAATCCTTATGAAGCTCCTACCATTCCTGTTTTCCACCTTCCTGAGCAGCCTAGTGCAACCCACGAGTGCGGTGCAAGCCCAGATGCCCCCGTTGATGTCCCCACCACCCAAGATGGCGCAAGCACTGTGGTCAATGATGCTAGTTCCTCCCCGTCTTCGTCGCACTCTGAAGGCGAAGTGGAGGAGCCCATCGTATCACAATCGCCCCTGCCTTCCTTCCCAGTACCTACAGTCAAGCGTGGTGTTCGATTTGCAGACGACGTTCCCGACCGCCTCCCCGTTGGATACGCACAAGGAATGAAGAAGCGTCGCGAAGAGAAGGCCAAATTTCTCCGCGAGGAACAGGCACAACGGGCACTTGTAATGGAGCGCAGAAAGATTGAAGAGCAACGGCGACTCCTTGAGTACGAGAAGAGGCAAAGGGAGAAGGACCGCTTGGACTTTGAAAGGGAGAAACAGGCTTGGGAAAGGGAGAAGCGAGAGAGAGAAAGTGCTGATAAAGAGAAACAAGAACGACGCGAGAAGGCTCTCAGGGACGAGGTTACTGCTGCCCGACTTCGAAGGGAGGCTCAACGAGCGGGGAACGTGCCTAGTGGGTTGAGAGAGTCGACGTATGCCGGATTAGATGATGGACCAGGGAGATCGAAGCTTCATCCTTCGTTCTCTTCGTCAACGTCCCTTCGCCAGGATAGCCGAGAACGTAATACCGCGGCCGGAGAAGTTTATGACCCAACCTCTCGTGCCCGACCTCCCTCAATTTCGGCTTCAACCCGACCTCCAACCACGAATATGTAAGGATGGCATTGCTTCAGTTCTCCCTTCAACTAATAATGTTTTCTGATAGCAACAGCGCCTTGTCTCCAGCCACAGCTTATGGACCTTCACATACTCGTTCATCTCCTTCGAACAGTGGGTCATCTCCAGGCAGCTCAAGACCTCCCAGCCTTTCCGGCGGTGCTTCTTATTCAAGCCACGCTCCCGAAGATGCAGGTTCCAAGATGAAGCGTCATTCCGTAGCTTCAACCTCTTCAAGACCTTTCGTTGACCGTTCGTCCACTATGCCTAGTTATCCTACTTTCCATGGCGGCCCCTTGCCAACGATGTGGAATGGGAGTCAACAAAGCCTCAACGGAATGATTATGATGGCGCCAGTGAATCCGATGATGCCAGCCCAAATGAACACCATGATGTTCCCTGGCGTTGGACTAGTTCCTTCGATGATGGACATGCCATTGCTGCCCCCGACGCCTCCATTCATGATGCAACAGTATCGCCGTAGCTCGAATTCAAGTTCTTCAAGCCGTGATCACAGTCTAGACCGACAGAGCTCTCGACAGCGAGAGAGCAGTCAAGGAAGTGGCAGGAGCAGCGGAAGCGAGCGGCTGCATCAACGCCCCGCTAGCTCCGCTCCATCTTCACCTCAGAACAGGCCGTCACATTCCAGAAGAGGTAGTGCCGACATGTCCCCCTCTGCGTTTCCTTCGTCAAAGCGTTCGTCCTCTGGCATCAGCTTAAATCACTCTTCATATCGTCCTGGGCCGTCATCGTCGTCGTCGTCGCTTGCCCAAGGTAGTACTGCCAACCCCCACCGATATTCACAAACCCCTCCATCCACCTACGAGCGTCCATACTCTGAGCGTGGCCGCTCCCTCCACCCAGGGCAATCTACCCGTAGTCCTAATAACACATCCCAACAAATGCCGAGTCCATGGACTGCTTTGCCAACCCGTCATGGTGGCCTCCCCAGTCAAATGTCCCCAAACTCAGATCAACGGCAGTCCAATTCACAGCAAGAACGGCCAGCTATAAAACCTTCCGCATCACGGAGACAAACTTTCCACACTTGATCGAATCCCTTGGATCACACCCATTCAATTTCATTCGCATTCTTCGCATTACATGGATTTGGACTTGTGTCTATCACATTACGTATCTATATCCTAACAATCTGACATCATTCCTCAAAAAACTTTCATAATTATTCGAAGTGTACGACCTATTCGCTCCCAGCTCACTGTCATTCCTTTGTTTCCACATTCGTTTTCAGCCTCGAAATGACTGTATCATTCATGATCGATTGCCGTACTCGGAGGCTATCTCCCAGTGCATGTCTTGTTTTTATCTCGATTACCTCTCGAGGGACACAACTTATTGCGGCACCATAGCATATGCATTTTCCCTCAATCTCCTACAACCGTGTAATCAGTTATCAACTTCTACCCTACTACGTACTTCCGAATCTCATCATAAGCTATTAACGACCCCCCCCCCCCTACTATTCCAAGTTACGGCCAGTTCAACCGTTTACCGAGACAGATGCGTTCCCGAGCCTTCATTAACGGGCAAATGGCATAATGTTTAACCCTTGTGCTTCATTGCCAGGTCATGAAGATTCCCCGCAGAAATTCCGGCGGAACGGTCCGCTCCTGAGGTGGTATTTCAGAGGAGTTCCATGGAACTCTAGCCCCCCCGCCCCCCACCGCACCACTTTCAATCCTCGCCATGTCAGACAACCCATCTTTTGTGCTAAAGGCTATTGAGGAGGTGGTTTACGAACAGAGACCTATCCCCGAGAGTAAGATCTACAGAGTTTGGTGGAAAGTGATCGGCTGATTAGCGAATTTCTAGTTAGTGACGATGAGGTGCTAGTCGAAGTCAAGAAAACAGGTATGTCGTTTCAAGCTATGCATTAACATAGCAATATTGACTTGAATGATACAGGAATATGTGGATCAGATGTAAAGTCTAACGAGATCGCCGTCCTGACGATATCTAACAGCAGTACTCACAGGTGCATTACTTGGTTCACGGTCGTATCGGCGACTTCGTTGTCGTTGATCCTATGGTCAGTGTCAATAAACGATATGATACGGCCCACTAACATGTCTCTCCGCACATAGGTTCTCGGGCACGAGTCAGCTGGCGTTATCTCGAAAGGTACGCCTCATGCGAAGTGCGAAGCGAGATACCACCGTTGATAAGGCTTGTGCAGTTGGTTCCAATGTTAAGCACGTCAAGCCAGGCGACAGAGTGGCCATGGAACCTGGGGCTACATGCAGTAAGCCTTCCTGGATCACTTTGTGACAGTGGTGCTAACCCCTCCCTGCCCCTGACGTGCAGAGAAATGCGAGGCGTGTAAAGCTGGACGGTACGAGGTGATTGGATTTATTCTACCACATATATACCTTATCTGAATTCATCATAGCTTTGTCCCGACATAATATTCGCTGCTACCCCTCCGTATGACGGTACTCTGGCGCGCTACTATCGCCTCCCAGGAGATCTAGCGTACCCACTTCCCGACGGCGTCTCTCTCGAAGACGGTGCCATGGTAAGGTTATGTTTCACATGCTTGATATTTATCTCAAAAGTAGCCAGATGGAACCTCTCTCCGTCGCTGTACACTCAGTCTCCACGTTAGGAGCTTTCCGCACCAACCAGAGCATCATAGTATTTGGATGCGGGCCCGTGGGGCTCTTGTGCATGGCTGTCGCTCGTGCACTAGGTGCGAAGCGTGTTATTGGTGTAGATATTGTCCAGGCTCGATTGGACTTCGCCAAGAACTACGCGGCCACAGATATTTACCTCCCAGTCAAGATGGTCGAAGGGGAATCTCGTCCCGAATACAGCAGGCGGAACGCAGAAGAGATGAAGAAGCAGTTGAACCTCCAAGATCGAGGCCCAAACGGTATTGATCTCGTCCTCGACGCCAGTGGGGCTGAAGTTTCGATCCAAACTGGCTTCTTCGTTGCAAAGACTGGTGGCACTTTCGTCCAGGTATGTGAAAAGACTCTACTACTGGATGCATTCATGGACTCATATTCTGTCGTAAGGTTGGCATGGGTAATCCAGATGTCACCATCAACCTCTCGATGCTTATGACGAAGGAACTTGTCTACAAAGGTTCCTTCCGATACGGGGTAAGTATTGAGTAACACTTGGATCCACGTTGCTTATTCAGTCTCCTTAGCCGGGATCATATCCTCTCGCAATCGCCCTTGTCGCACAAGGTAAAGTTGATTTGAAGCCATTGGTTACACACAGGCCAGTGTCTGTAATATCAATCGAAGATTTCAAGTCTTGACGATAATTTCTTCCCATTAGGTTCGCTTTCGATGATGCTATTGCAGCATTCAAGGCGACACGCGCCGGGAAGAGTGAAGATGGTAAAGGAGTCATCAAGGCGATTATTTCTGGTCCTGGAGTATCCCCTGATGCTGCATAAAGAGAAGACAGAGCCGAAGTTATAAACCCAACATGTTGTTTATGCACGATTATACATATATAGTTTCCTTTGTCGTGTTTGCTTCCCTTAAAACGCTGTTGGGTTGTGATTTTCTTTTGTCACACCATATGAAGCCAGCAAGAAGTTTTCCTTGATTGATGAATGCGATTTCGAAGACATGGTATCTATGTGTTGCATGTATATGTAAATGTATAATAAGTATGAATAGAGTACTGCCAATGAAATAGGTGATGATGAATGCAAAAAGTACACGGTGCTTGATGAGAATAATGCGAAGATAGATAACAATGCTCAATGGTTCGGTCAGGCGCCTGCTCCTCATGCTGGGGTAGAAAGTGCAAGTTTCTTGAACGGAGGTGTTCCGTCTGGCTCGCCTTTGACCAGAGGATCATTGTGTTCAACCTTACGCTTCGTACCAGCGAAGGAATCTGGCGTTGGGGACAGTGACGACCTTATACCTTTGAGACTCGTATTCGCCGATGACTTCGGCGGCGTTGCACGCATCACCTCAGGAGTAGCAGACCGAGACCTAGAGGCTAAATCACTCCGCAACCGGGCAGCCAGTGTATTGGTCGAGGAAAGCGCTTCAGCATGACACGTAGCATGGTAAACCTGATACACATTGGTTAGCCTCCTGGAGCACTAATATAATATGAATAACAACTTACTCGGTCGTCCTTCATCACAGCGTTCTTCCACACCCAATCCTCGTCGTCCTCCAGAAATTCAGACTTAAGAGCTTCCTTACAGATAGGACAAGATATCGATTTTGCCTCATCACCTGGGGGTACGACCACAAACTGAGCTCGCAATTCCGCATCACGCTTAGCCAAATCAGCCGCCGCCGCCGCCCGAGGGTGTAAAGGTCGAGAACCATCATCTGCACGTCCTTTGCCTTTGGCATCTCTCGAAAAATCATTTACCCAATCCTACAGCGAAAATATTAGTAATGAAGAGCAGAGAGTGAATGCAAAATACGAACCTCTATACCAATAAACCAGCTGCGACTATGCCCTCGTCCAACACCTTGGGATGCTTTCCTATTCTGTCTGAAATGCATATCCAGATGTTCCTCCATAGCTTTCTTCCCCAAAGCCGAATCAGCAAATCGGATACCACACTGTTTACATTGCGATGGTAGTCGATTGTATAATAGCGATACGATATCGAGGCGTTTCCTTTATAGGATATCAGTCAGTCAAGTATCATTTATGTAGAAGGCAGAATCGTACCTCGTCAAATCGGCATTTGTCAACTGGACGTTTTGCGCAAGAATTTTCTTCCGGTAAGACCTCATCGACTCTTTCTCTAAATCAATGGGCTCAATGTTGGAGGAGGGCGCTTCCGACTGGTCTGATCCACTAGTGACAGGAGTCCCATTTCGAACGACACCAGCTTTGACCAATGTAGATAATAAGTTCTGAATACTACCGACATTAGGTACAGAGGACGCAGCTTCCGGGGCGGAAGGCATAGGCAGACGAGCCATGGTAGGCTCAACTTTGACAGGTCCCGATTGCGGAGGATATGTTGGAGCGGGTGAGCCGTAAGATGTTGCGGGGGTTGGGACCTGCACTTGGTTTGAACCTGGGTAATGATGCTGGGGCTGCCATTGAGGTTGAGGCCGAGGAGCGGGCGGAGGTGGGACGGGATTAGGGGCGGGAGCGGCATTCTTCATGAGACTTCGTAGTTGAGCAAGAATTTGGTGGAGCTCGTCCTGAGAAACGCCGACTTCGACGAGCTTTCGCAGCTAAGAGTGGCGTAAGTTCAGAAGTAAAGGAACATCATTATTGAAGGATGACTTACTTGATGTAAAACGTTGATGTGGTTACGAGACGCCGAATCGTATGGGTTGCTCTGCAGGTTTCTTTCCTTCTGTCCAAGAGTGAATTCCAGTTCGCTGAGGACTTGCGCCTTCGTTATTTGGCCAGAACCGGAATAAAAGCCAGACTGAACGAAGGTAAGAATCCGGGCAAGTTGTGAAGAAGACAATCGTACGCTGCTACTTGAGCTTCCGTCGCCCCAGACGCCGCGCTCGATACCAATTTGTGGAGCAACGCCGAAGAGCTCTTTCCCGGTTGGGGATCCAGTTCGCCAAGTAAGCAGCATCTCTTCCATCTTGCTTCGCGTTGCGGCGTCGACCTGATGATATGATTCAAGGAAAAGTGGCATAACCACAGACGCGAAATGGCGAGCGTAAGGATCATAGACATTCTTCGAAATAGCGTCCATGAGATAAAATGCAGGAAGCTTCATCCAAGGCGGTACCTAAGTTCGGTAAACCAGAAAAGGTAATGATGAGTCAGCAGTCCATGGAACGCGACGGCACCGAAAAAGATATGGCAAGCGAGCAGTCGCACACAGGCGGGGGGGATGCACGCCCGCCACTTAGAAGTTCGTGCTCAATGCTAAATGACTACTAAATACATGAACATCCTCCGCATGCAGCATAAGACATCCAGATTCCATTGTACGACTTGATCGCTTATCCAATTAAATAACAGAATACACCAAGCAGAACTCACCCTGCGTATATGAGCCTCCAACGACTGCGTTACAATTTCTGCGAATCGTGAGTATTCTTGAGCTAGCATTGATAAGTTCTGGATGATCGGCCTCGAATTTACTGTCAGCTCTGCGAGACGATTGGTGAAATCCCGGCGAAAAGTAGCCGGGTCAACTTGGTAGACTGGAGGCGCCGCCGCTGGTGGAGGAGGGTACGGATAGTGGTAGCCATGGACGGGTGGCTGGGAGTAATTGTGGGAGTAGGAGGGTTGAGCGTAGTGGCCTTGGGAATAGATGGACATGGTGCCCGACTTATACCGAAAGCGATTGGAGACGATTGTCTTACCCAAGTGCAGAACAGGACCAGAAGGATTGCAGTTTCGGGGCTAGAGAGAATCAAGTTGTCACTGCAAAATCACTCAGTCCCACAATGTCTACTGTGGACAGCGAAGACGACTGAATGCAAAAACGATGGTGACGGTGCAGAAGAAGGCGGAGCTGCCACCGCACTGGCCTAACATCCGCTTTTTGAATCTCCGATTCGCACAGTCACCTGATCGTCTAAGTGAGCAAAGGGGAGGCGTCAGTCTGACTCTGAACGGTGACAGCGGACAATACCTAATGTATGGCAGCAAGCTTTGAGAATTGGAACAATGATTTCTCTAGTAAAATAACGCTCTTTGTGTAAGGCAGTAGATCGGCGAAATCCCGGTATGTGTGACATTGCTGTAGTAGTCACACGCGTGACGATTGTCACATCCCCAATCCATCCCAAAATCATCGAGGAAAGTCACCGCCGCCAACACTCAAGTCGTATATCACCTCAAGGTCAGTCCCTCCTCATTCTGCAACTGTGCCAGACGTCCAGCCTATGATATTGAAAGAAAATACATGCCAAATTTGCTGGATTCCGACGCATTTCATGATGGATTGAATGGCTGGCTTCCGGATGTAGGGTACTGACGGTTTACTTTGCGCACAGATGCGGGACGTCCTCCAAACCGAAGAACTCGTGATCCCCTCCGACGTTACTGTCACCATCAAATCTCGCCTCATCACCGTCACCGGCCCACGGGGAACCTTGACGAAGAACGTCCGCCATGTCAACATGGATATCCGACTTATCAAGGGCAGCAAGGATCAAGTCTCCCTCGCAGTATGGCAAGGTGGCCGCAAGCACGTCGCTTGCCTACGGACGATCAAGTCCCTCATCAACAACATGATCACCGGTGTCACCAAGGTCGATATCTATCTGAATAATATCATACAGGTCGGACACTAAATGATATCTTCATTTATAGGGCTTCCTCTACAAAATGCGTGCCGTATACGCCCATTTCCCTATCAACTGCATTATACAAGACGATGGAAAGACCGTCGAAATCCGTAATTTCTTGGGTGAAAAGGTATGTCCCCTGCCGTTCAATATACCATTGATTCGACCATTAAATCCAATCCCTCAGGCCGTACGACACGTAAGCATGTTGGACGGTGTTGTCATTTCCGAGTCAAAAGCGCAAAAGGATGAGCTCATTCTCGAGGGCAACGATATTGACAACGTCTCTCAATCAGGTGAATAATCCACTCCCCTTTTCATGCAAGTTTTTGACCATTTCTTGCAGCCGCATCCATCCAGGGTATCTGCCGCGTACGAAACAAGGATATCCGTAAATTCTTGGACGGTATTTATGTGTCGGAGAAGGGGACGATTGAGGTCGCTGAGTAAACGATGGTGTATAGTATACGCTTGATTTTTTCGATTATGATAGCAAGCCTATGTCGTATGTCATTGTTCCCGCTCAATATGCATGCTACTTGAAACTGTAAATCGACGGTCCGTCTATATTGCAACAAGCTACCGAATGAAAGGTATCTTCGTCCCCACGCGTCTGCGATAATTTATGTACTCGTCGCCAAAGAATTTGATTAATAATCCCTCTTCGCCTGTGATAGTAGAAGTTTAACAAAGTCACACTTCCGCTAAGATGCTAAGATAACACCTACCTCGAATGCGAGCTTCAAAGAATCTATAAAGCAGGGCAGCATAGAGGGTGAAAGTAATGGGGTTCTGTAGGACAAGTTGGGTTCCCAGGGCCCAGTATACGAACCCTGCATATGAAGGGTGTCGAGACCAACTACACGAAATCTCAGTGAACGTTCTACGTCGATAATAAGGGTCACCTCACGCATAGATACCGTCTGTGACGAGCCTGTGCTGATCGCGCTTGCGATACGCCACAGCATGAGAGAAATTGGTACTGGCATGTATCATCGCAGCTGATCTCACAACTTGTCCCAATGCAACGAAGAACATGCCTAGCGAGGGATATTAGAAAGGTCCAGAGGAGGGAAAGTCCTTCGCACCTATCAACGAAACATATGGGAGTCCCTTCCAAGATGGCTTGAAATAAAGCGTAATAAGGTATTCTGTCAATGCAGTTGCATTCGCTATGTGGTATTCACGGCCATTGTCGAGCAAGAAGGCTAGAATTATCGGTGAGTAGGATATACAGCGATGGAATGTCGAATACGCACAATCGACACTACATTTCTCGAAGTTCCAGCCAGCTGTGACGGCAAATTCGGCCCAATGGAAGAGTGACCAGGCGGCAACAAAGAAACCAAGCTGGTAGTTGGTGAACCACAAGGATGATCCAGAGAATATTGCGCTTATTGCACCGAAGCAGAACAGTGTCCCCAGCAAGAAGGAAATGACAGAGGCGGCCAAAGGCGTATTAGGGATGTTTCCATGAGGGCGAACAGTGGCGGAGCCTGGGACTGTTTCGAGAGGATGGCGCATCATTGTCCTCTGGCGAAGACGTTCTTCGAAGCCGTCACGGTCTCCCCCGTTGCCGTTGGCGGTGGTCATGGCAGTGAGTGAAAGAAGAATAAAGATAGGTTGCACTGCATTTGAAGGGCTCGTATTGTCTCAACGCGAACAATATCAATCGAAGTTTGCTTTACGGTTGTTTGGCAAGTTGCCGGCGACTCCCTCCCAGCAACGTCGTAGAATCATACTAACGTTCGTACAGAGTCACGAACTTCACAATGCCTTTTCATGCCCGGAATGCGTACTATTTGCGAATATCCCAAAAGCATGTTCTCCCTCTGTATGTCAGTCATCGTCTGCTTACATGGTAACCTCATGTTAACAACGAATCAGGTATACCTGGATGAACGTCACTTGGACTGGATGTCCGACGTGGTACTCCAGCATGTTATTGCCGACTTGAGACCCAGGTTCGTGACGCCGTCTTTACAACCCTTGAATGCGAACTGACAATATTATCGAACAGGATTTTAGAGAAATTACGGATGGAATCCGACAACAAGAAGTCAACAGGTGGCAAAGGTGCCGTCGACACGCACCGCGGCGGTATGTTAGTCTATGGACGCTGTATGGTGCCAGTGGCGAATAACTACTATCGACTAGACAATTACCAATTCTGTTATTTCCTTAGAAAGACAGAGCCTCATTCTGTCATCATGAAGGTATGCCAAGTTTGATGTGGAGTGCGTACGACTGACGGAAACTCGTATTTTCAGAATCGCCTTTTCAAAGCTGCTCCTCCTCAACAAAAGGTGACGGGGCCTCCTAGTGTGCCGCAACCAAAGGCTGCTCAGAAGTCACGTCGTAGAAAACGCGCTGAGACGTCTCCCCCACACTCTCAGGACCCGCCTATCGAGAAACAGCGCAGCAAACGCGTTAAACCAACAATACCTCCTGAAGGCCTGACTATGGATTTACCCGATGAAAGCGACCACGACGATCGGGACGCAGGGGATTACCGTCCATCTTCGGACAGCTCGGATGAAGATCTGATCCCGACGAATAGAATGGCAAAGCGCAAGAAGCTCAAGCCCGCCAAACACAAACGAGACGACCCTATGGATGAAGACGAGGCAGACCCGGTTCAAGCTGAACCTGAAGTTACCCTTGCTGTTGAAGGGGATGAAGAGAAGCCGAAGCCAATACTAGACCTCAAATATCGTGGATTCACTATTTTCGGGCTTTGTCTATGTGTAGTGGTTGAGCCTTGGCCCCACTTCCAATATTCCATGGCTGGGTGTGCTCCTTCCATAGCACCCGTCTTCCAGCGGCAGAACGAAACATTAGCTGGACCATCCTCACTACGACAAGGCACGCCTTTGTTTTTGCCCGATGATCCAGAGCAAGATGAGATCACCCCTCAAACCCGAGAACCACGGCCTCACCCACTATTCAGTGAGATGACATCCTTCGACGATGATGAGGATGATAATGGCGGTGGGGGGATGATGGCGTTTAGTCAAGTGCTAACTTCCACTGGCGAATATCGAGGTGGAATCGACGACGACGAGAACATGGCAGACGTATTATTTGGAGATGCGGATGAGCAGAGGGAAATATGAATTATATGGAAGTAACTACTGTATTCTACTATAATTGAGAATCGTGTAGCGCACTGTCAATCACGCACGTCCAATCTCTTTGAGTATCTCCATCTTCCTGAGGTCTGATACCTCTCTGAAACCTGCATTGGTCATTTCAAAAGTACCATAGCCTCCCGAGAGGGCGCGAAGTCTTTGAGAATAGTCCAGTTGCCGGCTTAAAGGTGCAACTCCTTGGACAGTTCTCCTTAACCGAGGGGAGTTGATACTCCCTAAGCTTCCACTAGCTGACGGTGAAAGCGAGGTGGGAGGAATATAGACCCCGTCCGCTTTGTACCCGCCGAATTCTTCGACAGAAACACCATCACCGAGATCCTGGACTTCGCCGCCATGTTCGGTGAGATCTTTGATTACTTTCCCAAGGCTGTTCTCTTCGACGGAGGTCTTGAGAAAGACGTACGGCTCGAGGATAGGACCCATACCCGCATCCCGAATAAGGCCACGTAGAATGCTAGCACTTGCGCCAGCAAGCAGTGACGGTGAAGCACCGGCAGGGAATTCGTATTCTTTGATTTGAATCCGAGCCCCGGTAAGAGAGAGGGATGTGTGAGGGGAATTACTGAGGACCGTAGCTAACCCGGATGCTATGTAGGTACTTGGTTCTTTACTTCCCGAGTCTCCTGGATGAAGGGGAAGTCCAGCGGCGTCCACAACGACGTTGCCATTCCAAAATGAATCGCGCTGTTCGTCTTCTTTGAGAGGGCGTAATGAAAGCGACATGGTAACTGCAACAGGAGCGCTCCCCGATTCAGGCTTCCATGTCTTTGTGACAACACCTTCAGGCGCTTTTGACCCCAATCCCTCCCGGTAGCTAACGCGCCGTTGGCCGAACTCGAATTGCACGTTCCATTCATCTCGCAAACGACGTTCAACAATTTCAAGATGCAGTGCGCCGAGTCCATGCACGAGGATCTGCCCTTCTCGATGCTCGAGATCGACGCGTACGGAGGGGTCCGTTCGTTCTAACTGGAGTAGAGCTTCTTGAACGGGGGCAAGATCCGCGAAGGAATGAGGGATGACGGATGCTGAAATGACTGCCGGAGGTGGGACAATGTCGACTAGTAAAGAAGTACCACTTTTACTCTTTACTTTTGTTGAGGATACCAGAGTGTCTCCGGTGCGAGTGTTCTTAAGGCCTAATATAACGCCAACTGAGCCAAATGGTAGCTCGTCGACTTCTTCCGTCCTGTTGGCATACAGCAGGAGTACCTTCATTACGCGTTCTTTCGTATTGCACGTGGCGTTGTAAATGGTGTCACCACGCTTTAGGGTTCCTATGAAAGGGCAATCAAATAAACGCCATTGGCATTCGGTTATTTGTCACTCACCAGAGTATACTCTGACAAAGGTCATCCAACCTTGCCGCTTGTCCCAGGCGACTTTCCACGCCAATAGTTGCGTCGGAGTATTTCGCACTTGTGCTTCATGTTTAATGTCAAGAGGACACGCCAAAAGCTCGCCCATGTAGTCCATAAGAAGATCGGTCCCTATGTGCTTCATCGCCGACCCGCAGAACACAGGCAAGATCTCATTCTTCAGCGTCGCAGCTCGAAGATAGGGAATGATGTCAGGGGAGTCAAGTGACAAATAGGACGAGTCTTCCTCTGAAGATAATAAGGTGTCCATCAGTTCCTCGGAGTGCATTGACAGGCTCTCCAAGAGTTGTGTGCGAGCGGGGAGAACGGCATTAAGTACAGGATGATCAGGAGGGAATATGTTGGAAGTGGCAAGCCCGTCTGGATCGCGAGGAAGTGGTGAAACGTCGAAGTTGCCTTCTGTGTCCCATTTCCACATCTCCCACCTTACCAGGTCGACGATACCTTCAATACCAGGTTCGGCCTGGGAATATGCACGAGGGTTGAATGAAGCAATGGGGAGAGTGAGGGCCGTAGGACGAGGATGGAGACCATGAGCGAGCAGAGACTGTATGGATGATCTAAAGGATGCACCTGGTCGGTCCAGTTTGTTCAAGAATATCATCCGCGTAGGCACACCATATCTTATAGAAGAGGGTCTCTAAGCTGGATGGCGAGATACCACAGGTGAACGACATACCGATCTAATTGTCTCCATACTCCTTTCGTTTGCGATTCCACTCCTTCGACGGAATCTATCAATACCACGGCACCGTCAACGACTCTACTAGCACATTCCACTTCCATCCCAAAGTCGGCATGCCCAGGCGTGTCGACAAGGTTGAAGTTCCAGCCTTTCCATTTCACAGGAATACTGGCCGACTGGATGGTGATTCCGCGTTCGCGTTCAGCGGGCAAGAAATCCGTCGTAGTACTCCCGGTGTCTACCGTCCCCGGAGAAGCAACATAACCGGACTTCAGAAGTATAGACTCGGTCAAGGTTGTCTTCCCAGAATCTAAGCAATAACTCAGGACAAGACGGGCTACACGTAGAGGATTGACTGACCGATATGTGCTACCAGAGCTAAATTTCGGATTTTAGTTGGGTCTTGTTGGTGACCCAAGCCAGCGGCATTTGCTGCTGCCGCATACCCTCTGCAAACATGCGACGTCGATTTAGGCAATAGAGAGCGACAGTAGTTGGCTCTGCATACCCAACTCGCCAAATGCATGAAAACTCGAAGTCTCGGTCGGAAGCAGTCGAGTCCGTCGATCACGACTCTCCCGAATATGGTAGCTGGTATAAAGCGAATAGGAGGTGGCCACTCGGCCTCGCGCCTCCAGTTCTTTCATCGTTCCATGTTTACCAGTCAGCAATTTGTAGATTCCACCGCCTCCAGTACGTATTATGTCTAGGGAAACGCGATTGCAGATTCAGAAGGTCGACTGAAGCAGGCGACTCCGGGTCAAGCTACTTGCACGCCACCCTTGAACGCATCGATCAACTCTCGAATAATGTGTTCAGCGCGACAGTACGGGGAATCTCTGCTATTGTATCTGCTCCCTTTGAACTGAACTATGTATCAGGGTAGCAAACGCTACCTGGTTGTCGATACGAATATCCTATTGAGCCATTTAGACGCGCTACAAGACTTCGTGGAAGATGTTCAGCATCTGCATCTGAGCCAGGATGTCGCCGTAGTCATTCCTGGCGCCGTGATTGGAGAGCTTGACGGGTATGTTCCTTGCCTTCTCGAATTCTTTGGAAGCTGTTTTAACCTTCGCACAAAGACAGAAGAATCGTGACGGGCTCGCTTGGTTCGCCCGTCGCGCCTCCGCTTGGATCCTCAGCAAAGTACGCGAACGCGACGTGGTTAGAGGCCAGGCAGACGAGGAGACGTGTAAATCGTCGGAAAACTGGAAGAAATCATCGCCAGAGGACTATGAACATGTGCGTGAGCCTAAATCAGACAATCTTATCCTCCACGTCTAAGCTATTGTCAGGAACAAGGTCTGGACTGGGGTCAGCTGAACGACCGCCTTATCCTCGACTGCTGTCAGTACTTTCGCAATATTGCCGGGCGATCCGTCGTACTCTGTAGTGCCGATAACAATCTCTGCCTTCAGTGTGAATCAGCCAGTCAGTTCGTGATTAACTCAGTATGTTGTAGCCACCTGACGCCGATTTGGGTTGGTTTAGGTATTCCAAGTATTACGCCTTCACAATACTTCAGCAGTCGTGAGATTGCAACAACTATATTCAGCGACCGTGTCGATATTCATCAGTTTCGGCCACGCTTTCGCCGTAACAGACCTGCCTACACCAATCCGGCGGCTGATCCACCTCGCCAATCGAAAATCCATCAGGATGAAGATATGGACATGGATATCGATGAGGAAGAATCTGTGGTCGACTACAGCATGCCCAGCCACCCGCTGGACTTGTTGCATATTCAAATCTGCGAGCACTTCTCAACGCTGCTTGTCGAGCTTGTTACACGCGTCGGAGGAGACGAGATTCGGCAGGCACAGACAGGCGGTGCCGCCCAATCACGGTACGCGCCCGCGTGGACAAAGAATCTCAATCCCTTATCGCACTGGACGCCCTCAGAATGCTTGGAATACCTAAATGACAAAAAGCGGATAAAGCCGACATCTCCACCAATCGATGTGTTCCTAACCAAGAAATCCGTCAAGACTTCCACATTGATTGGTGCCCATAGGGCGAACCCTGCAAGACGAGGGCAGGACTGGTCAACACGAGACTGGGAAATTGCGCTCACTGGTTTACAAGCCCTTGGCAGCGCCTGGGGAGAAGGATCTTTCCAGGAGTCGCTTGCCGTGCTAGCGCCTCATCTAAATCAGGTCTTTTCCCAGCGTATGCGGCCAACAGGAATATGAGACCGGCCAAGCATGATGGTCTACAGCATTGTTACACTGATATATCTCCGTTGCGGGCTCCTATAGTCTCCTGTAATTATAATATGTACCTTTGTATGCCTTAGATGGCAGTACACGAGCTGCGGACTCGACTTCCCCATGTCACCTTATCGATTCAAGGAGAACATAACAGCATTTATCCACCTTCACTCCCGTACTCAGAGGGCCAAGTTGCATAACAGGAAATTCGTAACGGAGAGCACGTGATCCGCCGAGAAAAACAGTAGTTGATGCCCCAAATTGATTGTGCCCAGCCTCTTTCTCTGCCGCCCTTCCTTATCATCCACCACCATGGCGCGGAAGAGAGCCCTCTACGCTGCCCTTTCAATTCTGGCCCTTTTCCTCACGGGGACTGTCATTGTTCTCTCCTCAGTCACATACTACCTCGCCATTGACCCCAGCCTCTATCTTTCAGACCTCGAAGTTCCCATATTGGACAGCACCACGCGGTGGAACGCTTCAGACCACGGTCAAGTCGAGCGTATCCCCAGAATTATTCACCAGACGTGGAAGTCAGAGACGCTGCCTGAGAAGTGGAAAGAGGTTTCGCAAGGCTGTCGTGACATGATGCCTGATTAGTATGTTCTCAATGGCCTTTTTGATTTCCCTGGCGCTGATCAATGAAAACCCTTTCTCCTCGTGTAGCGAGTACATGCTCTGGACGGATGAAGGCTCGCGCGACTTTATTGCCGAGCACTACCCATGGTTCCTCGACACCTTCGACGCCTACCCTTATGTCATTCAACGTGCAGACGCCATACGTTATTTCGTGCTCCACAAGTACGGCGGGATATATATAGATCTGGACATTGGCTGCCTTCGACCAATGGACCCTCTCCTCGTCTATCCAGTCATATTGCCGAAAACTATCCCGGTTGGTGTCTCGAACGACCTCATGTTTGCAGAGCAGGGTCATCCATTCATGGAGCAAACTATTCACAACCTCGTCACCTTTGACCACTCGTGGGTGCTCAACTATCCCACCGTCATGTTTTCCACAGGCCCTATGTTCCTGTCAGCGCAGTATGGGATATACACATCGTCACATCCTAGCGGGCAGGTACGCATCCTCCCCAAGTCACTGTATGGGAAGAACGCAAAGGAAGGAGAGGCACCGCACTCCTTCTTTTCACACTACTACGGCAGCAGCTGGCACGCAGACGACGCGGCTTTCATAGCATTCCTTGGGATGTGGGGCAAAGCATTAATGTGGATTGGACTGGTGATCTTAGTGATTGGCCTCATCAAACTTGCATTACCTGGCAGCAAGCAGCGCAAGTACAGCCTTCGACGGATTGGTGGTTACGATGTCCTTCTGCCTCGTTGGACGCAACGATCCGGGCGATGGTATCTCGACCTAGGCTTATTCTCGTTGCCGGCGTCTGCTACATCGACGCAGCAGAACTCGCCGAACTTATCTCTACCGCAGTCCCCCGTGGGTGGTCCTATCCTTCATTTGCCCTTCGACGTTCCTTCCCCATCACCGTCTGATATCTCCTCCGCCGAGAGCTCGCCGAATTCCATATCTGATGCTGTGCGTCGACTGCGGAATCGTATTTCTCATATGACCGGTGTACGTGAAGAACCCCCTCGCACGCCTATACGTCCTCGTAGACCGCGAAGCCGAGGCTTCTTGTTCTTCGTGCCAGCTATCTTCAGAGAATCATCGGACGTCGAGCTTATGCACACCGTCGGTTCCCAAGATCCTGAGGCTGCAGCCCCTCTGCTCAACCCTTCAGTGTCTCGCTCGGTGTCACGCACGGCATCGCCATCTCGATGGCCCCCAGAGAAGCAACGATATGCTGCGGACTTTGAAAGAGCTGGACTCGATGTAGAGGAAAGTTTGCCGCAATATAGCCAACACACGCCGGATACCTCCACCCTCGCAGACCATCACGATACCCATCTACGGCCCACATCGCGGAGTGCGTCACGGAACGCGTCTCGAGTTCGTGACTCGTAGATCCCCCATGACAAATGAACATTTGGGCTCATGCCCGATGCTATTTGACTTATTCATGGTGATATCTATTATTCAGGAACAATGCTTCATCTTCGTTCAGTCAAAGACACTGTTTCGATACCCCTTTACACGTACATCTGACTCCGAAAGAAAGGCCTGCACGTACAATGGGCTCAACATATTTATATAGTGACTCTCCATAAACAGCCTAATATAACGCTTTAAATAGTAAAAGTTTGCGGAATAAATCTACGTTCGACCTCCTTGGCTTTGTTTCAAGGCTTCCTTGGTTTTTTTACCGCGATTCGCTTCATACCAGCGGACAGTGCAAACATGGCTACTGCGGATACTGTGTACGTGTATGCTGGACCGAAAGTCCAGTACGCTGCGCAAGCTGCGGAAGGCCAAATATCAGCGGTTATACTCCCGTAATGAAGGCACCATACCTATGATTGGCCCCATGGCGCGTCCAAGCTGGCCGGATGAACGGAACTGCCCCAAGGCCTTCCCTTTAGCTAGACTCGGATGTTCTTCCACGGGTTTGCCTGTTACAGAATCGAAGCCACCTTCGTCACATTGCAATGACGCAAACGCAGTCAAGGAGTTTACTACTGTCGCACTGGTAAACGCCATGCAGACTGCTGCCCCTTGGAGGAAACGTGTGGCTAGCACGAGGTTGCTGTTTGCGTATATGGGGACCAGGGCGAGTAGGGCGAGGCCGAGAGTGCAGGAGGAAACACCTCGGCGTGCCATCACGCCCTCGCCAATCTTGGCCGTTGCGCGGCGTACATAGCCTCCTTGGAGAAAGGCGCTCATGATACCAATAGACCCAATGAGGGCACCATTCTGCTTGTTATTCCAGTCGAACACTATTATCCCAAAAGCATAAGTCAGAGTGTGTGGTTGAATGGAATGCTGCTCACGATCGAACGTTAGGAAAGTTAGCGTGAACTCTACGCCTGAGAATATGCTCAAGAACAAGAAATGGAAGTGGCGAAGTGTTTTCAGGAGACGGAGCCGCTCGGACACAGTAGCCTTTTTCACTGGAGGTTTAGCGAAACCATTCGTCGCACTAGCCTTGCCGTTCGCCGAGCCGTTAGTCACTTCATCTGCTTTGGGGGCTTTACCGCGAGTCTCAGGGAGTGCATAGGCCAGGAAAGCGGTTTCAGCGACTAGTAAAACCAGGGTCAAGAGCGCGGGTGCGGCGTATATGTTGTATTCCATTCCCCATGTGTTCATAGATGAAGGAATGGGTCGCGATGCAAAGTACGCTCCAATGGGAGGGCCAATGCAAAAGCATATGGCAAAGGCGATGCCAACATGAGCAAGAGCCTTGGAACGGTTAGCCGGAGTCGTTACGTCCGATAGAATGGCACTATACCAAGTCAGAAGGTTATGGCATGGACAGGCGAGCAACTTACATGGCTAGCTGAACATTCCCTTCGCTTAAACCCCCAATAACCCTTGATAGCATGTAAGATGCAAAAGACGTTGATTGGATCCATCTGTAAGATATCGTCAGCTCCCAGTACGCACGGCAGTGAAAGAGACTAGACAGACACTAGTGCCGATAGTATGTTCCCAATCATCGTTAAAAGCAGTATTCGTTTACGCCCATACTTGTCGGAGAGCGATCCAATCTTTGGCGATACAAAGAACTGGAGTGTTCTAGAGGTATGGAATGAGCAGGCATACACTAACCGGTTTTGTGGACGGACTCACGAAAAGACGGAACCCATCAGACCGCCTGACCAGACCATTAGTGAAAGTACAGCTACATGGCTAGCGACGAGCTCACCCAGCAGAACCACGTCCCATTTCTGTGAGTGAACACCAGAGCTGTAGAACAGGCTCCGTATCGACGAGACGGTTCGCAATGTCCGTGACAAAAGTCCGTTAGGCTCCGAGCTTTCTCGCTATTCCCGCTCATCAGTTAAGCCAACCGGGATAATCGCGCGTACGGGACGCACTAGTGTGTACCATTCAATTAGTCGCGGAAATAGTGGCAATGGGATGGTGAAAGCAAAGAGATCGAGAATGAGCGACAGAAACACGATTGTTTCCACCCTGGCCATCGTTGCGGCGGGTTAGGAGTGCACGCTCGCTTCGCGGTCAAGAACTATGTACTCTGGATCAAGGATAAAGCGGGGGAGAGGATTTCTGTAAACGAACGACGTGTCCTGTACGTGGAGAGGAGGTATTGATGCCCTCGAAACATGTCTAGACTTTATAATTACCCGTTGCTTTCGTGGCGAGATATAACCGATGAACGGGTGTGAGATCAGCAACCGGCGCAACGTCTCAATTACAACTCTAAAATCACCCAGGCAGAAGCCGATGTGAGTACAGTACAGTACATTCTCCAAGGCGCGTGCGTGTCAAGTTTTAAACACATCCCGTCGCGTTCTCACCACGCTCGGAACCGTTCGTCCACCCGGGTTCCCGGAGGTTTTCATTCACAGGATCGTTTAACCGCAACCAATCCCATTTCCTTTATTCCACACCAGCATCCTCGTTCAACTCTTCTTCCACTACTTGGGTTCCTTTGTACTTTTGGTCCTCGGAGACTTGCGTAAGACTGATCTGCGTATGCGAGCTGGTGTCGGTCTTGGTGACTTCACGCAGCGCCATGGTCGCGTATGCTGCTGTCCCCAAGGTCAATTCGATTTGGAGAGCTAGGAATTTACCGTCGGGGGTAACGACCGGGGGATCAAAGCCTAGGAGTTTGTCTTCGTCGGCTTGCGCTAGCGGCACGTCAGGATCAGTGTATCGCAGCGTGGTCCATGTCAACTCCTTGGGAAGATGGAGTATTTTGCGATAGGAGCCAAAGAGCGTATATTCCCTGCGAGGACAATCAGAAAGACTGCCGAATGCCAGGACAGTGCGCCCACTTTTGTTTCCGGACAAAGTTGTCAGGATCAAGACCGTCTAACCGCAAGTATTGGCGATACTTTTCCCCAAGTTCCCCTCCGGGGTAAGCAACGTCGGTGCCTGGTAGAGGCATGATAACATCGAAGATTGAATATTTATCAAGGTCATCTTCAGCCAGGATTTTGATTTTTGGCGGGACGAACGGTTTCTTGCCCTTCTTGCCTGAATAAGATGTCTCTGGAAAATATCAATGGAGAAATGCAGGAAGGCGACATCAGTACACACCCGCTTCTGCCGTATCATTTCGCCCCTCGTCGTCTACCTCCATATTGTCTGCGTCTGGCGTCTCCTGAGTAGCCTCCATGATGAGGTCACCAACAACTGGCTTATCAGGGCCGTAGGTGCGAATTCTTTCAGACACGATGGCATTCCACACATACGACTGGTATGCATGGACGTACATCAGGCGGAGATTCCTAGGTATCTACAATGAATCGGTCAGCTTTTTACAAGGGCAACGCCCACCAAGAACATACGGTACTGAGGGCTCCCATAGCATTGCGAGTGTCCCCTTTTTGCTTCTTGTAGCTCTCGAGAATACACCTTTCAGCAACTACGCGTCGTGGCATCATTTCGAGAGCTTTATCCAAATCTCCGTCAACCAGCCAGGCATCTCTGGCTGCAGCAACGTCAGGATGTTCGCCTGGCCGTTTGCGTAAGATCAAAGAGATTGCCTTGTGCCACTCTGCCTTCAGAATAGCTAGTCCAATGGCATGTGTTGGGACAGACGCGGTTCCGAAACGCTGCATGCCTAGATACAAGGTCAAAATAGAAGATAATTATATCTAAAGAAACTCACCATAGTAGTTGATGAAGCCTTTATTCTTGATTGTATTCAACGCCTTGTCAATGGTTTCCGACGAGTCGACTTGGACATTCCTGGATTCGTTGGTGAGTGGCTCGACTGTACATAAAGTTGAAGTACGGCTGACCTCAATGTTATCACAAAAGCATTGCCCTTCAGCATACCTAGTTCTAGACTGGCTTTGCGATAGTTGAAATCCGTAATTCGTACCCCTCGATCTCCTCTTTTCTTCAAAGCCTCCTCCACGGGTTTCCGGCCACTGATTCCATTAGCCAACTTGAACACATCTTCGACTGTCTTGTTATTCCTTTTCAAAGAAACGCGCTGGACGGTGACACCTCGCTTATCCTTGGTGCCGGCGACAGCTAGGTCTCTGATGTTGACATGGAGGGTACGTGCTAAGTAACCTAGAGCGTCCTGTGTGTCCCGGTTCGTCTTCTGCATGCTAAAGTGGATGTATGGTGGATATGTGTTTCGACCTATGTGCGATTAGCGGTCTCTCGCTGGTAAGGTCGCGATAACCTTACCTCCGCCGCGTCCACTACCATTACTGCCACCACCACCTGCCCCCCGTCCTCGTCCACCTCGAGCCCATTTGATGACTATACTCGCTCCATCATCAGTCGCAGGACCAGACTCCGTCTCCAGTTTCCCTTGGAATAATTGGCGGATCTTTTGGTGAAATTCAGTCCGTGTACTTTTTGATTCAATGGGCTGAGGAAATCACAAAAATGGTTAGATTCATTTATTACGATGCAAGTAGTGCCACATGAAAAGGTACAAACATCCGACGTAACCTGCCTAGTATCCGCCTGGCTATTGCGACCACCACGTCCCCCACCACGTCCGCCTCTGCCTCCGCGACCGCCACGAGTTTTGCCTCGCTTGTCCTTGGCTTCTTGCTCCACTTCACCAAGCTGTGGGGCGGCTTCAAGAGCGCTGGAGGACGCGTCTTCGGTCTTGGATTGCCGACCTCCCCATCCACTATCGCTAACTTTGGGGGGCGTCGGGCCTTCTAGAAACATGGTCTTGAGCTTCGATATGGCATCTTCAGAAAGGAAGGGGGCTAGTGCAGTGTTGTTGCTTTCAGGCCAGGGCTCAGCGATAGTAGGAGCGTCACTCGCTGCGACCTGTGTATTTGAAGATTCTGCAGCCTCTTCTGGAGCCGGGGCATCGCTCGCTACAACATCTGCACCCGAGGATTCCGCACCCCCGGCTGGAACTGGAGCATCAGTGGTGTCCATTGCATCAGCAACATTCGCAGCCTCCGGAGCGACATTTGATTCTTTGGGAGTTTTGGACGACGAGTCTGGCATTGACAGAGACTTGAGGTGTATTACCTTGGAATCTTGGTCTACTTCAAACACCAAGAAGTCCGTAAACCTGTTGAGTAGTCACTCGGTAACGACCTCGGAGGTAACAGAATCAAGGCTCACCTCTGTTTTATGATCCCCTCAATCTGGGAGACTCCGCGACCGACGTATTCTGAAATGCCTACATCAGTCTCTCTGAACTTGTATCCAGAGCCGTCTTCAGCTTTCTCAGGCCGAGGTACGCCTAGGAGAACGTGGCTTGGGGGTAAAATGTCGTCGGCCTCCCCATCTTTGGGCGCGGGAATATCTGTCTCGACTTCGGGATCGGATTCCTTGGAAGGGGACGTTGATTCTTCAGCATCCTCTAATCTGGCACGTTTTGAGGCGCGCTCAAGACTCTCCGCTTCGGTTTCGTGTTTGAGAGACATGATCGAAGTGATTTTGCGAGATGGCAAGATCACGCGCTTAGATGATAGATTTCGCAGCCCCTTTCTTTCACTAAGACGCCAGAGCCATGTCGAAGGTTCATCCACTTCCCGAAGGCACCTACTCTCAACCATCATGAGCTCAAAGGGCGTCCAAGCATTGTCATATGCCCAAAGGGCTGATAATTACACCAATCCCGCTGCGAAGGAGTTGCTTCTCACCATGGAACGCAAGAAGTCCAATCTTTCCGTCAGCGTGGATGTGACGAAATCAAGAGATTTCCTAGCAATCATTGACGCCGTAGGGCCATATGTCTGTTTAATCAAGGTAAACCGGTCCCATTTTATTGTACAATACTCGGGATCTGATGCACAGATCCGCGAAAGACTCATGTTGATATACTTGAAGATTTTGACTTTACGTTGATTGAAAGCTTGCAAGCTTTGAGCAAAAAACACGACTTCATGATCTTCGAGGACAGAAAGTTCGCAGACATAGGTTCCACCCTTCCGTAGTTCAACTTGAATCGCCGTTCACGCCGCTTGTAGGAAACACAGTTGCGTTGCAATATTCAAGTGGCGTGCATCGCATCGCGAGTTGGTCGCAGATCACGAATGCCCACTCAGTCCCTGGTCCATCCATCGTCGCAGGGCTTTCTTCAGTAGGCCTACCCCTCGGACGGGGTCTCCTCCTCTTGGCAGAAATGAGCACCGCGGGGAGCCTTGCTGTGGGCCAATACACAGAAGAGACTTATCAGATGGCTCGCGATCACCAGGACTTCGTAATTGGGTTCATTGGACAGAGGCGCCCCACCGGCGAGGGAGGTGAGGATTTCCTAGTCCTGACACCCGGAGTAGGATTGGATGTGAAGGGAGATGGTATGGGGCAGCAGTATAGAACGCCTCGCGAAGTCATCTTGGAGTCAGGCTGCGATGTGATTATTGTAGGACGAGGGGTATATGGGAAAGATTACAGCTTGACTGAAGCCATCGCGCAGCAGGCGGAGAGGTACCGTGACGCGGGGTGGAGCGCATACTTAGAAAGGTGTAAATCGTTAATTGGTTCATTAAACTAGACAAGCGTATATCTGCACAGACAGTCTATCGGCCACTTCAGGCTTTTGTCGTAGAAGAAAGAAAAAGAACGCACAAAGATTGGTTTCCGCGTAACCCGTCCCTTTGATATAGTTCATATTCTACACATGGCACAACTTAATCGTCGATATCGAAGACATCTTCATGATCCTGTTTCGTTCGTGAAGTGGACGAAACCTTGTAAAGCTGATCTATCTGATTCGTTGGCGCTTTTTGTATCACACCTGAGTCTCGAACGTCAGTACAATGTCTTCGGAGCAAGGGGACACATACCAGCGCGTGAAAGTCTCCATTCTAGTTGCGCTGTATCGAAGCTATCATTGTTCCCGAGCTCTTCAAAGCCGACCAACCTGATGACAGATAGATCTCAGTAGGTTGCCCTTCGAGTTTCTAACGGACGACGAACCTATCTTTGGTGACACCATCCATGAAGCATATTACGCACGGCAGGACCTTGATAGCCAGCTTCTCCACAAGCCAAGGAACGTTCTCAACGAATACGCGCATAAATCGCGTCCCATAGTACTTCGGGGCGAGTTTCTGTCCAATGTCGGAGATGAACTTGGAAGATGAAAGATGATGACATACTGCAAGGTGCTTGTCCATAATTTCGCAACGCTTGAAATTGCTATGATAGAAGTGGATTACGCATCGTTGCTCCTTCCTGAAGGCCGGGAAGGTTGGTCAGTCATTCCACGACATTGAGGTATGAAGCACAAACTCACGCACTCGCTCGAATGACTTCCTTCTCGTCTGTGATCTCCGTATACTCGCCGTGTCGACTCTGTTGCATCTCCTTTTTCCTCTCCAACCTATACAGGATCAGATTGCTCAGAGATGTCGTGAACGAGGCATTGAATAGATCGCGCACTCCAGCTTCAATAGAGCCAAGCCCTGCTCCCGTATCGCTGGATTGGAGTCGTTCTCGATTTCAGCCTCGAGTTCGTCGAAGATGGCATCGTCGTCGTCTTCCTCCTCCTCGTGGCGTTTGCTAGTGGAGCGAGTGTTTGGGGCGACTAGCCTTGCTGCTAAGGACAAAGCTTTGGGGTTTCTGGCGGAATCATGATATCAGCATCGGCTCAGTAACTATACGTCGCGCTCACTGTTCCATGGCGATCCGGTCGAAGTGGTAATGACTGAATGAGTCGTGGGAGTTCACAAATGTGGCTTAGTCGGTTATTTTGTATACTTGGTACATCCAAACGTTAACAATATTGTTTTCATGGAGTTTCTACGCGTTTTGTTAAAGGCACTGTATGATCCAGCAGCCTGTACCAACATAGAATTACCCGCCACGATGGACACGAAATACCGCACCCCTATCTCTTCAAGCTCATTATCTGCATATCCCGAAAAGGCAAATGACATGATCTTCACCCACCTACGATGGAGTTAGATATCTCCCTCTCAACGCACTGTCATCATGAAATTAGTTAGCAAACACGTCGACAAACATGGGGAGGTGAGTCTGCAACCTGTTTTTGGCTTGACCTTGCTTCAGTATTCTATCAGGGACACGTTACCCTTCGCCCAGAGGATGATGAAGATATGTGGCATTTATATAATCTCATCCAACAAGGAGACTCCGTAAGAGCTCCAGCGATAAGGTGGCATCATTTTTGTGCAGTTAACCGGCTGTTTGCTGATTACGCACTCAGACGTGTACAGACGGTGTCTGCTACTGGATCCACAGACTCACATCGGGTTCGACTTAACCTAGCGCTACAAGTCGACAAAGTAGAGTTCTCTTCCTCTGCTGCACCCTCGGGGCCTGCTGCGGAAGCCTCCAAAGATGCCAGCTCTTCTAACGCGCAAGGGACAGCATCTCTCGCAATATCTGGCCGCGTTACCAACGAAAACCCCCACGTTAAACTTGGGGCGCACCATACATTAGACATCGAAGTGAATCGCGACGTTCGAATCGAGAAGGCGGATGGCTGGGATAGCATAGCCCTAGCCCGTGTTCAAGAAGCAACCATTCCGGGACGCGGAGCGGAGGTCGGAGCGGTAGTATGTGGCGAGGGCACGGCGGCATTCTGTCTCTTGTCGCAACACATGACTATCGTGGCCAACCGAATATCTATGTCGATACCTCGGAAAGCGGCGTATTCGGGAACATCACAACACGAGAAAGGGTTGACCAAGTTCTATGCTGCTATATACGAGTCCTTCGTGCGACACATACCATACGCGGATGTCAGCCTTCGGGCAATCGTCTTCGCCAGCCCTGGGTGGGTTAGAGATGCTGTTTACGATTACATGCTGAGTGAAGCGGCAAAGCGAGGGGACAAGCCATTACAGAGGGCGCTGAAAGATAAGACCTTCAAGGTCCATGTCACCAGTCCCCATGTCCACAGTCTGGTCGAAGTTCTGAAGAGTCCTGAGGTCAGTCACTATCATTCTCCGACACGTGTTCTGACATTGTTGTAACAGATCGCAAATCAACTGAAGGATGCTAAGTTTGCTCGGGAGGGCATAATGCTCGATAAATTCTTTAAAATGCTTGGAACAGACGAAATGCGCGCGTGGTATGGTCCAGACCATGTTAGGCTTGCTGTTGACAGAGGGGCTGTTGGCACTCTACTCATATCGGACGACCTCTTTCGGTGGGGCTCAATTCGAATCTTTTCATCAATGACCTCTAACCTTTCATATAGGGCAAGTGACCCAACTACGCGCAAAAAATACGTTGCACTAGTAGAGGCGATCCAGCAAAAGGGTGGTGAAGTTCTAATATTCTCGAGTATGCATGAATCAGGGCAGCGTGAGTTTCTGATTGAGAGGTTCCTATCGCTATTTTACTGACAAGAAACAGAATTAAACCAATTAACCGGGATCGCCGCCATCCTGACATTTCCCCTAGACGTTGAGGTGGTGGAAGCGGAAGAGAGGGAAGCGGAAGAGCAAAGGATGAAAGAGGAAAATCCCGAACTCCAGGCTGGATAATGAATACTGTAACTGTAAGTCGTCGCGGTCGTATTCCGCGTGACGTCACCTCACGTGCTCGATCTTCGATTCTACCCCCAGATCGTCGCGTTGTACTGTAGCTTCGCGAAAAGAGTCTCATTTTGTTCCGCGACCACCACCTCGTGCATGAGATTTACCGTTTCTTCCAAGTATTTTATGGCCAACGCTTCATCCGCTCTGAAACGTTCTCATTCACCAGATTCTTCCATGTCAAACACCAAGAAAGTGCGACAGCCAGTGCCTTTTAGGCCGAATAAGATATCGACTCCAGAGGCAGCTGCAGCGGTGGATCGAGACCCGCCTTTGCAGATACTCCTGAAGGCCGTACAGAAGAATGGAATTCCTGAAGCCACAGAAAGCAAATCGGTTGTGTATTGGATGAGGATGGGCGATCTTAGGGGTAAGTTGCTGTCCACTAAATGGTTAACGTTAATGGCCAAACTGATTCAGCAACATAGTTGCGGATAACAGAGCCTTATCTCTGGCATCACTTCGCGCACATAAATTGGGCGTGCCCCTTCTGGTCCTGTTCATCCTCAGTCCTCAAGATTACATCGCTCATGACCGAAGTAAGAGGCGGATTGACTTCACGCTCCGTAATCTGGAGAAAATGCAGGTATGTCGTGTCAGACATCTCAATTGGTTGATTGCTAGACATGTTTTTGGCATTAGCGATCTTTAGCCGAACTCCACATCCCTCTCGACGTCTGGACGCATCCACTTCGACGTACATTGTCGTCGGCGGTCATATCCTACTTGAAGAGAATGGGAGCCACATTCTTGTTTGCCAACATTGAGTATGAAGTCGACGAGCTACGAAGGGACATATCCATTTGCAATCTTTCGAGAGCCGATGGCATACAAGCCACGTTTGTCCACGACAAGTGCGTAATTGAGCCTGGAGTGCTTGCTACCAAACAAGGCAAAGTTTATACAGTACGCCTGCCCGCCGCCCTTTACACAAACCCTCACTAGAATTATCTCAGGTCTATAGTCCCTTTCGACGAAGTTGGGAGCAAGAGTTGAATGCAAATCCTCACTATTGGAAGAAAGCGGCGGAGCTCCAACCAAATGCAAAATCGATTTATGAATCAGAGCTATACGGTCCACTCTTTAACACTCCGGTCCCATCCAGCTTGGAGGGCTTCGAGCTCTCCGAGAAAGAGAAAGAAAACATGGCCAATTTCTTCCCTGCTGGAGAAGACGCGGCAGTCCAGGTGAGTATTCTACCATGGTCACTGGTGATTGGTCGCTTACTCGAGGATTGCATTCTAGGTCTTACAACGTTTCCTGACGACCAAGGCCCGTGCATCGCAATTAGGGGCAGTGAGTCCTTTGGCTCCCGACGCGAAAGAAAACTCAAAGGAAAGTCGTGTAACAAATTACGCAACCGATCGCAGTCGTGTGGATAAAGATACATCGAGCCGCCTGAGCCCATACCTCGCTGCAGGGGTGATATCTGTTCGGGAGTGCATTCGTGCCACCATGGAATTGAAGAAAGGCTTTAACAAGGCCAAGGTAGAAGTTAGTAAAGACTCGGGTGTAGGGGTGTGGGTACAGGAAATCGCCTGGCGAGACTTCTATGTTCATGTCCTTGCGGCCTGTCCAAGGGTTAGCATGGGTCGACCTTTCTTGGAGAAGTATGCCGATGTTGTATGGGAGGATTATCAAGAGGAACCAGAGAGAAGGGAGAAGGAAGCCATAAAGGCGCAAGAAGGGCAGGCGGGGAATCCAGGGGAATCTGTGCGGCGATGGAAGGAGGGGATGACGGGATACCCCATCGTCGACGCTGGCATGCGATGCATTAACGAGATGGGTTGGGTCCACAATCGCCTGAGGATGATCGTGGCAATGTTCTTGACCAAGGACTTAATGATTGATTGGAGAGTCGGTGAAAGAGTAAGGATCTATCTATCTTCATTGGTTCCGAGACTGAGCCGTTTGCAGTACTTCATGGAGAACTTGATAGACGGAGATCTGGCCGCCAACAATGGAGGCTGGCAGTGGTCGGCTAGTACTGGGACGGACGCTGCCCCCTACTTCAGGATATTCAATCCGTACTCACAGAGCGAGAAAGTAGGCTTGCATTCCTTGAATGTTTTCCAATACAAGAAGGCTAGAAACTGACTTTTACGCAGGTCGATCCGGCTGGGGACTTCATTCGTCGCTTCGTCCCCGAGCTTGCTTCGCTCAAAGGCAAAGGTGAAACCGCCTTCAGTAAATTGTCGGTTCGTGGTTTGCTAACAGCCTTGGTTGGAAGATATCCACAAACCACCTCCACATATCGCCGATAAGCTAGGCTACCCACGGCCTATTATTCAGCATGAAGAGGCTAGGACCAGGGCGCTGAGGCGGTTCAAGAATCCTGGAGAATCGTAGGCCCCGACGTTCCATAGCAATTAAAATTGACAGAGTAGTTCATACGTAGTTACATATACATGCGACACCCGCGCGGGCATCCCCCTCCTATGTTCAATGAGCTTAAACATTCCATCCCATAAGATTTTCATGCATCATGTTGCTAACTAGTATCCAGTGGGGCAGTGATTCGTTTCTGTCACGGCGTTGGTGGACGTTGGGAGGTGCCAGGTAGTACATTGAATCTCATTGACTGATAGAACTCAATGGCAACGCTTCTTTGGCCAATCTGTTCTTAATTCAAGGATCTGAGGTGACGGTACCAAGGGTTTCATGAGGTTTCGTAATTACCTCGCCGGTTTTGCTGTCACTAGCTACGCATCTCACTCCGTGCTCTGCGCTCCTTCTTCCGTCTGATCCACATATGAATGTTTTATATAGGACTCGCGTCGCGCCCAGTAGACAGAAACTTTGGGGTCCACAGTAAACTTCGCGCGTTACGTCCAGACGCGCCACCGTCGTATAATAACGAAATTCTTCCAAGCAGCATCAAATCGACACGATTGCCCTTCATTCGGAACCGCTCATACAGGTCAGGCTCTATACGAGCCTATACGCCGTTGTCGAGTCCATCACGATTCAAAGCCACAGCTTCCTTCTGTGTCTTGCGCCGCATCCATCAGTGTTTTCGATGATTGACAGTCTAGACTTTTCGAAGCCTTCAAGCTTTGGGTTCCATTGTAAGCATCAACGGTTAATGCCCGCCCCCGACACATGGGACCCCTTGCCGCCCGCAGCGCTACCGAATTATCGCTACCCCGTTGCCTACACGCCCTGACGTGTTTCTGAGGAACCCGTAGAGCACAATTCAAAGTCGATCGACCTCTGTTTGACATTGGCTCTTGCTGATAATTTCTGTAAGCTGTAGAGTCCCGTATTCTGGAACAGACTTGACCACTCACAATTTTGGTCGTTCTCCCTATCAACGTATATCCCTTTAGCTAGACCTATTCATGCTTGCCGTTCTACCACCTAATCACATCAGTGACTTCACCCTCTATTGCGACGCCACCGTTAGCCGCCTCATCTCCACGGTCCAAGATCCGAGTATTTTATTCAACTCTCTATACGCGTATCAACCTGCACGGGGAAGAGCCGCAGCAAGTGCAGCTTGCCACTCAGATGTTCCATTTCGATAAATATGTATACATTGATGGCCTGTTTCGTGATTACGTTCATAACACCAACTAGCAGCGGTCTCAGCTCGATTTCAATTCACGTAGTATGACAAACTCACTAAAGCCAAATGTCCCCCAACGACGGGTCTAGCGCGGAAGCCTTCGGGGTTCCCGTTAGTAGTTTCATACCAATCGCCAATCGCGCTTTTGTTAGACAGCCTATTATGTAGGAGTACATACGATAGACTTACCTGCTCAACCCATCCGACGCCCACTTGCGAACAGAGCTAATGAAGAGATCGCGGGCAGCTTGGTCCGTCATGATACCGGCCGTCCAAATCTCCCAATCTATTAAGTAGGTTGATGTCAATAGTGGCCAGGGAGCATGGTGGAGATAACGATATACCTGATTTAGTGTAGGTATGACTATTTGAGCACATCATAAGCTCAAGTGTAGAAGTTCGGATAGGTGTAAGCTTACCGAGTGTCTAGAGGAACACCAAAGGGTTCTGTGGACGAAGACTCAGAGACGTACTGAGACCGATAGTGAGAATACATACGAGCCACGGTCTTGTACCATGCGGTCTCTGTGAATTAATGCTTAGAGAGAGCGACGAACAAGGGTGGGTGGGTCATACGCATTTGAAATATTGAAGTCGGGAAGAGGTTCAATTTTAGTAGCTTGTCTGCGAATAGGTTGTACGACAATCCCCAACTCGCCGAATCACCATACTAAGGTCACGATCAGTTAAATTCGGTGCAAATCGCAGGGTAGACACCCACTGCAAGTGTCAAGTGCCTCCTATCGGAAGAGATTGCAAGATTCTGCCATTGCTGTACGAATGAGGTCGCAATCGCCTTGAGACCAAACTTTAGTCGATTCGGCTCCTTGAACTGTAAAGATTGAGAATCTTACGCTGTAGTTTGAAGCTTTGGTAGTATCACCCAGGAGCCTCGAAATCTCGGCCATCGCCCCAATACCCACGATACCTAATCGAAATACCTTAGTTCGCAACGTCGGCTCTATTCAAAAGGGGGGGAGGGGTACCTTTGATGGCAAGGTTCGTTTGGTTAGCCAAGGGACCAGCGAAATCGTCTGTGCTAATTTGATTTGCTGGAATCAACGAGTCCGAGATGAGGAACTGGGTCCATTGGTCAAGGAGCGAAGTCTGTTCCGAGAGTCAGTAATCTGAAGCAGCGCGTTGAGATAAAGCACAGCGAACATATGTGGAGATAAGCGACGTGTCGCCAGTCTTCTGTGTGTAGCTCAATGTCATGATCAACATGTTTCCGCTTTCTATTGTGGCTGGTTAAACGATGCCTAGTGATCCATATTGGGAGGTTGACCTCACCTTCAACCGGCATGGCTTCATCGCGGCCGTCATTGTGTCCAATCGCCATAGGATAGTGCGCACCTAAAGTGATGTTGTTTGGTCTACTTGAGTATATCAGTAGTGGGAGAAGCATACCAAGATCATGCACACTCCATCTGTTGGGATATTGACCGCTAGCTTGATATTCAAATAGCCCAGCGAGCAAGAATTTCCCTAGCACCGGGTTGGTATAGAGGAGGATGGGCCACGCTGGGAATATAACATCAACAGTATTTGTGTTCTACAGGTATGATGATGAATGACAGTCAGCGTTCCAAGATCAAAGTAGACAGCCATGATATGTTCACGCACCCCATCACTAGATATTTCCTTCATAAATACTAAGGCATCATCGGTATTGAAGGAGCCGTCGGCCCGTTTGGAAATGGTGATCTCAGTGGCACCGAAGGCCTGTCGGATAGATAATGCCACTATTGAAGCATAATCAGAGGATATCTTGCTTGCGTCGCTGTTGAATTGTGCATCAAATGCGTTCGCCCTAGTCAGTGCATCGTTGAAATCGCCGAGGAACGACAAGAGCTACGATTACCGCAACCTCAATCAACACACTCAACACGCGGGCAACCGAAAGACCACCTACAGCATCTCTAGCAGTTGCAAACTGGCTGAAGAAAAAGAGACTGCGATCCTGACGACCGTTGTTGGCGATGATATATTGAACAGCAGGGTCCCGAGCATGGCCGAGCGCGATTACACGGGACTGGGCGGTGGAGCCAACTGACCCGAGATCATGGGCGAATGCAAATACAGGCCAGTTATCTTGGATGGCGCGGAAGTTCGTGTCTTGAGTGTTTGGCAGGCGTCCGTTGTTGAGGAATTGGGCGCGGACGGTGACGTCGGCGCCGGTTTGAAACGTGGTGCCAGCAACCTAGAAAAGTCATTGGTTATTCGAGTGAAATCAGCGTAACGTGGATGACACATACATTGGAGGTTGCGTAGTACGCGGAGCCCTCTGTGAGACAAGAAGCCAATCGGTTATGAAATCCTCTTCGTGAAACGAAACGGACGTACGTTGGATATGGTCGTTTCGTTCAGAATATACAACCTGATTTGCCAACTGCACTTGATGCACGAAAGTGTTGCCCGTCGCAGTGGACCAAGTTGCACCAAGTGAATTGTCGCCCGAAACCCATTCAGCGCTGATGTCACTATACAGCTGCACGGTATGTGTTCTTCCGTCAGTTGATACAGCTGACAATGACATATACGAGAACGGCATGGATTGCTTGGAAAGGTCATGAGGCTAGAGAATTAGAGACTCGCGTTAAGCACAACACGGGGGCGGAGAAGTCCAAGGATGAAGCACCTCGACCGGGCTGAGGAAGGTGACAGTTAGATCGATGGCTCCGGCGGACAATACGAATTTGCTCTGGGTCGAAGTAAACTACAACCATGTCATCAGAAACTGAGAAACTTGAATCTAAGACAATGCTTACCGACGCGCTCTTCTGCGTGGCTTTGTTGAATGTTGTTCCAGGAACCGACGGAACTCCAAGGAAGCTAAACGACACGCCATCGACCTTGATGAATCCAGCCCATCCGAGGATCTACATCATACATCATACGCCAAAAGACAAAAGGTCCGAACGCTCTCCGGTCAGGGATAGATGAACAAGCAAAACATAAACCTATACTGACAGATCCAGTCCAAAATGTCGGCCAAGCACCGTTCAGAGCAGTTCCTGAACCTTGCGCGAGCCACGCTGACAGATACGGAGAGCGAACAGCCAGCGGAACCGAAGCCGGGTTAAACGGTGTAGCCGTCCAAGTCACCGCTCCGAGCGTAGAGCCCAAGAACGCTGTCGCCAGCAGAACCAATACGGAGAATATCTTCGCGGTCATCCTCAGCCTATCAAGAGTTGATGGCCAGAGAAGGGTGAGGGAGGAGATTGCGAATATTGGAGTTGTGCTTCATAGTTCTTATAGGGCGCATGATGCAGTGGGATGATATATTTACTGGAATATCCGATGGCCACTGCCACTGTGCGTGAGAGAACGTCGCCATGCATGCTGATCATGCGATGTATCGAGTGCATGGTCGAGCTTCCAAGCGACCCATATGTATTCGCTCGACGGCAAGCGAGGCAGCGACTCTATCACTTTTTGATCAAATCCTTCGGCCCTACGAACTCATTTCATCATCAGACTTGAAGTGTTTGCCCGATAACTTCGTTGCAGCAAGTTCAGGGTGTTGGCAAGGCGCTCAAACAAATTCGACAAAATGCATTTGCTGCTAATCCAATACAAAGTTAGACGAAACCTTGGGAAACAAGAAGATCATGAATCATACGCGAGGGCTCGAAGCATCATAGGAAGTACCAACCATATGCAAATTCGATCTTCTGCCTTCCTTGTGTGACAAAAACCGCTATATCGAGTGAGAGCCTGCGGTTAATAAAAGTGTACTCGGTCCGTAATGGAATTTACAGTGGTGTCATCACCGACTAGTAATGCCAGCGCATGGTTTGAATTGACGATTCGTGGAAGCAAGGATCAAAAGACATAACTTGGTGATGAGTAGGGCGCAAATACGTAAACTCTGATGTTATCTAATCAGATCCAATCTTTTTACATTTATCTATTTATCCAACCCCAGCCCCAAGATGATCGCCTTCGTCAAATCCAAATTGTCGCTGTCGCCATGAACGTCAAACATATTGACTCCCATCATCCCCGTCTGCTTCACGAACTCAGACTTCATCCTCAACGACTCGGGATCGTCGTAGCTGATCACTTGTCCTTGGCCCTGAGTAGAAACCAAGAAAGGCGTCTGCGAACACCAGTCCCACTGCCTGAGAAACCCACCACCACCCACAAAGTTAGGATGAGCGATTCCAGAGGCTGGGCCGCTTTGAACCAAAGCCCCCTGCTTGACTAAATCACGGAACTGAACTTGGTCACCCCCGTCTTCACTAGCGACATGAACGACACCCAGCCCATCATCTCGAGTGACCTTCCTGGAGCCTTGCACTCGCCGGGGGCTGTGGTGCCTTCGTCCGTGTTGAGACCGCTGACGAAGTGTCTGGGCATTCGACCGCGAGATGTATCCGTATGATGGAACTCCCAACACGATTTTCGAAGCAGGGAATCCTGCTGCAGTCCATGCCGTAAACCCAGCTAGTGCACTCGCTTCCGGTTGAGTCGAGTTCCCGCAATAATCAAGGAATGGCGCGTTTGGACCAGGCTTATCTGCGGACGCTACCATGAAATGAAATCAGCCACTAGCACTTCATTTCCGAACGCGCAAAGTATAGGAGTGGCAAACATAATAAACTCACATCCCCACACGTCGTAATTCATCAACACTATCCAATCAAGCTCGTTGGCAAATTCTGTCACATTTGTCATGGGCAGGCCTTCCGGACTGGCGAACGGGAACGATTGGGTCGCAGCCGATATTTTTGCATCGGCGGGAAGCGTCTTTCTCAAAAGTTTCAAGAACGCGAGAAAGTTCGCCGAATCGGTAGCGCTGACTTCATTATCAGTTTCGCCTTTCTTAGCTGGATACTCCCAGTCGATGTCAACGCCATCCAACTCCACGTCGTGGTATACCTGAACGATAGTATTCACAAGTCTTTGACGCGTTTGCTCCTCGCTTACGGCTGACGAAAAGAATCTAGACAGCAGTCTTCTCGTCAGCCTCCGGCTACGATTTTGACGAAAGGAGTCATCAATCCCCAAACTCACCTACTACCCGACCAACCGCCTATGCTGAGTTTCGCTTTCGATCCTTTCTCGTGGGCAGCCTTGGTGAGTCGCTTTAGAAGTTCGGTCGAACGTTTGTCATCATCCCAATGAAGTCCTTGGTCACTTCCTGGTTCCGCAAAGGCAAAGTCGATCCAGTCATATTTGTCGAAGTCAATCTTCTCCGGCGGGTATGAATTGCCCGCCCAGCCTGGATAGTATCCCATGACCACCGGGGTCTGATGGGGATGACCTATGGTGGTTAACGACGGGTTCGGAACCGACGGTGTCGTCGAGACAGGCGCAGAAGAAGTCGTCTCAGCGTGGCTAGACGTCGAGGATGAAGCAGCCGAAGAAGAAGACGCGCTTGAGGTTGAGGTTACCGCCGTCGGAGTAACTTGAGCCTGTTCAGCCTCAGACGTCGTCGGCGTAGCAAGCGTATAGGAGTTCGACACGCTTGCTGGACGTGGATCCTCTTCGGCGATGATGACGGATTCGTCTACCCCAGGTCGCGCAGCTTGTTGTAGCGCGTTCAAAACAGGCTTCGGTTGTATGTGCGCATCCGCTCCTACTGTAGCAGAATTGTCTGCAGGACCATTCGCCGAGAAGCCTACTTGCTCGTTGTATTCGGCGACTGGAGCGCATAGAACCGCAGAATAGACAAAGGCGAGGAGAACGAAAGTCGATTTTGTTCGGTAGAACATTGTGTAGGTTGCGAAGAGATTGCGAAGTAGTTGTGAAAGATAGAAACCACCAGGGCGTTGTTGGACCAGCCAATTGAGATGATGGAAGAAGGAAAGAGAGAGAGAAAGAATAAGGTTGTTCTGTTTTCTAAATTCAAACTGGCTGACAAGCGCCACCCCGTCGAATTAGGAAGGAGCTGGCCCATATTTAGCCCCTACACGCGCCAAATGCCGGCTGACAGCGACACCAGCAGAAACAGTGGCGCACGCCATCAACAGGCCACAGCCATCCTGTTGTCAGCATCTGCGGTAGGCACTGATACACGTTGCAGTCACACAATATGAAATAGAGAAAAAAATACACCCCGACAAATCGGGGGATTCCTTAATGGATCTGCAAGAACTCGAGCCTTCGACGATATGTCGCGCTGGGCGCTCGAGGCACCTGCTCCTATACATCGACAACGCGCCTCGATGTCTTCTGGTCCTCGTGCCCTCTCCTGTATCCTCCTGTTGCATGGTGAGATTGGGAGCATATCTGATAGAACCCCCCTGGTAGGTACTTCTCATCCAGAACCAGAAACCGGAGCCCGAAACAACAGGCGTCTTGTATAGGATTCGCCACTGAATAGTACTGATCATTAGCCAATGTGCATGCCATCATCAAACACCCAGTAAGTAGAAACCCGCACACGAGAACCGATCTTCGGTTCGGCGTCCTACCCTATTAATACACATACTGATGGTGCATCAACTAGTATCCAGGAGACCCTCCACTGAATGAACGAAGGAAGCAAAACCCCATCTGCGGACTGGCCGTTTGAATCGCTTGTTCGGATCCCTTCTTCTCGAATTCTATCCTTCGCGTAGGTTCCTGCTGAGCAATAGCAGTGGCATTGATCAGGGGACCTTGACAGAACACCCAACGAAAAGAACTGCAAATCCAATTCTTACGAGAAATTGTTTGGCTCGCGGCAGCCTCGAGGCATGGCGCTGCTCGCATGGCGGCTTACTCGGGTTGACGATCCCATACAGTATCGAAACACCCATGACAGTGTCTACGATTCAGGAAAAGGCGGGAAGGCCGCCACTGGTATCAACGCAACCACCTCAATACGAAATTTGCGTGCAGTGCGCCTCATGTCCGCCATTGCGTGACAGAGGCTACTCCTTCCTTCAAACTCCCTCATCTTTTTTCGATTCGTTGCGACACTTATACATACATACGCCACAATCGATCGCACGAATTTCAAAGGTCTCCACCGTACGAAAGACCTTCTGAATAAGCACCGTTCCGCCTGCCCCAGAATGCGCAAGCGACCCATAGGGATTTGTGGCTTGATGTTCCAGTTCTATCGATGCATGGTCCGCCGTGCCACCCGCCCCCCTTCTGTCTTCTGTCTTCTGTCTTCTGTCTCTGTCTTCTATCATCCAGGTGACTGGGTGCACGGGTTACTGAGTTACTCAGCAGCTGATGTAGATGTCAATGATCTCATTACAGTGACCCCACGCGTGCAGCGTACGCTCGCTTCGGCACCCCAAATCCACGCCCAATCTTCCTCTTACCCAATTTAGCTTGGCTGTCCGACAGCAATCACACCACTCCCCCCTCTTATTGGCCCAATCAACTCGAAAATTCCCAAGGTCGTCCAGCGGACCAGCTGGGTGTCAATAACAGCGATGCACCGGTACTCGCAGCCATATCCGTAGCAGAACGGGGCAATCAAACAAATCTAATCAAAAGCTCCACATACTTCAAGTTATCCTGTCGTCCAGAGCCTATAGCTAATGTCATTTGCGGACTCGACCCATACAATGATGATGATGAATGGAATCCGAAGTACCTTGGGGGTCAGGCGGTCCCGGTCATCGGCCAAGGCCCAGGGGCACGAGTCGACAGTAAACCGATTTGCTCCCGACTCTCGACTTCGACACCGAGTCTAGAGAGTGTCGAGGATGTGCTGAAGGGGCACCGCCTCCGAGTCGTCAGGGCAAGTGTCACCTGGACAGTGTACGATCGAGGGTGGGGGGAGGGTGGAGGAGAACAGGAGGAGATTTAACAAAATGGGGTTTTCGACGGTTTTAGATTAGATTAGGAGGGGACGACCGAAGGAGTAGGGGGCGGAGTATGGGGGTAGGTCTAGGGTAGGGGCGGAGCGGGGAGATAAGGGGGGGGCGGCGCTTCCTAGTGCCAACTGGGTTTGTTTTTGCTTCCGCTATGTTTCGGTGGTACGGTGATGCCATACGTGCGTCACGGTCATACATTCTTATGGGGGTCTGGCGAGGGGTGCAGTGGCAGCCAGTGGGGCATCATATACACCGTACACCGCACACATCCCGATCTCGCTTGTCGGAATATTAGTGAGTTTCCGAGAAGTATCGATGAGTCGTGACCGTGACAACTCCGACTTATGTTTTCATCTATATTTGTCTTTCTCCCTTCGGTCAGGCATTCAATATTCGATACCAATACCGGTTTCTCGTTCGTTCGGCGTCTGTGAGTGATTATCGGACGAACTAGGAAGGAGGTAAGTTGCACCAGGATCCAGGAACTCAGGCGGCCCACCGACCCTGATAACTAGATAACGGAAAACACCTATCTGGTGGCGTTAGATACCGAGCCACTAGTCTTTCGTTGCTACTATCATACTTCTAGCTCGGGATTGCTATCAGTCGTGCTGCGCGAGGGTCAGATATCTGATATAAGCAGCAGGCTTAGTTGCTGGGTGATACATCTTCCAGCTGACTCACTGCGCCTGCCATCGTTGCGTGGATCTAATTGTCCCATTTAGTGCGGTACGTCGCCATCCAATCCGAGTCTGGAATCCGAAAGAGGTATGTTTTGAAGGAACCTGAAAGTCCTCCAAATAAGGCGCATGCACGACTTGGCTCCTGGCCTTGAACGCGGATCCGTACACTCAATGCATTGACACCAATAGAGATGAATCGACGATCCATGATGAATTAACACAATGGGCTCACCGGTACTGAGCACTCCGTAGCGACTCGCGCCAAGTACGATCGACGACGTGATGGGGTCATGTGCGCATGCATCTACGTACTTGCAGGGCGAAGCAACATGAATTGATGCTCGCACGTCCTCGAGGCGGGTTGAGGATCCGCATCTGAGTTCGCTAGTGAAGCCGTCGTTAACGAGTGCTGGGAGCGCTGAGCGGCCTCGTTGCAGACTAGTGGACTAGTTACCGTCGGAATAGAACAGCCAGGGCTTGTGCTAGTCGACGTGCACACTGAGGTTCTGAGCATCGAACACGTAGTACGTTCCGCCGCAGGGTATCTATCGACTCGGCCGAGTTACTTTTTTGAAGTCACATTTCTTGCTGTGTATGTCAGCCTTGGGAGAGTGCTTTACCGCCAGGAGGGAATGAGGGAGAAGACGAACGTTCCGAACAGGGCTATGCGATTGACTTCCATTCTTGCCGTCCGGGGTAGGTCCGAGTAGGCTTTTCACTCAAGTCAGGCTGTAGTACGGAACGTAGGCGAGCGGGCCAGGAGTCCAGGGCGTCCATGACTCAACGTCACTACGCAAAGAGTCACAGAGCCACCAGGAACATCAGCAAGGCGAGAAGCAGCCCAGAACATCTGAGGTAGCTGAGGAAGTCTACCTAGGGCCATCTACCGTCGTCGACATCTTCTTTCTCCTTGTATGCTTCCTTCATTCCACTACCCTGTTCTGGCGCTCACAGTAGGCAGGCTGTGGAGGGGAAGAAGCTCTGATTCTGTCAAAAGAAGCGCGTACTGCCACCAAACAGGCGCAGTAATAGCAATAGCACCAGTGATAGCAATAGCACAACCTGGCACTTGCAGCGATATATGACACGCACCACGTCGAAGCACTAAAGAAGTACGGGAGCGACGCGTCCGGCTACTACACACGAGACACTGTCACTGCTACTAGCAAGACTCGAAGGAAATGGGACAGAAGGAAGCAGGACAGGCAGACAGGGGAGATCCGATTTCGATAGGAGCGTCCTCAATTCGTCTCGCAGACGATAAATCGGGAAGGTCGGCTTCCTAAATGGGGCCCTCACAGCCTCTTTATAGGCTCAGAAGTTCGTACAACCCTCCGACGATCTTCGCCCAACACTTCCTTGTGTGACCGCGAACTGATGGAATTGCCTAATAGAGGCGTAATTGGACGTGGTAATCAATCAATCAAATCAATCAGCCCATTTCATTACACTCGACGCTCGATTTTCGGTTCGCTCAGCGATATCGATCACGCTGACACCAGCCACTCACAACGACTGCAGCGCTCCAGCGAGTGCTACTTTTGGCGGACTTCCTGGCGAATTTCGGGACCTTCGCAGTAAAAGTGACACGTCGCGTACTATATACGCTCATATTACCACGAGTGGTAGAAAGAGGAGTGGTAATAGGAGGAGAAGAGCTTCTTTTCATTCTCCATCTGACGTCGAACATCGACCTCCTTCGAAGTTCGCTGTCGTCTGCGTTAATGCACCCACTACCGGTATCATTACCCACCACTTTCATTCTGAAGTCTGCCACAAAGGGGGAGAAGGGCGTGGTGTGCGCTTCTTCTGCCTTCTCGTGCTTCTTTCTTGAACATATGTCGACGCAGTCGGGCTGCTCATCTTCGACAACAAACACAAGCACGTGTGTATTAACCTCAGTCTGGGAAGGGAAGACAGGAAAGGAACCGGGAGGACAGGCTCCGTATCGTCGACATACACGTTTAATTAATTGACGATGAGTGCTTCGTGGAGCGTCGTGTATGGTATGTCATGAACTCTATTCCATCTCTGCCCCTCCCTCCAGTCTCGGTCAAGTTCTCTGCTAGCTTCGGAGCCGGGCGTTCTCAAGTGAGGTTAACAGTCCCCCCTTCATCTACATTTCTTGGTAGATTATTTATCACGACGTACCCCACGCACCCCGAGGGTTCACAAAAAACAAACGCGCCAAAATTACAGTCCTTGCGTCGCGGTATGGCTGATCCGCATTCATGCACTACAGCGCACCACATACGTACACCCCCCCTGCTCATTAACACTAAGGATGTGCGGTGGGGTCTTCCTTTTCGAGCTGATAGTGGCTTTGGGTCGATCAGCAGTTTTCATTAATTGCGCTGTCAACAGCACTAGCGCGCGATAGCAGTGGATGGGTGCTTCCCGCCTTCCCCTTCCTCACTCCTTCCTCACCTCTTCTGTCACTCCAACGACTAGAAGCGGAGGGCGCGTGTCCCAATATGGGCCTGCTATGATCCATCCCTACACGCATCGTAGGGCACGATGGCCGCTACCACGCGAATCCCTTCTGGCGTCCACGAACATCCACAGGTATTCCTGCCTGCGGACTTCTCGGCTGGAGAAGTAACTAATTAGCAACTGCGCAGGGCGTCGTTCGTTGGGACGAAGGAGGACTTATATAGTCCTAGTGCAGTCGTAAAGTAGTACCTAAGGCCAACAACACAGGGGGACCCTGTTATGTCCGAACGAAATTCATCATGTTATCAGTATATGTCCTCTCGTCGCCGATCGGCACTCAAGCCATCGCGCACCACATACGAATACCGCATATCCCCCATTGAGGATGCGCGGTGGCCTGTTAATTAATTTGACCATGAACGATTCTTCCTTCTTCCAACTGCGTTCCTCAAGCGGAGGGCGCGTATACAAATACGGACCCAATGCGGACCTTGGGTACGCCATCAACGCATTAAGATACATACGACGCGAATCCCTTCGAGCGTCCGTGCCTACGCTGAGTTGCTGCTGGTTTACTGTAGAGTACGGAGAGCGTGCCGGTGTACGGATACATCGGCCGATGGCCGTTGTCCAGTTGTTGTGGGGAAGCTGCTCCGAACTATATGATACGAAGGATAGTGGGCTCTGCGGTGCATAGCGAATGGCTTCTAACTTGCAGGATACAGGAGGTTGGGAGACTGGGAGATCGGGGGGGCTGACATATATTTCTTCCTTTTCAAGCTGATAGTAATATTCTGAGACGATACTGACACTGACACATCGAGCTTTCAAAAATTTATTAATTGCAACGTCAATAGCACTGACGCGAGTGGGTGGGATGGTCCTGGTGCTTCTCACCTTCGCCTTCCTTCCTATTATAAATGTATAACCCTCTCATTCATTCTTCTCTGACCGGGAGCGGAAGGCGCGTATCCAAACTCGGTCAGGGTATACGTATGGATGTATGGACCTTATCCACATCTGCACCATCCACGCCCCACGCAACGCACGCGTCAGTACTTCTCAGCCCTTCCGAGTCTTCTTGGTGGCTTGGTGCTTGGTGCTTGGTGCTTGGTGAGGCTTGGGCGTAGTAACCACGCCCCGTACAGCATGCGAATCCCAGTTTCAGCGCGTATAGTGTCTGTGGACGCATTCCGGTGGAAGCGCGTTGTCCTCACTCCTACGCTTCTACATCATGGGTGTCTACGCTTCTACATCATGGGTGTTCTGGAGATGAGGGGATGGGGACAAAGACCTTGAGCGCTTGAATGGCGCGTCCACGCGTCGGCAGTGTCGTAGTACCCTACATTTAAGTACTCTGCTACAGCAATCCTACAGGCGGAAGTACGCGTCTGACATACATCCGCCCTTTTCCTTAATTTCGCTGATGGCAATTTGACACTGTTATGACAGTAACAGCACCAGCACCAGCACCAGCACTGATAGTGGGACCTACGTCGAATCACTCGTCTGACATTCATCATTAATTTATTCATCGTTCGATCACCCACACGTACATCTCTACATCTGCACAAATGGCCAAGTGACACTGAGAGAGTGTGTGCTTCTCGTCTTCTTCGCCCTCCTTACCTCCCAGACAGCTGGACTGGAAGCCGATTGGGGAGGTGCGTACGCGCTTCTCCGTATGCGTGCCTCGGTCTTATAGCCTATATCGAGACCACTGCGCGTGACTCGCGCGTGCGTTCTTGGGCTCTTGAGATACTTCTCTTTCGTGCTGAGTGTGGTAACCACGCAGCACGCGAATCCAAGCAGGTATCTGCGGGCGTCCTCGAGATGTCGGTTGGTAAGAAGGTAGAGAGGCGATGGGGGTAAGAGGACAATGGACCCAGTGCGTAGGTGTGCGACCTATCCAGTCGATCATCACATCTGCATCAATGCCTAACACTCATCAGTCTCGGAATCTTAGAACGAGAAGCTAGACGGGAGAATGGGAGCAGTGGAGAAGTGGACACGCACCAACACACCATTGTCCAGGTGATCGATGATCCCATCATCCAACCTTCTTGCCATTGTTCGTCGCCGCGTCCCTTCAACGCGATAAGTAAATATACGTACGACCTTCTGGATAACAGCCGACCTGGACCATCATGCATCGGACTCTGAGAGCGAGATGGGAGAACCACAAGCGAACAAGCGAGACGCGGCAAGGCAAGGGAGAAGTAAGGGAGAAGGGAGAAGTACGCCCACAGCATACATGCATACATACATACATACATACGCGTTCGCCATTGTTCTCCTACCCGTACCTGGCCCGTACCGTACACGCGTACGTACGCAGGACGTAGATCGCGATAGCATACGCGCGCCTTGCTGGGTGCTTCTTCCCATTGTTCCTCAAGTCTCTACGCGTCCCTACTCTCCCTTCTCCTCTCCTCCAGACTCCAGCCTCAGCCTCCCCTTCGATATTTTGAACCACCCACGCCCCACCGTCAAATCCGCCATCCGCCATCCATTGTCCCTCCTCTTCCTTCTCCCCAATCCACCCTGAGCTCGTCTCTCGATCATCATGCGTCATGCATCAGGGGAAGTAATATTGCGATGCGATGGTGCGGTGGTGCGGTGGTGAGGTGGTGCTATAGAGACGCGTGTACATGGAAAGCAATCGGTGAGGATATGGGATCGGTGGGAGCGTTCCCACCCGAAGACGAGTCACCAGTCACCGTTGCAGGGGACTCGTTATGTCAGAGAAGCAGAGAAGTGAAGAAGAAAGGTACTCGTTATGTCTTTATGTCGTACTTACGTCATGGATGTCATGGACGAGGCATGAACGAGTTCGCTGGAGCTGAATGTGTTGGTGGTGGGAGTTGGTGGTTGGTGGTGGGAGTTGGTGTGACTCGGTATCGTTCCCAGGCGCGTGAGTACATAGAAGTGGATGGTGGATGTTCTGTGTGGAATGTGGAGATAGCGGCACCACGCACACACACACCGTGACATGTATATTGGTGTATTGGTCATTTGGTGCGATGACTCGATTCTCATCTATTGCGGGAGGTCCTACTACTAGCACACGTGCCCCACTCTACTCCGCCCCTCCGACCCTCCACCGTCGACCGAGTCACTCGACGCGTCTCCCGTGCCAACGCGTCATTAATATCACATTATCACATTACCACAATAAGAAGGTACGCGACGCGCAGTTACCAGCTCTAGCTAGACGTGTCCTCCACGTGTCCCAGCGTAGTCAGGACTCAGACGTCCCGGTTAAGTGAGGTTAAGGAGCGTATGTAATGTAGCGGGCACGCGTTTACGATCGAGAGAGGGCAGAGAAAGGGTGGGGTGAGGGTCGCGGACTCGCGGTTAACGGATTTGCTTCGTGTCGCTTTGTGTTGCTTTGTGTGCTTTGTGTCAACGGGACGACGACGTGTTTTCGCCTGGGTTGGTCGTGTCACAATGATAATGATTCTCGTGCGCGGCAAAAAAGACATAAGACATAAGATAGAACGCGTAACGACTAACGCGTAACGACTAACGACCGTACATGTACGAGCATAATCCTCGGGTATTGAATATTGAATAGTTAATCATGGTGCTTTTCGCCCCGGAAGAACGTTTACACGCACGAGCGTAGCCAGTTTGGAGTCGTACGACTGCAATACGACTGACGATTCAAGTTGTACACCACCCCCAAAATCCCCAACGCACGAACGACGTGTCACCCGACTGGCGAATGGCAACCGCAACCGCCCACACATCCAGTAAAACGTATTGATTCTGTCACCCCCTCACCCTCACCGGCACCTCCCAACCCCTGCAGTGTGCACGCCTCCGCGATTGAAAAAACATGGACGCCCCTCCCCTCCCCTCCAGCCCCTTCCGCAAGTCCGGCATGTTTGATCGACAGACCCATGATATCATGATATCATGCACCCGGCGTCCGGTATCCATCCCGAACATCCGCTGCGTATTGTTATTGTCATTGTCATCGAACACGCTGGAATGCGTATGATATCACCGGAGGTAAAAAGCGGGAAGGGGCAAGTGGCGAGACTCGGAGACTCGGAGACTCGGTGGTGAGGAAGGGGCTGATTGGTTTAGGCTGGCAGCCCGAGGTCCGTGGGTGGTCGGCCCGCCCTGCCACAGCCCTGTGCCTCTGGGTGGGCGGAGAAACATGCGTCTGGACTCTGCGCATGCGCGTACTCGAGTCGTCGACCAGGAGGCGCCGACGTCGATGCGTATGTATATACCATATATCATAAATATTTGAATTTGAATATTTGAGTAGTCGACGGTCGAGACTAGATAGCTAGACCGCGATCGTACTCCATACTCCATACTCCATAGTCCAAAAATATATGAAAATGACTGAAAATGACTGAATATGCAATAAAGCGAGACGCAACGATGTAACGCGTCGCGTCGCGCTCGCCTCAGGCCTCGAAGGACGTACCGCCGGCCGGCGATCGAATCGGAAACGAAAACATGAAAACATGAAAACGAGTTCCACATTCCGCTAAACACCACACCACACGACATCACATCGCCCGTAGTCCGTAGTCCGATTGCTATTCGTTTATTAATTGCTGCGCTCAGTGCTGGGGATCGATGTTACGCGGGAGACTAACATTTAATATTCAATGCATAACATCTAACACTAGAGTCGATGAGTCGATGACATACGCAGTCGAAAATAAAAACAAAGCCGCGAAAACCAGTGACCAGTGACCAGTGAAAAGTGAATATTGAATATTGAACAATCACGCGCCTCCAATCGACCAAAACGTGTAGTATGGGCGTGACGTCCCGATGACAATCATGACATATGCATAATGCACGGTGAATTGTAAGTTACATGTGTCGTATGTACGGTGAATTGAGAATTTTAGCGTGCTAGTTAGCCGAGCGCCGGCCAAGACGCAAAGGGCAAAGGACAAAGGACTCACTCACAAGCGCGTCGGGCGTCGATCCGCCCCCTCCTCATAAACTAAACTAAAATTGCAAGATCACACAAAACTGCAAGATCATGTAGGCGGAGGCGGGGCGGGTATGTTGCAAATTGGAATGTAATCAATTATGGGGTGTGCGTGGTCGTATATCATATATCATATATCATAGCGCAGTGTCTGGATGATTTAGGATTTAGGAGAGGAGACGACATTCAGAATTTGGGAGGGAGAATGAGAGAATGAGAAAGGGGATCGTGGTACGTAGTACATACGTAGATGAGGTGCTCCGGTGTGTTCGTGGGTAAGTACGCTCGTATGACGATTGGCTATGTAATACGTTCCTGCGCATGATGTTCCTATGTTCCTCATTTCCTCGTCAGCATCAGCATCAGCATCGCGAGGAGGAGGAATAGAGGAATGGAAGTGCAGAGTCACGTATATATTTGGAGTATATTTGGTTGGGTGGAGGGGTGGAGGGGGCGGTCGTCAAGCGCAACACGTACACCCGCTTCAAGTGTAGTAAGTGTATGTCAGCGTATGTCCACCTCGGAGGTCTCCCCCCCCAAAAAACCTCCCAGAACTCTCATTCGCTCGCCCAAGTCATTCTCATAACTCACTACAAGAGCCGAGTGCCGAGTGCCGAAGCGTTATGTCGATGTGACCGGAAGGAGAAGCTCTATGAAAGGACTAGGTACTATGTAGTAGGTGGTGGGTACTGGGTAGTAAGGGGGAGTGCTAGTGGTTACATGATGGGTGTTGAATATAGTATGTTGAGTATGTTGAGTATGCAGAATATCAATTTCGATGTGCACGGAAGGAGATGTGCTCAAGGAAGAGTCGTATGCTGTGCTGTGTATGTATTCGATGTGCTCGGACGGAAGCGCAAGGAACGATAGGCGAGAAAATACGGAGAAGGAAGCGTGCGCAAGGGGGCATGTCGATGTGCACGGATGTGCGCAGAAGGGGATGGAGGGCTTTATTCGCCGGTGAAACACAACATATCAGCACCATCCCAATATTCACATATTCACCGACGCCCGTACGGCGTTGTCACCTGCTGTCACGCGCGGGCGCAGTGGACCCGGATAACAATGCTGTATAGATTGCTTGGGTTGTTTAGGTTGTTAGAGCGGAAACGGAGAGATTGGAGGGGCGATGTCAAAACATCAAAACATCAAAACATATCATATATCTCATAACATACGCAGCCGAAAAGGCCTCACATAGATGGGTAGATATACTTAGGGTAGAGAGGAGGAGGGTAGGGAGAGGGGGGAGGGAGCGGAGGCGAGTTACTATTGGTGTCTCACTGATTGCCAATAAAACGAAATGAAAATACAGTAATGAGAAGGAATGGGCGAACGAGCGAATGAACGGATATTGGGGGGACGGATACGGGAATGGGACGACGTGCGGGGATGGGCAACAAGTCAACAGCACTCGCTCAACAGGAAGAGCAAGGCAAAGAAGAGTCACACCATGTCACCCAAAGCATCACCCCCAAAAGGAATAATGACCCATCTGAGATCCGCGTGTGTGAGATCTTGCATCGGATGCGGATCGGATCGCGGATCTGATCTGCCTGGAAAGGGAGGGAGATGGATTTGGCGCGCGTTTCGCGTTTTGGAGGGAGTTATAAAGAGAAGGGCAGCCGAGACGAAGATGGTCTCCACCGCCGCTGCCTCGTCTTCACTCAACGCCAACACCACCAACAAAGTACGAAGATGCCTGCCAGCTCGATATTTGCCCGCCCGGCGTCGCCCCCTCCACGGGCCCCGTCCCCCGTCTTCGAGCCCGAGCCCCTGCCGTCGCCCCAGCTGCGCATGCGCCAGCCCCGTGCCCAGACGTCCATGTCCTCCCTCCAGGGCATGGACCGCTCCCTCTTCTCTGCCCGCTCCTGCTCCAACCTCCGCGACCCAGCAAACGCAGCAGACTCCAAACTCAAACGCAAGTCCTCGCGCCTCACCATCGACTCCCTCCACTCCGCCTCTTCCTGCTCTTCCTCCTCCTCCGCTTCATCTTATTCCTCCTCAACATCCTCGTCATCGGCGTCGACGTCATCGTGTTCCTCCGCCTCCTCCCCCATAACACCGCGCTCCTTCACACTCCCCCTCCCCCTCCCCACCGACGCCCACTCCCCCGCCCCCGCAAAGCGCACAAAATCGCGGCACCACCGTGCCCACTCCATCGTCGTCCCCGCCCCGCGCCGCTCCCGCTCATCCTCGCCCCCACCCGCGCCCTCACCGCGCGAGGTCCCACCCCCCGTTCCCGCCATCCCCGCCGTCCTCCTCACGCCCACGGACAAGAAGCCCGTCTTGAGGAAGAAGGGCAGCAGGGAGGGCAAGGAGAAGAGGATCACCCCGATATATCTTCCCGAGTTGGACGTGCAGAGCCCCGCCATGAACAACAACCCGTTCTCGGCGCAGGCAATCAAGGCCCATGAGGAGCGCGAACGCGACGAGCTTGCGAGGATCGAGAGGGAACGTGAGCAGGAGAAGAAGGCCGGGAGGCGGGCAGAGAAGGAAAAGGATATCGCGATGACGTGCCTCAAGTTCTTTTCGATGAAGAACGCGAGTGCTGCTGCTGCGTAATCCTCCGCTACTGCCATTCGCCTTCGGGCTGTACCATCAACGCCAACGCCAACGTGCCCCATCAGGGACATGGCCCGCTTTACTAGCGGCCCCGCTCCGCGTCGTCAACCGACGCCTCCGAGCTCCCTGCCAGCGGCCTCAACCAACCAACCAACGCTTTGTTCGTTCATGTGCATCATTTTGGACACTGTACCCTACTATATGCACCTTCTCCCCTCCCCCACTTCTCCCCCTCCTACCCCCGTTCCCCCGTTGTGCCCACGTCCGACGTTCGATTGCCGATTGTTGATTGTTCGAGATCAAGTTTTCGTTCCTCTTTTCTCATATTCAACCAGTATATTTTTTACCGCCGCTACTTATTGATGCATTTGTACCACCACGCACCCCACCGCCACGCTCCATTACCGTACTTTACAAACAACACAACACCCTCCGCTATCCTCTCCTCTACGCCATCCAACACTACCCCGCTTCTCGAGCACCCCCCGTCGACATCGAGTCCACATTATTCACGCTACGCTAAAATCCCCGCCCCACTGCACTCCTGGGTGTCTGGTGCACTATTCTACCATACTCCTGCTTCGATAATCCACCCCACCCCCATCTCCCAAATGTTTCTGTTTCCAAGTTACTGAGATTGCACATTCCACATACTATACGTACATACACACATACACTCCTTCGTGTCTATTCTTTCGTTCAACGTTCGATCATTTTGCTTGTCAGTGTACAAATCAAGTCGCTCATTCCTAGTAGTAGTAGAAGTAGTAGTAGTAGTAGTAAGAAACTGTTGTTGTCAACCACCCACACTCTTTATCAATAACCAATAAGCATAACATAACATAACGTTCATAACGTCCTTAGCATCGTATTCGCAGTTTGAGCGGATTGCGTGAACACGGAAAACATTCAAGAGCAGGACCAAGACCGACCATGGGTAATGTGTAAGAGTAATGTGTAAGTAATTGTAGGTAATAAATATTAGACGGAGTCCGGAGATGGAGACACGGACTTCATCTCCGTCTCCTTCCAATGCATTCATTTCGCTTTTCATTTTCCTCGCGTACGAATGACTCAGCGGGTTAGTGGTTAGTGGGCTAAAGGTTAGTAAGTTGGGTTAATGGGTGGGTGGGGATTGATGTTTGTGTTTTGAGGTCCAGCGGCTTCGAGCGGCGCGTGTTCTGTGCTTCGTGCATCGTGTTCCGTGCTGCCATGACACGACGTGACGAGTTAATGATGATATTGTACGCGAAGGACACGCGACGACGCGAGGATACGTGGAACTTGCGTGGTTGGACGATGATTAATGATTAATGATTATTGGTTATTGACTATTGAGTCGAGGCCCTCAACATGCACGCATGAACCCTCCCGACCCCTCCCGAACCTACTCGAGCCTGGACGTCCTACGGCAGCAAGCACATTACTGCATACTGCATACACCCGTACGTACGTGGCCACCGCCGTCGCGTAGGAGTGGAAGGACGGATTGGGGGAACGATGAAAGGATGGAAAGGGATTGGCGGATTGGTGCATTGGTGGATTGAATATTGAATATTGATAGTGAAATATTGAAGGGCGGAAGGGCGGAAGGGAAGCACTCGGCGCGCGACTCCTGACTAGGACTCCCTCCCTCTGTTCCCTCTGATTCCGCCGATAATCATGATATTGAGAACCAAGAACCAACGAATCGAAGAAAGAGGACGAGTGGAGAGTACACCAGAACTGGTGTGATTATGTGATTATGGTACGTATACGTATGATATCGAAAAACAACGACAGCGACGGCGCGTGGAGGGAGAAGAACGAAGAACGAAGGATGGTTGAATTGGTGATTATCGATTATTGGACAACAAGGTCAGAATTCGACGTATGGTATATAACGTACCCGCTTTGAACTTGGCGAGACATGGCCTGCGCAGGACGAAACAACTACAGGACATAAGTATACGGTATATTACTGTCTACAGTCACTTTCGAGGAGGGTGATTCTGCGTCGGGACGGATGAAAGCCTGTGAAACTCGACGAGACCCTACCCTACGATGAAAGGGGGTCAGCGGAAGGTCAAGAACGAGAAGGTCGACCCTAGTAAAGTCCTCAGGCCTCGACGCTCGACGCGGTGTTTGTTGTCGTTAACGCTTTGATTAAGAGGCACCAAGCTGGGAACAAAGACACGGACACCCCTGGGATTCGGGAATTCTGGGATTCTGGGATTCGGGAAGCACTCGGGATTGTCGAAGTCGGAGAACAAGGAGAGGATTATAAGTACAATTTATCGGAGAACAAGGTTCCAATTCCAATTGCAATTGCAATTGTGATCGTGATCGTGCATCGAGATACTCGAATTCGCAGACGGTAGACGGTGTACACATACACACGCGCCTACGAACGCCTACTAGGCTACGTGCTTGTGACTCTGTGAGCAGTGCGCCTATTAGCCGTACCTCCGCCAGGGCTCCCATTGATCCACCTCGGGCAGAATACACAGAACCGGAGGATCTGATGGTGGGACATGATAATGTAACTGAGGCAATGTCGTGAACGTTCCGTTGGAATTCTGGATTGGTCGTAGAAGGTGGAAGGGGAGTGCAAGGAGTGCAAGAAAGCTGGGTGGGTAAGGTTAGAAGGTTAGAAGTTGAGGGTGTCTGGACTCGGGGAGGTGAGCGGATGGGCCATATGAAGAGGGAGAAGGAAGTTAGGGGAGAGGGGCCCTAGGGGGAGAGTCTATCGTCGTACTGACTTCCAGGAACAAGAGTTCCACATTGCAGCACTCTGACTTCACAACTTCATTGAAATCTTCAACAAAATCCTCTGTCCCTGCTCCGTCCCTGTTCCATGTAACGAAGTGACTCCAGCTCGGGGAGTCCAAGAGTCCAAGAATCCAAGAGTCCAAGAATCTAGCGACTCGAGAGTCGACTATTACCACGAGCATCTGTGAGTACTACCCGTTGAGAGATCCTCTTTCTTCCTCTGGGTCACCTCCAGATTGAGGATATAATGAGAATGAGAATGAGAACAAGGATGTATGTAGATGTGCGTAGTTGTTGGAACAAGGTCTCATCAAGATCAAGGTGTGCGGTGTACACCACGCACGCCTACGCACGCCCACACACCTACCGCACCGTCAAAGGCCAATGGTCCGCCAACGGATGGGTGTCACGGACATTCCACTAGAACTCGGAACTCGGAACTAGGTAGCGGGAGGTCAAACGTTAACTGGTCTGGACGTCTGACGCGAAGGAGCTCAAGCACGGCGGGAGGGGAAGATGGAGCTCTGCATCCGGGCGATGGACATTGGACATCACCCTTGAGGAGATCCACGCACAAAGAAAGCTCGAGGGCTCGGGTGCTCTATACCGGGAAGAGAACGTAGGACGGCCGCTGCAGTGACCTGCGGCTCAACTATGAATGTCGTGAATGTTCGATTGGAACCCGGTCCCAGAAGTTCAGTTGCGTATGTAGTAGAAGCCTCGAATGATCAACGAGCTTGAACTATAACGCACGTAACGAAACTTGCAGACGCCTAAGTAGCAGATAGAACGCCGGGCATGTGCTTCTGCGGACACACATCATGTACATTGACGAACTGAGTAAACGACAGTATTTCAAAGGTCACTGATGTTCTTTCCTTGGTGTAGAACGTCGAGACTGTATACGTCCTGAAGGGACTTGCGCAGACATACTTACACAGCAAACAAACGGAACGGGCGACTCGTGCTGTCCCGTGCAATTTCTGTTACCTGTTCAAATTTGTGTGAGTACTTGCTCCTCCACCATCAAGCTTCAAGTCCTATGCTACAGACCCACTGTACCACAAACTCAACAAAACCTCCAACGGATCCGCCTTCACTGAAACTCGAGCGCTCCACCTCGGGCAGAACACCCATATTCCCCTCTTCACATATTCGCCGCTGACAGTGGGAGGATCGATACGGGGACGTAACTGGAGTTGGTGAATGTTTCGAATAGTCGATTGGAATTTTGGTAGTGCAACTACGTAGGAGAAGTGCAGAGAAGGGGAGAAGTAGGTAGGAGAAGTAGGTAGAAGTTGGAAGGTTGACTGAGTCTGGACGCGAAGTCCGAAGTTAGAGGAAAGGGGGATAGGGGGTCGTCAATTCATCAATATTCAATCATCAATCATTGTCAGGCGGGTGTGTATTATTAGCACAGAGCAGAATCAAGACACTGATTCACCGTGGACGACCTACTCGTAGTAGACATAGCCACATACTTTGCATATGCGTGTGCAATCAAATAATTATACCCCTTCTCGGAGCCCGGCGTTCTAACTGTGCCTTCTCCTGCCGTCTATGTACCGCTTCTCATTCTCATTCTCATTATCCTACTTCTCTTAGTGACTTTGACTTTTAAGTTTATGGAATGGAATAGACTCGACGGCGTCGCGGTGTGCTTGATGTACTACCAAATTCAATGTAGCCTGCGTACAATAGACCTGCAATAGGCCCGCATCTCGTGCGGTGTGAGCTCCATTGCTGGCAGGATACGTGGAAGACTCGTTGACGTCGAAACGTAGGAGGACTGCTTGAATGTGGGACTGTGTTTAGAAGCCGACCTTACGTGTTTTTCGATGAGCGTGTGAGTGGGTGGGTGGGTGAGTACTTTGGAACTTTTAATGAGTCTGGGCTTGGCCAGTCGCCGGCGGGGGAGCTGGAAGCAGGAAGCAGGAAGCAAGAAGTAGGAAGCAGGAAGCAGGAAGTAGGAAGGGGAGACGACAGGAGAAGGAGAGGGGCAGTAAGGAGAGGACAGGGGGAGAGGGGTGTAAGAGGGATAGCAGAGGCATTGGATGAAAGAGCACAGTAGTTCGCCTGTAGCACAGCTGTACTCTGAGGCGTCCGAGGACCTGCTTGGTTTCATGCTGACAACAGGCGACAACGGGTAACAATATCCAATGTAATACCACATACGCTTCTCCAAGTCCGGCATTCTATATCTCCTCCTGAGTGTCTTCTACATCTATATTTCGTTACATCTTTCGTTA